TGTTACATCATATTTCATATGATTACGAATATGAATTTACTCATTCACTAGATTCGAAATATTAATCTGCTCTGAAGTGAATGCATATGAGAGACTATTATACAAAAGCTGTGTAGTATAGTATAATATCTCATGCTACCTCATCGATGTGTAAATATAAAAGATATTTGACATCCTCGACTTTTATTTTTTAAATCTACAATCCAACAACGTCTCTCCAGCCTGCCTGTTTATGGAATAGGTGTCGGGCAAAAGATTTTAAAGAAGGATTAGTAATTTCCTTTAAGTCAGCTCATTATATTTTAAGGATATATCATAGTAAAAAGTGAGATTGATGATGATGATAGTTAACAGCACCTAGAATCGACAGTGAGATAATCTTTAAAGACGATTTGAATGGCAACAACTAGTTCAAACTTACAGAGAAGAGATGTATTCGTCTGAATACCTTATTTTTGAGCCAGGCACTCCGTGATCGTAAGCCAAATGCGGAAAAGTTCATAATACCTATCTCACTACTCTAGACTATGATGTCTAACGAGCGTTGTGATACTCAAGTAGAGTGAAGTGGTGGTATCCAGCAAAAGGTCCCTTTTATATTGTCTGCGAGATGAAATTCAAAGCCACTTCACATCTAATGAGAGCTCACGCACGTAGTGCTCCTCAACTCACCTCTCAAAGTCCTTTATATATTAACCACGGTATAACATATAATATTCCCAATACCTGCCTACAAAACAACCCTCCACGCCCAGTTTTCTCGACTACCGAATAGAATAGCATCTGGGAACCAATGATATAGGAGGATGTTCATCTTACATAAGATTCTAAGCTTGCTAGCACATGAAGGCTAACGAATAGAATAAATCTTTAAAGTTTCAGCAGGCCGTCCGTGGGATATCCAGACGATATGACATCATCGATCGTGTATATATATTGTCGCCATTGGGAGGAACGAGATATTCGTAGAGAGATATAGAAAGAATGACTACGGTGATAAGAATCAGTAACAGTCAGTCTTGCGGACGGGCAAAAGTAAGACTCTTTGTAGATTTGTGGCCTTAATAGTCTTACTTCTTACCTATTACTTACCTAGTATTCCTAAACCTCCCATGTTGTCTTCATAACTCCACTTCAAAACAGAATGCCGTGCTGTATGCTGCATGAGCGAGACTCACTTTGAAACAATTCAATATCATACCATATTGCCGCCTGTTTCTATTCTATCGCTAAAGAAGAATCTAGCCTGGATAAAGCCTCGTAAACCCATCACCACCATCACCACCATCACCATTATCACCACCATCACCACCACAACCTCAATAGCTCATCAAAACATAAAACAAAACAAACATCCCACTACCTACCTAACTTCATTCTATCTATATCCATATTCCTTCCCTTCCCTCTCCCATCCACACAACCCAAATATATACACGCCCTATACTCAAACCCCCAGCCCCTAACTGACAATCTATTCAGTGCAGTGCGTAGAGCGAGAATTTCTGACTTCGACTTCTGACTTCAAGTACTTACTTCCAAGAGAAAAATATAACCTAGCCATCGGCAGCTACAGAGCAGCACCTTGGAGGATAATAATGAGGACATTATCCACTATCCATTATCCATTATCCATTAACCTTTTATTATTTTTGTTTCATTGAATTTTACACCACTTGTCCTCATTTAGAGGGGATGAATATATAATGGTAATAGTAATGGTAGTAGTAATACAAGATTTGGTGAAGAGTGAGATTAATTTTAACTTTATTGATATGTACTTTAATATGGTTAGATACCTAACTTAGATAATAATAGGAACGCTAAGCAGAGATAATTACACAAAGTACCCAAGGAGCGAGTGTTTAATTCTATTTCCCTTTCCCTTTCCCTTTCTATTACAAAATAAAAATAAAATAAAAAATAAAAAATAAAAATAAATATTGTTTCTTTTTAGTAATCAATGTATGTCCATGTGAAATGAATATGCTATGCTTCTTCCGTCAATTAGAATATTAGAAATGCAATACGAGTACTCTAGTAGAGTCTTAAGTGTGTTATTCGTAATTTAAGGATTTTATTTCAAGGTTTTGAGGGTGAGAAATGGATGGGAGGGAAGGATAGCAAACAAATACTACATTAATGTAGATGTTTCCATAACACTAGTTTTGTATCTCAGGAACTTTGCCCACAAAACAAAATTCGAATGAGGAAAGACTACAATAAAAAGCCAATACCTCAAACAACCGAACAATAGAACCAAAGGATGAGAACACAAAAGGAATCAAGAAGTCAAGTAAATACTAAATACCACTGTAAAGAGAGAATAGATATGGAAGGTCAGATCCAAAGACAAACGGGAAAGAGAAGTGTGATTATTACAAAATATCGATGAAGATATCTGAATATCTTCATTCCATAGGTATCTTGCAATCTTGCACTGCTGGGCTTCAAATACCATCTTTTTATACCCCTCCCTTTCTCAAAGGTCTTCACAGAGGCCTCCAACAACTCTCCAACAACTCTCCAACAACCCCCATTCCATCATTATCATACTAAACCAACACGAATAGAACCTACACAAACCATAAGGCTACCAAGTCTCCGAAAATACGTACATACCAGCCACCAAGGAAACTTCAGCTAACCCAAACAACTTAAGTTCCATTAAAATATAGCTCGACCGACCACGTTTCAGAACCTCACTCCCCACTAGACACCAATCACCTATCTGTTTCTGGCGAACTTACACAATTGACTGTCTTGCCGGAAGGCCATCATGAGGAACTGGTCGATGTTGGTAATACCAAACACAAATGATGTGATGGTGACCTTTGATCGTGGTCGCAGCCGCGGTCGAATTTGATCCGAAGACCAAGGTCAGGTTGATTCAGATTGTTGGATGAACCTGTCAGTAGATTTTGTTACCAAGCCACAATTGAGGCTAGGATCTAGAATTTTGATTTAGATTTTGTGAAGATATAAATCCGAACAGATGGACAATATCCCACCATTTCAACCCACGGGGGAATTTGACATCCGACAGGCACATTCCTATGTGCATATTAAACTCCCAACCCGATAACCAGCTCAAAAAAACATCCCAAAATCCCATTGCTTAACGACAAGTCCACATGCAGTATCGTAACCCCAAACACAAGAGGTCTGCGCCCCAAACACATACAACAGACAGTTAATTGACCCGAGGTCAAAGGTCCAAGAAGATGGCAGTGCAGAATTCGGCTCATTCTCGCGAATATGATACAGAAAACTAGACTTCACTTACAGAATTCGAATCGAGTTTTGAGGCTTAATTTCTACACCGTAAGTACGAGATGCGAAAAGCCAAATTGAACCTGTACGCTGCGGTGGAGTGCTATGTCTCGTCTCGCGCCGATACCCCAGACTTTGTTTGGACCTGCTTTGGACTCCATGGGAGCTATGACTTTACTTACCTAGGTACACGTACACTTAGATCTCACACCGTGCTGCCGCTGCCGGCACCACCATGAAAAATAGGGATGACAAGAAAATGGATTACTTGAAGCTTTTCTGAGAGCCAAGATATTATACGGTACGCGAGTAAGAAGTTGTTCCTTTCGAGTCTCGACGTAGGATTTATGCACATGATATTGTCTATGATGACGAACAAAAACGTGAAGATTCCCTGGTAAGACTTACATGTCCCACTTCCCCTTGGAAAGGAAAAAAAAAAATAAAAAAAAATTAAATGAATTGGATTTAAAGTTTCAACGTTGTGCTCCAATTATGTGAATGTCTGTGAGTTTGATAATTTCCGAAATGTACGGATTGGGCGAAGGGATTAAAATCAGCGAAAGTCGAATAATCGGAAGAGTTGGGCTGTTTTCCCAAATGCTAATAAATGCTTAATGCTAATAAATGCTTAATGCTAATAAATGCCTAATGCCCCATTCTTCATGCTTCATCGTCGCTGATATGTACTGCGTACACAGTATCTTTTTCGTGAAGAATGACAAAGAAATGATTAAACATTTTATTGAAAATTATGAGAAATGATGAATATCCCAAAGTAGTTGAAGTTTCTCCAAGCTTTACTGCGGGAATGTCCTTGCATATCTCTTCCCAATTGAGAGTCAAGGGAAATGTTTGCCAAGACAGCCAATCATTATTTGGCCGGAGAAAGGTCGTGATTCGTTGAGGAAAAGGAAAAGGCAATTTTTACCCTAAGGCAAGTCTTCGCGATTCGGAAAAGACTTAATTTGCTCCGGCCTGTGGGAAGGGTTGTGGAAGGGAGCACATTCTGGTCCTTGTGAGCTGTGAGTCTTATTTTGTCTCGTGCCTTTTTTAGGCTTTCGTTCTGCTTCTTCCATGGATATCTACTACCACTGCTGTACCTACCCACCTGGTAAAATTGTACCGAGTGTTTGAATATCGGTTATAGAACTTTGGCCACGCCGCCACGGCGACACCTTGTTTACAGGAAAAAGCGTAATAGATTCCCCTGAACCTTCCCTTCAGTAAAGGAAATAGAAAGGAAAGAGTTCTGAGCGCACGGTATACCGTCTACAAGCTTTTGATTCAAGATTCAAGACAACAATCTATTGCTCAGGCAGTCCAGCATAACGTGCTGCAGGTGCAATCTCATCAAGCTACGCTACTCGATGACTCGATAACATTTGTAGTGGGGATCCTGTGCTTCCTCCACGAGGGATTCTCATCCCATAGGATATCTATGCGCGACGAACGGTAAGACACGGGGTCGGTTGTACGATAGATATTCTTTTTGGCCTCTTCATGAGTCGTTGAAACCTATGAACCGCAGCGTTGGAGCCACCTAGACTAGACTGTTCAGGTCAAGTTTTCAGCCGGCCTGGTTGGTTCGAGGATGCGTGCGATCTTGGCCGTTCAGATGCGGTATCAAACGCCATCTATGAATCCGTGCTGTCGATGTTGATCACCTGTGAAGAAGCAGAACGATTGTGGAGAACGCTAGCAATTGCAAGTACAAATATTAGAGCATGATATTGTGTGGAAGATCTGATTCTCATCTCGCTCATCTCACTCATCTAGAAGTTTAATCTTCTATCTGTCGTATTGTGATTCGAATATTGTTTGTGCAAGGAAGTTAAAATGTGATAATAGGGTGGTAATTATAAAACGCAGCCATACACTGCCACGAGCTTACCCCTGTGGTTCTGTAATACCGTATGCAGCTCTTTGGCTGCATTGTTACCTTTTACGTGTCAGGCCATAATTCGGATATGTGAAGGGTAATTTAGGACCTTGTCCACAAAGATGCACTCCGCAAGCACATGCAGATGAGTTGATTACTGACTGATACCTAGGCACACGGAATAGATGAGCTGTTCACTCGAGAAAGTTTTGAAGATTGAAATTGTTGGGTGATGATTCAATGGGACGTGAGACAATGATACTCCCATCTATCCCTTCAACAACGGTTAACTAATTGAACGGAATTATTAGGTTATTATATGTCTAGCATCGGTAGTTTATATTCAATGGCATGGGAGAAAAAGGAGTCGGGAAGTGAGACTTCGGATATTATAGATATCTATAGCATGATTGGCTTAATTTAGATATCTAGAAATATCAAGTACAAGCAAAGGAACTATCATCTGTGCCCCCAGATGCCCGGGAAATAGGGTGACTACTTTGAAATGTATCGTCGGAGGCTTACTTCAAGGGCAGACCAATGGATACATTCTTAGATGAGCCTGGGATAAATATGTATGTCGGTCCAAATATACGTACGGAGTACATGAATGTCAGATTACAAGGAAGAAAACATCCCAGGAAGTGTTTCCATTCATAGATGAAATATTATCCGATGGGATTTACGGAGTATGATTGATTCCCTGAGAACCATTGCACCATACTCAGGGAATCATATCAAAGTAAACAATCCATCTTTAAATCTTCTTTGTTAGTAATTTAGGATAGTGAGAATAGCTAAGATGCTTAGAAACCCTAAAAGTAGTTGAAGCCCTAAAGTAGACATTAATACAGATACGAGTACGGGATACAGGTTACAGCACAAACATAACCTCCTCCTCCTCCTCCTCCTCCTCCTCCTCCTCCTCCTCCTCTGAAATTGAAATTTTTATTCTTATGCCAATAATGCTATGCATCAAACAGCGCACAAAACACAAAAACCGGATGCATGAAAACTTGTACCGTCCGTAATAGGTACATGATCGTTTACCTGGTCCCTGATTTTAAACTTCTAGTTCTAGACCGAAAGGGAAACAAAATTAGCGTACACCTTGACTTTCTGTTTTTCTTGTCTGTTCGGCAGAGTAGATAGATACTTTGTGTCCACTGTCCACTGTCTTCATGTCATTAATTGATCCTGTGCCTGAGTTGTGGATTTGAGTCGGTGGTTGTGGATTCAAAAGTGGATGTGAAGAGTATCAAAAATCAAAAATATTGGTTCATCTCGTAAGTTTGAGTTTGATGCCAATGTCTGATGTCCGATGTCTGATGTCTGACTGCCTAATACTTCGTAAGCTAAGGGAGAACAAATACCCAAAGTAGCAAATACCCCAAGTAGTGAACTGAAGGAAGGATTGAGACTTTCTGCTTTTTTCTCCGTACCCGTACCGTACCGAGCTCCTGCAGCAACTCCGCATTATGATATTTGTGGCAGTTATGACTGACTGCGCGTTAACGAGTATCAAGTATCTAGTACCAGAACTGCCTCTTGCACATACCATATTAAAGATCAAAGAGGAGGCATAACTTCTCCGTATCGATGGTATTGGGTACATGACTTATAATAGATGGATGATTCAACATTGATTTAACGAGGTTACGAATATACACGGCACAAGCAACATAAAACGAGAAACGAAACGAGGGCTGGATAGTGAGCTCAGATCAACGGGGTCTTTATTTTCTTGGGAAGGAGTTTCAAAAGACTTGATTTTATTCATTTCATCCCTTGGCCCTTGACAAGCAAGCAAGCAAGCAAGCACGCAAGCACGCAAGCCATCTCTTCCTTCTTACTCCGTACAATTCTTGAATCGATCTATACTGGATTATTGGACTGGACCATACACATCAGTCAATCAGTCAATCAGTCAATCAGTCAATCAATCAATCAATCAATCAATCAATCACCCATTCATTCATTCATTCATTCAGCCACAGCCAGCCAGCCAGCCAGACCAGGTCTTGTCTACCACGCACAACAAAATCTCTAATCCAATTCATTTCCATCATCTCATCCACAATTTCATCCCATCCCATCCATCCATCCCTCTTTTCCCCATTACTGCAAAAACCTTGGAAATTTGACCCTCTCATACTCTTTCACATATTCATACATCCCTCTCGCTCGTGCTCCCGCACATACCAGATCAACGAACCAACCATATCTTCTCATCTAGATTTTTGATCTTCTTTCTCCCTTACTTTCATAATAATTAAAAAGGATTTCAATTTCAAATACCACCCGAATTTCGCAATTACATTCATTCCCTCTAAATTCGAATTCCCCCGGTTCATCAAAAGAAAAGAAAGAAGACTTCGACCATTTCGATCAATTCCTCCATCTTTCATCTTGCCTGTCTGGCTTAACGTTTTATTATTCATCCTGTTCGAATTATACGAAATATCCTTTCCCATACATCAAAAACCAAGCAACCATAACCAGCGCGATTTATTATATCTGAATGAACGTCATGCAAGCGCAAACGGGATCCACTTTCACAAACCAATTTTCTATTTATTAACTTGCAACAAGGAAGGACCTCGTGGGTGTGTAAACGTTCTATCGCTTCCTCACACGTAAACTCCGGCGAGATTTTCCAATTATTGGTCATGGTCAACGCCGCGTGCAGATACTAGATCGAAACCCCCCGAGCCCCGTGAAGGTTTGGACTGGTGTTTTACAAAAGGATCTTTTACATCTCACTGCCAACCTCAGTAATATTGAGAGGCGCGTAACATCTGTTTTATACATATCGATGGAAAGATGGGTATGTGGCCGTTCCGTTGGAAGAGTACTCGCAGAGCGTTGCGCAGTGGGGCAAGCAAGTCTCGCTCCGAAGACTCAACCATGCACAATGCTGGCACACAACCTGACCCTGGAAGGCATGACGGGTCCGAATTAAACCCCTCCTTGGTCCCAGAGAGAAGATTAAGCCGGAGGGACACTCAAAGAAGAAGGAAATCCTCGAGGGAATCGAAAAAATTACAGAAACCCGAAAGGCAAAGGGCTTACAGTTTTTCTCCTGGTCGAAACGATAGCATTCGCGTGCCTAGCGACGCGCATAGACCTCCTGTTCCTCCCTTGCCTGCGAATGTTGGAAACGGAGAAGAAACAACAATTGGCGTTACAGGTCAACAAGGCGAGAATTTAATGGACTGCGAGAGGGTGCCAACACTACACAAAAGAGGTGCCGCAGAACTTTCACGGCGGAAGTCGAGTAAGAAACGCAAGGAGGATCATAATAGGGAGGAGGAACTCAAAGCAATGGTTTCTTTTATGCCCCATAGACCGGCCGTAGATGCCTCATCTTCTGGTCGTCCCATGAAGAGGGATAGTAAGAAAATGCGCAATGGATTGAAGGGGAATTTGCAAAACCCCCATTCTGATATTTCATTACCAACGGCCGAATCGATGCTTTCTTCAGTATCCTCGAATTCCGAACGTCAAAGATCTTGGAGAATATCCGCGTTGGATGCATTGGCACCTCGACCTACAATTCGACATTCTGAAAATCCTCGATATGCGCCAGGTGTAACCGGTTTTGGCTCGGATACATCCGAATCCCAGAAAAGGCGTGTTTCGGACCGTATGCATATTCCAGAAGAAGTTTTGAAAGCGAACAAGAGAATTGACGAACTCGCTGATGATCTGGATGCGCGAGAGTTACGGGAACTCATGGAAAGAGATCAAAAGAGACAAGAAAAGAAGAAGGTGGCTGAGAGGTTGAAGGCAGAGAGAAGATTAACAAGAAAGCAAGAGAAACAAAAGGCCGATGAAGCTGCCGCCGCTCGATATGGCACGCCACCGCCGGATAATATGGAGAGAGGGGTTCTTGGAAGGGAAGTAGTAGGCTTGGGTATTGGAACTTCGGCGGTTACAACATCTAGCAAAAGAAGAGGCTCAGATACTTGGGATTCTGGCAGAGGAAAGCGACCCGCGGATGCCTTCCTCAGCGATTCTATCGCGCACGAAACACCATTCGCCGACGAGAACTTGACCTCTTCAGAACGTGCGGAGCCATTCTTGGGAACTGCGGAGGTTAGTACTATTGGCAAAGCTAACATTTCACCACCTGCTTCACCACGAGCCCATAATCGAGGACCATCGAACATGTCACAAGTGATGAACTTGGATAGATCCAGGACTCCTTCCCCACCAAAAAAGCAGCGAATAGAAACAGAATCTGTCAAGCAGCCTGTAGAAGGCAAAACCTCTCAATCATGGACATCATTCTTCAGGCGAAATAAAAGACTCAGTAGAGCTTCGACGCCATCCTTCTCCAACACTTCACGGGAAACAGTACAAACTGGGCCACCACCGCATTTGGCATACGCACCAATGGTTAGGCAAACATCAAATATTCCCAAACGAACAATGTCAAAGTTCAGGGAGGACCTACCAGAACTTCCAATCTCACCACCAGACTCTCGAGTTCAATCTCCTGAGGCTGATGTCGTACCACCGATACGAACAGATTATCCGGACAAGAGAACTAGTTTGCGAAGATCCCTTGAAGAGCAAAGGAGACACGATACTCCAATCAGTGCTATGCGTTTACGAGATAGCACTCCTACTAGCGGCCACAGATCAACAGATATACCCTCACCTGAACCACCTACCCTTCTTTCACAATCCCTTGCATCAATAGATTCTGAAGGATCATGGCTTTCGGGAAAGAAAACTACTTCTAAACGAGGATCTGCACAGATGACATTGGCACCATTAAGGGATTCTGCAAGCTCATTACAACAGCGATACAAGGAACTATCGGAATCTTCCGAAGAACTTGGAATTGCTGAAGACGAATACTTTAGTCGCATTACGCCAGGTCCCGAGGAGGAGAATATGATGAAGCGTCAATCTAATGGCCTTCCCATGGCTTCTAGTGATGAGGAAGATGGAGGTAGCATGAAGCAAAGCCCAATTCCGGAAGAGAAGACAAAATGGGGAGCAGTAGCAAGGCATCCTACTGTGGTTCACCGTGAAAGAGCAAAATCTCGCGAGGGACTTGTGGACGAAAGTGCTGAAGGTCCTCCGAACTACCGAAGAAGCATTAGCTGTCAAGCTGAATTCGTCAACGAGGATAGCCCTGATTTCAGCTAAGATACGACTGCTTGACTTGGAGCCAGAGCTTCAGGGATCACGAAGGACGAGTGTGAGTCATAATGGTTCATAGGGTCGAATGGTGAAAAGATGAGGATTTTCAAGGATAATTTGACAAGACGAGACGAGCACAAATTCTTAAAACATTTTTATTACAATGAGTTTTGTCAAAACTGACACCCACGCTCATTGCAAATTTTCCTTTGTCATCATTCACTCTTTCAACCACCATTTCCTTATAAAATGGTTCGACTCGATCCAAAACCCAAAAATTCAAAAGCTTCATCTCGGTCATCGTCATTATCTAAGATATCCTTATTCTATATACCAGCTATCGACTCCTATCATCATTACTCACACCACTTCAGAAATCGAAAAATTTATGTGTTCACGACAAATCTTTTCCTTTTTTTCCTTTTGCTTTTTTCTGGTTTCATAATGAATTGATATCCCCAATAGCACATAGATTTTTCTGCTATTCTTTTTTTTTGCTTTTTTGATATTTCGAATCGATTCCCCATCATGTATCTGAAATAGGGTCCGAAAAAAGAACTGGGGGTATTTGTTGGGGAGTGAAATGGATCGGATCTTGATAAAATATTATGACGGCGTCACTCCTTTTTTTTACAGGATCTTGGGGGAATGGCTTTGGGCGAGATGGAAGGGAAGGGGGGGAAAATATGTAATGTTACTTAGCGCGCGAAAGTTGGGATGGAATGGGTGGAAAGCATAGCATGGGAAAGAGAGAGTATAGCACTCTTTGGGGACAATGGAATCAAAGATATATTATTTAGTAATAGCGAGCTATTTAGCTTCTTTATTTTTTTCCTCTTTTTTCCTTTTTGAGTCGATTTCTTTCTAAAATTTCTGTGAAAGAAAGATGAGATGTGTTAGATGAGATGAGATGAGTGAGTGAGTGAGGATTGAAAAAGAGAGGGGGGTGAGAGAGGGAAGGAGGGAGAGAGAAATATCTTCATATTAGATGGATGCGTCTAGATGTATGCAGATGTGTGCAGATGTGTGTAGATGAAAGAAAGGGAAAGAAGGACGGAATTGTGATTATATTGTCATATGATAGTTTACCTAGCTTGGTTGGTGGGAGGTAGGTAGGTAGGTAGGTAGGTAGATAGATTATGAGATTTATTTGATTGAATTGTATTTGTATTGTATTGTATTTTGTCTTTGTGTATCTTCCTTTCGTGTTACTGTACTGTACTTCTTTTGATTTTATATACTTTATACTTTATGTTTTGTGGTGAATAGTATTGTAAATGTGAGTGTGAATTTGAATTTGAATTTGAATTTTATGGGGATGGAGTGTAGATGCAGGTATGGAGTATATAGTTATAGTTATAGTTAGTATGTACATATATATAGTTTCAGCTGGACTTGGAAAGAGATATATATATGTATGTATATGTATGTGAGTGTGTATGTATGTGTGTGTATGCTTGTAAGATCTTAGTTGACCGACTAACTGCCTTTGTGGGGCAGACGGGATGAGATGAATCCTATTATGCGTAGAGTGAGTGTTGCTTACTCGGTACTAGTTGGCTATATCACCATATCACCCACTGCAGTGTGTTGCCAAATAGCCATATAGTCATAAATTGGAGCGGCTGAATTCTTTCGCTGTGTGTCGTAGAATTTGGGTGGGATATACGTCATTGAGCATGTGGGTGTTATGTACGTGGTGCGTTTTGTACTCTTATTCTGTTCCTGATTCTGTTTCTGTACTCCGTGTGTAAAATCTTACTTGCTCGGGTCTTGAAGGAGAAAAGGAGTTGTGGTGGGTGGTGGTGGAGTTAGGTAAGTTGTATGTTTGTATTAGTTAGCTAAACCGTTGTGATTTATGGTCTTCTGTCTCTTCTTCGAGGTAGAAATGTGGCGAGTGCTTGGTTCATAATGAATGAGAGAGAAACATGGAATCGGAAATATGGAAATTTCGTTCGGATTTTTCGGGTATGTTGTCTATATCACTAATCTATAATCTGTATTTCGTATTTCTAGGCATGGTTGTAGCGAAAGGGCAAAGAAAGCTGAGTAGTAAGTAAGTAGCATAGATGGTAGCACGGAAAAGATCTCAAATACGTATAAATAAAAATATAAATAAGAATAAATCTGATAAGAATCACAGAACACATTATCAAAAGAATGAATCAATCTTCGGAATCAGATGTGAAATATCAACAGTTTAACCAATCATATCATAAACAAGGATATTACTCCGCAAAGAATTCTAGCCCAACCTTGCTTACACATCTGCAATTTCGTCATAGTAATTCTTCCATACATTTCCACTGGTGCCTGAAATATAAGGATCTTGCATCGAACCGAGTTACCCCTCTTAGAAATCAATCAATCATTAGCAAGCAACCAAACGCCTCTTTTACAGCCTCACATTACACTTTACATCACATCACATCACATCACATCATCTCACCTCACTCACAACACCAAACACTACAAATACTCTTCACATACCTTTGAAGAGTTCTCATATGTCATTCTTCACAAGATCTCTTCACAAATTACCAAAAGTTTCAAAAGCTTCCTCTGCAAATAATCTTATTTTTCATTCCATCAATAAAAGATCTTTTCATCAATCTATCGCAAATATGGGTGTTCACAATCTTGCAACGTGAGTTATATCTCCCTCTTGCCTCGAGGCTGTACTCTTGCTTGGAGGTGTTTCGTATTCTAGTCATGGATAGCTATATCGCATCAAGATATCTACACCATCGAGTTAAAATACTTTGTCCTCGATAATGTGGGTAGGAAGTGGGGGGCTTGAAGAGCTTTTTGAAAGAGATCCGTGGTGGAAACGCAAACAGATAAAGCAAAAGCTAACAAATCAATAACAGCGCGACTGAATTCAAGTCTGCTCTTACCGATAACAACATTGTCGTTCTCGATGCTTTCGCAACATGGTGCGGTCCTTGCAAGGCTATCGCTCCTAGAGTCGCTAAGTATGTTATCCTCTTCTTTCGACACTATCATTCTCCACGTTCTACCCACCACGACCGTTCAATGAAAAGCCGCTCAGGAATCCCATCCATAATAAATGCTAACAATCCCTTCACACAGGTTCTCAGAAGACTACCCCGCCGCCCATTTCGTCAAAATTGACGTCGATGAGCTCCCAGATGTAGCACAAGAGCTTGGTATTAGAGCTATGCCTACCTTTTTGATCTTCAAGGGAGAGGAGAAGATCGCAGAGGTTGTAGGTGCCAATCCTGCTGCTTTGGAACAGGCTATTCAAAAGGCGCTGGCGGGAGAAGAATCTACCTAAGTTGGGGATGATGTGGGTGGATGATTATTATTTAGTTATTGAGCGGATGTTATACTCATGGATTTTAGGTGGATGGGGTGGTGGTCTTTTGTTTCAAGGGGGATTAGGATGAATGATGAATCGATGATTTATAAACATTTATTTTGAGTCTGTGATGGGATTGTGAATCATGAATGAAAGTACTCGGATTTCTGCGTGCTTTCATTTCACTACTGCGAATTACGATAATAGTCGCCGAGCAGTCCCCGATTCGTTAACATCTATACACACCCATTCCAATATATTATACCAATACATTTTCCACCGCTATAATATATCCCCTTTCCTCTCGGATCTCAAATTCCACTCCACCTGTCTATAACACAGACACTCTCTTTTCCCTCTAGAATCAAAAGAAGAGAAATAAAAAACCTTTTAATTTATTAATCAATGAATAGATAAATAGATACAATTATATATATATATACAACTAGCTGACTTAGAGCTCGACCTTAAAACTATAATATATAATACTTGTATACAAATAATAGCTGTTATTTTATTTCACATCAAAAACTTATAATAATCACTTTAAATTTTTATATATTTAACTTTCATTTTATATTATTTTATTTATATTAAATAAATTTTTTTAGATTGAAATTTTAAAAAAAAATAAGATTATTTATTTTTATATTTTTTATTTGATATAGAATTTATATATAAATTTAAGATTATTTTAAAATATATAATTATATTAGTAAAATAAATAAAAATCAATAAACTTTTCAATAATATTCTTTAAAGAATCAAAATAATTATATTTAAAAAAAATATTTAATTATTTAAAAATCTTCAAGATTGATTTATTAATATTGAAATTATATATATATATATATTTATATATTTATAATTTCAATCGATTGATTATAATCATCTAATATTAAAAAAAATTGAATTTGAAAATATAATAAAATTTTAATTTTAGATGTGTTTTTCATAAACGGTCATTATCAATACACGGTTACTATAATAATTTAATAAATGTATCTGTCGGTACATCATGTGATCAAGCTCGAAAGGGAGGCCATACACAAAGGGAGCTGTACGATTGCATTACAATTAGTATCACCGAAGTGATACCCACAGTATCTGATAAAAGATATATAAAAGTGTGTTTTGTTTATATATTTTATCATTATCTAAGTAAATAGTATAGGCAATTAACTATAAGAGATGATTAGAGAGAGGGGAGAAGAAGTGGAATAGAGTTGAATAGAGCTGTGTTGGATTGGATTGGATTGGATTGATAGGAGTGGAATGGGGTTAATGATGGGTGTGAATGATGGGAGTAGATACTGTACATAGATATAGACTTTCTAGCAACAGTATTATAAGATCAAGTATAGTTCAATCATTATACAGCCTCAGCACATTCTCGGTATAGAAGGGCACATCACAATTATATATACACCATGTTTTCTTTATAAATTTCCAATTCTAAAAAAAGAAAGGTGGTCTAACAAACGCAATGACTTGCAATAAACAACAAGACAAGTCCAACAATTCCGAAAATTAAGTCTAATAAGACCCATAATGAATCCCAACAAAAAAATTCAAACATTCCATAAACGCCGATCCATCCATCCCAATGTTCCATGTTCCATCCCACGAACTCAGTAATGCTATGCATGCATCCAACCCATTTTGATATCCATACAATTCCGTCAACGCCAAGTCATAAATGCACCCATCAACCCTCGCACCACGAGAAATTCTCCCTATTTTCGCCCTTCCTGCAATTATCCAATATTTGACACTCACCTGCAATGATTAAGAGAGAGCATGCCTTGGTGGTCCGGATCAAAGTCCTAGGTAAAAACCAGAGATCCATCAAGGTCAGCCCTCAAAATTAGAGCAGGTGAGTTTCCAATATTGGATAAATGCTGAAAGCCCGATTTCGAGCTGAACTGTTAGTCGTATGAAAAGATCCGGACTGCAAGGAGGTTCTATTTACAATTCAACAGAAAAGACATGCGAATATTCAAAATTTAATTCTCAGGAATGCCGGCCAAAAAGGTGAACTGACCACCACCAGCTGCCCAGACAAGTTTCTTTCCTTCGATATTCTTATTGTTAAGCTCTTCCGCAATGTAAACATCTTGATCGTTTTCCAAACCGGTTTGTCTGTATGTATTGAATCCCCAAGAATGGTGGGGACTTTTGCCTTCTGGACCAAGGACAATGCTGTGATCACTGCCCATAGCAATGTATGATCCCTTGAATGGGAAGGAGAGGGGTGTTTTAATGATGGATCTTTGATCACGCTCATTTCTGATGATGACATCCTCTGGAAGTGCCTCAACATCATGACCAGAAAGACCATCCAAGGCTTTGCCAAAATACAAAACCTCACCCTCGTGAGTGAGCGCTAAGCTGGATGCATTTCCTGCAGCCATCATCTTGATATTTTTGCCTTTGAGAATATCAACTTTGGTGGCGGTTGAAGTAACTTCTCCAGCCAAAGCACCATCTTTGGTGAATTGGCCACATTGGCCCATGTTGTTTGCCCCCCAAGAGTAAACAGTGCCATTCTTATGAAGAGCGAAACTATGTTCTGATCCACAGAAAATATCAACCATGGCCTTTGGTAAACCAAATTCGCGAGGAACAAGAGCATTCAATCTTGAACGTTCAACAATTCTTCGACCAAGTTGATTATGCTCACCAGCACCCCATGCAAAAACAGAGCCCTTGTTGTTAAGAGCAAGATAATGGTTATTACCAGCGGCGAGTTTGACAATGTTTTTCAAACCAGGAATGAGTATTGGAACCAAGGTCTCTTTGACATCCTTAGTAAAGCCCATTGGACCATCGGCGCCCTGAAGATCATTAGTACTATTTCAAAAGGGTTATGGTGATTGAACTTACTCTAATAGATCCCCAACCATAGACCAATCCATCATTGGTGAGAGCATATGTAGCGTTGTCGCCTGCTGTGATTTGGGTGAAGACGGTACCCTCTGGTACTTTGGTCATATCAACTTCACCCGGGGTGGATTCCAATGGGTTTCGTGCGTCTGCAGCGTCTGATTCATCATCCGAATCTGCATCGGCATCCCTCTCTGGCGCAACCCAGTCATCGGTTTCTCTGCCCAATGCGAGTCCATCACTGACACCCCATGTAAGGATTTTGTTATCCTTGGTAAGAGCAGCTCCGTGCATACCTCCAGCAACCATTTGAACAACACCAAGAGCGGTGAGGGCAGGGTTCTTAACTGGACGATTAATGGTATCCTTTTTGGTTTGAAGACCAAGGCCAAGTTCGCCAGCTTCATTGCAACCGAAAACATATATGTCCAAGAGTTGAGTAGGAGCGACGTTAATGATGGTCTTTGGCTTCACAACCTTTGGCTTGACAATTTTTGGTTTGACGACCTTTGGAGCCTTGGGCTTTGGAGAGGCCTTTGGCTTTTTAGCTGCAGGAATAGGTTTGTTGGCTGCTTTGGCGGCAGGCTTTTTAGTTACAGTAGCTTTGGTAACTTTAGCCTTCTTCGACGGTTTGGCAGCAGGTTCATCGACATCTTCGGTGGATTTGCGCTTGTTAGACTTTGGGGCAGCAGGTTTGGCTGGAGCGGCTTTAGCTGCAGCAACTTTTTTTGCTATGGCAGCTTTGGTGATAGTCGTCTTCTTGACGGTGGTAGATTTAGTGGCAGTCGTAGTCTTCTTGGCTACATCTGGTTGTGCTTTGGCTGTCTTCTTTGCGACAGGAGAGACTTTCTTTTGAGTCGCGACATTTTTTGCGACACCTGCTTTTTTAGGTGCGAGAGCTTTCTTCATGACTTTAGAAGTGTTTGCCTCTACCTGAGACTTCTTTGGAGAAGAGGGTTTTCGAGTTGAAACTCGAGTGGGAGGAGATGGGATTTTCTTGGGTGGCATTTTGTTGTATGAAGTTATGTTATCGAGCTTCGATTATGACGAAAGAAAGACGCGACTTTGTGTGTTTATAGAGATGAATCTTCCGAGTAGTACCTAATAAGAGGATTGGAAAAGATCTTTTGAAGAGTTTGGAGCAAGAGAAATGTCGAAGAATTCGAGTGGAAAAGAATTTGAAGTAATTGATTGAATTCAGTTGAAATTGATGTGAATGTCGTGAATGTTGTGAATTGTGAGTTTGTTGTTATCGTGCGAAGTTGTGTGGGAATATTCTGCTTCTGTCGCGTCTTATAATAAGAAAATAAAAATCAACCACTCGGCAAGGATAAGCTCCTGTGTTATTCAACCATACCATAAGAAGCTTAGAGTGTCCGGCAAATGCTAGTGTCCTAACTGTTTTGAGCTAGTCATGAGTTCTACCGCCTTACTAATACAGACTAGCGCACGACGTCTGAAGTAAGAACTTACAACCAAGCTATCATGAGGACTATCACAGAGCGATCAGGGCTAAATCTGGTAATCTAAGCACTTAATATTTAAAACCTAATCGATAAGAAGTTAAGAAGCACCAAAAACCTTCTACGGAGAACAAAACAAACAAAAGCCACGAATGGTAACGCGAGTTTTGACCATGAGCATGGCCGTCCCAACTATATGTCAGTTAGACAGACACCTATCGCTAGCTAGTAAGATCTTATGTCAACTACACCACGTATTGCTTGCGAAGCTTATCTCGAGTAATTGACTTCAGAGATACGATGCATACTCGAGTAGATATCTCGTCATTATTTCGACAACAAGTACGACTACACGACCACCAGCGGAACCACCGAATCAAAATATTGAAATACGCACGGAGTACTTAGGAATCAGGGGTACAATTGGCCCCAATTTGGTCCCAATTTGGTCCCTCGGTCCACACCACCCAAGCTTTTACTTTCAATTATATGGACCGGAAACTGGTACCACGCTTGACGCGCTGTTGCACTGCAATCATACTTCCTCAAGAGTCAAACACTTTTGCCTTTATTCTTTTGACCATAATTGGCATCATAAGATCGATGAAGCCTCAACAGCTTTTAGGGATATCATATAAACCCCTAGTAGCTGGCGCCTGCTATATTACTGAGTCACTCGAGTCCTTATTCTTCCCTATATTCTTGATTGCTTTCTCCCAGCAAAATGATTAGAGATTAGTTTTTGTTTTCATTCATTCGGCACTTCACATCAGCAAATGGCGAGTTGTACCGTCCAATTAATTACAAGTACTTGTGTTCTCTTTCGAGGTCCTGGTGGTTTCCTCCATTGTGCCTTTATTATCTATAATGATTGGTTCTCATTCGTCTGATCCTTTGGTTATTATGTTACAATGAAAACCGGAAAATATTGCAGCTCCCTATTACCCCAGGATTCCAAACCTGAGTTGCTTAGAAGTGTCCAAGCCTTGTGGTATTTCCATAATGCACAATCCTCTGGCTCTACATGTGACAACTTCTGATTGCTTTGCGCTACATGTTGGCGTTGTCATTTTTGTACTCAATTTTGTCTCTGGTGTGCCCCGATTCCTTGCCTCAAAAATTGATGATATCGCCTCAAGGACAGATAGAGCGATATGAAAAGTGACCTGGAAGGCATGGAAATTCGAGCCTCCTGAAGTGTACTTGGACTTTTACCTTACTCAAGAAAATATCGGGGAGTGACAATATATTTCTACTTCATTCTTGCACCGTGTCAGAATATCGTACATCGTCACCAATGACAACGTCATGACAGAAGTTGGGAGTAGCGGTATTATCGATATGAAGGCATATCAACAAACGATGGGTCTACAGCGAATGCCGTAAATATTCTTTACCCCAAGGCGACGTAACACAAGGTAGGGTTTGAACGATTGGTTACAACAAATCTCCCCATTTCCATGCATCATTTCGCTCCTTCTTGGCCCTCAATTCGACTGATATTCTTAAATTTTTCTTGAATTAAATGCAAATGAGTAAAAGAATATCAGGACTTTATATTTCATGGAATAACCGTTTATATATACATAAATATGGCATCAAACATACGTTTAGGTAAACTTGCTGCGGCAGCGGAAGCATGACAGATCGGGCTTGAAAACACAACGCGACAATGTATGCATCTCTAATTCTAGGCCAATCAAGATCGGTTCTTCTGAACATTCGCCCTGATCACACAGTAACGTCTAAGTATTTTGGCAATGTTTTTCATCAGGCAAGAAAGGAATACTGTATAAGATCTGGGTGATGTACAAGAAAGATTTAGTGATACCCCGCTATTACCTTCGCTGGAGGATCCAGAGAAATATTTTCGTCTTAAATATTGTGAAATGAGAAAATTTGGCTCGGATTTTGATCATTGGCGCACGATTTTTGCGGTAAGTGGTTCGCATATTGCAGGAATTGGCTTTATGGGAAAGTTGGATAGTTTGGCAGCGGTGGAAAGGAGATGTCTTTTGGTTTAGAGAGGTGGCTGATGATCAGGGAGGATGGGATGGTAAGTATTGAGTCTATTATGTTAAGCTTTCTACGCCAATATCCATAAACCGCCTACATCAAACCTGCAGCTGTTATTCTTTGTGAACTACCGGTTCATAAAGTACATCGTGGACATAGCCGTTTTACGCAAGAGATGAAGAGTGAAATATTTCAAGGTAGCTATGTGGATTTCATCGATTTTGATGTCTTGACCAGAGATGGCCTGAAAGGGGCATTTGACGCTCCTCCAAGAATTCGAACTTACATGTTCGATGATCTTTACTTCTACTTTGAGCATCATAGTCGACTTCTATTCGAAAGGAAGGAGCGACACCTCCATTAATCGCGTTGGCTTTTCTCAAGAAAATAATAGCTTCTCATTACATGAAATTGATTGGTTGGTTATCTCGAGATAATTGTTCAGATACTATATAGGCATATTAAGTAAGTAGGTAATCTTACATTAACCTCTTCCCCTCACGCAGGTATACCAACCTTCGTAATATTAACCCCAACCTCACAACTAGGCAGAATAGCAACTCGCCCGTCAAACCATCTGGAAAGACCTATAAATCCTAGCCCGAGAAAAAGCGAATAATAGTCGAGTCTGCAATTCACCCATCGTCGCCTCTCAGAACACTACATCGATATCCAATCAATCTATCATTCACAGCCTTTGACCTCAAACTCCACACTACTCTCCCCCATCCCCATTTCCCTCTATCCACTCAAGTCTCCTCCCCCTAACCATCTACACCCGCGTCCATCTCTACAATCAGCTCCTCCTCAACCCAAGGTCTATCTGTCCTGTCTTTCCTCCATAATCACCAACCGCGACACGCTCTACGAAGCAAGCACGAATTTCTTTCTGTGCGGGAAGTGGAAAATTTGAAAGCGCTTGCTTAGGTTTAATTTGTTGGGTTGGTTCATATTCTATTTCCATTGAGGGGGTTGGGTTACGTATATGGCGGTGCTGGTGATGGGGTGACGTGGGGGATACAGAGGAGGTGGGAAGTGCGGAAAAGGGGGTTTGATTGCATGATGGATGGATGATTTGTTCGGGTTCGGATTATATAGACTTGTGGGACTTTTGGGGTATTGATTTTATTCTCGTGTTCATCTAGGATTTGCTACCTATATTAACATATTATTTGTTACTACTCATCTGGTGAATTTTAAAGACATAACTATGACATTAAGAATGGATACTTGTTCATGTCCTCTTCCAATTTAACCCCAAGATACTTTTTTAAGTAACATATAATATCAAAATCTTTGTAGAACCCTCAAAAACAATTTCCCCAAATTATCAAATACAATTTCATTCTAATCATTAAAGCATCAATTCTCACGCCCATTTTCCAAGAAGCCCCATCAACGCCATACCAGCCATTAGACTAATCAGAGCGATTAAAGTCTTGATCAACCCAGCATCCCTCAACTCTCCATAAATCCAATCATGAGCCCACATGTTAACGAAACCAATCCAGGTAAGAATACCAGCGGAGAGTGCATCCAAAGTTCCAAGAGCAACGATAGTAGATGGATCATTACCATTGAACTGATTAATAACACCGATCCCAATCGCCATTCCGGTTGGAGTAACGAGCGTAAAAGCCATTGGGAGGATAATGTACTTGGTAGCGTGGAGACCATCTATTACTGCGATGCGGGCACCAAGTGCTAGACCTTCGAACATTTGGTGGAACACGATGACGATAAAGAGAGTAATGAAGACGGAGTCGCCGGCTACTACTAATGTAATACCGATAAGAAGGGAGTGGAAGATGATACCTGCTTCAAGGATGAAGATACTGAGACCATCATTTGCGTGGGTGGTTACAAGGTTGTTGTTGTCGTGGTGGTGGCTTAGGTGCGCGAGTGTAGGTGTAGGTTGACCTTTTACTGCTGCTTCTTCACGTGGGTTGTCGTGGGAACTTATACTGGCAGCTTGTCTTTCTATGGTGGATTGTTGACGCCAATGTGCGAGTCGATGACCGGTGAAGTCGATCAAGAAAGCGATAAATGCACCTGCCATCATGATAGCCGTCGTGGTTGCTTCATATTTCAATTCACCGAGACAACTATGCGGGAATCAGTGCTGACATAGTTCGACTGGAAGTAATGGCGCTTACCTGTTGCCAAACATCAATGAAGCATGGGTCGCAAGCTAGATCGGTCAGCAGCTTGCTTATTTTGGGCGAGGATTGAAAGACGAACATGGACCAAGGCAGTGGCAATGATGACACCAGTACCAAATTGCTTAACAACTGTGAAAACCATTTTAGTTCCATTAGTTTTTAGAAGTCGTGCCATCACAATTGGAGCATAGACCCCTGATCTCTGTTAGATGGAGTTACTTTTTCCGATTAAAGAACTTACCAATTGCGCTTGTAAAGAGAATGACAAACAATAATCCAATGCGGAGTTTAACATTGTAATCACGATCTTTTCGCTCGCAGATAGCTGTAGCCGAACCGCCAACGCAATGTCTACCACAGATTAGCACTTGAGCAACGTGATCAGCACGTTTAAATAATTTACTCGACACCAGCGTGGAAGTGGCAGTTCTCTCCACCTTCAGACGACTCCGCAGTACTCTCCCCTTCAGTAGAACCCGCCTCCTCATTAGAACTCAAGACCTCAACTTCAGCACCATCAGGTCTCAAACAGAACATGGTAGAGTCGTGGGAATGGCAGCCATTATAAGCGGTAGGTAGAGCTTCATTACCAGTGGCAGTCGCTAATACCTGAACCTCGTCCCCGTTGCCTTTGACACAATACCTAGAAGCTGATTAGCTCTCTTATCTAGAGCCCAAGAATTACACATACTGAGTAGTATCATGTTGGTGGCAGTCAGTAATGGCAGTAGTCTGCGCACTTTCAGTCGTGTCTGCATTCACTGAAGCCAGGGAAGTTAAAGTTGGAGTAACAGTGCTGCTGCTAATTGTGGTTTCCGCCCCAGCAGGAAAGAAACATACTCTAGATGCGATTAATACAGTGTTTTCTGTCACTGGTAACAATAAAGACTCACTCTCGTCCCTCCTTGATGTGGCAGCCCGTGAGCGTGATCTGAGCACTTGTGATGGCGCCGAGCAATGAAAACAGCAACACACTTTGGAGGATAGTAGAAAATTGAGAGCCAAACATCTCGTTAACTGCACCACACAGAAGGCGTGTAAGGTAAGATGTTTAAGGGGGAGACAAAAGACTTTCGGAGACGACTCTGGGGAAATGACGGGATAGAGACGACAACTTAACGTGAGATCAACATGCGACCGATGCCAACTATTTATCTCATAACCCAAAGCCTCTGGTTCAATACAATAGAAGCTAGAAACCTCTAGAAAATCTGCAATCGGGGCTAAGTAAAATGTATTCAAAAGATGCTGCCCATTGATGACTGATGTTGGGAGTGAAGACGAGAAAACTTCACTAGCATTATTACTACAATCAATCGAGCAAATGGGAAGAAAGACCGACTTGGCTCACAGCCTTGCACAGATACAGAATTCGAGCTTGGAAGCCTTAGATGGAAGATGGGCCTTGGCATACCTGGGCATGAGAACCTTGATGGGTGAATCCGAATGGGGGCATCGGGATGGCTTTCAATGTCAAAGACGACATGATGGACATTTTTCTCTTCTTTGTCTTCTAAGAATCGAAACGGAATTAGAGTGTTTGTTTTTGCGTCTTAGTGTTGCACACTCAAAGTATTCCAACTGTGGCCGACGTGATTATCGAAATAGTCGACTATAAATATTACGCTGTTTGAAAGACCTACCGTACTCTTCCAGTACATAGAGCATAGAGTCTATAGTGACAGCAAGGCTGAGACTCTCACACTGGACACAACATAACAATCCAGCTCGTTTTGCTTTAACATTTATAATAATCCAGCTCTGAAGGGGCCAAGGTCTTTTCGGGAGGGTCATGAGCTTGATCGAGGAGGAAAATTTCTATGGCTTACATAATCATAAATGAGCTCCCTGCCTCTCGTTAGAAAAAGGTAACAAACATGATTGGTCAATTTCAATGACAAGAAAACAACAGCAGATAATAAGCTCTATCGTTATTATACTTTGTTGTATTATGGATTTTAGCTCTATTTTATAAAATGTCCAACCCTACATGCCGGACGAGGCGTCTGCATTCTGAAAAGTTCTTCGTCTTAGCTCTAAAAGACGTCAGGACGTCAAGGTGTAATTGGCATATTGACCTTCCGCTGGAACCACATCGTGGTCCCTACCCATCTTGTGTACATCCGTCGACGTTGAAATCTCTTCCCGTTCGAAGTAGTTAACTCAAGTGCTTGGCGTCCATGAGCTTAAAGGATAGATAGAAATGGTGGCTTTCCAAGAGTGAAGCATGAGTGAGAACCCGGGCAGGTAACTACTTGAAAAGACGTGAATCTCACTTTGAACAAACATCTCACACATCATCCTATCAATCTTCCTCCTTTCCTTTCTGGATATCGCCATCGTCAAGTTAGACTTTAAGATGCACGTCTCAAGCTTCCTCATTGTCTCCATCAATGCTTTTGGTGCATTGGCATACCCTCTTACCACCACAACCTCCGCGGCTCCAGTCTCTGAGCTTGTTGTCTCTTCAAGTGATGCACAGGCATACAACTGGCAGAGCGGTTATGTCTCTCACTTCACAATCCACCCATCATGCAACGCAACCGAGCGTCATGAGCTTAGCGAAGGATTGAGACAAGCTGTGGAAATGGCCGAGCACGCTAAGAACCACAGTCAGCACAACCCAAGATGACCAAATTCAAACCAATGCTAACCAACTCCTTAGTACTTGTCCATGGTAACAAATCCGAGATTTTTCAAAAGTACTTCGGTAAAGGTCCTACTTCTACGCCAATGGGATGGTTTGACAAGATCGCCTCTGGTAATCGTGCTGGCGTCATTTTTCGTTGTGATGACCCTGATCGAAACTGCGAAACTCAAGATGGTAAGTACACCCACCTCCAGCAAGAAAGTCTTACAATGTCACATCCGGTAACATCTCATAGCATGGGCAGGTCACTGGCGCGGTGAAAATGCAACCGCCGAAACCGCCATCTGTCCACTCTCCTACCAAACCCGTCTCCCCCTCACCGCGCTATGTGCGCGAGGATTCGACGTCGCAACCGGACGACCGGCAAACTTCTGGGCCGCAGACCTCATGCACAGACTCTACCACGTCCCTCTCATCGGCGAGGGAATCGTCGATCACCATGCTGATGGATACCATGGTATTCAGGAACTCGCCGCTGGTACCAACTATACCCTTGCAGGACACAATAGTGCCACATTGACGTATTTCGCAACCGAGGCGTATGCGTATGATATTGCTGTTCCGGGTGAGGGATGTGCAGGCAAGGCTAGTGTTGAGGAGGAGGAGGATTCACATAGTGCTCCTACTGTGACTGTATCGGCTGTGCCGACTGTGAACCCGACGAGAGTTATTCCAGCTGAGAGTACTACCCCTGCAGCTTCCCCTGCAGCTAGTACTGCTGGAACGGAGTGCCATACACATGCTGATGGGACATTACACTGCGTTTAAATAATTCACTCTTATTAATTGGTCGTGGTGCCTGACAATTAGCTCCTCAAGTAAAGATTTTACAAATATATTAATTTTTCAATATGAGGACTTTCAAAAATCTAGAGACTATAAGTTTTATTAAAAATAAATAAATTAACCTTTATTATTTATTTCAATTTTATTTATTTCTTTTTTTAAAAAAAAAAAAGAATATTAAAAGAACATTAAAAGAACATTAAAAGAACATTAAGAGAACATTAAGAGAATATTCAGAGAACAAATTACTTACTTCTAAGCGAGAAAAACACAGCTTAATAAGAAATAATTTAGGCCAATTAGTTATACTAATATAACTAATACTGCCTAAGAACAATACCTTCTGAAATACACCCACTAGCCCGGTGATGATTTGCTTTGTAACATGTCGTTACTATCACAGTTCCTTGAACCGTAAACTGGTATACGGTATAATTGCCAGTAGAATAGATGAGCTAGCCTATAAATCTCCAATGTTATAAGGAAGTACTTTGCCTGCTCCCTTACCTTCTTTCTGATACAAAATTTCCTACAAGAAGTCTGAACAGTGAGTTAATCATTACTTACATTGGGACCTCAACTTACTACATCTCCTCTCTTCATAATAATCTCGAGTATTCTACCCTATTATAATAGAAGAATCTCTAGATCTATCAGGTCTTACTTTCTACGAACCTATCAGCAAGTAGAATCAGGAAGATATGTCTTCCCAACAACCCTTCAATATGGAATCTGATAATTCCTCTGTTCCACTCCAGAGCTCGCAGGCTGTTTGTCGAATCCCCACAGGCATATATTCCCTGCCCTTAGAGCTTGTGGGTTTGATTGCTGAGGAGGTTACGAAGAATGAAGGGATGAATACAAATACTCGCAGTAGAACATGTAGCATTCCAGCGTTCGTTAGAAGCTTAAAATGCGATGTTGGCCAACCGTGGCGTGGAGCGTATCTCTTTGCTCTTGATACTTGTAATAAAGACTTCGTTCATTCACTCCATTTTGCCAATGGTTGGAAATTCTTGATGGATGGCGAAGAGCGTCAACTCGTTCGAAATATTGTCGTCAAATACGTACCAGGGCAATCTGTCTCCTCGAAACAGGCTGCCCGGCTCGTGGCCAAGAAATCCGCGGGAAAATTGAGCAGTGCGGAAGCCAAACAATATTATTCCATGGTGCCATTGCCAGAGGACTTGAATAGGTCCTTGAACGATCTACCTAAACTTCGCACAGTTCAAATGGAATTCAAGACCTTCTTAGCAGCCTTCAAAACTACATATCTGGGCATGTTTAGAGTCTTAAAATCTTTCTTCGATGACCATGAAGGTTTCAAGTTGGAAGACGCCATGATTGAGCCCAGGAGCAATGCAAAATTTTCTCGGGTACCAAACAAACCTCGCTGGGAAATTGGGGTACAGGAAATCGAGCGAATTTTGATTACAGAAATTACAGAGATAGCAGGCCGCGATGTCTGTTTTCTTCTTGCCAATAACATCTGGAAATTGGAAGATGCCGATAGAAGAAAAATTGCTGCCGAAAACACTGCGGTTTTAAATCTTGAGAATATCTCAGATCTCGTCTTAGGCTTTCAAGTTGCCCGAGAATTGAGCCAATGTACATGGACTTTTATATTTGAAAGAGCAGTACGTCGATACTAGTTTATAATTAGAATGGAGAAAACAAGTCGAAACGTTGGCGAATCTCATCAGCGAATAATAACTCGATTCTTGTCACATTATTTCAGAAATACGGACTAACAATCGACGAGATTGAATAACTTCGGAGCGTAACTAATTTCTTGTTAGGTATTATCTCCAAATAAAAATTGATGAAATTGTATACTTCCTAAAGCCACAAGCTTATCATATGCGTGACAGTGACAATGTCTTATGAAAAGAAAGAGTGATTAATATTCATTCATTCCTGCAGATTAAAAGGTGATCTTAACATAATACGGCTTATGTTTCTTCGCATCGAACGCGGAATGAACAAGTGAGGTGATAAATGTGAACGGGTAGTATTTATGAGATGAATCATGAAGTGAAGTCAACTCCGTGCAGCTTCAAATACTAATATCACGTGGATTTCCCTCCCGCTTCCACCCTCCACAGCAAGATACTAATGAGAAATCTCAAGAATACTGATTAAATGTGATCTCTCGAGCTTAAATATCAAAGATCAAAACGTCGAGAATAGGCCGGATAGTGTATCTCATGAAAGACGACGCAGAATCGTACGACTATCTTATAGTTAAAGCAATAGTAACTGAGCAACAAAGTCAAGTATACAATCATTGATATCAATCACAGAGTCACCTTAATATGTGCGTGAAAACGCTTCATTATAAAGTCTCCAAAAATGATTTTCTACTCAACTCCCAAAATATCATAATCTACAAAAATTCCAATGCGAACTTTTGAGGGTATAGAGCATCATATTTATGATGTAGCCACGCTACTGGGTATCAATTGCAGTCCTTCCTAAATGTTTATTAACATATCCGTATCCTCCGTTTCTCCAAATAGAAACGCCAATGATGTACTCCAGTCTATGGGTATCATCTAAATGCAAAGTCTTTCGTAAAATCCAGTTTTCGTTGTGTAAGTTCGTATCCATCTAATCAAACGGGAAAATAAAGAAAAGTAAATTTTAAGCGTCGGAGTATCGACATGGATGTGTGGCCTCTATATCTAATGTGGTGAATAACCTGCACAGCTAAATGCAACCCTGTATGCAGCTGGAAGTAACAGGGTCTAAGGGATTCTTCGGGGAGAGGGCTCTGGATGTGCTGAGCCAGGTTATCCTAGGATCCGTACTGCCTTTTGTTCCTGGCCACCGATACAGCAGCTTGGGATGTGAAGGCTCCAGGAGCGTCTATGTCAGGGAGGTGTACAGCAATAATGTACTGGGAGACATTCTAATGGAGATCAGAAGCGGTTTATGCCATGTCGCATTTTCTGAACACAGTAATTGCCATTTCGCCATGGGTTGTGGTCATGTACATATCGTCGTAGCCCGTCATGCACCACATGTAAGAAATTTCTCTCCTGACCATCTTGGATATGCTATAAGCGCAGTTCCTGGCTACTAATTCACTTATCCATCATAAACTCGGCGTCTAACACGGGACCAGCTGCCTCGGCGTCCTCCGTCGTTGGCAATATTCTACCCTAGTATCCTCCTGGAAAATAGCCATGTATCAGCGCCTTGGATACCAGCCAGATCTTTCAGAGCTACGTAGCGTCGCATAGACATCATGGTGCGCAGTAGCTCCCGAGAGGTAAAGAGAAGGGCGTCTCCGTACATGTAGAACAGCACGTCAGTAAACTACAGTACAGAGTACAATCCAGCATCAATAACGCTGATACTGATGCTGATGCGGATACAATGAGACTCATGGACAATTTTATCTTGTCTGAGCTGATATGTAATGCTGTCTCATATAGGTGGTGATGCGCTGGAAAAGTTTCACGGCCAGCTCATATCGTTCTTCTACCCGGAATTGCGAAGGTGCATAGGCCGTGTATGGTTCAGTCTACTTCAGATGAGATTGTGATTACTGAAATAGGTCGTTCTAACCTCGGTATACGCTGCAGCTATGTGTTCGCTCGGAGCTTGCTCACATATTCTAATGCTGCGCTTCCTGCCTCGGCCGTGCAAGCCTTGTCACTGCCCCCATCAGTCGAGCATTCATCGGCGGCCATATGAAACTGGCCTGAGAATGTGCCCGTATCCATGTCCGAGATCTATTATAAGGGCATCGCAGCTGATTTCCTTTGCTTTTTCGTCCATAGGCCGTGGTGCATAAAGCACCTGCCTATATCGCTAGCTGACTCCACAAGGCAGTGCCAAAAGTCCTCAACTATGTACATGCCAAACTGGAGACAACCCGTCACTTCTTGAAGCTGTCGTATAGCCAGCTATCTATCGTGTTCAAACTGGATATCGCATCCATTAGTATGATGGATGCTTCGGCCCTGTGAATTCGTCATAGCAGTGCCACAAGGTTCTGTACCGTACAGGGAGGATGCTGGTAAAAGGAGCTGAAGTAAAGGCCGCGAAGTGGCAGTGGCGTTTGCAGAAGGCGGGGTAGCAGTTAAGCTGTCGATGGAAGGAAGTCTAAAGAGACAAAAAAAGCTTATCGAGAGGCAGTGTGAATTGTAGCTGGGCGATCTTTCACAGGAATCCTGCCTTCGCGCTACCTTCTTCGATGGTGTTTTATTTGATCCCCACTTCTGTCTCTGATTGCACGGACAGTTTAGACTTTGTCTCACTAAGCAGAAAAAGCGTTGGAAGAGCCACCGTGAAAGGGAGTGGCTGCAAGCTCCAGCAGCTTCTTTCGTTGCTACGACATCTTCTTTGCGAGTTTTCCATGGCGTCGCTTGACTCCTCGAGGTCTTCCTTCGCGGTCGCCGCCACTATCTCTTCTCCTTTTATTCCTTGAAGTGGCCGAAGAAGATGAACTACTATCGCTGACGCTGCGTTCGAATGAATCACCTCGAGGATTAATCTCAAGGGACTTAGCGGCGATAGCGACATCGACCTTTGCTTCCTCGCCGTAATTGATGGCCGGGAGCCCCGAAGATGATCCATTTACGTTGCGAACAGAAGACCAGTGCGAGCAGGGTTCGTCGAATGCAAGGTGCAAATGGCGCTTCGCGGACTTACCATCCTCCGCGGGTTGCGACGTTTTGTAGACATTGTGCCACACGGTGACATCTACCTTATAGGCCTTTGCAAAGGCAGCCAGCTCGACATGATCGCCCCACTCACACGGCCTCGACATCTTCTCCAACCGATTCTGGAAACACCGTTCCAGCTCTGCGTCCGCAGCCGCGTTGTTATCAATATGGCCAGCTGCCGCAACTCTTCTCCTCGGATTTTTCTTAATTGAACCCGCCGGAATGAACAGTTTGAAATCATCTGGATGAGCCCGCATATACCCAACCACATTTCTGCGAACTTCCAGATGTCGCTCAAAATCACCATACAACTGGTCCGATAGGGCACGGAAAAGGCAATTTCCATCACTTAGGGTCTTATGGATGACCAATCCATTTTTGATGAGGAGGGGAAATTTATCCGTGGGATCTCCTTCCGAACTTCTTAGAGCCATTGTCAATCCAGTGAAAGGCTCTTATTTATTATTTTAAATTGATAATCGCTTCGACCACGATAAGAACGGAAAGTAAGAAGGTAAAGCAGTAAGAGTGAGAGAGTGTGTAAAAGGAGATAAAAGGATGTCAGAATAAATGTCGTTTAATCAAGGAAGGATCAAAATGTAAGAGGGCCTTAATTATACCAAGTAATTGCTATCTGAAGGAGAGAAGATAAAATTCAAGGACGGAAAATTCGAACGAGATATACAGGAATGAGCATCTGGGAATTACCAAATGACCAGAGCCACCAAAAAAAAATAAAATAAAAAATGACACGCTTATTTTGAGATTAGAACTATCGTCGATCCGGCTTGGTCCCAGCACCGGTCTGATCTTAGACTGGACATCATCTTGAGCATTTTGCTTTAGTTTCAATAGAATGGTGCTCTACTTCGACCTTAGAGTGGAGGCCGAATGGTTAGTGTTTCTCTGGTAAGCCCCGAAACTTGACTCACTCATCAGGACAGCCCTCACATAATGAGACTTTGGATACCAGTAAGTGGAAAACGTTTTTGAGTTTTCAACTGACAGGCTGTTTGTGCTTTTAGGTCTAGCACTACTGACCTCCAAGGTTCTGGGCAAGTAAGTGAAATATTTCTGGTGGTGGACGGTGTGCTGTGAATTATTTGGCATCATTATCCGATCTTCCATTCTTCATAGATGTACCACCAAGTAGTCTGCGAGGGGTATGCCGATCTAAAAGTCTTCAGGGTTGTCCGCTATATTCTCCTACGAGGATAGATCAATTCAACAGGAAAAGAAAACCAGTATCTCACGACAGGCACGGTATCTCCATCAAGACTTTCATAGGGAATGTTATCAACCCAACGGGAAAGGAAAACCCAGTATTATGCAGGGGCAATGGCACCAGCATAAGAGTTCCTCTCACGGTCGTACAACTTGCACAATAAAGATAAAAGGACTTAAGTTTAGGCACACTTCATATACAATAGAGGAAGCGAGGCTGATAAATAGGAGAGGCCGTCGATTTCGGAGCCAGTCTGCGGTTCCAAAGAGTCTCAAGCTGGGCGCCTTGAAATGCGGGGTTCAAACCCCACCACGGCGGTAGGGTTGAGGCTTCAGTCAGTGTGAGATGCAAAAAGAGGCATGAAACACTTATCAAAATGTAGCCCCCAAATATATATACAGTATATTGTTTAGGCAGTTGTTATAAAAGAAGGAAGCCAAAATAAATATCATTCTATTCAAGAAACAGGATCACTGGAAAAAAGCTCGAGCTTCTCTATTTACAGATTTAAACTACGGATTATCTTCGGATTAACTTTTGTGTCACAGTCACAACACTCTCTGTATTTCCACAGTGTGATACCAAGTACTCTCTTGTTTTTACTTCCTCAACACTTGAAGTCCATTTGTCATAAATCAATCTCAGTCATACTCACCATGCCAGATATCGTAGTTGTGGGGTTTGTTCCTCGAGCCTTTTTCTCTATCTTCTCGAATTCCCAGACTGATATCTTTGTGTAGTGCGGGGGTGTCTGGCTTGACCACCGCTTTGCTCCTATCTCAAAATCCCTCCTTCAAGGTCACAATCATTGCGAAGCATATGCCAGGGGACTACGACATTGAGTATACGTCTCCATGGGCCGGTGCAAATTATCTTCCGTGAGTCAAGACTCACTGTGCCCAGCTTAGACATTGCTAGGTATGAGATGTTGTATTAATTATCAATTCGAAGGGTTTCAAATGCATCAGACTGTAGGTGGGAGAAGAGGACATGGTATGAACTTGCAAGGCTAGCGAAAGAGGTCCCAGAAGCCGGAATTCATTTCCAAAGTGAGTTTTTATGTTCCTCCCACTTTTTAAAGTGATTCCTTATTGACTCACATCAGATACTGTGATTCTGAACCGCGAAAAGGATGCTCAGGGAACTACTGGTCAATGGTTCAATGAGCTGCTTTCCACTGATCCTTGGTTCAAAGATGTCGTTCCTGATTTCCGTGTTCTACCACAAAATGAGATACCTTCTAGTGCGGATAGCGGAACAGCATTCACATCTGTTTGTATCAACACGCCCGCCTACCTATCCTATCTCGTTGGTCAATGTCTCAAGAACGGAGCTGTACTGGAACGAAGCATCATCAACCATATCTCCGAAGCCGCCGATTTACACCACTCCGGTACCAAGGCCGACGTAATTGTAAATTGCACTGGTCTCCTGGCCTCGAAACTGGGCGGTGTTATGGACAAAGATGTAATTCCTGTTCGAGGCCAAATCGTTCTCGTTCGTAATGATCCCGGTGTTATGTTGACGATCTCCGGTACCGACGATGGAGATGATGAGGTATGTTACATCATGCAACGTGCAGCGGGAGGCGGAACGATTTTAGGTGGTACATATCAAAAAGGAAATTCTGAATCCCAACCATGCCCCAACCAAGCTATACGAATCATGAAGCGAGCTGTGGAATTATGTCCAGCTTTGACGAATGGGAAAGGTATCGAGGCTTTGAGTGTTATTCGCCATGGAGTGGGATTACGCCCGTTGAGGTTGAGTGGAGTTCGAATCGAAAAGGAGAAAATTGACTCTACTTGGGTGGTGCATAATTACGGGCACGGGGGTTGGGGTTATCAGGGCTCATATGGATGTTCGGAGGGAACTGTGGAGCTTGTTGAGGAGGTTTTGAGAAATGAGTCGAAGATTTAAGGGCAATTATGAGAAATTTTCTCACAGTATGCGATGGAGAATAATGGAGGCCTATATCACCATGAACACTATCCCGCACCTAAGAATTTCCCATTTTCCGCCTGCCAGACATGCCATCATACGGTCACATCTCTACAGAGCGTCTTCGATTAAATAGCGAATTAAAACAATTCAATGCTCAAACTCAAGACTGGAGTGCCTGAATGTTTCAAGACGTAATCTCACGTATCGTAAACAATGGGATAGATAATGCCGTCAATAGTAATTTATTATCCCACATCTCGGAATGCACCACACGGAATGGAGTCTAGACTGGGCAAGCATTGGGTTGAATCACAGGGCACCAGCAATTTTATAGGCGTCCACAGGAAAATATAAAGTCTAGCTCTTTTTTGCTTGTTTCACAACAAGTTTATTTAAAAGCTTTGTTTTTTTTTTATTCCTGTCATATTGTTACGACATTTTAGTTGCGAGTGAACACGGAGTTTCTCAAACAAGCATCAGCGCACAAGCGACGATGACGAGCCAAAACGACTACGAGAGTTCCTGTATGTGGGAATCCTAGAAGGGAGAAAAATCCACTCGATAGTATGCAACTCGTTGTCTGTGAACTAATTGTCGCTTCTTGCTATTGATTCGAGGCCTTTGGAGTATTTAGTACCAAGTCCTGAGAACATGAACATAGAAAATCTTTGTCAAGCAGCTTCAGCCAGGCTACGCACTAAAATCACACAGAACTCTCGTCAAAGCTGCCAAATTAAGACCAGATCCCGCAATTGACGGTAGCCAAGATTTGAGACTAGTATTTCAAAATGAAATTGGACACCACGTTTGGAGCCGTGAACGCCTTCTGAACTCATCATGAAAATCGCTCGAGGTGGTTTGCTGGTAATAAACGTTGACCAGGATAGGAATTAAATACCAATCCCTTTCATTATGCTTTTGACATCACCATCGACAAAAGATAGCAAAACGAGCTCATCTGTCTGGCTGTCAACATGGGATGCATGGTCTCATCCGCCGGGCGGGTGAATGCTCTGATATTCCATACAGTTATTTCCCTTATCAAAGTACTGTCTGTATGCATCAAACGGGCGGCTGTAACTTTGAACACAGACTTGTATCTTCTCGGCTTCAAAAGACCTGTCTGAGCAGACAGAGAAAGTGATGTATAGAATAACAGCCGTTTTCTTAGACGGGGAATATCTAATCGCTAAAGAGCCATGTGCATTCCTTTCCAAGTCCAGATTTGATAGTCACACAGCAACATAAGTATTGATTGATTCATCTCATACCGAATTTCTGTTGGGGTATGGTTTTGGTGACAACTTTTTCTTTAATGGCAGAGGAGGTCAGTCGTGATATGACCAATATATCAATATTAGTAGTATTTGAGTAGAACAGCGAACTTCTAAGAGCGAACTTCTATATCGAGGGAATGATAAGAACTTCAATATACGCATCTTTAGGTAATTCTTCATAGCACCTAGGTACTCGTTCTTTCCTTTTTTTTCGGAGAGAACGATTATTTTTTTGGTAAACCATTGAGGTTAATTAAGGTTAACGTCTACGAGAACCCACAGACCTTATCCTTGGCAAAAACTTTGTGACACCTGAGGTGCGTGCGCGCGCAAGCTTCCAAGATCTTCTTCACCTGTTCCGTTCTATTCTGCTCTACTCAACACGGTAATTACAACCAACCACTACATCCGATCAGAAACCCCCTACGACAGCTTTAGGTCCATACGAACAAAAGATTTTTTACAAACACGACGATTTTATAGAATAGCAAGATGGATTTCTCTGATGCTTTGTGAGTGATCCCAGAGCTTGCTCCAGCCATGCTTGTTGCGCGGCTTTGAGCTTGGTGATTGAGATGCGGTTGGAAGGCTGGGCTCGTAGGCATGGTTGAGGGACGAGGACAAGAGGGCGGAAGCTGCAGCTGAACCTATACTATATATACCTAAGCGCACTTGATGGGTTTGGCAATAGCAGACGATACATAGCCAAAGTGATGAAAGTGGATCCAGTTTGAAGCTCCATCAAGCTTCCAGGCTTCATCCGGAGCTCTCTTAGCCTTCAACCGCATCATCCTCTCCTGCCAGCGTCCGCGATTGAATGCGCCAGCTCAAAACTCACAACTGAAGATGTGGCTAATGATAATTTCTTCTTAGTCGACTTGTCAATTTGGCGGTGGGAGTTTTCATGGTTCTTGGTGGAATTTCCCAATTCTTCCCACTAGGCTTGTAGGTACCAACATTTATGTGACGACAAGCCCCGGGAATTTTTCGCACTAATATCACTATAGTCAATCTATTATCATCGGATGTTATGTTATTATCTTCGGAATCTGTGAGTATCTTCATGTTTTATCAGTTATATCTCTCCTTCGTGGACTTTACTAACAGCTAACTTTCCAGGTACTGCTCTTCTCGGTTCGTCCCACCCAACTCTAACCTCCGAGTTTCACAAAGATTCATCTCCCAAACCTCAGTCGCGATTTCGAATGAGCCTGCGAAATTCCTGCGCAAAATACTAACACAAACTATAGAATTCCAAATCCCACCCCAAGTCGCCCGCTATGCGTCTTTCCTCTTTTCCTTCGTCGGTCGAGGAATCTGTACGTCTCCCGCCCCCCCATGCAACACACACCAGAAAACGGAGCAAAACTAACACCAAATAATAGTCTATGTATTCGTTGGGTCCATCCTCTTGCACGACCACGTCTTGCGCTTTATTGCTGGTTCCTTGATCGGCATAATCGGTCTCGTTTATATTGCCCTTGAATTTGTTCCATCTATCGAACCACCTGCAAACATGAGGTAAATGGCTGTTCTCCTACCAGACCCTGCCGCTTTATCTATTCACAAATACCACCTAAACCCTTTTTCTAACAATTGTCACCGCATACAGAGAAGCAGATGGAGGATGGGGCGCCGAACAAGTTTAATCCCATCGCATACCTCAATTACGAGTCCCGAGTTCCAAATCTCCTCGCGTGCGATCCCGCGGCTCGAACAAAATCTTATTATTCATACCTGCCTTTGTGCCTTGATACCGCATCGACTTTCCCGTCGCAAATTCTACCTCAACCACCATCCATTTATTGGTACGAGGCTTGTACTACTACTTATCATGTTATCTCTCCCCATCCGACTCAATGATTCGGATTAGCTATAGAAAACATCGCGATTCATTTATGCATTTCCTTACCTTTCATTGTGTGTGTGTGTTTTGTATGTACCTTAGGAATTCTACAATAAAAGCAAGAAACAAGCACAGAGGGCGGAAAATTCCAAAATTCACATGGTGGCACTTCCAGCTGGGAACATGATATTGATATAATGTTTCAATTCTCCTGGACTCACTAAACTACATTTATTGCGGTTCTGTTGCATTTCCTTCTGTCCGGCCTGGTCTTCCTTGATGCATCTTATATGTCTGATTATTGTGTCCCCGTATTTGTTTCCATAGATACATGGGGGCCGCAAATTTGTGCATCCCGCACTCCCACCCCCAAAAATCGATCCCGTGCTGTGGATATACCCAAGAGAAAGCCGGCGCCTCTTGCCATCCCAATGTTACAATAATATGAGGAAATCCCCCTTCATTAGATGGCATATGGGTATCTGTATCCCATTCCTTTCCGATTATGTGTTACACCTGAAAAAACAAGCCCTTGTAAACCCCCATTATAATATGCTGGTGTGCCCTGGTCTCCAAAGACGAACCCGCTCACTAACGTACTCCTATTGTTTACTTTCTTTCCCAGTTTTCATGATTAGTATTATTCCCTTCTTTGCAATGAAAGTAAATGCACATTCGTAAATTCGTAGGCTTTTTATCTCCGATGCTTGATCCGGGAAATCTGTGGTTGGCGGATAAATATTAATCCAACCCCGTCCCTAATTCAGCCAATTCTCTTTCCTTTGCCTTCAAAGCCTCTCTCATCTTTTCCGCTTCCCTTTGGAGAAGTTCCCTTCTCTCCGCTTTGGCACGATCACTTTCGCTCGCTGGGTCCTTCGCACTATTTAATGCGCTTCCAGCTCCGCTGCCCGAGGGACTGGTTGAATGAGTAGCCGGGCCGACTGTGCTAAGATTTGGGCTTGCAGCGGCAGAATATCGGCTTGGGCTCAACCTTAAACTGTCGGTTCCACGGCGGAAACTAAGTTCACTTTCTGGGTTGATTTCGGGGTCAGAATTTGAGAAGCCATGGTTCAGTATTGACTTTATGGATGAAAGACGTTTAGGTACAGTTGCTGCGTATGTGGATTCTGAGGTGGGGGCATTGCTTGGATCCATCTCAGTAGCGGAGAAAGAGCGTTTTCGAGAAGGGGAGAGGTAATTGTTGGGTGATACGGAAAGCCGGTGTTGGCCTGGCGAAGGATACGATGCCATCGGTGGCAGCCGGTTGTCGTCAGTCAAGGAGTCCAGATTTTGTTGATAATTAGGATTAGATGTGTAGGCGCCGAGATCGGATGGTGGATGTTGTTGTTGATGCTGTCCATTTTGAGTCCGAATTGGTTCAGGTAGAGCTCTTCCTGGATCATTGCGTAAACGAAGACCCAAGTTCACCGATCCGTCAGGATTCATTGTGCCTCGCTCAACTGCCTCTTCGGGTGAAGCACGATCGGATTCTGGTGAATCGATTGCGCTGCTAGTTTCGTAGCTGGAAGCTTGAGAACCTTGAACCGCTGGGACTACCCTTTTACGACGTTTGATGATTGATTTCTTCATAGTTACTGGCCGATGCACACCATGGAGTTTATAATATAAACCTATTAAATGTTAGTCGGGATGCGTCCGCACTTCATGACTAACCTTACCACAGGCATTACAAATCGTATGACCACTTTCATCTCTACGCCAAAGCGGCGTAATGGTGGTTCCACAGTTTTGACAAGCTACAACGACCGTAGTGTTTTGCGTTTGCAACGGGAGGGATGCAACATCGATAGGGGACGGCGCATCTGTCGGTTGGTCATTTTGTGGCTGTGGTGTTTGCGTTGGTTGTCTGTCTTGACAAGAAGTAAAATGCGCTGTCTTTGAAACTCGATTATTGAAAGCTGGGCATCCACCACAACCTTCAGCACCTCCAGTACCATTGCAACGTCCGCCGCCAGGGCATGTTCCCGTGGACGTTTGATCCGCAGAAACATAGGTTGCGCCGGCTGTAGGAAGTGACATTGACCCGCCGGCAGAAGGAGATGCGCTCGAATCTCCTGGGTGCCCGATAGGAGCAGTGGTCGGGGGACGTTTTAAATTCGTAGGTCGAGAAGCATTACGAGCTTTTTGATATAAGCCACAGGCATTGCATATAGTTGCACCTTGCGGCGACCTCCGCCAGAGTGGTGTCCTGGTTGTACCGCAATTGCTAGAAAATGTCAGTTCAATTTTATACCAAGCAATAGATTTCCCATACCTGCATATTTGGCCAGTTTGAATCTGTTCTATGCTTGGAGATGATGCAGGGGCGCTAGCCTGAGAACTTTCTCTTTGACTACGCTCCAACGAGTTATTATATTCAGCATCGGATGAATTGCTGTAGGTATAATCTCTTTCCTGTTGGCGTTGGTTGTTGTATACTGTAGAGTTTGTGGCATTTTCAAACTCTTCTTTGGATTTTAGTCCCCTCGAGGCAACTCCCGGGCGAACAGGGATCACCTCTTGTCTCCGTTGCTGAGGAGATGATGAACTGTTACTCATGTCGTTGAAAGGATGATCCGACTTAAAGCCAGTCAAAGGAGTCGTTTGAAGTGCGCAGCACATTAAGGGTTTCTGGAAAAGGTGTGGGATTGTCGGAAACAAAGATCTCTGACGTAATTGAAGGCAAGGCAGTGGATAATGGCAATGGATTTGAGAAGGAACCCCTCAAAGTTAAGAACCGAGTTCGCAGTGTCCTTTTAAGGAGAGATGGCGCAATCACAGCTCTCAACAAGAAGAGATTTTTGATACTGACTTATCGTGAAGAGGATGCTGATGACTATCCAGAATCTTCGTACGATTCTAGGTGCGTGGTGTGGTCGCCGATGAGGTTAACCTACTTGGCCGACGTTCATATGCGTATGGAGAGGCAAGGTTAGATTACGTTTCAATCTTAGATTGGGCTCTTGCAATTGAACTCTACGTACTTGCACCAAATCTACGAGCTGCTAGGGTATGATGCAGTAAAAGATTGGTGCTTATAATCGGTAATGCGGTGAAAATCCTGAAAATTGCTCCTACAATGGATATGAAACCCAATCAATGATTAGGAATGATTCCAAGTGATCAAGAAGCCATAAAGTGGTTTCGAGGAGTTCGTCTTGAAATTGCGGGTCCGGACTTCTGATGAGGAGTCAAATCCTGTTATCCGGCAGTTGGCCTGGTTGAGGGGAAAGTCAGCTCGACATCATGGTAAGGGTCGTTCAAAATAGACTTGACAGAAAACCAGTATGCTATGGAAGTTCCATGTACTAACAATAATGCAATTCTCTATGTTGTGGTTGCGATTGCGGTTGCTGTTGCACAGACCAAGTTTATATTGGAGCGGGAAGCAGGGCCTACGATGCACCACGCAAACTTGAACTTCGCCGTTGATGAAATGGGGGCAATAGCAATGCGATCGACCTCTTTCGCTCTAGTGACGGCTCCCAAACAAATAGAAAAGGGCCAAAGAACGGAAAATAAATATTGGAATATCGTGCTGTATTACTAACCTAAATTCGCTTGGACTTGATGGTTTGTGGTTAAAATGATCGCCGTGATTTTTCGGAGTTCCAGCACGGGAGAGCGAGTTATTGAGGTGGATTGAGCGATTGCGATTGATTTTTAGCACCTTGTTTCACAAGGGTTGTTTGCTTGCTTCAATGAATATCGTAACTGAAGATTGATTCGACAAGTAGAAGTCTAGTGATCCAGCGCAGCCTTCCTTCCTTCCCCCTTCCACACAAGTTTCGAAAGACTCTTTCTTCAATCCTCGAATTTGGTCGTCTGGCACTTTTCCTTATTCGAATGTGTGGCTTTTGTGATCCATAACCATAAAGCCGTAAATCGCAATTCGTAATTCGTATATCCTTAGAACTAACGTCTCGGTGAGATTGAAGTGAAGTCAGGTGCCTGCTTAGTGCTGTGAAATGGGGAATATAAGATCTTCTCCTTCCTCACAATGGCTGCAGTAAATGAATGATACTGTGTGAGTAGTAAAGAGAATGGTGCGAAGTATGTGAGGCGCTTTACAAGGATAAAAGATGTTTTGATCTCCTCCCTCTCTCTAATATTTTTTATCCTTTTCGAGTCGGTGTGGCCGATGTGAAGGGTTGTATTGTGTTTGTGTTGCACCTGAAATCGTGAGAAATCAAAGGCAAAGGTTTAGGTAAGGTTTGAATTGATCGCCAATTCAGTCAAGAGCATCAACAAGCGTCACTTACGCATAAAGAGTGGTCCCGGTCTCATTAGGGTGAACTAGTTTGCGTTAGTTGGGTCATTCACATTATACTATTTTTCATTGGCTCGTTTATCATTTTCAAGACAAAGATTTAATGCAGGGTCGAAAAAGACAAGGTCAAACGGCCAACGGTAGAAGTTCAGTGACCTTCCGAGTAACTAAAGTCAGAAATACGGAGGAGCAACACATGAGATAACGATCACGACACTCCAAGATCCAAGAGAGAGCGGCGACGAGAGCATTATATTGTATGATATTGTCATTTGATTATATAATTCTTTCATCTCCATCTCCGTCAAGAGGGAGAACCTTTACATAAGATAATATACTAATCACAATATACAAGTACTTGAGGTCAGATTCGAGAGGAGGAGCAGGGAATAGCGATAAGAGCGTGATAGTATGTACGGAGTAGATATATATGTATTGGAATTCAAAGTACCTAGGTATTGTTATATTATTATTTATCTAATCCCATTTCCATTCACACGTTTCGTTACTATCTTGAAAAGGATCCTCATATAGTTTAGATGAAGTGATGGTTACCAGATGAGGACTCCGGGTCAAGGAATGTTTCTGTGCACTTGTCGACTATACTATAATCCTTCATCCGAGTCATCTGATCTTATATACCGGTATATTCATTCTTCTAACCGCAGACTTCTTTCTATACTTGGCAACCATCGAAGCATTATCTTATCGAACGGGACATGACACTCACATCCCAATTCCTCAACGAAGGATCTTTCATGGACTGCAAATATTGTTCTAGACCATAGAGACCACCACATAGACTTGAAGACTCGTCATATTTTTACCTGCAAAATCATAACCTTTGTACATACCTACCTAGGTCATCTGCTGGCAGATCTGGGTAAATGGTTACATGAAATCATACTTGACCCAATGAGCTTGAATATAAATGATATTATTATCCAGCTTTCCTTTCTTTGGCTGCGCATTATAGGTTCCAGGATGCAGGCGAAAGAGCAAGCCAAGCCGCATAAATACTGTCAACCGATTCGTGGAACACCTTCAATACTCTCGGACCATGTTACCTTATGAGAACACAACTCCGATACTCCAAAATTCAAAATGCAGCATCGTCAAAGTACCTACCTATGTGGTACAGTCAACCAATGAGAATATCATACCCGGAGTCTTCTACGTTGAAATAATTGCAGCCTCGAGATTCCCTTCCAACGTATTTTTGTTTCGAGCTGACATTCTGGTGTTTCGTGAGATCCGCACAACCCGCACGCACCTCGTTTACACTCCTTTCGTACCTCCAAGCGACCATCCATCCTTTATCTTAAGCCCCTGTTAAGATCCTCAGCCTTACCCTTATCCATGAGTTCATCTCGTGTTTATATTTAACTCGAAGGGGTCGACTACTTTCTGTACCATGGAAGTACAGTCCACCCTTCTTAAAATCTGAATGTCTTACAACTACCTACGCAGTGTGAACCAATTATCCGATTCTCTAGTCTCAAAGGAGTCCATTGTCAAGTTGGCCTCCGCAGCCATAACTCATCAGCACTCCTTCCAAATAGTATAAGTCTACTCCGATGTCATGGAACATCAAATGCTACGCTGGTCTTTACCCAGTCATAGCCCTGTATCAACAAAATTTGAACTCCTCCGATTAATGGCAAGGAACGCCCGCGTTACCGTCACTACTACACCCTGTCAATTGCTATATCAAGGTTTACTTTATCGTCTCTAGCTTAACAGCCGTGATAATGTGACTGTCAAGTCTTCCACGGGTACCAATTCCCGTTCTACAACAGCGGTATGGAATCTATTTTCCTTTGCCGAATTTGAACCTACTCCGCCAGCGCAAAGACCCGAATCATACAACATGAAAGGAGGAACTGCATTATACAAACAAACTCGGCCCATGCAAAGGCACGACATGATTATTGGCCAAGGAAAGAGGAATCAAGATTACGGATTCGTGGCTTCGAGTTCCCCTCTTCACACGCATCTCAATCATCAAAGTTTCACAACGTTGATAATCAAGGACCTTACCTATCATCGAGATCCACGAATGTATATCGAGAGATTTATCCTCATCCTTGAGGTTGATCCTTGAGGTTGACACCATGTCGCACCATATGCTACAGTGTACGACCATACAACGCATGGAGCCGCCGGTCTACATATACGGTACGATTCTATCCATTTACCTGGCGGGACTCAAATCCTCGAGATTCCAACCATGCAACCACCCGATTGCAAGGTATAAGTATAGGGATAATGTTGGTCGCCGAGTGGCAGTAAACGGTACGGCAGCACGTAGGGTTTAGAAAACGAATCAAAATCCCATCAAAAATGTATTATTTCCATCTGATAGCAAGCATTCTTATGAGTAAGTGAAACCAAGTTTTCTTCTAGCTGAGGATCGTCCAAATTCGACGGAATCTCCTTCAAGCTACACCCCTTAGGCGCATCGGACGTAACACCAATTTCTCGGCGAGTTTTTTTGTCAAGTGCCGTACGGAGGTATACTGAACGGAACGAAACAAACTTCCCGAGTTACAAGTGCGTTCCTACACATATATCATGAGCCAAGGTGGTACGCGAGTATGCTGAGCAATTAGGTATATCCATGCATGCATGAATGTAAAGATATCAATATCAGATCCGGACCGAGACTTTCCTTTGATACCCTATAAGGCGACACTAGAATGTCAAAGCTACTTTAGAATGAATGTAGGTATGTCACTTGTAGGTATTTGGTACACCGCCAATTCATGAGCATGAATTTGAATATTCTCTTTGCATGTTAGTAGCAATGCAAATATTATCATCGGATCGGGTTTTAGAGCTCTCAAGAAAATAGCAGGTTAAGCATCTCCTTTTTTCCTTTTTCCCCTTTCCTCTTCTCGTCCTCTTATGAAATCTCATATCAAAACAGATACAAGTACAAGTAAAAGCAAACGTAGAAGTACATACACATTGAACTCTCACATCATCAGCCAAAGATCCGTAAGTCTATAGTACATTATACCCCGCCATGGCAACCTCACACAACATTCTTGAATGTAATATCAGCATACTGTACTTACAATCTATTCCATTCTCATAGATTCTTATACTATAGTAATCTTGCCTATAGTACCTATTGTAACGTACACCATAAATTCTATAGCTCTTAAACAGCCCAAACCATCCAAGCAGTCCGACCAGTCTCATAGGTTATCACGTATACCCCAATTCACCCTCAACATCCAATATCCAACATTCAACGTTCGACAATGCAGATTATTAACCCTATTCCTATCCCTTTCTTTAACTTCTTTCTTTTTATATATATTGTTTTTTAAATGTTTAATTTTGGCTATGGTTCACTTATAGTTTATAATGTATAGTGTTACCTTGTACATTATTATTATTTTGTTTTATCCCATCACTCATTTCATACACTATCCATCCATCTGTTCATCCACCTACACTTACCAATCCATCCATCCACCCATTCATCCATTCATCCATTCATCCACCCACCTACACAAAATTCCTTGCTGCCCCATCCCGGCCCCCCAAGATTAAAACCTCTCATTTCCTGATCTCCTATTGTGAGAAAGTTGGAATTATAGGCCAGATACATAGAGGTTTTTAACCAGTCAATCACATGACCTCCTATAATTGGATATAAAAGAAAAGCTTTTGCCTCTTCTTTCCACAATAATTAACCTTTTACATATATGCATTTGAACCTATATAATATCAACCCCAAACCCATTGTAAACCCTGTTTTCTTTATAAGTGACGTATTACGATGTAATCTAATTCAGCTTTCTCTTCCAATTCTCCCTCACAACGTGCTATCGGGATGCACGTATCTCCACCTACCACTTACACTATCTCCCTCTTATCTTTCTTGTATCTCTTCCATGTATATCTCCCCTCTATCTCTCCTCTATCTCCTTTCCTCCTATCCCCCCTCCCCAATCTTCCCCCTTTAATACCTTTATTTAATATATATAAATACATACTCCATTCTCCATCTCCATCTCCATCTCCATCTCCATCTCCATCATCTCCATCTCCATCTCCATCTCCATCTCCATCTCCATCTCCATCTCCATCTCCATCCTATTCCATCCATCCATCCATCCATCCATCCATCCATTTATATTCCAAATATAAAAACATATACATACACATTTCCCCCATAATAACCAATACACCCTCAAACTAACAAATAAATAATTACCTAGCTAAACAATTTCAAAGATTTTTAAACCTCTACTCCTCTACTCCCCCCTCCCTCCTATCTCTATTCAAACTAATCCATCTACATACATACCGACTATATATTTCCCCACAACTAATTCTAATTATAATTCCAATTCCAATTCCAATTCCAACCCCAATCTCAACTCTCTTTCTCTCTCTCTGTTACATCTCTCCAACTATTCATCCCCTTTTAACCTCGAATCCTTCAAATGCCGCCCACCCCAGCTTCCCGCTCCCCTCTCTCTCATAAAAAGAAGACTCAACAATCAAAACGAAAACCAAAAAGAAAGAGCCAACCCATCCATACAAACTCATAACTACAATATAAGAAATAAATAAGTATATAAATAAATTTACCTACCACGATAAGTGTATACCTTTCCTCAAAAAGTTAATTCCGAATAGAATCTATGTCCTGTCGATATACTTCTTCTTTCTACAAACACACCAAAATTTCACTCAAGGGGCATACTTTCTCATTTTGCCCAGTTTAATTTCACTCTATTCCACGTCTCTCTTGCCGCTTAGTATAATATCTCATTTCTATGCTACATACTTGATGTAATAAAATGACCTGAAATGACCAAAGAGATTCGTAAATGTTTGATCGTAAGCCCGGAAGTTCATATGCTCCTTCCTTGAGTCCACATCTTTTCGCTCAGTTCTTAGAAAGTAGCAATGTATGGAAGTAACAAAAAACAATATAAAAAGCAAGAAGCAAATTTTGCAAAGTAAAGTGAAGTCATATAGAAAATGTACACCAACAAAATAACACCAGTTTCAACAAATCGTCTATCATAGATAGATCCCTCCAAGTTGCATAACATCCATGCATACATCAATTCTTCTTCCCCTTCTTAGTAACCGTTGTCCACTCCTCATCTTCGATGGTAGTTATAACTTTCCTATTCGCAGTAGCTTTCTTAGCTCTATTAGCCGTAATTGTGTTGCCGTTTGAGCTATAACCAACTACAGCCGCCCATGTAGAAGACACTGGAGTGTTAATACCAGAGTTCTTAAAGCGAATAAGATCATCAAGACCGTCTTGAGCCATTTCATCGTCTTCCTCAAGGGAATTATCAACGAACCCCTGAGCTTCGAAGCACTTCCAAACCTGTTTCTTTTTACCAAAAGATATCTTTGAAATACTCTTGGTTAGTCTCGGCTTCTGCTTGAGATGTGACTCGTATGCCGTGGTGATTTTCAAGACTCGGATCTCTTTCTTGACTCTTGGACACTTCTTATCGATAACTTCGAGTTCGGATTCTTCTACAGCTCCCTGTAAAATCTCCATGTCGACCATCGAATCTACAGGTATGATCTCGTCCATAATATCCTCGCCTTTACCATCTATAGTACCGTAGCTCCCATGTGTCTCTCCATCTCCACCAACCTGACCATCAACCGACCCATCACCAAAAATCTCTGCTTCGGTTTTCATCGCACTTATCTTCTGACCGGTGGCCCAATCAAATGTTTTTCGGTATTCGAGGATGTTTCGAAAGGCATTTCTTCCAGCCCATCTCCAGAAACCTTCCTCTCTGATCACAGCCTCCTCTTCTTCCCGTCTGATAACCTGTAGATCGTTCTTGACCGCAATGATGAGCTTCTCTATCAATTCTTTCCTGGTTTTTGGACTAGAAAGTGGATTGACATCAATGCCAAGACGGTACATTATGGCCGGATCAATGCCACCGTATGGGTCGTTCTTGTGAGCCATTTCTGGCGTGAACTTTTGCTGGTGACCACGAAGCTTGGATTGCCTCAAATTAGTTGTTGTTGTAAGCTTTTTAGCCGCTCTTTGTTGCTTTGGAGTCGGGTAATTGGGGACCTTGTATTCTTTGTTGGAGGCTGGATGAGGGGACTGAACCGCATACACATCATACTCCTCATCTTCCTCTTGAACCACATCATTGTTTGTAAGCGAGGCATCGGCACGTCGGTTATCATAAGCATAGGTCCCCTCCCAAGCACCTTTGCTTTCATGTATTTGTCCGTGCAGTGCCTCGCTGATGCTGTTGATCTCATCTTGACTATAAACATCAACATTCCTTCTAGTTCTTGCACCCAACTTCTTTGCCTTTTTCCGTTCTCTCCTTGTCAAACTCTCTTCCTCGAAACTCATCTCAGAGATGGCATCGGTTGCCTCGGAAGTGGTCTCGGAGTCTGTCCGTTTCTTCTCTGGTCCATCTTTTCTTTTCATCGTTTGAGAATCAAGAGATTGATTCTCTTGGTCAAACATTTTGATCTCCCGAATAATGTTCAGGATCTCCTTGTGCCGAGTATGGTGCATCTCATCAGAGGTATTGCATCTATTGTAGTCAGCAAGCGAGCTTGAACAGTGTCATGAATCTTTGTAGTTACCCCAGACACTCGTGCGATTTTCCTGTATAGTGTATTTAAATTAGTATTGTAATTATAGATAATAATGGGACCGCAAACTTGCAAAGAATTGGCAGAGTCGTTATAATAGGGTGCTTTCGACTTACCGAGAAAGTGCAGCTGCTGGTGAAATCGGAAACAAGGTTCAACGTGTTTACCTAGACAAGAAGATTTTGAACGAGCGTCTATAGGAGGAGGAGAGTTAGCAGGATCTTTAGAGCCCCATATAGTTTTGAGAATTTGACTTACTATGAAGTGGCATTGCACATGTTCCGCAATGATGCTCTTATAACCATTATTATACTCTCAAATGAACATAGATCATGGAATTTCGTACCTAAGCCAGGCGAGACATCCCATCTATACAAGGTCTTGCCCTTGTAGAGACGATCCTCCCTAGCAATAATTGCCCAATTCATCATTGCAAATATGTACAGAGTAGGTGAACCGGGATACTCGAGCTTTGATGGCGACGGCGTTGTCAACCTGAGAATTGTAAGTAACTGAAGCATGAAACTTTAACTTGACTTGAAAATAATGAGTCCTAACTGAATTGGTCTGACTTTCTGTAAGGGAATATATAAATTAGAGCACCAACAAATCAGAATATATTTCTCAAGAGTGGACAAAAGCCATCTCACAAGGCAAAGATGATAACTGAAGTACTGTCTTTGCTTTGGAAAATAAGATCGAGAAAATCTTTCCTTTACATGGTCCGAAGGAAGTAGGAAGCCTTTGGTGTTGGCTAGGCGAAGGCATAAATGTTCAAGGACGAGGAAGAGAACAATACAACTTACCTGAATACCAGCTTGTGAATAACGTGGTAGAGATATAAAGAGATAGCGAGAATGTTAGAAGTTGTGAAATTGTATTTTTTACAATATTGATGCAAATTTGGATCCCAATAAATGAACGATTTGAAATTGGTTGTAGAAGAGACCGAATTTTTAAATGGAAAGACTCGTGAAAGGTGAGAATGAAGGTGATAAAGACAAACGAGTGTAATCTCGTGTTGTGGTGGTGTTGTGAGTTATGCGGTCCAACACTACCGTAGCGGGTATGAATTGAATTTCGCCGGGTCTTGGAGTCAATAAGGCTTGTGTAATGTAATCAACTATCTGGTAACTTATTAGACGCGATAAAAGGATGAGATGTGTCGTTGAGTGAATGTCGTTTGATTGAATCCAGAACGTTGAAATGTGTCGTTTTATCTCTTTTCGATCTAGATTGATCCGTCCGTCATGCAACACTGCTCTCCGCTCGATGTCTTGAGGCAAGGCGATGAATGTATTTCAGGATTTCAAAGTAATCTTATATCGTTTGTGAAAGTTGATGGCCGGGCAAATGTCGAGTGCTGTGGTTGATAGTTTCCTTTCGCTTTCCCTTTCGCTTTCCCTTTCTCTTTCCCTGTTTCTCACCTTGGTCGTTGGTGAGAGTGATATTGAATGAATGCCTTTTCGTCCTCTCGCTTCTTTGTGAACTGATGGATGAATACTTTTGATGCCGACTGAGGTTTCCAAGTTTTCAAGTGAATGTCACTCTCTAAAGAGGTATTGTATAGATTGATTTGAATGAATGGATGGATGGATGAATGAATGAGTGAATAAGTGAATCAATTAATGAATGTATTCCCCTTCAATATATATCTATCCGAAACTTGTTTCGGGAAAAAAAGAAAAGTGTTAATGATATCCATAGAGCAAAGTGTGGAAGTGGGGAACATCATGTTGTCACGTTCGATTGGAAGTTTGTTTGCTGGAAAAGGAAGGCACATCTTGACTGTTTGGAAACTCGGATATGTGCACCTCACTCATCTGCTAACCTGGAAGTACATGCTTTAGAATTCAATACAAACAACATGGAGTGAATGTGTTTTTGAAATAATTTTAGAAAATTCATCTTAACTTATCATTACTCACAGAATAATCCAATAACGAACTGCTAGTCGCATTAAAAACTGACCATAAAGCCCTTTCCAATTTGATATCCTTCGCATCACATATCCAGGTCCAGTTCCCATACCCATACCCAGATTCATATCCTTATTCAAACTCATATCCAAATCCTCCCTTTTAACCCCCTTCACCTGAGTAATCCCAGAAAACGAACCCTTCGGGGGAAAAAAAGAAAACGAAGCAAAGCGAAAATTCAATTGCACATTTATCCAACCAATATCGCCCTTCACCCTACTACGTTGTGGTCTCACCAAGACGAAGTTGATTCGCTCGAGTGATAGTGGCGTGCTTCCTCCCCTGTTGAATGATGAGGGAAGCTTTACCGCCATATTCAAAGTATGCAGCCAGCCTACAGATCACGAACTAGGCGTGCACCTGCCCATGTGTATGGATAATTACGCTGGTACCAATTGACGCTAGATGAATCAATTAGTATTAAAGACGAAGGACGAGTTAATCTGACTTTGCTCACAATGTCTTCCTTCCAGCAATACGAGGATGAGTTGCCCAAGATCCTCCGAGTACAACGTTGTGTTTTCCATCAAAGAAATCAGCTAGTAATGTTAGATTCCTGACAAATTTCATCTCTATTGTATTGAGTGAGAGACGTACCAGTATAGCCAGGATATAAAGGCATTGGCTCAAAACCTTCATGTTTGCTGAGAATAGAGCTAGTCCATTCCCAAACTCCACCCATCTCAGCACGCCCTGCAAGTTTATTACCTCCAGCAGTAACGGAGATTGGATGCCAATTCTTGAATCCCACATTGGCACCCTCAAGTTCGGTGAAAAGCTCTTGAGAGCTTCCACCAACCCGAGAAGTCCGCGATGGCGGTGTCTCTTCCACGCCCTCATTAATAAGATGCCTGTTTTAACAATTAGTATTTGTTTCAGGGTCACGGCATTATCACCGCAAAACATACCCATTGACAGCTGGGACTGTCTTGCCCAAATGTCTCTCTGCTTTCTTGACATTCAAGCCGTCGACGTGACTGTAAATGCTCCGAACCTCGTCAACAGTGGGGATTCGTCCACCCAGCCAGCTTGCACATCCATAAAGCTCATCATATGAAGCAAAGACTGGCCAATTTAAGGCATACTCAAGCGGTACTAGACCATAGACCGTTCGAACAGCTTTACCTGCTAGATATGCCTTGGTTAGCGGAGGCGGGTTTGGCCCGCCAATACTTCCATTACTACACCCATTTGAATTTCCATTACTGTAGCCATTGGAATTTTGGAGTTGGGCCCATGAAGCTGGAATCTTGGTCCCATGTGTTTGTTCTAGATAGCGAGCGTACTACTGCTCTTTAGCCGAAAGTCTCATGAAGTCTCATATGCTTCTCACCTCTTCATTAGTAATTGGTCGTCCTTTGGCTTCAAATGATTGAACCACGACTTTTCGCGAAGGCTTTTCGTTATCCCTGAGTAGCGTTAAATTTACTCTGTTGTTGAATGAGTGTCTAACATACCACCCGAAATGATTGTCTGGTCCAGAATTATCCTCTGGATCGTCTAATCCGATGACAATTTCCTGCTCTGGAAGTTTAAACCACTCATTTGGCACTTGAGATGCCTCGGCTCGCTCCGCTTCTCCTTTGAAGTCTGGCATAGCACCAGTAGGCGGAATAGTCTTGTCACTTTGTAGTAACATGTACAAGAGGGTCTCCAAATGCATAGCTTCATGCTCAAACCCCAACCAGAGTGCACGGCCGACATTTCTGGGAATCTCTTGGCTTGCATAATACTTTGCAACCTTTTCTCTCACCTTCTTCTGATACGATAAAATCTCTTCAAGTGGTGGCCACTCATCCGGAATTTCGGAATGGGCATGGCATTGCTCAGGATTATCGACATCCGGATCTATTCCTCTTTCAAATATCTTCGGGTAAGAAGAAGGCTCGCAAAGCGGCTCGTTGGTGACCTTATTTAGTTGGATGTCAAGGAATGTCGGGACATGACCCAAGTAAAATATGCAAGCATTTCTAAGTTTGATTGGCTGCTCAACCAATTCTTCGTTTGGTATCATTTTCCTGGTGACAGTATCCCATACTGACCACAACCCTTTCCAGTCCTCAAGAGTCGGGGATGTAGATGAGGCATAGACTCTTGGATTCGGATCGAATGCCATTGTCTCTTTCTTTAGAAGGTGAATATCTCGAAAGAAGTCAGTAAAGCGCCCAATGGAATGTGAGCAAGGTTTTCCAATGACAGAAGCAGGTTTGAAAAATGACATGGCATGTTAATGTCAGTTCCAAAATAGCAAGTCAATAAGCATGCGCCACAAAACCACGATTGGCAGTTGACCCCCACGCCAATGGTTTATGTGATCATAAGACCATATACACCGACCACTGAAGCTGAATACTCACATGTGCAATTGCCGATTCAAACCGAAACCGAGAAAAAATAAATCACTGCAATACTTACTGTAATCATCGGTAGAGGCTGACCACTTTTGGGCCTCTCTCATTCCGGCGTTCTTCAATAGTTTGGCTGTTTCCTCCGATGAATATTTCAAACTGACTTCTATCTTCACACGCTCCCCAGCTTTTACAAGAACATCCCTAATGGTGATATCGCGGGATGGAGAATAGAACGCTTGGTGACGGCCTCCTTGAGTGTCATACACATACTCTCCAATTACCGTCCAATCTGCAATATCAAATACATTCTCTCCAAGGATTTCATTCGCCTGGACTAGACCGTTCAGGATGAATCTTCGTTGAGAATCAGTAAGTGCCCTGCAGTCGGTTATTAATGTTTGTGAGTAAATACCTGTGGGTAACTCCTTTCTCATCTTGTTGTCAAGGTTAGCGTCAGGAAATGAGATTTGAGATTGAATCGACAAACCATTGTAAGCATGGCTACAGCATAATTAGTCAGAAGCAGTCCAAACAATATTGTATTAGTACTTACTAGATTTTTTCCGGGTTACTTGTCGCATCGATGGCAATGAGAAACATGTCCGAGGGGCTCAAAACTTCCGCAAAACTCTTCAAAAATGATGATGCATCCTGTCTTTGAAAGTTGCCTGCACGAGGTAAGTTGATTGCCTGGTATTAAAAGTTCTAAAGACAAACCAATGCTTGACCCCATCGACAAAACACATTTCGGCCTAGAAGAGTTTTCTGGAAGTTTCAGCCATGCGAGACCATCGTCATATGTACCAAGAAGCCCATGGCATTTCACGTATTTGAATTCCGGGACCTGTTCTAGAGTTCTCTCCAACTCCTTCAATGACAAATCAAGTGCAAAGTAGTCGACAGACTTGCCGGCCGCATCTAAAGCTCGTAGCAATATACTCACCTTGCGTAAATTACTGTTCATTGTTAGTCCTGCAAGCCCCAAGACATAGACCTAACAGAAAATACAAACCCGCTTCCCAGCTCAACAACCATAGAATTTGAAGGTATGTTTGATGCAATGCTTTCGGCGGAACGTTCAAGGACATCAATCTCTGCATTTGTAAGGTAATATTCAGACAAATAAGTGATCTGTATCTAGGTTAACATGATTGACTGGATCAAAGTGAATAAACAACAACCTCTTCGTAGATCTGTAAACCCCGCTCATTGTATAGGAGCAGGGTTGGCAGACTCTTGAGACCACTTTTTGGCCTCAAAGATGCTAGAATTTCATCCTTCAACTCAATTTCGGCACCATCATGGCGAATATCGATGATGTTAAAGTTTGGATTGTGTTTTGAATTGGATATAAGCCCCGTGACTTTCGTCACATGAGGAGAAATGCTTGAGATGTCCCCGGCAACACCGTTGGAAGCACTGCGAACAGTCATTATGACAGAAGTGTTGAGACTGAGAGGGTTTGCAGTATTGGTGTATTATCAGCTGGTTTAAACTTAAACTCAAAGGAAAAGATGCTTGGAAGTATTGAATTATTTTAGCTGAGGAATGATGGAAGGGAGCTAACTAATATAGTTCCCAAGACTGATGGGGAAAATGGCAATAACCGAGATCTCATGCTAATAGCTTGCTTACACAAAGATTTTACACCTTGAATCTGTTACAAAGGCACTAGATAAGACTCGGGTTAGGATGAACGGGATCTATGCAGGCCATAGTGAAAAAGTACCTGAGAGGGCGAAGACGGGTTTGTTATGATTACCATTCACCAATTTGTTTGGATCCTCGTTCTTGGTTCTTTGTTGAATTGTAAGGATTATTCACACATGCAGATGTACGGAGTATTCTCACTAGTAAAGGTAATGGGTGACCTCATATTACTAAACCACCGCTCAATCCGGCTGTCTGAACGTGGGAGACACTTTGGTTAATGCTTCTGATAAGCCACAGACTTTAATTTGTGAATAATAAGACCCACTTGGGGATTGTACCTGTGTATTTGGGTGGATTATTTTGGTGAGCTGAGATAATATTTGTAGAGGAGAAAGTAGTAGTTACCATTTGTTATATAAATGCCTCATCTTCCAAATCATTAGAATGTATATAACCTCACATACCCAAGTACTTGTGGATACTCAAGCATGCATATGCACCACAACACCGATCACGAAATCTTTCGGACATTTCTTGATCATAGGACAGAGTTTTGAGCGACTATGGGCCCGGGATGGTTGAGAAAGGATGGTTGAGAACGTTAACATATGGTCTAGCCATGTCACTGCATAAACCATAGAATTTACTTATATCCGTCAGGCACAGTATGGTGTGGCTTGGTTCTGCTTGGTTCTGATCATATGGCGGATGCAGCTAGCGGTGGATTAATTCATCCACCTGCATATACCTACCCCAGGTTCTGTGCGCCTACACGGTGCATGTGAACTCGTATGACGAGTTGAGGTTCAGAATTGAACCTCATCGTCCTGGTTAATTCGTAAGTCGATCGTCACCTTTCTCTCTGCACATTTCCCAGTGACAAATCATATGTAATGTAGTCAGCAGAAAAATATGTTAATTCAACTAACTGTAAAAAGTGTGAATCTGTCCTAATCAATCCTTGAATACATCGAATGTTAACTGGACCGAGCCAGATGCCGCATCGACTGAGATGTCATTCTAAGCATCATTGAACCCCGCTTCAGTATAGTCAACATGTAGAGACACAAGGATACGGCAATGCAACAGTAAAGAGAAGGGGAGGACCCGTCGTTGGCAGGCTGAACTGCAATGAGAAGATTGATATCATCCTGACGCATGTATGATTCAAAAGAGCTCACAGAATTTTAGAGTTTTCCCATTAATCCTGGTATGCAAAAACTCTTATGATCCGTGGCTACCGAAGTTGAGTTATAAATTATAAATCGAGTACCCCACTTTCGGATTATCCCTCTTTTGGACCAGTTAAAAAAGACATATATTTATAAGTAATTTTATTTATTAAATTTGATAATTGTTCAATAATTAATCTAAGATTTTAATATATAATTAATTTTAACAATAATAAATTATCAAATCAAAGATAATATTATTATAGTAATATTTATATATTAATTTAATTTGACTTTGAAAAAAAATATTAGTAAATGAAATATTAATAAACAAACAAAATACAAAATTGAGATTAAAAAAATTAAAAAGATTTTATATTTTAAAAGAGATAAATATATATCTTTTGATTTAAAATCTTCAAAATAAAACTAAAAGATAATATAAATTTTTATTATTATTTATATTTTAAATATAATTAATAAAATCAAATTTAAAAAAAGTAAAAGTAAAATAAAAATAAAAATAAACTAATCAAAATTATATTAATTTGTATATTAAATTAAAAAGTTTTTTATTTATATGTTAAGAATTCTTAAATAAAATTAAAATAAATATTATTTTATTATTTTATTATTATTTAAATATTAATCAATGTTTTATTTCGATTATTATCAAATCAGAATAATATTGAAATATTAAAGTCTAAGACATATATATAATAACCGTATATTTTTAATAATTCAAAAGACGGGTGGTCTGGAAATAGAGTAGAGTGAGATCCTGTTTGAAGATCGGCGGTTGTCCTACATTGGCAATTTTCTGAAAAGTATACGATCAGTGGACCCAGGTATATCTGATTCAACTTTTGTTCCCTGAACATTACATGTTAGATTTTAAAGTCCATCATTACTCTAAGCGGATTTCGCAAACTTTCATTAAACCTTGAAACTTGAGCTCTGGTACTAATCACGTGATTCAATCTAATCTAATCTTATCGGCGGTCGTTGGCGTTGCTCCGTGCGTTTGTTTACTTTGCTTTCGATCTTTTTCAAACAACGAAAGAGGACCAAATATAACAAAACATACAAAAGTACAAAAATTGATTACAATTTCTAACTTACGGACTTCAACCCTACCATAGATAGATAGAAACAATCAGATAAAACATGTCTTACAATCCACGAATGAGTCTTGCGCCCAGCTCGCAACAACAGAATCGAGGCAAGAAGAAGGAGGAAGAGAGCGATTCATTCATGCGCCTGGTAAGATAATTATATCATGACGGCATTGAAAGTCTGTCTCACTAACTATGATAGCCCGACAAAGAGATTGCAGGATGTATAAGCGATATTGGGGTACCTTTCACGGCTGCGGATCTCTTAAAGCCAAACCCTCTCCAAATTCAAATGATCTTTGAATGGTTCGCAGAGCTTCTTATGAACACCACCCGTGATACAGTCGACCCTGCTATGCGTGCAGCATCCGAAGATATATGTGAAGATTACCCAGACATAGTACCGGCAGAAACAAGAGATTTAATGGGTTTCTATGTCAGTCTACGGAAGTTACTTTTTGAATGTGGCATTACAGACTTCTCATTTCAGGATTTATACAAGCCAACACACGACCGCTTAGTGAAGATTTTCTCTTATATCATCAATTTTGTACGATTCAGAGAAAGTCAAACGCAAGTCATTGATGAACATTTCAACAAGGCCGAGACTACAAAGCTCCGAATCGAAACGCTCTACATGGAGAACCAAGAGATGGAAAGCCGCTTAGATGAGTTGAAGCGGAACCGCAGGGCGATGGAGGTACATATTTCGGAAAAGGTTAAACGTAATAAGGAGTTGAAGAAAAGGCTCTTGGAACTGCGCCAAAGCCAAGACAAAATGGCCCGACGGTTTGAAGGACTCATAAAGAAGAAGAAGGAGATGACTGCTATTCTGGAGGAAAAAACTGCCGCGACCATTGAACTGAGGCAAGAAAGCTCGAAGCTACAACCATATGTGTCTCAGTCACCAGCTGCGCTGCAGGCCTCCCTGACGGAATTGAGTAATGCACTGAATACTGACAAGACGCAAATTGATGCCTTTGATCGACGAGCCCGTGCCCTACAGACTTCGACCGATACGTTCACAGTAGTATCTGCGGATGTGGTTTCGTGTACGAAACTTCTGGATGAGATTTCAATCGAATTGGCCAAGGAGGAGGATGAAAATGTAAAAGTCGCGAGACAACGAGATGCACTAGGCGAAAGAACGAATAATGTACGAGAGGTGGAAAGAACCGAGGCTTTGCTACAGCGTCAATTATCGAAACATCTCGAACGGACAGAGAAATTGAGAGGCGGTAGCAAAGCAAAAGCCATGAGTGCTAAAGAGAGAATGGAAGAACTGCGGGCTGTGCACAGAAAGCTCACAGAAGAGAGAAACGAAAAAGGGAGGGAGATGGAGAGAAGGAAAGTGAGGATAGAGCAAACAGAAAAGAAGGTATGGATATTAGACCCCTTGAGAATGCTATGCAGATTCACTGACATAACATAGATGGCGGACTTGAAAGAGAATATAGAAAACGAGATACACAGTGCGCATGACGAGTTCTTAAAGATGGACTCGCATATCAAGCTATACATCACGGAAATGGAGCAGTCTATTTGATTTCCGGGAACACTTTTTGGATTTTACGTTGGACTAGCAACCATGGAGATTATTGTAATGAATGAATATGAAAGGGTTGGGGATTGGCCGATTGGAGAAGCGGCTTGGGGCGTTGGGTATACCTACTGATTAAGCATGAGAATGACCTCAAAACAAATGTATTTCTCTCTACATTTTTATGTGCCATGATCCCACTCTGCTTTCTGAAAATCAAACCATCTCGCGAATATCCGCCCAACCTCTACAGTTCTACCACTCCAACCGCTATCTTCACTCTCTGACCCAGCACGCCTCACACTTCCATTGAGCATAGGAACCTTCTCATCCCATCCATTCCAGGTTCTTTTATCTCGTCGCCTGTTTTCATCCGATCCCATTCCGTCCCCGTCATTGCTTGTATCGTCAAAATCACCCTCGCCCTCACCATACAAGTTCAATTCATCACTTCTCCTCTTTTCCTTCGTCCTCTCCTCTAGACACACAACAGCCCTCTTATGCCTTCCACCCATGTCCACCAGGCCCGCCAAACTCCTATTTAACCCCTGAGCACTCCATTCGCTTGTATCCCTATGTAGCTCTACCAACCCATACACAACAATCATTGCCCTTTTTATACTCAGCTTATCCCATTCAAGATCCGGTGGAGCTTCAATTTTCGATCGTGTCTCTGGGGAGAGGACGGAGAGATAGGCGCGCAGATGAGAGGTCGTAGGGACATAAAGGAAGGAAATATGGCGTGAAATGGAGATCTGATGGAGGATTTTGAGGAGGAGCGAGTGAGAGAGTGTTTCAACTGGAGCAGTGGCGCTAATTGGATATTGAGGAGAGGATGCTGGTGGTAATGAGGTGTTCGAGGTGATGTCTGCCAGGAGGGAGGAGACAAATGCCGCGCGAGATTTACAGATCAAGATAGTGGTGGGATAGGCACTATGATTTAGTATCCAAGTTAAGAGTTCAGAAGGAAGAGCGGACGGAAGTGCGATAGGCGGGTATGCCATTTTTGAGCGCAGTGCATTATCGTTCTTTGGCGTCGGGTGCGACAATGATATTTGTTCCTAGAGAATGGAGCTGCAATTAGTGCTGAATGTTAATGATCCATAGTATAACATATCCCCCGACACATATACCACGAGAATTAAATTATCAACAAAAATGTAGAGAAAACTATAAATCATGGGGGAGACAAAAGGATTAAATCTCCAAGTTGTCATTATCAAATGATGCAATCCGCATATTTGCGGAGCCAAATCAACAATCGCTTACAGCCCCCACCATTACAAGCTCCCATTGATCATGTTCCTCTGTAATCTCATTTCGTCGTCCATGACATGGAATCCATATCTAGAATATCCAGCTTGCTGGAAAGTGGTATGAACATTTATTTTCCCGTTTGACACTTCAAAAATATAAATTTTGTGACGATGTGGCATAATGATTTCATGCTAACAGCGACAATAGCGAGGGAACTCACACTCGATGCTGCGCAATCTGCGAGGAGCTCTCGAGGAGCAGGGGCTCTGAAGACATTGCCGCCCCAGCAGATTAAGAAATTATTGGATAGTAGACATGATCGGGAGGTGTTGGAAGGGTTGAGGAAGGTCATCTCTGTATGTTTGCCCGATTATCGATGCGCATTTCTGCCAGCTTGACACGAAGTGGAATTCTAGGCTTGGAAGGACAGAGATACGCTCTAACAGATCCCGCAGATGATGTACCGTTCCCAACCATGCCTCACATTCTTCTCCTCGGTCGTAAAGAATGTCGCGTCCCCGAATATTGAGATCAAAAAGCTGGTTTACATTTATCTCCTCAATCACGCTGAACAAGAGCCCGACCTAGCTCTCCTCTCTATAAACACTATTCAAAAGTCTCTCTCAGATGGAAACCCACAAGTCAGAGCCCTGGCACTTAAAACTATGTCTGGAATTCGTGTGCCTGTTATCAGTCAAATCGTATCGCTGGCCATTAAGAAAGGGTTAGGGGATATGAGTCCATATGTTAGGAAGGCGGCAGCTTTAGCCATACCGAAGTGCTATAGATTGGATCCAAATACTCTCCCGCAGCTACTAGACTACCTGTCGACATTACTTGGGGACAAACAATACTATGTAGCCGGCGCAGCAGTCACTGCATTTCTGGAAGTGTGTCCCGATCGCCTTGACCTTATTCACAAGCATTATAGAGGTCTCATAAAAAAGCTAGTAGACATGGACGAATGGTCACAAATGGCAACCCTTCAGCTAATGGCCATCTACTCTCGCAAATCTTTTCCCAAGCGCACCCGGCGCGTCCGCAAAACCACCTCCAAGAGCAACGGAAACCAACAAAATTTCTACGCAGATTCCGACGCCGAACAAGAGGAAACCGAAGAAACCGGCGAAACGGTCCAAGTTCTCGACCCAGATCTAGAGCTTCTCCTGAAAAGCATCAAACCCCTTCTTCAATCCCGCAATTCTGGTGTCGTGGTAGCTGTATCCCGCTGCTATGTGGCTCTCGGAACACCAGACTATATAAACCATTGTATTGGCCCTCTTATTGCTCTACTACGCGGCCCCTCAGATATACAACACATAGCACTCTACAACATCGTCTCCGTGTGCCTCATGCGCCCCGAGGCGTTCGTAAAATACGCCTCACATTTCCTGGTCCGATCAACCGATCTCCCACAGGTATGGGAACTCAAACTTGAACTGCTTACTCTGATATTCCCTCATTGTGATGCCTACATGAAGAGTCTAATACTCAACGAGCTGGAACATTTTTCCCGCGGCTCGGATCGAGAATTGGTGAGAGAGTCAGTGAGGGCCATTGGTCGATGTGCACAAAGTGATTCTAGGACATCGGCAAGATGTTTACGTTTATTGTTGAAGCAAATCACCAGTCTAGATGGAAACCTAGTCGCGGAGTCACTTACTGTAATCAGGCACCTTATTCAACAGGATCCAACATCACATACACATACCGTTATTCGCTTAGCCAAAAATCTAGACACAGCTACAAATTACAGGGCTCGAGCTACTATTATTTGGCTCGTGGGAGAATTCGCCGGCTTTGATGGAGAAAATAATATCGCACCTGATGTTCTTCGCATTTTGGCTAAAGGCTTTGCTGATGAAGCAGAGCCTGCGAAATTACAAATTGTTCTTCTAGCTGCTAAAGTCTATCTACATCATTTGAATCGGAACTCCCCAGAACCAGAACCTCCCAAACCTTTACCAGCTCCCCAACCTTCCCACAATTACGCCGGCATTGAAGAAGAAAATGAAGGATTCGCATCCCTTGACTCACCTCCACAAACCTCCTTTTCCCCACCTCCCGAACCGGAATCCGAACCTGATCACCCTATCGTCATCCTCTGGAATTACATCCTCCTTCTTGCCCGTTACGATACTTCATACGACCTCCGCGACCGTACGCGTCTCTACAAATCTCTTCTCGCCATCCCATCATCCACTCAACTTGCATCGCTCATGCTTCTTGCTCCTAAGCCCATCCCGCATACTCCTAGTCCCTCCGAAAGCCGCACTAGCTTTACTCTGGGAAGCGCCAGTCTCGTTGTTGGCGATGAAGGTGGTATGCATGGACTAAAAGGCTACGAGGCGCTACCTCCATGGGTAGCAGCTGGCTCTGAGCCGGATCCATCGTTGCGAGAACCTGATTCCGCTCGGAATGAATATGAAGAAAAGAAAGTCCTAACTGCAGGACAGATATTAGATAGTGCGGTGAAAGACTTCAGGCCCGGGGTTTCGCCATCTAGGACGAATGGGTTTAATGCTGGAGGTTCTGGCCCTAGCACAGCTCCAGGAAAGGAGAAAACACTTGATGACTGGCTAGCCGAGTCGGAAGAAGAGGAAAGTGAAGAGGAAGAAGAAGATGACGATGGAGAATCCGGGGGAACGGAAGAAGAGGAATCCGGAGAGGAAGAATCCGAGGAAGAGGAAGAAGAGGAAGAGAGTAGCGATGATGATGGGGAGCACAATAGACTAGTTAAATAAGTGATATCCCGTTGCGAGCCACTGGCTACGCTACCTTTATAATACACCATTAACTGACGATGGATGGCCTTACACTAGGAGGCTTATGATTACACCTCGCACAATACATCTTACGCAGGCATGAAAATACTTAGTCACAAAAACAATAGAATAATATCAATGAATGTGGAATTTAAAGATCATTGTTTGATGAAGAACCAGGGACCAAAAGCCCTCTGGCATTACTATTAGCCACAGCAAGTAGCTTGGCATTAGATACTACTGATTTCTCCTATTCTCCACATCTTTGAACCTGGTGTCTGCTTTGAAAAACAAGTAGCCTAGGCAGAACGAACGGATCTCACTGAAGAGTCTCCGTCTAGAATGAATCTTCTAGGTTCAATTATTCTTTCGGTTCCTGCAATGCGATAAATGCATCGATGTATGCGATATGACTAATACATTGTACAGGAAACCCATCAACTGAAAATCAAGCCTGAACTCCCGAGAAAAAAAGCTCTGAATAACGCCTCACTATGCATGTGACTTTTCTTTGTACAGAGAATGAGAAAAAGAGCTTTGATAGATAACCGACTACTTGAAGGCTTGCTTGATCCAAAAGACTCTTTTGCAAACTATATGCTGTTCACGTGACCAAGACCGAATGACTGCCCATGAAGGAAATGAAAAAGTCAGCTACCAACGACGACTGCGAAATTTTATATTAGCATATGTAGACAACGTCAAGGTTTAAGTCTTACCTATAAGCTGCATCGACCACTGGCGCAGCCCTTTTAAGTTTCGGCGCAGCTTCCTCAGACAAACGCTGAGATTCTTTGCCTTTCTTGCCACTGATTACTCGTACTATTTTGCGTGGCTTTACAGGCTCTTTATTTATTTTTCCGAGTATTTCCAACGAGGTGGGGCTCAAAGGTGATTCCGGCGCAACATTTTCCTCATCTCCCTTCGTTCCATTTTCCTTATCATTGTCCGCCTGATCAGTGGGAGGTGGTGTTGTTGTGACATTGTGCTCTGGCCATGGGTCGAACATAGGCTCCTCCTCCAGTGGGGGTGGTGGGGGAGGAGGAATGGGCTGGTAATTAAAGGCTTGTGGTCCGGAGAATGGAGGAGGAGCGTTAGCATAACCTGAGTCCTGTCTAAAGGCTTGATTTGCCATGCTAGGATTAAAAGGATGCCGGTGGGAATTATAAGGTTGTTGAGCATTGTGGTGAGGCCGCAAAGGATTGAAGGGAGGTTGTTGGGCATTAAATGGTGACTGTTGGTTGTAGGGGGGCTGCCGAGCATTGAAAGGAGGGTGCTGTGTATTGAAGAGAGGTTGTTGGTTATATGGAGGCTGTTGAATATTATAAGGAGGCTGCTGAGGATTGAAAGCAGTTTGCTGAGCGTAGATAGGTTGCTGAGCATTGAAAGGTGATTGTAGATTGTATGGCGTTTGCTGATGAACATTGAATGGAGGTTGCTGATTATATGGAGCTTGATTACTATAGGAAGTTTGCTGGGGTTCATAAGGAGGTTGTTGGGGACTGTAGGTCGGCTGCTGCAACTCCTCGATAGGAATCATGATCGGTGGGCCCGGCTCAACCGGCTTCGGTGCACCAGAAACACCTAAAGATGCCAGCAACGCCTCAGTTGGATCGGCACTCTCTCCCGCTTGAGGAGCCCAGATATCGTCAAGTGCTTCAGCAACAGATGGAGCTTCGTTTTCTGTATTATCATCACTAAATCTAGGCAGGCCATCTGCAGATTTTGACATTTGATCGTCAACTTTTTGACGTTTGTTGTTTTGCAATGTTGGAAAATCGGCTTGTAATTGATCATCGACATCATCTTGTTCCGAAGTGCTGGGTTTACGCTTACCCGTGCGTGGTACGACCGCAGCAGTTGCCTTTCGAGTTGCAATAGATACATATGCATCGCCATGCTTCAATTTCATACAAGCATCAAGTTCTTGAAAAGGTACCGGGTCATCTTCAGTCTTGAAGTCCTGGAAAGTTGGATCTTCTTGTAAGTATGGCCATTGAGGTGTCTTTCTGGCGCTCTGCGTATACTCCTTCAGATTTTCTCTTCTTGCGTACCTCGAGATCGTAATGGTTGATTTCTTATCGATAAGAGGGACAGGGGTCATATCAAATCTATTAGCTAAAGGTTGCGCAAGTGCAACTGTTTCATGTTTTTCGCCTGCAGCTTTGAAGATCTTTTTGTAATCCCAATTGAACTGTTTCTCTTCGTCAGACCGATCACCGTCTTCCCTCATATCGGCTGGATGTCCATCCCATTCAGATATATTATTTCTTGAAGTAGGCGAACCATACGGGGTACTAGCCACGCTTGAAGCTCTTGAAGAAGCTCGTGGTGTCTCAACAGGCTGTGAAGAAACTTTATTGGGGGCAGTGTGTGGAGTATTTTTAGATCGAGGGATGTACAGCCCACGTTTATTCAGTTCTGGGGATGAGATGGGAGGCTGCTGAGAGCCCGACCGACTTTCACCATGCTGGACTTGTTGAGATCCCATGCGACTTCCACTTTGCTGGGACTGCTGTGATTGAGACCTCCTAAACTCTTGATGAAAGCCAGAACTTGATTGAACCTGGACTTGCTGTTGTTGTGATCCATTTAAAGAAGTCGTTGATGGCGGTGAACCATTCCATTGCCCCTGGCTTGGCGTGCCTTGACTTTGGTAAGATGCTGATCGGCCTTGGTTATTGTAACCTTGAGTGTAACCATTATTTTGATGTTGGAAGGGTGTGGTTGGGACGGAGGAAGAAAATTGCTCTCCATTCTGAGGTTGGGTTGGTGTGCCATATTGCTGTGGTGAATTCGACTGGGGATATTGATTGTACGGAGCTTGATAGCCTTGAGATACGTTTTGCTGTTGAGCTTGTTGGTTATAGTTAGCTCCGTTGGTGACAGGTTGTTTGTACGGCTTGTTCTGGTGGTAATTAGAATAGGCGTGATGGGGAGGGCCTTGTGGTTGGTGATTTTGTTGTTGGAAGCCTTGTTGCTGGAACTCTTGCTGTGATGGGTGTGTAGTTGAATGTTGCTGATAAGGTAGATTTGTTGCATAGGGAGCAGATATAGATGACCCATTGAATTGGGCATTTTGGCCAGGGTCCGTAAATTGTGACATTGGGGCACTTTCAGGACCAGGATAGGGAGCATATTTGGAACCCATCTGGCCATTTTGAACATTTGCCCACTGCTTCGTTTGTGATGTTACCCCATACTCATCGACATTTGCTGCCTGAGGAGTAGCCATAGCACTTATTACCATTAGCCTTACACTTGGAACGAGGATACAAGAAGAAATTTATGAAGACATAAGAACAGTTTATCACTTACACTTGACCATTTTGATTTTGTCTTGGACAATCTTTGACATAATGACCTTCTTGGCCACACGTGAAGCAGATTGGGGGACGCCCACGAGGCGCCGTAGGTGTAGGAGCATTGTAGTTATTGTTGTAGTTTTGAGGAGGCCCTTGAGGGCCGCCTTGAGACCAATTTCCCAACATGATGCACCCTCCGAAAAAAAGAATCTGATTTTACTAACAAGTCATCGATTGGGCGGGGACAAATTGCGCGACACTGAGTTGAGCTTAAGTAGAAAGGACCAAATGGATGGGATCACTGCTGGATAGATAGACAAGTATTCCGACGCGACAGAAACACGAATAGCAATATCGGAAAGCGAATAAGCTTATTAATGTTTTCCTGTTGTCCTGGCCCTTGCGACTGCGACGACGAAAAGCATCGATGAATTTGATGATGGATAGAAAAGGGATTTTATGTTGTCCGCGAAATTGAATGTTCAGAGAGCGACGTTGTGCAACGATACCGTGAAAGAGCGTATTCAAGGATGAAAATGCAGGCCCCCGACTCCACAGCAAATAAATCAAAAGGAAGTATTGTACGGAGTAAGTACCTTGCTAGGGTCACTATTCCCAGCTGATCCACATGCGAAAAGGATTGAAAATGGATAATGGAGAAGTGTAACAAAAATCAAATATGACAGGTTTTCCTTGTAATGTGACCCGACCTGACTTGAGCTGACCAAAAGAATGGATGAATGTGTATTGAAGAGAGACGAATGTTTACTTCCAAAAGTAACTTTGTTAATATTAAGGTTATGAGATCAGCAATTGTGAATGTGAATTGAATTCTCTCTTCTTGATTCTTGAAAATGGAGAAAGAGAAAAGGGAAAATGTTGATGTTGATGTTTGTGGTCGATGTAGGTAGGTAGGTAGGTACTAGGTATTGACTTGATATGGGTAAAGTAAAGGCAAGAATTACGAAAGTGTTAAATGAGGTCGGTAGGGCAGATATTGAATATTGATTGGAATGGGGGAGGGAGGAAGGAAATGGAAATGGAAATGGAAATGAAGAAACTTTGAATTTGGATTGGATAGGATTGGATTGAACTGGTTTTGCTTGTTGATGGATATTGATTGTATGTACTGGTATGAAAATCCGTAGGAGAGACCAAAAAGATGTCAATTTTCCTATGCAGTTAGCTGCTAGGATTCAGATCACGCTAGTTTAGACGATTACTCCACTAACTACGGTGATCTTTTCATGCCAGCCGGTTATGCTCAAGTTCGATAATTCATTTGTACGGTAAACTTTAACCACCAGTCTGGCTGGGTAAGTCCAAGCCAACACAAGCATAATCTTGATAATCAACTTACTTACCTACTACTCACACTGCCTTCTGCTCACTACATATATTTGTGGATAAGTGACTGCATCCTTCTTTTTGCCTACTGACCTTTTCATATTTGGTTATGACTTAGAATTGTTTCCTAAGCGACAATGTTGCTTCGCCAAAATTCTACTTTGCAAGAAATCGCAGGTTGTATCAACTGTCATTCCCCAATATTAGTTTTCTGTGGCGCAAATCGGAGGTGATTAAACTCCTGAAACTTTGGCAATATGCCCGGTCTGCCATGTAAGATTACAACGACCTTGCTGCTAACGAGGGCACACACTTATATATAACTATAGCTTCTGTCGATCTCGACCGATGTATAGAAAGTCTCTACAAGAAAAATCTCCTCGCCGAGTCCGTTATCGAAGCAATATGCGCGAAGACGAAGGAGTTATTAATGCAGGAGAGTAATGTGGTTCATGTGCTAGCACCCGTCACTGTGGTGGGAGATATACATGGTCAATTTTTTGATTTGATAGAGATATTCAAAATTGGGGGATTCTGCCCAGATACAAATTACTTGTTTCTAGGTATGCCCCGCATTCTGACTTCGCACATATGTCCGCAATGCTAATATACGGCCAATTTAATAGGTGACTATGTGGACAGAGGCATGTTCAGCGTCGAAACGATTTCTCTCCTTGTCTGTCTTAAACTACGATACCCGCATCGCGTTCATTTAATACGAGGAAATCATGAATCGAGAGGAGTCACTCAGTCGTACGGCTTCTATACGGAGTGCTCCAGGAAGTATGGGAATGCGAATGTATGGCATCACTTTACGGATATGTTTGATTTTCTTACATTGAGTGTGGTGATCAATGATCAAATATTTTGTGTTCATGGAGGTATGGTCCTCCGCCAACTTGCTCTACTCCGCTCTATGCAGCTAGAGATTCCCTATTCCGAGAGTCTGCGCCCATACTGACATTTATCTGCAGGTCTCTCTCCCTCGATACACTCTATCGACCAAATAAAAATCATAGACCGTTTCCGCGAGATCCCTCACGAAGGACCCATGGCCGACCTAGTTTGGTCTGACCCCGACCCAGAGCGCGACGAATTCTCCCTCTCACCCCGCGGCGCTGGTTACACATTCGGCGCGCAAGTTGTGAAGAAATTCCTCGAAGTAAACAAAATGTCGCACATATTACGCGCCCATCAACTCTGCCAAGAAGGCTATCAGGTTCTCTATGACGATCGGTTAAGTACCGTGTGGAGCGCTCCCAATTACTGTTACCGATGCGGGAACATGGCAAGTGTCCTGGAAGTCAGTGATACGGGGGAGAGGTTCTTCAACGTATTTGCGGCCGCGCCAGAAAATGATCAGCATAAAGGTGAAATGCAGCAAGCAGGGCAGGACAAAACGGCTGATGGTAGTACGCTGCCAGATTACTTTCTGTGATTCAATTCGGAAGCCGATCATAGACACTAAATCCTGTTTTTTCTTTCGACACGCCACTACTCGAGATCATGGAAGGAATCATTAAAACTCTTCGGAGAACAGCTAGTCCGGAGATTTTGAGGAACGGCGATCCGCTGTAGTGTCAAGCTATTATCTTAAATCCGCCCAGTTTTCATGCCAAAAAGTTGATGCGGAAAGTAGTCACGCGATACTACGCTGCAGGATTACTTCTAGCTATATGCCAAGAAACTGCACTACACGAACTGGGCTGTAATCATGATATAATGTATGCCACTTTACACCTATGGATTGTGTTTTTGTAAAATCACATTTCATAGGAATAGGACAAGATGGGTCGATGAGGGCAAAAGCACAAAACCAGTTATGTGCCTTGATTTTCTTCATCCCATCCAAAATAAATCAGATAAGAGCAATGAGATGCGAAAATTCTATACTTGAGAAAAAGTGAATGAGTCTTGTTTGAATCTAAAAGTCATGTATGCGCGCGCCTGCAGGAAAAGGATGCCTTTAAACGACCACAAATAATACTTTGTCAAATCCGTATCTCATCCGTACATACCATCCAAAATCAGTTAGTTGCATGATATGCCCAGACATCTTCAGTTCGTGATTCATTTGACCATTCGTCCATAACTTTTTTTCCGTCCAAAATGTCGATTTGCAGGGGTAAAAAACAAGTAGGGAAGGAAGAAAATGATCGACTATTCTTCCGGCCATAACATGAAAGCAAAGTCGTGCATAAGGTATGTAGCCGTCCAAATCGCACGCGCGTAAAGGTATGTCGCAAAGTTGTCGTATGAGTTGCTATGTGATGTGAAAAATGGATCTGTGTCAAATGAGGCGATTACAGTATGAGAGGCGAAAGGTAGAAGACCGGAGGTGGAGTAGCTGCAGGATCTACCAGTCCTTAGTGATGTCAAAAGACCACTCGAATTCAAGATGCTTTTTCTTGTCGTCATCAATGAAGGTAGAAATAGCGGTGTAGTGGCCGCGGGCCATCATTCCGGTTGGGGCATCCTCGTCGGCGACTGAGAGTTTGGTTACTAATGGGATTTTTAGGTAGGTGTCAAAAGGACTTACATCGCTTGGTGTGGACAGGATTCTTGTCAGTGTTGGGTGCATAACTTCCCTGTTGGCTGGTTAGCATATGAGGTATTGAGTAGACACCGGGATGTGGAGAGGCTCTTACAATCATCTCTTGCAATTTATCGATCCTGATGCCCTTGCGCTTAATTACTTGAACATATTGAAGACCACTCAACACATTGTGTTGCACTTTGAAAGTGGCAGTAAGGTTGAATTTAGAACCCTCCTTGATCTTGAAAGGATGATCCTTCAAGGTATTAAGAGCATCAGGTGTAGAAAGCTCGAGCTTGACTGGAGGACGACCTTCGGAGTTCATCTCAAGAGTGAGGATGATGCAGTCACGAGGATCATTTGGGTCACTGAGGTCCTTTCCTCCACCACCGAGCCCGAGGGATTCCTTGTAGCGCTGAAGAGATTCATCTTCGGCATCTGCGTTCAAGAGAGATTGTCAGTAAATATTCTATATTCGAAGTGACAGTACGTTTCATGTGATGATCTAATCAGGGTACATTGGGTCTTGCTTGTATGCCAACGTAGAAGACAGGGGTTATAGAGAACAGGAGATATATAGCAGTACAGCATTTCCGTGTGTACTAACTTCACACTTTCAGATCTTCTGCTTTTCGCAATCAGATAGAAAGCTCCTTGCCAACCTTTGACGGAACCAAGAAGCCCATGGGTGTCAAAAAGTACCCTTGTTTCTTAACCCCTATAGTTGGTGTGACAACCAAAAGTTATTTACAACCAATTCTATACAAACTATTGTACATAGTTCAGTTGTTTCGATAAAATGGACTCTAGATATCACAGAAATGTATCCAAATTATGATCTCTTGTCATCATTCTATACTGTCTGCCCCAGACCGCCTCGAGTGCGGGGTATCAGCTGGAGGGGTGACCTCGACTCTTGACTCGAGTTGAGCCAAGGATATTCCAAAGTACTGCTGAGTAAACAGCCGAAGAGGGATAATAGGAGGAGCTGAAAAGCAACAAAAGAAGACAGGATGAAAGGGGTTTAGAACATACCCATCTTGGAATACTCATCCAGAGTCTTCTTCTCCCCCACCTTGAAACCATCAGTTGTCTCTGGCAAGAGGTCATTATCTTGTTGGTCCGCCATCTTTGATATGTTGTGGTAGATTTATAAGGTATTAAGTGTAACAAGAAAGGATTGATGAGTAAAAGGGAAGATCTGTAGAATGAATTCCAGACACAGAAATTTAAAAGCTGTTGAGTTTGTGGATGCCGCAGCTTTGATACAGCAACGGTGTTGGCAATCGAAATGCAGCTTAGTGGGGCTTAAGCTATGATCCTTACCAACTTGCGGAATATGCAAGAATCTCGTGACAATGAGAAGGAGAGTATCGAAATTGAATCAGTTGAGTTTTGTGAGGTTATTGATTGGACTTTATAGGAGGAAGAATACGTTAAAGAAAGATCAACTTGAAGAGACCTCTTCAAACTTCAAAGGAATGTTATAGTTGTATTTGATTTTGGAACATTGCAAATTACCTAGTGAACACTTCCAAATAAACAACGAAACATCACACCACGTGATATACTCTTCATAAAAGGGGGCATCCCCGCAATTTGCCTACAGTACTTTCTTTGGCGCATTGACTCCAGAAAGGGCTTTCCTTTTCGTTTCGTTTCCTTTCTCATACCGGTAAGTGTCTCCTTTACTTCACCCCAAGTTCTAAGCCAACAACAGCTCTTCCTTGGTCAGTCGGAATTTTTCGTGAGAGCTTTGTATTGTATTTTGAGCTACTAGGTATCTATGAGTTTGAAAGTCCAAATCAAGCTCAAATGTTGATCGACATCAACACAGCAAGGACATGCATGATCTATGAAAAATAGAAAATTAAAATCAACCGATGAATTTAAATCAATCGAGCATCGTCTCTAGTAAAAGAATATTACTTATTAATAAATAGGAAACTTTATTCTTCCTTAAAACTTCAGTAGGGTAATTCTGTCCAGCTCACCATGCAGTTCGGTGTGTGTGATCATCTAAAAATGTGACTTTATATCATATCGTCTAGAAGCTCGCATATGGAAGAAAGGATGATAGCTCCGGCTCTCGAGATAATGCACTCTCACCCCAGCCAGCCCAGCCAAAATCCCACCCTCGTAGTCCAAAGTCGACCAATACCGCTACCGCTCTCACAAACTTAACTTCTTACAGTCGTCAAGCCCTCAGGGATCGCAGAATCTTCCACTTTTTCCCACACTGTGTACTTTCTACTTGTACACCTTCATTCCCACTCCAATAATCCTTGGATGATAATTCACACCTGCATTCACAATCATACTTCATCATCTTGCATTGCTTCCTTTGCGTTGTTGAATCTATTAATCTGGGGTTAATCGAAATTGATTTTGGCGTGCGCATCTTGCATCGGTACTGTCACAGTTATTTTCGCGGGTAACTACTACAATCGGTCTCTTTCGATAACCTTTCTTCCGTGTCCCGTCGCGAATAGACCAAAGCTTCTTCACATAACTACTACGACTGTACACTCCTTCCTTCAGCCAACGCGCAACATCTGCATCAAGAAGGTATCAATCGTATCAAGTGTTTTTCATGTAGGACTCCTTGTCCCTATTATCTTTTTGATCCGAATCAAAGATCGACAAAATGTTTGCTAATCGCGTAGCCACGAAACAGAATTACAGTTCATACGAAATCTTCTTCACGAAGTATTTATCACCTTTTAGATTTACCCAATCTAATAGTCTATTCAATACTCCCATATCGCCATCCTCTCGAGCCAGTTACCATTGAGCCCGTTACTATCGAGCCCGTTACTATCGCGATGCCTGCTTCGCGACACTTACCCCCAAAGGTCAATCCTTTGATGACCTCGGAGATCCCATCTTGTAAGATGATGCGCCAGTCGCATTGACGGTTTGAGGACCAAAACTAACAACCGTCGCAGATGAAACTTTAGTTGCTAGAAGAAGATTGGGGCAGACGGATCTTGCTGTAAAGACAGGCCAGCTCAATACTTCGAACTCTACGCGGCCAAAGAACTTGGGCACCTTCGACTACGCGCATTTGCGTGCTCCGTTGCCTAGAGGAATCAACAGTGGTATCTTTAAAGCTTCGCCCGCCTCGTACTTTCTTATGCGCCGTAGCAGCGATGGCTATATCAGCGCGACCGGAATGTTTAAAGCCACATTCCCATACGCGGAGGCCGCGGAAGAGGAAATGGAGCGTCGTTATATCAAGAGCCTTCCAACAACCTCTGTAGATGAGACTGCAGGGAATGTTTGGATCCCACCTCACCATGCGCTGGAGCTTGCAGAAGAATACCAAATTTTGCCCTGGATCAAGGCTCTCCTTGACAACGCGCCCATTGAAGTTAACCCAACTAAAGACCAGACACCTAAATCAATTGCCCCACCTCCAAAGTTTGACTTTAGAGATCTCGCTGCAATTCCCGCACCAAGGTTACTATTAGAAGAGGCACCTCAAATCGCCCCTCCCGAAACCCTTGCCGCACCGACTACAAAAAGTGGCCGTCCTCGTCGATCCGCATCACCAAGCAAATATGCATCTACATCTCCTCGTAAGATTGCAAGAGTACGCAAACCAAGCGCTAGGCTAGCAAGTTTGGAGCCTACCGGGGCTGCCAACAACGTACTCGAACAAGTTGAGGAAAACGGAGTTGTTGAGGCCGAGAAGCAGAAGGTAGAGACGACAGAATCCGCGGAATCCGCAGAATCAACAGCTTCTGAGCCTGTGAAGGAGTCAGAGAAGGAAGAATCAAGCGAAGAGGTCTCGGAGCCAAAAGTCACAGTCAAGGTTGACACTGATGTTGAGGTTAATGGTAATGTTGAGACGACCCACACTCATGTTCAGGTGGAGATGCCAGCTGGTTCGCCAGATCTCCCCCTCCCAGAGGATACCGAAGCTATGATTGCTAAGGCGAAAGAAATGGTGGAGGCTGCCATCAAGCATGACGCAGCTATACCCAGTCGCTCGAAGCAAGTGAAGAGAAAAGCTGAAGCGTTTGAGGCAGACGTGGATGACGAAGAAGAGCCTTCAGAAGCTCCAGCTAAGAAGGTCAAGGTAGCGGCCGATTTGAGAAAGGAAAGGGTGAAGACTCGGGCATTGATTGGATTGAGTGCTACTTTGGCAATTGGGTAAGTTTCATCAGTATCTCATTAAATTTTAAATTTTAAATTTTTTTCGGATATAGTACTGATAAAAAACCGCAGTGCAATAATTCCATATGTGTTTGGCGCTTTTTAAAGTGATCACGCTGGGCATGGGTTGGTTGTATATTGTTATGTTTTCTATTTCATCTATTGTTTATTAGTCTAGGGGCGTTTCATGACAGAGAGAATGGCTTTTCGGATGACCTTGAAGATCGGTGGACTTGCTGGATATACTACGCAGAGAAAGGAATATTTTTCGAAGTAGATACTACATACAGCACTAAAAGCCACCACGATTTTGAGGAAAGCGCGGTGTCGTTCTTCCTCGCACAATCATAGTGTTCAGATAGGCAAATCAAATTAATTTGACCACGAATTATCTATTCATGGGACATATAAAGCTGGGGTCGAGATCAATTGATTTTGGGCTGGGTGCTGAGTGCTGAGTGCTAGTTCGTTCCTTCTCATTTGGTGGAAATGGAAGGGGCCATTCACGAGGTACCAACAATCAATGGCAACGTGCCTTCCCAAAAAACTTAGATTCGTGCTATGTCATCGAGTTCTTTTCAATTCTTTCCTTGCAAAATATCTCTTATGATAAACATCAATACCTTCTATTACTAAAGAACATGATCAAAGTTATCATTGTTATTAATTCAACCTGCAATGAGGCATAATTGTTGGAAATTCTTTTACAAGTCTAAAATATCACAATGGTGCAACTAGATACGCCTGCGAGCGAATTGCGAAAACCCATCACTTCACCTTTTGCAGGAGGTATGACTCCTGCTGAATTGGAACGATTGTTACAAACAACTCCTCAAATGAGTAGATTTAATCCTTCGAGAAGACGCCTTCGAGCGCTGAAAACTCCTGATGCTCGCACTTCCAAAGGTGAAATCGTCATTACTAGTGATCAAGTAGTTACAGCTTCAATTTCATCTCCGATTGTTCACCCGCCTGTGTCTTTAATCCGCGAAGATCCGGGGGAGGGAATAAATAAGCCAACGGCGGATGTACGAGCCAATGATGTTCAAGGAAGTGTTTCGAAATCTACCGACTCTATTTGTTCTCCCTGTCGCGAAGACAGTTCGCGCTCAAAGCAACAAGGTGAAACATTTCCGAAAAGATTCTTGAAAACAATTGCGAAACGCAAACAGTTACGTAGGGGGGAACGCAAAGAGTCTAAAGTCTCTACGTCGCTTCCGGTGGAGGAAACGTTGAGCAAATTCCTCAGTGGAGAGAAAAGTGATCAGCAAGCGGGTTTCTCTTCTCGTGGATCTGGTGGCATGGCTAGGGTAGATACACCGACGATAGGATCAGAACCTCTCAGTGGTGAAACAACCGGCGACAGTCAGGAATCTACAAGCCTTGAAGAGATCATTCGTACGGCTCCTCGCACATCCACTTCACAGGCAATGGATAATTTTGCACCGTGTTATGTCAGTCTATCATTTGGACCTGCTCGGCTGGTTCGAAGAGCGAATATGAGCTTGGACAATGAGGACGATGATGGTGATGATGACCTTAACGACCTTGAGGTGGCGATCCTTGGTTTGAGCGATAGCAATGACCCATCAAAATCTATGCCTGGCCCAGATGACTCTAATGGTGCTGACATCAATCCCAAATCTCGAACTGGTCGCCTTGACCGCCAGAAGCAGAAGAAAGAGAAGAAAATGCCTCGAAGGCTCCCGATAGACGAGCTGTACCTAGTATCTGAAAGGGTGGAAGAATTGACCCAGGAGGATGACGTTGAAAGTGGTATGGTCATATAATCTCGCCAATTTCATGATACGATACTGATCAGGTATCTAGTACAATATTTGGGGGAGCTACCAGATGATCCAATCTCTCAAGACGCCTCAGATGCGCTACAAGTCATAAATACTGTTGGGCGTACAAAGCGCAAATTGAACACGCTCCAAAAATGGAGCTGTGGGGCCTTTGGAAAGATCGATACAAGAAAATTTCGGTTCCCAAAACTTGAAAGCACATCTCCTCAGGCAAGAAAAGACAATCGCCGTGAGGTACGCCCGTCCCATTCGGATGGCTTCGTAGGATCTGAAGCAGATTCCACAGGTCAATTTATGCTGGTTCCTAAGCACAAGCGTGTCAACATTAGCATATGGGGACTGACTACTCGGGTAGCACAATTGCAGTTGGCTCGTGAAAAGGACTATGGGCTAGGCGAGGAGTCGAACGGCCAAATCAAGAAAAGAACTTCAGCGAGGAAGTCCAAGAGACCTCCACATAAGCAAGCTAAAGTCAATGTGCCAGTATTCATTGAGCCTAAGGCTCGAGCAGTTGAGACCGGCGACGCTCAACAAAAAGACCAGTGCAACCAGAACCATCAAGACCATGACAGCGAGCAAAAATATCGGCAGATGAATGGATATGTTGCTGATGATGGAATCATCCCAAATGCGGGAAACGAATCGCCGTTGGCACTGCATCGGAAAGCATGTCGAGGAGTCACATTCGATGAGAGACTGGATGATAATCAGCGCGCGAGACCGCACTCTTCCAATTCCTTGGTCGGGCGAGATATGGAAATGGCACTTTCACAGAGTTGTCACCGTGGAGAGTGTGAGGAGGATGGGCCATTATGGCATGAGTCCGAGCGTAGCGTCGTGAGCATATCAAGTGATGACGACGATCCAGAAGAAAGCGACGAGACCAGTGATAATAGTAGTGAAGAGTTGGATGATGGGCAGCAGATGGAAGGAGATTCCGATGCTCAAACGACTTCGGGGGAGGACGTAGACAGCCAAAGCGACGCTACCAGTATTTCAGTTTCAGAAGAACCAAGTGAGGTCAGTGACAACAGTCAGAACAGTGATGGAGAAATAGATGAAGAGAGCGAGGATGAAGAGGATGAGGATGAGAAGGGAGAATATTCCACTGTACAAGCGGTATTGGAAGAAGAAATGAACAAGCAAAGTGACGAGGGTAGGGTCTTCACTGGAAGCCCAAGTGGAGAAGAAATTGCCACAGCCTCGTTGTTGGGAGGATCAAACCAGCATAAGGAGAACTTTCCGTTTGAAGATTTGCTGCTGGAAGGATTTCAAAGGACAGAAGCTGACGCGATCAAAGAGAATGACGACATTGAGCCATCACGGCTATCTGTTGACGTGAGTTGGCAGAATACTGCAAATGCAATGTCAACGTCAGAAGCTGACACGTGGAGACCGCGCAGGCCGAAGCCAGGCAGCATGGCTAATGAGACAGGAGAAGATATTGTGGACAGTCCAAGCCCGATTTTGACAATCTTCAAGAGAAGAAGATCAACCGGTCTTCAGACACATAGACGGAGAACATTCAGTAGTCGACCTCTTGACCTTACGACACGCCGACCCGCCACTCCCCGGCCTTGATCTGGAAGAGACTCAGGTTGTGGTACCTGAGATCCCAGAAACACAATTCTCTGTGGCCCGCGAGATGTCTCCTGAGCTTGGCAAATCGCAAGTGACCGATTTGTCTAATGAGCTCGAGAACTCGATGATTGACGCAATGCCTCCTGACAACCTGCAAAATTTCTTGCCTCATTTTTCCCAGCTCTCTTTTATTCCAGAAGATATACCAGAGGAAAGCTACTTTTACAGAGTGTCCCAAACCTTGAGGGGAAATTTTGAAAGACCCAAATCACGAGTTAAGTCGACTCCAGCTCGCTTTTATCCAGAACACAATAAAGCAATCGTAACTCCGGCCTTGATCCAGCCAAGTACCGAGACTACGGCGAGTGTATTCTCTGCACCAAGGACATCACCTAAATTCTCACAACAGTCGTACCGACCCACGCCCAGGTCAGAAAAAAGTTTGAGCCGTCTTACCAGACAAGCAAGCTTCGCCTTTGGGACTTTGCCGGTTTCTGCCAGGAAGAGAACAAAAACTTTACCATTTGTTCCACCATTTAAAAAGCCAACTTTGCAGATCTAGCGATGAATCATTCGCCCAAACGAAGATAGCATATATTTCAACGTTCTTGCTATTTGATGCGTTGCCTAATAAATGGAGGGATGGGTGTACGTACCCTTTTTCACAGTTGGGCCGCAAAGGGAATGTAATTCGGTATACCGGAGAAATATTTTTTTGGAGGTTTGAGCTATTAGCAATGGTAGAAAATAATGAGGGACATTCAGTAGCAATAATCAAAGAGTCGAAGAGCTGATATTCATAGTAAATGAGTATCCCGTTTACAATATTCCCCGACATTGAGGGACTCATTTACCATTGATGGCCGTACTTTGAATAACTCTACCTTTTATCACCTTTCCCTACCTACCTAGGCAAGATTGTGCTCTAGACTAGTTTTCATCATAAGGAGATTTCATCCATTTTCTGTACCAAAAACGCCTTGCTAATTGGACAAATTGGGCAGATATGTACACTACAATATCGTTTCTGCACCGGCGATTTCATCATGTAATCAATAAATCATTTTGCACCCTTCCCCTTCGCCTCGTTCTCGCCAAGCTCCCTTATATACACTTTAGTTAACCCTTCTCCACTGTAATCTTCTTGTCCATTCTCGAATCCTGGACATACGCCCACGGCTAAATATTTCCCATCACTTGAGAATGAGAGAGCAGCAACACTTGCTGGGTATTTTTGGTACTGTCTAATTCTCCTTTTCGCCACGGCGTCCCACAGTGCAACCACTCCATCACCGCCTCCAGATGCAAATGTACCATGAGTGGGGTGGAATGCTAGCGCATTGACTGGATATACAATATCAGTGCCATCGCCAGCTGCATCTGGTTGACGATGACATTTGAAAGCGTATTTGCGGGCTTGAGAATCGGGTGAGGGATCAAACCATTCCACTGCGACACGGCCTTCGATAGAGGAAGAGGCGTATCCGTCGTCGTTAGGCATGCAAGCTACAGCGCGGGTCATGAATTTAAGGGAGGATTCGCGTTGTTGCCAGGGTTTTTGGGAGGGGTCGGTGGAGCAGGGGAGGGAATAGATGTATAGAAGGCGGGATGACATGGCGACTACTAGTTTTGTGGGAGTGACAGAAAGGGAGTGCGGTTTGGATGGGAGGGGAATTGTCGTTGGTGGCTGCGAGGGATCGGAAAGGTTATGGATGTGGAGGGTTTGATCCCAGGACGCGGAGATGAGAAGAGCTGGATGAGATTAATACTCTGTAACAATTGACGCCAGCGACAATTTTGGAACTTACAATGCTCTTTACTATAAACCACTGACTTCACCGGCGCCTCATGCGTACTCAGCACTATCTGTTCCCCGCTTTCCAAATTAATCCTGTGACACATTAGCATGTCAGTCCCAATTGAATGTACACAATTGGGCAAACGCACCGTTTCACCTGCCAATCCATTCCAGCTGTAAACGCTTCATTCTCATCACTTCCAAAACAAACATCTAAAACCGGCGCGCGATGCTCATAAGTTCTAATGAGCTTCCCCCCTTCGGAAACACTTTCTGTGTTATATAGATAGACCTTTTTATCCCAAGATGATGCGAGTAATTTGGTCGGGGTATAAGGCGAGAATTGAAGAGAAGATACCGCATCGCTAGGAGGCTCAGAGAGCTCGAATTGAACTGCTGGAAAGATATATTAGTATACTTGCTTGAGCTTGGAGAATGCAGAGCTTTGGTTACCTGGCGCCATGATTGTATGAGCTTCGAATGATAGTTAAGCTAATGCGGAAATTTCTATACGCGCAACACTCAATGTTTTAGAGCTATGAACTTTTTAAAAAAGTGTCTTGTCAGTAATTGCGCACTTTGCGACGAGAGTGGTCTGGTCCTACTGAAATATTTAGATTGATCTCGAAGCCATATTTCTGTATGACGCTTAGTGCAACAATTCTGCCATGTTCACCGCCATTAAATGTTTGTCAGCCTTGCATTAATTAAGCCTTTCAACTTTTGCCAAAAATGCCCCTCTCCAAACTTAACAACCATTCTTCCAATATCCCCGAAATAGTTTTTTTAAGATCTTGAAACTCTAAGCTTTCCAAATCTGCAATAAGATTACTACTTTTCCAAAAACCTCAGACTTGAAAGTGTCGTCAGACGTGCAACAAGACTTTTGGGAAGTTCGAGTGTAAGCTAAGATTGGTGGTGGGCTACAATCTCGCAGGTTTCGCACTTCTTCGACATCATATCTACGAAATTTACGGCGGCTTCTGGATATTCCATATACATGAAGGATAATTTGAAGGGTTATATTATCCCTATTTAATGCAATAAGAAAAATACTAGGATTCCTACTCACACCTCTCACCTACGATTCGCCCCTCATTATCATCCTACGATCATCACAAATTATAACCACACGCCATTCACACATAAAGCACAACATGCCTTTCGCACAACTCGTCCTCGGCTCTCCTGGTGCTGGGAAATCTACCTACTGCAATGGTATGCAACAGTTCATGTCTGCCATCGGAAGAAAATGTTCTATTGTGAATCTCGACCCTGCGAATGACCATACGAGCTATCCTTGCGCCATCGACGTGCGCAATTTGATAAAGCTGGAAGAGATTATGGAAGAAGATTCATTAGGGCCCAATGGTGGTGTGCTCTATGCCCTTGAGGAATTAGAGCAGAATATCGAGTGGTTGGAAGAAGGGTTGTCGGAGCTAGGCGAGGATTATGTACTTTTTGATTGTCCAGGCCAGGTCGAACTTTACACACATCATTCGTCTTTACGGAATATATTTTTTAGGTTACAGAAATTAGGATATAGAGTATGTTATTCAGTTTGCAATTGGATATCTACTTCAGGGAATCAATATGCTGACATTTGTGCAGCTCGTAGTTCTTCATCTTTCCGATTCCTATTGCTTGACTTTGCCTTCATTATACATCTCGAATCTTATCCTCTCACTGCGAGCAATGCTACAGATGGATTTGCCACATCTGAATGTCTTGACAAAAATGGACAAGCTGGCTTCGTATCCACCACTTCCTTTCAACTTAGACTTTTATACCGAAGTCCAAGATCTGTCATATTTACTCCCTAGTCTTCAAGAAGAATCATCTGTAATGCAAGGCTCAAAGTTTGAAGGTCTGAATAAAGCTATCATTCAGCTTGTTGAGGATTTTGGGTTGGTGGGATTCGAGACTTTGGCGGTGGAGGATAAAAGGAGTATGATGCATCTACTCCAGGTCATAGATCGTGCCGGAGGATATGCTTTTGGTGGCGCGGAGGGGGCGAATGATACCGTCTGGCAGGTCGCTATGAGAGAAGGTACCACAACGATGGATATAAAAGACGTTCAGGAGCGATGGATCGATCGCAAAGAAGAGTACGACGAGGCATATCGTGAGATGGACAGGAAGCAGTTTGAGGAACAATCCAAGATCCAAGAAGAGGATGAGAATTCAAGAGCCGCAGAAGATGATGACGATCTCGAGGAGATGGCTCGGGCACCATTCGATTCGGGAATAAAAGTTGTTAGAACAAATCAATGATACCGTCATCCATTTCCATCACTTAATTCTTCATCTTCATCACTATCCACTGCATCCACCATCATTACATCTTTCGTAGGTTCTGCCATAGTCCCCTTGTCTGGGCTAAACATCTTTTCAAGTGTAGATTCGCTTTGTTCCCCTAGGTCTCGACGAGCCTTTAATATCATTTCCCTCGCCCTTCTGATAGCTTCCTCCTCCGCTTTTCTTATTGTCCCACTTACCCTCACAACCCTGAATACACAATTCTTCCCATTCTTAATAGGTAAACTATTCATCAGCGACAAAGCTGCCCAAACAATCCTATAATGCGCTCGTGAAACCCGTAGAATAAATGTCGATGTGGCAGATGACAAATATTTTACTGCATTCCAATCACATCAGTAACTAGTTCATAGATTGATTTTTTTTCTTTTTTGTGGACAAGAGAAATAACAAACCAGCAATACTATCCGCAATCGCACCACTTCCATAATCCCCAAACAGATTCGCAACTTCCATTTGGATTCCCCTTAGTAGTGCGCGCGAATTTAGCGCATCAACAGTCGGCTGATTGAATAACACTACATCTGGCAGATTTTCCTTGCCGGTTGTAGTCTTCTCCAGTTCTGGGTAGAGGATATTTACCAAAAGGTATCGGTTTTTAATTCGAACCATGGTTGTTGAGGCTTAATTGGTTGATTGATTCGGAGCGCGCTGGAACAAAAAGAAAAAAAAGTCTGGGAGACGCGATTTCTTGTGACGTCGGCTTTTTCTCCGTCAAGGGTGTGCTTGGATCGGATCGGTAAGTGGGGAAGCTTGGGAGGGGAAGAGAGTGATGATTAGAACATCAACTTTCTCGACAAGATAATCGAAAATGGATAAACAGACTTTCAAAGCTGCGATACTAATTGTATCGACTACTGCAGCTAAAGATGCATCGACAGACTCTTCAGGACCTGTCTTGAGAGATGTTTTTGGGGATACACATGGCTTGTGGGAAGTTGTAGAAACGAAGATCGTGAGTGATAATGTGATGGATATTCAGAGAAGTGTGATGTCTTGGTCGGATCAGGAGAATACTATCAATGTTGTGATTACTACCGGCGGGACTGGGTTCGCCGTCTCAGACAATACTCCTGAGGTAAGCTTAGGACAGCTTCAAAGGCAGCATGTTACGCATGCTAAATTGCATTATCATAGGCGATTATACCACTTTTACACAAGCAAGCTCCTGGAATTGTTCATGGGATGCTTGCAGCTTCACTGGCAGTCACTCCTTGTATGTACGGAAGTCTTACGGCACCAATAGTTAACTGACTAGTAATAGTTGCTCTCATGTCAAGGCCTGTAGCAGGTGTTCGCAATAAGACAATCATCATTACATTACCAGGATCACCAAAGGGAGCAAAGGAAAACCTTCAGTCAATATTGAATCTTTTACCACATGCTTGCCTTCAGGCTGCAGGAGCCAATTCCCGAGCTCTTCATGCAGGAGGAGTGAGAAAGCTTGAGAAGGATGCCGGCTTTAGCTCTACCGGGTCTTCTCCTCCAGTACATTCGCATAACCATGATCACTCCCATAGTCACTTGCATGGCCATGGTCATATTCATGATCATAGCCATGGGCATGCAATACCCGTCAGACACACTGCCCCAGATGGAAATCCTCGGTCGAATGATCCTGCTCTAGGTCCAACACGACGGAGTCGTTCATCGCCATACCCTATGTTGTCTGTCGGTGAAGCTCTGAAACTGATTGAGAAATATACGCCTTCACCACAAGCCGTGAAAGTTGACGTAGATGGGGGCATTGTAGGGTCTGTTATCGCTGAAGAGGTTACAGCAAGTGAGGCCGTGCCAGCATATCGCGCGAGTATTGTAGATGGATATGCCGTGATTGCTACAGAAGGTAAATCGAATAGAGGCGTATTTCCCGTAGCATCGATATCCCATGCCACCGCGGGCGAGCATCCGCAGCTGCAGGAAGGTCAGATTGCACGTATTACAACTGGTGCTCCCCTGCCGCCTGGAGCTACTTCAGTAGTAATGGTAGAAGATACTGTGCTGAAAACAATGACCGAAGATGGTAGAGAGGAGAAAGAAGTCGAAATTTTAGCCGATGGAGTAAAGCCTGGTGAGAATGTTAGAGAAGTCGGTAGTGATATTAAAGAAGGGTTTGTCATTATGCGCAAAGGGGAAGAAATATCTGCCAATGGTGGTGAACTGGGTCTGCTCGCATCCGTAGGTAGAGCAGAAGTTATTGTTTACAGGAAACCAATAGTTGGTGTTCTTTCCACTGGAGACGAAATCGTCGAACATAACAGGCCTGGCTCTCTGAGGATGGGAGAAGTTCGTGACTGTAATAGACCAACGATCATGGCAGCGGTGCGAGGTCTAGGGTTCGAAGTCGTAGATCTCGGCATCGCTCGGGATAAACCAGGAGACCTAGAACAGACACTGCGAGATGGACTTCGAAGGGTTGATGTTGTCATAACCACAGGTGGTGTATCTATGGGCGAACTTGATCTTCTCAAACCAACTATTGAGAGATCATTGGGTGGAACAATTCATTTCGGACGTGTTTCGATGAAACCAGGAAAGCCTACAACCTTCGCGACAGTGCCAGTGCCAGTGAAGAACAATGCTGGTGAAAGAGTCTCTAAGGTCATATTTTCTCTGCCTGGAAACCCAGTTTCCGCTATAGTTACTCTTCATTTGTTTGTTCTTCCTTCTCTGCATCACGCTTCTGGAATATCCCCTGTAGGATTGCCAAAACTTCCGGTAACTCTATCACATCAGTTTCGTTTAGATCCTCAAAGAGTCGAATACCATAGAGCGATTGTAACAATGGCCAAAGATGGTCTTTTGTATGCAAGTAGCACTGGTATGCAGCGTAGCTCAACGGTGGGAAGCTTAAAGAGTGCAAATGCATTATTATGCTTGCCAATCGGATCGGAGGATTTACCGAAGGGGACCAAGGTTGAAGCAATTCTGATGGGTAGAATCAGAAGTGAATATGAATTTCAATAATCTCTCATAAGCAAGAAAAGAAAGAAACAATTCACTTGATATGAGTGCTAGAGACTGAGCATATTGTCATGTCATTGGAAGTGGAATCACTGGAATAAGTCAAGCGTCAAAAGTGAATTAAAATGTCCTTATTCTCGAACTGGAAGGAACTCTTCCCCTCTCCTCTCATATTATAAGCGTGGAGGTTCTAGAACATCCTTCCACCCACATGATCTTTCCTCTCCTTCACAAACACTTCCAAGTTCTCGAATCTTTTTATTCTTCACCACTTTGATAATATTTCTTCATTTGAATACACATCCTTCATGATGTGTCAATTCGAATATTTTCAATATCAAAAATGTGGTCACAAAGCTATTGAAATCTCCGGATTTTGTAATGTAGTTTTCTGGAGAGCAGGCATGACATCTCACCTCACACCCTGTCCCGAACAAAATTTCAGAGCATTTTTCGTCAGAATCGGTACCTTAGATGGTTTGGATTTTGGTACTTGTAAATGGATCGGACTAAGTGGATATTGCAAGATGTGTGAAGAAGAATCTCATGTAAGTGCAGTCATGTGGATTTCCTGTATATGCTTGGTCGAGGTCATAGACCGAAGGACTAGCAGCTATGCGTAGGTGTCTTATATAAAGTTGAATGGATACCACGAGTATTATCATATCATTAATTTCTTGCAGATGCCAAAAGCCATTCCCTACCGCACATATGAAGACTATGAGTTTCTTGAAGGTATCGGGGATCTCACCGGCGCTATCTTCGCAGTCAAATTAGCTGAACCGATCACATACCCTCCTCCATCTCAATCGATACAATATTCTTCTACTCCAAACGAATTTGTCACTAAAGAAATCCTAGAAAAGGAGATAGCCAAACCTCCAACCCCACCACGTGAGTGAACCGGTCTTTCAACTCAGTACCTTTGAATGCTTCAGCTTTTAGATCATTCCTCGCTTTTTAGTGTTTGGTCAATTTACCCTCTCTTTTCAATGAATTTCCTCAAAAGTATTAACATCCCCGTTTTGTAGATGAAGCAACACCCGCCACTGGAGAAAACCTGTTGTCGCGTAGACTCAAGACTTCATTGCACCATCCTTATATTTTCACCCCCTATATTAAAAATACAATTGCAGCTTTGATCTCGGTCGAAGACCAGAACATCTCGACTTTGCTATCGATTCAAAACAAGGATATTCCCGAGGGAGCTCTAGAAAAGGGCACCATAAAAGAATTGCGAGAATTGTACTTTCCGGCAAAGCTTCAAATGTACGAACTTAACCAAGGTGTCGATGGTGTCACTGATCAATGGAGGAGCCAAGGCTATTATGATGGCCGAATATTAGAGGGTTTACCACCAAGCCAGTACTTTTGGGACCATGTAGGAATGACCCCTGGGGATGAGCAGTATCTCGTGGATAGGTTAAAGGATGGCATACCATTACAAATTGTCTGGCGGTAAGTAAGTTCGACGCATTCCCTAATTTTGGTTGTTCTTACTTATCTGAACATCCACTCCCTTGGTTCGAGTGCAAGACTTAGGACTTCAAAAGCTGACCGTCCCTCTCATAGAGAGAAGTTCAAGGAGAGAGGGATGGACCTCCCAATGTTTTACCAATACGGCCGAAAGCTGGAGGAGCACTTTCAATGTCGTGTTGTGCGGACGAACTCAAGGATGGGAAAGATCGGAAAAGAACTCAGTGAACGATCCCAAGCAGCCGATGGTATTCAACCATTTGGTACATATCAACAAAATTCGAGCAGTGGTTTGCAGCCCAGCCGAGAATCATCACTGCGTCAGATTAATCCTTTTGGATATAGCTTAGATGACCTCCGCCAACAACATCTGCAGCAGCAAATGCAACAAATACAACTACAGAGAATGCAACAGATGATGGAGCAGCAGATGATTCGACGGCGCATGATTCAACAGCAGCAGGCTCAGCAACAATTGATGTGGCAGCACCAAATGCAGCAACAGCAGGTTGTCAGCAAGGAGAAGGGACAGATAGCGGTCGTAGAGGAAGTCGAGATAGTGGAGACATCAGGCAGAGGTTTTCTGAGGAAAGATGGGGGCGGAGCAATTTGATAAAGAAATACGATCCGTTATTGAACAGCACCGTTTAGGGTGCTTGAGCCGTATCCGACTACGATGCGTAGCATGGATTCTGACTTGGAGGCATTCAGCCATTATCCAGCAGATGGTAGCTTCGCGGCAGTCGGAAACTTATGAAACATTGCACTTTGGCACTGCATGTCTGAGAGCATGTAAGTTCCATTTACCACAATGGCAGATTTGATAATACAGTCTAGCACTACCACCGTTTAATAAGAGTAATATTAATGCGTGCTTGCCTAAAATCCCAAGAATGCTTAAAATGGATTTCTACCTGAACGCCGTTCGTCGACTTCCACTTGGATGATATACACGTACACAACAGTCATTTATCTAACACCTCTTTCCATTTATTTGAAACCCTCCTCCGTCCACCGCTTATTCTCTATTCGAAGTCTGGTGCCTTTGATGATACTAACAAGCCGATGATGAGACCAAAAAGTCCAAGTACAGAACTGAAGATCTCGATAACTAAAATCTTGACGAATCTGGCATGAATTAGCATATACACCTCGGTTGGATGAGCCTATCCAACTTACAAGCTTGGATCAGCAGCATCTGCCAAAGCAGCACCACTACCGTTGATGCCCACCGAAACACCGCATATCAAGTTGCACATTCCCACTGTTATGCCAGACCAGAATAAAGCGTATCCAGTATAGTAGTTGCTAGCAGAGTATAGATTCTCGCTTTCCATGAGACCGAGCTTTGACGAAAAGACGATGGACATAATGACGCCGTAAATAGCGACTACCTCGCAGAAAATGATGGATATAAGATTCTTGGTTCGAATGCGAGGAGCTTTAACACCACCACCAAGGATCGAAGAACCGGTTATAAGGATTCCCCTGAATATGTGTAAGCCCAAATTCAAGGATGAGGGGCGAAACTATTCTGTACCATGCTGCCCCAACAACTGACAATCCTATACACATGCCGATACCCATATCTGCCCACGCATATGGCGATATTTCTTCGAGAAATTGTCCGACCTATTGTTCTTATTAATGACCGCTCTGCTTGAATCGCTCTGCGAAATTCATACATTGAAAGCTTCTCCATCGCCAGTAAAGAGCATGTCTAGTAGCAGCACTGGTTAGCTTTAATTCATCAAATCAAGCAAGAGTTCAAAACTTACAAGCCCCGACCACAGCCAATGCTGTGGTAGCGCCACCAATTCCATATGTAAGGCTCATCTTGTCCAGATAATCTTCGTCGACCAAATGAAAGGAATTGAGTGTTGATCGTTGTCAACGAAGCTGTATAATGATTTGCGTTGGTCTGTCAAGCTCCAACCGAGAGAGCAACCTGAATCGCCGCCCGTAGCTAGCGCCAAACGCCGCGAAATCAGCCGCTTACTTCAGCCTCTCTCCATATATAAACAACAATCATCGACGACATCACTTTTCTCTCTTCAACCGCAAATCTCCAGTACAATCATACAAGATGGCGGCTCCACAGTCTTTCTACGAGCTATACCGCCGTAGCAGGTACTGTGCCTTATTTTGCTACACAAGTACACAAATATTTCTACATTTACTGACAAAGCATTAAGTATCGGCATGGCGCTCACAGATACCCTTGACGATCTGATCAGCGAGAGACGTATCGAGCCTCAACTCGCAATGAAAATATTGGCAAACTTTGATAGGAGTATCACGGAGGTTTTGGCAGATAAAGTCAAGGCCAGATTGACGTTCAAGGTATATGCGCTCGGGGGCTTGCAGGAAATATCATTCTTCGACATTGGGGTGCAACAATGAAAGAACAATTTAGCTAACTTGATGGTGAAGGGACATCTCGATACATATCGTTTCTGCGACGAGGTCTGGACTTTCTTGATTAAGGATGTTACTTTCAAGATGGAGAACTCCAGTCAATCGGTCACGGCTGATAAAGTCAAGATTGTGAGCTGCAACAGCAAGAAACCTGGTGATCCTCAGTAAATAAGACGTGGAGGACGAGCATTCATGGAACTGCAACATTTTTGTTGGGGAGTGGGAGGCGGGAAGGCAATGGCGATTAAGACGGTGATTGAGAATGATTTCCGGGATGGTCAACAATGGTTTTCACAGATTGGGCTCTTCAATGACTTTAGAGGAAGGATATATCTGGCGTTCATTGGTTCCTGTGGCGTTTTTTTGGCAACTTTTCGGAGAATGAGGAAAGCATAGCTATCTCGTTCGTACGTATCTGCACATTGTCAAAATTATAGACGTCGCAATTTGATGCGATGCTAATCTAATAGCAGAATCTAATCAGGTCTGTTTACCAATATTTTTCAGTGTCAGTATGCTTGTGTAAAACTCGATTAGAGAGAGCGAAATAAGAAAGCCAAAGCTATCCCAACACAACCTTTCAATGTTCAAATTGTTACGAGCAGTTGAGAAGGTGCTTCAGGGGATAAGATATGCATCAAAAGAGATTCGCAACGGTGAAAACGTTACTCATGTTGCTGGCAATTTATGATGGGGCGCTTGTCTGTAAGCTGTACCGGTAGAGTATGGGTGTTACATCAATATTCCCTCCTCCACTCTATCTTCTCGCTTTTTCTTCTTCATTTTCTGAGACGAATTCTCAGTCATCGACGTTTATTTAGATTTTGAAATGCTTTGCGGGGGTAGTAACCTTCTCCTGCATTTTGAGATTTAAAGTAAAAAGGCCCAAGCCAAAGCTCTCAACATGAATATTTTCTAGGTTGGTAATGATTATGGGGCATGAACTCGTATATTTTCTTGTCGAGTGCCTCGATTTATTCATATTGAAGATTGTATCATTTCCAATCCGCAATGGAATTGTCTACCTCAGATCTTCGGCTTGCCATAGAACGCAGCAAAAGTGTGGAATAGATTCTGGGTTGAGAGGCTACCCCATAGTATAGCTTTCATACATTACTCGCTATTCAATAGTCTTAACCATTTACCTACTAGCTATTAGCTATTAGTTTGGCTTCTATGATAGCGTGCCCACCTCCCACTCAGCGTCATTCGAAACAAGTTTTTCTTTCCTCCATCATTAAACCCCCATCTCAATTACAATTATCCTCCTTAAAATCCAAAGCCATGCATTCTCCATTGCCAACGATCAAAAACTTCCTCCGTGCTGCCAAAAATATGGTAAAACGTAAAGGGAAATCAAAAGCTTCGACTCGCGCTAGAACTGACTTGGCTATTACGTCAGTACCGATTCCGATTCAAAAGGGTGGTGCGCCCACATCTCCTTCTCTTTCCATGGGTTCTATGGTTACTTGTGCGAAAGGCTCGTGGTATTCTGCACCAAGTGATACATACGAGATAGTAGTTGGATCACAGGATGCATTTCCTAGCGAGGAAGCACCCTGGGGTGAACAATATGGGGAATATCATGAATATGAAGAATACGAGGAAGATGAGGAAGATGAGGAACGTGAAGAAAAGGAACACGAGTATTTTTGGGAAGAATTGTGGGAACATTTCCATGCGGAAGGAGATGTCAAGAACGAATTGGACGCCGTTACGGCTGCGCTTCGTATCGATGGGCTTATGTTAGCAGGCTGTACTAGCATCGGTACAAATGATTCCGGGATGGATTTATTCAATCGTGATAGATTTAAGAGTCTCCCCTCATTCCCTCTATCTGAGCTAGATGAAGAAGAGATGGAAACAACGCAGTGGAACGTCGATGTGCTCTTGGAAGAGCCACAGGAACAAGAAGTTGAAAGGACTTCGATGAGTCTGATGCAGACAATTAGCAACACTTGGACTGAGGTTAAAATGACCCTGCGCTCGAAAATATCTATTCGATCTTTGCAATCAAAGGCTACTTGAGACTATCGATCTTGCTTGCGAGATACGGAGCTCCTTGTAGCTGACATTCCGGCATCTTTACGTGAGCTATTCCGAAGATTTTCGCTAGACGCAAAGATTTTAACAGATCTCTCATACTGGCAAGCAACGCAAGAGATTTGTTAGTTTTGACGATATAGAAGTTCGATTGGTACCTTGGAACTAGAAAAAGGTTGCCTAGAGTTTTACTCAACATCTCAAGTCTCCGCTATTTTATCCATAAATCTACACCCAAACGCACTTCACGCTATATTCTCTCCCCTCAAAAACAGCAACTTCCATCCGCGCAATCGAATAACACTCCCAGTCAAGTTCTAGATATTTACCACCGCGAGTTTTCGATTCCAATTCTTACCCTGGAATCCCTCAAATACAACGGGGTAACGTATCGGCCCAAACAAGCCAGCACCAAAGACGATATTGTATCCCACCCTGGCATGGTTATTTCCATGATGGAAGTGCAATTTGTTAAGTATATTTAGGGGACTGGGAGAATGGGAACAGCGGGGTATTGATGTATGGTCTGCAATGCTGCTCTATTCTACGCCCACAGCCGCTCTACTACTATTCACGGAAAAGCATTCATTGCAGCTACACATGGAATGAGAAGATCGCTTAGATTTGATATTGTCACGTTGAAGTCGGGATCTCGCAAAAGGTGTGGTAGACGAGCTGAACAAAGAATCTTGAGGTATTTTATTTGACAAATTGATTTCTGAATAGAGCAAATATGTAGATTAGATACAGGCATATTGGATATAGGTTGTGTACACAATTTAGGATATTTAAGGAGTATTAGTGTCGAGAAGTCAGAAGTCATATAAAGCAATCTCAATTCATTGTTCACACCATGATTAAACTTAAGAGCAGAGAAAGCAGCTAGAATTGCCATCGAACAACTGCAATTTGGTGTATAGGATTGGCCATAGCTCCCTCCTGAATTCTCTTCTAACTGCCTCCGATTAGCCTTCAAAGACTTTTCCCATGCTCAAGTAGCTGTCGGTATAGTAGTTGTTCCTCCAACTTGACGAAAAACGGTACCAAGGATACACATTCGAGGTCGGGAGGCCGAAGAATTGTTAGAGGAAAGGCTTCGAGAGCTTAAAGAGCGAGATTTGAGGGCTTATCTGTGAATGCTAGATCTTCTCTGTCAGAAGCCGAAAAGTTGATTTCTCGCATTCATGTATGCCCAGCTCCTCAGAACTCGGATGTTTTCCTCCTTCCAGAATTCCCCGGAAAACGAAGGTATCAAAAACATACGGAAGGAAAATTTGCAAAGGGTTTGGGCGCGAACACAGACCTGGATTCCCTCTTCTGGGCTCAATAGAATACACAATCTCTACATTTATTCCAGGAGCTCATGAGTGTCACTCATATCTTACCATAAGTAAAGGCAAGTTATACGTGGTTCTCGTCGATGTGGAGATGGTATGGGCAAGCAATGTGCTTGAATATAGCCCATTATCCCAGGCGTGGGAACAGAGTAGTTCTGCAAGGCCGATGGAGACTATCAAGATAGCACCCCTATCGGGGTGGTTAATACCATGGTGCATAACTTCTTCACAATATGGTAGGCTTTTCAAGACATTCCTAATTTCACACTGATCGGAGGCGTTCACAGGCGCGCTGTTTTATTGTCCTCTTACTGCTCTTCATGATCGGGAGGACGCTAAAGCGGTTCATACTTTCCAAAAATTGGTTCCTACCGATGGCTCCTGAATCCAAACTCGTCATTGATGAGATGGTCCTTCAAACCACTGGGCCAGTGGTGGTCGACTGCCTAGATCTGTATATGTACACCATGCTCGGGGAGAGGGAACGCAACGAGAGCAGTGGCATTCTCTTCTTTGCAAAGCTGGCTTATAGATCAGGAGATCAAGACCCAGAGCTCCATTATGAGACATTCCATCATCATCACACAGCCCAAATAAGCGAATGGTGTTACATTCATCTGTACATTAGTTTAGAAAGGAGAGAGAAATGTGGAAGAAGAAGAGGGGAGCGTCATGATCAAGTTCAAATACCTTCATACCAAAATGCCACTGAGTATATTGCAGTAGATGGATGGCGAGAAACTCCGACTTAGGCCAATCCAAGTAAACCGCAAAAGTCCTTGATAATTTTTGGAAATATGGTGTTTTGCGCAGAATTTGATGAAGATCAAGAAGGTGCGACGCATGCGACTGACTAATTCGGAAAAGCAAAATTTCTTTTTACTTGGAAAAAGTCCAAATAACTTGTACATGTCTTTCAAACTGAAAGAATTACCAGCAAAACTCTGCCGTGACATAGACAATTTTCAAAACGTCGTAAAATTACCTATGATCAAGCATCAACGCAATGCATACTCACGATTACTTCCGGGCACCGTAACTCACCACATCACCTCAAACCACACCTAAACAAAGGGATAAACAGCTACCTCGACCCTAACCATAAGCAAATTCCAGCACTCTCAGCATGCTCCGCCCTACCAAACGCAAAACCCAATCCTCAACCCTCCTCTCCACCTCCCCCTCCGAATCCGACAATCGTGAGCTCTCGGCATTCGTAGACAGGGCTGCCGGTACAACAACAGCTCATACTTCCAACACTCTCCGTGACGGAAGTGAATCCACCACAACCGCTACAATTATGGCCGACAAAACTATTGGTGGAGCGGATGATCCGCGTAAACCCCTCTTAGGTGCAACAGGAGCAGGGGTCAGACTTAAGCTTCCGGCTAAGAATAGGATTATCAATGATGGATCTTATAGTAGTACTACGGTTTCGAAATCGATTGCTTCATTAGATTGTGAAGAGAGAGACGAATTAGACTTGGAAGAAGAAGAAGAGGCACAGCAACAGGAGCAGCAACATATCATGGAGAATATTAGCCGGAAATCGCAATGGATTTTATTGGCTGTGGCTAGTGGTGCTTGTGCGGCTTTCAATGGGGTTTTTGCTAAATTGTAGGTTGCGGTTTTACTCTTTTGTAATATTGTGTCACATTTCTTGTACGGATTTGGTGATGCCGTGGATGGACGGGAATAGAAGATTAGGGCTGTTGTTTATCGATTTCTGTGCGAGCATTGGAGTACTTCCCGCAAAGCTATACGGAACGAACGGCTATGTTATTGCTAGGATTATGCGCTGACACTACATACATAGAACAACGACACAATTAACGACTTCTTTTGCAGAGCATGTTGCAGGATTCTTCGGCTTAGGCAAGGGTGAAAAGGTGGTTGAATATGGTGTGCGAGGAGTGAGTTTCCGGTTCTTACCATTCAGTCAATGTTTCTGAAGGTAGCTCTTCATGTGGAAATGGGACACCAGCATAACTACAAGACATCATGATATATTGACTTGCTAACCCATAGCTCTAATAGATATTTTTCCTCCTCAACCTCGTCTTCAATGGTATAATGTGGACGCTCTTTACCAAAGCCCTCGCGCGGGGTACTTCGACCGTACAAGTGTCCATCATAAATACATCATCCAATTTCATGATAACCGCCGTTCTTGGCTTTATGATCTTCTCGGAAAGTTTACCGCCATTATGGTTTTTAGGTGCGGCATTACTAGTTGCTGGAAATGTGATTATCGGCAGAAGAGAAGAGGAAGAAGAAAGTAGTGGAAACGATATGGAGAATGGAGAGGGCAGAAGAAGAAGCGGTAGCGAAGGAGAAGAAAGGGAAGGACTCTTAGGCGAAGAATTAGAGCTGAATGGAGGCATTGTGGAAGAAGCGGATGGAAATAATAAAAGTGATGATGATGTTTTGGATTTGGGATTGGATGATGAGGGGAAGAGTGATGAGGAAGAGGATTTGTTAATCCATTGATTGGACGTTCATCACTTGGATAGATGTGTACATTGAATATATGGTAGGATATGGGTGGTAAGACTTAGAGTATTGCTCGGCGTTGGATTTGGATGGCCAATATAGTATGAGGGTATGATGGTTAGACCTACCTAGTAAGACTTACTTGCAACTTCTTCATTTATACCCCAGTTGTATTTATCGAATTTTTCATTAGAGAACTCTTTGGCCTCGGAAATAGGATACGTTGTACCGTTTAGTTTGGATACTCTATATATCAAAGAGTATTATCCGTCCGTAGTCTTTTCGTCCAATAGTATGTATAAAAACAGCTCATCAAAGTGTGATTTGATTCAAGCAAAGGAAGAGTTAGAGTATAGCATTTCATTGAATATCAAAGCAACTTATAAGACCTCGGGAGTTAGACTTAGAAGAGCTTACTGAAGATATTACTCATTACTCATTAGATACCTATAATATAACCTATATAACCTAGCAAGTGAAATACGAATCCAGAATCATAAGGAGGCGAAGCTTAAGTACTGTATTTTGGACATCACTGGGATATCGTACGGGTACATGCAATTGGTAATTAACCTACTCGGTGAGATGTGAAGTAACCTGGCTATGTTAGATTTTTCTTTCCTTCTCTTCCTTTCCTCTCTTTCCTTCCCCCTATTCTCTTCTCACATCATCCAAAACCCAAATATCTATATCTATATCTATATTGAATATTAATATCCTCAAATTAAAGTTCAACAATATTTAGTTGCATATTATAAGTCTTTTTACTCGGTTTTTATTCTTCCTCCCTCTCCCTATACACCACTCCCTTCCCAAAGTAATAATTAGGAAAGGATATTTTCATTCCCCGTCCACTTCTGCTATGCTATGGCTTATCTCTTCATTATATCTCACTTCTGTTGAAAAGAGGAGAGGATACATAATATTAGTTGCTGTGCAGTATATAGATAGCTATGAAGTTCGAAATTAAGAACTCATCTGTTCACTTGACGGGTTTACGGGAAGGATAATATTAATTTACAAATTTTTAATCTATCTATCTACCTACGCAATATGCTTTTCTGTACAAATCCTACGGGCCTATCTATGATTTACTTAGCCCTTTTGGCTGGGAAATGAAAATCATCTCATCAATCTATTAAAATCTCATCCATCCATGCACCCACCCATCACGACATCCAGATTTATCCATCTACGTATATCCAAACGCCCTTTTCACTCACTCTACCAGCCCATCCAACACCCATTATTATACAAACTCAGCCCAACCAAACCCTACCCACGCAACCTAAACAACGCTCAACGCAACAATCTCAAAACATCACCTATCCTCGTCTCCTTCCCCTTCCCTCTACCCTCCCTCGCCTTCTCCTGAAACGCCTTCCCAACCAATTTTCTCTTCTCCCCCTGAATCTCCAAAACTCTTTCCTCAATACTTCCCTCCATCACCAATCTCCAAACCTTACAGTCACGCTTCTGTCCCAGACGATACACACGATCTACAGCTTGATCTTCGATTGCGGGAGCCCACCAAGAATCCGCAAGGATAACCGTATCAGCCGACACTAGGTTAAGACCTACGGAACAAACTGCCAAACTGGCGAGGAGGATACGACATTCGGGATCGGATTCGAGGGATTGCATGCCTTTGTCACGTTGTGGGGCGGTCATGGATCCGTCGATACGAGCGAATTTGATTCCGGATTGCTCGAGTTGTTTTTGAATGACGTTGAGGAAAGAGGTCCATTGGGAGAAAATGACGACCTTTGAGAGCGGATCATTGTGCGTGACTTTGATGATTTGCATGAGAGCTTCCGTCTTTGAAGATTGTTCATCCGTGTTGATTTCCTCATCTTCTGCCTTTTCGACGGCGGGGCGAACGAGGCATTCGTTGTTTGCCAGGTCGGCCCGACACATGGGACATTTTTGTTGCAATTCGATGGTGCGCTCAATACATTCTTTTCCGAAAACGTGCTTGCAGGCCGTGATGACGGGGTTGTGGAGTTCCTCGAGACAGATAGCACATTCTTCATGGTTGTCGATGTTAAGTTGGAGGAGCATCTGTAGGGCAAGTCTATTCTCCTCGTTAAGAACAACGATATCATCTTTCTCAATAGCTTCCATGAGGTTGGTAACTCTGTTCTCGCAAAGTTTCCGATGATTGCATACTTGACGCATGCGAAGGAGGATCTCAAGAATGTGAGTGTATGAAATGGTGTTCTTCTTGCGAGATTCTGATTCCTTTTGATATTGTTGAGCCATACCTTGAGCTTGTTTACTATTTTGCTGTCAGCCAGTGGCATCGGAAAAATGTTGTTATTACTTACACCAAAGCTTCATAGACTTTTAGTTCATCATCTCTAAACTTGACCTTGTGAACGAACTCTGACAAATCAGGTAATTTCAGATCGACAAATTTCATATCCTTCTTACGTCGCAAGCACATAGATCTCATCGTTGTCTGCAAGAGAACTTCCGCATCACGGCTTCCCATTGCCCTAAACGTATATTAGCATTAGTAGCAATGTGATGCTCCTATTTCGAGTGCTTAGAGGGATTGAGTGAATACTTACAATGGGCGAGTAAACACAGAGTTGAAGATGTCAAGTTCTTGGAGACCACCACTGACACCTAAGAATTTTAGCATGGCATAAAAGTCCTTAATAGTATTAACAATTGGTGTCCCTGTTAAAACCCATCGGGAAGTTGCGATGATACACGTTGCTGCAATGGCACTCTTTGTCTTTGGATTACGAATGATGTGACCTTCATCGAGAACAATTCTGCGCCAGCTCATCGAATATAATCCAGAAGAAGTTGGAACTTTCCCTGGGGTCTTTGAGCCACGAGGGAACAATTCTGAGCTGAGTGTGCCATATGTAGTGATAACAACATCGTACTGTTTGAATTCATTAGCGGTCATTCCCTTGACCTTGCCTTGGCTGCCATGGTAAGTTAAGACTTTCAAAGCTTTATCTTCCTTGATATGTCTCTCCATTTGTTGTGCCCAATTCGACATAACACTAACCGGCGCAACGATTAAAGTTGTACCTGATCCACCTGCAAGAATGAGGGAAATAACCTGCACAGTCTTTCCAAGACCCATATCATCCGCAAGTATACCACCCAAAGCCAACTTCGGAGCTTTATCACAGTAATTGGTTGCAATATTTTGGTAGGTGCCTTTGTGTTGTTTGGAGGCTTTCCAAAGCTGCACCACTTGATCGGATTTGGCATCTGGTAAGACTGGATTTTCCTTTTCAAGCATCCATGCTAAGCCTTGACGTTGATACGGAAGCAAAGTACATTTAAGAGCCTCCGGCTGCTCTACCATAGGCATCTTTGCAAGGGCATCCTCGGGTAAGCCCAACTCCTCGGCCATTTTATCAACTTCTCTTGGGTTGAATCGTTCGCTATTGGCGACAAAGTGTGCTAGATCAATGACTGGTTGAGGTACTGGCGCTGGTTGACTAGATACGCCTCCTTGAGAAGATTTGAAACCAATTTCCTTTCTTTGAGGGGGTGGAACAGGAGCCTTCGGTTGCTTCGGTGCCGCAACATCTCGTTTCTTCAGTGGTAGCCTCTTGGCAGCTAACTGTCTCTCCACTGATAGAAAAAGTTAGCGACATGAGACATTTTTTAAAGAACCTCCAGGAATATTTAAGTGTCTAAGGAGATGAAATAACCCACAATCAGCTCTTACAACAGGATCCGCGGGTCCATAAATCTTAAGCAGAATAGGACAATCATAGGCTCTCTTCTCCCCGGCAAGAATACCCTCCATGACAATAGTTTTTGCATCCTAATTCCATCAGATTAGTCTACCTTTGTCTCACTTACGCACAAGATATCAACAACCACCTACCAAAAACCCCGCCAGCTTAGCCGCCAACTCTCTCGGCAAATGTCCAATTTGTGTCCCCTGAACGTTGTTGACTCGAATCGCGTTTGAATCATACTGATTTCTCGGTTCCCTCCTAATCATGACCTGCTCGCCAGGGCTGGCATAGCCACTATAAAATCTAACCCCGACAATCTTCCCATCAATAGCACCAAGACACACCCATCCGAAACCCTCTTCAACTTCTTGACTCAAATCAATGACCTCATCCCCATCGCTCTCACCCCATTGATCACGAACAGTCATAGGTTGACTCGAACTTGAGCCTGCGAATGCTCCTGAAGTTCTGGAGGGACCAGCAGTAGGATTAAGTCTTTGCTGTTTGCGCTGCTGAACACGTGGTACCTCATTCTCCGAATCTGAGTTTGTCAAGTCGACAAATTCAGAAGACGCGTTGCGTTTTCCTAGATTCGACATGATTAATCCAGAATATCAGATTTATCTTGTACATAATCACAAATTGGTTGTTCTGCAGGGAACGCTTCACGCGTTTGTAAGAACATCGGTGAATTAAGTTTAATTTATATGGGTGGGAAACGCCTGAACACGTGACTGCTCTTTTTGTGTCCAATAGACTTGTATGTTCTTTTGTTTGCATGTTTGAAGAGAAGCCCTTCAATATGCGTACCTACATATGTATTCCGAAAATGCGAGTTGATTTTTCTACCCCAGATGGCCAAACCTAACGGCCTGAATCCACGCTAGCACGGCTTTTGCTCTTGATAGAACTAGCTAATCCTCCCATCAGTTGAAACATTTCGAGCAATCTAGCAAGATCTTGCTCAAAATATTTATTAAGCCCAAGAAATTGATCCTTCCTTTCAATATTCCTGTTCTTGTTTCTGTTTACCCTTTGGCTTTCAAAAATATGATGCAGTCTACCGTCATTATCAAAAACCAAGCTCTTATCCCTGCTTACCTACCCATTTGATAGGGTCCAACAGATTCATAGTTGATGATCCCAACATGAATACTGATAAGATGATAATTTTCTACTCATAAATTTTCGTGTAATATTCCCTCAGAGAGTGATTCCATTATATATATATTCAGAGGTTTCAACTGTATCCTGTATAAGTTATTTGAAATTCAATGTATTGTTTTATTTTCCAAGTAGTGATATCGTTCCATACATAATTCCCTTCCTCAACGGCAAGTGTTAGACATCCACTGTTGGAAATTTCCATGTTAAGATGATTCGAGAAAGATTAGTGTTGTTTTTGATCAACATTTTCTGTATGCAATCTTACATCTAAATTATTCTCAAGTACGCAGTTATGAAATTCTAAAGCTAATCATATCAAAGGTCCACCCGTGACAGTTATGGCCGTAAGTCACCTCTCCCTGTACTCCTACTTTCATCCTCATGATCCTACGAATCCCAGGCTAACACCTTCACAGGTCGCTGGTATCGGCGCCGACTGTCTCCTCAACACAATTCTCTTCATGCTCGGCGTCATTCCAGGCCACATACATGGTTTCTACATAACCTGCACTTATTTCTCGCGCAGGAAGAAGGTGCGTAAGGGTCAATATCCTGGCGGCCCAAAAATGGGTATCTACAGTGAGAGGGTTTGGTATGGAGGTGCGAGTGCGAAACGGGTGGATGAGTTGTGGGAGAAGAGAGAGGATGGGAGATTAGAAAAATTGGACAGGGAGGAAGAGAGGAGGGCTGGCAGGAAAAAGATTGGGGATAGGAGGGGTGCTGAGAAGAAATGAGGTGATGAGAATGCACAATGACACCAAGGCGGGGAGGATACGCAGGTACAGTGGGCGGGAGAGGAGTGAGGAGGAGTAGAACGATGACGTAAGGCATCTTTAGAGAATCATATCCAAACAAGCCGGGAATTGTGCTCACTTGAGCAGGGAAAAAAAACAAAGACCTTGCAAGGGGCAAATAGACTAGAGCCGATAAACACACCGTATACAAGACCTGCTGTTAATCTAGTAACCACGTTTATTCTTATCCTTACAATCCATATAATAAACCAGTAATTTGTTTACAGATGTTTCTGCCACTCGAAACATCCTCAATATCGTATGAAAAGTCGGAGTCAAGAACAAAAAGTCTCATACGCCAAATATCCCATATCCCTCATATTATCCTAACAAATCGTCGCAAAATCGTCGCAAAATCGTCGCAGTGCACATCGGCAGCCAAAACAACCATTCATTTCTCATTAATATTATCGAAGCCATAAATCGGTCTTCCTTGTCGTCGAAGGGCCCAGATCACCTAGTGTGCCATTATCAGCTTTAACTCATCACCAACCACTTCAATCGGAGAATATCTGACTCACATCGTTGACCGTGACCGTCTTGCGCTTTGAGTGTTCGACAAGAGCAACGCAATCGCGCAGAACCTGTAAAGTATTAAAACCGGCAATCTAGATGTTGCAAGGTACAACGAACCTCATTTAGACGCGCTTTAATGGCCTCGCGAACGTCGTGGTAAATCAGAGCCGAGATACGTTTGACTCCACCTCTTCGAGCAAGACGACTGTGGCATATGATTAGTTCGCATCTTTAGCCTTATCGCGAGAGTCCCCACCGAATATCACCTTTGGTGATACCATTGATGTTATCTTTCAAAACCTTGCTAAAATCGGAATCATGTTAGCAGTTTGTCTATCGCATGTTGTGTGTAGGTAGATTGTGCAATTCTCGAGGCAATTGACAAGTATAAGACAATTTGAGAAATTGAAAGCATTCAAAATAGTAGAGATCTGAGGAGGAACCTTACCGGTGTCTTCTCAAACGAGGCCCTCCAATACCTCGAGCACCAGGGCCTTTTCCTTTACCTCCACCTCCATAGCTACTGGAAACAACAGTTTTGCCTGACATAGAGTGATGTCCCTTTCTTTGGTAGGGTGGAGAAAAAGGTTGCGGTGCCATTTTTGTTACAGCGAAGATAATGTACAGGTTGGAGGTAAGAATTGATTGTTAAAGCTTTTACTACTAAGTGTACATGTAGCTTTCTAATAGACGTGAGACAAGTTTGTTTGAAAGTTGAAAGAGTGAGATGCGAAGTTGAACGCGGCCTGGAAAGCGGGGAGTGAAACGAAGTCACGAGACTGGACAGTAGCGCGTCTTTGCTTTTCCTTTTGGGGCATCACAATGTTATCATCCCAAAAAGTAAAAAAAAAAGGGATCTATTGATATCCAAGTCTTTCAAAGAGACTCTATAACTCCACTAGGTATCTCCGGGCCTCAAAATATATATGTTACTAACCCAACGCATCCGTACTGTCTCTTAATTCTACTGACGCCCGCAAAGAGAAGAACTACAAAATAAAATCTTCAATTCCATGAATTCAGTCGCCATGTATCATTCGGAAATGAAGGTTGCTTCAGTGTATAGAGTCCCCTCCTCTATAATTTCTTCGCCGCCAATCTTCAATACCAAGGTTGTTGGTTTGCTACGCGGGCAGTACTACAACTTTTGTTAGAATCAAAAAAGTTCCTTGGAAAGGTGTATAGCATACCTGATAGATATATGGTCTTGTTCCAGCTACATTGCCAACGATTTTCTTTACAAAGCCAGGTACTTCGGCCATAACATCAACTCTATCGAGCCTCTCCTCAAGGTCGGTTTCGATCAACCCAGAAACCGATTTGCCATCTTTTGTCTTCCCATTCCAATCGAATTTGACAGCCTCTGGTTCTGGCCAGCCAGCATCCTTATCATTCTTGACCTTGGTATGTTTTGCAGTATTTCCTGCACCAGCACATATTATTTCACCATCCTTGACTATGCCACCGACGCTAACAACCGTAGAACCATATGCTGGAGGGGTTGTGTATTCCATAATTATGGCCGAAAATTTTGGACCTTGATAATTAACAAAATTCCACTTGGCGGCAGCATGATGTGGTTTCATTCCTTGGAGCGCATGTATGAATAATGCTTTACCCTTGAAGTCTATTGACCCATCTTTAGTTATAATAGATCCTTTGGTGATAGTCCGTGGCCAAAATGCATGCCGCATTGAACCCCAAGGAGCCTTTGGATCTGTTCCATAATATGATTTGCCATCTTTTCCGACATGAAAGCCTGGAGCAACTCGGGTTACTGTAAGGTTGACAATCGATGCTTCATTCGTCATAGATTTGATGGTATATTCGGTGCCGTCTTCAGAAAGATCAATAGCAACATCGTCCGCGTAGTAGCAGGTTTTATCATCGCTGAATTCGACGTTACTGAGCTGATTGGAACTCCATAGATTAGGCTTCGAGCTGCCTTTTGGATAGAAGATTTTGCAGTTGAACTGAGAAGTCGTCCGTACACCACTTTCTATAGTATCAGCATCTCTTGTTCACTTGGGAAGAAGATAAATCATACATGACATTACTATGTATGATTTGTGCCATAGCAATATGTCCATTATCAGCCATAATATAGAAAGTCTGAGTCTCTACGCTCGTCGAATCCATAGCGACCCATTTCATATCTTCCCTCGTAAGTTCCGTGTAAGGCGTGGTCTCTGCTTGCTTGCCAACTGGTATGATTGCAGAAGGTCCGTAAATTGGCTCTGCTGTGCCGGTAGCATTGGCCATTTGCTTTTTTGCCCAGTTCATCATCTTGAAAAGTTGTTTAGTTGTATTTTTGGAGGGTTGAACTGATTACTTGTGTCTTTTATCTTTAAAAGAAAAATACACATCCTTCAAGTACCAAACTTTACCCCTCATCTAGTTCCTGCCTAGAGTGCACTTCATAGATTATTATCACGTGTAGACTCCCTCTTTCATAGTTTTTGAAGGGATTATTCTTGCTGTTGTTTGCGAAGAATGTCTATGTGTATACAAATGACGTATTAAAGTAAAAGGCATTGTGCTGCATAATTTTAGAGAGATCAATGGATTACCCAGTTTGTATTCGAGTAGTTGTCTTCGGCATGTGGATTTCCTAAAGTTTGGGGTAACCTTGATCCTTGGCCGAAAGACCCATGCTGCTTTTTTAAACCTTATCGACAAGGCGACAAATGCGAACTAAAATTTTGATTTGATAAATTGTCATCAAAGGCTTTCATTACCAAGGCATTTTTCACTATCAGCACCTCAACTGAAATGTCGAAAGCACGCGCCGCTTCAGATGTGATCGTAAAGCTCATAGTAGGAGCAGGACAAGCCAGTCCTAGTCCTCCGGTTGGTCCTGCTCTGGGAAGTAAAGGTGTCAAGTCAATGGACTTCTGCAAGGTACGCACATCTCCTCCACCTTGGACAGGACCAGAATTTGCTGCACGCTTCAAGTACATATAATTCACAAATACAATACTTGTCTTCTCCAATCGACCAGTCGGTCTAATGTTTGTACTAGGAATTCAATGCAAGAACCTCCCATATGAATCCAGGTACTCCAGTCCCGGCGAGAGTTACAGTGCGACCAGATCGATCATTCCATTTCGAAATACGCACACCATCAACATCATGGTTACTTCTCAGTGCAGCAGGTGTTGAGGCGATGAAGGGAAAGCTAAAGGGAGCTCCAGATTCGACAACGATTGTGGGTACCGTGACTCTGAAGCATATCTACGAAATTGCCAAAATAAAACAATCGGAACTGCGACTATCAGGTTTATCTTTGGAGGGGCTTTGCAAATCAGTAATTGCCCAGGCAAAAACTATTGGGGTCAAAGTTGTCGCATGAATGGGCGAGGCTGTCGATCAGGCCGATTCGAACAAGCTGGGTCAACTTTACATGTGATATTATTGCAGGCGGCGTTGGAATGCGTATGTACAGTATTTCACACTATCTCCAGATGAAAGACTGGGGTTATATGGTGTAACATGAACGATTATCACGACGGTTGAATGTTTGAGACCGTTTCGACTAGGAGATGATTTTTTCGTCAATGATAAATGATGGTTTCGACCTAGAGCGAATTTAACGGTATGTTCAAAGAAAATCATTAGTCAATACAACCTCTTCGATAATCGCGCACTTGGCAGACTTGTGTCATTCCGCCCTAGAGTAAACATAGGCTTCAAAATACTTAATTAGGACAAAGAACAAGAAATACTGATGCTTCTGGAGATCTCGGCCCAATATGGAATGAGATATCTTGTCCTAGAAAATCCGAGAGACTCCGACTTGTGCAAGCTGATCCAATCACGTGTGACTTTTCTCCAATGTCTTCTAGAACCCTTCAGCAATCGTGGCAGCGAGATCGGGATTTCAGGGGTCATCGTCGGTAAAATTCGGTATCAGGAGTCAGGACTCAGGAGGCTTTGCTTTGCTTTCCTGACAGTGGAATTCTAGAAGACGCCTAGAAGATTCATATCCCCGCTGACAATACCAACACAACCTTAATAGGTGTCAGCAAATGCAGGAAGATCTACAACCAATTTCTTCCCCCCAAAGTAACGTTGACCCACTCATGGACCATGCTCATCATTGGATGTACTCTGTACTGGGAAATGATACTCGAGTGCGATATCATGTTGTACCAGCAAGTAGTAGGTAAGCTCGACATGCATAAATCTTGTACTTGCTGAGCTGCTGTACAAGATAGATACATTTAGCGGTATGGCTATGAGACTTCTGATTTGAGAGACTTGAATGGAGTTAACTTTCCCCATTGTTTTAAAATTGTTGGTTCCAGTAACTTGAGTACTCCGTATACTCCTAGTTTGCCGTAATAATAAGTTTGTCGAATGAAAATGCCAATACGAATGGGTGTCCCATTTCTCATGAACTTTGTAGGGCGGTTTTAACTACAGAACGACAGCCAGCCAGCCAGCCAGCCAGCCACATGGACTGAAGCGTACGTGTGCGCCCTCGCGGTATGTTCAGTTCAACTCCAGGTCAGGCTTGAACATTTCCTGCATCTACTTATTTTTATCTTGCCTCTTTCAAAACTGCGATCCACTTCTCCATATTGGCTAACATAGTCCGTAAAATTGTGATTGAGATCTTTAATATAATTCGCTCGAGGATGAAAAATGTAAGAAAAACATCGGCCTTACACATTAATATATATTAAATGAAGGTCTAAATCCGTGCGGAGTAAGAATTTCTTCAAGCGGCGGCGAGTCACCGGTCTTATAAAGAGCAAAACGAGAAAAAGAGAAAGAGATGAGTGAGGAGTCCCGTTTACTAATCTATGTAATCTAAAATACAAGTCCTGTTGTAATCTCATTAATAATTAGGTATCTTGAGAACTGGAACATTGAAATCAACAAATTCAAATCAAATCAAATCTATCGCATCCATCCCTCTGTCTATATCTAGGCGTACCTTTCTATATTTTGTGCATAACCAAGAAGTCGACCAAGGATAAGGTTTATCCGTTACAGTTACTCGATCGCATACATTTTAGGAAAGAAAAGAGTATCGTCACACTACAGTCATCAATCATATTTTTATATTAATGGCCGGCCGATGCAAATCCGACCAGTGCGCTTTACCTACTTTGTTTCTCTGCCTTTTAGCTTTGCCTTCATCGAGCATCGAGTACTACCAAGTTAGGACTTCCACCATTCCCTAGCACTTAACTACATACGTCTAGGGTTCGTTCAAGGTTCATTTTTCATACCCCGTCATACCCATTCCGCCGAGATCCTTCCTCCACTCAAGATTTCACGTTTTGCTACTACCAACTCTACTACAACTACATTACTCGACTACTCTACCACTCTTCCGCTCTACCGCTGAAAATCCCACCATCCGGAGTTGGTGTCTTACTAGCTACCTCTGCTTCCTTGACCTTCTGTTCATGCCAATACGTTCCTTGGTTGTTGCAGAGTACACGAACATGATCTAATCGAATCAATTGAAGCATTCTTTCCTAGAATCTTCAAGTCTTCAATTCAAACACTTCCAAAAAAATTGAAAACTCAACCACAGTACATAAGTACATAGCACATGCATATACACATACACATACATACCTACTTGTACAATTCATCCCTCCATTTACATTTTGCTCTAAACTTTCAATTTGATGATTACCATCAAATACATCCATTGGCACAAAACTTATCAATCATCTCGGCTTCTTTTTCCGTTTAGTTTACTTTCTTCCAGCACTTATATCCGCTTTTGACTCAAGAGAAACGCTCCGAGAGCCCCACCATCAAACCTCCAAATTCTCCTTTCAGATTCAACCTTCTCACTTCAACCTGCCCCGACTTTCGTGTGTGAAGGCTCCGGAGGTCTATCCTCGACCATAGTGCAATTGCTACAATAACCTATAGCTCATCGCTCACACTATGGCTACACCTCAAGAATTACCATCGTCGACTCAACCGGCCCCGCTTGGTGAGTTTCAGCGCTTACTTCTGCTGTCCTTGATCCAATCCCGACTCCGTCTCGCTATACATTCGGAAGAGAAGGCTAACAATCCTCTCCAGCAGGGACCGCAGGTTCTGTTCCATTCAAATTGAACGGCAAATCCTCCACAGAAGGCTTACTCCAAGTCCGGTTCGCCGCGGCCAACGACCAAATAGCACCGAATGAAGGCTTCTCTGGTCTATGTGATGACAAGGCTGCACAAGAGGAATCAAACAAGGAACAGTCAGACTTAGATCAGTTATCGAAAACTCTTCACGGGACGCATCTGCAAGAACGTCGCATGAGCCACTTTGCGTTCGAGCCTGTGTCTCTACCAGCTTCGAGAGTACGTCATTCCCAGTTGCAAAATCCTCTATCTTTACGAGTTTCCCAGGGTACTTTATGATGACAGCCTGAAGTATCAAGCTCTGCAAAATGGAAAATCTGGCAGAACCACGGGCTAGATCCAGTACTCTTTATGCATAAGAGCCACAATCTGGAGTTCTGTCTCCACTTGCAGTTCTCTAAGGTCTCTGCAAGGGATACGCATAATGAGGCCCACAACAGTGCATATTGGTGTTTCTATTAATCTGACCTTAAATCTGGGGTTCTGCTTGTTTCCCACTGACTCGTTGTATTTTAGATACCCTCAACTGAAGAGAACTCTCGTGAGGCTAGCCGCTATAACACACATAATTCCTCGAATCGGCCTTCTCCACATCAAAGTCCTCAAACATCATCCATGCATTCTCCGCCCATAACCCCCGCGGCCACAAGATCGAGAGATGCCCCGATTGAAGCCTCAAAGGGACCTTCGCTCCAAAATGCGGCAGCCGAAGGAGATCCGGCGGCTGTGACTCCTCAGATTTCACCACCTGGAACTTCACCATCAACGACAGATGCCGATGCATCTCGACCTGGATCTTCCGGACAAATGGCCCTCAGTTCTAGTCACTTGACCGAGACAGCGCCATCCAAGCCGCACCATACTTTTTCAATCGGTCCTACTGCAAACGACACGTCCGTTCCTGTATCTCGAGAACCCAGCCCATTACGTTCTGCTGCTGCATCAACTTATAGCAGACCCTTTACACCTGCTGGAGATTTAGATGATCCTTACGCCGCATCTAGAAGAGTTCCGCAACCCAAGAACGCCGAGGCTATTGAGTCAAGATTCAGATTTACTGCGATAGGTGCAAAGAACCGACAATCTCCAGCCTCGTCCACGACTAGCTTGCCAAGATCATCTAGAAGTGTGACAGATGTGGTGAAGGCGCCAGCGCAAGGTGTGGAGAAACGTCATACTGGTTTATTTGGTCATAAGAACCATTTAACGGGCGCCCACGATGAAAGTGCATTAACAATTCACAAAGCCCACGGCTCTATGTCAGAGCTGAAGCGATTCTTGAAGATTGGTCATCACAAAGCCAAGCGATCTGGTTCTCCAACACCATCCGCTAAATCTGGCAATTCAGTGAATAAGACTCCACAATATGGCAAAGGACTTCATCAACTTCCATTTGGTGAAGATCACGGGTTAACTTCGAAATATGGCAAGTTTGGGAAAGTCCTCGGAGCTGGAGCAGGAGGCTCTGTGCGTTTGATGAAGCGAAGCAGTGATGGTAAAACATTTGCCGTGAAAGAATTCCGTGCCAGACATTCATACGAATCAGAAAAGGAATACACGAAGAAAGTGACCGCCGAGTTTTGTATAGGATCGACTTTACATCATGGGAACATCATCGAAACATTAGACATTGTACAGGAGAAGGGGAAATGGTTTGAGGTTATGGAGTATGCGCCTTACGACCTATTCGCCGTTGTCATGACTGGCAAAATGTCGAGAGAGGAGGTTACCTGCTCTTTTCTCCAGATCCTGAGTGGTGTTACATACTTGCACAGTATGGGCTTAGCTCATCGCGATCTGAAACTCGACAACGTAGTGGTGAACCAATATGGAATCATGAAAATCATTGATTTTGGTAGTGCTAGCGTATTCTTATATCCTTTTGAAGGAGACATCACGCTGTCCAGTGGTATGTTACCTGAAGCCTTACTGTCAAATTGTGCTAACATAATTGCCGTAGGTATTGTTGGTTCCGATCCTTATCTTGCTCCAGAGGTTTATGACGAGAAAAGATATGATCCTCAGCCAGCTGATATCTGGTCTCTCGCAATCATTTTCTGTTGCATGTCTTTACGTCGTTTTCCATGGAAAATGCCTAGAATAACAGATAATTCATACAAGTTATTTGCATCTCCTCCATCACCAGGAGCAGAAATGCATGATGGAGAGGTCATACCAGCTGCAAAGCAGTCTGATTGTGATCCTAACCAGTCGAAAAACGGCCCTAACGGTTCCACCACTTCAGTTCCTTCCATGCTCGGTTTAATTGATTCTATTGAAGGAAAGAAGCCTCCCGAGCCTCCTAAGCCAGAAGTGATCAAAGGACCGTGGAGACTACTCCGCCTGCTACCAAGAGAGAGTAGGAAGATTATCGGACTCATGTTGAAGCTGGATCCAAAAAAGAGAGCTACAATGGGACAGATACTAGACGATCCCTGGGTGAGGGATACAGTGATATGTCGTCAAGATTCTGATGGCAACCCAATATCAGCTCCAGGTCATGTACACACCCTCGAGCCACCATCACCACAACCTTCTACCAAATAACGAATTTCACGTAGCGTTGGATGACTCTCGGTTTGCATAGTCAGTGTTGGGGTTAGGGGGCGTTTTTGGGGATGGTTTACATAGGTTGGTTTATATCGATAGCACTAGATTACAGTGCATTTCATACGGCTCGTTTAGATAGTAGAGGAATTGTAGTAGATTGTATATCCCTAGGGTTTCTTGGAGGTTTATATTATTTTGATAATAGATACATACCTCGGGGTTGTTTTTAGATGGTGGTGACCTTGAGTCGTTTTTATGACATCAACGTCGATTTTTAATAGAAGCATACGCTATATGTATATCTTTCAATTCCGATTGTACTTTATTGTAATGCGCTATGCACTTTTGTTTGTGAGGATTTAAAATGATGACCGATGGGCAGCGGAGAGGTAGTGTATTTTATTTTGTGTATTCTTACTTTTATCAGTACAAGATTTATTTAACCAGAATGATAGATACTTCTGTTTCTTCTCAATGATTCAGATTTTGGGAAGCGAGGAAAGAAAAGAAAAGGAAAGGAGAGGAGAGGAGGGGAGAGGGAAGAAAATATTTCATGAATTTTTACTCTATAGATACTTCCAATTGGTAGGTATATCACGTCATATTTATTATGTAAGGTTTGGAATGCTGAAATGGATTGGATTGTAAAGTAAAGTATTGTAAGATATGTAAGATATGTACAAAATGTAGTAGATTTGAATTGAATTGAATTGAATTGAAGTGTTAATCTTTAGTGCGGTCATGGTATGTCAAATTCTGTTCTGTACTTTCCTTTCCTTTCTTGCCTTGCCTTGCTATTCCTTTCTGCTGTTATACAGGAAAATTTCGTCATGAATGAGTATATGAATGAATGTATAATTGACTGATTGCCTCGTCTTTGATCAACAAGAACGTTGCTATCATATCATATCATATCATACTTCATACCGTATTTATCAATTCCAAATTTCACGTCTTGATACCACGCTCTCTGTCCCATATCTCAAATGCCATCATGCTATCCATCAATATCCTCCTCCCAAACCACTCATCATTTATCCACAAACCCCAAAATCTCCCTGACAGCCCGTGCCACAATAATCCCCACTACTACCACAATACCCAGCCGGACTACAACACTCCCCCAAAGAACTCCCCTTACAAGTTTGACCCTCTCCACCCCCACAACTCCCATCCACACTAACCTTCAAGCTGCCCGCACTCACCACCGTCGAACCAGCCGCATAAACACCACCCGTCTGTTCCGCCGCCGGAGCAATCGTAGCCATCATGACCGGCGCCGTGGTCGTCCCCGTCATCTTCGCAAGCACAGGCGGCCCTTTAAAATCCCCCCCCTGACACCCCTTCTGAATCGCCTTACAATGTGTCTCCCAATCCCTACACCCTTTATCACCAGTCGGCGGCGCACTATCATAGCACACGGTCGTCTGATTCCAACAATCAGAGCTAGCATTCCAACATCCTGCTTCTGTCGTGTAAGTAGCGACTTCGACGCCCCACCAATTGGCATTCGTGAGCACGGCGTCTGAGGGGAGAAGCCCTTCGTTCTGAGTCTGTTTCGCGGAGAATTTGACCGCTTTGGCACCGGTGATGCTGTCGGTGGCGGAAATACCAGGTTGGTAGGGTGCTGGCCCGGGCATGGTGTAGGGTGTTGGTGGGGGGTTCCAGATGTTGTATAGAACCGATGAATCGCTTATATTGACGTAACCTGGGATACTTACTGTAGCTTTCGGAACGGATGTTTCGGCGGAATTTAGATAGATTTGTGCACAGCCGACGTAGAATTGAGGGTTGGGAGGCGTCTTATCGGCTTGGTGGAGGGCGAGAAGTTCCGGCCGCGCGAGATAGTAGCCGCCTGCTAGATCGCTGGGGATGTTGACGGAGAGGTATCCATTGTTTTGGATGAGTTTTTCCGTGCACCATTTTTTAGTACTATTGTCGTAGCCCTCGTCCCAGATTTTGAACCAGTCTATGGAGGAAGTTAGTTTTATTTAGAGATTGAAATAGAGAACGCCGAGTATTCATCTTAGGGCTTCAAGTCTTCGAGTATCCGTATGCGGGTAGAACAAAAATACAACACTCACCAGGACCAACAGCAGTATCATTAATAGCAGAAGCCACCCGCTTCATATAAACAGCACAAGGACCCTTATGATTAGGATCAATAGCACCCTCCTTCGAACCATCCGCATACTCTCTAAACAAAAAACTCAATTTCGCCGTCTGATTAACAGAACAAACGCGATCGACTCCCTTCGTACCATTGAATCCTATATTTATTATTAGCATAAACACATCCATATATCTCGATCTAGAAGAAACTTACCACAAGCCATAGAATCACTTTCCAAATCATTGATAGGGAATGTAGCCGTGCTGGGATCAGAAGGCATACGAACACATGTTCCATCGCCCTGCGATACATCATTTACGAAAAGTGTCGTGAAGACCGTATGAGCAGCCACGAGCTGAGAAGTGGAAAATGCCACCAGGGCGAGTGTGGAAAGAGAGAAACGCATTTGTATATTTCTTCGAAAGATCGATTTCGGGAAAGAATGTGTATGTATGTATGGACTCCGTAGATGGTTTTTGTAATTCTATATCGGTGTTGCGAAAGTATTTGGAGGGAGGTAAGGTAAATAAATGCAAAGAAGAGATTTCTTATCCAAAGAAACAAAAGAGTATGTTTGTGAATGAATGAAAAGAAAACCGAATCGTGATGATTCGAAAATTGGTAGTTAATAAGAAAAAGGAAGGATTTTCGTGTGCTATTGTATTATCCAGAATCTCAGTTGTTTATATTGTTTTCCATATGATCGTATTGACGGTATGACAAGCTTTTCGTCTATGGACTTTGAATCTCCTATTCACTACAACATTCACAATAAGTAATTTAGTATTCGAGGTCCTTGTACGTCTCTTGTACGAGTATATAAGAAATTACTTTTTATTTTGTGCTTGTGTTTTGATTCAAAGACAAACCAAACTGCTGGTCCGCTAAGATAAATTTATATTACCCACCTAGGTATACAATGCATATCAATCCTAGAACCTACAAAAAGACCGGTGGAATGGAATGGTGTCGACATGAGAGAGTTAACCTGGTCAAAGGCGCAGTTGGAGGAGTACTTAGTGTCAGTACGACAATATTATCTATTGGCCCTCCGCTTCCTTGAGAAATTGATCAGGGCGTTAAAACATTTTCGTTTGGTTTCAGAAAGCGGCCCCTTTTCTTTGATCTGAGAAACAACCACCAATAAAACCATTTATCATATAAATAAACATATAAAATGACTTTGGTATTTTTACAGCGATACTAAATTGATGTGCGCCTTTGCAGTTCTCCCAGGTTTCTGTTGCCCTCTCGCCGGCTTCTTGTAAATTAACGCAAAAGAAACGGTATCGCAGGCTGAACTCTGAAACAAGCACAACATAAAGTTTCCGGAGCAAGTACAATCCCTTGGATCGCGATCAAAATTTACCCCAGAAACACTTTGATATTTGAGGAGAAGAGATTCATTTAAATTCATGCACAGCAATCCACCGGCTGAGATTCAAGGTATACAAAAAAACGTTTCCTTGAGCCCCTTAGTATTAGGCCAGTCTTCGACATGTCCTCTCAACACCTTTCACTAGATATCTTTTTTCCTTTTGCCCGCTATGCTCGGTTTTATACATCTATGGTACACCCTCCGTCAAGTCGTAATATCGTTAAAGCATTTATTCGTTAATTTTTGCAAGGATACTGTAGCTCTCGTCAGTACTTTCCCAAATCAGAAGAATGTGCGAGGATGTAGAGCTTACTCATGGTCTCTGAACAAAGTGTATTCTTCTTCTCCGACCTTAACTGGTGATCCTCCGTACTATTTCTTGTCAGTAACGGCTCATTCCATATGTACCGCAACTCCCGAAATCTGCTCTTCCTGATCTATGCTGCAGCCACCACTTCATCTGCAAGAGCCACAAGCAAACATCGTTGAGCCCTCCACCTCGTCCACCACAAACCAATGTAGCTTACCTGAGGAATCAAAACTTTATCACCAGCCTGGACACCACAGCTAACTCTCTTTCCATCCTTATCTAAACCTCCTGGTCCAACAGCCAAAACTCTAGCCTCATTGAGCTCCTTCACACTGGACTCTGGAAGGTAGATACCAGCTGCGGTTCTGGTCTCGGCCTTGATTCTCTGGACCAAGACACGGTCAAGGAGAGGAGCGAGAGATTTGATTGACTTGAGAGCGGTAGACTGTCATATCAATATTTATTAGCAGATGTAATAACGGGAAGCTAAAATGGCATAGAGATTTTATAAGAATCGAAACGGCCTCGCAACATTGGGGCCATCGCCGCACAAGAAAGCAACAAAGCTTACTCACCATCTTGAGAGTTTATCGTGAGGGTTATTGGCGTTTGCGGGATAGATAATTTGCAGAAAGTTGTATGGGAAATATCAAAGAATTGAAGCTCAGAGGATTGGGTGTGGAGAAAATAATTTGTACCTCTCGGAGTTCTCGAATCTTCTTTAACCGAACATCGGCTATTGATCAAGACACCCAGTTACATAATACCGGGATGGGAGTATGTATGTGCATTCTTCCATAGCAGCAGCGACATTGTAAGGGCTTTTCAGAAAATCTTTCACTACCTACATGAATTATGAATCGGTACCGACAAACAACATCAACTACCTAGGCATTTACCTAGGTAAAATACTCTTGGGTCCAATAACCTATGTCTTCATCTGACTCTCAAGGACCATATGCATCTCAATCAATATGTACTCGAATGGCAGTTCACTGAAATTCCATTATTTTTAGTGGTGGCGTGCGCGTCCTACTCTAGCTCTAGCGCAGCGGCCGCATTAACCTATGCCCCACGATTTTGAACTTCCCCTCCAAATTTTTGAAAGTTCATAACATCTTCTGACAACATCATCATTTTATAGCTATGGCTTACGATACATGGATTTCGAGGCCCATTTGGTCTTATGGAATTGAAGGTAAGACATCTACTTTCTAATGTGAATTGGCCAAATATTAATTAGTGTCAATATAGATATTGTCGCATTATGGCATCTTCATCGCATTCCAATTATTCTTACGACGGCCACCATCCTTATACTCGTTAGAATAACACTTCGCCCGCGAGCTTCGAGAGAGAAACTATCTGCATCGCCATTACCCACTTCACCCATTTTACCTGCAGTAAAAGAAAAGATATCTGCACCGGTAATTGAGGAAAAGAAAGCGAATGGCGTCAAAGCCCCACGAAGAATAGTTGGAGGTGTCAAGAAGCGCAAACCTTCAGAGGAGAACCTACAAACTAGCCCCGAAAAAATTCAAATCTTAGTTTTTTTCTCCTCATTGACTGGTACAACTGAAAGAACCGCAAGCTGTTTCCTTGAGCAGCTTGCAGGCGACATACGTGAAAGCGGATTTGAACGAACAACACCAATTAAATATCTCGATCCTGAGCAACTCGACCTTTCATACATCGACTATGATGACTATTTCATTAATCCACCAAAGGGTGAAGCTGGGACAAAATACTTTTATCTAGTACTTATTCCTAGTTATAACATCGATACTGTGTTGGACAATTTCCTAGAACATTTACAAGAAACGCATAATGATTTTAGAATTGATACCGCGCCATTGTCGCCCTTGGTAGGGTATTCAGTGTTTGGATTTGGGGATAGAGAGGGTTGGCCAACAGAGGAAGAAGGATTTTGTTCGCAGGCTAAGGATGTAGATAAATGGTTAGCAAAGTTGACGGGCAAAAAGAGAGCATTTCCTTTGGGAATGGGTGATGCAAAGAAGGATGCGCGAGAAAGATTGACAGAGTGGAGGGAAGGCTTGGTAGATGTGTTGGAACATATTGCAAGGACTGGAAGTTTAGGCGAAGGGGTTGTAGGAAGTGGGGATGCGGTAGAAAGTGATGTGGAGGATATTGAGGATGATGACGGAGAAGTCCTCTTTGATGAACAAAATGTTGCTTCGAGAAAAGCCAAGACGCAGACGAAGGACGACAGTTTGAATGACTTGGAGGATATTGGAGGGGTTCTGAATAATACAGAAACCATAGACAATACCGTTAGTGAAGGATCGGAAGAACTCGAGGTAGATTTCACGACGATCGGATTGAAAAAGGGAAAGACAAAGACAGCTCCAGTTGTCGCTAAGGAAATGGTTCCAAAAACTTCACCAACTTATGCAGCTTTGACAAAGCAAGGCTACTCAATTGTGGGCTCACATTCAGGTGTCAAAATTTGTAGATGGACAAAATCGGCTCTTCGTGGCAGAGGTTCTTGCTATAAATATTCCTTCTATGGCATTGCATCACATCAATGTATGGAAACTACACCTTCGTTGTCATGTTCCAACAAATGTGTCTTCTGCTGGAGACACGGTACCAATCCTGTCGGAACGACCTGGAGATGGAAAGTAGACCCTCCAGAAATGATCTTTGATGGTGTCAAGGCTGGACACTACAAAAAGATCAAGATGATGCGGGGTGTCCCTGGTGTCAGAGCTGAACGTTTCGCGGAAGCAATGCGCATTCGTCACTGTGCTTTAAGTTTGGTCGGAGAACCTATTTTTTATCCGCACATCAATGAATTCACCAGCATGCTCCACAAGGAACATATATCCACATTCCTTGTCTGCAATGCACAACATCCAGACCAATTAGCCACTCTTCAACCGGTTACCCAGCTCTACGTTAGTATTGATGCCTCAAACAAAGATTCTCTTCGTAAAATCGATAGACCTCTCCATCGGGATTTCTGGGAACGGTTCCAGCGCTGCCTCGATATCCTTCGGGAACGTCGATTTGAACAACGTACCGTATTCCGCCTTACGCTCGTTAAAGGTTTTAATATCGATGACGAAGCAGAAGGTTACGCCGACCTTGTCGAAAAAGGATTACCTTGTTTCGTTGAAGTCAAAGGTGTTACATATTGTGGAACATCGTCCTCCGCGGGTGCAGGACTCACGATGCAGAACGTACCATTCTACGAAGAAGTCTGCGCTTTTGTTGAAGCTCTTACTTCATCACTCAAAAGAAGAGGATTGGGATATGGTATTGCTGCAGAACATGCTCACAGTTGCTGTATCTTGATCGCATCTGATAGATTCAACATTGCGGGTAAATGGCATACGAGAATTGACTACAAGAAATTCTTTGAGTGTCTAGAGAGTGGAGAGAAGTTCGGCCCAGAAGATTACGTGGGCGATGAAACTCCGGAATGGGCTACATGGGGAAATGGTGGGTTTGATCCGAGGGATGAGAGAGTGTATAGGAAGGGAAAGAATAAGGTTCCTTTACCGGAAAGTCAGGGTATGGTTATGGGAGAGGTTCAGGATGGGAATGAGGATAAGGTTGCTGGGGATACTCTAGCTTTTTAGATATTGACCAGTTCATCTTATACAATGAATGTTCTTGCTATCGTATATTACAATAAATACACTTACTATTATGTCCTAGACAGAGATCAAAAGTAAAACAAGCCAACAACCTTGAGATCTTCCTCCACCCGTTCCCCGGGCCCCCTTCTCCCCATTCAACTACCATTCCTATGATTCAACATCACTGCTCAAGTAAGATTACCTAATTTAGAGTAAGTATCATTCGACTCTGTGCATCGATTCTATGTGAAGCATCTTCTTTAGTCTTTAATTGCCTGGTTAATAATATTTGGACCTCATGTTATCCACGCGTAGTGTATAATGAATGTATTATCTATATTGGATGTATGATGTAATAAACAAAATACAGAGGACAATATTGTTTGTTGGTAGAGAACATGAATACAGCATAAATGTCATCGATAGCTCTATCTAGATCGGAAAAACCAGTAAGACATTGTATTCCAGCAAGTGTTTACATACAGACCTTTTCATCTCCTTCACCCTCTCCATCTCTCATCCTGTTCAACGAAAGCCAGCAAGCTTCTAAATTATATGATTTATAAGACGGATAACGAATGCATGTATGTATCCGGATTCCTATCTGCTATACCCATCCCAAAGACCCTCTCCCAGAGACCGTCTCCTGTATGAAGATGTACAATACGTCTTATCTCATATTGATTTGCCCAAACTCCAAAAGAACAGCCCCATCCATTATAACAAGCCATATTGGAAACATGCAAAAGTCTGTCCCTCCATCCATCCCAAACACCAAGTAACCGTAGTGCTAGCCCACCCGAACCAACCGAACCTGGAAGCCCACAAGGATTCTACCCTTGAAAAGGAGTGAACTAGGTGAAACTCCATTGACTCAAAAATACATTCCTGTAATCCCCAATTCATAAAATTTCATCCGTAATCCAGCCACCAATAGGTTTATCTAATCAATAGATAGAAACCGCCTCAATTTAGCCCATAGAATTACCCATAGCATTGCCCATAGCATTTGCACTTGGCTCAGCCTCAGGAGGGGCATTGAATAAATCATCTCTTCGAATCATTACCCGCTCATTACAAATATCGATAAACTGCTCAAACTTGTGAATCACAACATCTTTCTGTCTTAATTGTTCCTTTAGATCTTCTACTTCTCTCTTCCAATCGGCCTTGACTTTCTCCACTTCTGCTTGGGCGTTGGCTACCTCAGTTCGAAGTTCGGCGCGGAGCTTCTCTTCAAATGTCATGGGAGGCTTTTTGTAGAAGGTGGGGAGAGACTCCATAGCTGTAGGTTCTACACGAGATGGGTCTCGCTTGATGGCGGCTCGAGCATTGTAAATATCGCGGGGAAGGAAGCGAATGGTGGGATTTTCCCGGTGGAGAATTTCGAGGGTCTCTTTTACAGATACACCTAGGTCATGTATTAGAAAAATGTTCATAGACATCTGCGAATAGGATTGATTTACCATTTTCCTCAAGAGCCTTTACAGCGGCAATTGCTTTAGGATCTAACTTTCTAGCTCCTGGATGTTCAGTGGGACTATCGCTCGGGGGATGATTATGTGTGAGGTGTTCTCCATCAATCCGACCCCGTAAAAGCCAAGCAGTCTTATTTTCGAGACCAAAGACACCAAATTCGCAACCACATTTGCGGGACTTTGTTTTACGTTGCCGCTGTTCACCTGGTACCTTCTCCTTGTTGGTTCCACCGCGATCACAAATTAGGAAAACTTTCTTTAGGCCTCTATTATCACGTTTAGATCTGCCAATCACAAATGCGTAGCCATGTGTCAAAGCATGTGCTTGTGCCGCTGCAAAGAGGGCCTCGAAAGTTGGGTAACTACCCCCGGGTGGAGCACTAAGCATATCATCAGGAGACACTTCCGGAGCTTCAGTTTGATCGTGTTCATCCGCGGGAGAAAGAAGGGAACTGCCAGCATCTAATTGTTGCTCGAGTGAAAGTTGAGGATCAATCATGGACATATCCTGAGCGGAGCTTGCCGGTGAATCTTGCGGCCTTGCAGATCCGAGGTTCGAATTAGCGGGAGAGGGGTTCATGGAGGGGGGTCGTTGAATGCCAAGACTTTGTCCTTGCAACGCCGGGGATTGTGACTGTCGTTGCTGAGTGCCAAACTCTCGAGCTTGATTCATGGCGGATGGGGGAGTTGGATGAACAGCATGATTGACAGTCATGGATTGATTTTGTGGGGTATGTTGAGGGGCAATATGAATTGCTGCACCCATAGGCGGGGGTCCATTTTGTCTCTGAGGCTGCCGTTGAGGAGTCTGACCATTAGTGGTATTACTCAAAATGCCTTGAGCAATTTGTTGTTCTGCAGATACTCCATTGTTGCCATTTTGTCTTGGTGGAACTGGTTGCTTATTGGCGTATGGGGTGGTGTATGGAGAATTGTGTTGTTGAATTGGTGGACCACGAATACCAGTTGATGTTGGTCTTGGATAAACAATATTTTGCTGACCAAGATTTTGTTGACCTGGGAATATATGATGTTGTGGGTTTGGTTGTTGATATGGAGTTCTGGTAGGGTCTTGAGGTGGGATAGACATGATGGATACCGGGAAAGCAAAGTGGTCAACAAAAGTGGTGAATGTATCAATGGAGAAGAACTTTGGAGTGTGGACTCATCAGGAAATTTACTGACTTTAGTCCAGCGATTGGTGATTGGAGAGCTTAGCGAGAAATATGCTGTACCTCTGTAATGAAGCAAGATCTCACTCTCCGTGAAAGGCGGTGAAGGACGGCAGATCCACGGAAATACCTACTAGGACCTAGTCACTTTGACAACGATTCCTATAATGGCGTCAGTGATGGTGGGGTTTATGATGAGGCTACGAGTGTAGTAAATTTATATTGTGTTATACTGCTAATTCAATGATGATTCTATATATGTGTGTGTATATATTATATGTATATAGCCATGATAGTCTTTTGGAGATATATTCGAGTTAACTTTTATGTCGGACAAAGCAAATCATTATTTGTTACAGAAACAGCCTTAAGCTTTAGAGAACCTCTTGAATAAAAATATATCATTTTCACAATCACAATCATCGATCACAATAACAAACATCCAATAAATCATACGGATCAAAAGTACAACGATAGAATTTATATTCACAACGCTGGCTCCCCCTTAAAAACAAAATATCCTCAACTGCTTTTTTGCATTTGGTATAATAAGTAGTCTAATGCAAGTCTACAAAAGTTGGATGCATTCCGGATTAGGCCACCAATGTATTATTCGTAGGCAATACCAATTAGAATGCTGCTTCCAAAGGATGCCATAGAGCCTCACATACAGAAAACAGAATGTTCATTGCTTCTGTTCCAATCGTTGTAACGCAATATCGCATGTCAAAGTTGATCGTTTTTAGTTACTCTATCTATCTAGAGGAAGTAGTCGGGTGTACCTTGTATTGTGTCAGTAAAGCGACCACAAGATTGACATTTAAATTCATGGAATACTTACGACGTGATACCATAGGCTCTCCAGCTCTTGGGCAAGGGTCGAATTGTAGGCTAGATCATATTAGAAGGTGGGATTCCAAAAGGGTTAACGCTGGCACTTACAAAGTATATTTAAGGTGCTCATCAATCTCCATAATTGCTGCTTGATTACCACATCTGTAGCAGTAATTGGGGGCTATTGTAGTCAACATCATATACACTGTCCAACTAAAAGAAATAATCATACCTGAGAAGATCGTAACAACGTTCCTGTCTTGAGACCAATTATATCCTTCCATCACCAGTTGATGGGCCCTTGCGACCAAAGTTAATCCGTTATTATGATTGAATGCCTCCGAAATATCTTGACCGAAAGTATAACCCGCTCCTCTAGGAGATATTCCCCACCCACATCTGTCATCTGGATCCGACCATAGCAAGTCGCACATTGGACCTTCATGTGGCACTTCTTGTATACGATCGAGAGCTCTGATGTTGTCCAACGTGTCAATGCTGGGAGAAAGACCTCCGTGAAGACAAAAGATTTGGTTGTCGATGAGGGCGGTGAGGGGAAGGTAATCGAAGAGATCGGTAAAATACTTCCAAACGTTTGCATTTCCATATTTTCGGAGGCACTCGTCGTAAAAGCCATAAACTTGGGTAATTTGACGGGATTCGTGGTTACCACGGAGGATGGTAATTCTTTGGGGGTATCTTATTTTAAGAGCGACTAAAAGAGTGACGGTTTCGACTGAGTAATAACCTCGATCAACATAATCACCTATGATAACGTGTCAGTAATGCCAGGGAAACGGGAGTAAGGGATAGGAGACATACCCATGAATAAATAATTAGTATCTGGGTTTGGTCCACCGATCCTGAAGAGCTCCATTAGATCATGGAATTGCCCATGAATATCTCCGCAGACAGTAACAGGACATTTCTAAACCGTTGATCAGCTCTTTGAATTTCAACACGAAAAGGGCAAGCATACCACCGGCTGCACATTTGACTCGTCCTGCAATACCTCTCGTGCCTGGCAACGTGTTCTTGGTTAGCTTGCTTATATCAATCAAGCCTTACAATACGACTAGATCCGCAAACAATAATACCTTATCGCAAAGCCTCTGAACATCTACCTCGGCCAGTTGCTTGCATGTCATCAAGTTCTCAATCCACCCATCGAGAGTTGGTATAGATGCAGGTTCTGCTGCTGGAGATAATCTCGTGGGCGAAGGCACCCTGCCTACATCTTCCATATTTGTGTCCATTGTGTTCCTTCTAACGTATGGTGATTTTGATGGTTTGTTGTTGATTTGGTGGTTGATATTGAATTGCTTGAGCTGGGTGACGACAAGCGCGCAGATTGGTCGTTAAAATGGTATGTAAAGTTTGTTGTTCTTTTCGGGAACCGGTCCGCGCAACTTCAACTAATATCTTATGTTCAGAATCGCAAAAGCAATTTTATCATAAGATTCAAATCGTTCGTCGTGCAGAGATGTTTGTGGAGGGGCTTTGAAGGTGTTAGAAGCGGTGCGCAAATTGAAAGGAACAACTCCTCGCTTACTAAGCCCAATTTAAGATCGCAATGGAGAGAAAATGGTATTTGATTAATAGGAGAGGCAAGAGAGCATACGACAATAATGATGTTGTATTTAACTTTGTTTCCCCAACTTTATTTTTATTATTATATTACCACACTAAGATTCAGTTTCAATATTGGTACCTAGTAAGATATATCAAATTGTTTTTATTCAATTCTAAATGAATGAATTTTCTATGGATGAGGATGTTCCAATGAAAGGATGTCCTTGAATACTGGATAGGTATCTTTAGTCAAGTTCTAAATTTGGATTTGGTATATACCAATCTACCCATCTGATGCTACACTATGCCAAACCTAAGCCTAAGCCTTTAGGTCCGTTGTTGAAAACATCTATCGAATTTGAACCAATGAGGCTGCTAAAGTCTAAACCAACCTCGGAGAGCATTTTGGCATGCTCTCTTGCCTGATCCATACATTCCGTCCATACTTGACCATTCTTCTCAGTGCTGCTCAGCTGTCGGGCAAGAATAACATTGAATGCATCGACCTGCTCTTTGGCCCATTTCACACAGGCGCTCATGAGTGACTGCGGAAAGCATGCTTGGAATGTTGAGACAGTATTCCGTATTATTGTAAAATATACGAATGATACCTCCCAAATATATTGACGAAGGTTACCTTCGAAGATACATTGCCTTTGAAACAAATTAGTAAAGCCCACTGAATGGAAATTTTTGACTAGTACCTTGATCTCTTATGGATGATGTCCCCTCGAGCCTCCAAATACGCTTCTCTAGCTCGATCCTCGAAGCCGAGGCTAGTTAACCAGCCGATATTGCGTTGAACTTTCTTGGCCTCATTATGTGTATCGACTAACTCATGAGTGATGAGTTCTGCAAGTCTGGTTGCCCTTTCATCGGCTTTGAAGCTAATGAAGTCCTGGGCGACGACATTGCTTTTAAGGCCTTTGGCCAAGGAATTTAGTTTTGCAACACGTTGTACCGCAGTGTCGAAATGTTGCAGGGCGATGTCGATATCCAACTCATCCACCTGACTTTCTACCCACCGCAGGTTTTGCTGCTTGCCATCGACTTCGATAAGCATATCCTTTATGTCTGAAAGAGTCTCGAGTAAGTCTGTCTTCTTTAGCAATCCTGGATCACGTGAAGCAAAGTAGTTGATTGTTTCCTTAGCTTTATTGCTCGTTTCCATTTCTGACCGGAGGCCTTTATGGAGCTCTTCTACCGCTTTTCGGAAGTTCATCATAAGGGAAGACTTTTCACTGTCGCCCGGCTTTTCAGTTCGATAGGTAAAAGATTCCTGGCCTACACCTCTGATCATGATTGCATCAGCCAACTTGTTACGCACACTAGTTCCTTCGCTCGTTCCTGCAAGGTCGACAATCTCAATGTCTAACAATGGCCAGCATCTGTCTGCCACCAACTTCGATGGCGCCTGTCGTTGATCTGCGCCTTCGACTTTTCGCTTTTTCCTGGACGCAACAAGAAGATGATCATTCAATAACACGATCTGCATCGCTCGTCTAGATTTCCAGGTAGCATTGTCAAGCTCTATCCATAGCCCAGCATTTTGTACCACGTGACGGCCAGGGGCAGCAGGTAGAAACTTTTGGGAGCCTTCAATAGTCTTCCATAAAGCCTAACAAAATTAATACCTCTATAAAATTCGAAAAAAGAGATGGACATACCTGTAGCTGCGAGTTCCACATCACAGTTCTGTCTGCCACAGAACTTCGCCTGTCTCTCTTACTCATTGTTGGCTGGAAACCTTCGAAATCAGTTGATGAGGATGGACCTTGTGAAGTCGTTCTGAGGGCAGTAGTGTTGGTTTTAAGTTCAGCCATTAGATTCCGAAGTGCGCGCATCTCCCCTTTGAGCTTTTCTGCCTCTTTACTAATCTTTATGAATTGTGTCCGATTTTGATAAATGTTTTGTTGTAAATCCGTAGAAGTACGATTCTTCATCTTTTTTAAATTGTTTTGGAAATCCTCAATATCTTGTTCCGAAGCATCACTTAATAGTCCCGCTACGTATACCTCTGGCCTCAAATTTGGATCGCGTAAAGCTCTCTGGTCTACTACTAAACCAGGTCCTCTCGCCGGCGATGGACCTCGTCCACGGTCATTTGCCGGAGCATATTGAGCGGGCAAACTAGGAACAGAGGGAAGAGGAGGAGCAGAAGGGTCGAAGTCGGAGGGAAGATTATTAAACCGAGTAGAGTATCGCCGTTTCACCAAATCTGAAGTCTAAGACGGCGCATGTTAGCAGCTATTCAAAAAACCACCAGGGCTTTAATCTAATAAGACCTCCACATACCTTGCCACCAGGTTGAGGACGCTGCGCGGGCGGAGTACTGAAAGGTGCCTGTCCTGCATTTCGTGGACCATCTCCTCCAGTTTGTGGAATTGGGCCGGATATCTGTTTGGGGGCACTTATTGCTGGACGACCTTTTCTCTTGGTCCTTAGAGACACGCCTTTTCTTTCATCCGACATATTGCAATTTTATTGCCAGAAAAAGATGAGTTATACCGGAGAGTACTGTGCTAGACAATTGTATGTTGAAAAGGAAGGTGTTTAAGGTTCAGGTTGTTCCATAGGCATTTATGCTGGAGTAACAGTAACCGAAAGGGAGCAAGCGTTCCCGCACGTATGTCAGGTCAGTACCTGAATTGGGTCCAATTACATTTGATAGGAAGAATGTCAATTAAACAATGTTCCAAGAGTACTTTATCACCATAAAGAAAAATGCACTTTGATATCCAAGCGTGAAGTTTATGTCTATATAAGTTATGATGACGAACCTCACCTTATTATTAGTACACTCACTATCTACCTAGTATCTGTAAGGTTAAGTGCCAATCTGACAAGGCGCGATGATTGTCCTTTCAAAATATTTGGTGGGCGGATTTAGATTGGTCCGAGAGCCGCTGAACCTAAAATTCCCAAAATTTATCGATAGCTCTAAGAACATTTCTGAGCCTTTGGAGACTAAACCAACCTCAATCATACAATAGACGACCATAGCCAGCCGCTTCAGTTGTCTCCCCGACCCCTCCTTTAATATTATACAAAATTTGGGCGAAATGGTTCAAACTTCCACAATTGTCGCTGCCAGTGTTGGCACAGTTGCTACAGGATTGGTCGGTTCGTGATTTCTATTCTTGATTAGAATTTCGAAGTCTGCTAACGAACTTTTTGATAGCCTACGCAATTTATTTCGATCATAAGAGACGCACCGATCCAAACTTCCGCAAACAATTGAAGAAAGAATCGAAACGACAAGCAAAAGCTGCGAAGGAGGAAGCGGAAGCTCACAATGAGAGACAAAAAGAAGTTATCAAGGCAGTAGTTCTAGAAGCCAAGGAGGATGGATTCCCAGTAGACGTAGAGGAGAAAGAGGCATATTTCATGTCAGAAGTTGCCAGGGGTGAAGATTTAAGCTCAAATGGTGAGTTATTTCTGGAGAAGATTTAATCCAGAATCTAATACTTGAGTATAGGTGGCGACCCAGTAGAAGCAGCACTCTGTTTTTACAAGGCACTTAAAGTTTACCCTCAGCCAAATGATTTGATATCTATTTATGACAAGACGGTGCCAAAGGTAGCTCCTCGGATCCTGTTTCATTGACAGAAAGACTGACAAAACTTCTAGCCTGTCCTCGATATTCTTGCAGAAATGATCGCAGCCGATGCAGCTTTAGACGTTGGACCATTTGGTGGCAGCCATTCTGATAGTGGTATACCCAATGTCGGCCTTGATTAGTCTGGCTGTTTTTTTAATATACATGTATTCTGAACACCTCCGCTCTTCATCATGACCCAACCTTTTTACCGAATTTCACGAACCGCAACTGGATAATATCGAAACCCCAAGGTGGACTGTGTAATAGTCCAATGTATATCAATCGGCATGCTTGGCGTCGGCAGGTTTCTCGCATTACGCTTTACGTCTAATTTGTACATAGTATCCATACTGTCAATATGCGCGCTGGTTGTTATTTACAACGCTGCAAAGAGCCGTATGTAATGCAAATCAGGCCAGCCAGATTCATTGTATACCCTGGCAACCTGCAGGCCGCTTGTTTTACATTCCCCGCATTCAATGCTATTTGGCGTGAAAAGTGTCAGATAGTGAGCATACCACTACCCTAAAGTGAAGATTGATCGAACGGTATTCAAACAATTAGGACTCATTGGGAGGTTGATAACTCAAGCGTGTTCGGAATAGAGTCACCACCCTAACCATATGGCACCAAACCTTCAACGCGTGTATGATGGAAATGTGACAGGAAGATTGTAATAGAATTCATATCATGTCATCTCCATTCCAAATTCCTAGCAAGATATTTATATGATCCGTCTTGAGGATAAGAGAGTCGCGGGGTTGGATACCTGCTTTTGGTTTCTGTATCGGTAGTGAAATGCTTGTTCTAGAAGCGGAAGTTAAAAGTAAAGGAGAGAGAAGGACCCAGGAACGAGTGCATGACGCTAGGCCTAGCGAACGGGATGATTAGAGTGACAGGGGTGGATCGCGGTCGCGACAACACCAAAATCAATGTAATCAAATACAGCATTAACATTTTGGTCCTACCGCCCACTTTCCTACCACAGGAGTCAATAAATTCACCTTCGTACAAACTACCATAAATCTACCACTTTACTTCAATCTTTTAACAATATAAAAAATTAAAACACATTGGCGATGAATACAACTTAATAAATCACAACCTTAACAGCCATGAGCTTGCTTGATTCCTCCGCAAGTTCCTCCGGAAATGGAGCAAACGGAGTCGGAACGAGTTCATTTTCGTCGATAGAACCAAAGATAATTGTTGAATTCCTTGCGTCCGTCCTTCAAATAACTTTAGGAGCAACCAGACATGACCTTGAGCATACGGGCAGTCTCCTTTCCGAAGCCAGATACCCTGATACGGCTCAGCGATGCACCAGATTTGCCTCAGAGTCTCAAATAGCAGTAATATATGTACAGAAGGATGTAGTTTCACAGAGGGAAGAGGATTCTACAAATGAACCAAGTAAGCACGCTGGTCATTTGCTACTGGTGAATGTTGATTAACATGGATGCAGGCTCGATTTTGTACAGCTACAGCTTAGCTTCCGATATATCTTCCTCTCCTTCAACAACCGCCTCGGTGGCTTTTATGAAAGGGCCGCAGCCTATAGACTCTTCAATACCCATTTCTTCTCAAATACAACTTATTAATTTACCTGGCGCAGCATCACCGAACGATACTACGAATGGCCAGGCAGGAGCTACTATTTTGCATTCATTTGTGCATCTAGCGCTGGCGCCATATTTTGATGCATATACAAAGACACAACAAACGGGGAATGGGGGCCGAGGTAGACCGGAACTCGAGGCTAAAACTGGAGTTTCTGCTACCAAAAAGAAGTTGGCAGAGCTAGAGTTAGCTTTGCGACATCTCCAGGAGAACGTTGACATTCCAGACCTGACACTTCCGCTTCATCCTATGGTGCAGCATGCACTTGATGAGGCGGCTGCTCGTGGTGCCAAAGCGACAGTAGAGGCTATTCCGGAAAGACTGATGCAAGATAGTACTTTCCTCAACAACCTGCAATCTTTAGTAAACGGATGGATCAAGTCGATACAAGCTATTACAAAGATGTCGCGAGATCCTACAAGCGGTACTGCATCACAGGAAATTCAGTTTTGGCTCGCTATGGAATCGACACTTGAGCATATCGGTGCACAATTATCCAGCGATGGAGTAATGCTTACACTTGAGATCCTAAGACATGCCAAACGTTTCCAGGCCACTCTCAGTTTTACATCCGATACTGGACTGAAAGAGTCTACTGACAAGGTACAAAAGTACAACCAACTCATGCGAGATTTCCCTCTTGACGAATTACTTTCGGCAACTTCATTGCAAAAGGTTGGAGATGCATTGGGTCTCATTTTTGGACACTTGAACAAGAAATTGCGTATTTGTCCATACCCAGTTCGACGTGCCTTGCCACTGGTAGAAGCAATTTCTGCGGATCTTGACACTCGCCTCCACTCTCTACTTCATGGCCGCTCATTGATGCATTTGGAGTATCGAGATTTCAGAAAGTTGATGTCCGTCGCCGATTCTATCTGGGCCATTTGGGATGATAATCTAAAGGAGTTTACTAATGTTGCTCGAGAAGTGACACGTCGAAGAAACGAGAAATTCATGCCTATCAAAATAATTGGAAAGCATGCAGAGCTACAAGCACGGCTAAAATATGTGAGCACCTTTAGAGACAACCATGAGCAACTACAGCGAACAATAGTCAACGTTTTGGCACCCAAGGCTGGTGAGGACGCACCGGACGGTGGAGCCAATGGAGTCGTTTTAGTCGAGGAGATGGGTGATGTCGACGCTGTTGAGGAAATTAAGCAGGCTTGGGCTGCATTGAACAATGTAGATATGCTGGACGTTTCTCCTGAAGGAACCCAGCTGTGGATCCAAGCGGAAAGTACCTATAACGAGCGAACATCGCGCGTCGAGAACTCAATTATTGCCCGTTTGCGAGATCGATTAGCCACTGCCAAGACAGCAAGTGAAATGTTTCGAGTATTTTCTAAATTCAATGCTCTATTTGTCAGACCAAAGATTCGTGGAGCCATTACAGAATATCAAACACAACTTATTGACAATGTCAAACATGATATCTCTTCCTTACACGAGCGATTCAAGCAGCAATACGGCCATTCAGAAGCTCACGCCATGGCACAGCTGAGAGATTTGCCGCCGGTTTCAGGGGCGATCATTTGGGCTCGCCAAATCGAGAAACAACTTAATGGATATATGAAAAAAGTTGAAGACGTACTTGGAACTGAATGGGCACTTCATGCCGAGGGACAAAAGCTTCTCAGTGATAGTAATCTCTTCCGCAACAAGTTGGACACTCGACCAATCTTTGAGGCATGGCTTCATGATGTGCAGCGGAAGCATGTTACCATTTCTGGAAGGCTTTTCAACATCAATAAGATCCGCGCAGCAAACAATGCATTAGAGCTAGCTGTCAATTTTGACCATCAGGTCATTGCGCTATTTAAGGAAACACGAAACTTACAGTGGTTGAACTACCCCGTTCCTCATCAGATCAACAACATATCAAAAGATGCAAAGCGCGTGTACCCCTACGCAGTCAGTCTCATGGAAACCGTTCGGACATTCACACAAACCAGTCGTCAGATAGCTGAAATGGCCGATGTTCAAATACTTCTCAGCGGTTATCAGAACGAGGTCCAGGCCTTGATTGCTCGTGGAGTTACCTTGAAGTGGGAGTCATTCGTGCACTCGTACGACATTCATATCAAACCTACGTACACTAAAGGCTCAATCGAACCTGCCATTGCCAATAGAACCGAGAGCAAGCATGTGCAATTCGTCCGCGAAATTGCTGCATCAGTCGCTTTGTTACAAAGCAAGGCTGAAACTCTCGCCTCCATAAATGCAACAATCCAAAAGACCTTGGCAGAGTTAGACAAGTGTCCTTATGAGGTAGCTGCATTCCAAGCTCGTTTGGAGACGATACAGATGGCAGTTGATCAACTGAACCTCGAAAACTACGTCAACCTACCTTATTGGGTCAAACAGATGAACGAGCGTATCAAGGTTACTCTTCTGAGGCGTTTACAACAATCAATTGAAGTGTGGATTGATACTTTCGAAGATGGACGATCCGATGGTGTCAATGATGATAGTCGCAGAAAACACTTCAGTATTTTGACTGAGTCTCCGCCTGAGAACAAACCATCCATGAAACGGCTGGTTCATGAAATCTCCATGCGCAACCAAGTCATCTATTTGGATCCGCCTCTAGAATATGCCAGAGCTAGCTGGTTCTCTCAATTACATGATTGGCTTGGTGTCGTATGCCATCTTCGTAAAGTCAAAGCTTCCCGATATGTCATGACCCTAGGAACGACTAAGGATCCAGAAGAGTTGTTTACTGAGCTTCCTCGAGATTGTGGGGATGAACTTCTAAGAGCGTACAAATGCGTTGAAGCAAAACTGCACGAGATTAGTCTCTACGTTGACAAATGGCTACAATTTCAATCGCTATGGGATCTTCAATCTGATCTCGTATATGAAACCTTAGGTGAACAGCTGTCAAAGTGGCTCCAGCTTTTGCAAGAGATTAGAAAGACTCGGTCTACTTTCGATACAACTGAAGTGAGTCGATCGTTCGGACATCTTACCATCGACTACGATCAAGTCCAAACAAAGGTCAATGCCAAGTATGACCAGTGGCAACATGAAATCTTAATCAAATTTGGGAGTCGTCTTGGAAATCGTGTTCGTGAAGTCTATGCTGAGATTGAGAAGGCAAGACGTGATCTCGAAGTGCAGTCCTTGGAAGCATCATCTACAGCACAGGCTGTCCAATTCATCACCATCGTGCAGACTTGCAAGCGAAGGGTAAAAGCATGGGGTCCAGAAGTTGAAACTTTCAGACAAGGACAAACGACGCTCGTCCGACAAAGATATCAATTTCCTACAGACTGGTTGGGAGTTGAGCAAATTGACTCTGAATGGACAGCCCTCAACGAAATCCTAGCTCGGAAAGCCAAAATTGTAGAGGACCAAACTGATGCATTGCGTGCCAAGATAACTGCAGAGGACAGGGTAGTAGGTGAAAAGATTGCAGAGATCACAGGCCAGTGGAACGAAGAAAAGCCTGTTTCTGGTACCATTGCTCCTGATGTGGCGTCTGCAACTCTTACATCTTTCGAAAGTCGTATTACGAAATTGCACGAGGAGTCAGAAATGGTTGCTCGTGCAAAAGAGGCTTTAGATCTTCCAGCAACTGCAGATACAGCACTTGTGGCTATTCTTGAAGAAGTTCAAGACTTCAAGTCTGTGTGGGCTGCCTTGTCCACAATTTGGAAAAGCCTAAATGACCTCCGCGATATGCTGTGGACAAGTGTTCAGCCACGAAAACTACGATCTGCAATTGATGGTCTCATCAAAATGACCAAAGAAATGCCCAGCCGCATGAGACAATATGCTGCATTTGAGCATATCCAAAATGTTCTTCGACAATTTTTGAAGGTTAATCCCGTGGTTACAGATTTGAAATCTGAGGCTGTTAGAGACCGTCATTGGAATAAGATCTTCAAGAATTTGAAGCCTGGAAAGCGTTATTCGCCAATATCTATGACTTTAGGAGAAGTTTGGGATCTGAATCTTGTCGCCACGGAGAAGATTATCCGGGACATCATCGCACAGGCCCAAGGTGAAATGGCTTTGGAAGAGTTTTTGAAACAGGTTCGCGAAGATTGGTCAAATTACTCACTAGATCTTGTGAATTATCAGAACAAATGCCGCCTTATTCGTGGCTGGGACGATCTGTTCGCAAAATGTAGTGAAAATCTGAACTCTTTACAGGCAATGAGACACTCTCCATATTACAAGGAATTCGAAGAGGAAGCTGCATCATGGGAAGATAAGCTTAACCGTGTGCACGTACTTTTTGACGTATGGATTGACGTTCAGCGCCAATGGGTCTACCTTGAAGGTGTTTTCACTGGAAATGCAGATATCAAGCATCTCTTACCAATTGAGTCTTCAAGATTTCAAAACATCAACTCCGAATTCTTCGCAGTAATGAAAAAGGTCTACAAACAACCTTTTGTATTGGACGTACTCAACATATCCGGCGTTCAAAAATCATTGGAACGTCTCGCAGAGCTTTTGAACAAGATACAAAAAGCTCTTGGTGAGTACCTTGAGAGAGAGCGTGTCTCATTTCCAAGATTCTACTTCGTCGGTGATGAGGACCTGCTTGAAATTATCGGTAATAGCAACGATACCTTGCGCATAGCTAAACACTTCAAGAAAATGTTTGCTGGCTTATCTGGTTTGATTATGGATGAAGAACATGTTATTTCAGGATTTACTTCAAAAGAGGGTGAAGAAGTTCGACTGAAGAAGGAGATCTCTTTGATCAAGACGCCAAAAATCAATGACTGGTTGACCCTTCTTGAAAATAGCATGAAGTCAACTCTTGCGGAGTTGCTTGCGGAGGCTGTTGAACAGTACGAGGCAATCTTCACTGCTGATGACGTAGACCAAGAAGCTTTGAACCAATATATCTCAGCATTCCCTAGTCAAATAGTTGTATTAGGTACGCAAGCTGTTTGGACGTCATGTGTAGAGAAGGCTCTTGAAAATGAGGGTGCCGACCTGCAAAAGTTATTCGACCAGGAAGTTAAAGTACTCCGCCTCCTTGCATCCACTGTTTTAGGTGATCTAGATCCCATTCAGAGAAAACGATGCGAGCACCTCATCACTGAGTGTGTCCACCAACGAGATGTCATTGAAAAGCTACGTAACCTTAATGCAAGCACACCTAATCATTACATGTGGCTTCTGCAAATGAGGTATGTCTACAAGCCCGAGGGCGACTTTCTGCAACGTCTTTACATCAAAATGGCGAATGCGAAGCTCAATTATGGCTTTGAATACCTTGGTGTGGCAGAGCGTCTTGTCAGGACACCACTGACGGATCGATGTTTCTTGACACTCACGCAAGCTCTTTGTCAACGTCTCGGTGGCTCCCCTTATGGTCCAGCAGGTACAGGAAAGACGGAGTCCGTCAAAGCTCTAGGTGTTCAGCTAGGTCGTTTTACCCTTGTATTCTGTTGTGATGACACTTTTGACTTCCAGGCCATGGGTCGCATTTTCCTTGGTCTTTGTCAAGTTGGTGCTTGGGGTTGTTTTGATGAGTTCAATCGACTTGAGGAACGTATCTTATCCGCCGTGTCTCAACAAGTCCAGAACATCCAACTCGGGTTGAAGCAAGGCGCGGAGGATGAGAAATCTCAAATTGAACTGGTTGGTAGACAATTACATGTGAATTCAAACACCGGACTTTTCATCACGATGAACCCAGGTTATGCTGGTCGATCTAACTTGCCAGATAATTTGAAGAAATTATTCCGAAGTGTTGCCATGTCTAAACCTGACAAAGAGCTTATCGCCGAAGTCATGTTGTACTCGCAAGGATTCAATCAAGCTAAACAGCTTTCCAAGCAAACAGTACCGTTTTTCGATAGCTGCGCAGCTCGACTGTCCAAACAAGCCCACTACGACTTTGGGTTGCGTGCCTTGAAGAGTGTGCTTGTTAGCTCTGGTGGTCTCAAACGTGCTCGCCTAACCAATTCCGATGGTAACCTCGGGCCTGAAGAGGAAGTAGAACCACAGATTATTGTCCAGAGTCTCCGCGAGACAATTGCACCTAAGTTGATCAAGAGCGACGTGGAGATTATGAGAGCCATCGAAGCAGAGTCATTCCCTGGCGTTGATTATATTCCGGCTAGCTTAGACGACCTTAAGAATGCTATCAAGAGCCTCGCGAAAGAAAAGCATTTGGTAGTCAATGATACCTGGATGACTAAAATTCTTCAGCTCTACCAAATTCAAGGCATTCATCATGGTGTTATGATGGTCGGAAATTCTGGTTCTGGAAAGTCGGTAGCTTGGAAGGTCCTCTTACAAGCCTTACAGCAAGTTGAGGGAGTTGAAGGTGTTTGTCATATCATAGACTCGAAAGTCATGTCGAAAGAAGCACTTTACGGTAATCTCGACTCAACCACTCGTGAATGGACCGATGGTCTATTCACAAGCATTCTTCGTAAGATTGTGGATAATCTACGTGGTGAAGAGTCAAAGAGACACTGGATTGTTTTTGATGGTGATGTAGATCCTGAATGGGTAGAGAACTTGAACAGTGTTCTGGATGACAACAAACTCCTCACCTTACCTAATGGTGAACGTCTCAATCTCCCCGGAAACGTCAGAATTATGTTCGAAGTTGAAACCTTGAAGTACGCTACGCTGGCAACTGTGAGTCGTTGTGGTATGGTTTGGTTCAGTGAGGATACTGTTACTCCAAACATGATGGTTTCGAATTACTTGGAAAAACTGAGGTCGGATGCGTTCGAGGATTTAGACGAAGATGCTGTGGCAACAGGACAGAGTGCTGCCCAAGCACTGGAAATTCAATCTCATGTGGCGGATCTTCTTCAAACATTCCTTACTACTGAAGATTTTATTATTAATGCCTTGGAACGTGCTGAAGGATTCAACCACATTATGGACTACACTATATCTCGTGTTCTAAATACACTTTTCTCGCTACTAAACAAGGCTGTCCGAGACATCATCGAGTACAACTCTCAACATGTCGACTTCCCACTTGATCCAGATCAAATCGAATCCTTCATCGCCAAAAAGCTTCTTCTCGCCCTCGTATGGTCGTTGACTGGTGATTGTCCATTAGGAGATCGTAAGAGCTTCGGAGATTGTCTAGCTGGACTGGCCACATTTGGCAACCCCATACTAGGCGATAACTCTTCTCTAATCGATTTTGATGTGACCCTACCCCAAGCCGAATGGTCTTCATGGCAAAATCAAGTACCCAGTATCGAGGTTAATACGCACTCCATTACGCAAACCGATGTGGTTATTCCTACGCTCGACACTGTGCGTCATGAAGATGTTTTATACTCTTGGCTAGCAGAGCATAAGCCTTTGCTTTTGTGTGGTCCTCCTGGTTCCGGAAAAACTATGACTCTCTTCAGTGCTCTACGCAAACTTCCTAACATGGAAGTCGTTGGACTGAATTTCTCTAGTGCGACCACACCAGATTTGTTAATCAAGACATTTGAGCAATATTGTGAGTACAAGAAGACAGTTAACGGGGTTATGCTCTCTCCTACTCAAATTGGTCGCTGGCTTGTGATATTCTGTGACGAAATCAATTTGCCTGCCCCAGACAAGTATGGTACGCAGAGAGCCATTTCTTTCTTGCGTCAGCTAGTGGAACAGAACGGGTTCTGGCGAACATCCGATAAGACCTGGGTTACACTTGACCGCATCCAATTTGTCGGTGCTTGTAATCCTCCAACAGATGCTGGTCGAACACCCATGGGAGATCGTTTCTTGCGACATGCACCGCTCATCATGGTTGATTATCCAGGAGAACTGTCTCTGCAACAGATTTACGGCACTTTCAATAGCGCTGTTCTCAAGATTATTCCCGCTTTGAGAGGTTACTCCGAAGCATTGACGAAAGCTATGGTCAGGTTTTACACTGAATCACAGAAACGCTTCACACCTAAAATTCAACCTCATTACGTGTACAGTCCTCGTGAGCTTACCCGATGGGTTCGCGGTATCTATGAAGCCATTCGACCACTTGAGGCGCTCAGCATTGAAGGTTTGGTCAGAATATGGGCTCATGAAGCTCTGAGATTATTTCAAGATCGTCTCGTAGCTGAAGATGAGCGTAAATGGACCGATGAGGCCGTGCATCGTATTGCAACTGATTTCTTTCCTACTATCGATGAAGAAAAGGCTCTTAGTGGACCAATTTTATTCTCCAACTGGCTCTCGAAGAATTATGTTCCAGTCGACAGAGAACAATTGAGAGATTTCGTCAAGGCTCGTTTGAAGACTTTCTGTGAAGAAGAAGTTGATGTCCCACTTATTCTGTTCAACGATGTTCTAGAGCACGTGCTTCGCATTGATCGTGTATTCAGACAACCGCAAGGTCATTTGATTCTTATTGGAGTCAGTGGAAGTGGTAAAACAACACTATCTCGATTTGTTGCCTGGATGAATGGTCTCAGAGTCTTTCAAATTAAGGTTCATGGTAAATATTCTGCCGAAGACTTTGATGACGATCTACGTGATGTCTTACGTCGATGTGGATGCAAGGGAGAGAAAATATGTTTCATTATGGACGAATCAAACGTTTTGGACTCTGGATTCTTGGAGAGAATGAACACTCTATTGGCAAATGCTGAAGTTCCCGGTCTTTTCGAAGGCGATGAATTTGCATCGTTGATGACTGCATGCAAAGAAGGTGCTCAACGTCAAGGACTTCTACTCGATTCACAGGAAGAACTTTACAAATGGTTCACTGGACAAATTGTGAAGAATCTGCACGTTGTTTTCACCATGAATCCTCCTGAAGATGGCTTATCTTCTAAGGCTGCAACCAGTCCTGCCCTCTTCAATCGTTGCGTACTGAATTGGTTTGGAGATTGGTCTGATCAAGCATTATTCCAAGTAGGCACAGAATTAACTCAATCCGTTGACCTCGATCGACCAAACTTCACCGCTCCAGACAGCATTCCCGTGGCATATCGAGATCTTAGCCTGCCAGCAAACCATAGAGAGACGATAATCAATGCAATGGTATACATCCATTACTCACTACAACGTTTCAACGTCAAATTGTTGAGGCAGCAAGGCAAGGTAACATTCCTCACACCTAGACACTTCTTGGACTTCGTGGCCCAATACGTCAAACTCTACACGGAGAAGCGTGATGACCTCGAGGAGCAGCAAAGACATTTAAACGTCGGTCTGGAAAAGCTTAGAGATACTGTCGACAAAGTACGTGATCTTAGGGTCAGCTTGGCAGATAAGAAGGGTCAATTGGAACGTAAAGATGCAGAAGCCAACGAAAAGTTACAGCGCATGGTAGCGGATCAAAGAGAGGCGGAGCAACGTAAAACAACTTCACTCGAAATTCAAGCCGCTCTCGAAATACAAGAAAAAGAAGTCGCCGAACGTCGCGAGGTTGTACTCAACGATTTGGCCAATGCCGAACCTGCTGTTATTGAAGCTCAAAAGAGTGTTAGCAACATCAAACGACAACATTTGACTGAGGTCCGTTCCATGGGTAACCCGCCTCAGGGTGTCAAGCTTGCTCTGGACTCGGTCTGTACTCTTCTCGGTCATAAGATTGAGAGTTGGAAGACAGTGCAGGGTATTATCAGAAAAGATGACTTTATTGCCAGCATTGTCAACTATGACAACGAGAGACAGATGACGAAGAATCTTCGTATAAAGATGCGCAACGAATTTCTTTCAAATGATGACTTTACTTATGAAAAGGTCAATCGTGCCAGTAAAGCTTGCGGACCGCTTGTTCAATGGGTTCAGGCTCAAGTCAACTATTCTGAGATTCTCGATCGTGTTGGACCACTAAGAGAGGAAGTTGGACTGCTCGAGGAGCAAGCTCTACAAACCAAAGCCGAGGCCCAAGCCATTGAAAATACTATAAACACTTTGGAGCAGAGTATTGCGACTTACAAGATAGAATATGCAGCTCTTATCAGTGAAACACAAGCTATCAAGTCTGAGATGTCAAAGGTTCAATTCAAGGTTGATCGAAGTGTTCGACTACTTGACAGTCTTTCATCTGAACGAACACGTTGGGAAGAGGGTAGCAAGTCATTCGAGACGCAAATTAGTACCCTTGTAGGTGATGTCCTTGTCGCGGCCGCTTTCCTTGCATACAGTGGTCTTTATGATCAGCAATACCGAAAGAACATGATGGAAGACTGGCTACATCAACTCCATTTATCCGGAATCAGTTACAAACAACATAATCCAGTCACTGAATATCTCTCAAGTGCCGATGAGCGACTGGGATGGCAACAAGACACTCTACCAGTGGATGACCTCTGCACCGAAAACGCTATCATATTGAAACGATTCAATAGATATCCATTGATTATTGATCCTTCTGGTCGTGCTACAGAATTCTTACAAAAGCAGAGCAAGGACAGAAAGCTTACAGTCACAAGTTTCTTGGATGATTCGTTTACCAAACAATTAGAAAGTTCCCTCCGTTTCGGAAACCCTATTCTCATCCAAGATGCTGAATATCTGGATCCAATCCTTAACCACGTTCTTAACAAAGAGTATCAAAAGACTGGTGGACGTGTTCTCATTCAGCTTGGTAAGCAAGAAATTGACTTTTCGCCCGCATTTAAGATCTACCTTTCTACTAGAGATCCATCTGCAACATTCGCACCGGATATTTGCAGTCGAACAACATTTGTCAATTTCACTGTCACACAAAGCAGTTTACAAACACAGTCACTGAATGATGTCCTCAAATCTGAACGACCTGATGTGGATGAGAGGCGCTCAAATCTCATCAAATTACAGGGCGAATTCAAAGTTCATCTCAGACAGCTCGAGAAACGCTTGTTGCAAGCATTGAACGAATCACGTGGCAACATTCTCGATGATGATAACGTCATTGAAACTCTCGAAACTTTGAAGAAGGAAGCGGCTGAGATTTCGGTGAAGATGGGTAACACTGAAGGTGTAATGGCTGAGGTCGATGAGATCACACTTCAGTACAATATCATCGCACGCTCTTGCAGTGCTATTTTCGCCGTTCTTGAACAGTTACACTACCTCAATCACTTCTATCAATTCTCTCTACAGTACTTCCTCGACATCTTTCACTCTGTTCTGAAGGGTAATAAGCGACTAGAGTCAGAGACAAACCACGATAGACGTCGCGATATAATTGTGGAAGACTTGTTCGTCACCGCCTACCAGCGTACATCCCTCGGTTTGCTACAAAAAGACAAGATAACCTTAGCAATGCTTCTCGCTCAAGCAGCTCCGTACAAGATGGATAAGAGTCTTATTGATGTTATTCTGGATGAATCTGTGGCAGGTACCGATGTATCTACGGATGGTGATAAGAAGGATGAAGTTATGAGCCATGCAATCAAACTTTCCGCTTTCAAGGGCAAACTTGAGGGTGTTTCTTCTGAGTCTTGGGATCGTTTCTTATCCGAAGAATTGGCAGAGAATTTCGTTCCTCAAGTCTGGGATGACAATGTTGAAAAGAGAGACCGAGAGCTTATTTCTTTGTTACTTATCAAGCTTTTCCGTCTTGATCGATTTGTTCCCGCCGCTGAACGATTCGTCACTGCTGTATTTGGTTTAGGTCTTCTTGATGTCACTGAGGATCTAAAGCAAATTGTCGAGCAAGTATCCGCAAGTCGTCCTGTTGCGCTCTGCTCAAGTCCTGGTTTTGATGCAAGTTACAAAGTCGAAAACCTCGTGGAACGATCACAAGCTGCTTGTACCAACATTGCTATGGGTTCGAATGAAGGTCTGGCCACTGCTGATAAGGCTATTAGTAATGCAGCCGCCAATGGATCTTGGGTTCTAGTCAAGAACGTTCATTTGGCACCAACCTGGCTACAGAGTCTAGAAAAACGCATGGATTCACTTAAGCCTCATGCAAACTTTAGGTTGTTTTTGTCAATGGAATCAAGCCCTAAAATCCCTGTCAATTTATTGCGGGCATCTAGGGTGTTGATGTACGAACAACCAGCTGGTGTAAGAGCTAACATGAAGGACTCCATGGCATCACTCTCTACCAGAGGTACCAAAACTCCCGTGGAGAGAACAAGATTGTATCTTCTCTTATCATTCTTACATGCTGTTGTACAAGAACGTTTGCGATACGCTCCTAGCCTTGGATGGAACGGTTTTTGGGAATTCAATGACAGTGATGTAAGTATTACCAGTTTTTCATCTTTGGAAAAATATACTAACCAATCATAGTATGAATGTTCCGCGTATATCATCGACACCTGGGTGGAAATAGTTGCTGCGGGACGATCGAACGTGGCTCCACAGAATCTCCCTTGGGATATGCTTCGCACACTGATTGTAGAGACATACGGTGGTAAAATTGATGATGAAGAAGATTTTTCCCTTCTTAGAAAACTCGTCAACTCTTTCATGACCCCCGCTGCCTATGATATCGGCCATAAATTGGTTGAAGGTGTTGCTGGTGATGAATCAGAAACTGGAAACTTGATCGTGCCAAGCGGAACCACTATGAAAGATTTCACAGATTGGGTTAAGAAGTTACCCGAACGTGAACCTCCCACTTATTTGGGATTGCCAGCTAATGCCGAGAAATTGTTGCTGGTGGGACAAGGCCGCAGCATGATTCAGAATCTGGGTAAGATTACCGAAATGTTAGATGAGGGTGAACAGATCATGGCGGAGGCTGCTTGATAGATTAAGTTTAATGTGAAGGAAATGAGAATGTTAGATTTCATTTGTTATAGGATTGGAGATAGAAAGACAAGATTGAGAGGCTCTGTGGATGAATTTTCCTTTGTGAATTGTAGATTTTATTGGAGGATGGATATCTGATGATGTTTGTTCATGGCATAGCACAGCATAGCTTGCAGGATGAAAGATTGAAGAATATATGGGTAGTGCGGTACTTTGTGGTTATACACTATACCCTAATTATGTATGCGTAGATCACAAGAATATTTTCTGTCGAGTGTAGCTTTAGATCATAGTTATGGAATTCATATGTTCATGCATTACTGGTAATTTGAAGGCAAATATACATGATGTGATAGGTCACTAATTAAAATCGCAGACATTCTGATTATTTCAAATATACCTCTATCAGATCTTAGCTCTCGATTCATCAAAATAAAAGCCAGCGTAACTAGTCATATCCCCCCCGTCATCGGATAGCAAGCATTCTTGGATTTTATTGGCAATTTAGTCAATCAGAGCCTAGAGATTTTGCTAAGTGAAGATTGGCATTCATAGTAACGGGCACCGTTAGTGCTAGTTGTATATAGTGCGTTGCTAAGGAGAAACAGTTGATGATATGACAAGACTAATCTCAGCTCGTTATTACTGATAATTGTTTCTTCAAGAGCACTCTTAAACCACTCCTCAGTAATTCACTCACTAAAAAGTTCACTGGGTACTTCCAAGGATTTGAAAAACTATTCTCAGGGATGGGATGGTATGGTATGGTATTTTTAAAGCTTATAAAGACATTTTTAACTTAAGATACCTAGGTAAACTTACTTGTCTTCTATAACGGTGCGGCGATTTGAACTAGATGTGATATTACTAGCGAGCGATGGGTGAAATGTAGGAGGTTAGGAGGTTAACTAATACCATTTTGCAGGGACAGGGATGATGAGATTTGCAACAAAAAGAAAAGTATTTAGGATATGCTATTATGGTTATGAGAGTTAATTCTTTTCGCGGGTGTTTTATTCAGTTTGTGGTAGGGTGTGTGGTTGTGTTGTAGGGTGAAATGAAGTTAAGTTGTGGATTGGGAACTTGGAAACTTAGGTCAGGTATTCACGTGATAGGAGTGAGGTTCTATAGCTTAGACTAGAATAAATTTGGGAGTGATAGATGCTTGTTTTATTATTAGATGGAGTTTCTTAGAGTGGAATGAGTTATTTTGGTCGGGTCATGCTAGAACCGTGGATGGCATGATGGAGGCATACAAAATTCACAACAACTTCAACAGTTCTTCCAATGCCCACTCCAACTCATCATCTTCTTCGGTTTGCGCATCCATTCCCTCGGCTGGAGTTCCAAATGGTACAAAATCAGGTTCGCACACCGTGCCATTTGATGGTAGAATACCGGTTTGGAAATACGCGAGACGGTGTTTGGCGGTGCATTTTGATGGGCAGGATGCTGAAGTATGCTATGGTTTTGTAAGCTGTGGGTTTTTGGATTTCATGATAGCAAGAGCTTACGCCGTAAGAACTTTGGACTAGAACAGAAGAACCAGGGAAAAAGTTTGAATTGTAAATTGCACTTCCTAAAGGTGTGATGTTGTCTGCTGAGTTGCCTATGAATAAGATCGGATGACTGGTATTTTGCTCAAATGGACCTTTTCATTGTATCTGGTTAGCATGTCTGGTGGAAGGAAACGTCTGATGCTTACCAATAAAATTCCATTTCGTCCTTGACTTCCAGCCGGCACATGACAGGCGAATATTGAACATAACCGACGCAGACAATGGACTTTTTTTCCTCAATTCTTCCTCGTACTTTATCATAACCTCCAAACTATCTTTATCAACATCGGGTTTACCTTCTCCACATCTAACATACGTTGCTGCGTCGCCGTTTCCAACTGCTTCCAATGGCCAACCAGATTTCTCGCATGCAGGTGAGTCGCAACTACAGTTGAAACTAGGCGATATATATCCTTGATCTATTGCCATTTTTAAGAATGGTACACCATCATCGGCTTCAAGTGCAGCCAATGCTTCGGCTAATTGAGGAAAGATGAGTAAAGGTTGATATAGTGAGTATATTACTGCATTTTTCACTTCTGAGTATGTGATGATTTTTGGTCGGGTAATCCCCAAAGACTGTAACTCCATTGTGTTGTTTGTGGTAGGGAAGACTTGTAATGGATACTTTCGAAGCTTGGCATATATACCTTCGAGCCGTTCTTGAATTACTGCTGGTGTTACATCATGAAACGCACAATTGTCTGGGCCGGCCTTATGACAAAGGTCAAAGAAGGCGAGCATTACTTTGTCGGTATCATCTATATAGTGGATTCCAGTTCCATTGTACCATTCTGAATAATTGACGTTTCCTGAAAGAAATTTAGCAAGACTCTCATCGTTCAAAGCCTTCAAGACAAACCGTCATTCACTAATCGCTCAATCTTATCTGGGAACATTGCTGCAAAAGTTCCTCCGATCACTGTTCCGTAGCTTAAACCCCAATATCTCAACTTTTCATACCCGAGCTTATTGAGCATCTCCAACATATCCCTTGCTACAGAAGCTGTTCCTAAAAACCGCGATAAATCACCAATTGTGGCTTCACAGTTCCTAGACTCCACACTCTGATGCGCATAAAGGTCATAAATCATTCCTGGATGTGAATCAACGAGGCCGAGATTTTGAATTCTCCAGATTCTTTCTTCTTGTGGACCATTCCAACAATGAGCAGAAGGTGTGGTAGCGCCAACTTTTTGTAGAGTCAACACAGGATCTTAATATTACATTGGTGCTAACTTACTTCCACGAGGGTCAAATCCGATAAGATCCTATTGCGTCCATTAACAAGCTAATTATTGGTCTTAATATCACTGAGAACATAACTCACGTGGTTAGCTCCAACAGCCACATGAATGGCTTTCCCAAGATCTTTAACAGTGCCTACACCGGATCCACCCGGTCCTCCTGGATTAATGAATAGAGGACCCTTATAATCCACATTTGATGTTGCATTTTTTCTCAAAACAGCCAAAACAACTTTTGACGTGTTGGTAGGTTCTAGCCAATCTAATGGGACCTATATTCAGAATGGATGATGAGCTTATGGTGGGTGAGTCTAGCCAATCTAATGGGACCTATATTCAGAATGGATGATGAGCTTATGGTGGGTGAGTCTAGCCAATCTAATGGGACCTATATTCAGAATGGATGATGAGCTTATGGTGGGTGAGTCTATACATGCTGTAGTCTTACCTCTAATCTTGCACAGTCAAATTCATTAAAGCATCGATGCCAGATCAGTTCGGGGGATGGTTTGATCTAGTATGATGTCCTATTAGTTCTGTGTAATATCACCAACGTCAAAATCCTTACTAATTCCCAAGACCAACCATCCTCATCGGATATGCTTTTGCCCTGTGGTAAGAAGCAATAAATCCAAAATGTCAGCAATCCAGTGATTAGTAACTTTCTAAGCCATTTCTTTCGCAGGCCTTGTTCAGCCGGCATCATTCGTGGCATTTCATCATGCTGAGATTTTAGATGATATACTCCATGCTTTTCGTTTCCGAGTAAAGAATCATGCATCCTCTGTTTATCTTGCCCGAATGAATCCTCATATTCTTGCTGTCCCATATTTGCGCTTCAACTAGAGTATGGTCTCATCATCGTGGGCGGATCAGACAGCATCAAATTTCAAAGCAACGACGATTTGCTCATTAAGCGAGTAAACAGGGGAGCATTAATCTAGTTTGCATGAGATTACCACTTCTTCGGATCCGCTTCTTGCCCCGGACGGCATCAATTAAAGCTCCGTTTTGCCTGCTTGATAGAAGAAGTCCTTTGATGCTGCTCAGACGAGGAAACTGAAGATTTCATCTTGATGGTATTGGTAGTTATGTCTTAATAGTATTGATGCTCCTCTTTTCTTCTGCAGTAGATGCGTAAGGTAGAAATGCATGCGAAAAGAAAACCTCCAATTTGATGTCTTCAGCATTCATGTTGTAAGTCTTGCAACTAAAAGCGCTTAGCTTCGGTCTCTTATCATTAAGGTTACCATCGTGAAAGCTTTCACCGATAAGCTTATTTTTAATTGCTTTTTTACTCCGTGCGATTTCGGCCCTCGCTCAAGAAACATTCAATGTGCGAAGATACAATTTTTGTTCACTAGAATCTCATATCACATAAGTCTCTCCTAAGCAATTGTTTGCTTCTTATACATGATCTCAAAATTCCAATTGAGACTTCTCTATTTCTCTACTTCCCTCATTCATCCATTCATTTGTAAAGACATTGATTGATTGTTCATGTTGTTATTTTCTTTATAAAATCCGAAGACTCAGAAAAAATGGAGTCACCAAAATCCCCTCTGAAAATTGATAATCCAAAGACTGTGACTAGAAGTCCTGAACTCGCAGAACCTATAGCAGAACCTCGAGAATGGAATACAAAGAACTTGACTTATAGATTGGGTGTGGATTTCGTATCTGGTGCTGCCGCTGCAACTATGGTTGCGCCAATTATCACCATCATTGATAAGTAAGTGTCAATTCTCTGACTCTTGCGCCAAATACTAATATCTTTTCAGAGGTATCATGCAAAATGCTTCAGGTCAAGCTACACTCAAAGACTCATTGCGATCATCCCTCAAGAATTTAGTTCTCCGACCTCATAATCTACTCTTCTCGAAACCTTTCGCTTTGATATGTATGTTATATGGAGGCACATACTTGACAGCGAATACCCTCGATACTGTTACATCTACTATACACAATAAACCCGCATTCACAGTTACATCTGGAACCTCGAAATTTGTTGCAAGTTCGACTGCGAATATTGGTTTGTGCCTTTTCAAAGATCAAACATTCGCCCGTTTGTTTGGTCCTTCTGGTCCACCAAGACCTGTACCTTTTCCCTCATATATCCTTTTCACCGCTCGCGATTGTCTCACGATTTTTGCTTCATTCAATATACCACCAATGCTTGGTCCAGTTATCAACAAAAGTCTATCCGAAGAATTACAAAAATCGATAAGTGGACAAACGATTTCACAATTTTTGGCACCGGCTTCCGTACAGCTTATAAGTACACCTATGCATTTATTAGGCTTGGATTTATATAATAGAGGGCGAGGTGTTAGTTGGGCGGACAGATGGAGCATCGTGAAGAAGAATTGGGGAGTAAGTGCTGCGGCTAGGATATGTAGGATTGTACCTGCATTTGGTGTGGGAGGAGTCGTCAATAAAAAGGTTAGGGAAGGATTGATGAATCGTTTGGAGTAGGTGGTACGAATTCGCAATCATAGATCGCATTGAGTTTGTTCGCATGGTATGAGAAGCGCAAGTGATTTATTCGGATATTGAAAATGGTCGCATATTGGAGACACATTATGGATGGATATACAAGCTATCAAGAAATCATGGACTAGACGATGCATTTGCAGGGCGTTAAGGCATATAGATTGGAAATACGTATCATACGTATATGGCATGGCGGCTCAATTAGAGCGAATATGTGGCATGGATTTTAAGTCTGAGGAGAAAAAGTCAGCTTTAGCATACAGTTATATACTAATACATGAAAAATACGGATAACGTCATCTACAACCCAATTTCACTTTACTATCTTATTTCATGTTTTGTTCCCGTCATTGGCTATTTACAAATCAGTCTCTGGATTTTCAATGACTCGATATTGAACTCTTTCATACATCTAAATTCTGCCGTCATGGACTTAAACTTCTGCGTCAATTTCTTCATATTTGCTTTTCTCACTTCCACTTTATGATCAATATCTTACTCACGAAAACTTCCTTCAGTATCTAGGTGATAGCGTACTGGGAAGAGATCACACGGATGTAACATCTATGCCAATTTTCTTACTCCTGAAAGTTATGCTATATCTTATTTCCTATTTTCTATGTCAAGATAACTCTTCTTTGATAGGTTGGTTGGTTACTGGCTGGGTGATTTGTTGGTCAATTGATTGAATTGCATTGCATTACATTTCTAGTTTCTGGTGAATCTATCTTTTCTATGGGGATTGAATGAATGGTTTTCTGGTTTGGGATGTAGATGGTTTGTATTAGTTGAGGTTGTTCGGTTAGGTATGTTGCTTGCTTGCTTGCTTGGTTATTTCTGTTCTTGTGCTTGGGTTTGGGTGTGTTGATTCTGGGAAGAGTTTGGGGTGAATTTGTTGGTTCGGTACCTGTGATATGTATGGGTAGTTGTATTGTGTAAGTGAGAGAATGAGGATGAGGATGAGGATGAGGATGAGGATGATGGTGTTTATATGCGTATGTTGGTGGGATATGCTTTCTGACCCATATGCTGGAAATGATCTGTTTCTCCGGCTGGCTGGGTTTTGTGTTCATTGATCTGGTATGGTATACGAATGGAACTTCGCGGGGATGGGGGAGGGGAAGGGAGGGAAGACGGGCAGAGGGTGTTAAGAATGCTTGATGATAGTACTTATCTATATTATGTTTCCATTTGAGATCCACCATGGTGTAAACCTCACGTTCGTTTACTAGTAATGTAGCTCTCTTGAAGTGAATAGATCTTGACGTCGACGTCACGGCGCTATGAGATCCTGTAACTGAATCTACAAGTGAATACCACCTAGCCTGGCTTCAAGAAGGATTTTGACTGCACATCTGCAATCCCAATTCATGTTGTTTATTGGCTCTAGATGTTGAAAAATACATTCTTGACATTTCTTTTTTTTTTCACAACTTTGGGAGTGAATGTCAGTGGGGTTGCAGTATAGTTTACTTGAGTGAATAGGGTTGGAGTAGAAATGGAAATTTTGTTGCATATCTGTTTTTGGTTTCCCCTGGTCTGATATATTGTGGTGTAGCCATAGTATAGTGATTTCTTAATGGTTCATAGTGTGATTTCAGAAGTACATTAGGGCCGTTATCGCGAAAAGATGGTAAAGAAAGAAGTATTCGCTTGAACATTGAGGTACGTCTACCAAGCAGTGGCATTGCTCCGTCACCGTGGTATAGCAAGATGGGAAATGAAATATATATATACCAATATCAAGCGTTGGAATAACCTCCAAGTGATGGGGGTAGTAATGTCAAAGTATGGCAGAGCACCACGAATTGCCCTCGAAACCAAGACATGGCGGCAGCTGGTTGATAGCAAGGCCATACATAATTGCTGAAGTAACAATTACATTCCGAAGTTCAGATACGCAGCAAAAGTCTTCACTACAAAGTACACTCTGCATCACGGCCACTTGTATAGAACAAAAGTACAGAGTACTTAACAATGAACTTCCCTATTCAAAAACTTCTGTTGCACATCTACAAAGTTTTGCCCACGGTATATATAAATGGTGAAGGAATAGGATGAAGATGATTTACTGCGTACAGTAGAGTGAGAGTCTACGTAGTAATCTTCGAGAACATTGTCTACTGTCACCCATCCGTTCCAGCGTCGCACTAATTCTCTCACGCGCATTTTAGCTACCTGTATCTGTCTTAGTGTCGCACTAATTCTCCCCACCTGTCCATTTCAGGTGGACTAATTCTCCCACCGCACTACCCATCCATTCCCAAGGGGTAGCGAAAGAAACAAGCGAACATGTCTATACAGTAGTTATTGTATTAAACCAGAGCATTATGGCTACCCTAACTTCAATCGTACGTTCCAGATTTTCGCTAGGTATGGTCTGGTCTTAAACGTTGTTCCTCTGTCATTGCAGGTTACAGCGTGACATAGAACCGTGAGATTGTAAATTTGAAGTTTTCATTGGAATTTGAGTCGGGTTGTCAACATATTGCTGCCAGCAAGGTGATATGGAGCTATAGTATAGCTACAGCAGTACGCAGCTCAAGACCGAATCCAAGGCTTGGGTGAACCAATGGAGACCAAATGTAGATATGCGACGAAACTTTCCAATTGTACATTTCTAGTTATCACAGTCAATCAGAGAGATATCTTAATATGGGACGAGAGGTACCTTCGACTGGATATGTTGGTCAAAGGATTTCCGTCACATCTTTATAGAGATGGTGACCATGTGACTGGCAATCCCGTTCCATGAGATGGCATGATCCCTCAAAATTGAGATATGCAACAACACGTTTTTCTTTCATCAGCTATACTCAAATTGATCACATCAGATATGCATCAAAGCTGACTTTCTTATTCACTGGGAATTTCCCCCTGAGATTAAATTGTTGAATACGTTCAGCAAAAAACGTGCTTCAATTATTCAACTTACTATTTCGAAAGAGCCCTTTGCCTGTTCAGTATCATTGAAATACGCAAGAAAGGTTTTGAAGGGGCTTTGGGGGATGGGCGGACTTAAGTTCGTTCTTGTTATAGATCTTCTGCTCAGGCTTAGAGATAGATGGAGGGAGATTCTTCATGGACCAACCTTCGAGGACAAGACTCAGCTGTAAGCTTTCACTCTGCACAAAGACAAAGTTATGGCAGACCATGAATATTGTCTTGAGCATCCCGAGTGGGCATTTCTCAGAGTTTTTCTTTTTGGCTGGCAGTAGCTCAGCTTATGCCTCTGAAATTATATTCCCAAGGACAGCTGTACAAATCCTGGCGTAGAATGGACTCCTGGTCTCCATCTCGCAACAAATATAGCTTTTATTATTCTAAGAATTTTTACCTAACCTTTTCATAACCTTTTGTGCACTTATTGTGATTTCTTTTCATATGCAACAAAACTTACAAAGCTCCAGCTATGTCAGAACTACTGTTGGGGTTAGAGTCATCAAAAGAAACATTGGCCAAGATATGAAAGCACATCTATTCATTCCATACATATTTATATTATAAATTTACCTGCAAGAGTTGGCATGAGACTGAAAGGAAGTTAAACATACTCATGCATCTATTTCCTAGGCTAGATTGAGATAGGAAAGGATAAAATCCTGTTACATTGCATGTCTCTAGTGTATGGCTGATTGAGAGTTAAAACCATTAACTCAACTGACTTAGCCAACAGGTGATGACTCAGTATGCTGCATGTCTGTAGTACGGGGCTTAGAGTAGAACTTGAAGCTTCAAATTCTTCCATCCGGAACATTTACTAAATCAAATCTTTTGAACACTTACTTACCACAGCAAATCGTGAAACTGATCCCTCTAGGCACGTGCTCAGCTATTGATGCAACCTGTACATTGGGAGACTTGTGACACATGCCTCATTGTAGATTAATTTTCATGAACTTCCACTTCCTCTACGCTGATGAGCGTGCTATGGATCAAAAGTATCAAGAAAGCGTAAAGGATCATAAAATACGGAAATTGTCACAGGATATATAGAGGACATGGTTGTATATTTAGACAGAGGTGAAATATATGCATTCGACATGGTTGGCTTAGAAGCTTCCGACAGAATTTCAAGATAATAAAGGTGGTAGAGTGTTCATATTCTCAACTAGCCAACATTAAACTTCGACAAATCGAAGGTAGTATCATTCAGTAAAATAGGAAACTTTAACACGGATCACTGTTTAGAAGCACAGGATTCATGAATCATTCATTTTGACCTAGGTCTAAGAGGCATCCGCCTGATTGAAGATTTAAAAGAGTTGATATCCACTTAGTCCCCTCTATATATATATAACTAAACATCGAAAAAAAAACACGCATTGGCTTTGTTAAGGGTGAAGATTTTTCCTACGCTAAATACCCTTCCTGACTTCACTCAGAACCTAAAATTACCGGGAAAGACTATAAATTTACCCCAGTACAGACATGCAACATATTTCTCATCCTCTCAGTAGGTAAGTTCATGTAATTGGTGAGCGTCCCGTGATAAAATATCAGAATATATCTAAATCCCCTAACACCAACTACCCAACTTCCATCCTTCATCTTCCTGAATCTAGCTAGAGAAATGTTTTAGTGGTAAAATGACGAGCAAAAAAAGAGAAACCCTTGCATAGAGATGCAACAAAACCTCATAGAATCAATTGGTAATAGAAGGACTCAGTGCGTACGATGAGAAGTAATAGTGTGTAAGTGATGTCATTTTAGTTCGGGGTATTAAGACTAATAGTTGATTAGATTTTTAGCTTGCGACTATGGGAGCACAATAAAGATTAGATTTGGTCTTTGGATAGCTGAACTAGTCATGGATTATATGTTTATTCATAAGAACTGATTGGAAGTCATGGAGATGGCTCTAAAGCTGTCGTGAACCGATCGTGTCGTAGACTATATTCATGCTATACTACTGGAATCAAAATATCCCTGTACATGTGCAGATATGCAACACAACTAGGATTACATAAAATATAGTGCGCTTATACAGTTAGTTGTACTAATTGTTGCGATGTGGAGAGACCAGTTTGCTTGAACGTGATAGCTTCCTTACTCGTGCATCATGCTACTTAATTATTATACAGTATAATTCTGAAAGATTAGATCACACCCCCGTGTAGATGTGCAACAGAAAGACACAAGGACGAATCCAACCCAATGGTCCTATCTTTACTTCTTTAGTGTCATCTTGCTAGGCATCGTGCTAATAAGTTACCATTTTGCTCGATTTAGCTAGATTCTCAAGTTTTTGGATATATCCCTGTATAGATATAGACATGCAACAAAAGCTTTTCTTTTCCTTTCATTTGGAAGGAAGGAGCTTGTCTGGATTATTATACTTCGTAACTATTAATTTAAATCTAGGTGCCTCGTTAGCTTGCTGAAAGTGGTGGACCTTTTTAGAGCCTGAACAAACTTGATATGTGGGATTTTCTGGATCAAGGAATCGTTGATCTCCTTGAGATTTAGTCTCTTTGAATTAATAATATTCTTGCCTATACTTGCACTACCTTGACATTTTTACGTTATATCGATAAATTCTAGGAGGACGGTGAAGAAAAGGCACAATCCTGTTAGCAGCACAGCTTAGATTTCATGGTATTACGACCCAGCCTAGTCCCTGCAATCTATCATTGCACCTGGATCTATTACTAAACCAGATTAACTAGGAATGGAAGGTCATTCATTCAAACTCATATCATAGGGTTATTAAAGACAGATATATATTGTCATCATTGACACGCAAGTTAACCGAGTTCCCTCCTTTTGGCAGTAACACAGTAATATAACTTCTCTCAAATAAATACAACGAATACCATACTCTACCACATATATCCTCAAACACCTTGATAAGATGAAACTACTTTTACTAGTGTTCTGATTCCGACACTCAATCAAAACTAGATCATACACATGCCCGCAGAACACAAAATACTTAAAACACTGCATCTATTAATCTTAATATAACCCCTCAACTCCTTATCTATCTCGCTATACAAAGAGTGTACCTACAATCATCTCAATTCAACTATCCCCTCCTCGCAATCTCCTATAAATCTCTCATCTCTCTTCTCCAACCATCACTTCCCATAGAACCAAATTACACATCACATATACCGAAATGTGCATGTAAATCTTCCATCCCCCATTGATTCCTTCACCCCCACATTCCTCATTCCCCATTCCCGAATCTCATCCCATTTTTAATTCGCCTCACGTAGCAGAGGTAGTTTTTTTGGCCAAAGAACCCACCCTCACATCAACAAATTCATCCAAACTCCCTGCCTCTAGCTGTCTTTTGTACAACCTGAATACAGCTCCCACAGCTTGATAATAATACAATTCCCCATCTCCCCTTTCCTTCTCTACAATTAAACTTTAACCTCGGTTTTACCCTGTTCAACCCCTGCTCCAGCATCACTTTTAACACTCGTCGACAACTCTTCATTTTCCTTCCCTTTCACATTTTCCTCGACAACTGGCCCCTCCAAATCAATTTCATTTCTCAAATCTGGCAAGAATCTATCAATTCTCTTCCATGTTTCCGTCCATAATTTCTCTTGAGTCTCATCTTGACTGCGAGGTACCAAATACCCACTACTGGACATTACCAATAGGACATTCTTCAAACTTTCTGGTACCGCTTCTTCCTATTTCATTTGTTAGTAATAGGTTCCAAATGCATTTGTTCGTGAATCGCATAAACATACCAAACTGTCACCCTGCCCACTATTCATCAAACGATCCATGACATCCAGGATCTTAAGCCAAAGATCTAACATGCCGTCCCATTTCGATAAAAGAACCAAATAGTGTAGGAAAATCCTACAAAGAAGTGTGGCAGCTTGTACACGAGTCTCACTCATACCAATGGGATCCGATGAATAGACTTCAGGCTTTAATAATCGAGTTATGAGGGGAAAGAGAACCTCATCGAATATAGCGGTCCATTCTTCATGATCGCCTGATGTTAATTCTGGTGATAATAAGGAACGTTGTAGTGAAGAGAATGCTTCATGACGAATTTCGCGACAAGGGTTGGTACATTGTGTCGTTAGAGCAATGAATATTGGTGACCAATAAGCTGCCCAAGCTGAAGTAAGTTAGCATTGGAGATTACTGTGATAAATGAATCTAGACATACCTTTTTTGCTCTCAAGATGTGATTGTTCCATCAAAACTGGGATTCTAGATGTCAAAGAAAATATCAATGTAACCGCCTTGACTCCTCTAGCCACAACCGCATCAACCACCTGTGGCTTTGGCTGTTTGACTTGTTGTCCTCTTCGTGTACGTTTATCCTGTTTTTGCTCCACAGTAGAACCTACACTCCCAGCGATAGCAAAATCGTTGAGTAACTTCACAGCTGATTCATAATTATCAGCCATTATCGTTGGAGGTGAGCCGATAGCAACTCCCTCGAGTATTTCGAACACAGCAGATGCGGAAGAAGGGCTGGTTGCGAGATTTTTTAGAATTACCCAAAAATCAGGAGAAGTCATGATTTCATTTCGTAAAGGACCGGGCTCCTTTATACATTGAGTTAAACCTTGAAGAGCAAGTGTAGCAGATTTCTCGAATAGATCCTTTTTGAAACTTGAGATGGCGTGAAGTACCACGGGGACACGGATATATGATTGTTCCTAGACATGTTAGATTCGGTCGATCGAATTAAATGGGATGTACTTACATAGCTTGCGTGTAGAAGGTGGAGTAGGTAGAATATTGTTCTAGATACCATCAAAGGATGCCAGCTAGCAGAATTCCTTATAACATTTTGCAAAGCCTCAGCAACATCTGCTCCAAACGCATTGATAGTTTCATTGTCTCGGATTGCGAGTACAGTGCATAATTCTAATATGTAAACCATTGAAGGATCATACACAGGGCCGGAAGATGCACCATTAATGCCGTTTATAGGACTCGACGGGGGATCTACTTCTGATTTCACACTTATAACAACCGACGAAGGGTCATCTGGCAATTGAGATATTAATGCCTGTATCAGAGGTCGTAAGGAATCAACAGGCATGTTCCTAACCACGTTAGTAATGAGATAAAAGACGATCAATGGACAAACTTACACTATATTGGCAAAGACATCACCCATGAAGCAAGCATTAACACAATCGACTGTACATAAAGTACTTTCGAGCTCTTCGTCCGATGGCTCTGGGGGATCATCTGCAGCATAGCTAGAGATGTATGATGTAAAAGCGGAGAAAAGACCAGTGTCGCTAGGTTTTGTCCCACGATCAATGACTTGTGAGGGAGTCTGTAATGGGATCGGGGCGATATCCATGCTATTTGATGTAGCGAAAAAAGGGGGGATCAAAGAATTAACAAATAGGTTCAACCAAATCCTAGAAATCTGTATATGTGATTAGTTAAAAGTAGACATTGTTTGATTATTGATCAACTTACATGCTTCCAACTTTCTCCTATGACGTTTTCACTACCTAACACAACGCGGAAAAGAACAACAGTAGCGAGTTGAGCCTTGACATCTCTACCAAACTTAACCGCAAGTTCACTAACCATGACACTATTCTCCCCAACCTGTATCTCAGTATTGAGTGTAGTACTGGATGGGACTTCTGTCGCAAGAGTAGTGATGTAACTCAAACAATACACGACTTGGTCGATAACCTCAGTCAGACCATATTTCGCTGCGATACGAACACATTGATCGAATCCCGTGATAACTCTTTCAAACACCGCATCGTCACTAGCTGACATAAAGACATAGGATAATGTGGCAACCACAGGTTTCCATGTAGCTGCGAACATGTCTGCGTCGAAGATGTTAGTATCGCAAATGGTAAGGTCACCTGCGGAAGCGCTTTTAAGTAGTAATTCCTTCCAAGCATAGTCAAAAGCATGCTTGTTGTCATGCTCATCAGGCAAAATGATTTCGTTCGATTTGATAGATTCGTAAATGTCTTGAAGATATTGTGGAGCAAAGTCCTTCCCACCATTGACTCCACGTAAGTTTCGTGCAAAGTTTTCGAGCTCCATGCGTTTACCCTTCATGTTCGGATTATGTTGGTCCGTATTCAACATGATGATAGCATAGGTCAAAACATATACAGAATCTTTATCTGCGATGCCTTCAGGCAAAGTACCTGAACAATAGTTCTCGGCGAAAGTAGTGATAATTCGTTCAATTAAAGCGGACTCTCCCGGTAATCTGAAGGTCTCAAGGAGTTCACGTAACGCTTCATCGACTCTTTTATTCTTAAAATCAAATGAGTCCATTAAAGCCTCCAAAATGGCTTCATTTCCCCTCTTGGATATGAATTCCCCTAATTGCTTTTTGTCGATCCGAGAAGTGCCCTTGAGGAAGTTTGCGACAGCCTTTGCATCTTTAGGATCATCTATGATACCTTGTGATGCCAAAAATCCAATCCCGGCTTTTGGATTCTCATTGAACTTCATAGTTCCTTCAATGATGATCTTCTTTCTTCGCTTCTGCTCACGTAGTGTTAATTGATCAAGATAGCCATCAAGTTTTGGCTCATCATTAAGTCTATCCGCAATGAACTGAACGTAACCTAAAAGAGCATCAAGACAGAGCGGTGGGACACTTGTCGTGCTCCAAGTCGCAGAGTCCGGTATCGCATTGCGAGACAGAAGTCCAACCATATCCTCACAGATATCACTTCGGTCGACCTCACAATCATAATTAACATAAAGTTCAACCATGTAACTCGGTATTCGCGCAAGAGCTCCGACACTTTCCACCATTGCTTCGCGTGCGTCCGGCTTGCGCGATCCACCTTCTAATCCTAATGTTCGGCGATCTTTTACAGGCACGGGTGTGTTCCGGCCACTGCTAGCTTGTGATGGTGGAGGTTTCACCAATTTTGGAGCTTGTGGTACCCCTGCATAAAGAGAGGGATCGATTCCTTTCTCTCGAGGAATTTCTACACGAGGATGCAAGCATGCAACCAGATAAGAAAGAAAGAGCTCTTGCTGCAACTTTAATACTTCTCTACAAGTCTCGAGAAGAGTACCAGCAACAATGAGAGACTCCTGCAAAATAGCCATGTTATCGGATCGAACTAATTGGAATAGATATCGACATAGATGGTCTTCGGCAAGGATCGCTAACGCCGGGTGCTTCGCAATGGAGGGACCAGCTACCTCTAGAGCTACATTTATTATACGAAGAGCCATAACTCTTAGAGCATCGGCGTGTTTGCGATCATGAGGATCTAGTAAGTCTATCAAAGCCCGAAATAGCTCACATATAGACGGAAGAGAATAAGGCTTGCTTGGGGAGTCATCTGAAGCTTCTGACGCCGGGGCCGCAGTCCCACCCTCGGATGTAGTTTCTATCAGAGGTAGCTTTTTCATAACAGATGCAGGGCGTGATGTGTCAAAGCTTGACGAAGATGGCCGTGCTTCAAAATCAGGTGCGGCCAATTTCGTGATAGCATCTGTACCAGCTGCTGAAGGGGCCATTTTAACAGTGTCCATATCTTCCTTTGTCTTTTCGTCTAAAGCTCCCAGATTATCCCCAGCCTCAATTTCTAAATGCTTCAGTCTCTCGAATATGATTTGACACATCTTGACCATAGACATTTCGGCAGATCGACGCACTAATTCCGATAGTTTTGGTTGACAACACATGCTTAAGCCCGTCTCCATCATTTCGCAAACACTCCCGTCACTTAGTAAATCTCCACCGGGGCCAGATAACATTCCTTCCATGAGTTTTAATATACGTAGGAACACCACCTCATCAGCCACTGTATCGCTAGCTTCAAATCGACAGTGTGTCATTGCGGCAGATAAAGACTGCATCGCTTGCGAAAGTCGAGGGGAGCTTGGGCTAATTAAATTGTACGAGAAGAACTTTGTGATGGCAACTAAGGCCAAAGAAGTGATCGGCGCAGTGGTTGCTGGAGCTTCAATGACTTGGAGGAAAGGATGAAGTAAAGATGGGGTATCGAATGTGTGTATATCTAATGGTAGAAGAATATAAGATCAGTTGTGCCTAACCCGTAAGTGATTTATGTTGGCCTACCTTTGCAACCACTCAATTCCCGTCTAAGGCGCCCAAAGCCAGCCATCAAAGGATTGTCTTGCATGCTCTTCCCTTTCTTCCCCCTTAAGCCCCATCTGTTTGCCAAACCTGTATCATCATTCCCCTCTGAAACCGCAGAACCCTTTGGTGCTCTGCGAGGTCCAATTTCATCTCGTGGTGTAGAAGGCCTTGAAGTTTGAAACCCTGAGCTTAACGGACTTGAGCTACCACCCAATATAGAAGAAACAGATGAATGCGCCCAACGGGCATGCTTTCGCATAGCAGAAGTAACAGTAATACATTCTGTAGTGATGAGGGCCACAGGGTCAACAGCTACGGAAACCGTACTCGTGTTCGAGGACATATTGCCATTAAGTTGTTTGGAGAAGGCGCTATCAATGCTCTGGCGCAGAGCTGAGGATGATGTTGAGCGACGTATGGGAAAGGTAGCCGAAGCTATATCTTGTGTTGGGGCATTATTGCTCATGTTGTATGTCGACTACTACCCGCTGAACACAGCATAAGGACTACCTGCGAAAATGAACCACACACCACTGCCGTAAATTCTAAGCGATGTGAAGGTTCCGTTTTGTAGAGATTCTAGTCGCCAAAAACAATAGGACTATTTGTAGATACCATACAAATACAAATATATTAACTAGATTCAATATGCATACTTTATTTAGTGTAAGATGCCATGGCAGCCTATATAAATTCGAAGAGCACAGATGTCGAGAACTACGGATACCTAGGTAGCAAACTGTGTTCTTTGATATGACAGATGAACAATTGACAAAATTCAAAATAAAGGTTCATAGCAAAAACTAATAGAAAGGAATACAATAATCTCAGCATTATGGTTTGTTCAATAAATCATTTAATTCTATAGTACTACTGTGTGTTTTTACATGAACTCCAACCTAGATTACACTGCACTCCTAACACTTAAGTGCTGCAAGGCCATTTCCGTATTTACGACTTAGGCTTGAGAAAGCTGTTTTCTCTCTCAATTGATGAGATAGAAATAACTTGTCAACATGTGAATTTTTTATGTATGAAGATCCTCGTAGCCTCATCAACACCACTGGCGCAGTCAAGAACCTATGTGTGCCACTCAATTACCCAAGTTTCCTTGTTACGCCCCTCAATCAATCCCTTTATTGTACCTAAATCAGTCAGCAATCATATTGATATTTAGGAGATGTATCGCATCTTACCTTGTCCTTTGGCTTGTTTTCTTCAACCTTTGAACCAGGAGCCTTTTCAGCACCTTCGCCTTCTTTGGCTTGAGCTTCAGCTTTTTCCTTCTCCTTCTTCTCCTTTAAAGCCTCATCCGCGATAACGTTCTTATCCTTCTCCCATTGTGGACTTGGGTCATCAAACTGATCCTTCATCTTCTTCGTACGTTCAGCTTTCTCCTTTTCTTCGTTCTCGCGAGCAATACGCTCTTGTTCCATTTCCTAAAAATTATTAGTGGTTGTTAAAAAGCCAATTATGACTCCACTTACCTCCATGTGACGAATATCATCAACACTTGGCTCATACAAATGCCAAATGGTGTAATGTGGTAAACCAACAACTGAAAATTTCATTCGCTTTGCCATCTATTCCTTGAGTTAGCATCTGCAAAACGGAACAGTCAAAGGGTTTTCGAACCTTTCCAAATCCTTCCGTCTCGGCATGCTTTTCAAAACTAAACGCAGGGAAATGGACACCAGATCTGAAAACTTTGGCCTTGGCTAGAATACTGACACCCCCAACACCATCAATGTCCATTTCCATGTCAGGGTCACCATATGGATCTCTCAAGTATGCCAAATGAGGGCGCCATGTCGCATATTCCGCATATCCCTCGACAATAACTGCATCCTCATCAAGAGTATCAGCTAAAGCTAAGGCTGTTTCGGACTCTTGCCATGAGTTCAAATCATAAGGTTGCTCCCCTCCAAGCCAGTCTGGCAATGGTCGCCAAACATCTATAATTTATTAGCAAGTAGTCATAGAAACTGTTCTCCTTCACTCACTAGGTACAATGACATCCTTATTGTGGCGCATAAGATCTTCTAGAATTGTGAACGGTGCAGTCTCGACATCAACATCTCTCCAGTAGACCCAGCTGTGATAAGGACGTAATGCAGCGCTTAGTAGCCAATTTCTAGCTTGTGCCATCAGTTTTCTACGGCTTGCTTGGGCAGCAAAACCATGACGACTTTCCACATCCTGGTTAACCTTTTGACCAAAATCCTTTTCGATGATAGATATTTCTCCATATGGTTGTTTAGGGTCCTGGTCGGCTTGTAATTGCTCCAAAAGTTGAGAGAGTAGAGATAGCGTATTATCTTTAGAATCGGAAACTAAGAATGCTAGATCTATAAGATGATGTGGGTATGTAAAGTTACGAAGATGGCCGAAAAACATTGGTAGATGGGGTTCGGCATCTCGCAGGGGAGCGCAAAGTAAGATTCGCTCCTCTCTTTCCCAACCTCTAGCAGTCCCTTGTACATTCGAGAGATCGTAATATCGAACAGTTTCGAGTTGAAAATCGTCTCCGGAAGAGATGAGGCCAAAAGACAGTACTGGAAGGACAGCGGCACCGGGCCATATAAATAGTCCTACTACTAATGCGAATACCAAGACAAGAGTCAAACGAACGAGGAGCTGCCTTCGACGGCGCAGCGCTGGGGGTGACGTCCTTGGTTGGAATCTACATTGGAAATAAGGTATGTTAGTAAACTACATCAAACGTAATTGTTGCGACAAGTTGAATAATCAATTCGATTCGCACGAACCTATGTGGTGATATGGAATATGTGTCGCTCTTAGAATATGGATCGCTCTTACGAGGATATCCATTTGAATATGCGGTTGCTTGATGCCTGGGCATCATCTTGGGTGAGGATACAGATGCATAAGACGGTAACATTCAAGAGAGTTACACTGAACCCAGATGGCTGAATGTCAAATTTTGACGTCGATTGTCGAGAATTGAAAGTTATAGAAATGGGTATTGGAATAGTTTAATTCAAAGGACGAGTACAGTATGAGCAGGGGAAATTGCCGAGTGGATTCGTGTTCCTTGGGTGGGCTTGCTCAAACCAAAAAAAGATCCTCAACCATAACTAACTACCTTAGAAGTTACAGGGGCTTTAATACGACGCAATTGAACTTGGAAGTTGAACGTATGTAATATTAAAATATATATATATATATATATATATATACATATATACCAATCAATCAAATGGTAGTAATTCTATAAAACAATCTTTTAATTTGTAAATCATTCAAACTATCAATTGAAAAGGAATCTTTTCCAAGTCTTCATTGTGTGGGGGTGAAAATATCACCAAAGGGCATTCCTTAGAACAACCAAGGCATCAATATTTCAATATGTTCTAAGAGTGTGAACTCAACTGATAAGATCTTACCTACCTAAGTATCCAGCGGTGGTCCTGAAAGAGTATGTACTTTGAAGTTTGAGACATCATACTGTTACTTATCAAGCGATTAGACGCCAATGTTGAGGCATATCATATTCACAGCTACGGAAAATGCCTGTGGCTGCTTCATCTATTGGAGAGTTTGCTTCCACTACACTCTCTACCTGGTACCTACTGCCCATGTCAGGCATATTGCAAAAGGCTTCAAGAAGTTGGTATTTATTTGAAGACGAGGTAACTGGGTAACTCTGGGCACATTTACAAAAACCGAATCAAGATATTAGATAAGAATTAAGGAGTTCGAAACAAGGATCTAGATGTTTCCATCGTGCGTGTTTGTCATTTCGAATATTCGATGCATGGACCTTTTTCAGACTCGAGCTATCACCATTAAAGCTTAGTTCAATTACCTAAGCTAGCGCATGAGCTAGTGAGAAGCTCTTTTCTCTTTTTTCGCACGAAGGAAAATATTTTTCTATTTTTCAAGCTTTCAACATCTTTTCAATATTTGACAACTTTCAATTGGAACTCCAATGATAATTCATCAACCTTTGGTAAGTAAGTATTTAGCAATTCCTTTATCTTAATTCCCTTCGATATGATTACAAAACCGATCTGTCAATCCCCTGACAACCAGATTTATCTGGACATGATGTCTTAAAATATGTTTTAATTCATGATTCATCGAGCCTCAATTTTATCATTGCACATTCTGCTAGTTGACATCAGAATCACTGCTAACATCGCAAAGTAATTTTTTAGTTTAGGTTCTCTTAGATTCGAATTTAAGATGTATCCATCCGCCTTATCAGAGCCTATTGCCATATCATCCATTGCTGGCCGATATTTGCTATTCGACATAGATGTCGTGACTCACCTTCGCAGGACTTACCATATCTGCGGTGTTTTGACTGGTACCATCCCGCAGATTCCACAGCAGAACTTATTCCTTGGCCTACCCGTTGAGTTACTACCAGAAGAGGCCAAAGTCCTCGTCGATAAAAAAATTGCATATATTGTTGAGGATACTCCCTGGCATAAGCAACATTTCGCTTCTCTAGAAGGATCAGACAGGAAAAAATACTTGGAGTCTCTCAAAACGGAAGCATTAAAAGCAAAGAGAGCTGCAGATACTGAGGCCAGGAAGCGGACTGAAAATGCCCTGGCAAAAAAAGCTCTTAAAGGTGGGAGTGAATTATTACCGGGTACCCCCCGAAAGAGTAACGAGCCTAAAGATTCCATTTCCAATGAACCAGATTCTTTGTTCGATGATGAACGTCCTGCCTCTAGAGCATCCTCTGCGACATCTCCATCCACAAAACTTTGGGGAATCACACCAACTGTTTCATATAATTCATCCTCTTCATTCCAAAACTTTCCATCAAGTTTAGCTCCTTCCGTTCCTTCATCTTATCCTTTGTTTGCGCACTTGCACTCTCGTGACTACTTCATGACACCTGGCCTCCGCTTCGGATGCGATTACACTGTGTATCCAGGAGATCCTCTACGCTTTCATAGTCACTTCATAGCCACTGGCTATGGATGGAACGAAGAGATTCGCTTGCTGGACATCGTCGGAGGCGGTAGGTTAGGGACCGGTGTCAAAAAGGGTTTCTTGATTGGTGGTGAAAATCCCCAAAAGAAGTCAGATGAAGAGGAGAATGACGGAGTAAGAACGTTTTGTATTGAATGGGGTGGAATGTGATATACCCATATGGATTGGAGACTTCTACCCCCCGATTTACCATATCGACATAGAATTATGAATAGAAAACGAGCTTTTTAACAACCTGTCAAATCCAACTCATGCTCTTGTGCAATCTCAATGTTGAGAGTTCTTCTGTCTCGAATATACTTAGCTCCTATAATGTCTTCAATATACTTATGATGAAGTTGGAGAGCGCCCTAACATCTGATAAGTTTAATATACCTGACAAAGTACTGACAAACAGCTTTACCAACAAAGATATCCTTTCCATAATTAGACTCCCTATATGATGATAAAGAATGACTGCCCGTCCGTTGTGAATTTAGCAACTAATGCCGTCCCTGCATTCTAGAATAGTTCTCGGTCGGAATAACTCTAACCTCCGACATACATAATTCACATCATCTAAAGTCGCATCAGATAATAAACTTTAGGAACCATGTTTGGATTCCGCCTTCCGATATAAAATATTATTGACTGGTGTTGTTTCAGTTATCTTTTCCACTCAGTCTTATTCATATTGGAAGATGCTCTTTATCTGTAATTTTCTGATGGTATGGTGAGACCAATAGACATCGACTAATTATCTCTTTGTGAACAACTCCCGTTTGCGTTTGATTCGATCTTAGCTTATCATGGCCACTTCAGCGATGCTCGATAATGGCACAAAATTCGACATTGCTTCATGGGCAAATTGGACCGCGGTAAATGTTACACAATATGTGCCATCCGCAAGGGATCTCGCTTTGGCAGGACCGCGAATGGTTATGAAACTTGGTTCCTTTCTTACAGTTCCCGAAACCGTTGATAATATATTGGGTATAAGGATGGGGGCACGAATCATTCCAGAAGCCACTGGCGTTGGCATACCTGATCCTGCGGAAACAATAACCGCTGCTGCAGTTGCGGGCATAAGACAAGCTGTAGAGACCGGCTCAGCAACATTCACGGAAGAGAATATTATGGAAAGCTCAAGGTTCTCTTTGGAGAGTGCGCGAAGTCTGGGAGGTCTATTTACTTATGCCACAAGCAAATGGGCGCTAGGATGTATAGTGATGGCCGTCGTCTTAAATCGCACGCATATAATGGCTAGCACAAGAAGGCCCCTCGAATTTACCTGGAAACCACGCTTCCTATTACGAATAATACCAATACTCTTACTTCTCATCCAAGCCACGTGGCTGCTACAATCAATTCAATGCCAGACATCCCCTGATTTTGGTTACCTACGGTGGGGTAACTCATCAAAATCTAATAGCCTTTTGTTCACCCAGAATGGAGGACCATTGCATACGTTCAGCCAAGCTCTTCTATTTGGTGCTAAAGATTCGGACTCATGTCTGGCAATCAATATGATTCCTACTGATTATATCGCGGTGAATGAGACGAGCTCTGAAGAAAACATTCCCACCACATATAATCTTTCCGGATCTTTGTCACTTCTATGGCCTTTATTCAAGACTTTTAGCTTCAGTCAATTTGTCGAAACAGTATCCTGTGCTGTTCAAGGTAAGTTTAGCCTATATAGCTTCTAAGATTCCTTTTATTTCCATGCTCAGGGTAGTGCTAGGGGTTTCTACTTCTTAATCTTGTCACTCCCTGTAATAGCTTGGATGTACTTGTAAGTGTGTCTCCTAACAAAATTCAGGTCGTCAGGTCGCAGCCGAAACTGGAATGACACTCTTCGAACACTCATTAGCATTTGCTGAGGCTGATGCTGCGGTTAGTGCTCAAATTATTGGGTTTAGCAAGATTAAGGTTTCCACGGAAGACGACGCAAACGCTGGGCCCACTCAAATTGCTATCACACGCTCCATGATTATGAAGAAGATAAACACCACACCAGAGGTTCTACTAGTTGGATTTCTTTCGGTCATGAATCACATGAGTAGTCACATCCTGGGAATATTCGACGTTCAAGGAAGGTTCCGATTGCTTAACACTGGATTTTGGGGCATTTCATTCATGTCCGTCATAGTATGGAGCCTCTTCTCATTTTCCTTTGAGGATTTTTCGACTCAAGGATTATTGAGATTTCCCACGGTCTGTATCGTTGGATTTATCCCTCACGTACTCGTTCTCTGCGGTATCATTATATGTTCAATCATATATGGCGTTGCGTTGATTTTGTCTACATTGGCACCTCCTAGTGGTATTGATGAGTCCGATACTCCAGTCGGACGAAACCTACCAGGTACCCATCCTCGATTATCTTTCTCACAAAGACTGGTCAAAGCACATCATAATATGCAAGCAAATGTTCCCCTATCAAGTATTCGGATTACGATGCACATGGACTTCTATACCGCCTTACTCAGGACAGGCTTTGCTGTTATGACTATGGCGAGTGAAGCTGTTTACCTGAATGAGAGTCGCGGAGTAAACGTCAAACCTAATACCTGGCTTGAAGATGATCGTCTACGTGAGATTGAAGAGACTGGAGCTCTATGGCTAGGTCCAAGTTTCAGAGCACATGAAGCTGAACTTGCTATAGATAATCATATGCCTCACAATGTTGGTCTCGTGGCGGCTACAAATCAGAAATTTCTATCTCACAGTCCTTATTTACGCGAAATGACTGCACAGAAAAATACAAAATCCAAAGGACAGGAACGAGCAATACGAGATGGTGTCGGTGCTACAGAGCGTAGTGGACGTTGGGTGATGGCCTTGGAATTCTTCATTGGTATTAATAGATTAGTCTGCAGTTGGTAAGTACAATATTCTCCTTCTTGGTTCTAGATATCCTCCTCATTTTGATGATTGACATTGGGAATTGGCACCGAATACGTCATTCCCAACACATTTGCAGAGCCGTTTCCAGTATTGGAGCTCAGATTACTCATAAAGCGCAAATCACAATTCTACCTACTGGCAACTACTAACTCGTGGATTGTAGGTGGGCAACATGTATCCTGATGCTCATGAGTTGGCTGGGTATTCAAAGTCGTCCAAGATGGCTTCTTTGGCTTGTAAGGCAAACGAAGAGAGAGTCTTTGAACACAGCTGTACAAGCAAACGATCCAGATACACTTAATTTCTGGCTACTCAATATCGATGGGGAATTAACTTTACCTAAAGATGAGCATGTGGACGTAGAGGTTGAAATGAGACGGCGACTCAAGACTGATCAAGAATATTGGAGTCGACATAGGGAGGCTGAGTTAGACTCGAGCCTTTATCAATGGTGGCTTAATGGTGGTTGGTGGGGAAGTGATGATAACAGCGGAACATTCACTCCCGAGAGAAAAGATATCGAAGATGACATGACCAGTGTGATATCCTATTCGACAGAAAATGAAACAGATTGGGAGTCGGATGATGCCCTTACAGATGGTCAAAGAACTCCCACACAACGGTCCCCTCAACCATCACGAGAATCTAGCCCAATCATCGACACACCCTTATCCTCAACAGACTTAGCTCAACTATTACATCCTCGAACCCCTGAAGAACGAGCCGAAGCACAAGCCCTCGCCCATCACCTCACAAGTGACAAAATCATAACCCGTTCCCGCTACCGAGATATGATCCAAAGAGAACGTGCCCGCGTCTTAACATCCACTCTCCAACGTCCCCCGAACTTCATCTCCTCTGATCCATCCGGAAAACTTTCTCCCGACGAAGAAGCGCAAATTCTCGAACATCTCATCATTTCAAAACGCAACTATCAAAAGGCTACCAAAGAACCTGCTTCTTGGATGCAAGGTGCATCAGGTATGGGAGAAAATGGTCCACAATGTGTAGTATGTCAGAGTTCACCTAGGAGTGTTATTGTATGGCCTTGTCGTTGCTTGAGTTTATGCGATGATTGTCGTGTTACTCTCGCGATGAACAACTTTGATAAGTGTGTTTGTTGCAGGAGGGATGTGGTTAGTTTTAGTAGGATTTATGTTCCATAGTGGGATTGTGGAGACATGAGGAGACATGAGGAGAGGAGCTGGAGTGAAGGAAAGCGGGAGTACAGATTGACTTGAGCTATTACAAATACCAGGTTTCCATGGCTAGGTTGGAGGTTGGGTTTATTTCTTTATGGTATGAGATTTGCATGGAGAGCAGCGAAATGGGTGGGATCGATTCGTTCAATGATTTTTCTTTTCTTTTTCAAAGGGGCGCATAATTTTCATCATGAGGAGTAGTACAATGTTGTTATTTTTGTATCATTAGGTCATGGTGTGATGTATGTGAGTTCAGTAGTGTCTATTGTAACATGAATACAGAATACATATCGGTACATGATGGCCAGGTTTATTCAGAACATTCAATTCGTTCAGTTCGCGCAACCTATGCTATGTGATGATGAATTTTATATGTATTAATTAGGTATCGTTTGCTATTTTGTGCCTCTCCCTTCCACCCTCCCTACGACATTGACACGTAATATGTCGTGCAAATAGCGCTTTAATATTTGAGCAATAGATGAGATCTGTAGATCCCACTTCTACCTCTACCAGCAGATGATTGATCAAACATGATCACCAGAAGAGTTTGTGATTCCACTTCTTGCGGGTTTTCGGCCTGCCTCTCCTTTTGTACTCATTCATCCAAAGTACATTACGTAGATGGAGACCAAATATTCCTTTTCCCCTTCTTCTACGCATCCACACCTACATCGACATCTTGTATTTTCCCATTCCCCTTTCAAATCTGTCTCTTCACTCTCCCCTTTCTATTAAAAAATAAAAATAAAAACATAAATAATTCTTAATCCCCATCCCTCTCCAAAAACCCCGGATCATTCCTAACCCTCACCTCAAACTTCCTCCACCACTCCTCAAAAGCCTTCAACGGCACAACTTCCACACCTTTCCCATTTCCCCCATCCATTACATTCCCGCTAAAACTCGCGAGGAAATTAAATGCATTTTTTATGATTCGCTGCGCGAGGAGTAGCGTGTCTGTTTTTGGGATTTGTGAGGGTCGAGAGAGGATTAAGGATGTGGAGGGGTTGGAGGCGTTGATTGATGGGGAAGGAGAAGAGGAGGATAATTGTGCCATTTGCGCGGATACTGAATCGGCGCTCTCGAGAGAGATACCGAGGGTTATTCCGCCTTGAGGATCGGTTGAGGAGGGGACGGAGTCCGCGTCCATGTCGATTTCGGGCGCGGGGTTTGAATTGCTGTTTTGAGGGGTTGTGTCGCGGTTTATTTTGAATATGGCGCTTTCTTTTCCCGGTCCAATGCCCCCGAGAAATTTAAACGGTGGTGTGGAGGCTGATGTGGAGGCATTGGAGGATGGGGGTAGTGAGATGTAGACTGCGGCGGCGGTGGAGGGTGGTAGTGTTATTCCTGGGAGGAGGAATACGCAGATGTGGTTGTAGGGACGCGCGGGGAGGGTGAAGACGAAGGATGTTGGGGAGGGAGCGGACGTGGGGTTTATGATTGGAGGTTGTCCGGTAGGTATTCTGTTGCGGGAGGGAGGTTAGTTTTTTATTGTTTGATTGATTGAGAGGGAGGGATTTGGAATCTGCAGTAAGGAAGAGGAAGAACATACATGCCGAAGAGTTGGGGGAGTGAAGGGGAAGCTTGCTCCATGATTTGTTTACTTTTGCGCCGTTATGCGACTTGCGACTTGCGATTGCGATTGCGATTGAATGTGACGTAGAAGGCAGCTAATTGAATATTCTGGAGCTTTAACCTTAGCTACCTTAAAATATGAATGACTCAATTAACAGAATAGATATTATTAAAACAATATATTGCAATCTTACCAAAGATTGTTTGTTTACCCAAAATTGAAGAGATTGGTTTGCTCTTCTCTTTATCAATGAACATGATAATTTCAAAGGTTGTTCGCGGAAACTTCTCGTCCCGTCTAGAGAGATTGCGGGGCAGCTCTCTTTTTTTTTGGCGTGGGGTGAAATTAATGTAATTCTCATGCCGTCATTGTGTGCTAAGATTGACTCCCGAGATTCAATACACGTTTGTATAGTACTACACTAACTAGTAGTATCGTACTATTAGATTGTATAAAGTATTGCAGGTTTACTTTTTGCGAGATTCAAAAACTTAAAATATCTGGATTTTACATATAAATATATTTTCATTTAGACACTTATTTTGGATGTGCGAATCACATTCTTTGAGAGAAACAGAGACAGACATCATGAAGACTTATTTAGATCTTGTTAATGAGTGCGATACGTAAGTACTTTTATTCGAAAGTTTTCATTGACTTGCCAAGTACTAGATGATATCACTGCATGGAAATGGAAATGGTGGAGTTGTGGCTTTTGGGGTTTGTGGCGGTTGGATGATGCAAGTTTGAGGAGTACAATACGATATGCTGTCATACAACCAAGTGGTTGGTAAGATGAATATATGCTCATATATTGAAGCAACGTGGGAGAATCAACTTTCAAAAAGTGCTTAACAGCTTAGCGGGGCTTTCAATCTTCAAACCGAACATGGTCATCGAACTCCACAATACTTTCCCTCAAACTTCTATCCCATCATCCATTCCCCAAACTGAAATCCCCAACTAACGCACCCCAGATTTCCCTACCCGGAAACAGATCCGGTCGCCCACAAAACTATGACCTCCACCATCTACACCCTCATCCACGAAGATCCCCTAACCTCCACCATCTACCCCTTGGGCTACATCACCCTCCCCATCTATGAAGCCCTCTGCAAAGTACCCACCGGCATCAAAGGAGAAATGCTCGTCAACCAATCCAACCGCACCATATCCATCTTCAACCAAGCCACCGAGCCCGAACGTACCGCCGCCGTAGCTGCAACATGTGACTACTGGCGTTCTAACAAAACCTTCCGGGTGCTATCCGGATGGCGTGATGAAGTATATCCTGTGTATGGACCCGGAAATGAAGTTTTGTGGTCCGTTGAGCGAAGTGCTTCGGTATTGTTTGGGATTCTGGGTTATGGTATTCATATGATGGCATATGTGCGTTGCCCTGAAGTGAAGTATGGCATGAAGTTATGGGTACCTAGACGCTCAGCTAGCAAACAAACATATCCTTCCATGTTGGATAATACGGTCGCGGGAGGAATGGCTACAGGAGAAGATAAGCTTGAAGCTTTGGTTAGAGAGTGTATGGAGGAAGCTAGTTTCCCGGAAGAGATTGTGAGGAAGAATGTTAAGGATCAGGGTGCTCTTACATATTTTTATGTAAGAGGCGCTACTGCTGGAGGAGAAACGGGTTTGATGCAACCAGAATGTGAATACGTTTACGATTTGGAGCTGCCTGCCGATGTCATACCCAAACCAAATGATACCGAGGTGGATCAATTTTATTTATTGACAGTGGAGGAAGTTCAAGAACACATGAAAAATGATGAGTTCAAAACCAACTGCGCAATTGTTTTGTTGGATTTCTTCATCAGACATGGCATATTGACACGGGAAAACGAGAGCGATTTCGATGAGATCAAGAGCAGGATTCATAGAAAGTTGCCATTTCCAGGACCACACAATATTTGAATGCTCTAGTATTCCAGATCTGAAAAAGGTATCTGGTGCTTGAACGCCCTCAAGACTTTTTCAATTTCCCATCCACAAACGCCCCACGCAAATGCAAACCAAATGTGCACGCGAAAAATCGGTTTTCAATATTGTCGATTTTCCCCTGCCAGATTTCTCAAAGATTTCACCACGTCATGAAAGCAGGTTCTTTCTTCAATTATTTTAGGTTCCCCACGTCTTCCTCTATTTCTTAATTAGAAGATAAACATAGTCGACTCTTAAAGGTGTAAGCTTCTTATAAGGACCCTCCAAACCCATCAACAAACCACCGAAGGAGATATATGCCTTACTATATCAGAAATTAGTCAATCAGTTCATAGCATAACTAGATAGCATAGCCAAATAGCAAGCAATCAAGCAATTCCAACCATCCAAGAAAAAGACCTACATAAGATCACTATTCTCCTGATCCTCAAACTTATAAATCTTCCCATGACAAACATAATCAAACATATCTGCGAGCGTAGCTTCACCACCCAATCCCATCCTATTAGCATCTCTCCATCCCTTTCCATCATCCTTTGTACCATCCAAATTAAGAGATGTCGCAAGAACAACGCGAATGTTGTCGCCAACGGCTAATGGGTATAGCTCGGTATTGATATCGAGGAGCATGGAAACGGAATGATCGACCGTGGAAGTGGCCTTGATACGTCCTACACGTACATATTTCTTATGATCCAATTCATTGACAGTGAAATGCTCATCGAAGAGTTGCGCGTCCGCGGTACCCGACATTTTTGATTAGATATTGGTGGTAATAGAATAGGTAATGGAAGAATTCAACGTCAAGAATCTCTAAGATATTTGTATTGATTTGGTGCAAGGTAATCGAAGTATCGAAAGACAGTCCTGTAGACTTTACGTTTATAATATTCGACAGTGGTGTATAAATGGCTTCGTTGTAAGTAGGTATGAAAAGGAAGCTTTGTCTTTCGCAAAATATTCCAATCCCAAAAACATCAAAATGAATCGGCGACCGGCCGAACAAAACTCCGGCGCAAAATTATTGTTCTAGTCTCACTTTTAGTGGGATATGAAATACCCCGCGACAGAACAATTAATTCCTCCCTCGTCATAATTATCACCACACATTTTCCAAAAAATGGCTTTTCGGAAACGTAACGTAGCAATCGCACAACCCGGAATTCAAACCTCGCAGACTCCCATCCCGGAAAAAGTTGTCCCAATTCCAGGTATTCGTCCATCACCACTCGATGGTCGTCCAACTACATCTACAGGTATCCGTTCTCTTGATTCTATACTAGCCGGTCATGCAGGACTTGCACTTGGCACATCATTGCTTCTTGAAGAGAGTGGAACTACGGATTTTGGTGGCACGTTGTTGAAATATTTTGCGGCGGAAGGTGTGCTTCAGGGACATCATATTCATATCTTGGGCATACATCAAGGATGGGGAAGGGAGTTACCAGGTTTGGGTGTTGCGGAAGGATCATCTTCGAAGAAGGATGCCGGTAGTAAGGCGGCAGATGATAAGATGAAGATTGCGTGGAGATATGAGAGATTGGGGGAGTTTGGCGCAAGTGGTGCTAGAGGTGGGTGGTCCTTTGTATATACGTTTGATGGATTCATAGATGAATTTAATATTGAATTGCGAAAGCTAATATTGTTCTTGTGTAGAGAGAAATGCAGTGCAATCGAGTACAATCTCATCAGATCCACCTTCAATATTTTGCCACGATTTCGACCTTAGTAAAAGATTAATTCCCCCATCGTCGACGCAGATGCACTTCATTCCCACGATTCTCAGACCGGACTTTGAATTCGCAGATATAACTAGCCAAACAAAATCCCCTTTCACACCATTCCTCCAACATCTCTCAACACAACTCGCCCGAACGCCTTCTACATCTATTCACCGCATCATAATCCCTTCCCTCCTCTCACCCGCTCTCTACCCATCGCACGCTTCACTCCCCCACCACATCCTTCCACGCTCTACGAGCTCTCCTCCGTCAATACCCAACCCAACTAACCCTTATGCTTACCCTCCCTCTCCCCCTTCACCCTCGCACCACCGCCCTCACAAAATGGATCGAACTTCTCAGCGACGGCGTTCTCGAAATCGCTCCCTTTCCTTCCATAGCCATCATTCCCAAAGCCACACCCACCAGCTCCTCCAATCCCGCTCAAGAAGAGCCTCCACAAGGAATGTTAAAAGTCCATCGCTTACCAATATTCCACGAGAAGGGCGGCGGGAGCGCGGGATTCGCCGGAGACGATTTGGCATTTTCGTTGAGTAGGAGGAAGGGACTCGTTATTAAACCATATAGTTTACCACCCGTCGAAGACGAAGGGGAAGAACAAAAAGGAGGAATCGATATCGATGGAAAGGGTGGAAAAGGTGGAAAAGCCACAAAAGTCGACATAGAATTCTAAATAGATAAATTCCTCCAAGGGCATGGGCGGATGGATATTGTATATATCATTAAATAGCCAGGCGTTTAGACGGATGGAAAAGATGGAAAAACATTACTCAGAATCAGAATGTTGAATATGATCTCCCAACATATTTTCCATCTCGAATTGATTCCAAGCTCCTTGTCCATTGGATGTGATGGCTCCCATATAATTACTGTCAAATATGGCTTCTCGAGGATTATATGACATGCCCGAGATACGACGACGAGCTCCTTCACCTAGACATGATGTAAGTATCATCCAAGCTATGGCTCTTGTTAGTAATTGTCATGGATGGGCATGATGGGACAATATCACATGCCGATGAAGAGTGTAATGCCAATTGACATGACGAGTATCAAGGGCCAAAGTGCCGGCATTGTGAACTGAGATGTTGCTGTAGAGTTGCTTCATCCGTGGCTCCCGACATTTAATATGTTGCGGTACACATTATATGACGGTTGCTCATGTCTGAAAGTAAAGACCATGCTGACTAATGAGATAATACTCCTGTCTGAATGGAAAATAGCACCCAAGAAGGTGCTCTACAAGTCATCTACTAGGTAATTATACACAAAAGTATCACAAAGCCAACCATGCTGAGAACAACGATTGCAAGTGAAGAATATATTATATTATGACTATCTGAACGGGCCCATGATGATATGCTAAAGTCCACGAGCCAACCATGAAATGACCTACTTGAACATAGACCTACCTGCAAGTATTATGCATTCCAAAATACTGCAACACTTTCGACGTCTTAAATATCAAGTCGAAAACTCACATGTACCTAATAGCACTCACCAATTAGCATAGAACTAATAATGATGTTTAATGCTGAATACAAATTTCCAAGATTGTTCAGTAAGCCGTTTAAATCAAGCACTTCGACCGGCGACAAAGACTTGAGTTACAAGACGCAAGACAAATCTTTGAAGCACTGAAACCCTAGCTCCACAACCTATCATCCCGAGCTTTAAGGCCCAGTCCGGTGCGGGAGTAGGATTCGGTCGATGAGCATTCATGGAATGGATAAGCTGTTATCATCATAACGAGGAAGTGGTGAAGTAGTATGAAGTATACCGTACCTGTTATTGGTGGCATCTTGTGTTTGGAAGAATGGTATAGATTCTGTGATGTCTGAATTGACAATTAGCTTTTGTAATGCTGATAAACTGGAAAGCAAAAATAAAGTAATGTCTTTTAGATCAGAAAAGTTTGGTATATTGGTTATCAACATGAATGTTCAGAAGCAGAACTGATAATTATTTTTTTCATCATATGAAGACGGAGTGAACAGTGGTAGTAGAGGGGACAGTTGAACTTACAATTTGATATTTAAAGCGCAATAACCTGCAATGTGATGTGGTTGTTTTGAAATGCCAAAGCAATTATGATCTGTCTTAGACAATTGTTAGCAATTGAATAGCTAAAATATTTCTAATCGAAATACGAGCATCAATAATGGCTCATATGGTGATGCATGTTTGTTCGTGGCTCAGGAGATCGCCGAGAACTAAGGTGTGTAGATTGAATCCGTGCCATGAGGATATAAATGGAAAGAGTGTAAGAACATACCAAGTTAATTAAGAGCAAACAGTCCAGCTGCGACCGAAATGTCAATGTGTGAAGTTTGGAACTTCTAGTCCATTGTTACCATTCTACCAGACAATGCTGTTATATTCTTCTGAAGCAATTGATGAGGTTTTGAGGCGTTGGGAAGAGGGAAAGAGGGAATTCTCAACATCTCAATACCAAATCTGAAAATTTATTTGTTGTATGGAAGAGAAAATCTTATCGAGTTGCGCGAAAATTTAATGTCTTCAACCGCGCTAAAAAGATCTGCAAGGATACATCGGACCATCTATTTATCCGAGGTTCCCAGCAAAAAAGTTCATACTTATCACATATAGAAATCGAAAGCCGTGCGATTAACTGAAAGAAGATAGATGAATTGAATTGACCAATTTCATATATTCAGTCATCATGTCAGATCGAAGGAGAATAAATGGTCCACCAGGTGGAACAAATGCACCAATATTCTCAAAGTATCTTACCAAAGATTCAAAGAATCGTCCAGAACGGCCTTCAAGAAATAGACAACCTAATGTTCTAAGGAAAATTTGTATGTATACATAAATCTAGTACTATTGAATCACAAACTTACAATATATCAGTTTTGAAGACGGGCGTAACACCATCAGCTTCAGGATCTGCATATCTCGAACTTGAACCATCACAACCTTCAAATCAATCCGCTCCAGGTCTTGCTTCCCTCTCTACTTCTGGTCTCAAACTTACATGTACCGTTCATGGACCTCGACCATTACCTAAATCTGCTGCTTTCTCACCACATATGATTCTACAGACTCATGTTAAATATGCGCCATTCGCATCCAGACGAAGACGTGGATATATTAGAGATACAAGTGAAAGGGATCTTGGAGTACATTTGGAAACTGCTTTGAGAGGAGTAATTATCGGTGATAGATGGCCTAAGAGTGGAGTTGAGATTAATATTACGATTCTTGAAGGAGAGGAGGATCATTGGTGGGGTGATGATAAATCTTTTGGTTCATTGACTGCAGGTGGATGGGGTATGATGAGTGTACTCAGTGGTTGCATAACTGTTGCTTCTGCAGCTATTGCAGATGCTGGAATTGATTGCGTTGATGTTGTTTCTGGTGGGGTTGCCGCATTAGTACGTTCACCGGCCAATTCAGAGCAGGAGAGCTCTACTTCATTAGTCTTGGATCCAGTACCATCTGAACATAAGGAGATTCTAGCAGCATGTATTGTGGCATATCTTCCAGCTCGAGATGAGATCACAGATCTTTGGGTAAAAGGAGATATTGGGCACTCAACTGAGTCTAGCAATGATGATCCATCTTACGAAGAGCTTACGGAAAATGCGGTACAAGCAGCTTTAGGAGCACATCGAGTTCTTATTGGAGCTTTAAAGGAAACTGCAGATATCAAATTCAGACGATGATACCAAGCTTTTGATTCTTTCTCGGGTATTTGAAACAGGAGTTCTTTGGGATTAGAAAAGAGAGTAATGAATGGTCAACATTAACTCGGGATGATTAAGGCGTTGAGGGAAGGGACGTTATTCCATGAAATGGAGGAGTTTCTCGTGATATTTCGAAGTTAGACTTCAATATTATGTGGGACAATCAGAATCAGAAAAATATATCATCATTTGATGTGCATTCTTCCTAACACTTTTTGTGCATGATGAGCTTCTTGTTACATGTTCTAGCATTCACTGCATTTGTTGTTCTATGCATGTATAGATGCTATTGAAGAGCATTTTAAAAATTCTCATTAAAGCTTCATTATCATGCACAAAGCAAACCACCAGTCCACTTATCCATCACACGAATCACCAAGCCAAAGAGCACAACCAACCTCACCCAATCATACAGGTTTCAAAGACCAACCTAATACACAATAAAGCCCTTTGACCATATCCTTTAAAAACATCTCCAAATAAACACCTGCCTTCTACATCACATGAGAAAGGAGCAGCAATAAAACCTACGTACAATCCTACACACAAACCTACATACTCCCCTACACACCATCCTTCCTTCAGACCAACAACAATGCACAGCCAATCGCCCCAAAACAAACAAAAAACCTCCTCAAACCCGTTCGTTTCATTCATGTATCCACAGTTCGCTTTCATCATCTAATCTACATAAAGATTAAACTTCCCATATCCCTAGCCAACGTTTTTCCATATCTGCTTGACTGTTGGTATTTTGGGACATTAATATTGCTTTTTTGATTGCTTCCTCATTACTTCATCACTGTTTTCTCATATATTCTCACTCACTTCCTCGTACAACTCCCCTCATACACTACAATCCCATCCCATCCAATCCATCGGCTCTTCAACCTTCACCCTTTAACCTCTCCATCAAAACCACCAAGAAATCACAAACCCACAAAATCACAAACTCCCCAAAAGAAAGAAGCAAAACCACGAAGAAAGCAAGAAGAAAACCCAGCGAAATGCCTTCGAAAATTCAAGTCGATGAAAATCTCGTCTTCTTGTATATTTGTCTCCAGAAATCGGATATGAAAACTGTGAGTAGAGGAGTTCATTCGTCAGGTTTATTTTGGCTTGAGTTGTTTTTGGTTTCTTGTTCTCCGTTTTCGTTTTCGTTTTCGCTTTTCTTTTTTTGCTCCCTGAGGTCATTCATTTATGTCTTTACATCACATCTCTATCCTCAAGCCCTTCCCCCTCCTTCCCCACCTCTCAAAACCCCAACAACTCCACAGCCTGAACCCCCTTCTTTACCCGTCCCCTCCCAGCCCGTTCATCCTCTCCATCCTCTCCTCCTCCCTCCCCTTCCCCGTAAACTCCCAACATCCAACGAAACCACCTCTCATCTCCTCTAACAACCACACACACAGATAGATTTCTCCTCCGTAGGCCAAACAACAAATCTCAAACCCCCCGCTGCACGTATGCGTTACACGAGACTTAAACGACAAATCGAAAAAGGAGTTATTGGATCGAATGGTGGGGTTAATTTTGGTGCTGCTGGTGGATGGGGAGATGGAGGTGGACAAGGAATTGGAGAGGGAGGGGGAAGTAGGGAGATACAGGGAAATAGAGATGGGAGTGAGAAGAGTGAGGATGCGAGGGATGTGAATAGTAGAAAGAAGAGAGCGAAAAATCCGCTGAAGGAGATGAAGAAGGAAAAGGATAAGGGGAAAGTGGAAAAAAGGCGAAGAGTTGAAAGAGAGAGGGTGGAGAAGGAAGAGTGGATTGAAAGAGTGGGAATGGGAATGGGAATAAGAGCAGGAGCAGGGATAAAAACAGAAGTGGAAATCCCTCCAGCTTCTGGTGGAAAGAGAAATAGTATGAAAAGGAAAACGGAGGACTCGGGCTTGGACTTGGACTTGGAAGACTTCGACACGAACGCGAATGGGAGTATCTACATACACGAGTCGAAAGGACAGATACCGAAACCTCTAAATATCCCATCTTCAGCCCCTCCACCAATATTCATATCCATCCCAAACCATCCCCCCTCTATGCAATTCTCCCCAGCATCTTTCTCCACATACCCGCAAATCGATCATTATGATCACCATTCTCCTCATTTTCCATCTCCTTACCCTTCCCGGCCTTTTCCTCCCCTCTCTTCTCCCATATACAACACTCACACAATCCCCACCCCACAAACCACCACCAATACCAACAGCACCACTCTCGAACCCAATCCCAATCCCAATTACGACGTCAACAACCTCACTCGAGCTCAAACCCTCTCACCACCCATAAAAGTAAAACTTGAACCCCAACCCCCTTACTCTCCATATTCCTCTTCCTCGTCTTTTTCAACCAAATCATCATCATCGCCACCATCGCACAATCCCCAAACCCACATACAGAACCACACCCACAACCACATCACAAACACCGACACCGACCCCAACTCCGACTCCGACTCCGAAGACGAAACCCCACTAGCAAAACGCAGAAATGTGTTGAGGATGCGGAAAATATCATATCTGCATTAGCATTAGCATTAGCATTAGCATTAGCATTAGCATTAACTAAACAAAACGCTAAGGCTAAGGTTACTAAACAGAGTAGAAAGAACTATATGCTCATTCACTTTGTGCATTATTCACACCCTTTTATCATTCATACCACCCTCTTCTTCGTCAGTATCTACCTACTCAAACCAAATCACTAACACCAACACCAACACACTCCAAACAAATTTCAAGAAGAAAAAAAACACACATAAGAAAAACCCATAATATAAATCATCTTCCATACTCACATTAAACACTCACTAACTCACATTAAAACCCCAGTATCAAACATGAAATAAAACACCTCTGAATTCATCAACATACATTAAAACCTCCCACAAACTCTCTCATACCCAAAATCATACTACAGTATTCATACTCTATGTGACTAACCGATCGATCAACCGACCGGCTGACTGATTGACGTACAAAGATATTTCCAGCTCATCCATCCATCCATCCATTCATTGATCCATCTATTCGCACTTTACCCTTTACATACATCAGCATTGGCAACTCAACCATGAGTATCTAAAGAAGAAGAAGAAAGAAAAAATATATGTACAAAAAAGTACTGCGAAGTAATAAGCCCTGATGTCAACAAGTTAAGCCATGCCATTCCAAGCTTAAACCCTCACTCAACATCTCCTATCCATTTTCAACGCCATTTCACCACCATTTCAACACCATCTTAACTCCATTTCCAATCCAAGTGAAAGCGCCTTGCTAAAAGAGAATATACTACTAAATAGATATGATGATAGTTTCCTAACACGCCTCTTCATTCACCCTAATTCTCATGTCATGACTCTTCAAAAGGTGTCATTAAGGGACTTTTCCTCGTTGGACTACCCGTTCTACTTCTTCTTCCAGCTCCCAAAGAATTTAAAGATGGAGCTAATCTTTCTCGACTTTCTGTCCTAACAACAAGACCACTCCTATTCCATGCAACTGGTACTCCGCTTCCTAAACCAAGACCAATACCTTGACCATGTTGAGGATTATTGTCAAAATAATTGGCTGTTTCAAAATTGACCACATTTAACTTTGGTGTAGCTAATCCTGAAGAACGTCCTACTCGAGATCCTTCACTTCCATCCGAATACTCATTTTCTTCGGATGAGTCAGCGCCACCTAATTCAAACTCGGTAGCAGCTTCACCATCTTCTAGCACACGTTCATAGCTCGTAGTACCTCGAGATCCAAATAATTTTCCTGCACTGAAAAAACTGCGAGACCCTTTCTTTGGACTCCCTGGTCGACAATTTCGGCGTAGAACTGTACTGACACCCCTATACAATCGAAGTCTTCTATCCCTCTTGCGGAATAAGTAAGCAAGAAATGCTAAAATGAGTAGAAATAATAGGAAGCCAGGAGTTGACCGAGAATGTGCCTTTTCGATAAGATCATCAGCTGCATCAGACCAATCATCGTCATCGTGAGGTACAGGATTCGCATTTGAACCAGCCAATTGAAAGTCCGTGGGAACTCCCAAGGTATTACTACCAAATCCAACTGGTAGAGCATCCTCAGTTGCAGGAGGAACTTGACCGGATGCGTATAATATCATCTTCCCTAATGTCCAACTAACTTCAACTCCATTAATCTTGTCAACTGCCTGAAAGGGATCCAAGAAACCCTTGCCCTTTGAGTGAAGCATCATTTCCTTTGTCGCGTTATAATTTGCTCCAGGCTTTTCCAATCCTACTCTCGGAACACCAATTCCATCGTGGAGTACGTTGATTAACCATGAAGCTTTAAAGCATACTCCTTGTGCTATCTTAGCATCTACCTTTTTTCCCCATTTCTTCTTTTCAACACCCTTTTCAATATCATCCCATTCCTCACTACAAAAATCCTTGACTAAAGCTTGATATTTCGTGAAATCATACGCTTTATCTTTGTGTGACATTTCAAAAACTTCGTGTGTTGTATGCCAATATTCAGAAACTCCAACAAAGTGATTAACATCAAAATCAATAGCTGGAACATGTTGCCCATGAAGCAAGCAAGGTTGATCGGCACAAGGAGCATCTTTATCTAATAAGGGGTAGGTCGCTGCTAAACATTGATCGAATCGTCCGGTACCTAACAATATTGGATCCTTTCCTGTTTTCATTGAATCATCAAGAATATCACCTTGTAAGGTCGTTTTGAGGCCAGCCGGAAGACATGGGTCGAGCAATTCTTTGGTATCCTTGGTGTAAGAAGCATCCATTAAGCTTTGTACGAAGCGTTGCCTAGCTTGATTAACACCAAATCCTAACCAAGTTGTAGTAAACACCTTATATTCCGCAGGTTGTCCATTCATAGTTCTCATTCGTAATAATTTGAGGTCATCGGCATGTTTTTCGGCTTCAGTGGCATTAGGAGCAAATGCAATTTGCGCCGACGCTCCCCCCATATCTAAAAATCCATATGTATGATGTCCTTTGCCATGAGCATGTTCTTCTGGTGTATCGAAACCTCCAAGTAAATAATTTGCGGCAATCCATCCATAAAGTCCTTCTGTTTCACCGGGAATTACTTGAATGTGTAAACCACAATCTGGTAAATCGAACTTTGTATATTTTTGAGCAAAGCCGCAAATCTCGGATAGAAGTACATTTTGTTGAACTTGAGGGAGTAATCGCATACCAGCTGTTGCCATTAAGAAGATTGGTGTATCGGAAATTTGATCTTTTGGGACAATGTCGAGAGCATGGTCAAGGAGTTGTTGTAAATGTTCTGGACCAACATCTGCCGGTCTTTCGCCAAATGTAGATACACCTGGTTTGATCTTTTTCGTCCATTTCTTATTGGTTTCTAACTTGGGTAAACTTTGGAGAGTGATAGGATCGGGATTTTGTAATGCTTTGGCACTGTTGAGCCATCTATAAATGTGAACTCGAGTTCCCGACGAGCCTGCGTCCAGGATAACACCATATCGCCCTATGGATAAGTTGTTAGCCAGATGATTTTCGTAAGGAACAACGGAAGGGATTCGGGATATCTACATTTACCCATGAGGAGATTGAGGTTGATTGAACTTGAGAAGAGGTAGTGAGATGAGAAGAGAAGAGAAGAGAAGAGATGAGGTGAATTGAATTGAATTGAATTGACGGTATGAATTCACGAAAGGTTATTCTCTGGGGTTGGTAAAGGTCATAGGGTGTGGTTGGTTTTCTTCAAATCCTTATCTTTTCAATGTTTCGCGAGGGTTAAGATTACGCATGCATTCGATCAAAACTTAATCGGCAGCTGAAAAGAGCGAAAGGGGGTGTAGTAAGATAATGACAATGAACGATGAAAAGAAGAGAATGAATTGATCTTCAATTGACAATTATTGAAACCAAGTAGAGTCAGGTAAAAGGTATTCAAAGGTAGCGATACTTTCGATGATATTAAGTTTTGCTGGTGATATGAACGAATGTCGGAGTTAATATGAAGTGAGATGAAAATGAAATGAAATGATAAATTGATTGATGAATGGATCGACGGATGGGCTGGATGGATGGACTTTGGTGGTCGAGAACTTTATCAGGGGCCCCTTTAGTATTTTAGTTTGCATAAAAGCTTGGGGTTATTTGGGGGAAAAAAGATGGGACAAAGATGGGAAACGATGGGATATCATTGGATCAATTCACTCCTCTTGACCAAATTGAGTGATTAATGCCTTACAATGAGTTAAGGCTAAAAGAAATATAAAATATAAAATCTATATTTATCCCCGCCACAAACTAAAGTTTCATACGTCCAATCTCATTCATTCATTCAAATTCAAGCGCATGCAGGACCGTTCGAATTGCATCAAGAGTCGAGACATTCGTTCTTCTCTTTCAACCCCGCCTTGGAGGGGAGGTTGGACGCTGGACTTTAAAGATAAGACTAGTAGTTCACTTCTTCCTCTGATTGGAATATCCATCTTGAACGAACTCATAGCATACGCAACATCTTACATGCATGCAACATACCTACCTACATATACGATCACAGCTAGCCTCACTTCTCCCTCATATTACTCGGGCTGTTACTGACTTGCTTCAAATAAATACGAAGCCGCGTAATTCTCTTCTTTCTACGGGCTACCGAATTTGGTGAAACTTCTAAGCACAAGTTGCAAACAGCTACTGAATTAGTTCAACTATTTGATCTGCATTCAGTCTCGTGTTTACTTTAATCCATGGACGTGTATATACATCTACATCTATGGCTACATCATCATACATACACACACTCATCTACTAATCAATAACACATTTATGCAGACCCTCATCACAATTATACCTTCCTACCCTCCTTCAAACCGCGTCATACAATGCACATCTATCCATCTATCCATGGAACTGATCTTCCTTAGAAGTGGACCACATCTCATATCATCTGTCTGTACTCTGTAATCACATAATCACTTGACTCAACATCAGTTGAAACACTCACCAAAGCCGCGTAATGTCATGCACGTGCGTCTTGATTCTTGCTTCGGATGAAAGTTAACAGAGGGGGGGTGAATGTTCTCAATTTGATCATGACTTTCTGACCGTCTATTTTGTGTATATATATATATATATATATATATTACCTATGTATTTAATGGCTAAATTAATTAATATCTTACAATTTATCTGTATTGCGATCGACTTGGCTTTAATGCAAATATATAAGGTTATCCAAAGAATTTGACTTGGTAAATCATAGATCTATTATCACTATCAAACATACTGGAGATCCCGAACGTATTTCATCCTTTTATTTTGAAAGAGAGCAAAAGAGTGAGTCCAGCTGTCTTACATCAACAAAATCCCTATTATCTACTCGAGTATATTTTGAATACGTACTCATTGCTGACAAAATATACATGTGATTAAGTCTTTTCTTCTTCATACTCAGGTTAAACGCGAGATTCCTTAACCAAAACATCACATCCATATAATCTATTATCCATCCATCTTTCATCAAGCGGTCAGCAACGGATCATGTCGGATACACATTTCATTAGGTGTTTTATATTCTTTTTTCGCTGCTATAATCATAATCTACTATCTCTGCTACCGACAGGAGCTTGTAAATGAATAGATGAATAAGCTAAGCTAACCTCATGTCCCACGGAGATATGCGGTATAGAGATCACGATCTATGTCTTGATACTGGAGGTCTAGGTCTAGTTGCCTACTCTCCATATATAAGATTTTACCATTGCAAATAAGCTATAGTAGGTACCTAGTAGATAAGAAGTAATCCATTGCAATAATCAACGACTGATTAGTTACCGTTTGGATGGAGTTGACGATTTATATGTAGGTAGAGATAAGGAGTCAAGATATCGGATTCTAATCACCCTCTTTTGCATGCGTCGGCTCGATACTCCGTACCGTGAGAATCAGGATAGGGAGTTGAAGATATCGGATTCTTGTCGCTCTTCAAATCCACGAATATAATTTATATATGTATATATATATATATCATACAGTACACTAAACTCTTATATAAGTCTTCCAACCCTCCCTTACCTATCTGTTACACAAACATACGAACAATCAATCAACTCCAAATTTGAAATCATAATCATAATCATAATCACAATCACAATAAAAGATCGTTCACCTACACCGGTACCTACCCCTAAAATAGAACTTTCAAACCCCAATATGACCCAATCCCAAGCCATTCATCAATTCATTTACCTACGTACGTACTTATCTATATACATAACACCCCGAATCCCAATCCCCAATCCCCAATATCCCCATCAAATGACCAAAAATAAATGCAACATAAGAATCTAGATTCAACACCTACCAGGTGCGCTAACCACGAGCAAACCTTAAGGCTTAACCTGAACCTCAACCTGAACCTCAACCTCAACCTCGACCTCAACCTGAACCTCGAAACCTCCCCCCTTAATACCAGCCGCGGTCACCAAGTCAAAACTCCCTCATCTATCCATCTGCCTGCTAGGCATCATCGTTATTTATTTACTAATTTAAATTTTCCTAAATATCAAATATTCAATATCAAGATCCCTTTCTGTCCCTGTCCTACACTATTACTAATATTATAAAAGCGGTAGGTCGAGATACGTGTGTCCCGATAGCACACTGTGAGGAGGAGGAATTGGAACAGAAAGCTAATTAGATCATATTGTAATATATCACTTATAGAGAAAACGGAGTTCACAATGATTTTGAGGTTGAGACTATATGGGTTCAAATATATATATATATATAGAAGATTAATTCTTGTGAAAAGGAGAAACAAAAGTTCTCCTTTTATATTTAACTATAGAAGGTTATATGATTGACTAATTAAAAACCTTTATATATGTGGCCTATAATTCCAACTTTCTCACAATATAAATTCTCACAAATTACTTGTTAAAAAATAATATATATCAAAGATTTATATTTTAATTTCCTATCAAAAGATCATTTGAACGTACTATTATATACATATATACTGATCCTATTATATCTATTTTATTATAAAGTAAATTTAAATATTTATTTATTTTATTAAATAATTAAATAACTAAACAGAATTATCAAATAATAATATAATATTAAAACTAGGTAAGATCTTACGAGGCCTCTATATATATCTAGATATAGGCAGACAAATAATACAATAAATCTCCCAAGTCCTACATTCGTTGACCCTGGTGCCTTAGAATGTGGATATGTGACCTAATAACCAAGAGGTTGAGTATTTAAATGTTGGGTCAATATGTATTTATTGTCCAGACTATCACTGAGATTATCATCATTTTTAACCTTACCAGTTACCATCAAAATCCAGCCCATATCATCACACCTTCATTCCAATTAGAATTTTCAATTTCCAGAAAATCCCCTTGATAAAAATTACAAAATCCTCGCTTATTACAAAAACATCATTAATCCACCAGTGACCTAACGAATCAATAGACATCCCAAGCAACTAATTAATCACGAAAATAACATCAAACCAATAGTCGAAATGCCAAGTGAAAGAGACAACGAATCTAGATACTCTAAAAGTACAACTCGTACCGTGCGTACGACGCATACCAGTGCTAGCAATGCCACCAAGGCTTCAAATGCATCAGGAGCGTCTATATCTTCTGAACAAAGATCTAAGGAATATTCGAGACAAAGGGATAGAGATGAGGGAAGGGAAAGGGATAGGGAAAGAAAGGGAGATAGTAGCAGAGATCGAGAAAGGGATAGATACCCATCCAGCAACCCAGTCCTATCGAAAACATCCTCTCGTGCACCCTCTGAAGCCCCCAGCATAACACCCTCACAAAGTATTAGTGTCTGTGCCCCACCAAAACATCGCTCTTCCGACCAAAAATCTCGAAGCGGATCAAGTGCAGCATCATCCGCAACTATAAAATTATCTCATCGAAAATCTTCCAGTAGCGAAGCACCCTCAATCCGGTCAAATTTACCCACTGTCCCCGAAGATAGAACCATCATCGCAGATCCCAAGAACGGGTATCGAAGATCCGTAAATCCAAGTGAAGCCAACCAAAGTACCTACAGCTCTCGAACACATGAATCTAATAGCAGTAGAAAATCTCAAAGTATCTACAATCCCGCAGCAAGTCGTGCACCAACCGAATTATCCAACATGTCTAAAGCGGAAATCTCGCGTTATATGCCTGATGCTCGTGATTTTCAGGGGATAAAAAATAGACATCGTAGTATGGGAAGTGTAGCCGATTCGGTCATGAATCATATGGAACGGAAGGCGGGGCGGGATTTGGGTAATACGTTGCTGCTTGATGAGGATGGTACGCCCATAGGAGTAGCGGAAATGAAGCTTGGTTCTAAATATGATGAGGGAGGATTATTTGAGTTGAATAGAGTGGATGAGGGTGGTAAGAGGTTGTCGGATAGGAGACACCGTCGTGGAGATTCACCTGGTAGGAGTAACTATTCTGATATGAGATCCGATTCTGGGAGAAGAACAGTAGTACCAGCTGACTATCAATTTTCTGAACGAGGTTCTTCTGTTTCTGAGAATAGATCTAATTCTGATAGAAGAACAGTAGTACCAGCTGACTATCAATTCTCTGAACGAGGTTCTTCTGTTTCTGAGAATAGATCTAATTCTGATAGAAGAACTCTAGTACCTGCTGGATATGAATTCTCAGATCGAGGTTCCTCAGTGTCTGGACATAGTTCTCGTACACGAACTAGTGCAGCACCTTCCAGTTCAGCCTCGTCTGGGCGCAAATACAAAACAAAGGAAGTCAGGCCAGACGGTTATTAAGGTTATTCACTGATGCTATAACTATGGTAGTTATTTGTGAAGACGTCATGGTTATGGGCTCTGACCGTCTACTTATCGACGAGAGATGGATGTTATGGATTTTGATGGTCAATTTGAGTTTTGTAGGTGTTTGGGAGTCACTTGAATTTCATTTCTGCTGCTGGCTTCTTTAGGTAGCTTCGTTCTGATTTGACGTATTACAGATTTAGTACATTATGTTTTGACAAGAAGAACACTGCCTGAAAAACCTTCCAAATAGTGCTATATTGATTTGACTTATAAGAAAGATGAGGTATACAAAATTATCCGCAAAGCATCTGAAAAGCAAATTAACTCATGCTATTAACGCTAGTATATTGACAAGCTAAATTTTATTGCAATGAGAAATAAATGCATCCGGGAATCATAAGGCTCATAAAATATTGCATCATAATTAGTCTGTGACTTTAGACACAAGAGAGCAAACTTGTGATAGGAATACAATGAACAAAAGTAAATATAAGTGATGATAAAGATTCCTATCATGATCTTAAAATGAAACATTGGATCATTCCAAAAGGTTCAAGTAGTAGCAGTTGCAGTTAGAACCTAGGGAAATAGTATCATTCTGGCACTGTTTGATGAATATATTACATCTCAGGCATTCTTAACAACAACAGAAGACTCAACAATAAACATGCTCTACATGCAAGTACAAAAAAGAAAGTTGTAGAGCTCAGGCTTATAAACTTATGCCTATGAAACAAGTACCGAATATTCCTAATAAGAACATTCCATTCATCCGCGGTTATACGCGATCAGAAGCTATTTATCTATTCAAAGATCAAAGCTCAAGAATAGGAATTCATATGAAAACAGCCAAGAGTTTTATATATCCAGGTCATCGTGGAGAAATTTTCCCGAGAAAAGGTGGGAGAGGGTGGAGAACGATCTGATCTCTTTCCAAATGTGAGTACCATACTGTCTTTGTAAGTCTTAGTTATGACGAATAAAATTCTCCGGGCGGAGAAACTTGGCCAAGTCATGATGTGCTCAAAAATGACTTTGGTTTTAGTCAAACTTTGAATATAATCTGGCAGAGGCAGCTTTTCCTCGTAAATCATTGTGATGACTATCTAGAAGTCAATTAATGGTCCTCATCGTAATTTGCGTAGGTGGTATTGAGTCCCTAGGATGAAACGCCACACAACTGAACGGATTGATAGAAGCTTTGGTCTTGTTACGGCTGTGTGCGACTAGAAGTACAAGCCCGATAGAAATATCGTTGCTAATTATTTTAGAAGGTAGAAACTGTTCATTTCTCGAGATACACAAAGCCAAAAGTTTGGGTAAAAGTTTTCGGAGACATGAAAGAAATCCTCGGTAGTTGTTGAAGAGAGATTTGATTCAAGTAACTTCCCGAAATGTCGTTCCGGATGTGGAAGGTTTCGGTGACGCTCACCTACTGTTTCGGGAGGAGACTTTAGACTCAATAGCCGGAGTACCTTAACTTGGTAGATAGAGATAAATTTCAATTGAAGATAAAAGATTTTGCTTCATGCAGAAATTCATAGCTAAGTCAACGAGGGTAACCTTCATCTGCCTATCAGTCAATCTCCAAGACTCAATTCGGGCAACACAAAGCTCAGGAGCTTCAGACTAACCTTCATGTATGAAGCACCGCATATGGTAGTAGATATGATAATTTTATTAGGAGATTTTAGGAGATTTTAGGAGATTTAAATTGGCGTAAGAGCACAAGCTACAGAATTTGTTTCGTCTTATCTGTCGTGTACCATTTGTTCCATATGCACATATTATATATTCGCTTGAAGTTGCTTGAAATGAAGGGGGATAGTCGGATGATTTCCACAACTGGCGAAGAAAGTTGGATCTAGAATTTAGCTGGCGCGTATACCACGTTGCAGTAACCCAGGAGTATGGTAAGATTAGTCTGGTACAATAAATATCCATCAATTTTTGATGCTTGTGATCACAATTCCAAATAGCTAGAGATATTTTTTTTAAAGTCTAAAAATTGGGCCAAGAACTTCCTATGATGTGGCTCTCTTGGCTCTATGGGACATTACCTACTCCGTAGAATATCCCCAGGCTCTCCACTCACGCCAAAAGTCTTTTTTTGTCCGAATTTTACCTCTCTGCCCCAGCTTTTTGCCCAGCGATTACCAAGACGCCAGAAGAATGGAGAAAGCGTACAACATGTCAGAAAAGAAACCCCCAGGGAAAGAACTGCTCTGACACACACAATGACAGCAGCGAATATAGCAGATGTCAAGAAGATGTCAAAAGATCTTGGCATTACTTATTCCAACATCATAATACACCACTATTAATTTATTTTCTCGAATATATCAAGAAGTTCCTACAAGCAAAAAACCGTTAAACCACTTTTAAAGCCTTCCGTCTTGGAAATGAAAGCTTGAAGCGATTCCAAGATACCAAGACAAATTAAACAATGAAGTACCGAAACTACTTAGCTTCTCTTTTCCGCCTCTCTTCTTGCTCACACCGCAGGGCCAATGCTGACGGGGTATTGAGTACAAACGCCATCAATAGCAATTGGTGTCACCAGATTTGATTATTGCTTATTAGAGGACAATGAGTGAAATTGAAGTCGAAGTCGTCTAGAAATTGTCCAGTCCACTATTCATCACTCCGTCAATTTCCCTCCATTGTATTTACTGAAATGGTTTTGGATTTCTGAAGCCGTTTGTAGCTCCGGGGGATGCGTGTTATTTATTACCCAAGTAGGTAACATGCTCGGTAGACTTGCCCCTGGATACATCTTCTTAACCGGGATGGACCTCAGTAACCTTACCTCCTCAAACTTGGTGAATTTACAAGTACAGCTTACGGAGTAGTCTCCTATAACCCAAAAAATGCGGCTGGATCCCCACATTACGGCACGATGTCAGCTCGACGAACTATTAGCTTTTATTGTAATTAATTTAAAGAATGTGGAGAATATTACTGGTCCACAGGCAGGAAAGCTTTGGAAAAAAAAAGATCCTGTCACCACATGTAGCTCGCCTTCGACCGAGCTTTTGACAAGGAATAAAATACCAAAACCAGGATAAAGCAAGCCATCTGGAGAAGCCTTCATTTGATATAAGCTCATTCACTGGATTATGTTCCACTTTTCCCCCATTCTCCATGCGGGGAGAGCCAGGATTTATTGTCGATTATGACCATTCATATATGTTACCGACGCTAAGGTCATCAGCTGATGAATCAGAGTCCTGGAGGCGCTGGTGGAGGCATGCGAATACCCAGGGTTAGGAGATGCAAAAATCACCGGTTGGAGGGCAAAATGTTGGTATCTAACTCTAGAACGTTTTTCTTGTGCTACTCCCGCGGTATCGGATTAGACACAGATAAGTAGGTAACATCCTGTCCCTCATTTCAAAATTGTTCTCTTCACATTGTCCTCATTCAACTGTCATCTTGAGTTGAGTTTCGTGGGCACTTGTTTTCAGCTGGAGTGAATACGAATTCTGTAAGTTTACCTTCTACTTGATAGCTTCTTGAATCGTTACTTGGAACACCTTCATTCCCGCTTCTTCACATACCTATGCAAACAAGAAACCCCACAGTTACCAAGATACATTTCAATTCTGTTTATTGCAATAAGCTATTTCATATCAATTGCTGATTGCTCTTTTACAGACCCCAAAACTCAACATGGCAGATCAGTACGACACTGCAGGCCATGATGGCCATGTCGTCGAATCCCAATCTCCAGCCAAGAAATCAGTTGGAGAATATTGCAGGACCCGAGTTTCAACACTCAAGCCTCCCATGCACAAAGCTCCTAACCCATTCAAACTTTTGGCTATGTTGAATGGAAAACAATGGCTATTCTTTTTCGTTGGATTTGTTGCCTGGGTATGTACTGAATCGGTGATATCATTGAATTCCCTTGACTAACTATCATTCTAGACTTGGGATGCATTCGATTTCTTTACAGTCAGTCTTACAGTCTCGGATCTTGCAGAGGAATTCGATAAGACCACTACGGAAATCACATGGGGTATTACATTGGTTCTCATGTTGAGATCTGTCGGATCTATTCTCTTCGGTCTCGCCGCAGATAGATATGGTAGAAAATGGCCCTTTATCGTCAACAATCTTCTATTCATCGCCCTGGAACTTGGTACCGGTTTCTGTCGAACCTATAAAGAGTTCCTCGCATGCAGAGCTCTGTTTGGTATTGCAATGGGTGGCTTATACGGAAATGCTGCCGCTACAGCACTAGAAGATTGTCCTGAAGAAGCTCGTGGTTTGATTTCTGGTATACTTCAACAAGGATACGCTTTTGGATATCTTCTTGCAACAGCATTTGCTAGAGGTTTGGTAAATACCACTAGTTATGGATGGAGACCTTTGTTTTGGTTTGGTGCATGTCCACCTGTTTTCATCATTATCTTCCGTCTTTGCCTTCCCGAAACAGATGCATATAATGAGCGTGTCCTTGTTCGAAACGAGAGAGGTAATATTGGGGCTACCTTCATTGCCGAAGGAAAGGTCGCATTGAGGGAACATTGGTTATTATTAATTTACTTGGTACTTCTCATGGCCGGTTTCAACTTCATGGTAAGCCTTCCCTCCACCACTCGCCGCAAATCCCATAATATAGTTCACACTAACCCAACTCCAGTCCCACGGATCCCAAGATCTCTACCCAACCATGCTTAAAAACCAATACAACTTCTCAGCCAACGCCGTAACCGTCATCCAAGTCGTCGCCAACCTCGGCGCCATGACCGGCGGCACCATAATCGGCTACTGTTCCCAAATCTTCGGCCGTCGCTTCTCCATAATCTTCATCTCCATCATCGGCGGTGCTCTCCTGTACCCCTACACCTACACCTCCTCGAGCGCCATCATCGCCGCCGCCTTCTTCGAACAATTCTGCGTCCAAGGCGCCTGGGGCGTCATCCCCATCCACCTCATGGAACTCTCTCCCGGTTCCTTCCGCACCTTCGTCGTAGGCACCGCATATCAACTCGGTAATCTTGTCTCCTCTGCGAGTTCCACCATTGAAGCACAATTAGGAGAAAAATTCCCCCTACCTCCTAAAGGCAAAACCGCACGATTTGAATATGGAAAGGTTATTTGTATTTTTCTGGGTTGTGTCTATGTTTACGTGATAGTGTTGACATTTGTGGGGCCGGAATATCTAAGGAGAAGTTTCGATGTGCAGCATGATAGTGATTTGGCGGCGGCAGCCGGTCATGAAACGATCGAGAAGAGTATTAAGAAGATGAGGGGGAATGGAGTTGGTGGGGGAGATGGTGAATCGGTGGTTGATGTAGATGGTGGGTTGGAAAAGGGCGTGGCGAGGAATATTGAATAGAGGGTATCTAGTAGAGGTTAAAGGTTAGAGGTTGGGTTGGTATTGGTATTTGATAGGGAGTTGAGGATGATGTGATAAATTTATTTTGGTTTGGTTTGGTTTGGATATGATTGGGAATTATGAGAGGAGAGTATATCCTAAAAAGGGATGAGATACACTTCGGTAAGATTAATGAATTATGATGATGATGAACTATATCTTGCCTCCTTACTATATCTTATTTGAGTAGTGATTAAATGTGTGGGTATGGTATTAGAAAGTGTTTATTTGACTCGAGGGATGATGTTTGGTTTGAGAGGCTCTGTTATCGGTGAGTCGACTGTTTGTTTGTGTTGATGATAATCTTAATGCGTAGGTAGACACCGGGGAAGATGTTTTGACCTCTGATCAGATATGATGGTTGGGTATAGTTGTAAATTATTTATTTCGTAAGTGATTCTCCAATGTGTACTTGGATCTTCTCTTCTCATCGCTGTATCTATCCTAAATTGAGAAAATAATGTATTTATGCCATATATTTTCTTCCGACATTCCATGGCTGACTGTTTCCTATCTAGGACAACCTCGAACCTCGAATCACTCATGTAAGGTCTTTAGCCTCATAACGGCAAGTTGAACAGTAAAAGTGTCCAAGTAGAGGCTCCTCTGACAAAGCTTGAACCGCTCAACAGTGGTCTTCAAATAGCGCAATGGATCGCCATCCCGTTTCCTTTCCAAAGCCAATCAATACCTCTTACCTTCCGTTTTGTTCCTTATCCAAAACCCATCATTTACCTCTCGTCTCCCCTCAGTTTATCAGGTATCTCTTCTAAATCTTCTGCACTCTCAATCTCCAAAACCTTTGATACTTCCGCCGTATTCCTCATGAGCTCCTTGGCTCCAGCATATAACATACGTTGCTCGGCGTTGACCGTAGGTGGTAGGTAGAATATCAGGACATACGGAACGGAGAGACGACCCGAGGGCTAGGATATGTTAATCTTTGAAGGGCGTAGGAAGAGTAGGGAAAATAGACCAGGGTGCAAGGATAACTTAAAAGAATGAATCGAGGAGAATGATCTGGAAGGTCATCGCCTATCGATTCGAGATCTTTGTATACAGTTCCTTCTTCATCTTGTTTTATTTCTAGGCTAGTTTTATCGATGAGATCTAAGGAAGGCGAGGGTATTAGCAGAATTCATCTGTCTCAAAATCATGCAGTTTGGTAAAATAGTTGTATATCCCTTGCTCATTCAAAAAATATAGATGTGGTTCTCAGCCATAACCCATAGGTTCTATGAAGGTGGTGGTGCATCATATCTAATCATCGCGGGATTCGGACATAGAAATATTCAGATAATAGGAAAGAACAGGGAGACAAACATATAACAGCTTGTGGATCATTTGCGCGTGAAGTTCCCAGTCTGAATTTGCGTAGATGTGCTTTGGTTTCTGTGCTGAAAGTGTACAGACGGGATTCTGAAGACTAGATTGTCCGAATGGTTAGTTGCGCGTCTTAAGTGTGGTAAGGAAGGATATCTTACCATTATGAAGATATATATCAATGCATGCAGCTTTGGTGTAGAGCTGATTAAAATGAGAGGTTCACTTTAGAATAAGTAGGAGCTGGGATTTCCTTGTATGTCGAGGTATGAAAGTGTAACGATTCGAGTATTAGAGTATTAGACCAGGAAGCTAAAAGTACAAGTATGAGTGATGAAAGGTGGGCTGTTTAGCTTCATTTATCGGATAAATTGCGGATAAACAAACCAGATGAACAACAGCAATAACAACAGCACCAAATGTCAAAACACCAACAAAATTTGAAGATGTGCAACAAAATATTAAACTTACCTATGCTGATCACATGAACCAATAATGATTGGGTCAACGTTCGCATTTATGTCGATGAAGTATTGATTCTGTTATCTGGATGTATATGGTTGAGTACAACAACACTTCAACTGAGCTTATCGCACGTAATAATTGTCTAGGTCCCAAAAATGCGATTCATATCTATTATTGTGCAGTGCTGTCATTCCGCTCAAATCCCGAATTCCATCACATAGCGAATGCGAATCAAAGTTTGAATTGCATACAGACAAGATCGGCTTCCATGGAAGGAGTATCGACTTACTTTGCTTGTTAACTTTTCTGTCCATTGCCACATACAGCCATTTAAGTTCTGTATAATGCATTTGGTTAATAGAAAGGTGAAGAGGGTCATTAAGATGAGACTGTCAAGATGAAAGGAAAATGAGCAGGAGGAAGGGATTTACGAGATTGATATTTGGATATTCGTGATCTCTTTCTCTGCCTATCTTCATTGGTCTTTTTATCCCAAGTGTTTTCTATCCTCACGATACCCGATGGGATATGTTCAAGATCCGAAAGCTATGAGCTATAAAAACTTATGCATCCTTCGTCTGTCAATACTTTCTGAAGTTATAGCATCTATTCCAGCCTGAATTGCTCTGTGCAGCATTGGCGAGATAGTTTGAAGTTGTACAAATTATTGGCCTATGGCACTTCCTATTCTGACAGTACTCTTGCAAGAACCCCCGAACCCTAGATTATAATTCAATCAGAGACATCTTGGCGTGCAAATATGGGATCAGATCTTCATCTAGTCCATATCCAACATCGACGGATTCAGCGTCAATTTTAGTGACCTAGTCCTATAGCATTCAAAATTACATGTCAAAACCATACAGGCAGGAACTTGGATACGAATTTGAAATAAGATTACAAATTCCAAGATCCCTTTCTGGCTCCCGCAAACCCCATCAAAAACCGATGTAGCCCGTTCCCCATGAAGCCAACCTAAATGCCACACACACTACATCTCCAACCTCAAAACGCCTTATTCATTTTCTTCTCACTCTCCTTCTCATCCTTCTTTCTCCTCTCCCTTTCCATTCGCTGCACTATAACCAAACATACTACCACAATCAACAGAATCAAAGCAGCAATACCAACAGCGATTCCATTAAGCGCAACCAACCTGGCGCCATCCATACCCGCACTCTGCAATATCGAAAATATGCTAGCAGCAGATACACTTCCGATGATGGACTGAGCGAGTGCGGCGAGCGAAACTATCGGGGATTTACGTCAGTTGACTGTCTTTAGGGGAACTCCAAGGTAATGGGACGAGAGAAAAAAGATGGCATTAAAGATATAGATTACGTACCGGCTGCAGGACCCAAGATCGTAAAACCTAAGATGCGGAGTAGAGGTGTAGTGAAGCCACCTCGAAGTGTGGAGAGGAGACCGGGCATTTTGAATGCTGATGAAGTCTTGGTGTGTTTAAGGCGCTAGTTACCTGTGAAGATGGAAAGTATCTGCAAAACTGATGATTATGCGTTATGGGAAAGCTTCAAGTTGAAATCTGATCTCAGGAAGGATATTCTAGCGTTTTATAATCGCTAAGCAGACACTTTGTTCTTCTGCCAGGTTCTACGATATTTGAGATATTATCACTCTATATCATCGATCCATAACTTTCCCTCATATTCTTCAAACGCGCACTCATGCATGTGCCCGCTACCAGTGTCTGAACAAAATTTCAGAGTGCAGCTTTCCGGTAAAAGTAAGCTGGTTAGATCCCTAGCCAAAAAGAAAAAGAAACCAATTAACCCTTATTGGTTCGGGTAATTGGTTTCGAGGAAATGCACCTCTTTTTTTGCGAATAGCCTTCATATTGTTTTTTTTTTTTAGCTCTCTCCCAATTTGAGAGGGGAGTTTAGAGCCTATGATGAGTAAAACAAGAGACATACCTGATAATTTTGGTGAGGGAATTTGGCTCAGCAATACGAAATATAACGATGGAGCTAGATAAATCTATAGTCGTGCAGTGAAATGATAGCTTTGCGTCAGGTACGAAATTGGAAGATCCCATGTTGAATTTGAAATCCTTGTGTGAAAATTTCGGTTCTTGATGAAGTAGGAAAAGAGCACGGCAAATACATCAATTTCATACTGCAATATGCAAACGTGCGACCGTGTACTTTTCCTGCGGCCTCCCGGCATGGCAACTCGTGACTGGAATTCTTCATTCAATCTGCAAGTGATATAAATTTCTTTTCATCCAAATGTTTGCTTGTATTACCAGAAAATTACACTCCTCACAATGAATAATAGCAGCAAAGAGAAGATGGATGCAGAGACGGGTATTTTCTTGACGAAAATAACCTGATGCCGGATACACAGCCTGGGTATAGGATATCTATCTTCAAAATAGTCACATTGTTACCCTCGAAGTGATCAATTTTTGAGCTACAACCCATATCCTCTATCGACAAATATTAGAAGATCCTCGAGAACAAGGGGAAAATAGAACTTGCACCATGACGTATGTCTACCTACATTGATCCTGATATCCGGTCATTGTAACAGGTTTGTGACATCGCTGCATTCGTAACAGCATAGCAGGTCAGAATAATTGGATTCTTCACTTGATTCATCGCCCAATCCGTCGACGTTTCGACCTTTGCGAATCTTAAGATACAGTAGCAGGTGATGCATGACTCGACACCGCAGCACTGTGCCAGGTAACAAGAGGTTAATTAAGAGCAAGCGCGTGATGAATCCAAAACATATGACGAAGAAATATCAGAATTGTCGGCAAGTAAAGCTAAATAAGTCAACTCGTTGGACGCATCCATTCTGCTCTTAAGATCCTAGCTCACACCCATAAGTCGCCGTTGCAAAGGATAGACCGTACTACTAGCTGCGTATATATATCGTGATTAAGTTGATGATGTGAGATTTGCATGATATACCGCAAGCACGTGATTGTAATCTTATGATGGATGGCGAAGGATTGCGAATTGTATGAGGCGTGACTACAATTTATTTAATAGCCTCGCGTAAGGTAAAACGTGATATAAATTAAAACAGAGGAGTGGATACACCATGGCGACACAGGGTGAAAAGAAGCCTGAATCCAGGGTTCAGTGGAAAATTCTATGCAATCGAGTAGAGATTGAGAAAAGATTCAGTTTATATGCGTTGAAGTTAGACCATGACGGGGAACTATTTCCTGTCTCTATATATGAACCTCTGAGATCAAGAAAAAAAAGGGTAAGGAAACAGCAAACCATGCATCCACGAAACTCGGAAGGATGATGTGCTGGATGTTAGTGGCACAGACAAACTTCTATGAGAGAATGAAATGCTATGTGAAATGGATCAACTCGGCAAAGGATAACAATTGGCCAAGGACATCAGTTACACAAGTTACGAAATACCCTGGCCAAGATGGGTTTTGTTGCATATCGCAAAATTTGTGGTTCCGTGGGGTTGAGTGTAAGAATATTACATAGTTTTCATTCGAACTTGGCTAATGATCATGATCAATTGGCTCATAGCCGAGGAAGAGGACTCCGAAAGACAGTGACTGACTGAGGTATTCTTCCGGATTTTGGGGGAGGAAATGAATAGATCCATCTCGTTTCTTGAACGTTCACGGTTACTCGCAAACCGGTGATAATACCACCCATTGATACAGGATCACTACTGTGTCAATTATCCGCGAAAAATAACCGTAAAATCCAGCACAACAATTGAAGAAGAAATTTCCATGCATTTAGTATATCAACTACAAATATCTTTAGCCGTAAAACCCCTGCCCGAATATAATAGGAGAAATATCTCGCTAAAAACTTTCAATTAAACATAAGTAAATCGCCATTAGAACCCTGTCCCACTGCTGGTTGATAAACCTGCTCTGGTGCATTTTGGTTAACCACATATTGCATTTCACTTCGGCCGACGCTAGGACTACCACCGAATCCTTCATCCTGCCCATTCAAATTCATGCTTGCCATTTGTTGACCAACTCCGGCGAAAAAGGCATCCGCTGCATCAACTGCTGCAGCTAGATCGCCTTGTCCGTTGGGCTTTACTATAGGTTGAGAGTTTCCGAATGCAGACAGTGATTTTTGTGAATCCATGTCCCAATTCGGAAGATGCTGTTTTTGTAAAGCGGGAGAGTCTGTGAGACGACGTGGGCGAGCGGATCGAAATACCTGTTGGACAGGTTTAAGATAAACAGTAGCTAGAGTACCAACGTTAAGGCACATCTCTTCAAGGGTGGCAGGATCGAGTTTCTCCGATTCAGCAGTAATAGGCGGCTTCTCGCCCATAACAATGGCTTTCGCTGTTGCCATATCCGAGGAGAGCAGACGCCAGTACATGTAGCCTCTGTCTCGCAAATCTGGGTTATCTGTGTCTTCTGTGGCCCATTTTAACACTTTAGGAACGAGTTCTTGTCCTTTTGTCGGCCTTTGAATAAACAACTTAACGGTTGCAGTGAGAAGAGCAAGTTGAACTTCCACTGGCTCATCCGCAAAGGAGTATAAGAAATCTTCAAGTAAAACATCAGAGTTCTCTATCCGAGATGCATATTGTCCAATGACCCAAATCATGGCAGCCTTAGCTTCAGGCTCATCTAGAGAATCCAAATTCTCGCACAATGTACCAATTATAGACTCGTATTGATTAGGGTACTTTCTGAAAATGTTCCGAATTACCACCGTTGCTTCTTGTACAATGTAGGTAACTTTTGTGGCCACTAGCTCCAGCAATGTATTAATACACTGTTTAGCCGCAGGCTCGATTTTGATAGCAAGCTTTCCGATTGCTCGTACTGATTTGCGGACAAAGTGAACGTCAATTTCTGTGGCGTACTCTCTTAATTCGGTAAGAACCTCTTGAATGTTCTTTTCATTTGCCAACATGAAGATCAATTCCAGTTTGGTAACTTTGACATAGATAGGGTCATTATATTTGCAGAAAAATACTCGAATATCGTTTCGTAGGACTTCTGGCCTCCTTTGCAATATTAACAATGCATTTCGTAATGCGAGATATTGAACCTCCGGACCCTTCGCCAACAGAGTAACTAAAGGAGGCGAAAGCTTCCGACATAATGCCGAAATTTGCTTTTGATCATTAATATAGTTCATTAGGTACAGAACTACCCTTATGCACGTAAGGACGACTGCAGAATTTGAATGTGATAAACGTGGAGATATGCGCTCCGCTAACAACAAAGCCTCGGAGGATTCTTGTGGAACATATGACATTAACGCTTCCAAAATATATGTTTGGCCCCATCTATTATTGTTAGGTCAAACGGATCGAGATTAGAAGGAAGATACTTACTCGGAACAGTCCGGGAGAATCTGAACCATCTTTGAAGCGTTTCCATAGTCAATGGTGAGCTTGATCGCATCACTTCTCTCCCATATATCCATTAAACTTGCTAACGCACTAGCCACCACCGTTGGGTTATCATCCCTCAACATCGAATTCAGCCTATCGATTAGATCAGAGCCTTCAACCAAATGCCTGTCATGATCGTATAGTTTTGCGACACAGAAAGCGGCCGTCTTGCGAACATAAGGGTCTGCATCTCGAAGAAGTTGCTTTGTGGGTGGTACTGTGGCCTCGACGAAATCTCGGACATGGATATATGACATCGTTCGCAAGGCAAGAGCTCTCACAAGGGGATTGGAGTCGTTCATATCCTATTTGACAAATGTTAGCTTAAGCAATACGGTACGAGATAGAAAGCTTGCCTCTTGCAAAGTAGGCAATGCCTTAACAGCCACCTCCGGTTTCATACGAGCATAGTTAACCAAAAACAAGAAGCACCTATGATCGCATCAGTTATCAATCTGCGCGATCGTCGCTATAGATAGTCCACCCACATTTTCTTAATCTCCAAGCTTGGTATTTGCATACAGCCAACAATATCCGGAAACAGAGCGACCATGTCATTATTGCTCATGGTCATGTTGGCCACGATCTTCTTCAGAGCAATCTTCTTCGCGGCATGGTTCTTGTCCTTCTTCCCACCACTATTCAATTCCAATCTAAGTTCCGCGACTTTGCCCTGTGGTGAACGATTATAAAGTGAGCCAACAAATCCAGATGGTGGAATATAGTGAGGTAGAAACATGATAGCAGGATGCGCCTTCATTGTGAAGTTCGAAACAAATCAAATCTGAAGCTTATCCAAACCATGAGATCCAAAGCATCTGAGGTGCTACAATATGCAACAGCCCGGCCAAGCATATCGAATGAGGCGCAAATGAGATGTAGAAGTTACTGAAATTGTGTGAGAGTGAAAAACAAAGGACATACCCTTGCAAAGAGCTTCGCATCTCCCCCGCCCGAACTCATGATGAGCAAGCCTCAATTCTTCTATGTATATGTGACTTTGTCGCTGTAACTTTGATCTAACACGGAAACCCCTCCTAATTCAATCTCGCAGGAAATTCCTCGTACCACTGAATTCGTTCGTATCCTAAGGCGGCACGGCGCAGGGTAAATGGATAATGCGCCACAATCACCGGTATTATATCGTTAGGTTCTATAGCAGGTATCTGTCCATTGACTAACGGAATCTTAAAATTTCGCAGATATTATTTTCGGATGTATTGATGGATGTTTCGTGAGGCCTTTGAGAACGAGGTAATGATCACCAAAAGGGGTGGCTCTAGTAAGGCTCGGGGGCCGCGGCTTTAAGTTAGCGCGGGAAGCTTATTTCTTTGAAGACAGAGAAGTACAATACTTATTAGGTATCAAGGCTATTTCAACTTTCTGCCTTAATAATCTGACACCACATTCGACGACGTTGTTCATGAGAATACGCTCCATTTATATGATCGTGATTCCCTAACATATTGAAACAAAATGGCCACGACCACGATTTCACCACCTCCCCTCCATGGGTCATAGATCTCAATACTCCACCTATATTGAAACCAAAATCCGCAGGTATTCCAGATCCGCCAGGATATACAGCATCCCCATCTTCAAGCCGAGTATGCTATTTCCCCCTGTTTACCTATTGACAATCTGCTAAAATTCGTGTTTCTTTAGAAACAAACCACCAAAGCTCCACGACAAGCTCCCACTCCCGCTGAAATGGACACTCTTAAGCTCAAGAAGGCATGGGAAGTGGCTCTTGCACCTGTCAAACAACTTCCAATGACTGCGATCATGATGTATATGTCCGGAAATTCTCTTCAAATATTCTCCATTATGATGGTTGTTATGGCGTTCAAAAATCCTTTGATGGGACTAATGGCAACGAATCAAGCATTTGAACGTTTTGAGAGTGAAGGAACAAGAGGGAAATTGGGTGTGGTAAAACTAGCATATGTTGCGTGTCAAGTGATAGCTTTGGCTTTAGGAATATGGAAGATCAATGGGATGGGTTTATTGCCGTAAGTTGCTTGCCTGATGGACTCGGAGGTCAAATGCTAATAGCTCTACAGGACTACAAGATCGGATTGGTTGGCATGGGAAACAGCAAGAGATCCTCTAGAGCGAGCTATACCCGCGTTTTGAGGTATTTGATTTGCAACAAATGTGCACTCTTTCTGTGGTGTGAGGATATCATACCACTGTTAAGAAATCATAGCCCGGACGTGTATATCGTACGATTCGATGTAATTCAAAGGTATCATTCATGATTATTCGAATAATGATACAATTTTATCAAACCACAGCAAAGAGACCACCCTCACGGTGTATGCGCAAAGGGGAAAGGTTGAAGATCTAGCAATGTTTAAAGATTGAATAATATATATAGCACAGGTTAAAGGCTGTGTCCTTGCTCAATATTGGTCTGTGAGTGCAGATGCGAAAACATGTTCCCCAGTTATTATTTAGACCACCGAAATGCAGGACTTGCTTGTTGCGCCTTTATATATCCTGTTGCCTCCTTTATAACTCCTAACGAAAATCGGCCGTCACAACATTCTAAATGTCTTCGATCGTACACGGAAACCTCGCGGTTCATTCGTCGACATGGCCCGAAACTTCCTCTGGATATCATTTCCATTTTCGACAAGTTGCAAAATGTCAAGCTTTTACTTTGACTTCATGTATTCCGCTGCCTCCTCGACACTCTTCGCTATCATCTGAAGTGCCGTCACAGTGCATTTATTGCACTTTTCGTGAGGACATTTCCCGCAAATCTTCAACTCCATCTTGTTACGTGTACCACACTCGAATAGCAAGTCAGCATATGATCGGACTGTTTGGATTTTAAAGAACAGACTTACTCCCTGAAAGTTTGTTGACTGTCTATGACAGCACATCCACATTGTGTCACTGATGCTTGAATAGTAAGGCATATTGTTTCGCCAATCTTGTGTCGACTGCTGGTCCAAAAATGATGTGTCAACTTTATTACCACGGTGTAAGACTTTGTATCACTTTTTGAAGTTTGGGAAGTGGCATTTGCAAAGCATGTGAAACGGGTGTTTTTTTGGGGGGGTGGGAAAAATGATGGTGTTATAGGGAGTTCATGGTGGCAGGCTAAAGGGGGAGCTAGTTCGATAGCTCTAGCTCTACGGTTCGGTTTTCGCTTAAAGTTTGAACGAACGCATTCATTACGGCCGTGGACAGTCACAAATTCATGAATTGGTGCAGGGAAAAATCGCCCATTGAGATTTACATACTGCATTGTGAATAGGCGCTCTCAGCGAATAACGACATGTTGTTTGTGCCCATTTCGGAATTAGCTGCTGGAAATACCTTTCTTGCTATAAAATTATGTTTTTACGGTGACCTCGTCCCAATCATCTGGGTAAATCGGATGCCATAGTTAGACCAAGAGTCAGTATTTGTTACGATAGAAATCTTCATCGTAAACATCATAGTCTGTTATACAAATAGAGTTTACATACTCGCATGAACCCAGCTATGAGAAATACAAAGAGTTCAACTCTAGATGCGGTAAGAGTCTCTGCACTCAGGGATACTATATTTTCTAACTGTTAGATATATCAGACGCATTGGAATGAAAATCTCCTCATCGCCCTTCTCCAAAACACCTAGAGCGGCATATTTTCTCAAATTCGCGAGGCACCAAACTTTGCCCATTGTTGAAACAGGTTCATACATTACCATGGTCTCCAATATCATAAAGTGATTTCCTTGAGTGATTTAACTAGGATTTCTCAACTTTTCATCAACTGTTGTGTATACCTTTGCGTACTGCTGACGTCGTTATCAACTACATTTTTAGTATTTGCTGGAATGTACCATCTGCCCAGGTTTAAAAGAGCTCCCATACCACCGTTGATCTCCTGAGCTCGTGATAAACGGCCGAACCTTCAAGCTCCTTCTCTCGCTTTGCGAATGTCACTCTCTTAGCTCCCCATAATCTTGCTATTCTTTGGATGCGAACACGGCTTCAGTCATGAGTCCTCGAAAGCATGTTCCTATCCTTCGTTAGTGAAATAATGCTTTTGATATACTCGGACTTCAAGATCAACAAGTCGTGTGTTCCTGGAGCATATCGATTGGAGTCATATATTTCTCTCCCTGTTTTCGAAGTGAAAGCTCGTTACTGAAGCGGTGGTGAAGTATATACTCTACCAAAATCTCAAATCCTCAAGGTTGTTTTCTGGCAATTCTACCTCTAGCGTTGGATCTTCTTTGAACCCTCCATTGAATCATCGATCGAAAACCGGTCAATAATACGATGAAATTCTTTCGACAAATCGAAATACTGCTTCTCTAGCCCCACGTTTACTTTAACACTTGGATCCTGGTCATTATACACATAAATGCTGCCAATTTCTCTAGTCGCTTATCATATACTTGTCACTTTTTGCGGTAGAGGGCATTGATCAAGGTGGCGGTAGCTGGTAGCGACAAAAGCAACTGTTTGAGGGAACGTACTTCTCGCTACAGAAGTAATTTAATCACATGATGAATATCATTCAATATATAAAGTTATATAGGTCCCCATTCCAACATTCACACCAACCCCAACACCAGCCTGATCCAACCAGTACTCATCAACATGAAAAACTCATTTTTCATGCGGAATCGCCTAACAAGCAAACCTCATGATGTCTGTCTACCTTCTTCGTGAACCTCCACTTGAACTTCCGCTTGAACTTCCTCTTGAACTTCCACCCAACAGGCTCTTCCCCTCATCTCCATGCTTCTTCGTTCTCTTTTCCGCATCCTTTCGATCCTTTGCCGCCTTCTCTTTGCTTACCGCGTCTGCCTCCGCATCTTTTTGCCCTTGTTCACTCTCATGGTAATCACTGTCTGCCATCCACTTATTGCGGGCATCCCTATATGGCTTGTCTCCTTCTCTACCACGAGGATACTGTGGCTTTGGTTAGTTATCCGTGGTACAGTTAGGGGAACTTAGTTATATGCTTGTTTCTTTTGGAGGGTTGGTGGGAATTGGGGATTGGGGATTATATACATTTTCTCGCTTTGGGAGTGGAGTCTTGAATGGATATTTGACTTTTGGCAATTTGACAATTGACATGGTTGTTGCGGTATCGAGAGAATAAATTAATGTGATAGATATAAAATGAGATGTGAGATACGCTGGTACTGATAGTGGTATACGATGAGATGGACTGATAGAAGGATAGTTGTGTATAGATGTTGCAGATAAGCTAAAGTCAAGTTTTGGTTGGGAGTGCGATGGTGACTTCAATTTTGGTAGCCATTTGCAGTTCTTTTATACAAAAGAAGGATGGATTCTTTAATATGGGACTGATATTCACACTTGGTCTAGGACATGTATATCAACAGAAACATGTGTATCAGCAATTTTGCCTAGACCTGAGGGCCGCGGATTTCTGTTATCGTTGTACAATTTGGCAAACCCTCAGTACTTACATGTCAATAATATGGGATTTTCTATTCAGTCTCAGGCTAGAACGAGGTCGTTAGACCACAATTACTTTACTTATTGGCTTGAAATATGCTAACCGACAGTGAGGGTGAGTTGGAACTAGCTAGTCTCATGTTTTGACATGTATTGAAACATTTCTCTCGTTGAGGCTGTGTATAGCTTGGCATGTGTCGAGCTTGGCATTTGGGATGGGTTGATAAGTTGGATTTGAAAATGACGTGAAACACACTTCGATATTTATAACATAATCGAGGGAAAGCAGTTGGTAGCTGTTAGTTGATTGAAATGTTGACTCAAGTCAAAACTTAGCAGAGCGGTTGCAGACTAGCATCACTTTTGTCCTTGTCGCCCTTCAACAGCAAGTGTATACAAGAGCAGTCTATATTCTAGAACGAAAAGATATGGATATACAAGTTTGTATAATCTAAATCAGTCACCAAGTGAAATTGGAGAATGAAAATTTAGTACGGTGGTGCCCAAAATAAGTACAATAACTTCAAATCAATACTTCAAATAAATGCTTCAAATTTGCAAATGGGGAAGACTTGTAGAGGAATTTGGAGAGCTGATTAGATATACAATATGAAAGCCACTAAAATTTGGAAAGGAAAGAAGTGGTTCATTATCCATGAATAAGCTGTATACTAACGACAGTAAAAAGCGTAGGCTTTTCCACCGCAATGCGATGTTTCCGTGGATGTAAACAAATATCCTTCCCACTCGAGAACTAGTTAGTGGTAATTGGTGTAGAGATTAGGGTACGGAATATCAGAAAAAACGTGAATTTCGCATCTAACATGGTTTCTGCTTGGATTTATGCATTCATGACCGCGTTCTATATTTACACCCGAAGCTGGGTATTCCGTTGGCAAGAGATTCCAACGCCTCGTTCAACTTATCATATATCCTTTATCTTCCTGCATCCTTCTTGGTCAAGTCTACGTTGTTTCCACTCTTGCCTCCTTCGATGCTTGCCATGAATTCCCTAGCAGATGTCAGGTCATGTAAATTGTAAAAATCTGTTAGCTCAACAGATTCTCTCACTGAACCTACTTGATGTATTTCTCCTCATCTGGACTTTTGGCGTTAATTGGTGGAGTTGAGTCCTTTGCAGCAGATCCACCACGAGTGGACAAAGTGACGATACCAGCCATCGAACCGAGAACTGCCATAGCTAACTAATATCACCATTTCTATCAGCACGGGTTCTCGGCTCTCAATCAAATGTAGGCCATTCAATTGCATCAAGGAAAAATCAAATAGTTTGAGCAGAGGGGACTTCGGAAGGAGCCACGTACGTAGTGAGAGCCAACTTGCTTTCCGGCGATTTGATAGTAAGAAACCATTTTGAGGAGTTTAAGGATTCGAATAAATTGATAATTGTTCGAATGGAGTCGTGGTGACGGAGTTGGAGATTCGTGATAGAGGTTGATATCGATACAGTTTGGATTGAAATGGAGCTTTCCATACAAATTTACAAGCTAGTCGATTTAAGCGCAAGCGCCCACCAAAAGGTCCCGAGATGCCGATGGCCGTTCCGTCCAGCATGAAGAACAAAAAGAGAAAGAGCAGGAGAAAGCAGCTCCGCTTCCACTCCACCTTTTAGTATCCACTAGTTAGTGTACAGGACAGGATCTATTCCAGGAACATTCAATCAATCCCCCACTCGCGGATATCGTCATTTCCCCAGGTCAGGACCGTACGAGAAACATCGGATAATAACTTAAATACTTCTTCCATCCGAGGTTAAAGTCAAACGAAGGAAGCTAGGAATGCGACAGAAGAAATAGACTTGCGATATTTTGAATTATACAACGTATCTTCTTGTAAAATAGCTACCTGCTTTCTGGGGTACATCACCTGCTGGTTTTAACTTAGAACAGAATGACTGGAAAAGATAACAATAACTCTCGAGGTCCACCCCCAACAGGTCTACCTGCTGTGGAAAAGCTTCCTGCTGGACTCCAAAAGCTTGTGGACAAAGCAGACAAGGACGAGAGCTTCTATGATGAGCTCTACGACGGATAGTATGTGTTTATGCGACCTGTTTTCTGGGCTCTCCCCTCCCATTTGCCTTTTACACGAGCTCTTCAGCCACAATGCTTCATTTCAATATACTAATTCTGTTGGCACAGTGCCCCGCAAACCACCGACAGCAATATTCGATACGCGGCATATGCTTCCCGAATCCGAACAGGTCAGTTATTTTCCACGGCAGCTAGGATTAGGTCTTTCGCTCATACTTCTGGAAAGCCCTATTATCCGCGCAACGATATGTAGCTTATACATCAGATATCGGGGAGTCTTTCCGACCGGTAGCTCATCCGAATTGGGTTCGAGCAGCTTATGGTGTTTCATGGGCCTACCTTATTGGTGATGTCACACATGAGGGATACAAGGCGTACTGCAGGAATCAGGAGGTTTTGCACCCGGAGCTTCCGCGTGAAGCAATGCACGATCGATACAATGATGCAAAGACGGATCTTAAGATAGTCGCCAATGATGCGGCGGTGTCACTGAAGCCTCGTCAAGTAGCACCATTGGAAGATTATCGGACAGTGATGGCACAACGAGCCCTATTTCAAGGAATCGCTTCTATGGGTAGGTGCATTCTTTGCCACATTTTGTGCCGATACATGATACGAAGAAAGCTCTATAAATGAACCGTCACTAATGCGACCAGGTCTACCCGCCTTTACCATTCATTCAATCGTGCGGTATTCCGGTAAATATATGAGAAATGTCAAAAACGTAAAGATCAGAACATGGGGTCCAATAGGTTTGGGACTAGCAGCTGTACCCGCCTTACCATTCTTGTTTGACAAGCCTGTCGAGGAAGCAGTCGAATTTGTGTTCCATAAAGGCTTTGAGACTTTCGGTGGTAAGTCTGCCGTCGGTAATGCACCCGTTACTGGTCGGGAACACTTGTTGGAGCGACCCGAGAAAAAGGTGAAGAAGGAAAAGGAATTATAAGGAATAGCTTTCGATTTGGCGTCTAGGAGAACACTCGGCTCTGCGCATCGGTATTGGTCAGGAAAATATCACCTCCAATTTCAATATGCAATGATTTATTTTCTTTTTGGAAGTTGCTCAAACAAATCACACCCAAGGTTGGTCACACGGTTATATTTTTGTTTTCGAAGAGTCGTACGAAAGAAACTTTCAAATTTGTGATTTACGAATACATTAGATCCTCTTTTTATTATTATAGGATCGACATATTCTACGCCCAAGTGGCTTTACTTCCCAGCTCTTCCAGTATTCAATGTCCCGGTTAGTGTTCTGATATTCACCAGCACGGTTCTTCTTGTCATCTTAAATTGAAATGGCAAGTAGACTGGCTTTGAACCTTTCTTTCCCAAACAGTCACGCCATATAAATCCAGGGTATAGTACATGGGTTTGATTCACCTTGGTTCCTCTGCAGTGTTCTTAAATCTTGAAAATGTCTTTTCTTTTTCCACTTAGCTTCAAAAGGGAACAACATTATGGCGGCTGCAGAATTCAATCAAGACTTGATAGAAATGGTCGAAAGTGCCGACGTACCGAAGCCTATGTGTGATGAGTTCAAGAAGATGCTCTCGGGAATGAAGTCAGTACATGTTCAGTCGAAATCGAATCCAGATACTAATTTTCTGGCGTTTAGTTTTAGGGCATGTCTAGCCGACTGCATGCCGAAATACAAGCTTGATGTTCGTAGGAAAATACTCAAGTTCAACGACAGCTCCATCGGCGACGAAGATACTCTAGATGACCTCAAGAATCGCCGAATGGCCGTAGCCAAGACTATATTTGGCAAACTTGGTCCTGATACAAATATCGAAGCTCCATTATTCTGCACCTGGGGTTGCAACACTTTTATTGGTAAAAATGTGTATATCAACAGGGAGTAGGTCACCTCGTCACATCTAGACAAGATAACTACTAAGTACGGTATAACAGCGTCTCGATTTTTGATAGTGCGCCCGTTCAAATCGGCGACCGTGTACTCATCGGACCCGGCGTCTGTATATGCACAGATACGCATGAACTTGACGCTGTATCCAGGGAGAAAAGCCAGATGGGATCTTATGCGAAACCAATAGTTATTGGCAACGATTGTTGGATTGGTGGAAAGGCAATCATAGTTGCAGGGGTTACAATTGGGAATGGATCGACGGTTGCAGCTGGAGCTGTTGTGGTCAAGGATGTTGAAGCAAGTAAGTGCTGCGCATTTCTTCTTTGGGTCTTTTCCGCTTTGTCATTCTTTATGCGATCTTCAACCATATGCGATTGTGCTTGGGAATCTTACGGCTTACATCTTTGGTGTGTATACAGATTGTCTTGTTGGTGGTGTACCTGCCAAGGTTATTAGGAGACTTGATAATGTCGGTATATTATCAAAATAAACACTGCTCAATTCGATCCATCCTTCTATTTAGGCAAACATACTGGGCTTTTTCTATGGGTATTTGGAGTGGGTGTGGACGGAGGAGGAGCACTTGGAATTTTCTAAATTCAATATGTAATATTGTTATTTTGATGAACTTATCGTTGATTGTTTTGGGTTTCCTTCAGTTAGTGAGTGCATCTAGTCCGCACACATCACTAGATTTAATGAGAGACCAATACTCGCATTACGAATGGTCTTATTGTTCATGGTTATATCTCCATGTACTGCTGTAAAATAATAGGTGATTTCATGGGTGATCTCAGGATTTTGTCCGGGAGTTTGACATTGTTTTAAAATTGGATTTGTTGCGGTTCTTTAACGCCTGTTATCTTTTACGTCTAAGATCACAACTTGATTTCTTGGCATCTGAGAGCTTGGGGTCAAATAAATACAATAACATAAGGGAGCAAGTGATCTGGCCTGAATAGTTTTATATGGGTTCGATAACTTGAATCTTTCTTGATCCTCAACGATGAGGAAACGCTTAATTCATGAATATTTTTGGAGTGTTTGTTTTATTTGGGTTTATTTTTCCTCGGGAAAATTTGATAATTCAATAATGATTGATCTTCTTGGAATAAGAATTATCCTTCGATTTTGAACTATATTCAAATACCTCAGATATTCGAGAATGAATGCGCGGCGGAAGAGCATTGTGATACTGCTGATGATAGTAAAATCAATACTTCTCATCTCCAACCCAAAAGCTCACTCATTCCAAGATCATCAAATCAAGTGCACCCTGGCTATATATTTCTTATTTGATTCAGAGGCACAGCCTTTGAGCTTATCTTTCTAGTGAATTTATGTGGTATTCACACCGTTCCGACTTGCGCTGCAATTTGGGATTTCAGAATGTTGAAATCACATTCCATAGGATAATTGCGGCATTCAATATCTATCTTGTGCGGAGTGTTTCTCTCTTGACTCTGCAGGACGATGAGTAGTATTGGCCGCTATAGTTCAATTATCTAGGACTAAGTAAAATGGTTGGCTGAGTCGAGAGAAATACAAATGCGTCATGATCGATGTTGAATGGCATGATGAACCTCTATTTCCGAGGCTTTTCGAAAGTCCTTCAGGGCAGTGAGTCACTGTGGTTATAACCAAGGCTGGCTTATCTACCTAGTTATTATATGTTTGGATTTAGAATCATGTATTGAAGTTTCTTTTATCGGTATTGTTGAGCTGTGTAGATAGTTTGAAAAGCGGGATGAGTAGGACGACTCGATGACTGGGAGGCGGTCGAGGTGAGTTGAATATGTTCAAAATCTCTTCTACAGAGTCACTAGTTGGATTTGTGATTCACAGTCGATAGAATGTCATTTATGGAATGTATGTTTTTAGAATCACTCATCATTAATGAACGATTGTGAGTTGAAAAGATCAAGTTTAGAAATGATCTGGTAAAGTGAATCATTCCTTTTAAATAAAAATGTGAGCTTAAGAAAGCGTGGAGAATCTCTAAATTCATCTTCCTTCCTCCTTTCTTTCTTTCTTTCTTTCTTTCTTCTTACCACCGACCACTTTCTTGGTCTGAAGACATCGAACACTCAATAATACTGTCTTACATATCCAAAGCAATTTTTCGAATCTCAAATATTCAAATATTCAGCTACCTCAAAATGTCGAAATACCTAGATAGCTAGTAGAGTGAGGTAAACAAGTAAGTGAAGATCGATGTTGCTGCCACCGTAACAGAAGAAAAGTGGATGCAGAAAATCGAGAAGCATGTGCAGATGGTGCTATGGCTTAGTACAGCTGGCAGAAGAGTATGCTTGCGACTAGGCATGTGAGTTGCCAGTCAATCTGTATCTGTACCCGTCATCCGAAGCCTTGGTTATCGACATCAATATTGAATCTCTTACAAAATGTGAATAACATAAAAGCCGCAATGCCAACTTCAATATCTGCATCCCTACCTGCATTCCAATATTTTTCTCCAATTATGCTTTACTATAAAACAGGAAACCATAAAACTGTGCTCTCTGCAGAATGGCTTTGAAGCGGCAAGGTTTCTGAAAACGAATGAGGACATTTTGAGATGTTCTAAGTAAACAAATTGAATTGAAGACGATTAAAAACTCGAGACTACAAAATATTGAGAAAGACGAAATGTGATGAAAAGAAGTATGCCGAAGGTAAAGGAAACACATTTTCCAATGTCCAATAAATCATCTAATAACGCCTAGTGCCTGCGAACTTGGCCCCATATTACAACCCAGGAAATATCTCCTTTACCAATAACTATTCCCTTTTTCCCGCGGCCAACAGTCTCTTCTTCAACTCACCAATATTCTTTGTTGAGGGCAAGACCAAGTCCTAATACTCATTAGCATCATGTATGTTCCGGAAAAGAAAATAGGGGGAATCGAAGAAAGCGCAAAACTAACCCAAATAGTATGCGGAAAAAATGTCGAAACAAACCAAACCGTCCAAGCATTTCCACCAGCCCATTGATGTGTCTGTGAATTCTTCTTCAAGGCATTCTCCACTACTTTATTTGTATAAACATCTACATCCATTGCAGATGCCAATTCTTCATCTCCTCCCGCAGCATGTTCAACGATATCTCTCGCCGGGGCATATGGAGAGTTTTCGGGTAACCTCACCGATGGTTGATTGTCGAAGAATTTGGTTCTCACCACACCGGTAATTACAAGAATGACCTTGACACCCAGAGGTTCGAGTTCAAGACGAAGTTGATCAGTTATATGATTGACTGCTGCTTTACTGGCGTTGTAATATCCTTGCCAGTAAATAGGGGAAACACCGAGGACTGAACCAATGTTGATGATTTTTCCTTTGGCAGAGATGAGGAGTGGTGAAAATGCTTGGGTTACTGTGATGACTGCGAAGACATTTACATTAAACATCTTTTGTGCAACTTCTACTTCAGTATCTAGTAGTGGCATGGCGTATCCTATTTTGAGTGAGCAGCTGTTCTAGAATGCTCTGAATTAGGCACATAAAATTCAAAACATACCAGCACCGGAGTTGTTGACGAGGAAATCCAAAGTTCCTCCAGTCGCCAAACTGACGGCTTCGACAGCCATTTTGATGGATGTAGGATCTGTAACATCCAAGGCAAGAGTGTCCAGTCCTAACCTTTTAAGATGTTCGATCTTAGAAACATTTCGAGCTGTAGCGAAAACTCGAAGACCTTTGCTATGGAAAGTTTTTGCAAGAGAATCTCCAATACCACCTTCACTGCACCCAGTAATCAAAACTGTTTTTGGGGCCATATTTTATGATTTAGATCGGTGAGAAGGTTGAGACTATCAACTGAGCTGTCTTTATATATTGTGGAATGTGTTGAACTGTAGATTGAAAATGGAAGAAGATGTGAGAAGTAGAATTTGTTGATTGATCTATCTATGGAGTTCACTGAACTGTGGTCTATATAGCCTTTCTTCAAAACTTTGCATCAAGTCCTAGATTTCAAATTATATTCTTCTAATGCGCTTCGTAACACTGGCTAGAGTATGTCAACCTATGGCCAAGTCGGCCCAATGTTGCCCCGTATCCGTCAACCTGACGACTCTTCATCATGCATTATTTAATTCTTGATTTATCATCTCGGAGCATATCGATAATGCAATCCGTGTCCAAACGGTTCTTGTGTATTCAATTTCCGACTCGGGAATGATGATCAATCATGGATGTAGGCAAAGAATGATCAACATCTCATTTACGTAGATTGTATGGTCTAATTTTTATCTCACCGCCCTCGCTCGCAATAGTTGATTTGTGTGGGCAGAATAAATTTGTTCGTGGAGAGATGTATTAGTCAGTACTTACCAAATCATTATGCCGTAACATCTTGTATCCTCAGGCAAAACTTCTACTCCTAGCGTAAAATATCACTTTACGCGTCCAAACGTCGTCTCCTTCAGTTTCTTGAGATCATTTTCATAACCACAGAAAAATCACCAATTTTTTACTTCTACAAATTCAAAAGACTTACAATGTCAACGTCACTAGAAAAAGAGCTCTCAAATCCCCCTCACGAAATTCCCTCTACAAAAGAATCAACGGAACAAACATCAAATCCAACTTCTACTTCCAAAAGACATGAAGAATATCAATATTTAGACTTAATCCGCGAGATTTTAGAAACAGGTGAACATCGTCCTGATCGGTAAATCTACCTTTTATTTATCTCTACTCCTGTCGCAAAAACCACATAACTAAGGACAAAACAAATAGAACAGGAACTGGTACCATCTCCCTCTTCGCCCCCGCCCCTCTAAAATTCTCCCTCACATCCCCAACCGGAACTCCAATCCTCCCACTTCTCACAACAAAACGGGTATTCCTACGAGCCGTACTAACAGAACTCCTTTGGTTTATCTCTGGCTCTACCTCATCCCTTCCTCTCTCTGCAGCCGGTATAAAAATCTGGGATGGAAATGGATCCCGCGCATATCTAGATTCGATTGGTCTATCTCATCGAGCCGAAGGAGATTTAGGTCCTGTATATGGATTTCAATGGCGACATTTCGGCGCTAAATATATTGATGCCGAAACGGATTATACAGGACAAGGTGTTGATCAATTAGCGGAAATTGTATGGAAGCTTAAGAATAATCCATGGGATAGGAGGATTATTCTAAGTGCATGGAATGTGGCAGATATTAAGTTGATGGCGTTACCACCTTGTCATATGTTTGCACAATTTTATGTTTCTTTTCCGAAAACCCCAGAGGCAAATACAAACCCCGGATCAAAACCTAAAGGCGTTCTTCATTGTCAGCTTTACCAACGTTCTTGCGATATGGGTCTCGGGGTTCCTTTTAATATCGCTTCTTACGCCCTTTTAACTCATATTCTTGCTCATGCATGCGATCTTACTCCTGGTACATTTACTCATACTATGGGAGATGCACATGTTTATGTTAATCATGTTGATGCGTTGAAGATACAACTTGAGCGAGAACCTAGAGATTTTCCTGAGTTAGGAATTTTGAGAGAGGATAAGGGTGGTGGTGTTGTGGATGGATGGAAGGGAGAAGAATTTGAAATTAGGGGATATAAACCGCATGGGAAGATCGATATGAAGATGAGTGTTTAGGGTGTAGGAATAGAGCTTGGAATAGGAGGGGACAAAAGGGATAGGGAAGAATGTATATACATATTAAATGGGTATGAGTTATCGAGTTATGGTATTGACGTTGGTATGATTATGCACGAAGCTATTTCACAACGTTGGATATTCAATCCCATAATATAAATAAAGAATTACAAGACACAGCAATTTCTCTTGAAAATGATATATTATATTCCTCTATCCTGCCGTCCATCCATCATACATCCCTCCTTCCCAGTCCCATCCATCCACTCCCATCCCAAATCAACAAAATCACAGACCACTGCACTCCTCATCAATCCTCCATCCTCCATCCCTCAAACAAAATCAAAAACAATATCAAAAAAATATGTTAATCACATTGGGCCTAATCCGGGATCGAACCGGAGACCTCTTACATTTTAGATGAGATAAACCTCAACCCAAAGCAAGAATTCTACCACTAAACTATCAGGCCTATTTTATATACTGAGACGTCACTATTAAAGCACATATCGGAATTTCTGGAGATTGATTGAAATCTCTGCATGGATGGTGGAGTATGTGGTGGAGACGGGAATGTGGTGGGGTGGGGAGGGGTGGCCATGATAGGATACATAGGGTTAAGGTAAGGTTGAGGTGAGGTTAAGCGAGGATGAAAGGGGAGATTTTTGAACGGGGGAAGAAAGATGGAGGATGTTGGGATTGGGACTTGAGATGTTGTTTTTGGGGTGAGTGTGTGCAGATTTATATATAAGGGTAGGCTTGGGATGTTGATGGGTGGATGGCTGGGTGGGTGATGAATGAGGTTTAGGATAGATGGAAGGGTTTGTATGTTTGATTTCGGTTTCGAGTTTGCTTGTAACTTTGATTATTTTAACGCTGTATTGATAATCATAATGATAACCAGAGGATTAGGGTTAAAAATTGGGTTCTGCAGTTATTTGAGCTGTATATCGGTATGTAGTGTTTTTAAATGGAAAGGTTTACGTAACTTGTGTACATCAATATCTAAATGAATGAATGAATGAAATAAATCTAATCACCTAATTATAAGTAAGCTCTTACGTTCTGAATCGTATACAATCCTACTGTATATTTAACGAAAGCTAGCAATCGAATTCATGAAGTTTCTCATCCCACGATTACAAAGGAACAGGGCTAAATAATCGAAGTGAAGGGACAATCATAGCCCAAATGCGTTTAATCATGCAAAGAAAATCGTCAGGTCGGGCTATGAGAGGATGAAAATACTTTCAAACCAGTGTAGAGTTTAAAAGATTGAAATTTCAATTTCAATTTCATCCGTGGACTAATATGATGCTACTTTGTCGTAGATATATCCTGATATTAATCCAGCTACATACTGAAGGCATCACCTCTTATTTCTATCAATCTCTTCGAAATCGATCAATAATTCTTGTAATTTATACAAATACTGTCTTCTTTTCAGATCTGGCTTTTTCAAAGATAAAGCATTTACTAGGTGTCTAGGTAGCATGAAGTGGAGCGCTATATACATTCTATAGTAAAGGTAATCGTTTATTATAGATTAATTAAATGAAGATATAAAATTCTTCGGATAGTATAACTACAACCAGCAAGACACATTCCACAAATCTGACTTGATATAATAATGTCGATATCAATACGGAATTTCCAAAATCCATTATTTTGTATCCTCAAAATATTCACATCCCAAGTGAAAATATCCAGATCCAAAACCAAAATCCTAACACACATCAGAATCCTCAGCATCTTATCTAATCTAATAGTATCATATCATAACAAAAACAAAAAACCATCCTTCATCCTTCATCCTTCATCCTCCATCTCTCATCCTCCATGCATCTCTTAATTAATCAGCGTATTATATTCCAAACCTCAAAATAATTTCTAAGATTCCATATCTTATCTCACCCTCACCCTAATTCCCACCCTAACCCTAACCCTCATCATACTCATCTCAAAATCTCAAAGTATCTTATAATATACCCCTCCACAAGACTCCTCAACACTCCTCCGAACCTCCAAAACTCTCAAACTTCAAAGAGAATTAATACCAACTATCTACAAACTATCAACTAATACAATAAACAGTCCATACTCGAAACATCGTTCAAGTACCTAATAATAGATACTAATTTACTTACTCTAAGTGAAGTTCAAATCCTATACTCTATACTACACAAGATGAGCTGAATGAGATGATTTATTATTTTCAATGAGTAGATAGGTGGGTATTAAGAAATAGAAATAACCACTTCGAATTACAAGACGAGAAAGGTGGTACTGTAAAAATAATATTCATAGATACGATATTAATCTTATAATCTTATAATCCCTAATTAATATCACAACGACAAAACGTCAGGTACCACCCTGGATATTCCCTCCTTATTCCATATTCCCGTATACCAATACCAATACCATATAAAAATCAAACCGACATCACTCACCCATTCATCCTTCATCCCCAAATCCACAAACAATCCACCCCTCAAACCCCACCATCAAACAACAACATGCATACTCAAATGCTCAACGGCATCCTTAATACTCCTCAACCACCTCTGATTAATACAATACGGACAACGAATTGGTTGCTCGGTCTGCATCAACGTTGAATCATTTCTTTCCGATATAGCCGGTATTACAATTCCCTGAGCTGTGTGTAGTATGAAAGGTTGTTGAGGACTTGCACTACTGCCTGTTCGAGTTGGATTTGCATTTGGATTTGAATTTGGGGTTATGGGAGGATCGACTCTGTTTGTGTTTTGAGGTGTAGAGGTAGATGTTCCGTTATTCATGGATGTGTTTACGGGGTTGTTGGTTCCGTTTACGTGGTTGTTTGTTTCGGGGAATAGGACTTGGGTTGGTGGTGTGTTGTTGTTGCTTCCTTGTATACTACCTTGACCATTATTTCCATTGCTGCTTCCACTACCACTTCCACTTCCTGTACCACTTCCACCTCCACTTCCATTCCCTACCGTCCCTTCACTACCTGTTCCCCCTCCTTGTCCATTACCTCCCTCATCCCCACTTCCTCCTTTCTTCAAAATTTCCGTCTTCGCCCTTCTACACTGTTGTAAATGTACCTCTGCCCCAAATTCCCTCATCAAACAATCTCTAATCTCCACTGGTGTAGTTTCTTTCGTAATCGTCATTAATTTAGGTAAAATTCCCATCAAAAATGGTAATCGACTCGCACTATTCCTTTGAACTTTGGGTAAAACCGGTAAAACCTGTCCTTGTATTGGCATTCCACTATTACTCCCCCCATCAAGTTGATCAATAACTCTCGCTCCGGGTAGAATATGTCCACTTTCTCCTTCTCCATTTATAACCACCATTCCCGTCGACATCCCAATACCCACACCATCCAATCCTCCATTCCCATTCTGTCCTATCCCTACCGACATACCTCCCACATTTCCATCCCAACTTCCATTCCCCGATGGTAACCCCCCATTAACCTGTCCCCTAACCCCAACTCTAACCCCAGCACCCGGATGCCCAACACTAACCAAATCATCCAAACAAGTATGTCTCTCCCTCAAAACCGTAACCCTAGCCAATGGTTCCCTCCCACCTCTCCTCTCCCAATTACATCTCACCACAAACGGACATCCCGGATCCCTCTTACACCCAACCCTAACTCTCCCAGTATCACTTTTCAAAATCCTAGGTTCAAAATGTGCTTCGATAGCCCAAGCATGCAAGGCTTCTTTAAAGGCTTTTAGAGAAGGGAATTCTTGGCGTAATTGTAAGGGTGGCATTTGTGATGACAAGATAGTCCTTGAGCTTTAGAGCTCCGTGTTCAAGTAATTCTTAACTCATAAACTCTCGTCCCATCCAATTGTGTAATCTCGAACACTCATGCGCAAATCGAAACGGGATTGAAAGTGAATGAAGCGCGTACCCTACTATATAGTCGTAGTCGCAATAGCAAAGGGAAAAACCGCTTTCGACTCAATAATTATTCAACAGCAGATAAGAATCATAGAATCATTCCATCGAGTGCGATAAGATCGTCTGTCCAGTGTCTAGCTTGAGCCGTTGATGCGAAGTGGAGCTAGTAACCTGCGAGCCTGCGAGTCAGAGAGCCAGAGAGCACGTAAGCTAGAGAACCTGCGCCTGCAAGAGAATCGCAAATCTCCAATCTCTAACAAAAGCCAACGACTCCGTAAACAAATCAAGAATGATGAAGAAGCTTAGTAACTCAAAAGCACAAGAATTCCGAAGTTGTACAGCTCCTTCCTTATCAAACTCAGCTCAAACTCAACACACAGATGTAGCAAATAAAAGATCTTGACAAATGCGTTTAACCCTGTATAGTTATATAATCATGCAAGGAGATAGATACCTATTTATATAAATAAATACATCAACTCCTCATTCCTCATTCCTCAATACGATAAAGGATGAAGATGAGGATGTAGATGAAGATGAAAGTGAGGGGTGTCTTGGGATACGATGCGATGCGATGCGATGTGATGTGATATAATATGAGGTGGACTTGGACCATGGTGGTACGATACGATGGCGATCTAATGCATGTATAGGTACCTAGGTATCTGCATGTGTGATTTATTAGTTAAGCAAGCTATTAAAGGAATACCTAGAAAAGACGCCATGGGATTTGAGCAGGCAATTTCTCCCTTTTTAGCCATTTTAAATGACATTAACACTACATACACTACACATTATAAATTCACAAAACCCTCGATCATCAATCATTAATCACACTACATCACTACATCACTACATCACTACATCCTCAATCTCAATCTCAATCTCAATCTCAATCTCAGTCTCAGTCTCGATCAATCAATCATTCAAATTCACTACTCTCTATTTAAATGCTCGCTGCTCAAGTACCTATTCATTCACACAGGCTAAATAAAAACTCAGTCATCACCATCACCATCACCATCATCATCCTCTTCCATTTCCCTTCCCTTCCTTCCTTCACCACCCACTCACCACTCAACACAAAAGAAAGATAAAAAAATAACAATCAGTTGGATAACCTTCCTCCTACAAATGAAACCTCCATGGTATGTCCGTCACGCACTAAATATGCAAACCCAAAATCTCGACGAGTAAAAAAAATATCAAGGGGAATAAAGAAGAGGAAGCGCCATAATGATAACGCCTGATGCCTCCCAATATTCTCATCACCAACAGAAATGTTTTCGAAAGGAAAAGGAAAAGGTATTTATGAAAAATGTGTTGATCTGCAACAAAATGAGTGTGGTGTCGGCTGCTAAAGTTATACCCGCAGCTATTATCAACCCTCACCAAAAATTGTCTGTACATTCGAAGCAGATTAAGAAGGTATAAGTGCCAAAAAAGTAGCAATAGAACATATCGTTCAAAGAATGTGCGAGAGTAATTGACTCTCTATCCCCAGGTTCAATACCAGATACATGTCGATGTAAAAATCATCCCCGGCATAATTACTGATATTCGACATAGATAATGAGCTTATCGTTTCGTTGTAGAGCAATATCTAGATCATTGTCGCTCATTAAGTTTGGTTTTTCTCCGCTAGGTTCGTCCTTGTAGTATAACGCAATTTCATCCCCTTGTGGTATCTTCAAGCGATCACTAATTTTTTCGTAAAGTTGCCTATATTGAATGTCTGTAGGTACTCGAATAGCTATCAAATCATCACCGAAATAGATCTTGACCTTCATAGCAGATGGTTGTTGTCCATTAATATTGGCTCCTGGAGTTAATGAATTGGTGGATGGCTGAGAAAGAGATGACGTCTGACGTGTTGGACCTTGACCGTTCTTGACAGATAATGATGATTGACCTCTTTGATGTCCTGGAGCGGCCGTTAGGCCAGTAGGACCACCCATTGAATATGTTTCTCCATTTAAATCACCCCGCGAAGATTGCCTAGATGCTGCTTGTGTTCTTGAATCGCTTGATGACTGTTGTGAACCACCCGATAAACGATATTCTTCTTCCACCGCATTTGGATCGATTTCATAGTCCCCTTCTCGAGGTGCAAAAAACTGTTTGACAAGAGTGCATCTTGAGATGTATGCTGGCTGGGTCAAAAGGTTCTTGACATATGCGTCCAGATTATGTTGTCTTCCTTCGGTTATGGCATCTGTAACATAACTGACGGGTCCTGGCATGTATGGCAAACTTCTCTTCTGTGTACCAGTATTTCCTGCTTCTGCTGGAAACTCTGTCAAAAGAGCAATCTGAAAATCGTAAAAATCTTCGTAGTATCTCGAAAGTTCCCAATGTCTTCCATCTTCCAAAGCTGCTTCAATAACGAACCAATATTTATCTTCTGCGAAACAGTATCGTGGTATCCGAGCGGAAATTGGAGCGTATAATTGGGAAGTGGATTTAGATGGTATGGAATAGGGATTTTGCGGTACTTGTTGAACTGGTTGAACTGCTCTCGCTTGTTGTGATTGTCTTTGATCCTGATTTTGAATTAGTATAAGCTTCTTGACACCACACAAATCAATACATACATAGCCTTGACCATTCTGCTGACTCTGCCTTGCACTTTGTTGCAAACTCAATCGTTCCATATTTTGCTGCATTTGTTGTTGCTGCTGTTGTTGCTGTGAAGAACCATTGGGAACTTCAAATTTGCCCAAAGTAATACTACTGTTCTTGTAATCGGCGGCCATCCGCTTCCATTCTTCCACTTTTGGTACACCCGCTCTCTGAACTGCTTCTTGCGCGTTTGGCACAGCCTTTCCCGTACTCATATCACGTATCTCGATGAAATCCACCGGTATCAGTCCTGGACCTCCTAGTCGTCCAATTGGTTTCGCGACAAACCATTCTGGGTTCGATTGAGCAATCACGATGATTGCTTCACCAGCCTTTGCTTCCAATTCATCGGGTCGTTCCGCCGCAAAATCGTACATAACCACGCCGTAAACCATCGCGCCGGTGCCTTTCATTGTCTTTGAGAATCTTTGACCTCCACCGCTATCTGGTGGACTCGTCAATGTCCCTGAACCGGACATGTCGGAATAACCCGAATCATGATCCACCTTCATACTCATAGGCGACTTATCTGATATGGATTGCCCACTATCTCGCTCAGTCTTCCCTAACGCCTGAAAGTATGCAACAGGTACCAATCCTCTCGCATCTGGCACTGCCGGATTACATGCCTCATACCAATCCGTATCATTTTCTCGTCCTATGACGTGAAAGAAATCGCCCCTCGTAAAGCCCAATTCTTGATTCGAATGTGCCTCATAATCATACAATGCGCGAATAACCTAGAATGATTGCGATTTGTTAGAATGCGAATCAATGCAGTTGCGACTCAATTATACGAATTGCGACGTACCTTTTTCGGTGGGACAATTGCGACGGCAGATTTGGGCGTGAGGGAAACATGTTGAGCTTTCGAATCAGGCTTTTCACCTTTAATCGACCTACGAAGAGCCTGATAGACAAACATATTCAGTTAGCGATGACTCCTACTTGTTTTTCAAATGCTCAGACGAAACAAGAGACTGGTTGGTGACTGACCTTCATATTGACTGCTTTATCGTTATGTCGTGCTCCTCGAGATGTAAGGTAAAAAGGAAAGGCAATGAAAAGAAAAGAAATTCAGGCAATCCTCCAATTTTGATGGTTGTATGTCGGGGCACAAGATATGATTGTCGTTAAAATGATGTAGATAAAATAAATAAGTAAATAAACAAACAAATAAATAAATAAATAAATATGATCACTATCGATCGTTCTTGCTTCTTAACTTTCCTTCTTCCTTTTCTCAATGCAACGCTTCCAACTTTCTTTGAAGCGGCGATAAAAACCCCAAGCGCTACCTAGTACTCCGAGTCCACTCAGTACACTATGAAATAGCTAGCTTCCGAAGGACTGATAAGGTGGGGTGACTAAAAGATGTGAATCCTGTAATGTAGCGTGAAAGATTCTCGAACGATGGTTATAACTTTTAGAGTGTGGTGTAGGGGTGTAGTATAGTATACTGTGGTATGGTATGGTATGGTATGGTATGGTATAGATGTAGATACGGGAGGATAATAAATCCGTAGCTATTGTATCCCGTCTACTGTATGCGCGCGTGGTATATTTTGAGGTCCTAGGTAGGTGGTTGATGCGAAGCGTATGTGAGTAGAATGGGATGAAGATGGAGATGAAGATGAAGATCAAGATGAAGATCAAGATCAAGATCAAGATCAAGATAGATCAAGCTCTGCAATAAAGAAGGGAGGGGAAGAAAAGGTTAAGCTAGTTGCAAAACGAGATACTTTTCTTAAGAGGAGATGATTGTCGAGTTACCCCTCGAACGGCTTTTAAAAAGCAAGGTTGAGCCTCTGAGAATGAATGGGGATACAAACGAACAGGGCAGTGTAGCCTTCAGCGTTTTGGTAACAATGGGATTTCGAATACAAATAGCAATATGTAAATACTAGTATCTTGATATTAGGTATGTTGTGTAGAGGATATCTATTAGGTTTCTGCTTCATCAGTACCGGATTTCTGATTTTTAAAACAAACTGTTTATATGACAAACGAGTTTCTCAATGAAGCTTAAATCTGTGTCAAAATGTTGGAGGAAATACAGTTGGCATTAAAAATTGACCTCGTTATTGATCTGCTGCTGCCTTTTCTTTGTTGGATCAAAGAATCTCTATCTTTGGCTAGAGAGGGGCAAGGGATTACTTCCACAAAAGGATTGAGGATGCTTGGCTTGCAGTTGGGAAAGGAGCATGCATATGTTAGTGATAAAGCTCGATTGACAAGATCTATATTTGCTTGCATTTGTATAGATAGGGACTAGGTATTTATGCATCGACGTCTTCGAAGTACTCAGATTTATATTCATGTCAATGTACCATGCGTATTGATCAATCGATAGATATGAGAAGCGACCCAATGCTCTAGATAATGATAATGATAATGACAATGACAATGACATGTTCTCCAGTTTCATCATCGTGTCTCCTATAAGGATACACCCAGTACCAAGATCCCTCTTTTAAATTACTCAATGCTTCTAGACTATCACGATTCTATACATGTTCATTTGGTGTTTATCGAAAGATTCTCCCGATGATATCCACAATTACCGTTAGTAGAGGTTTGATACACATGGCACTAGGAACATTTATTTTACCTAGATGCCGCTTTTCATTGACTAAACGACTTTAGAACAAGTATTTTGAATATGAAGAAGAAGAAGTAGCTTTGACATCTTTTAGCTGTCTAGGTAAGTTTTATCTCAGATAGTAAAAACATCAGCGTTAGAGAATCAAGTTCTCCCATCAATAAATACTGAACAAGATCCACTTTCAATCATGGGAAAAATGTATTAGTGCAGTGAGTTTAACGGAGAAAAGCACAAAAAGCAGCGAGACATTAAAAGCAAATGTTCCAAACTGTCATGCAAACCGCTGAACCTTACACACCTTGTCTGTCCTTCTTATCGATATCGATAACCAAACTCTCAAGGTTGACACGGACGGACAATTGCATTTGGAGTACTGAGAACGAAAACTGATCATGGATGAAATTAAATAAAACTCCACGTTTTGATCGTGCATTTTCGGGTGGTATCAGAAATATCCAAACTGCCCATCTGATCATCCTTAGGAATGAAATTTCCCGATTCGTTGGTGCAAACATAATTACATACATAATTATATACAATATCAGGTATCTACAGCCTCACCAGAGATGTGTACCCAAAATCCGAATCCTGCATCTAGACATGTCTATTGGTTCCAACCATGAAAAGCCCAATTTCCTGATCGAGTTGAAAGACTTATACGACGAACCAATTAGACGTTGCGCATAAAGAGCGTAAGGGAACAGTTGAATCGTTCGTTTATTTACATTGATGATCCCGAGATCAAAAACGTGAAAGTATAATCAACTTTCTACCTTGTAACCTCGATAGTAATATCCACCGCGTCGTCGTCATTGTTCTTATTATTATTTATCATCATTAGTAATTCACAAGGCAAGATCTGTGTACATCATGATTAATGATCCAATGCTTGTTAATATACAGCCCGAATATTCATTTATATCATACTACATCCAAGTAAATGCTTCATCCCTTCTCACTACATACACTGTACATACACCGATCCATTCAAGGTTAACTAACCATGGGTATTTCCAGCTACTGCGAAGATGTGCACACACCAACCAGAAAAGTATTCGGGACCTGCAGCATGATCGATTCCTTCAAAAAGCAGTGTCTTAAACTTCTCATTCATCATCCAATTATAGTCATTATCCCCCACCATCAACACCTCAACGGCGGCACGCTGATGCTGAGTGGAAACTAGATTCTTCGATAGTCTTGATAGCCTTGGTAGCCCTGAGGAGCCCCATCAATTCAGGGCTGAGCGGCATATTATTTGACGATCTTTTTATTATTCTGCGTGGCAATTCGGCCACCTATCAATCTTTATTTTCATGTCTGCTAGAACTTAGAATGGACTGGCCTCTGAAGATTTGATGGAGTATGGATGTATCGTGCACAAAGCCATGGTAGGAGTATGGGTAGATAGATAGATAGAGAGATAGATAGATAGATGGATGGTAGCAAAGTAACACAATTGCGTCCCTACCTGCAAGTACGATTCAATTACGATTCAATTACATTTCTAATGCATACATAGTACCTACATAGTACCTACATAGTACCCTTATATACATTTCATCTCTTCTTTTTCATAAACACATACCGGTCGACGCCCTTTCAATCCCTCTCGATATTATCATCTAGTATAACATCGATAAAATCCCATTCCCTGTTTTGAATTAATTAATTCTAAATTATTTCTGACACCTCCCTCCAACAATAAAAACGTAAAGCCACCTCCTGTACCGTGCCTAAACATACATGCTGTCTCGTAGGTATTTATGTACGCAAGTTACATGTAGCCGTGGCTTACTTTTGGAGGAATATACTCGTACATACTTAAATGCCAATAAAAGATCCAAGGCAAAAATACTTATTTGCATGAGCATAATAGCATATGCACATCCCCCCCCCATCCCATCCCATCACGGAATACAACATCCGAATCCTCCGAACCAGCCTCTCTACCTACCTACCTACCTACCTACCTACATAAATCCATAAATCCATAAACCCTTAACTCTTCGATTAAACAAATACAAATATACAAAGTCGTTCGTCTTGTGGGGTCGGAAAGGGTTGAAAAACTCTGAAACGAAACACATCCGAGTCCAAACATCGAAACATCCTACTCATAGGATCCTGCGATATGATGTAACCGAGTACGCTTGTAAGACAGATTTACATGGTGAAGATATCGTGCTATCTAGCCCTTTTTATTATTAATTTTTATGTCGGTCAGATCTAGAGCTCCCTTCCGCATCCTTCATCCTTCTCGTGCGACTTTAATTATTGCTGAATACTTAGGTACGGTTCTTTAATGGATATTGACTTTGTGTGAAGAAGAAGTGTTTTGTTTTGTGATTATTTGGAGCGTCTCTTGTTTTGTTGTCGATATTATCTAGAGGACTTGTTAATTATGGTGTGGTGCTCGTTGTATGGTTTATATGACTTGACTTGACTTGACTTGACGGGTAATTACAGGATAGTGAGAAATATATAATACGGTAGGAAGAAGTCTTCTATTCTACCAATATCACATTATATAACATACCCACTAACCCAATACCCACAAAACCCAATAATCAAAAACACTGCATATATTAACCATCATTCCCCGTGAATTCCACATTTCCCTAGTGATCCCAAGACTTCCGTAATCTCTTCACATCTGAATCTGAATACAAACACACTGATGTCTAAAATGACGTAATTACCTCGTATATATGTAGACTGATAATCAATTTAATGAACTAGTTATAGTATCTATATATTAAACTAAATATCTTTATATCTCTACAAGTCCAGACCATATTAATTTTTATTTTCTTTTACTTTTTATATATAATATAATAGGTTTAATTTACTGAAAATTTGATATTAGTATTCGTATTATACACTGGTGCTTAGTGGGTAATTAGCTGCTGTTCATGATCAGTGTTAATTATTTGTTAATGGTTGATTCATCTCAATACAACTTATATAGTATAATACATAGCCTTGCTCTATACCTACCAACCTACCAACCTACCAACCTACCAACCTACCAACCTACCAACCTACCAGCCTACCAACCTACCAGCCCACCATCTTAACAATCCATCCATCATTTGAGTCATCTCTTACTTCACTTCACCCTGAACCTCCTATCTACAAACATACATATACAATTCCTCATCCTTCAACCCTCTTCATCATTCCCTCACCCCTCAATCCCCACCAAAGTTGCCTTACCATTTCAACCTTCTGCCCAACCAACAATCTCAACTCTCACCTATACTCTTCTCCACAACCATACCCAAACTCAAACCACGATATAGAATACACCATATCCAGATTCACTCCATTCCCCATTCTCCCCTATTCCCTATACGCCAACCAAACCCACTCATTGCATACCAAAGCACATACGTACTCCATATCCAAACACAATCCCCAAACTTCAACTCAACTTTGTACTCCACACTGCATACTCCACCACAACTCATTCCCCATTACCCAACAAATTCCACCATCTACATCACACAAACACGACACATACTTAAGCGCAAGCACAAGCACAAGCACAAGCACAAGCACTTACATCACCCTCCGCGCGGCAAACTCAATACCCCGACCAACTCCACATTCAAGTCCAGCCTGTCTGTACCCAAGCTCAAGCTCAAGCACACACCCTACCCCAACTCCACACTTCAAGCACAACGCAACATCCAAACTCAAGATCAAGCTCAGTGCCCCAAACTCAATGTACAACATCCAACTCCGGATCCACACCGCAATACACAAATCCACACTTCGGTTTCTATTCATAGTTCTCTTAGTCTTAGCCTTAATCTTAGTCTTGGCCCATGCACATGACGGACTGATTGATTTGAGGTAGAATGAGTAGAGATAAAAAGTAAAAGTATCTACGAGTAAAGCAGCTCTGCTTTTATATTCAAGGTTTGAGGGAGGGTTTTGGGTCCTGAGTTATTGATGTGAACTTTCCAGGTACTATATATAGGTATGTATATGTCATATTCATTCGACGAAAAAATCTCAATGGAACTTTTAATTAGTTTTATTTAATTTTCATGAAAATTTGTATCCAGCTATTTCGCAAACTTTTGTCAGTACTACTTGATGTAAACCCTCGTCTCTAGTAGAATATATACAGATCTACGAGGGTTTTAAAAGCCAACAAGATACATGAAAGGCGGATACCGCCAATTGATGCACACTTAATTGTCCATCACGTCATCCAGTAATGTATCAGATGCTCCCTCCCACTGGCACCATGCAAGAACCCTCGAACTCTTGACCCAACTGTGCTTACCATGAATGGCTAGCACTCACTCCTCTACGCCCATGCACCAAAACCACAACTCCACCTAGATATTCACCATGCATTAAAGAAAAAGGAAATTGTAACTGTGCAAAGGATTTATGTCGTTCGAAATCGGAGAATGGGAAAAAAGAAAACTCAGGTCTGCTCTTGATCGACTCGAAGATTCGTTCTGTGAAAGAGTAGATGAAAACGGAACGAGCAGTCATCTAGACCCGCACATTGTTTCATGAGCGAAGAAGGCCAACCAGAAGAATCAAATCATATAGGTTTGAGCTGAGACTGCCTTGACATAACCAGGGAGAAAGAAAATGACGAAAAAGACGAAGAGATGGCAGAATATGACGCAAGTCGAAAGGTATAAAAGTGTTAAATCTGGCCCTTGATATCAATCGCGCGGAAGGCTTCAGCTTTTGCGTTCTCAAAAATCTGGCCGGCTTGGCCAGAAAGGAATCGAAGGTCGCCATCTTTCTCCACTAATAAAGCCTGTCCATTGTGGTCACAGATGAATTGAGCAGCATCGCCATCGGACTCGAATCCTAGTTCTTCCGTGACGAACCTTAATTTGACCTCAGGTTTGTAACTAAAATGTGTTAGTTAATCTTACGAGCAATTTAGATGGGTTAACTTACGTTCTGCAAATTTTTGACAGAGCAGCTAGGCGTTCTCGGGCGACAAACATATCCATAAGATAAGCTCCCATGTTCGGGGTATCGAGGTAAAGTCTAAAGAATTTGTGATAGTTTCCTAATGCTAATGCCGAACGTACACTCAGGGCGTGTCTTACTGCTTCCGATTCTTTCTCTACTGTAGTTAGATCCGCAATGACATCATTTAGTGCAGTGCGGTTAGCTGTGTGAATGAAATACAAGATACGATATGCCTTGAACTCCACTGGGTTCCCTCCAATCTTCTGGGCATAAAGAGCCCGTAATTGGGTCTGACATTGATTATACTCACCGAGATCCCCCTTTTCTAGTGCGATACGTGCGTGGATTTCGTAGACAGTGACAGTAAACTCATTTTTAATGCGCTGAACCGTAAGGTCCTGACGCATAGATTTGAACTGATCGCAGATGTAAGAATAGTTCCCTTCCTTTTTCCACTTCTTTTTCAAAAGATCTAGTGTCTCCCTTAATATGTACTCAGGGCGAACCTGTGAAGCCACGGGTGCAGTAGTCAAACGGAAATATTCCTTCTCTAACGATGTATTCGTACCAATCAAAGGACCCATCATAGGCTCGGGTGTCGGCGTCTTAGATTTGTGGGTAGATTTATAGCCACCGTCAAATCGCTTTTGTCGCTTCTCAAGGTTTTTCTGAAACTTACTTGTACCTTTATAAGAGAGCTCGTCCTGGAACGGTTGTTGTCGTTTATCGAAACGTTGTTTGGAAGGTGTTACATTGGTACGGTCATCATTTCCAGTGCGATTATTAGCACGCCACGGCGGCGTTGCGGTGAGATTCTCATCACTGCTTCCTTCTATAGACTTTCTCTTCTTTCCCGAATTCGTAAAGCCGGTTGAAGCTAGTTGAAAGTTTAGAGATTCCTGCTGCCATGCCGCTGCTGCCTTTGATCGCTCGTTTTGAATTAACTGTTGAGGAAGTGGATAATTATCCCAATCACGACTGTAAAGTGTATCGGTATCGGATGCCTCGGTGATGGTCTTTTTTAACATGTTTTCCATATCTGTGCGCTCAATGCCGTCGATGGCATGTACGGCATCAAATGAACGTTGAACATAGCTACGAACGGACTGTGGCCAGTCCCTCTTCTTTTGGACAGGAGGAGGTATTGAGTGAGGGGGTGGTTGCTGGGGAATTACTGCTGGGTTATAAATTATGGGTGGGGCTTGATTAAATGATTGTCGGACTTGCACTGGATGATAAGCTGGGGCAACTATCGGTGGAACTGTAATATTTGTTAGAAAACTGTGATAGATTACTGGAATAAAAAGTATTGCTGGTGCCGGATTCTCACCTTGCTGATAGCCATACGAGCCTGTCGTACCTGGAGGCGGTGGAATATTCGAGCTCCACGGTGAAGCCATCGTATTGTACATATAGAACTTATTTTAAAGTGTTCTTAGATATTAGTGATGCGAACAAAGAACGCGAAAAGGTTTTCTGGTAAGAGAATTTGTTGAGGAGATGGGATGTAGAAAGGGTATGATTTTGTAGTTGTCGACGTTGAAGTGGTGGAAGTGGTGGGTGGAGGAAGTGGAAGAATGTTTTGTAAGAATGGCTGTTTGGCTGGTTCAATTAACCGAATGAGTTGTCGTATAATTGATTGGTCAGGAGGTGATAAACTTATTATGTACGGAGTACGGTAGTCTAAATGTCTAAATCCGATTACATGATTTTCTTTTACCTGCTTATGTAAGATTTTCATTACTTGTTACTGCATCACGATAAGGGAATGATAAGTGAATATGCAGTAATCCAAAGTATCTTGACAACTTTCCAAAGTCCTTGTAGATGCTACAACCTTTTGTTCTTGTTGTTTCCAGCAGAGGTGGACAATACTGTCCTTATACAAACACCTGAAAAACTGTTAGTATATGGCTTGTCTGGACGAATGTTTTTAAAACATTTAGACCTCACTACTGCTTTGAGGCCATTCTATTTGCCAGACGAGGTCAACCTCTTTGTCCAAGACAATATTGGACTTTATGAAGGGTGAGTGTTCGCTCAATCAATAAGAAGAAAGAAAACTTGCTTACCCGAACTGTAAATAGGAAATATAAAATCCCAGATCATCAAAATGGCCAGGTCTACTTGACATCTCATAGAATTTGTTATGTAGATAATGATGACCCTAGAAGGAATTCCGCGGCAATAGATCTCAAGGATGTTGATCGCGTTGAATTTTATGTAAGAACTACTAGCCATACCCTCGGGCCTATGTATCTTTAACATTGTTATAGGCTGGTTTTTTGAAATCATCTGCGAAGATTACTCTTGTTCCGAAGCCTTCGAAGCGGTCCTCAGTTCAGAATCGAGCTTTAACAAGCCTGCATTCTCCTTCCAGAAGTGCCACATCATCCCCATTATCTCGAACTGATAGTCCATTTCATCTGCCAACGCCCGAACCCACACCTGCGAGTAGTGCCACATGGATTTGTCCTATCTGCTCTTTCTCGAATCCTGTGCCATCCAATTTTGATCCAGCCACATCTAATACAAATAATCCTTTGCCTCCGTGCTTAGCATGTGGTATTAAGCCTCCATTCTCTCATGTTCTCAAGGCAGCTATATCCGGTGCAAGCAATCGACCAGCTCCAGCGTCCACAACACCAATAAAGACACCAGTGCCAGTGAGAGGTCGTCCGGATATTCGCCCGCAATCGGATCTATTGGATTCACCTTTGAATCATTTCGGAGCTGATCAGAGTGGATCCTCCTCAGCTCAAAGTAGTGAAGCACCTGTTGCTTGTCCCAGATGCACTTTTTTGAACCATTCTTCACTTATGGCCTGCGAACTTTGTGGAGCACCATTACTGTCCCATGATCTCTCAACCGATGTACATCCGTCACAGCAACGTAGAATCTCCCCCGGCCCCACGCTCAATAATCTACCAGCTCCTGGAACCGAAGCCAATGAAAGCATCAAACTATCATTTCGGGGTGGTGGCGAAAAGGTATTTCTTGAGCGTCTCAAAGCATGTAGGATACAGCGTAAATGGGTTCTTCAAAATGCCCCTCCTTTCCCTAAACCCAATCGCCATGCAAGTACAGATAGTGGGCCAGGCTCCGGTACTTCTACAGGAGTTGGCGAGCGGGTAAAAACAGTTGGAATAGCAGGTCTAGAGCAGAGACGTCTTGAAGTACGTAAGAATAATGAATTTGTCATAGGAAATGCTTTTGAGGATCTTGATGCATTGATGTCCTCGGCTAAAGATATCATCGCCCTTGCAGAATCATTGGCGAGCAGTAATGGTGCGAATGGAAATACTGAGTCTAATGCCGTAGCAAATGCTCTTGGTTTGGTCACGACAAAAGAGATGCTTGGTGGTGGAAGCAATGCCGAGTCACTATATATCTCGGAGCTGTCAAGGAACCTTGCAGAATTCCTCATGGATGACGCCAGAGGAGTATTGCGCAAGGCTGGTGGTATAATTAGTCTGGTCGATCTATGGGCTACTTTCAATCGTGCTCGGGGTGGTGTTGAACTTGTTAGCCCGTTGGACTTTGAAAAAGCCGCAAGATTATGGGAGAAGCTAAAGCTTCCAGTACGATTAAGGCAATTTCGAAGTGGGGTGCTAGTGGTTCAAGGCAGCGATAGAACAGATGAAAAGACTATCAAGACTTTACTAGCATGGTTAAGGGATCTGCATGTGTTCCCGCCAGAGAAAGAAGTACCTTGGGATTGGCAAGAATTTGGACAGGGCGTCACGTCGCAAGATACAGCAGAACGCTTTGGGTGGAGCATTGGGGTTGCAGAAGAAGAGCTTGAAATGGCTGAGGAAAGAGGAGCTCTATGTAGGGAAGTGAATATAGAGGGTGTGAAGTTTTGGGAGAACTGGATTGACTCAACCCATTCTCCAGCACCAAACTTACAGCTTGCTGATGTGGGAAACCTTGCTGGCAGCTATGTATGAATAAATGAATCACATCTTTGCTGAAGTGCAAATGTTATTAAATTCAGTCATGAGTTACTTTCGCATATTTCCCTGATTCACAAGGAGATTCCGAAACCTAACTAAATAAAAACTCTCTTCCTCAACTGCTATAGTTAAAATATCCGCCGGATATTTATTTTCTCTCAATAGAAGCAAAAAACAGACCTTGTACCAAACAATACTATGAATCCTCCTAAAGCTATGCCAGCGCCGGTACCTAGCACGCTCTAGATATATACCAACTTAATAACCAACAACTCTAAGATCGTAAGTCTCTAGCTGAATCTATTACTCCATTCCTGACAGAATTCTAGGTTCAATGTGGCTCTTCCAATAGTTCTTCTACATCTACTTGTAGCTCTTGCCATCAACAGAATGGTCCACACTGCATCGTTTGGGTGAACCAGTGTGAGATAAGAGTTGGTCAAGATAAAGATGCTTCGGTATAGATACAGCGATTCGAAATTCGGGGACTTCAGAATCGCCTCTACGAGAAGAATACTGCAGACGATCAGATCGGCGAGTGAATGGTTGGGGATCAAACGACAAGAATAGCTTCCGATCATTGAGTGATGCAGGGTTTACGGACCAAAAACTGGCTGTTGATATTTGTACGCTGACATTGTGAGTTCTAGAGAGGGTCAGCGGGGAGTGAGGAGTGAGGAGTGATAGGCGAGGTTGATTATAGGAGGTACGGTGGATGGGGCAATAGTAATATTATATCACCGCAGCTGTTGAATACCATATATTCACGGTAGTTTACCTTGTTGTCTTGTTATTCTCTTTTTTTGCGCCATATTCCCTATATCACAATACGCTACTACGTATGCACAGTCTTTGAGTTCACGCGCTGTCGAGTTGATATGGCCAGTACAGCCATCATGTTTTGCCACGGTTTGATCTTTGCGTTTAGAGTAGTCAGTGTTTGGGATTTGTTCTTAGATGGAAACCTCCATATAACATCTCCCATGTATCAAGACATAAATAGCGGAAAGCTACCATCATCGTCCAGGTACTAGCATATCATATAAATAGCTCCTTTCCACAATACATACATCCATACAAGCAAAATGGACACAGGAATGATCATGCTACTCATGTCCGGCTTGCCCATGGCACCAGCCCCAGATACCTTTGCACGAACACCAACCTATGAATTCGCATGCAAACCCCAATTTCGACCCGTAGCTCGCCGAAAATTCGAAGGTCCTTTTCACAGAGGAGCAAACTTGATGAGTTGGGAAAACGAAAAAATATCTAATAGAGCCATGGAAAAGATGACAGGACTCAATTGTCGTCGTGGCTTAGGTATGCAAAAGCAAAATGGTAATTCGAGTTTGAGTTTGACTACGAGTTATGGATTTGGGTTTTATTGGACGTGTTGTAATCGTATTTGTGCAAAGTCGAAGGTTATAGGACGTTTGGGGGGTTTGATGGAAATTTCTGTTAAGGGTCCGGTGAGTTTTCTTTCTTTGATGTTGAGATTGATGGATTTTATGGTAGATTTTGCTGCTGCTGATGCTAATTGATCGTATAGTGTAAGAGGAAGAACTCGCTTGCGGAGGATACATGTGGAGAGTGTGGGCATGATGTTTGTGGTTATTGTGAAAAGGTTGCTGAGTGTTCAGGGACAGCTGCGACTGGAAAGTCAAGTAGAAATGTAGGTCATAAAATTTGCTGCAATTTTATTGGGGAGTGTATACAGGGGAAAATAGTAGCCGGGGGAAAGGAAATTGGTGGAATATAGCCAGCCTTTAGCAAGGAGGCACAGCAAATGAAGAAACCGTGACACAAATGTAATCTTATGTGCTCAGATGGGATTATCTGCAACATGAACAGTCATCCTCTAGGTCCCTGGGCCCCAAAAAGTTATTCTAAGATATGACTGCATCCTCAATTCCTGTTCTAACTGTACTAAATGTGGATAAGAAGCCAAGAGGTATTCTGCGAGATCCCTATCCAACCACAGCTGCTGCCATAAATCGAAAATTTGGAAATGGATATGTGAACATGTAGCCTTAAAAGCAAGCAATATTGTGAGTAAATCTGCACAAAATAGCTTCCGGAGAACCTGCACCAACGGAAAATAATTTTTGTACAGCTGGCGATGCTCATTGTATTTTGAATTCGATGAATGCATGTTTTTGATTGATTAAACTCGAAGTCCGGTAGCTCATAAGTTAGCCCATTCTGACTCGAATAGAACTTCATTGCCAGATGACTATGTACTGAGGATAGACATTTGTTTGAATCATCAGGGTGAATAAAATCTAAACTTAGTTCAGCCATTTGTGAATCCGTAAAATCAAAACATTCATATCTTATAGCAAGCGAAAAAGGACCAAGTTGCTTATAACCTTTCCCTCCAAAAACAAAACCAAACTTAAAGCGAACCAAAACCATTACCCAAACTAAGATCAGGATTACATCCAAACCCAGAACCTACTTCAAAAACTATCCTCAAATCAACCATGCGCGTTCGACAAGAATTCGAAGGAGAACGAAAATTTTTAGGAGGATGCATTCACACTGTGGGTACTTACCGTGTTATTAATATGATATAATACTAACGCTCAGTAGCTAGGGAGATGAAGCTCACGATCCATTCTCTGTAAATAGTTGCTTCATCTGCTGTAGACCACTGCAACATCCCTCTACGGCAAATTACCAAACCAGAATTGAGCGGGAAGAACAAATGTCCCGCAAAGAATCTGTACTTAAGGTTCTGGATCAACTGCATCTCAAAGAAGCTGGCCTTAGAAAACTGAAGGAGAACCTTGAAAAAGAAAGGCGCAAGTTGTCTGAAGACGAGGCCCGGTTGAACGTGAAAGAGAGTGAGCTTTCTGCGTGGGAAAACTGGCTAGACCCTCATTGTCGACATGTGTTTGATAGTACTTCGACCTTTTCTCAGAACCCTCATTCCCATAGGAGGGCGCCAAACTATGGCGGGGGATCCCACTCTGACGGTCACAAATCACCTCAATTGTTTGCGAGACCTCGTTTCAACAGTTTCAAGCCTCCTCAATTGGTTTTCAGACACCGCCCCGACAGTCAAAATTCGACTCGACGAGTCTTACGTGCGACACTTCCAGAGCAACGGCCAAGTCATCACAGACAGTATGATGGGGATGATGCTCCACGCCACGATGGCTTTCATCATAGTCAACCAGGCCATAAAACACCAGAACATCACACCAATATGTGAATGGTACTGCTCTCATCCTTAATGTCGGGTTAGGAGTCGTGACATGCAGAAGGGGGGGGAGGGGTTGGAAGGCGGGAGAGAACTCAGGAGGATATAGCAAGGAGGACAGGAACGATAAGAATGATAGGAGATATTTGAGTTTTGTAACATCGAGATTAAACAATCAGCGAGACTTTCCAAACTTTTATAATGGTAATATATGAAAGTGACTGTGGAGAGAACCAAATTTGATACCTTCATGATTGGGTTGGACTTTGTCGACATAACTTCTGCTGAAAAACTGTAATTGTAAGCTGCATTAGATAAATTCTTGCTACGCGGACCTTATAGGCAGAACGATCACTGGTGTTTGCAGGGTAAAATGTGAACGGAAGTAATATAGAATGGTGAAAGATTGGACAACTAGAAGAAACTGCTCCATTAAATCGATATTGAGGATTCTGATTTCTGAGTTGATATCTCAGTCCCTTGCTCCTTCCCAAGGTTTAACTTAAACTGAATTCTGAACTAAACTTTCAGACCATCAAAGCTACACGGAAGAAGGTAAATCTATGGACCAATATCCATGGATATGTTGCACCTAAACGATTCTCAATGTTAATGTAACTCAATAACTGACGCAGATAACCTCTTGCAGCATCAAATATGCTCTATATGACTATTAAAACACACAGATTCTGATGAGACCTGATTTAGAATGGATTATATGGGGGAAATAGACTGTGCTCACCAATTTGGGAAAGTTTCAAAATTAGAGCAGCGTTAAATCTAGTGACAAAAAGCCTAATAGAGAAGCTTAATGGCAGAGGATTGTACAAGACATTTGGTAACGTTTTTATAATAGACTTAAAATCTTCATCCTGGAGACTTAGACCTCCCGGATACTAGTTCTTAACTGGAACGAAGATTGTGAACTATTAATATAGACTAGATGGTTGAGATTCCAATGAATCTAGATGTGATTGATACTTTGTTTAAAAGACCATCAAAAAGGCCGGGGAAAATGGTCTTGGCTGATAGTACTTTTGTAGCTTAGCTAAAAGAATTTTCAGGGTTTTGTAGTTCAAGATAATCATCTATGACCTAGTAACCAAAGATAACTGAAGACAATTGAAGAGAAACTTGATTTCTTGATATTAAAAATGATATAAAGCAATTACACAAGTAAAATATAGCTAATAATTGATGATTGTATTGAATGATAAATATAGCTTATAACAAAAAAAGGATGAAAGAAATTTATTAGATGTATAAAAACAAAGACAAAGACAAAGATAAACAATTCAATTCTGAGATGCGATCTTGTTCATCTATTTGTGAAAATCATATTGTGATATCCGTCGCACCATGAATAAGCAGGTGGCTGCATCCACAAAGACCATTATGTTAGTTAGCCTTTGCTCAAATCTCGTTCGAACAAATTCAAACCAAATGTCTTCAAATGTTTATCTGTCGATCTGCTAAAATGAGCTTGAATGTATTAATATTTGACTTTTTTTTAAGTAGCTTTTTGTCATGTAAAGTGCAAGAAGGATTTGTGGCGATCTTTATTACTTGGGTTGATAGGATTAAGAGTCGAATTTACTTCACTTGAATCATACACATTGGGCGAGGAAAAGTTCTTTTTTTGGTTGCTTGTTTGATATGAAAGAGCTAACAAGTAGTACGAAAACGATGGGGGACGCTTTACTTACTAGTGGAATTGCTGAAATTCGGTCAAAACTGGAAATCAACTATCATCACCAAGGTCCCAATACTCTCCAATTTGACAGTCCTCATCCTCTTCGGGGCAGTTGAGGACAAAGTGCTTGTAGTAGTATTGAATATCTTTGACATCCCGAGCCCGCTTTTGTTCCCTCTTCTGGCTTGTACTGCAGTCCTCGCATGGTCTTGCAATTTTGGTACCAGGACGAATCACAACTTTGGGGACTTTGAATGCAGAGCCTGCCCTCACGGATGCATATTCATCGTGGGCGCTCTCCACTTTGAACATCCGTAGAATCCATTCCTTCCACAACTCTCGTTCCTCTGGCGAATCAAGCTTGTGGGGAAGTTTGCAGTCAAAGTCTTGAATAATCAACTCGTTGAGGTCTTGATAGATGAACCCAATGAAAATCATGTAGGGCCTTCTCAAGCCGTCCCTCTCAAAACGGTCATCTTTAAAGTAGCGACGGAGAAGTGATCGTGGTGTTATTTGAACTCTCTTGACAATGGAAGGATGGATGATCAATGGCTGGTAGGTGGGAAAAAGGTCATTGCGCCAGGGTTCCCAGTCCAAAGGCAAGGGTGTATTGTGAAAAACCTGCCGTGCTACCGGGTGCAAGTCATAGTCTTCTCCAACGTCGACACATGTGAGACTCTCGAAGCCGATAATGTCCTGGTCTGGATTGAAAGGTACGGATGGTGGCAAGGGATGCGAGGAGTCTTCCTCGCAAAGGAGTTTGAAGTTGACGATTGCTTGGTTTAGGCTGAAAGGATTAGATTGTAGTAAAGAACGAATGGCCTCAATTGGCATTTGCGGCCACACTTCGCAAAGCATGCGAGTCTCGGGTATAGCTGCAATGTCCTCATAATACCTAGCGACTTCATCTCTACTCTCCGAGCAAGCCCAAAAAGAAGCAGGCATGCTACTGTATGGTACAATGTTAATAGGAAAGAGACTTCTTACCGACTTTTTCCAATATCGTCCATGTCCTTCACCGAAATGTCTGCAATACTTCTCTTCAATCAACCGTGACTCTACAGTGAATGCCCAGATCTTCCGTCTAAGCTCCAGTGGGAGTTTAGGGAAAAGAGTGAATTCTGCAAAGCGTTGATCTTGGATTGATGATGGAAGAGCTTGAGACTGCTGAGATTTGGAATCTGCAGACTTTTCTTCAACATCCAAGTTGATATTTGTCAACTCTTGCCATGTGTCTTGAAATAGCTGACGACTCCTATATTTCCTAGGTTCGCCTGTGAATTTGGTAGTGGTTTTGACCTGAAACTCCTCTGCTAAGTTTGCCAAATCTTCAAAGGTATCCATCTTGGGTGCTGGTTCTGGTTGTGTTGAGTGAAATTTGCAATAATACGAGTTTATGTGTGATGCTCGTCCTTGTTGCTGAGTGAGTTTTTGACGATTTTGTAGATGATGCACAATTGTGTGGTTATGATCTGAGTGGGAAGAGAATTGTTCTTATATAATGAAGAAAATGTATGTTTCATCATTGTTTTTTAAGTGATTTAACTCTGTTTTTGATTTTATTTTGTTGCCAAAATAAGAGAGTGAACTATTGACTCCAAGAATGACTTATACGGTGCGGTGATCTTTTATGGTCTGTTCTATCTTCAAGAGGTCAAATATACTAAGTAAAACTAAGCGAAAGAAAAGATGTGACAAAGACAAATTAAAAAAGGAGAACAATAGGGAGAAATGAAAGGAGTTAAATGTCTTCACAGTGCAAAATTCTGGGATTTGATTACTAAAAATGGAATTCAACGTATAAAAGCAGTGATGAAATACTTCAAAAAGATCTTTGGATTATGAATTTTAAGAATTGATTCGGTGGTAGGATAAATGTTCGAGCGTTGTGAGCTACAAGACGATTAATGATTAGAATGAGGTCTTATTATTTAAAGAATATATCTCAACTTTAATTTTTTGAAATACGATGTATAGTGGTGAAGCCAATATATGAAAAATGAAAAGCGGATGTGCGAATTTTAGGCTATATATAAGTATATGATATATCTGAGATGTATCGCGGATTCTCTTAGAGATCTTCTGTCTGCTTTGGTGCATCCAGGGTGTCCAATGAATGGTCTGGACTGGAGATTGGGATTAAACTTTCAATGATCAGAAATTCATTGAATGTTTGAATATAATTTAATGTTTTAAATAGTTTGAATATCGTAAGGAATCCAAAAGCTTCCCATCATTGGACTAAAGTCTGGAATATTGGATAACGACGTAATTAATTTGTTTTACTTACATAAACCTTTCATCGATAAATCTTTTTGAGGGGCTAGAGGCGGTGTAGGGAGAAACTAGAAAGAGCTATAACGGGGCAATGTTAGGGCACAATATGCCAGGCGCGACTCTAGCGGAAATATATATAGTCAACTCGCAAGATAGATAAATCAATCTTGTTCACACCTACAACCAAAACCTTTCAACGAGAGAATGAAGCAATTAAAGGAAATTCACGAAAGAAGCTTGGACAATAGGTAAGGCAAGATGAAGTTCACAGGAAATTTACCAAAAGAATTTGGGTGAACGGTTGGAATCTTATTGGGCGTAATAAATCTAGGGCTAAGTAGTATACAAAACATTGCTTTAATTACGGATAATGTATGGCTGAGAGATACACAACATGTAAGAAATGTGTTGAGTGGGATAAGCCATCTCTGGACAAGTCTTGGTTCGAGATATATAGAATTTTTTAGTCAAAAGCAGAAGGGCAAGCAGAAAGCGAAGTGTCTAATACAGCCACCGCCTCCAAAACCGTTGCTAGACCATTTAATGGGCATTTCCTTGGATTTAAAGCTTCCCGTTACACTTATCACTTGGGACACATCTGCATAAGCGATAATTAAGAAATGAATTTCGTCATACAGATGTCGCCACAATAGCAAAAGAACAAAACTGGATATGCTTGCCACGAAGAACCCAGACAGACTGAAATAACGTAGAATATTTGCTCCAAGTTGATCATAACGATTGGGCTTCTCTCAAATCAATGATTAAGCAATGCCAGAAAAAAATACTTTGCCAAACTAGATCTCTGGAGGAGGGATAAGTACTAGTGGCTTTGAGCTTGTCGGTTATACCGAGATTGATGATGCGAAAATAGCAAAGCTGCAGGCTAGCACCAAAGAGGCATCCAGGGAAGGAAAGTGGCGGATTTGAATAGAAACTCTAAACGTGTAAACAAGCAAGCCTCTAGGAAATGCGAGCCTCAAGGAACAGTGACGGAACAGGACTTAGAAGCCAGGATTCAGAGATTAAAGGAATTTAGACTGATTCTGAATTTGGGGGAGTGCTGCTAGATGAATTTGTCTAGTCTTGCCGGTGGCTGGTTGGTAGTACTTTGGGATGGGAAGTTTTTGTATGGAAATAACTCATCGTGGTGTAAGTTTTTCCTGTTCGTGGAACTAAAATAAAGGATCACTCTCTCAGTAATAAGACATAAATAACTGATTCTCACAGAGTCTTTGCATGTGCTTTATATATATTGCTACTGTGATACTGTCTCGCTCTCTTTGGTATTTGACATCTAATGAAATACCACTGAGATCTTGCAAAGAAACTGGTTGTATGTAGGTTCTTTCCGTCGGCTTATCTAGCAATATGGGCTTTGAAATAACGTAACATTGCAGTGGAAACTTCTTACTTTACGCACTTCCGCACTTCAAGACTTATTATCGTTCAGCTTGTTGCTCAAATCGTGATGCGAATTATGACCCGGTAGCGTTATGGTAACTGTCACTTGTATCGAAGGTTGTATAATTCACAATGCAAATGATAAAAGAATTAAGGGGAAAAATTAATAAAAATAATGCAAATGGCGAGTATTGTTAATAAAAAGGCAATTTTATTCTGTGATGTAATCAACACCGTCAATTTATTTCTGAATGAAAAAAGAAATAGTCAAGCAAATGAGTTCAAGTTACTGGAATGAATGCAGATTGACGACAGATTTCAAAGCAAGTGATGTTCAAGGAGAAGTAAGAGAAAGATGAACTAGCTCCTCGTCATAATTACTCGCCAAAAATCCTAACCCTTCTCGTCTAATTTCAGCGATGCAGTCCCGACATAAAGAAGGTCCTGTTATCTGGGGAACAACAATGACCTTGGGAATCCTGAACTCAGGATTATGACGATTTTGCTCTTGAAAAAATTCCTCAACTGCTTGTCGAATATATGCGCAATATCCAGGTTCAGACAGTCTATGCATATACATAGGCATGTCACAAGGTAGATCCTCAATGATGCAGTGTGTGAGGGTTTGAAAAGGGAATGTCCCTTCGTTATGTTTCTGCCATTGCTGAAGATACTTCGGAAGTGGTACCGCAGAATATGCGGGAACGATATTTGTACTAGGGATAATTCTTGATGGCACCGCAATAGATCGGATTCGGGACAAGTTTTTACCGAGCGCTCTGATCGTGTCAATCATGTGCCTTTCATTTGTGATGTAAAGAGAATCTATCTGGACATTAAACCGCATTGGTGGCCATATGATTGGCATACCACTTGTTCGGTCCCATATGTCTGGGTAATACGTTTGAGTCATCGCACGACTTTCTTGGTTTATCTGAGAGGTAATAGGATATCTTGTGTAAAGCCTATAATCGAATTCACGAGTCAGTCCTCTAGTTTCTGGTGCCATAATTGCATGCCAGATCAAACGTCTAACATCCTCGTTTTGGCTTGCGAAAAGACTTAAATCAACCTCACGGCCCTCAACATATTTTCGCTCCTCTTCGCGTTCTTGTGGCATCCTGAAGAGATTTTGGAGTGGATCTATGATGATTTTCCTAGATTGCTTGGTTGCTGAATGTATGAAGATAGAGATTTGATTTACTTCCGGGTTTGTATCTGCAAATTTCCAATAATGCTTCAAAAGTGAATCTGAAAGTCAGGGGTGCAATATTTATAGGAGTTTGGACGGACTGTTCTGTGAAAGGATCTTGTGTGGGGAGACATTGTCCAGTGCCTGTTCAGAGAACCATATTCGACTTGGCCTCTCGTCGAAGTAGATCATCTTTGCGTCAATATAGATGCAAGGACACAGTGACAGAATGCCTCGTCCTAACAGCATAACAACGTAAATAGATCCTGCTAACATTTTATAATTGCAGTATGAAAGCAAGCTCATAACCTTATTAGTCAGCAACCTTAAATGACACATGCATTTTGCAGTCTATTCGAACTATCGAATTAGAAAACCATCATGATTTTCAGCAAGATGTGACTTGCACCTTTCTAGCTTCTTTGGTTATCAAGAGAAGTAGAAAAAGACTGTGTTTCGATTGAATAGATATAAAATAAACAAATATTCAGGGTCCTCTCTATACGGCACTTGCATCATAGGCGAGATTCCGACCCACCAGTCTGAGCTTAAGTAATTCTTGGCACTCTTCTTTAATCCTTTGCTTTATTATCTTGTTGTCCCTCACCAAACCTACACAATCAAACAATTTCAATCGCAAGAACCAAATTCGGGGACGGGGACCACTTCACAGTCCTGTACTATGACTGCTACATCGAAGCTGCATAGAAGAAGAAGAAGAACATACCCTGCAGAAATCCGGTGACGATGAATGGTTATCCAAATGGCAAGGGAAAGGAGAAGGATAGATATTTACCCGCGAGGAGAAAGGGAGGAGAATCGGGGAAATGGCTAGATGTGCTGGCATACGGAGCTTTCAGCGCCCTGCTGGCTTTGATTTTGAAATATGCCATCTCAGGTCAATACTGGAATCTGAATTTCTTCTTGCTGGCGGTCCAGGTACGTCACTGGACACTTAGCATCATACCTCGAGAGAATGCGCAAACTGATATCGGAGCTTAATTAGTCAGGATGCGCCATAGCAGCAATCTTTCTTTTGAAAAGAGGCGGATATCTGAAGGAAATGATGGGCTTGGAGCTACAAAAGGCAAAGACTTGTATGTGTTGCGCAATTGAACGAATCCGGGATGGCAGATGCTAACGAGGAACCTACAGGGCTTCCTCTGTCAATATTACTTCTCGTCTCAAACTACTTGTCGTACAAAGCGCTTCAATGTCTATCATTACCAACATATATACTCCTTTCTACCACGACCATATTCACGGTCCCCTACATTGACAGCATTCTGTTCGGAGCTCCAATACCACCATTTGCATTTAAATCGTATCTTCTAATATTCTCCGGCATTATTATATCAGTAATTTTGGAAAACGCGCATGCAGAAGCAAGCTATGGGGATAGACGGCTCGAACAAACATTGGAACCTCAAGATCCAGTAATGATATTGTTTTTTGGATACATTTTCATGGTCGTTCATCTTCTATTATACAGCACATACGAAGCGTGGAAGGCAAAGATTGTGCCGAATCTTGAGTTTGGTCAATGGGATAGTATGGCTTTTCTTCCAAAACTCTGCGGACGGCTCACTAACATGCCTTAGTTTTCCTATATAACCATGTTCTTATGTTTATCATCGCATCGACTCTTTCTCTTTTCATCGAAGATTTCTCGGACGAGAATATGAACGATTGTTTCCCGTCTTCCATCCGAAAATCAACTATCATGGCCATAATATACACTGGTGTCGGCATCTTTCCCATATTATCTTTTTCCACGGCGATTACGCAAAAGTCCTCGCAATATTTTTATTCTATCGTCGAAACTTCAAGTAAAATGGTAATCGCTTTGCTGGGAATGTATATGTATTCGCATCCGATCAGTGTAGGAAGTGTATCAGCCATCGTGATAGGATGCTCTGGGGGCATTTTGGGTGCATGGTTAGAAGCGAGACATCAACAGGATGTGAAGGGGAAACGAGTCCTACCTATTTGAAGAAGACTCTTTTGATATAGACCGCTGTACACAACCATCGTTTTTTAAATGGGAGCCAGGCGTCAGGATACGGTATTGGCTACAACTTGCATACATTTAGTATAAAACCCAGTCATATTACATATTGCATAGAGAACAAAAGGGGACGATAGGAAATGGCATTCACATTTTTACACCATCCTCATTGTTTTAGAATCATGGATATAAATCCGAAAAAAGATTCCTCATTCTCCACAAAATGAACTGCTGAACTCTAAATACGAGCAGGTAGATCCATCCATACCGGTTAGAAATATTTTGATACCCAGCGGCCTCCCTCCCGAGGTATCCATCCAGATGGAACATTCCTGGTAGGGCAGGCCGAAACATGTAATCTTAGAACACGGATCGGTCAATTGACTGTGAATGGTCTTTTTCTGGTTGGATAATCGAGATCTTAATGTAAGATTAGGTAGTATGAGTATAGGTATAGATATAGTAATCTTACATCTTTCTTATACTAACCTGGTGGATGGATGTTTGTGGTGAGTGGTGAGTGGGTAGTTGTGAGGTCCTTTTTGGTCTCTGGGTGAGGAAGGTTATGGGAGTTTGTTTTGGTTGTGATTATGTAACTACTTTTGATTTCTAACTTCCAACTTCCAACTTCCAACTTCTTAATTGATAGAATAATAAGAAAGATTAAGTATATAAATCAATGATTTCTTTTGAAATTTATATGAAGTTATTGTTTGCTATTATATTAAATAGATAATTCTATAGCCTTTTCCTATTCTAGATATTTTGAAAGATTGTTTGGGAAATTAGTTTATAACATAATCTAGATTGGGGGTAAGAGGGGTCTATGATAATGACAAGATTTTTATAAGTATCTCTCTTATAACCAGTGATTGTTATGATTATTATTATATAGGGTTGATATATAGAAGGGATAGTAGGCTTAGGGATAGGATTGATGATAATATAGTGATGAAAAAGGTATTAGGGGCGTAGGCGAACAAGGTGCGTATGCTATGGTCACGATATAGTGTCGGATTATCTATCACTTTGTATATTGATTCGAGGATAAACTAATGTACATTTATCCTATATAATCTTACAGACAAGAATATTCTACTATTCCGTATATAATCCTCTCCTTCTACACCACACAACCATTTCCCCAAACAAAGCCAAAAACAAAAACAAAAACAAAAACAAGCAACGCTAAATTCCCACGAGATGACAACACACGATAGCGCAAAACATTTTCGTGGCACAGTCAATCTCAGTCCGATATGCCAATCCCAATGGTGGCGCAACGGCACTTCCACTGTTCGAATCTCCTTGCAAAAACTCGAGATGATGAGCGCACCAAACGCCCTGGGTATCCAATTCAAATAATCAATCATGCAACTGTTCCTGGCATCTCTGCCTTACTTGACTTTACCGGGAGTTCCGTAGCAGTAGAGGCAGGTTTATCATTCTTCAAGGCTTCGACCTCGAAACTCTCCATGGGTCTTAATCCCCATCTGTTGAAAACAACGGAATCGACACCCCATCCAACGGCTGGTGTGGTTAACATTGTCTCCCCTGTGAAAACGGCATTGGCACCGGCCATGAAACATAAGACTTGTTGTTCCTCGCTCAATTCTCCTCTTCCAGCAGCCAAACGCACGATGGTTTTAGGCATGACGATTCTAGCCGTTGCAACCATTCTCAACATACTCTCAAATTCCACTTTCTTGTTTCCTTCCAATGGTGTTCCTTTAATGGCCACCAACATATTGACAGGAAATGATTCTGGATGCGAGGGCAATGTAGCAACCGTCTCCAAAAGTCCAATATGGTCAGACTTATTCTCTCCTAATCCGAGGATTCCACCCGTGCAAACATTAATGCCCGCTTCTCTGACGTTTTTAATGGTATCCAATCTCTCATCATAAGTTCTCGTCGTGATAACCTTGGGATAGAAATCCCTCGAAGTATCCACATTATGATTATAAGCCGTGAGACCCGCTTCTTTGAGTTCCTGAGCTTGCTCTGCATCAATCATACCAAGCGTGACACATACTTCCATACCCATTCCGCGGATCTCGCTAACCATTGTTTTGACATTTTTGAGATTGGTTTTGCGTCCACGCATGTCGCGCCACGCGGCTCCCATGCAGAAACGTGTGCTGCCATTATCTTTGGCGATGCGAGCGGCTGCGAGGACGGATTCGACGGAGACCATTTTGGAGGCTTTGAGGCCGGTTTGATAGCGGGATGATTGAGCGCAACTAAGATTGATGTTAGCATTGTTGCCGAATGAATATTGAACGACTTGTAAAGAGAAAGCAGAAAAGTAGAGCATGGAAAACAACATATTAACGCGTATAGAGGCAAAAAACTGGAAAAATCGGCCAAACTTACTAAGAACAATCCTCCGAACAACCACCGGTCTTGATGTTCAACAATGTACACATCTGAATAGCCCCAGGTATATGGAATTTCCTATGCAAACTGCCCGCACCCCAACATAATTCCATCAATGGCTTATCATAAATTGCCTTGATCTCTTCCCTTGTCCAATTGCTGCGGGGTTCAGTTGCGTTAAGAGCTTCTTGGTAGACATCCTTACTGGATGATGTGCTTGATATTTCTGTAGCTTGAGGAGGAACGGATGATACAGTACCATAGTTTCTGGACTTTTGCACTTGAAGACGAACAGAAGAGGAGATGGGTGCGAATTTGGGGGCATTGCAGCGGAGGAGGATGAGGGATCGTGATAGGGAAGTTCTGAGGGTCGCCATAGTGGTGAGTGGAGTGGAGTTTGGAAATCTATCTGTATACACTCTTCACTGTTTGGCAAGTAGACACAATAGAGCGAGAGTGAGAGAGAGTACGACGAGAAAAAAAAACAAAATATCCCTCAACTCAAATTTGACAGATATTCACAATCTTCATCCAAGCTACTAGTAGATATTAATCCACTCCCATCCAGCGAACTCTAAATCGTGACTCAACACACAAACAGGAAGGTCAAACACAGCAGCATCACGGAAATACAGTACGGAGGTACTCGAGTACAGCTCATTACCTTACCCCACCATACAACATTCACACTAAATGAGGGGTTTTATTAACTTTTGTGCACACAAATCATTTGTGCATTTGATGCAACCTCATATGAGCTAAATGGCGGGGCAGATATTTGCATCTCAACAAATTGCAATTCTGGGAATCGCTCGCTTGGTAATTAGCTATTTTGATTGGTGAAGAGAAGGGAGGGGCTCATTGCCCCACTATCACGCCGTTGACTGGGCCGGCCCGTGTTGGAGCTTGGGCTTGTGAGATGTTAGCTGGCATGATTGGATAGCCGAGGTTATATAGGAGCGACTTGCGGCGCTTGGATGTTGGTAGCTGACGTTGCTCGTTGTGGAAGATTGGGAAGGGATTCTGATTTTCGGACTTATGTTACTAGGTACCTAGGTGTATGGAGCTGGGAAAGAGCATGATATTTACCAATTTAATATCATTGGGAATACATGTCACAGCACGATCCATTGTCAACTACTTCGAGTCTCGAGTACAGTACTAGATGTTCGATCAAGTGCATACTCCGATCTCAAAATTTCACCTAGTGCATTGGCATTGGGACCCGAGTCGGGACTATGGATGCAGATACCAAGCCAAGCTTGGAATTGAAATTATCCGTCCAACCGCTGTAAATGGAAAGATTCCACCTTTCTATGATCTACCACCTTCTGAAAGTTTCTTGTAACCTTACCTGCTCAAACAAGAAGATCGTTTAGATGTAATTTTGAGTTTCAGCTTATTTGTTTCGGAGATAATGATTAGTCCTACAGTTATCTCTACATCCGCTCAACTAGCTCCCTAAGCTTTCTTTTGATTGTAATTTTATATCCTCGTATATACATCCTGAAATTTTTGTTTCCTAACACGTGATGCTTCTATAGTTTTGCTCTCTGATCTCCGGGCCTCTCTCCAAAACTTGCACCTACATCTACAGTATACCCCTTTTGAACTCCAAGTGGAGAATCAGATACCAGGGGGGATTGAATACCCAAGACATCATCGGCAACCTGAATCTCCCCTTTCTTCTCCATTGTCCCAATCCATTCTCTAACACATCCCACCAACCCCTCAATTTCCTTAAATGTATTCCCTGCATGTAGACAAACCCTCACTCTTTCACTTCCCTTCTTAACCGTCGGACTCATTATTGCCCTTACATTGTACCCCGCCTTTTGACAATAACTTGCTAGATCCTTTGGCTCAGGTGTTTGAAGAGAAAAAATTGGTGTCCAGTTTAAATCCTCAGGGTATGGTTCGGAGTTTTGGGGTTGCGGTTTCAGGTAGTGTGAATGAGGAATACGAGAAAGTAAAGATTTGAAATGATGAGACAAAGAACGAAGATAAGATGGCAGAGACTGAGTGCTTGAGGAAAGCAGAAGGGAGTAGGAAGCTGCAATGAGAAGGAGTGAGGGAGTAGAGAGCGAGGTGCTGTAGATGAGAGGGCGGGCGTAGTTGAGGAGGTAATGTCGGGTTAGAGGGGTAGTTAAGATTATAGCTATGTTAGTTTTAGCACCTCCATTTTCACATTCTGGTATATCTGTACAGTGGATGGGATGAAGAAAAATGGAAAAAATAACATACCTCCATTTCCCGCTAGTGCCTTTCCAAAAGTATGTAACCTGGCAAAGATCTTCTCCTCTAAGCCCAATTCACAAACCAGTCCTCGTCCCTGCGGTCCATAAACCCCAGTCGAATGTGCCTCATCCACCGCAATATATCCTCTCCCACCCTTAGTAATTCCTCCTAAGCCGAAAATCTCCTCCACAGCATGTACCACCGCACGCAAAGGACATAAATCCCCATCCATGCTATACAAACCTTCCACCGCAACAAAGACATTGCTCACCTCTTCTCCTCGCCTCACGCTTTCCAACACCCTTCGTAAATCCCCAACATCATTATGTCCAAATGCAAGAAATTTCCTAGCACGTGATCCTCTCATTCCTTCATGAACACTTGCATGAATTTGTTCATCGTACACTACGATGTCTCCTTTTTGGGGAACACAAGCGAAAAATGCAGAATTAGCATCAAAGCCTGAGTTAAAGAGAAGAGCACCAGAACCGAGGTGCGGAGAACGGTGGAATTGGGAAACTTGGGACTCGAGATTGAGCGCCAGAGGTGAATTCCCGGTTAAAAGACGGGAACCTGTGCTACCTAAGGTTGGCGGAGATGAAGACGACGCTGCGTATTGAGACGACGGAGGTGACAGATGGCTTCTTACTAGTGAAAGATATTCATCATGTAGCAGCGGAGAAGTTGACAGTGATAGAAAATCATTAGATGAGAAATCGATTGGTGTAACACCAGTTGTAGTTTGTATGGTAGATGGCAAAGATAGATTTCTCAAGGAGGATTTCTGAGCTCGGCATTTGAGTGCCGAGGTCATGGATTCTTCAAGAGTAGGCATTTTCGCTGTGTTCGATACGAAATAGCTGTGTAATGTACGGTAGGAATTTTGTGGTTACATTGTACGGATGGATAAGAGTAGATAGGTAATTTGATGTGATTCGTAAGTCACACAACTACTTGACTCAGGTCTGTCAGTTAACAACCGTTGAAGTTGTGCCGAGAAAGTTTATTTACTTCGTACAGCTGGTGATATATGGAGCACCGGTACATTGGCACAATTGCCAGTATGTATATTTCCCGCAGATCATATTTTGAAGCTACTGTGGGGATAATTCAGGGGTAAATGTAGAATTCCTATCCAATCAAATAGTCATCTCTTAGTCATCAATGCAAGCTACCCCACCATATCTTTCTGACCCCTCATTGCCCAAATTTCAGTCATAGACTCAATTGCTCAATTGCAACTCTGAGCTTCTTTTGACTCTCTTGTCTTGTTTTTCTCCTTTCAAAATGTACAAACCGCCACCTTCACTTCTCTCACGATCGCTTCCTGTTTATCATCTCACAGCAGCCAATACATCTTTAGGGAAAACAATTTTTTCAACACTTCTCTGTCGGCAACTTCTTGCCAAAAAACAAATCCCATATTATTTGAAGCCGGTTTCTACGGGCCCTTTAAACGAGGCTGATGATGGACATATTGGGAAATTTGCGAAGGGAACGAATATAAAATGTCTGTTCAGGTATGGGGAAGCTGTTAGCCCACATATTGCGGCGAAGGGTGTGAAAGTAAGTTTTGAAATTCAAATCTGGGCGAAGGAACGATGACTTGTGAGTTTTATGGGTTTGGCTTGATATATTTTGTTTTAACATCCGAGATGAGATGGATTGATCTGACCTTGAGGGTCCAAATCAGATAAGATCGAGGGACGCTGACTCGAGAACTACTTGCAGCCACCAAATGATCATGAGATTGTCACGGCGATCTCTGAACAAGTCCAAAAATGGACCAAAAGTAATGAAGAAGGGCGAGAATCAATGATCCTGGTGGAAGGCGCTGGTGGTGTACATTCACCTACACCTTCTGGTACCAGTCAGGTGGATGCATTAAGACCTTTGAGAATGCCAGTATTTCTCGTTGGCGATTCAAAGTTGGGTGGAATTTCAGCAACAATTAGCGCTTGGGAGAGTAAGTCATACTCTTAAGATATTTGGAAATCTCGAAGTTTCTTCTAGGTTCACCCCAAAAATGGAACTTGGACTAATGCAAATATAGGTCTGCATCTTCGTGGTTATGATATTGAGTCAGTGTTGATATTTCAAGAGGAAAAGTACGGCAATTATGCATATCTTTCCAAATATTTCCAAGAAAGGGGTGTGAACACAACATTCATTCCCCCCCCACCGAACCAAATTCCAAATCCACAAGAAGATGAGGAGTCTATGTCCTCATACTACTCAAGTGTTACTGAGTCCGGGGAGATTGAAGCTCTATTGGAAACTGCCCGTCAACGAAACATCTCACGAATTGAAGATCTTGAACAGATGGCTAAGAAAGCCCATGAAACGATCTGGTTTCCGTTCACTCAAATGAAACATCTCTCACCCGATAATATACTCCCAATAGATTCAGCTTATGGAGATTATTTCCAAACCCTACCGAACACTAGCACAGGCGAATCCACACCACAAAAGCGTTCCAAGGATAATGTTCTTAAACCAACTTTGGATGGCTCAGGATCCTGGTGGACTCAAGGTTTAGGCCACGGAAACCCTGCTCTTTCCTTAGCCGCAGCATATGCATCAGGTCGCTATGGCCACTGCATCTTTGCATCTACCATCCATTCACCTGCTCTCAAACTTGCCAATCATCTCCTCACAAACATCAAGAATCCCCGTCTCTCACGCGTCTTCTATTCTGATAACGGTAGTACTGGTATGGAAGTTGCTGTAAAAATGGCCCTGACAGCTGCTAGTAAACATTACCGTTGGGGAAAAAGTGAAGACAAGAGAAAGCAGGTGGGAATCATCGGATTAAAAGGCAGCTATCATGGAGACACCATCGGAGCTATGGATCTTAGCGAAGGGAGCGTTTATAACAAAAAAGTACATTGGTATAAAGGAAGAGGATTGTGGTTTGATGTACCAAAAGTCTGGATGAAAGACGGGAAATGGGTAGTTTATGACAGAACTGGCGATAACATCGTGGAGACATTTGACGAATTGGAAGATATATTTAGTTGGCAAAGAAAGACCAGCAAGCTGAGGAAAACGTACGAGGAACATATTTTGGCCGAGCTTCAAAAGGCAAATCGAAAGGGAATGAAATTTGGTGCGTTGGTTTTGGAGCCAGTTATCCTTGGCGCTGGTGGTATGCTATTCTGGTGAGTATACCCATCCCAACCTCTCAAACCATCCTCTAACATAAATTTAGTGATCCCCTCTTCCAACGCACCTTAACATACGTCATTCGCAATATGCCCGAACACTTGCTCGGCAAAGTCAATCAACCTCCCACAGACATCCTACCCTCACCAAGGCAATGGACCGGCCTTCCCGTAATTCACGACGAAGTCTTCACGGGCCTCTACCGACTTGGCCACTTCAGTTCCTCTACCCTCTTACATACATATCCCGATATTTCAGTGCATGCCAAACTCTTAACAGGTGGTTTACTACCCCTTTGCACAACGCTTGCCAGCGAAAGCATCTACGAAGCATTCCTTGGCGATGAAAAGAGTGAAGCGCTATTACATGGACATAGTTATACTGGTCATGCCGTAGGCTGTGAAGTCGCACGCGTAAGTTTAGAAACCATGGGAAAATTAGACAGCGAGAAAAATGGGGCTTGGGAGGGCTTTAGAAGGGATTGGAATGGGGTGAAAAGTACTGAAGGAGAAATAACTCCCCAGACAGAAACAACAGAGGCGGAAAACAAACATAAGAAAGTTCAAGTCTGGAGTATATGGAGTAAATCGTTCGTTACTTCAATATCTCATCTGGAGTCAGTCGATGGGGTTGTCGCATTAGGTAGTGTGTTGGCTATCACATTTAAAGACGAACAAGGAGGTGGATATACATCCAAGGTGACAGAGGTAGTGAGAGAGAAGTTACTAGGTGGTGATGTGGAAGGCGAGCTGGGTGAATGGAATATCCACGCCAGGATATTGGGTAATGTGATTTATCTTATGGGTAGTCAGGTTATGACTACGGAGCAAGTGAAGAGTATTGAGGAGAGATTGGGAGGATTATTAGGGTTATGAGTTAGGGAAGAATGCTGAAGTAACGGTGAATAAATGATTAAATCGTAGTAGTAGCATTTGATTATTGCAATGTAGTGAGAATATGCCACCTACTTTTGAAGCGTCGTATGTACAAATTTTACGGCTCGAAGTTTTGACAATTCATAAAAAAGTTTTTCAATATTCAACGCAAATTTGTTTTTTCAGGAGCCATCTGCATCAATGTTGGGGTGTAACGAAAAGTTAATTTTCAGTAGATCAAGTAATAACTAAATGATTGGAGAAACTGGATCCATTATATATATATACTAACTAATAATTACTATTTACGATTTACGATTTACCATACTCTCTAGAGTCTAGATTGGGATATGATACGTTCAACATATCTTTATCAAATTCCATCCCACCCCCAAACACCCACTCCCAAACGCCCATTCAAACTCAACATTAAAACCATTCAATGCTCAGGCCAAGGACAAAAATCCACCCTCTTCTGTTCATCTCTCATACGTTTCCTAACCACAGCCATCAAACCCAACGGCACCAAAAGATCCTCTCCCAATCCCTCTTCTCTTTCCTCCACCCCTTTAGTACCCCACGTATATTCATTCCTCCTCGCACAAACTTCCAATCCACTACCCCCTCCATAGCCATAACTCACTGTTCTCATCACCTCTTCCCTAACACTATCCCTTTCCCAATTCCTGAAAATCCCATCTTCATTTCGGCCTCCCGCACCGATGTTCTCCCTGAATACTCGCATGAAACTTTGATACGCGCAGTGTTTGTCGAATAACCACCATTTCGGTATCACTAATCCTAACTCCGGGAATTGAGTATCTTGTCCTTTGGCGTGCGTAAGTGTCCATGTTCCATTACGTACTTGTGTAAGGTTTTGTATTGTGGTTTCGAAATTGGGAGTTAGATCTTTTGTGAGATCGGGGTTGGAAAAGTGGTGTGGGAGTAATTTTTTGTATAGGCTACCGGGGTAGAATGAGGAACTGGGATTTTCGGGGTCGATTACGATGTTGCCTTTGCTCATGCGCCAAGAGTGATGCTCAAGATCGAAATCTAGATGGAGCGGTTTATCGCCGTAAATTCCCATTATGCGCCAGTATTCGTTGAAGGGTTTGAGCGTTGTGGATGAGTTGTTGCTGGATGTTGTTGCATTTACTTTGGTGATATCGAAGAGGTCGATGCCAGATGGGTAGGATTCGTAATCGTCGGATGAGGGATACGTATATCGACCTGGAGTTTGCGTATAATGAGAAGAGGTATACCTCATACGTGATAGTGTTGTGTTTTCGAGACCAAAGTACTGAGCATATGGTTGCGACAGCTGGATGCGTGTATCGAAGCCATTACATGTGCCATCCATTTTGTATTTCCAGAAATGTCCCGGTCCGATGATAAATCTGGAGGTGTGTTAGTCCTACGATTAACAGAGAAGGAAGAGAAGATAGAAAACTTACACCATGGGAATAAAAATAGTAAGAATAAAAAATACAATCCACATTAAAAGAGAAACAAGCTTAGAAGCTGCGATCTTGATACGTCTCCAAGGGAGATCAGGCGATGTCCATTCTACGAGGGATGTACTCAAACCCAGCTTAACTTTCAAACAATGAGAAATTCTGAGGATAGCTGAACCCCAAAAAATTATATTGACTCCGAAGAGAATAATAGCAAAGAGGATGCAGAAGGTTTGCTCGAAATTGCGTAACTTACTCTCTGTGAATTTTTGGTACACGAGAGGCATTGTGTATCGCGAAAGACGTGTTTTAGACCAAAAAAGGACAAGGCTATTGAAACCAATTAGGACTGGAAAAATGACGCAGAGGTCGTATAGGAGATAGTCGGTTGAATAGCCACGGTGGATAACTCCTAAGAACCTGTAATCTCGTCGTGGATGAGCGCCAAAGGAATTTGTTCCGTTTCGATTTCCATTTTCTCTCCTGATGTCGGCTATATTTCTTATTGACTCTCCTTCTGGAGGAACATATGTATTGTTATTAAGAACACCAGAGTACTGGAGTGTGGGCTGTGGTGCGACTGGAGCGGAAGGACGTTCCTCCCCGCACTTGTCTGTGCATTCTTTTTTAATACATGGTCCAGGATGACATTTTAATAGACATTTATACGATTCGCAATTGGTTCGAGTACCACAACGGTGTTCTTTTGAACAAGGATAGCCGCAACTACCTGCAGTAATAGCAAGCATGGACATATTACGTTTTCTGCACCAGCAACTGGGTTCCGGATAGCTAGCGTGTGATTGCTTACAGGTAGGGCATGGCCAGGGTTCAATATGTGGTAATCGAGTGGATGATTTAGCCCAATTATAGATACAGCCAGGATGATAGGCTTGGTAGCAGCAATGGCAGGCCCAGATCTCTGATATGTCGGTTGTAATGGTATCATGGCAAATAGGACAATTGTATCTGGGAATGAGGTTAGCTAACGCTCAATCGCAGGCCAAGGTGAAACTCGGAGGCCAGAGCGATGTCGTATGAAGAGAATACATACAATTCATTTTCAATATCTTTCATGATCCGATCGCTCCTGTTAGGAGCCAGTGATCCTCCATGGGCATCTACTTCGTCAAGTTCTACTGCTTGCTCTACTTGTCCTGATTGCATTTCTGATCCAGGCCGCCCTGGAACCCAAGTTGCAGGAAGTCCTTGAAACATTCTGACTTGGTTTGGTGAAATCCTTCAACTTGGCAATCAAAATGTGTCACGAATATATATCAAAATATCTGATAGTTGATTGAATATACATCAAGGTTTGGGGATTGATTTAGGATTGGAAACGAATGAGTGATCAGATGACGGAACTGGGTAAGTAAATTAGGGAAGGAATTAGGGAAAAAATTTTGGGAAAATTTTTTGGGGAAGATGGTGGGGAAATGGTAGAGTTAATGTATCATGTAATGATCTATGACTGTAAAGGCAAAGTTGGGTTGAACTGACAGCAGTATCTTGGCATGAAGAAGCCGTTGGAACTAAATATGTTAGACTTTTGACCGTTAGAACACTAGCTTTAAACTATAAAACATCTCAATCAAATGATTCCCGTTCACGGAGGAGATTGATCATCCTTTCTATTGAGGTACACTGTAACATCATTCATCTTGATTCGTATAAACCTTAGAAATGTATCTTGAGCTTCCAATGATCACAATGTGAATAGCAAGTCCTCCTTGATGTTAACATGCAATAATGATGGGACGCTTTCCGAAAGCAAACACCTTCAGCTACTTCGAGGTTTAGCATTGTCATGCAGTATTATTTGTAGAGAGATAATTCAAATCCCGGTGAAATTAGTTTTCTAGATGTAGAGGAGGTTTGATCAATAGACCTACGATTCTGAGGACAACAGTCGCACCTTCCACATCAATACCTACCACTGACATATGACGAAAGGCTTGGGGCATGTTATCTGATCTTGGATGATCCATTTTATTCAAAGACGAACCGCCAAGCCTGCTTTTAGAGTCAAAGACAAAGGTTCTAGCAAGCTTCTAGATCAGAATCTGAAGAGGAGATCGACGTGGATGGTCCAATTGGATGAAAGAGAAAACTCTGCAGACTACAATAAGTGTCTAGCTAAAACAATAAATCAAGTAGCGATAGCTGTCATTGGGTGATCGGATTTGACTGTAGTACCATTGAAGCCTGGCCAGAAGTATACCATACTCAAAATAGAGCCACTAATTTACTTGTATCTTGTATATGCTTCATAGCGGATTGGTTGGTGCGTTTTCCGGTCGCACAAGAAGGAGATGGCACGCTGAATTATCTTAAGATCGCGATATATTGTCTTTAACTTCTAAACTTTCGAAGCTTTGAGAGATTTTTTCGTTCCTACGCAGAAGAACTTTAGAATGAAAGGGAAATTCAGAGATAGTGTAAAAGATTTTAAGATGAAGTATACTACTCCCCACAAGTGCCTCTCTGTAAACAGGGAAAGGCTAATGAAAACAAGGCACATGGATTTGACGGATGAGAATTGAATGAGACATCGTGGATAAATTCTGGATCGTAAAAATGAAGTTATAGGTCGATAAAAACATCAAGGCCTGATATGAATTAGACCATTTAGATGACATTGATAAGAGATAATAGAAATCTAAGTGCGAAAATCATAGGTGTCGGTTTGACAGGAAGATGGAAAACAGTAGACTACAAAAGAAATATAAACTAGCTTACTAATCTTATTTGATTTGGGGAGAGTTGCGAAAGAGGAAGACAAGAGGGGGAAGGCTCGCTTCTCGACGCACTAGCATCATAACTTACCACGATGCTACTGAAGTACTACCTGACTCGCTACTGCTTGATTTCCCAGTGTCCAAGGCTCATTTATTTTTAGCTTTCTTCCCATCTTCCTTCTGCTCAATTCTCCGTAGCCTTTGGACTTTTCCTCGGTAAAATTCAACAGCTGATTTAGGGAAACCAATTTCATCGAAGAGATCTTCCACGGAATAACATTCTGGGGAATTGGTGTATTTTGAGAGGAATATCTTCAAATCCTGACGGCGAATTTTGTGAGCCCAGGCCACCAACTCAACAACAAAACTTACCCAATTCAAGACGGTTTCTGAATCCATGGTTCCTTCATGTTGTCGAAATTCGATGGTTCTCTTGACTGGATTAAGGTGCGGTATACGGAGTCCTTCAATACGATATGACATATAGTTGAAAAGCATATATCCACTGAACATTTCGACGACTTCATTGACGTCAGTTGTGCCGAGTAGTACATCTAGTAATTTTCCTTCATATTTAAGTACACCAAGATTGGAGCGTACATGAAGTGATGGACAGTAGCTACCAGTCATTGCTCGTGACTTGTGAATAAGTTCTGAGATTTGAGGTTCAAAAACCCAAAGAGTTGCCATGAGATGTTGAAGCGGCGTAAAGTTTAGTCCTGCCTTTCCTTTACCAACATGAACGTGAAAACCACATGATCTGTTGACGACAACATCAAAATGTTTGTGGATAGCGGTTAGCATCTTGTGAACTTCTTTGAATGCTTCGGTGCCAAATTTCAAGACCGGTGACCTGATTTCAATCGGGCAGTAGTAGGCCTTGTCTGCCTTCCGCTCATCGGTGAAATGTAAAGTGGCATCCGCGCCGACCACCCATGTGTTGAACAATGCTGCCTGTGGAATTTTTTGAGTAGAACTTGGAAGCCAGAGATCTGCATCTAATTTTTTAACATCACCTTGTGACAGAATGTCAAATCCAGTCTCAACAATCAAGGTGTCTCTAACAAGCTCCCAGATCTTTTCCTGGAGTGTGAATGGTCGTTTTGAGAAGCGAATGCCAAACTCGAGCTCTACACCGAAGGTAAGCTTTTCAGAGAAACTTGCCAAAAGATTTGGACGTTTAGACATACTGACTAACCTTTTTATTATGTGATGCGATTCGAATTAGGGTGATTCCCTATTTTGTATGTAGCTGATGTAGTTAAATCTCAAGTGGAGATATTATGGACATGCAAATCCCTACAAGACTAAAACAGCTACAAGAACACTTAGATAATTTATTCCGTAAATAGGGGTTTGTTGCATTGTTGTTTAGATCAATTTGATTCTTTGTTGATTCTCCGTTTATCAAAGGTATCGGGGAGGGGTGACAGAGCGTCTCTATAGATCGATCAAGGGATAGAGGACTATAAACTTAAAACAAAGAATACTTTGCTGTTGTAATTTTAGATGCTTTACTCTGATATGACTGCCTTACCTTGGTGGAAGAAGGGTTTTCTGAACGGAGGTGTATGCCGTGAAGTTTGTTTGTCTCTCCGCCTTGAAGTTAAGGATGAGAATATGTTCGGAAGCAAAACAGTGAGTCGGAAAAACTTCTCGGAAAAACTTCACGGAATAACCTCGTACAAAGTATGTATAGGTAGTTGAATGTAACTCCTCAACAGCGAACAGAAATATTTGTTTGCAAATTGAATTGCAATCAATATCGGAGATAGTGGTGCGGCTAATGCGGCTATTGTCATTTCACGGGGGGTTTCCGCTCTAATTCCGCCCACATCCCATCGTGGTGAACGGACCTTCGAAGATCAAGAACATTTCCCAAAGATGGTTCGTACGTTTCAATAGTCTTACATATGCAATAGTCTTACATGTGCAATAGTCTTACATATGCAATAGTCTTACATATCTCAAATATTAAGCTCTTCCTTTCTGAAATATGTAAATTCAACACTCGAGCGACTGGAACGTCTACAGCATATTCTCGTTCGGATCTATAATTTATGGATAGGGCTATCCGAGAGGGATATAGATCTTACAAATCTATTTTAGATACAGTAAGGTTAATGGTCTTTAGAGTAGAGAAAATGTAAAGCCAATATTCTTCTTCACACAAGTTCTCAAGTAATAAAAGTAGAAGATGCTCGGTAGAAGAGCAAATCCACTCTCTCAGCTGTAGTACGTTTTCCCTCCTCGATAAGCTTGAGTAGTACTCCGTTATTGGGAAGTTTTGTGTAAGCTATTGGACTAAGGTGATCTGTCTAGTGGTCCTGGTGGTCCTGGTGGTCTGGGATGGGAACTAACTAGGCAAATTCTCAGCCCCGAGCCATATGGATATGGATAGTGCACTGATTAATCTTCTCAATTCCGAATTGGCTGAGAAGAGTTGCTCGTGCGACCAACCACAAAGTGTGCAACTCCGAAGCTCCAATATGCACAAACCACCAGATGCTAAGCTATGGACACCAAAGGAATAACCTGGTTTCTCCAGGGTTCGTTCAGCTTCATACTTTCTGGCAGCACGAGTAGCATAATCAACTCTCCTGATACGCTTGGCTTAGCTACATTTATACGTCTATTGGAGAAGATGATACCCATCTATGCAAGTGAATGTCATTGGTAATCTAGACTTGGACTTGTCTATATAATATTAAGGTAGGTACCTGCTTTCCATATTCCTTCGTTCATATATTTATATTCGTTATCTCGTTTTATGTTCGTTTCTTGGGTACCACAAGCGAAACTTTAAACCTCATAATGGCCATCACTGTCAAGCCGGAAGGCACCGAATATGACTATATTGTGTGCGGGTAAGTCTACTACTTAGACACAATGTTTGATTGATAACTCTCTGACAATCATGTATAGAGCCGGCACGTCAGGGGCCGTTGTCGCAGCAAGATTGGCAGAAGATCCCAATAATTCTGTTCTCGTCATCGAAGCAGGAGAAGATAATTCCCTTCTCGAGAATACTCTCATGGTCGGGGGATGGTGAGATATTCGTCCAATCGTCCCATGGGCTAGAGTTCTGACTTTATCTATGCATAGGTCACAGAATTTTGACACAGAAGCGGACTGGAACATCACCACGGAACCTAATCCAGGTGTCAATAACCGTCAAGTCAAAGCCAGCCGAGGCAAATTTCTCGGAGGATCCAGTGGTCTAAATGGTACACTGTGCATTAGAGGTACGCCACAAGATTACGATGACTGGGAAATGCCGGGATGGAGTGGTGAGGAAGTTTTCGGTTACATGAAGAAGGTAGAATAGTTATCCTCTTGATCATGTTTATGGTACTAATAGAGGTACAGGCAGAGAACTTTCATGGCAAGGAATGGTTTAAGGCCAACGATTCGGTGCATGGCTATGACGGCTTGCTTGATGTGGAACCTCATGACCTGGTAAGCTGTAGCACAATAGCTTATTTACACAATATATTGACTTTATTAGGCACCGATAGCTCATATGATTTTGGATTCGATGGAGGATCAAGGTCTGCCACTTCATCCGGACATGTTTTCGACTGGAGAAACTCCGAATGGTTGTGGTCATGCACCAAGAACTGTTTATAAAGGGGACAGAACTTCTTCGGCAAATTACTTCACCAACAAAGGTCCCAATCTCGAGATCAAAACTAATACGATAGTCGACCGCGTAATTCTTGAAAGCGCATCTCACGACGACCTGAGAGCTGCAGCTGTCAAAATAATTGAAAAAGATGGAACGGGAAGGGAGATTAGAGCTAGGAAAGAGATTATCATTAGTGGAGGGGCATATTGCTCACCAGCTATTCTTATGCGATCAGGGATCGGAGCAAAGTCCGAGCTTGAATCCCATGGCATCGAGTGTCAAGTCGACCTTCCCGGAGTCGGGAAAAATCTTATGGATCACATGGTAAAATACTCGAAAGCTCACAAATATACCCCGCTAACAAGATCACAGATTGTTTTCATATTCTATGAAACCACAAAACCAAATGTTACTAGCGATTATCTGCTTTATCCCCCGAATGCTTTAGGTGAAGCTTACAGGCAATGGAAAGAAGAGAAGCGTGGACCTCTCTCCACTTTTCCCTTTGGCGCATTCGCATATTCTCGTCTTGATGAACGTCTTGCTTCCGAACCAGCTTGGACTTCAGCACCGCGGCAGCCAGGTCGAGATCCTATGGGTTTAACCACATCACAACCAAACGTGGAGTTTTTCAGCACGGAATGCTATGGTGGCCCAAAGCAATACGATCAATTCCCCGACGGAGATAAGTCACATGCATTTTCTATAATCGCGGAGTTGTTTGCACCCAAAAGCAGAGGTACCGTAACCCTGAAATCAAAAGACCCAAAAGATAATCCAGTTGTTAATCACAACTACTTGAGTGAAGAACTGGACATTGTTGTTCTCAGCGAGGCATGTAGGTATGCCAATGAAATCATTATGAAGGGGAAAGGTACGAAAGATATAGTTGAGGGAAGCTGGCCTAAGGACTTAACACACCATACATATACATTGAGAGAACAGTGGGTTCCATATATCAGAGATAATGCTACAACCTGTTATCACCCCGGAGGAACTGTCAAAATGGGCAAAGCATCGGACCCGATGGCAGTTCTCGATGAGGAATTAAGAGTCAGAGGTGTGAAAAATCTCAGAGTTGCCGATACAAGCGTTATGCCACTTCTTAATCAAGGCCATACCCAGATGCCTGCATATGCGATTGGTGAGAAGACAGCAGATTTGATTAAGGGTGTCGATGGTTTAGATGTAGCAGCGTTGAAGTTAGAAAGGCATGATTCAAGAATTGAAAGATCCTGATTACAAAATCATAAGGAAAAGAAATTCCAAAGGTTGCTCGCTTGCTTCTATGTATCAAGGTCATTGGCGCTATTAGCATGCCTTAGTTGAATATTTGACACAGATCTATAATATCTTTCGTTTTGACCGCATCTTTTCCATGAGATTTTACTGAGCGATGATAAGGTGAGTATTGAGTTGAATCCAGAGAAAAAATATGTTACACGCTGTTTGTGGCAGTAATGTGGGTTAATAAATTCTGAAAGTGTTCTTTCCTTACAAACGAATCTACTAATGATCGCGTCGTCTCTCTCCTAACTCGCACCTTCCTAGTTCAATTTCTAATATGACTTTGTTTATTTCTCTTCACACACCCCACCCATTCAATCCAGTCTCTCATCAAAAAAATTCCTCCCAACTCTCTCGAGAAGTCGCAGAGATGCATTTCTCACATCTTCACCTCTCAAGTCTTCTCATTCTCATCCTCCACTTTGTATACTACACATACGCCGCCCTTCCGCCAATACACTTTACTATAACCCGACGCGGTGGCTCATTTCCCGCTCCTGACACCGCAAATCTTACATTCCTTCAATCCACACTTGTCGATACGCATGCCAGGTTTACGAATTCTGAGAGAGTGTTGAGAGGAAATAGGGTTGTTAGGGTTCCTAGACGATGGCACGATGCTCAAACTACTAACACAACAAATTCCCTACGACGATCTGGAACTTACATTCAACCTGGGACTACTCTTCTCGGCGAAGTCGGTAATTCCGGATCTTGGTTTACGTCCTTAAAAATTGGCGAGCCATCGCAGAATGTAGATCTAGACCTTAATATGCTGACGGCTGATTTTTCGGTGATTAGTACACCTAGTGGTAAAGGAAGTTTTTATCTCGAAGAGAGGAGTGGCACGTATAGTGTTAGCAATGATAATGAAGAGGGAAAGGGTATGAATTTTCCGGGATGTAGGTGTGGAAAAGATGTAGTGGGATTACCGTTGGGGATTGATGTTTTTGATGGTTGGAAGGGGGAGAGATATATACCCGTGAGCTTCGCTCATTGCAGACCACAGAAACAGTGGGTTGGTAGTTTGGGGAAGAGTGGTACCACTTTGGGATTGGCTCTAGGGGCAGGTCTGGGGCAGGTTGGTGGCTGGAAAAGAGGATTATTGGAGCAGATTGTCAAAAGTGGAGTTGTCGATACAGAGGTCTGGAGTCTGATGTTAATTAATGGACATGAGGGAGTTTTCAGTGTTGGAGGATCGTCGGTCAAGGCAGTTAGAGAGGTGGAAGGGAGGATCGAACAGGAACTGAAGAAACTTGACGCGGGTGGCTTCCAACCTGGACACGGTGAATTGACGAAGACTGATGTGAGTGGACTGCAACCTGAAAACAATGAATTAAGAAAATTTGATGGGACGGGCCTACAATCTGGACATGATGAATTGAGAAGAAATGTTGAACTGGGATTGATGAGGAGAGATGAAAATGGATTTGGTATTAGTGAAAAATTGACAACGACGGATGTGAGTATTTTGGGCACTAATGACCTGAAGCGAAGTGATGAAAGTGCTTGGGAATGGAGTAAAGTTCGAGGCGCGGACGGTTGGTGGGAAGTCCTAATGAAAGGGATCTGGGTTGATGCAAATAAAGTTTTACAGAATCAGCCAATCGTCTTGGATGTAAGTTTAAAACTTCCCACTGTACCTTGTTCCCTCCTCTCCATTAATTCATATTCGTTAACTTTCACCCCAGGTTAATACTCCCTACATAGTCGGCCCACCACATCTTGTCCGTAACCTCTACGCCTCAATCTCAGGCTCGCGTCAACTTCCGCCACCATATGATCAGTTCCATGCCTACCCATGTTTTAATCCGCCTCACTTGTCACTCGAGTTTGGAAATTTGAGGGTCAAGGTATTGGATGGCAAGAGAGACACAGGAAGCTTTTCGCCGGGAGGAAGGTTTAGTTTGGGGAGAATGGAAAGAGGTAGTGGCTATTGCGTAGGAATTGTAGTAGAAGGGAGATTTGGAGATGGCGATAGCCCGGATGGAGAAGGAGGAGATGATGGGTTAGACGGGAATGGAATGGGAGATATGTGGATTTTGGGAGAGCCATTTTTCAGAGATGTGCAGGTTGCTTTTGATGTGAGCCTTTTGAGTATTCTCATAATTCCCTCCTAGGTCAAATACTAACAATTCGGGTACAGTGGAAAGAGAAAAAAGTTGGCATGCAACGACTTTGACTCTCCATACATATTGAGAATGAGGATGCTAGTCCAGGATTTTAAGCAATTTCTTTTTCGAGTTCAACATACTTAGAAATCTTTTACTCCGTATGGAAATTGGAGATTTACACTATATAAACTATCAGTGGAAATTTTGGAAGGTATTTTTCCAGCAAGGAAGAGTTGGAGAGTATCATGAGTCACGGGGCTACACGTGATAATGCAACACAATTGTCCCACATCTTAGAACTAAGTGCTTTAGCTACATCTCATTTCTGACAACCACTTAGCTAGTAGTCCAAGCATCATTTATACTCAAGAAAAATATGATCTGCATGATGTAACAGGCATGCGATAAAAAAAATATGGAAAACTACGTGAGAATCTCCTCGACTTCGGCGAAAGGTGCTCTTGAAACGTTACAATGATGCGGTTTTCAGGCAGCTGAAGTACACTCGAGGTCGGGCTGAAGTACATTATATGCAAGCGCATATGAGCCAAGGTTGAAAAGCCATTGTGGTGGAAGATCTACCAATCAACCTTGTTACAGCAGAATAGATTTTATTTTCTTTGCAAAAATCGTTGAAGGTTGCACAACCGGCCATTTCAAGTCCGGCCATGATCCGGCTGATGTCAGATGTTCTCTCGATATATTATCGGTAGTTTATGTGCAAGTTTTCACATTGCTATTCATTGCATTTCTTGAAATAAATTCTTCTCCTTTTGAGTCTGCTAGCTTGATAATGGCAGGACTATCGCCATCCCAGGTTGAGGAGTTACTGCAGGGGCCAGCTTTGAATCCTCCGCTGGGTGTTATTCCAAATTTTGACAATTCTTATACTCTTCTACCAGTAGCCAATGCTGTGAAGATTGTTACTACTATCTTAGCCACTTTGGCTATTTTCATACGGATTTATACGAAATGGCGGATTATTCGAGAGATGCACTTGGAAGATTGTAGGTATCAAGATGTGTGTTGTGTTGAGCTTCGCGTTGACTTTTCTCAGATATTGCGGTTGCAGCTTGGGTACTTTAGATCTTCCTACGTACACTTTCAAATACTGACGGATGGATTCATAGGGTGGTTATATTGTTTTTATTGTGACGACTGGTTTCGATCCCAAGGTTTTCGGACGACATCAATGGAATATCAGATTAGTAGATTTCCAAATCTTTCTCTACGTATGTAAACTATCTATGTCTAGTTTCTGCCGATTGGTGAAGCTCATACAGTTCAGGGCACCTATATATCATCCATATCATTCGGTCTAGCGATATTATCAATCAAGATTTCAATATTGCTACAATACATCAGGATCTTCACAGCAGGAACACGAGATTTAATGTTCTGGAGCTGTCATGCGCTCATGTGGATGACGGTCGTCTTCTACGTTATCCTGTTATTCATGACGATATTTCTCTGCACTCCCGTACCGAAATTCTGGAACGTGTTGGAAACCGGTCACTGTCTCAATATGAATTACGTATTCCTAGCAACTGGAACCGCCAACACCATCTCCGATTTCCTTATTATTTTGCTTCCGCAGCCGATCATTTGGAGGCTACAGATGAGTTTCAAGGAACATGTTGGCGTTTCTGCTATTTTCTCTACGGGACTCTTGTGAGTAAATATTATAAATTCGCATTGCTAGATATTAATACAATTTTAGAGCCTGCATAGCATCGATGGTGCGTCTAATCATTTCATCAAAACTATTAAAAAATAACGACGTCACCTGGTTAACGAGTATCATGTGTATACCCTCATATGTCGAACTAGGAGCGGGTATCATAACGAGTTGTCTCCCAACATTACCAAGGTTCTTCAAAACCATGGCTCAGATCCCCTGGGTTTCAAAAATGTGTATATCTATTCCGTCTTGCTTCAAGCCTTCTAAATCGTCTACCGAGTCGAAAAAATCTTCAGAGAGAAATATTACAGCTTCGTGGGTACGAAATCATAGGAGGTCATCGAGGTTGAGGGTAGAGAGACGAGTTTTATCGGAAAGTTATGATGGTTTGGATGAGTGGGAGGGGAATGATGCGGTATTTTCGATTACGAGATTGGGAAATGTTACAATTTCTACGGGAATAAGAAATGAGGGAAATAATTTAGAGGTGAAGAATCTTGATGATGAAGAACGAGGGGTTTTGAAATCAGTACAGGTTTCAGTCGTTCGTCAGGGCTCGGAGCACAGTGAAGGGAGTAATCTGTAGATGGATGCATTAATTAAATGCTCTTATGGAATGTCGAAAGAAAGAACGATAAAAGACGTATGTATTCATTGCAACATGATTCACGGACTTAGACTGGGGACTTGGGACTTGGTAGATTATTAAACTAGAAATAAATAAAGATTTCAGGTTTGGGAAATTTAGTATTATGAAAATGATGTTTATCCCATGTGTTCTTTGAATAGGAGAGAAGTCTCATGTCAAATTCCAGGTTTTTTTTTTGGTTTTTTTTTTGGAAAGTAGATTTATCATGCATCAAAGTGTGAATTTCTGCTCCGAATCCTCCTGAGACCTCCCTTCTATGATTCGCTCAACCTTCTACCTATCTGCATTACGCACTGATGAGGAGACTTTCATTCGTGAATCTTTGGAGTTACTCGGGTGTTTACATTCTAAAGTTCTAAACCCAAACCCAAGCCGTGGTTCCAAAGAGTCCGAACAGCAAGCGCACTATCAGATATAAGTCTTACCATCCATCTCCTACCAAGTTGCCAATTGAAAAAGTTGAAAAAGTTAAAAAAGCCTCATTCCAATTCCATTCAAGATACCTCCAGTAAATACTGTTTACTGTTTCCAAATCAGCCGAGGATGAATACCCCCCCATAAAATCATTTTCAAATATCCAACTAATTAGATTTAAAAATCAATTTAATAACTTAATAAAGCAAATTTGATAATATTCTAATATCAAACTATTTAGTTCATTCCTAATAGATAATCTTACATTAATCTACCAAACGAATTAATTAATAAAATTACTGAAAGTAGTAAAAAAACCCCCTAAAAAAATGGGAGCATATAATTATATATGACGTAAATTTGTATTCTTATATAAAAAAATACCGTAATCTTATCGTTCGTTCTGATTTATTACCTAGTTGGGACAAACTTACAAAAGACTTCCAGGTAATTAACTAATCGCCGCACGATGCCTGCCGCATCAAGTGAAACAAAATCATCTAAATGTGGTTCCATTTTGATATTACCAGTGGAATTTTTTTTTTAGTACTCTTTACTCACCCAAACCCTTGTGATTAAATAAACTTCGTAGGTATTGAATTGACCGAGGAGAATTTTGCTCCGAGCTTAGAAGTCATCATGATGAGTTTACTGCAAGTGATCTTGTTTTGCAAGGGGTGGGGTTCGAAGTTTTGAAAACGAGAGGTCATTGTGGTTGACTTGAGATGTAGAGGCCAGTAATGAGATAATAGTGAAGTGAAAGGTTTAATATTTGTATTAACTAACAACGGGATGTCCTCAAGCAAAGCACCTCTAACGGCGTCAGGCCCAAAACGAAACCGCCCAAAACACCTCGCAAAACACCAATTCGGTATACCCAGAAACTCCCACCTGATAATGGAACAACATGCATAGATTGATGTGCATCTGAGTATCAATCACCCATTTGACAAAGCTTTTTGTATAGCTTCTCCTTCCTCGGGCGTGACGACCATTTCCAACATTTCTAGTGCACATCCGGGGATATCTGGATCAATACCGGACTCAAAAACTAAATCATCCTCTGAAAAGTTAAGCCTGGCCAGACATAGTAGGTATTTTTGTGAACCCCCACGAATGACGGATAATTTCTTCTGCATATCAAATTCGTATCGAGTGACAAGATGGAACAGAAGTCGAGTTGCGAGACTTATGAGACGAGCACTAGATAGAGTCAGCTGATGTATACTTAAAGCGGAAAGGATTACATACCTCTCCTCACGGCCAGATTTATGGTCATATAGGCCATCTAATTCATCGCTTATCAAACTGACGACTCTGCCAATTGCAGTTGGATGGGAAACAAGTGCATTTCCAGCATATGGTGATCGAGTCATACTAGTCATCAATAAAATGATTTGTAGACGTAGCTTTAGGACGACATCGGCGTCAACCTTGGTCCCGCTCGAGGGGAACCAAGGTACTTCGAATAGTGGATATGTCAGACGTTCTATGATATGGCCGGCATTTGCGGATGTTCTCAACTTTGGATTATCATCCACATTGCTACCGAAACTATTTTTCAAAACACCGGTAGATAGAATTCGCAGCATCCACTCAAAATCTGCCACTAGCTGGTTCTGACTAAGCATGAGAAGAACAAAGTCCCATCGCATCAATTTCCAAAATCTAGTAATGTGTTCTTGGTCGGGGACGCATCCCAATGCAGCGAGGTGAATGAGAGCCAAACAAGCGGATACATTGATGTCTTCATCAAAAGGATGGGGTGACTCGGTTTTGAAACGAGGGATCGCTACGAGATCAGCAGTTTTTTGTGCCAAGGGAATGAGTTGATCAATTACATGCGGTACAATGGAGAGCGTTTTTATCTCGAGCGCAAATGTGAGAATATCCACAAACAAGTAAATAGGGGTATAATAACTTTCATCCATACACTTAGACCACAATTCTATTAGAAACAAGCAGAACTCAGATGGTACCTCTGATATAGGCTTTTTTGCACCAATTCTTGGAATCTCTCCAAGAATTAGAGATGAAAAGGATTCATTGGGGGATGATGGTAAAGCATACTTGCCAAATGCTTCAAGAGTCCTCAAGTGTTCACGATTGGGTCGATGATCTAGCATTGCCGCGAGAAAGTCCGATCGATCATCCTGTAAAACAAGCCTCTCTAATATCGATTCGTCCAAGAAAGGAAGTTTTTGGAGTTGTGAAGGCTGGTCTGGAACAGGAATCATATCCAAAGCACTAGCTGAAGGGCTATCGTTTGCCTTGCGTTTCCGCTTTGCTGCTCTTGATGGTGTACCAGGTTGACGTTTCTGAAACTTCGAAGGGGAAATTTTACTAGGAGAAACCACCTCGATTTCATCATCATCGAAGCCATCCCTGAACGACATCGGCTTTGTTTTTTTTGGGGTCATAACTTGTGTATCCTTTGGATTTTTAGCTTTACTTATCTTCCTGGCTCGTTCGGTTTCTTCAAATAAGTCTTGCTTTGTGAAATCTCGCTCAATTGCAGCATTTCTTGCAGCGATCTCTGCAACTTCCTATCTTTTGTAGCTTTGCCAATTGCTCCACGTGTAACTTTTCTTTTGCCGCTTGTGTGCATTCATATTCCTTTTGCGATTTGTCCATCTTTCCGCGGAGAATAGAGATTTCGCCATTTTTTGTTAGAGCTTCTTGTTCGAGAGCTTTATTCTTTTGTTGCAACTGGAGAGTATTTAGTGACTTTGTTAATGAGGAGATAATTGATAACCATGAATACCTCTTGCACCAATTTTCTAAGGGCCTCATTATCACCATCTACAACTGACTGACCCTCCAACCGAGAAAGGTTCGAAGTCTCTCGTGACACTGGATTTAGAACTGGCTGTTGTAAGACGTCTGGTTTTCGAGTATGAGGAGGACCTATATGATTTCTAGGCCTGTTCACAATGTTTGTTGCCCTATAACGTTGCTGCTGCTGTCGAAATTGTGCTTGTTGGGTAGCTTGATTGACATTGTTTCGAGGTACATATGGTGCAACTGCAGGCACACTCCTAGCCTCATCGATGACGACCGCATCATCTAAATCGTCATCGTCGAGCTCCTCCCCATAATCGGAAGAAGGAGGGGCTTTGATCTGAGCTTGGGTGAAAGCAATAGCATTGTTCTCAAGCTCTTCTAGGGCATCTGCTGGTATATCGTTAAGAAAATCATCATCGGAGAAGTTATTCTCTCCATCTTCGTGAGGAGCCATTCCATCTCTGTGGTTATGAGATTTTTTGAGAACATTGATGTTTCAATTTTTTATTTTGAAAATGCCAATGGCAGACTCGCGTTGCCTTCAATTCCACCGAAGGCTGTATTGGATCGAGTTTCTGCCACCGCCTTTCGGGGCTCGGGGTCAAAATCCTCCATATGATCGGTCAAAGTGGAGTTAACGGTAGAAGGTAATTTCTTGGGTACTTTTCAACGATGATAATAAGTAGTGTATCGTAGTAGACCTGGTAATAATGTTCTGCTGTATTAATAATATCCAAAATGTTTGCATGGAAATAAATAGCTTTTTTTCTTCCAAAATAAAGTCAATATAAATATCAACATTTGGTGTATTTATTTAATAATTCTTTTATAATTCTTGCCATCTTTCCTCGCTTCAGTTAACGCGAATATCACAAGCAAACGCTGAGGGCTGCGGTCTGATCTTTCCAGGGTTTTTTCGGGCTGACGTAGGAGTGGGTGAAGACGAGCCACAACTTAGCATCGCATCCATCACTAAAAAAGTAGACGCCCACTTACAAAGAAGGGACCACTTCAACCTCAACCGAATTCGTGAGGTTCAGGATATTTCACTCTGCTCACAGGTAGTTCTACTTTACGGGCAATTTCATCCCTACGCATGTGGAGTGGTCGAACTAGAAGAGACTCTTGACGGATCCGGCTTTCTCTTTTTTTGGCGGGACGGATAATTGACAGAACGAAGAGGAAAATCCAATCGCCAAGACCGCATTAGAATTCGCAAACTCGAACTTCCAGCTTTACATGCAAAAATGGCAAAACCAAGGGGAATTAAATTCAATCATCGAAATGGCCGCGCCGGTAGTGATGGTCGCAGAAGTAGTTTCTCCGATATCAGTGAAGCTGCCTCGGAGCCAAGCTCTCCAAAGATAGCAAAGGCAGATGGTGCAAGCGATGAGAAAAAAGAGGTGAGATATGCGCCCATGCTATAATCTTGGTGCACTTGCTAATAACTTTATTCGCAGTCTGATATAGTTGTGCCATCGGAATACGAGAAAAAGAAACAGACCTTTATTACACGATCGATATGGACATTTGTAATGATTGGGGGGTTCTTTGCGTCCATGTTCATGGGGCACATATATATCATCGGGATTGTCACCGCAGTGCAGATAATTTCGTTCAAGGAAGTCATTGCGATTGCAAATGTACCCAGTCGAGCTCGTCGATTACGCTTTACAAAAGCTTTGAATTGGTATTGGTTGGCCACTACCATGTACTTCTTATATGGTGAAAGTGTGATATACTATTTCAAGCACATAGTATTGGTCGATAAAGTTTTGCTGCCGTTTGCAACACATCACAGGTTCATCAGCTTTATGCTTTACACTATCGGTAAGGAACTTATTGAATGTATAGGTCAATGCTAACAGTATTAAGGATTCGTATTCTTTGTTGCTTCTCTTCAAGCAGGTCACTACAAGTTTCAGTTCACGCAATTCGCCTGGACTCATATGGCCCTTTACCTTATCGTGGTCCAAGCCCATTTCATTATGAACAATGTTTTTGAGGGAATGATTTGGTTCTTCTTACCGGTGTCTCTGGTCATTTGCAATGATATATTTGCTTATATCTGTGGTATCACATTTGGTCGAACCCAACTCATCAAACTCTCACCTAAGAAGACCGTCGAAGGTTTTGTTGGTGCATGGGTTTTGACTATCATTTTTGGCGTAGGCATGACTAACGTACTCATGCGGTACAAATACTTCATTTGTCCTGTAAATGTAAGTCGAATCTCCCATTAGTTTTTTAAACAATAACTAACTCCCGACAGGATCTTGGTGCCAACCTATGGACCGGTCTTGAGTGTACACCAAACCCTGTTTTCTTGCCTCATACCTATCAACTCCCTATTTGGTTTCCAGTCTGGAAATCCTTCTCCATGGCACCTATGCAAGGTCACATTCTTGTTTTTGGAACTTTTGCATCACTAATTGCACCTTTCGGTGGATTCTTCGCTTCTGGACTCAAACGCACTTTCAAAATCAAGGATTTCGGCGACTCAATTCCTGGACACGGGGGAATCACGGATCGAATGGATTGTCAATTCATCATGGGTTTCTTTGCCTACGTCTATTTCCACAGCTTCATTGCTATCTACAAAGTATCACTTGGGGGTGTCATTGAAACGGTGATCAATGGTTTAACGCCGGAAGAGCAAATGGAACTTGTCAAGGGAATCAGCAAGCATCTCTATAACCAAGGGGTCATCGGCGACAAGGTAAGCCCACTATTTACACTCTACGATACCATTCTTGCTAATAACTTACAGGTATTGGACTGCCTAAACGTGGCAGCGAGTAAGAGATAAGGTGCTCCATGCAAACGTGGATATGTTTAGAGATTCTTTTTCTCCCTTATGAATGATGAGTTTTAGTAAAGTTTTCACAAAATGCATGGAGAATCCTCACACGTGTATAATATCCTTTCGATTCTCGCTGCATAGCATAGCCTTGTTCTTGGATTCTCGCTTTGGTGTATACAATCGACGGTTCCGGTGGACAGAATGGGCTTACCTTTTCCTGTTTCTTTTATCAGACCCGGAATTTAATCTGTTGAGGATGGTGGGTGGCAAAAATACAGTGTTGGTTATAAAGTGAAATATATGGATGAGATGAAGAATAAAATTAAGTGTAGGGTGATATTTGGCCCACTAGCTATTAATGGGATAAACTTTTTACTCAATTCTGGGATTTTGTTCTGAATGATTGTCCATGAATACGATGACTTGATATTCACAATACTTTTCACATATCAAATACTTTTTTCGGGAAGTCCGATCAATTGTAAGTCCAATCATACCTCATTTGCCTCCTGGGCGCAGAATCCCTAGGCTATCATCACTGTAATACACAAAGCCACTCAGATCTCAATATTAGCCCAGTATCCCTTCAGCATAATCAGTAACGTAAGCCTATTCCACCATTACTTTACCTAACTCCCATTATTATACGCATATTAGTATTACTGTAGTTTCTATTATGCATCTCGGATATAAAAGGGAGGGAAAGGGGGTGAGGAAAAGATAATTGATTGATTCTTAGGAGATATGTAATTACCTCGAAAACAATGTTAGAAACTCAGAACCCAATCTGCGGAATTGGGTATGGTATGGTATTAGTTGTTTGTAACTAGGTTTTGTATCATCCTCGTGTCTGTGTTTATCTAGGTTTACATTTCTCGAAACGCTACTGGTAGGGGAATGTTGGCGGCGAATTTGTATGATATGTATGTGCATTTTCTCTTCGCCTATTACAATTTACGGTACTTGGAGTCTGAGGGACAAGAGATGGATTGCTCGATTTATTCGCTGAGGGTGCGGTGTACAGGTTGCGGAGTTTGGGTTGGGTTTGGTCGCGAATTGTGTTTTCGGTTGCTTTGTAGGAGCTCGAGTGGGGAGTAGGAGCTGAGTGTGAAAAAGAGGATAGAAAGTTGGAGAGTTGAAAATTAAATGAGAATGGGACGCGTGAGAGAAACGAGCTATTTTCTGTCGAAATTGGACAATGCGGTGATCGCTGCGGCTCCTGGTAGTGATAGTAATCCACTGATCTTCGAATTATTAGCTTGCATTTCGTATTTCAAACTTGGTAGCTATGCATGCATACGATGGGAACGTAGATGTAGATGTACTGTACGGTGCCGTATCATATAAGTCTTGCTTTACTTTCCCTGCTTCTTCTGCCTCTTAAAAATTATTGCGGGAATGCGGTTTTATCAGGTACGGTACTGATATTGTCATATTTAGTGATGAAGGTCACAGTTATCGTAGTTAACTACACCGTATATGGATTTGGCATCATGTTTATTAGGTTTTCATGTATCCATCCCCCTCGAAAGGCTTTTTTGTTGGAAAATAAATGTGATGTTATACAGATTGAACGCTATAATCTAGCATGAGATCCATCTTCACCATCCTCACCAGCCGTATTTGTACAAGCCTCGTTTTGAGACTGTTCTAAGAAGGGAATCCAATATTTTTCAACCTACAGTGAAGCACATTACTATCTGATCACACAAGATTTCCATCCTCGAAAATAAAAATAAGAATAAAAATAACAGTAAACATCTACAAGAACTCACCTCATCTGCAGCTCTATACCCCAACAACCACGGTGCAAAACCTTTATCCCTCCATGCCAATGCTTCCCCTTCTTCTTCCTCCCTCATCTTCCGATCTCGCTCGATTTGCTCAGCGCCGTCGTGGAGATGATAGAGATATTGTTGAGTATTGCCTCGCTCTACAACCGTCTGAGTCCGAGGTGCGCGGACGGCTTGATAGATAGGGAGAATGTGGCGGAGAAAGGAAGATTTTTGGTTGGGAGTGGGAGAAGAGGGCGCGGGAGATGGGTTGGGGTAGTGGGAGAAGAGCTCGCCCAGGACGGCGGCGTCTTCGAGTGACATTCCTGCACTTCAGGAGAGGTTAGATTTTGAACACAATTGGCAAATGGTATAAAATGCTCTAATTCTATGATTGAATGATTGAATGATTGAATGATTGAAATGAGAAATATGTACGTAGAAATGTAAGGGTAAAGATAAAAAGAGTATCTTAGGTGAGACTTCTCCATACAAAGGAATATCTTGCACATTGACTATATATGCAATCAACCATTGCCAAAATACCATGGTAACGCTGGTAATGAAGAAATGAAAAAAGTAAACAATACCCAGAAGCAAGATAAGGAAGAGTAGCATGAACAGCATCTCCTAGAAGAGTGAAATGACCGGATGGATGACTCCAATTATCCAGGCCGGGACGAGTACAAAGACGCCATTTGTACACTGATTCACACATGCTAAGTAGTTTCGGGATCCTGATTAATTGAAACGAATATTATGTCAGCAGTGGTACTACAAGAGGAGAAAGGGCAACTACCTTGGATCCCAATCTTTAAATAACGCCCGCATTTCTTCCACATTACCTTCTAAAGTAGTAGCACCAGCGGGCATATCATCTGGAACAAGAAGAACCATATTGAACAGTTCGCCGCCTCTAAGAACGTAGTTCACTAATAGTTGTGTTAATCTCAACACATTTCCAAAAAGGCTGAAGATGAAGAAAAAGAAAAACACACCAGCATGCATGTCTGGGCCCAACCAATAATTCACCTGGGGATTCTTCACGAAATCCGCCAATTCGTCATCTGCTAACATATCCTTAGTAGATAACAACAATCTATAAGCCAAGTCTCCGGTAAGATCTGGCGCATCTTCTCGTCCTAACATGACCTCCCTTAATTTACTAAAGATCCCATCGGCACCGACTACTAAATCGGCTTTTAGATCCTCCTCCTCGTTCTCTTCATTCTTCATCTTTTCTTCGCCAGCACCTCTCTCCAACACTACCCTTGCCCCATCTTCTAGAATCTCCACATCTACCACCCTCATCCCTACTTTAACCTTAGCTCCTAGCTCCAATGCCCGTTCATATAACCCCCTATGTAAGTTCGCGCGATGGAAATCCCAGTAAACAGTTTCTGGATACTGTGCCGCGCTCTCTTTAGTATTCATTGTCGATATGATGTTACCTTTCCACGAGAGCATGTTGACGTGCGAAGGAGACGTGCTGTGGGAAGAGAGATAGGGGAGCAGTCCCCAAGTGCGAAGGATGAGGGATGTGGGAGGCAGGATTTGGATTCCGGCTCCTACCTGTGGTGGATTAGACGTGTTAGTTTGTTGATAGTCTGGAAAAGAGGTAGAGCTGGGACTTGGAACAATTGGAGCGTACTTCGCCGATTTCATGTGCAGATTCGAGGACGGTAACTGAGTGACCGGCGAGAGAAATCGCAATTGCAGCGCCTAGTCCACCGAGACCTGCGCCGACTATTATCACCTTGCTTTATGTTTAGTATTGTTATTGATCTTGGGACAAAGAAGTGAGCATTGAAGATACCTACCTTCAACTTATTTGCTTCATTGCGGTTTATCTTCTCTTTCACTGGGATGGTTGAGGTAGACATGGTGGTACTTGATACATAGAAATCTAATTAATCCTTACACGCAAATCAAAGGGAGGAATAATCAAATTAGTATATAGTAAATATCAGATACAACGTCGACTATTGAAGCCGACAATAAGATCACTAAACAAAGGTCCTCGATCAAGCAAGTAGCATGTTCAGAAGTACACTCCACTGAGGCCCTCCTCAACAACATCATCAAATAATGCACGATAAGGTTATCGATCAAATACGCCTCAGCACAGTCTCACAAGATATCTGTACCCCGCCCGACTGATATCATAAGAACGTGCATGACACTAGTGGTAAGATCTCACGTAGATACCCCTCAAACATGCGGAACTCGAATTCATTGGTCAGAAGACAACGGACAATACTGTGTGTTGTCATTACATTATGCAAAGTACCGAAGATCAACAACCTAAAATACCTAGGTATTGATAGGTAATAATTTGACCCCGCATTATCAATCGCGATAGGTTAAGCAACCTTCCTATTTAATAACTTAACAGTAGGTTGTTTGGAATGTACTGGATGGTATTGTTTTTGAATTTTGCGCCATCGAATAGCTTTTAGAGCCTAAAGCCAGGAGGACAACTTTCTTATTTGGATCTCCCATTGAGTGTAATATCGCATTCTTAGAAATTCTCCCGAACAGGAAATTAATTCAGACGCCACTAAGCACCATGGATACTGTCAATCAGGTGACCATCATCGGAGCAGGCCCAGCAGGTCTCATGCTAGCGTAAGTCAACCCGTCGCTCCTTGCTACACTAAATTCATTGCATCTGCATTGACACAATCAAGCTGTACGCTCTTACGATACGGGATTCAGGTCACCATCCTTGATGACAGGCCTTCTTCAACCGCTACAGGTCGAGCAGATGGCTTACAACCAAAAACCATCGAAACGCTCAAACAACTCGGACTTGCGGATGCTTTGCTCGAGAAAGGTGTTAAAGTGTATGACATTTGCTTCTGGGTTAGTTCTTCGCGATTCAGTTTCTACATATAAAGAAAATTAACTGTGTACAGAAATCGACAGCAACAGAAGAATTGCATCGTACAGCCAGGGAAATCCATTATCCAACACATGTAGTAGATCTATTAGATCCACATCTTTTACTCATACATCAAGGAATGATTGAGGATGTTTTCATTCAAGATGTAAAAGCCCGAGGAGTTGAAGTGCAGAGAAATTCTTCTTTTCTGAGATTCGTGAAACCGACATCTGAAAATGAAGATATACACGTAGAGTACCAAGATCTTCAAAGCGGTAAAACGAAGGGTTTGAAAACGAAATACCTTGTAGGTTGCGATGGCGCCCATTCAAATGTTAGAAAGTGTATAGATGGCGCAGAGATGGAAGGAGACCAAAGTGGAAGTGTGTGGGGTATTTTGGATGCAGTCATTGAAACGGAATTTCCGGATTTATGGAGCAAGACTGTGGTTCATTCAGAGAAGGGCGCAATACTTGCCATACCAAGAGAGCGTAATATGACGAGACTCTATATTGAGCTGCAAGACACGGCAGAGAAAGACTCGAAAGAAGTTGTTCAAGACTTTGTGATGAAGAGAGCTGAGGAAATTTTTAGTCCATATAAGTTGACATGGAAGCGTATCGGTCAGTGAACTTTTCCCAGTAAGTTGTGAAATTTGCTGATCTGAATAGAATGGTTTGCGGTATACAGATTTGGTCAAAGAGCAGCAAAACGCTTCTCAGATGATACGCAGCGCGTTTTCATTGTTGGAGATGTAAGTGAACAATGCGATGTCTTTCAATGCCCTCTCGATCTAATAATATAACAGGCTGCACATAACCATTCCCCGAAAGCAGCACAGGGTATGAACGTATCGATGCATGACTCCTTCAATCTTTCATGGAAATTGGCCCTTACCATCAAATCTCTTGCGCTCCCGTCACTTCTGCAAACATACACGGAAGAACGAAAAGCCGTAGCCCAAGACCTCCTCGCGTTTGATTTTGAACATGCCAATGCTTACTCTGCTGGCGATCCTGAAGCGCTCGCGGAAAACTTTGCACAGAATGTTAGGTTTATATCCGGACTTGCGGAATATGGCGAGAATGTTTTAAACATCGAAGAAGCTGCTGCAAGAAAAAACAACCGAAGACGTGGAGGCGTATTGAAACCTGGTGCGCTATTGCCACCGGCTAGAGTTTCCAGATATATTGATGCAAATCCTGTCGATCTGCAGCTTGATATTCCTTTGCTTGGACAGTTCCGCATCTTTTTCTTCCTACCGGACGTTCATCGGTCCTCTGGTTACCTGGAGTATGTTTTCAAGAAGCTTTCTGACCCCACAGGGGTTCTCGCTCGTATTTCTGCTGCAGCTCATGCATTCACACCACTTGAGACAGAAATGGATGACTATATTCAGCCAAACAGGTATATAGGTGTGAGCAAGATGTTCACATACGCTTTGGTGACAAAGATGAACAAGGAAAAGTTCGAGATCGCAGACTTACCAATGAGCTTGCAAGAGAGTAGATGGACGATCTACGTGGATGATATTTGCAAAGATGGAAAAAGTTGCACAAGCAAATGGGTAGGTGATATCGAAGATGATGAGATGGTAGTTTTGAATGTCAGACCTGATGGATACGTTGGTTCACTAAAAAAGTTTCATATAATGTCCAATGGAAGTGAAAATGTTGATGACGAGGTAGTAAATTGGTTGCAGGAATATTATGGTGGATTCTTGAAGAGTTGATTGGAATTACTCATTTCCAGAACCTCTTCCAGCATAGAATATTTAGACAAGAGAGCATGGGTCACCACGAAACCTCAAAATATATCAAGAGATATTAAAATCCTCCTCCCATTAGCTGCGACTGAGGCTTTAATATTCTTTGATGTTTCTCACGGAAGAATGGGGTGATCAACGATAATAAATAGCCCAAAGTCTAACAACGATAAAAGCTTTTACTCAAGGATGCCAATAAAACTTGACACCAAAAATATCAAGACACCTAAACCAGAGACCTGAATAAGAGTGCAAACACTGACTGAGTTGGAAATGGACGATGAAGATGTCCCCCATGTCAGAATCTTTTCCAACATTCCAGGCAAGCTTTTGCTTAGAGCTTTTAGTCTTCCAAATGGTTTGCATGTCATAGTGCTTGTCAGTTCCCAATGATTTACAGTCCATTGAGAATGTGAACCCAAAGACACATATTGCTTCGGGCTTACAGAGCTGATTCCTTTGAACAGCCAAAACAGTGCGGTCGCGGTCACGAACAACACACTCACTACAGACGGCGTGTCCAATATGCTGCACTTGTCTCCCATCGAGACACGTCCATCAAGCGTGTCGCACAGTCAACTGTGTATGCCTGATAGAGATCCTGGAGTTTCAATCTCAGAAGATGCACGCAGTCTAAAATAGTGGTGCATCCTGAGCGAATAGTAGAAAATTTGAGATGGATTTAAAGGCAGGACACCATTGTAACTACGAAATGGTCGCGAGAAGAGTTAAAGCTAATAACATGTCTTTCGCCAGAAGATCAAGCACTTTGCTTGATACACAATGGTTCTTTTTTCGTCACTATTGTGAGCACTCGCACCTGGCTTTGTTGGACAATGTCAACTTCTGGATAAATTGCAAAAAGAGTATGACCAGCGTTCAAATGATCCCTGGTATATTTTCCACTAACTTACCCTAGTTTCCTGGAAAGCACTCTGTTCTCGATGAAATCTTCGAGGTTTACGGCAAATGATTGCGGCGTCGAGCTATCTTGGCCTAACATGTACGAATGCAGATTGATGATAAAAGACCCATTTGTGAGTGGTCTATGGGCGTTTTTCTGTGGGTGTAATGCTCACGTGATGAAGCATAGTATCGGGACAAGGCTCCTTATCACCCCGCTTTGCCCAATTCGTCGCCTTGCATACACAACACCATCCCATCTTAGAAGCATGATCACAATGCTTGCTTGTGTATTACGCCACTCGAGCAAAATGACTTCTCAGATATTTGATCCTCAGCCGTTTGGTTCATCGTCGCACTCGCCATTTTTATTTAGTCATGATACAATTAAAACCAGAGATTCAATCATTCTTTCAAGGTTCTACTTTAGAATTCTTCCTAAATGGGACGAAAGTAAAACTTCATAACCCGAATCCTCAATGGACACTCTTAGACTTCATAAGGTCTCAAGATGATCTCAAGGGCACCAAGCTCGGTTGCGGCGAAGGCGGATGCGGGGCCTGTACTGTTGTACTTCAAACTCTTGATAAATTTGCAGACTTTCGAAAGATAAAGCATATTGCTGTGAATGCTTGTCTCTTTCCTTTGATAGGAGGTAAGACAGCATACAGACACATCTCTTGATCAGAGCTGACGGATGGCAGTGGTTGGGAAACATGTCATCACCATCGAGGGTCTTGGAAATGCCGACCATCCTCACCCACTACAAGAACGTATTGCAAAACTTCACGGATCACAGTAAGAAACTTTAACACCACAAGTTAGTCTGTGAAGGGGTCTAATCGTAATTTTTAGATGTGGCTTTTGTACTCCTGGTATTGTCATGTCATTGTATGCCTTGATCAGGAATTCTTACGACCCGGTATCAAAGTCATTTCAAGTATCTGCAGATGATGTGGAATTAGAGGGACATTTAGATGGAAACCTTTGCAGATGTACCGGCTATAAACCCATTTTGCAAGCTGCAAAGACATTTATCACTGATGACCTGAATGGAAAATTATCCATTCCTAGGTCAGATACTGTCAATGAGCGTGCACCCGAAACAGATCTTCCTAATATCCCATTACATTCGGACATTGATTCTGTCGAAACTAGAGATCAGAATGCTTCCTGTGGAAGAATTGGAGGGTGCTGTAGAGACTCGCCAAGTAATGATTCATGCGGATCTCGAACTAACTCTTCGGAACATTCTCCAGAGGAAAGCCTCACTCAACGTTCCCAAAGCTCAATAAGTTCCCCTGGCGATGATACTATGTCTTCGAAAAGCTTGCTATCACCGGATTCGGAAGACCTACAACATTCGTTCATTCCTTACCGTCCTCAGACCGAACTTATATTTCCACCGGCTCTCCACAGCTTCACAACAAAACCGCTATATTACGGAAATGACACGAATATGTGGCTATTGCCGACAACACTTGAGCAACTCCTTCTGATTAAACAGATATATCCCACAGCTAAGCTAGTATGTGGAGCTAGTGAAACTCAAATTGAGGCCCGATTCAAACACACTTCATTACCTATCTCAGTTTATGTTTCGGAAATTGAAGAGCTTCAAGGTATGAGTATACCACAAGATGATGAACTCCAATCGTGTACAGAAATTATCTTTGGGGCAAACACCCCTTTGACAGGGGTGGAATATGCTTGTCGCAGGATCTTTCAGAAACTTGGGCAGAGAGGTTTGGTTTTCGAGGCTATGAGGAAACAACTGCGTTACTTCGCAGGAAGGCAAATCCGTAACATCGCTTCTCTTGCCGGAAATATCATTACAGCTTCCCCCATTTCAGACATCAACCCTGTACTTATGGCAGCAGATGCTGTTTTGACCGTTCAGAGCAAAGCCGAGGGGAGGAAGGACTTACCCATGTCCGACTTCTTCGTTTCATATCGTACTACAAAGCTTCCAGTTGATGCTATGATAGTAGATGTTCGAGTTCCATTGCCACCGCCGGATGTTCGAGAGATCATCAAAGCATATAAGCAGGCCAAGAGGAAAGATGATGATATCGCAATTGTGACGTCTGCATTTCGGGTGCGACTTGATAAAGATGGTATCGTCTCCCAAGTATCATTGGTATATGGTGGGATGGCACCAATGACTATCAAAGCACAAAAAACTATGAAGCTCTTGCTAGGTAAAACATGGTACAGTCCAATGACTCTCAATGAATCCATGAAAAGTCTAACCGAAGAATTTAATTTGAGACACGATGTTCCTGGTGGAATGGCATCATATCGTCGAACATTAGCCATGTCTCTATTCTTTAGGTTCTGGCATGAAGTAGTTTCTGATTTGGGGCTGGGAAAGGTAGACCCTGATCTCATCAACGAAATACATCGAGGTATTTCTTCAGGTACCAGGGATAACTTTAATCCGTATGAACAACGTATCGTAGGGAAACAAATCCCACATTTATCAGCTTTGAAACAGACGACAGGAGAAGCGGAATACATAGATGATATGCCTCGACAACATCGAGAACTATTTGGTGCTATGGTTTTATCAAGTCGTGCCCATGCGAAGTTGGTATATGTCGATTGGACACCAGCGATTGAGTCAGGATTTGCTTTAGGCTACGTCGACATTAACGATATCCCAATAGATGCAAATCTTTGGGGATCTATTATGAAGGATGAACCATTCTTTGCAGACGGAAAAGTGTTTTCTCATGGTCAACCTCTAGGTTTGGTATATGCAGAAACTGCTCTACAAGCACAAGCTGCTGCGAGAGCTGTTCGAGTTGAGTATGAAGATCTTCCGGTCATTTTGACCATTGATGAAGCAATTGAGGCGAATAGTTACTTTCCTTATGGGAACTCTTTGAAGAAAGGAGTTGCAATTGAAGACAAAATGGACGATGTCTGGGCATCATGCGACAAAATCTTTAAAGGTACTACTAGAATAGGTGGTCAAGAGCACTTTTACTTAGAAACTAATGCCTCGATGGTGATTCCAAATAAGGAAGATGGAACGTATGAAGTGTGGTCATCAACTCAAAACAGGTAAGACAAATCAACTCTTCCTTCTAATCCAAACGATAGCTAAGAATTCTCGCAGCATGGAAACCCAAGAATTTGTAGCTCAAGTAACTGGGGTTCCCAGCTCCCGTGTTAATGCCCGGGTAAAACGTATGGGAGGAGCCTTCGGTGGTAAAGAGTCCCGAAGTGTTCAACTCGCAGGTCTTCTTGCCGTTGCAGCCAAGAAAACTAAACGTCCCGTTCGATGCATGTTAAATCGAGACGAAGATATGATGACAACTGGACAACGTCATCCAATTCAAGCTCGCTGGAAAGTCGGCGTTAAATCTGATGGAAAAATCGTTGCACTGGAAGCGGATGTGTACACTAATGCCGGGTTTTCACGAGATATGTCAGCTGCGGTGATGGGAAGATGTCTAACGCACTTCGATAACTGTTATGAAATTCCTAACGTGCTTTTACGAGGTCATTTGTGTAGAACTAATACACATAGTAACACAGCGTTCCGAGGTTTTGGGGGACCACAGGCCATGTTCTTTGCAGAAACGTACATGACTGCTATTTCCGAAGGCCTGAACATCCCCATTGATGAACTACGATTCAAAAATCTCTACAAACAAGGAGACCATACGCCCTTTCTACAAACAATTGATCAAGACTGGCATATCCCTCTTCTCTTGGAAAAAATCAAAAGCGAAACAAAATACCTCCAACGTCTCCTCGCAATCGAAAATTACAATAAAGAGCACAAATACCGGAAACGTGGCATATCTCTACTTCCCACGAAATTCGGTCTTTCATTTGCCACAGCCCTTCATCTAAATCAAGCATCTGCCTCCCTCAAAATATACGGCGACGGCAGCGTACTATTAAATCACGGGGGTACAGAAATGGGCCAAGGCTTATACACTAAAATGGCCCAGATATGCGCTCAGGAACTAGGTGTACCTATGTCATCTATCTTCACACAGGATACATCAAGTTATCAAACTGCAAATGCGAGTCCCACAGCCGCCAGTTCAGGAAGTGATTTGAACGGTATGGCTATTTTAGATGCTTGTAAACAATTAAACTCGCGCTTAGCACCTTACCGAGAAAAGATGGGAAAAGATGCAAGTATGAAAGACCTAGTACATGCGGCTTATCGTGATCGAGTTCATTTGAGTGCTAGCGGGTTTTGGAAAATGCCACGCATTGGGTATGAATGGGGAGTTTATGATAAAGAGAAAGTGAAGGATATGTATTACTATTTTACTCAAGGAGTAGCTGTTACCGAGGTCGAACTCGATGTACTTACAGGTCATCATACAGTACTGAGAACGGATATATTGATGGATATCGGGAGATCCATCAATCCGGCAATTGACTATGGTCAAATTGAGGGAGCTTATGTGCAAGGGTTGGGATTGTTTACCATGGAAGAAAGTCTTTGGACAAGTAAGGGTCAACTTTATACGAAGGGACCTGGTACGTATAAAATACCGGGATTTGCGGATATTCCCCAGATTTTTAATGTTTCCTTCTTGAAAGATGAGGAGGGGAAAGAGAAGATGTGGCAGGGATTGAAGAGTGTACAGAGTAGTAAGGGAGTGGGTGAACCTCCTTTGTTTTTGGGAGCAGGAGTGTTCTTCGCACTAAGGATGGCCGTTGGGAGTGCAAGGATTGATAATGGGTTGGGATTAAGCAGTCAGAAGGATGGGGAAATGGAGACAGAGGGTTGGAATTTGGATAGTCCGGCTACTGTGGAAAGATTGAGAATGGCGGTCGGGGATGAAATTAGTGAGATGGGGAAGGTGGAGAGGAAAGAGGGGGAGAAATCTTTCTTTGTTTCTGTTGCTTGATTTTGGGTATGTCTGTGGTTCATTCTTTGGAAGGAGATAATAAGGAAAATGATATATATTGGAAAGTTGGAAATGTAATGAGCACAAACTTGAAAGTTTAAGTGGTATAAATGTATCCTCTTTATTTGATTACACTCCATCCACTTTCTATATGAGTTTAAACTAGTGATGTTGTGAGAAAGTTGAAATTATAGACCAAATACATAGAGGTTTTTAACCAGTCAATCACATGACCTTTTGTAGTTAGATATAAAAGGAGAGTTTTTGCTTCTCCTTTCTACAATAATTAATCTTTTATATATCACAGGAATATTCTATATATAACTTAATTAATTATTTGTAAGAGTGGTGTCATTTTTCTATAATAATATATATATTTGAATTTATATAATATTAATCTTAAAACTATTATGAATTCTGTTTTCTTTATAAATGATATATTATAATGTGATCTAATTAATTTACTCTTTCAATTCCTCTTTATAATATACCATCAGAACATATATATCCCAACCTACCACTTTTACAATATCACACTAATCTAGTTCTACACCAATAAAACAATTTAAAATTTCCAGTGTATAATACTTATCAACTTCTATCAATTATTTAAGTTATTATTTAAAATTAAATATCAATATCATTTTATTCAAAGTAAATTATTAAAACAATCTTTTATTATTTTGATATATTTAAGATTTCAATATATATATATATTTTAATAATAATAATAAAAAATTATTTATATATTTTATTTCAACTTTTTAATATTTAATATATCAGTTTTTAATTACAATAAAGAGATTTTTATTTTTTTTTAATATATTAATTTTTTTTTTTACCAGGGGCTTACATCCCTCAGACTCTTAGCTTTTTCGGAAAGTCTAATAAAAATTTATAATAGATTTAAATATTAAATATATATTAAAATATAAATAAAATATCAGTTTGTTTTTAATGATTGAAAATTAAATTTTTTTAATTTTAAAATAATAATTATAATAATTGTAATATTATTTAATATTTATAATAATAATAATAATATTATTATTATTATTATTATTTTAAATTAAATGATTTCAAAATTAAATGATTTTAATACAGTTGAAAAAAACTTCTTCAAGTTAGATTTATCTAAGATTATAAGACTTATATCAAGTTTTTTATTAGATTATTTACCGGGGTATTTTAAACCAATCAGATTATCAGAATCACGACTCATTTAAACAAGTTTTTTATTTTCTATAATCTATACTAGATAAATTACAATATACTATATATATATATATGTAACAAGGTTTTGATATCAACAAGTTGACAATTATATAATATTATATTAAATCCAAGTTCAAAACACAGAAACCAAAGTCAAGAAATTATTATAATGAAGAATCATAAATATATTATATTTTTGTATATCATGCAATGCATAGATAGGTATGTATCTGTATCTACAAAGCCATATCCATATCCATATCCATATCCATAACCATGTCTCATAAAACTAGCTAAGCTAGCCCACTCATCCATCCATCCATGCATACATCATAAGTTTTAATAAAACCCCAGCCGACCGGCCGGCCAAACCATTGGCCCCCCACCCATCAAAAACAAAACGAACACCATGATTACTATGTAGGTAGGTAGGTAGGTATTGAAATGTAACCTGAAAGCAAGAAGAAGAAGAAGAAAAGAAAATAGAGCTTCCGCTTTATCAATTACTACTCGTGCTGTGGAATCAAATCGAATTGAATATTACAAGCACCATCATTGGATCAGTCAATCAAATGATTTAAACTTCAACTTTCTGACCCCCCTCAGCATGAACATGTTCTACACCAGACTTCTCAGTCATACCCATCTCATCAGCAAAAGTGGAGTGAGGAACCCATTTGGCAGATGTACGGGGAGTAGTTTCTTCCAACATGCGATCGACTTGTTCAAGGGAGAGACCCTTTGTTTCGGGAACGAGGAAATAGGCATAGACGAAACAACATGTGCAGAGGGAACCCCACATGAAGAAAACTTTGGCGCCGAGGTTTGCTTGGCCTTTTTCGGTACCGACGAGGTAGGGAGTGATGACGGCGATGATGCAGTTCCAGAGCCAGTTGGAGGCGGTGGAGAGTCCGACTCCGCGGGAGCGGATAGGAAGAGGGAAGACTTCACCGATGACTACCCAGGCTCCGGGACCCCAGGTGGAGGCGAAGAAGGCAATGTAGATACAGATGAATGCGATCATGGCTGAGACGGCGGAGGTGTTGTTTTGCGAGGCACGACCGGCGGTAACTCCGATGATTGCGACGATGAATTCACATACTAACATACCGAGGGCACCCCAGATGAGGATTGTACGACGACCGAAACGTTCGACGGTGTAGAAGGAGATGGGGGTGGAGCAAACGTTGACGAGGGTGGTGATCAAACCGATGAGGAAAGGGTTGGAGATGGTACCGAGAGCTTGGAAGAAGGTGGTACCGAAGTAGAAGATGAAGTTGACACCGGTCCACTGTTGCATCATTTGAAGAGAAGTACCGAGGATGGTTCTGCGGAGGTTGGAACCTGGGTTGCTGAGTCCTCCCTTGAAGCAGTTCATCCATGAGCCGAAGTAACCGGTTTGAGGAATGACGGACATTTCGTATTCATGGTTGGCGATGATCTCGGTAAGTTCTTGTTGGATGTATTCACTTCCTTCTGGTTGACCTCTGAGACGAGCAAGGTTGGCAGCGGCACGATCAAGGTTACCCTTCTTAACATAGTATCTTGGAGATTCAGGGAGGAGGAAGAGACCAAGAGCTAAGATGAGAGCCCACGCGATTTGAAGACCGATTGGAATTCTGTAGGAACCAGTATCCATACGATTTTGAGTACCATAGTCGACGCAAGAAGCGAGAAGAAGACCAATGGTAATGCAAAACTGGTAACCCGATACCAAAGCACCACGAACCTTCTTGGGGCAAATTTCCGACATGTAAAGAATGATGGTGGCCGAGACGAAACCGACACCGAAACCTGCGACCAGACGACCAGCTACGAGGAGTCCCAGACCAGTAGATGCAGTTTGTAAGATGACACCGACGATGAAGATGAAACAACCGATAATGACGGTAGTACGACGACCGATCCAATCGGCGAGATCACCAGCAATGATGGCACCGAAGAATGTACCGGCGGAGAGAATCGAAGTGATTAAAGATTTATCCGAAGCGGGAAGAACAAAAGCATCAGTCACGGCTTTGGGTGCACCAGGACCAGGAATTTCTTTGCCAGTCTAGAAATTAGGATGTTAGTCAATGTTTGTGGGATGATGAATCATGAGATATGACGTACATATAGATGGATGAAATAGTTCATTCCCATGACACCAGAGATATATCCAGAATCATAACCAAAGAAGATACCACCGAACGAAGCAAAAGCACACATCATGTATGCCTTTGCAGTGACGGGAGCCTCGATGCGGCCCACATCTGAAGCTGGAGCCAATCCACCTGCCATTGCTGCGGTTGGCTTAGGGGTATGAGAGGGTAGGAGAGGAAGAGAGGAAGAGAGGAAAGAGATATCGGGTAAAGAGATCACTCTCAAGATTGAATACTCAAGGTTGAAAGGCCGATATAAAGAGTATTAAGAAACGCTACCAAAGTGAAGAGGCTGGGGAAAAAGAAGAAGTAAAATGGAGGGATTTCCAAAGCTTTTGTACCTATGCAATGAGCCATGACATTTGAGAGATTGGGGTAATAAGCGTAGGTAGGGACTAGGATTAGACGCTTGCATGGAAGTCAGTCAGGCGTTAGTTGGTACGGAGAATCCTGACCCAAAAATCTACACGAGCAATTTCTCACCCAATTTCTCTCCAGATGGGGACGCCGCTCTCCACCTGCCTCTCGCTCGCCACGCTAATTACCCCATGTCTTTGAATGGGGATGATCTCTCCAGACGTCTAGACATGTATTTAGTACATGTACTAGTCGGTATGTACTAGTACTGTACTCCGTGCATGAGGTGAAGCTAGGGATGGGTAGGCGAGGGATTGGTCTGTGCCGTACCCCGAGTAATCGGTCCGTTTTGTAAGGGATCTTCTCCATACGCCAGAGCTGGGGAGAAGTTGGAGCGGAGTTGGAGTGATGAGTGAGTGTCAATATGTGTAAAATATGTGTAATATGTAATAATGTGTAATAATGTGTAATAATATGTAATAATATGTAATAATATATAATAATATGTAAATATTGACGGCGGGATAGGTACAAATTACAGTTTTAGCCTAGTCGAATATACGATTCGGTACCCGCTGTAACATCCTCGGTTCAGCTTGATTATCACGAAAGTAGAGGACGGACATGCATGTACTGACTGACTGACTGGCTGGTGTTATTGAATTGAAGGGCACGTGATGCTTTGAATTGATTGATCAGCTAGCATCAGCGTAGATAGGTACGCATCGCCGAGTGTAAATTCCACAAGATCTAATGATGATTACATGATTTCCTTTCCTTCTGAATATCATTCACTAAAACAAAAGAAATCAAACCATCTCGTCACTCGTAAATTAGAAGTTGGTCGTCGTAAGGTAAGCCTACCTATGAACGGAGCAATGGCCCAATCGGGAATAGAAAAGATCCAAATGAACGGTTCGCTCATTCGTTCGTTCATCCACCCAACCAAAACCCCAATTGATAAATAGTGACAATAAACAATCAAGATAATTGATTCAAAGAAGAGTCCGTGTCCTACTAGGGAGGTACCTATATGTAAAGTTAAAATGCTCCATGAATTGAAAAGCCAAGGGCCCGAACAATTTACAACGCAGTGCATACTGTGAACGAGCTGTCATTCCCGAAACGGTCTTTGCCCGATCCATGCATGCGCCATCCATGGGAATGGGGTACATGGATACATGGATACATGGATTCTCCCCACAGCGGGTTTGGCGTCTCGATCCTTTTCTTTTCATCCGCATGACTTGTCTCGAGCCTCCTTTCGTGGCAAGTTGCAAGTTTGCATGGTTGGTGGTGTATGTTGTTTGTTTGCATGTTATGTATGTGTGTATGTATGTATGTATGTATGTATCGACTTTGCCAACACGCACGTTGATCCTCGATACTATTTATTGTAACGTTGTCGATACATAGGTACTTTAAAGATACAGGAGATACTCCTTACCTACATAATTGGCCGAATTTCTTTTTTCTTTTGTTACTGCTACTGCTACTGCTACTGCTACTGCATATCCCAGCTGAGGATCATTTCATGCATACGACCCCCCATGTTCAGAGGGAGGCAGTTCAAGCCATTATTCAAACAAGCCATCAACGTGATCATTGTGTTCCTTGTGTTCATTTTATTATTATTATAATACAGATCTTGGGAGTAAAAATAAGAGTAATAAGAGTAGATTGATCTATTAATTTTAGTTTTAATATTTGGTTGTTGGTTGTTGGCTATTGATTTTTGAATAGATGAGTGAATGAGTGAATGAGTGAATGAGTGAATGAGTGAATGAAATGTGTTGGCTGGATAGATAATTCCATGTAAGATTAGGTAATTATAATGATAAATGTCATCCATTCATTCATTATTCTGCATACTCGACCGAGATATTCATTCAATTCCGCAAAGAACTATACAAGAAGTAGTTTCAACTCCGATACCAAAATCCATTATGAAAACTTCTGAATGCACTGACTGATATTGATCCAAATGTTCCAAATCCCACGATCGATCGAAAGCTTCTATGCTTGATATTTTTCCACGCGCGGGATTAGTTTAGCACTTTGGAGTTCTGGGGTTTTAAACCCATTCATGAAAAGGTGGTGTCGTCGGCTATTAGTTTTCCATTTTGAGTGTGCATCGATACAGAGTGTTGGGACTGGGACTGAGACTGAGACTGAGCCACACTTTTTACCAAAAATTAGTGCGTGCTTGGCGCTAAAATAAACTTATTTATTAATGGAGTATGGGAATTTGCAAGTCATTTATTTGTTGGAAATTCTATGGACGGTACGAAGTAGGGTTTTCTTTCTAGTCTGGATTTTACGGACTGTCCGTTCGTTCATTTGTTCTGGAATCCAAACCTTAATCGTATTACTATCATGCAATCAATCAATGTAAGACTAACACACATGATCCATCATCCATCTAGACTCGAGAATTATTACAGCCAACTCGTAATTGGAAATCTTTTAGAAATGTTTTTGTCCCAACTTACTGAGTAAGCAGTCAAGTCTGCGCCGTCGAACAGGTACCGTACCGTGCCGTGCCGTACCTAAGAGAAGATGAATAAAATAATCCATCCGTTCAGCATCTCCGTAATCCTGGTGACCAAAGATGGCAAGATCAATCTTCCAACAAAGTCATTGGGCGTCCGTCGTCCACCCCCGTTTTGTCGGCTGTACCACCGCAAAAACGTGTTGTGTTTCTTGGCATGGTGACCCGCTGGGATTGCATACTGCTTGGCTTTGTTGTTAAACGCCGAGTGAGGATATAATTTATAATTGTGGTAGCATTGCTCATCGCTCAGCGCTGGGATGAACCGTGGGATGTAGGATGGATGGATGTAGGATGTTGGTGATTTTGAGGTTACGAGGAAATGAACTGGATTGAATTTGTATGAGCGCGTATTAATCATTAAAGCCGTGTAATCTATAATTTATGATTCAATACTACCAAAACTGTCGATGAAATAGAGTTGTTTACATAAATTATTAATCACAAACCAACAGTACTTTCTTTGTTCAGCGGAGAGAAGATTTAGCTATCCATGTGCTTCCACCTTTTCTTTTTTTCCCTTACCTTACGTCCCCCCCTCGCCTTTCCTTCCCCTTTTTTGCTCTTTCCAACAGTCAACACTCCACTCATCTCCGAAGTTTCTACCCTTCCCACAATTACTCCAAACTCCAGGAAAAGAGAAAGGAAAAAGAAAAAAGGAAAAAGAAAAACGATAAAACCCCAAGATCCCCACTCCCCGCTTTCTTTTCCTCCCAAAACAATCTAATCCCATACCTACCCTCAACTCCACAAATGCCTTGCATGTTTTAAAACCCAAAAAAAAGGAGATATCCGCATTTACGCAGAAGCATATCGAGGTAATCGGCCCTTTAAACATATACTTTTTGTTTTCACCAATTTCCCATCTCCTTCCAAGTTCCCCCATACATACGAATCTTTCTGGATCCACTTTTAAATCTCCAGACCGTAAAGTCAGCCCAATTACTCGTACCTAGTAATCGTTCCACTCCTCTCCCCTATTCCAGAATCCCCCAACTTTTTCCCTTTTCCACTTTTCCAGAATTCCTCGCATCGTACATCCTCTGTATCATTATTGTACAGAGTACGGACCCGTTTTCCCCATTGCCGGCCGAGGTTCCCGCGAGAGCCCGAGATTGGGAATTCGGTCACGAGTTTCGTATTGAGGCTGGATGGAGATCGAAGTACGAGATGAAATGGGAATGGAAGGATCTGGTCGTAGGATTCAACATCAGCTTTCACAAATCCGCTCCTCGGTGTAAGTGAGTTAAGGTTACATCTTAAAAGCTGAGTAAATGGTCCTTCCTGACTAATTGTGTATCACAGTATGTATATGCATGTAAAGTTTGATGACTGTACTTTTATCCTTTTGATCGTCGCCCGAAAACCTGGTATTGACAGATGGTATTATATTACATAGATCGAACCATTCAGCCTGTTTGTGAAAAAATCCGCTCGGTGCTGACGCCTCAATCTTACCGCCGGCAGCACAAGATTCAAAAGTTCCCGCTCACCGCAGCAACACCGATTGGATGATTGAACTCATCAGATTCCAAAGAATGTGCGAAGTTTTCCTCCGGCTCCGGATATAAAATTTTCCTATTCTCCTTACCAGCCATGAGACTTTCGCCTCTCGCATTATTGAACATCATGAGTTCCTCCCTCCTAGAACCGAAAGGGATATCGGGTCAGGGTTTTGGTAATTGGCGCTGATTTTGGGATCCATAATAAGACCGTACAGGACAGCGGGAAGGGGGAAATTGTTCCAAAGAAGCTTCGAGCTCCGATCCCTAAAAACGCCTCTTCATCTGGTGGCGTTTCGGCTGGTGTTTCCGGATATCGGTGTACATATTCACATGACTATTTTCCTTGGTATGGATGAGCTTTCGGGAAGATAGTCGCGGTGATTGTAAATCATGGGGATACAGTAAGTTGGAAGTTGGGGACGTTTCGAGGTAGGTGGGGATGATAATGCTTTTCATTATGTTTCATGAGTTGTGCGTCGGGTTCTTGGTTATGAGTAGTCATTTCCATTCTTGGGGAAGTACTTGGCATCGCGAAGTTTCTAAATACCAGTGCGAGACTAGTAAGTCATCATGTCAAGTGACCTTTCATTTTCTCCTCGAGTTTTGAGTCTTACACGTGCAAAATATAATTATAGACTGCTTACTCACTCCCTTTCATCCTTTCTTCCTTTCTTATTTCCTTACTTTCTCACTTCGTGCTTCCCTGAAACCATCATCGCATCATAGAAACAATTCACAACGTCACTAACCTTAGCACAACTTGAAATATATCCCCCTCGGCGAGATTGAACAAGATTCCGAATGCCCTCCGAAGAATATTAGCCTTCCTCAGGTCGAGGAACCGTAACGTTGCGAAAGATACACATACATGTAAGATGTTACGATTCTTATGGCGATCACTGATATGATACACAAGAATGATTCTCGAAAACGCGAAGAAGAAATTGAAACGCGAGGATAATTATTATGAATATGTGTGTCTGTGTGTGTACGACGGATGATCTATGAGATGGTATGATGTGCAATGAGAGTTGGAATTGGATTGGAAGGTGTTTTGAGTTTTGGTGAGAGGTAAGAGGTGAGGGGTAAGAGGTGAGAGGTGGGAGGTGGGAGATAGGAGATAGGAGATAGGAGATTATGGTGCTTGTGGTCCCGGTACAAACTTCAGTTACCTACTTTAAATTTGACAATAAAGAGTTCACTATTAGTTATCTTTGAGATTGCAGGAGGCGAGAATATGTGTATACTGGTAAGACTAACATTGTACACTGGTACATGGTGCACCGCGTATCATAGTAACGTGTTCTGATGGCTGCGCTGTATACAGTAGGTATACAGTACACACTCCGCAATACACACACAGTATAATCTCACGATGCTTGTCAAAAACCAGTAAACCATGCACACATAGAAGATCCCATTTCTTGATATTCCTGTATTCTTATATTCAAGTACATACTCACGTACTCACAATCTAAAACCATCATCTTCAAACACTTAATAAATCTTAAAAATCTATTATAGAAGAGTTAAAATTACACGTCATACAAGTAAGTGTATATAAAAAATTTCAACCATTCAATTGTATATATAATCTTTTATAATTAAATATAAGATATAAAAAGAAAATTTTGTTTTTTTTTTCTTTTTAAAAAGAAATCAATTTTTTATATATTATTTTTAAAATCTCAAATTTAGTTTCAATTTCAAAATTTTATAATAAAAGAATTTTTATTTTCTTTGTAAATAATTTGTTATAATATAATTTAATTAGTATTTTTTATTTAGTTTTTTTTTATAATATATTATTGAGATGTATATATTTTGATTATTTTCTTTTATATATTATTTAATATAGAATTATATCTGAAGATAATATTCTAATGATTAAGTTTTTAATATTAATTTCTATTGTTGAAAAGAATAAATTATAAAATATATATTATAAAATAAATCTTTAAAATAAATAATTGAATATACTTTTAAAAATTATACTTTATTCAAAGATTATAAACTCAATACTTATCTTTTATTTATTTATTTTATTTTATTATAATCTTTGTTAATATTATAATTTATTATACTTACAATTTTATACTTTATAATATATATATATATATATTACTCAAGAACCCTACTCAAATCAAAGGGCAAAGACCAAGAAGCTTGTTTATTTTATAAGTACATCTTTATTTATAAATGCTAAATCCGAAAATAAAATCCATCTAGAAAACTCCATCTGCTAGGTTTACTACAAGGAAAAGAGGCCTGAAGAATGAGCATTTCCTTGATGATTATAATCATGATAGAGAATATACTAAACTGAATAATAATTATATTTACAATTCACTTTTTCTAATTTTTCTCAAACAAATAAGATAAACGACGAAGAGAAAATTATCATCTAATCAAATGAAAAGGGAATTCAAAAATCTTCAAATTTCCAGCTATCTTGTATCACTCTACTTAAATACTCTCTCCCCAGATACTTCTCGCGAGTTCATCCTTGTTAAGAAATACCTTGACTTGAGGACACGGAGATATAGACCAGATAGAACGGGAAAGGGTGTATATATATTAAGCATAACTAATAGAATCGAAATAAATAAAACCTAAAACAAAAAAGGAAAGAATAATACTTATAAAACTTACACTCAGAAGTAAAAATAACAGTAAAAGAACATCAAGCAATAACATTGACTCTAATTAGAGATAGAATTCCAAACACCCCAGGAATTCGAGTCCAGAATACGATGTGAATTGAATCCGAAATTTCACTATTTTTTCTCATTTACAGAGACCAAGGCTTAGGTACCTTGAGAAATCGATCTATCTGTATATTTTCTTTGATATAACAGAAGACTAGAAGAGTAGAAGTTAAGAGAAGCGGTGTTTATATGAAAGTCTAAACGAAACAGCCGGGTTGATTAGCATATAGGATTCTCTCAACTATTCGAGGTGGGAACTCTACAAGACCCTGATTATTGAATGAACTAGTAGTATAGATTTTGTGAAGTCTTGCATACTTGGGCGGATATTCTATAAGCGCAAGTCAGAGATTAATTAAGAGATATGTAGTTCATAAGAAGTTTCATAAAGCTAACAGTGAAAATGTAAGCATATTCCAACGCCCAGAAAAGTCACATACGTCCCGGCTTCTCTTCAGGCAATTGTCTCTACAATAATGCCTCACCTTGACCCATATGAACCGAATCCGCTAGTATAATATAAAAGCATTCGTCTCGAGCGCAGAAGATAGACCAGATATAATTCTGGTTTGCCATGAACAGATTTCCGTAGTGGTGAAGTTATGTTAACTTTTTTTCTGTCACAACATATACAGAAGATGAAATCTCGCGAATCAAATCTGAATCTTCGACCAATGGCAAGATTCCGGGTCAGACAATTGTGTATTGGACACTTCGTTGTTGATAACTACGATATCAGGAACAGATCTCTCGACAAGGATTGCAGAACTTTAACAACAGTTATCAAGTGCATGGTACATATACCGAGTATTTTCACAGCAATCTGAGAGTATCCCATGCAGAACCACCTATATAACCACTGTTTGGTGCTTGCGCTGGATTTCTTACAACCAACGGTGCTCAGCAGCAATAGATAAAGCATCTCACATTTACTTTTTAATGACTGGTGTGTTAGGTACTTTATATACCATTCAACACTGCATTGCAGTAGCTTTATGGTTTGGTTTAATTGAAATATAACTGTTCATATCTCGCATCGAGCTAGTGTATTTAGTGTCTCATGCTATTTCTGTATTTTGAGTTTTATGAATCACCCGCTTTCTTTTGACAGATACAGCATTTAGGAGCTTAGACCGGCATTCATAGGAAGCCCAGATAGACAGAATTGGTTACAGTCGACTTAGCTTATACTAGATTATATTGGTATCGAAGTGCTCATTGATGATATAGCCAGGCGATGATAATGATATAGTGTTTGAATTGTAGAACAACGATTTCAGGATTAGAGGCAACACTTGTGCATTATGAAAATTTGACGTTGGTGACAAAAGAAATAATTGAGTACCGGTAAGCTCTATGGAATCATCAAGCACTGCGTCTAATTTTCTGATGCTCTTTCCCAAGGCGATATTTATAACCAATCGTAGATGTCTTACCTACAATACCTGGCTATTTATATTTCCAAACGCATCACATGAAATGTCCATGAGCGGCCCCTTTACCGATTCCAATATCAGAAAACATAGGATACTATAAAGTTGTTTAGTGGTAGATAATATTTATTTCAATACACGGCATTAGTGTTTGTTTGAGTTGCAAGTAGCATGGTTACTCAAGCCACATGTTCATCTTTCCTCGCATTGACTTCAATAAAAGGAATATTGACTGATATCGTCGAACCAACTCGAAGATGATGCTCCACCCGAACTTCGATATTGAGAGAGTCGTGGGTGAAAAATTCCCAACGACCAGGTAACTACTTAGTTATCTGGGACTTTACCTTCACTACACATTCAGTATGAATGATAATTATGCTTAACAATGGTGCAAAAATAATAGCAATAAATTGCTATACGAATATACAATAACCGGCAATCAAAAAGACAAACGGACTAAAGAAAAATTTCACAAGTTTGAATAACTATTCTTCCGAAAGCCATCAGCAAGCTAACCTATGCTCGACCCCATTTTTGGCAGGAATCTGAGTGGAGAAAGAGACGACGGCTGATCGAGAACACGAGACTTTTGGTTTTTGTAACATGCGCTGAGATGAACCTATCAGCACTGCTGTCTGAACCTGCATTTACAAATCCAGTGACCATCGTGAAGATACCCCTTTTTGAACATTGACATCAAAACTCGGCAAGGTAGAGCGAGAAGTACATTGCAGTTCGAGCTAGTTAGACGGGATAACATGGACATACAGAGTCCCCCTTCTTTTGAGCAACTTCAGTGTGAAGTGGTGTGTGACACGGATAAATTATGGTAACAATATGTTGCATTGCCCTGGGCGTCGGCATCCTAACACTATAGAGATTGTGATATCCACACTAGTAGATCTCTAATCCCCAGATTATCAAATGTGACATGATCGTCGATGGGAGATTTCCTGTTACACATGATTGGGATGTTTCGGACATTGACAGGTGTGAATGCGGCGATCTAGAGCAAATGGGATCATTTCCTCCCACCCGGACCAAACATTGAATGGCCCAAGAACCCGCAAGTTCATAAGAAGCTTAACCTTTCAAGCCTTCAACCCCCATAAATAGGAAAAAAGAGGTAGAAAAAGATGCATCGATGATCTGATTTCTAGTTTACCACCGGGTCTAGAAGTCCCGAATATTTTTGCCCAACCCCTCTTATATCTACCACCAAATAAGCCATTTTGCCCAAAGAAGGACACAACAAACTAAACCTATAAAGGAAAGCGGTGATAAAATCTATGGATTCTCCCACGCGTTTATTCTGTGGAGATTCCTGTACCATTTGTAACATTTGTCTCGATTCGGCTGTTTTGGAGTTTTTGAGTGAAAGTGCCGACCGGGTAAACTCCATCCGCCCGATAAATTGAGGGAGATTCAGATGGATAAATCCCGGAGGTGGGCAGTTCGAGGCTTTTTTTTTTTGATGCTTGCTTTAATGTTACCAACGAATAATATAACATAACACAACACAACAAAACACGACAAAACAAAACAAAACACACGCAAAAAGCAATGTCAATGCATGAAAGAGTATTCGTTTTGTAAGGGCTTCTTGAGTTATATGTATATATATATATATATATATAGGTACGTATGTACATGTATATACCAAGTACTTTCATACCACACTGGAAGCAATGATATGGGGTGACGATGAAGTGATATTTGAATACCTCTCATTCTCATTCTCATTCTCATTCTCATTCTCATTCTTACTCTCAATCGCTCTCAACCACCCTCTATCTCATTCTCCCTTATGAATCTCTTCTCTTCAATAATTCTCCAGCACCGCCACGCTTTTATGCGTGTGATAGCATATGGATAGCAGACTTGAGATGTCCACCACACAAAAGCGACTGCAAACATCAAGACCCAGGAATGTAATGATCAGATATTGAATATACTTAAGATCGTATCTCAAACTAATTTGGATCCTCTATCTATCTGCTTAATAATCATCTTATACCTCCCTATGCCAAAGGAGAGTTGACGCGTACGAATACCGATTGCGACTTGAGAAGAATCAAAGTTAACTAAGACGCGCCAAATAGAGGGAGGCGGCTATTCATAACTCAGTTCAATCCAATTATTTCAATTGCTCATTTCGATTGAATGGACAAAACTTTTCAACCCCTTTGACAATTTCAGATCTCATTATGTCGACTGCTGCGGTGAGTGATAAAAGCTTCATTCCTTTACAGTTACAAGTCGACTTTCCATAAATTGTGGATGCAGGAGAATAAGTCAAATGCCAAGACTTCAGAAAGCTTAAATATCAATTGATATCTTTAGCTATATCTCTCAGGACGAAGTCCATAAGCCCCTGGAACTCATCAATAACTTGCAAGTTCTTCGAATCTTCGTCTAATACTATGTCTCAGGAGAAAGCAAATCTTGCGCGCATTCGAGATAATCAAAGGCGGTCCCGCGCCCGGAGGAAAGAGTACCTTCAAGAACTCGAGGCACGACTGCGTCAATGCGAACTTCAGGGTATTGAAGCTTCCTCCGAGATTCAAATGGCAGCAAGGAGAGTAGCAGATGAGAACAAAAAATTACGAAGTCTACTGGCACAGCAAGGAGTGGGAAGTGATATAGTGGAATCTTATCTACAGATGAGTTCTGAAGATCTGATGATGTCGGGGCAATATGCGAGTGAAAGTACTTCAGTGCAACAGTTGGAGCATTTACTTCAGTCGCGAAAAGCTTGCTGTCCAGATGGGAATGGTCATCCGAGCGCAACAACAATGGGTCAAACAGTCCGGAGCCGAGAGAGTTCTTGCAGTGCCAATACCGTGCATTCATTATGGGATCCAGTTCACACCTCAGGTAGCTTGAGTGTAGGACAGACACAACCATCGATTGTCAAGGGAGTCTCATCAGCACAACAATTCATGGGTCCAAGAAGAAGCAGCGCAGCAAGCCGACATGGCAGTATTAGTCAGAATCCCAGTACTGCCAGAACAGTTCACAATCAACAACAACAGCAAACATTCAACATGACACCACTAGCATTACCAAATACACAACATGGCATACCATCCAGTCTCTCCGTCCAAACCCCTTCAGTCTACGATTTTGACCCTCAATATCTCTCCAACCAATCCTACCATAACCTCTCTCCACAGACCCCTCACATGCATCCCCACTTACAATCCCACACGAACCCTCATTCCAATTCAAATCCCAATACCCGTTCATCCATCTCATCTCATCAAACCTCCCCACCAATATCAACAACATACACCACCACTATGACCACCGATAACAACGGACCCAACATGAATAGTTGCATCTTCGCCACCGACATGATCACCACCATGGCGGGTGGCGACCCAGCAGTCGTGCGTGCAGAATTGGGCTGTATGCCAGACATGGATTGTAATGTGGATAATCACTTAGTGTTCCATGTCATGGATCGGTATACAGGTAATGGAGTAGGTTTATGACAATTTCGAGATGGAACGAGTTCTATATTTAATGTAATTCTTATTTGTTCAGATGCAGATTCAGATTCAGATACCCCTTACTTTACTACGAATCTCAAGGATAGCGATGATTCGAATAATGCAAAAGTTTTTACTTCTTTCGGCTTTCGATGAGGTTTCTATGAGTGTATGCATAACTAGTATTTCTTAGCTACCTAATTATGTTGGAAGTTAGTGACTCAGTCCAAGTCAATATCTCTTGCGTAACCTTGACAGGTGTGGAATGTTCGAATAACATTTATTATAACCCAGAACCTTTTCAAAATCAAGCTGTTAAAAGATTCCACACATTCGCACCACCTATTCCCATTTCTATCTCCATTTCCATCTCCATAATAACCTCACCTCAGCCTCATTTCCTTCGATCTTCCTTTGGACTTCCCTTCCCTTGCTTTCCATTTCCCTTTGTCCACTACTCCAACCCAATATCAAGTACTCCATTTAAAATCCTACCCTTCCTTCACCGGTATAACCCACCACCCAACATTCCTCAGCAACATACTAACTCCTTCCGTCCACATATATCTACCAATGCGTACATCCAGCACATCCAATGCATCCAATTTTTCCAAAAAATTTAAAAAATTTAAACCAATTCTCAAACCCTTTCATCAAAGACGGATATGGACTCCCTCTCAACGAGCAAAGAAAAGAACCATGCAGCAAAGAAAACCATCCCAACTCCAACCCTTTTCCCTTTCTCTGCGAAATTTTTCTTGTCCACAAAGGATTCTTTGTTCATCTTCTATACTCCGCACAAGAAACCTCTATCTCGTTTCTTGTTTCCCCTTTCCAACATTGGGGTTTGCGATGTCCGAGTGTGCTGTACTGTATTCATTATTCTATTCTTCATCCCGAAGCTCGTTCAATGGTATTGGAATCGCTTGTGTTATAATTGAATTCACGCAAGTAAGCAGGTAATTGAGCAACAAATCAATCAAGCAAGCAAGTAATCAAGTGGTTAACATTAAAAACCTTGTTCTCAAATCACTCGCTCATATATTCGAACTCCGTACCTCATAACCGCCAAACCAACAAAATGGAACTATCAATCCCCATCCCAAAAGCAATCCCCTTCGAAACCGGCCTTCCCAAAACCCCCCTCCCCGTCATCGATCCCCGCAATAAACCCACCCTCAACGTCCCGCAAAATAAATACACCACCTTCGATTTCACCCCCTTCCTCAGCTCCCCCGCCGTCCTCCACCGCATGCGAGAAAACCGACAACAAATCCCCCTCCTCTCCCCCATCCCCTCCACACGAATCCCCTCCCCTTTAGCCGAAAATCTGCACCCCTCCGTCATAAAGGACGTGCGAGATTTCCTCCTCGGAACAGGTAAATACACCAGTCCCTACCAACGCCAGTATTCGGGCAACGGAGCCGAAGTATGGGCGAGCTGGAAACGCGCCTGGGATATTTGGAATAATCACTATATCGACGGACGCGTGAATGAAGTATGGGTTGCGCGCGCCTATAGACAATGGGAAGCGTATATAGCGCAGCAGAGCAAGAAAGGGAAAGCACCATTCGAGGGACCACCAGGACGAAGTCTCCTGCGCAGAAAGAAGGTCGAGATTGGAAAACCGTATCATACGGAGAGTAAGGCGTTGGAACAATTCGAAGTGAGTATTGATGATGTAGCACAGGGAAGGAAGGAGTTCAAACAGCGCGCTATCGACGAGTTGAAAGCGTCGTTTAAGAGAAATCGTGATTTGGGTCATGGATATATTGAGTTTTGCGAAGCGCTGGCCGAGTGGACGAGACGCGAGTGGTATCGTCCTGAATGGAGCCAGTATAAGGATTACAAGAATAAGGCTCCGGAATATTTACCCCTGACCATGAAATATGTACACGAGGAACTATATGACGGTACTAAAGAGCGCGTCATCGAACTCCTCGGCACGGAATTTTGGCAAAAAGATCCTAAGCTCGAGGCTCATCCCGGAACCATCGAATACGCCATCGCCATTGCCAACTGGGAACAACAGGCCGAAGTGATCCGATGCAGATACACCGAACGACCTAATTGGCTCTACATGTATGAGCCGACCGAAAAGCTAGAGGACAAGTACATCGAATCAGCAAAGAAACGCACGAGTCCCGCCGTAATCGACGAATTCCGACTCCGCATGAATGTGAATCGGAAACTGGGGGTGGGATATATTGAGCTCTCGTGGCAGGAGGCGCATTATAATATCAATCTGAAAGCGCACGATGGGGATCTGGATGCCACGATTCAGGAATTTGAGAAACCGGATCCGAAGGATTATATTGATAAGGCGCGGCCGGGGAAACTGGATGAGAATACCGCGCCTGTGGAGGCGATTGATCGTGATGAGGAGGAGGAGGATCAGGATGAGGATGATATTAATCATAATGATCTTGCTAGACCAGCGCCCATTGAGGAGGATGGGTCTAGTGGGGGCTTTTTTGCCATGAGGGATTTTCTTGAATATGCGGTTCCGGATGAAGATGATGCGAGCTTTCACGAATATTATGATCCTATTGAGAATAGTATTTGGCGACCAATACAAGTTGGTGAACAGAGACCAAAGATTGATATGGACGAAGAACCCGATTCATTTTTAAAGAATTCTCAATTTGAGATTGATGGTGGTGTGGATTGTGGAAGAAGTCCTTATCCTGTATGTTCCATTTCTTTTTCATGCCATATAAAAATATTTTGCTGATAACATCTATGTAGCTTCTCCGGCCTCTATACAGATACGCTCAAAGTCACGTTGGGGCACATAAAGACTCAAACCCCAAAGATCACCTACCATTCAAAAAACAAGGATCCCTTTTGAAACTCAAAAAGTATTGGGATAACGTCACAGGCACAGTTTTCAACATCCCTACCAAGAACATATATGCGCAAACCCTTGACAAAATTGAAGATGCTAACCATCGAGAATCCTTCAATAATAACGAGAGCTATCAAAACCCAGACATATTCCCCTTGGATATTCGACGATGCGAAAAAATCTCATCTCCGTTCAAACCTGGGAAAAACCCCAAAAAGCTAGTTGACTTCCGAGAAACCGATACTATTATCCAACCATCCTTTAGGATGAAGGAAAAGGAATATAGACCCATGAGATTTGATGATCCTTGGTGGGTTGAGCCGGAACAGAAGTATTATCGGGATATGCCACCTCGAAACTACCCGCCAAAATTTGATGAAACGCAATCGCATCTCCCGAAGGATGTCAGACTTTGGAAAGAAGAATTGGAGAAGGATTCCGATTTGAAGAAACGATATTTCGTCGCTAACTTGGATGGAAGACTTTTGACAATCAACGGAGTTGAGGTTGGAAAAGGCGAAATCGCAGGTCCATTACCAGAATTTGCAATAATACAAACTGAGGGAGGTGGAGTATCTTTCTGGCATGGAGTAGGTGGTAGATTTTACTTACAGCCGGCTGGTGCTAGAATGAAGGATTGGTCTCGACAATGGAGTCAGTTGAGACAAGCCTTGAATGATGAATTCTTCGGCGTTGCTTCTGGATATTTCTGGCAGAACGCAATTGTGGGAAAAATCATGGAAGACGATGAGGGCGAAGGGGAGCAAGACCCTAAATGGATAAAATGGAAAAGTGCAAAACCAGTCAGAAACACAAATGCAGTGGACCCCCGCGCTGTTAAACTTCATCCCGGTTTTCTCGATTCTCATCCTGATCCTCAGTCCAGCGAAAACGAAGACTGGGGAGCGCCTGGACCTTTACCATTCGAGAGTCCAGAAGCTGAGCTCAAATGGGCAGCAGCACAACTTCATTTTCAGGAAATGTTTGTCAACGAACCATGGCTCAAGGCTAAAATGATTGAGCCAACCAAAGATACAGCGTGGGGAGGGCTGCAAGAAGACTATCGCGATCCTTCTGATGGTCCTACAGACGAAGCTAGGGATGCATGGTGGGCATCCAATGGAGACCGCACTCAAAAGGTTCAAGTGAAATCAGGTCAAACATTTGATGAGCGACTACGGGAAGAATTTGATGCCGACCAAGCCACGGTTGAGGCCAAAAGTTTGAAGCGAAAGGCTGACAATGATGGCTACTTCTTACCTGACGCCAAGCGATTCCGAGAGAATATAGGAGAGAGAGAAAAACAGAAAATTGAGGAGATTGAACTAAAGGAAGTGGAGCGGTTGAATATGGGCATAGCAGAATTAGTTGATCAGATCAATCAGGGTGCTAGAGATCTCGAGGAGAAAGCGGAACCTGGTGCACTAGTGAAGCACATAGATCAGTGGCATCCGGCTTCTGGCGCTGATGCCGAGGCACAAGCAAAAGAAGCGCTTCAAAGAGTCCGAGAGCTGGAGCGGGTAAGACTACTGTATAATGAACGTAGGAAGAATGCGAATGAGAGCGCGATCCCGCCTTTCAAAGACCCTATCGCAGGTTTAGCCCCTTCGACTGTCTTGACGCTACCAGAAAACCAATGGGCATTAGAAGCAATAGTAAGACACAGGGAAGCATTTCGTCTAGACCAAGAAGTCCAGGAAACAGGGGCTTTGAATAATCTGAACGCCTCTGAAAGATTGAAACGAAAACGTCTTACGGAAAAACGAAGTCGAGGTGGCCTTGGGTTTACAATTATGACAGATGCGCAACTGAAAGAGCAAAAAAGACAATTGGTGATCAAGGCAAAAGAACAGAAAGAAGAAGAGGATTTTAGAAAAGTATTACAGTTGACCAATGCGTACAAGGCAAAGACGACACAAGTCAAGAAAGATGAAAAACACGTAGCAGCTGTGAAAGATGGAATTCAAGCTGGCGATATAGTGAAGGCCGAAGCAGCGATGAAGAAAGGTCGGGAAGAAATTAAAGACTTCGAATTGGAAATAGCAAAACAACTTTCTTTGTCATCTTTGGCTGAAGCGGAGGGTATTAGTGTAGAAGACCTGGTCGAATACGCAAAGACCCCTGGATTTGATCCTACAAATTTCGGCGCTTGGACCAGCAATGTAGCGCGGGCCAAAAGAGAAGAAGAAATACTTCAAGCAGCGAAAGTGGCAGCCAAGACAATGAACATGTCTGTCGAACAGTGGTACAAGTCCGAACATGGAGTCTCTACTTCCGAAGAATACCTCAAAAAGCTCGCCAAAAACGAGCTTCCGAAATACGAATTGAACGCCGAAGTTTTGAAAACTAAACAGGAATTTATTGCAAAAATTCTCCGCACTGTTTCCGGCCATGATCAGAAGAGAAAAGGCCAATTTACCAGCTGGGAAGAAGTTATTTCAAGCATGCCGGTCGCTGCAGATTGGGATACAGTCGTGAATGCCCCGCCGGAAACAGATACCCTGGAGTTGGGACTCACACCGAGGATCCAGACAATTAGCATATATGATGGCAGTTCAATATGGACGGGTCAGTTGTGAGTTGTGTTGAGTATATCGATGTCTGAGTATTGTCATTCGCTAGGGACCTTTTCTGGATATTTGCATTCCTGCAAATTGCAGATACGATGATGGAGTTTGGGCTGAGCTGCTGCTTTTGGTTTCTCTTTAAAGATCTTGGGTTGAATAAAAATTGGAAGTCGAAAGTATTTGAAAGCACGCAAATTGGTTGAGGAGGTGTCCATTTCACCGTGGTTTCCATGGAGGTTAGGTACTATGTTAGTGATATCATAAAGTTAGTGATAGTATAATATTTTGTTTATTCGAAGCATGAGAATTATTTCCAATACATTGAATGAATATACAAAATGGTCCTGGATTGTTGATGATATATTTTGCAGCATAATATTTTAACATTGTCATTAATTATAACATGGTGATTATTCGCTTAAGTCGAACACGAAAGGGGAAGTCGTGTGTTTGATAGCTCCTTCGTTCCTTGCTGCATGGCTTATTTGATCTGATGATCTACTTAAATGCTGTAAGTAATAGAAGCCTTATTTTATACAGCATTGCCATGGTTGGTTGGAAAACTATCACAATTCAATCATAGGTACATATCTCTATAATTCGAGTCATTGTATTTTATATGCTTAGATCTTGACTTCCAGACCCGTTGTTTCGGTACAGCCGAAGTTTGATCGGTATGAATTCGTGAGTTGAAATTGTTTTTAAGACAAATAAAAAGAACTGAACCAATTTACAATGTGATCCATTATTTCATTGCTTGGATCCACAATACATGAGCGTTTCACCGAGGCATGCGTACATGGATTTGTAAAGTCCATAACCACCCAAATGTTTGTTAGCCAACCAGTGGCCATCTTTGATGGGAGAGTTTATAAACTCGATATCAGATCATAATGTACATTGAGTGGTACCATATATACAATCCTACTGCATATATTCTGCGCAAGAGATGTCCAAGAGCCATGCATCGGGACCGAAAGATTAAAATATACCAGTGATAACCTTGATTTTAATGAATTTGCGCTTTCATGGGAGGGTAAAGAAGATTCAGTCCACCGCCAGAAGTATTCTTATACTGTTCTCCGGTACATGACCATTGGGCATCTCTTGCTTTGTATTCCCGGGATATTTGTATTCAATTCCCACCTTTTCTATTCAAATCGGTCCAAAAGGATATCCTTCGCTACGGTGGTTTCGAGCCTTTTTCCTCAACACTCGACTTAAAACCCAAGATCCCCCCAATAACACCCCCAGGTTTCGGCACCGGACACTCGCGCTTCGCTTTCCTCCTCCCTTCTATTTCCTCCCCATCATCCGATTCCCCACTACCACCCATTTCCTCCCGTATCTTCTCATTAAAATCCTTGTATCCACTTACTCCCCCTCTTTCTCCCTGCTCAACCTGCAATGCACTCTGGTCCTGTGCCTGTTCTTGACCCTGCTCCCCCACCTCATCAACAGGACATTTCCGCCTTCTCCTCCTCGGCCTCTGTGATCCGGACCCATCATCCGCATATACAACGCGCGGTGCTGGACACGGGAGAACATGCGGAAGCGCTACTACGAAGAAACTAGCAAAGAGGGTGCCTGCGAAGAGGGAGGAGGTAAATTTTGAGCGGGGATGAAGATGAGGTGGCATGGTTTTTTATATGGGTCGAAGGGAATGTGGTGGTGAGTTTTTGTTCAAATGAATGAAATTTGTCTTAGGATCGTATTAGCAATGGTTTTATATATGTAGAAGAATCCTTACTTATTATTGCATCTTTTTTGGAGACATTGATATTGGGGTGATAAGTCTTCAATTGACGTAGTTGAACACCTGCGTATGAAGGAAGATAGAAAATGGTGGGATATCATCGGGTATTAATGAATTAATTCGTTCTTGGGTCAAGGCGTAGATCGTAAATTCACCTCAGGTGGTAGGTATGATCCTAGCTTTTATCAATTTGAAGCTCACTACAAATGCTCAATGCTCATTGCTCATCGCTCATTGCTCACCCATTCCCACTAGCGTAATCTTGACACCCTTATCACATTCGAGGCTGTATCGTAGAAAATTATAATTCAACCAACAATTTCAATAAAAAGTAATGAAAACATCAATTGAACTTACAATGACAGCGGTATAATTTGTTTTCAATCTTTCAACTTTGAACTGGAATTTATCTAGTCTTTCTTTCCTGCATAGTAATTTTCTCCAGCTTTGAGATACATACGATATATTCCGCCATCCGTTTGCGCCCCCCCCATAAATCTCGATGCGCCGTTGACAATCTCGCGTCGTTATTAAAAGAAATCGACAAAAGATATTGGACATATACGAATTCACATCTGAGTTCTTTCGAATGAGCTGAGTCGCAGATTTTAAACGGCCAATAGATTGAGATTGCGCCTCATCAACATCTTGGAGCTATCTACATTGCATCAACTCCATACACGCCAATTTGGATCTACCTAATACCTCGGACCTCAAGATCTCGAATCGAAGAAATTAAATGGCAAAGATGAGTGATTTGGATAGGTACAGCTTCTGCGACTTCTATGAGAAGGTTCCAATCTGACTTGACTCAGAGCCATATCGCAATTGCGAGCTTGTCGACCAATCCCAGAAGCAGAGGTTCGAGAATTATGTCATAAAGCGAGGGAATTGTTGATAGAGGAAGGGAATGTGGTCACAGTAACAGCGCCAGTTACGGTACGGTGTCATGAATTTGCGCAATGATGGATCGATGTTGACGGATTTGCAGATATGTGGTGATATTCATGGTCAATTTCATGATCTTATGGAACTATTCAGAGTAGGTGGTGATGTACCTGATACGAATTATTTATTTATGGGTAAGGTTTCAAGGCAGTGTCAATGGCAGATGTAATACTAACTTGCATAGGCGATTTTGTTGATCGAGGTTTCTACTCATTGGAATCTTTCCTTCTCCTCTTATGCCTCAAAGTACGATACCCAGATCGAATGACCTTGATTCGAGGTAATCACGAATCTAGACAAATTACCACAGTTTACGGATTTTATGACGAATGTTTACGAAAGTATGGAAGCGCAAATGTATGGAGATACTGTTGCGAAGTGTTTGATTATCTTGCTCTTGGTGCAATTGTACTCGGGGCATCAAGCAGTCTACAACCTACATCTATGCCAAACGGTGAACACAGCGCCAGTTCGACACAGGAATTCAATGATGAGGATGTTGAAATTGAGATTTTAAATGTAGATGGAAGTATCATGAACAAATTTCTACGAAATAGGGACAGGATTGGCAAAAGAGAGCCATCCTTAGATTCAGAAATGAGTTCATCGGACAAAGGTTCCCCTAGTCCTCAAAGCAAATTCCCGAGCAGCACGGGACCTCCTGGTTCTGGAGCTTCAGGTTACAGCGGAGGTAGTTCTGGTAATCTCTCGGGCGCAGTATTCTGTGTTCATGGAGGTCTCTCCCCTCTAATCCAAGCCGTTGATAAAATCCGCCTTCTCGACCGCAAACAAGAAGTCCCCCACGAAGGCGCCATGTGTGATCTCCTCTGGTCCGACCCAGACGAAATAGACGGATGGGGACTCTCACCTCGCGGCGCAGGCTTCCTCTTTGGAGCCGACATAGTCAAAATGTTCAACCACACAAACGACCTCTCGATGATCGCTCGCGCCCATCAATTAGTAATGGAAGGCTTCAAAGAAACATTCGACCACAGCATCGTAACCGTCTGGTCCGCGCCAAACTACTGCTACAGATGCGGAAACGTAGCAGCAATCATGGAATTAGGAGAAGACGGCACGGGAACAGGAATACTGGCAAGAAGTAATGGAGAAGTAAGTAGAGGCAATGGAGCCAACGCACCGCTACTAGAAGATAAAATCCCATTGAGTGGTCCGGCGAGGAGATATCGGGTTTTCCACGCGGCGCCCCAGGATTCACGGGGTATGCCGGCGAAGAAACCAGTAGCGGATTATTTTTTGTGATGAGATTCTTTTGCGGCATGTCGGTCTGTCGGTCTGTGTTGAAGTTGAAGATTCCATGATATATATCATAATATCACGATATCAATGATTATCATGCAGGACTTCTCATATGAGGACCTCGGAGATGGATGGATGTTAGTTATATTGTAGAAAGGGTTTCACACACTTACTTACCTTACCTGTTCATCTTATGGATATCGAGATCTGTATGTATTTATTTATGTATGTACCTATCTATGTATGAAAGAAAGGAAAACTTTTGTCTTGTTTTACATACCTATCTATACCTATACATACATGTAAATGCACTTCATATAAAGCAATGCGCATTAGTATCAGTAGCACGAGAACGTACGCTTCATTCATCTTTTACTGATTATACGATGAGATTATACGATATGATGTGATATATAGCTATCGAGGTGACTGGTCGTGAATTTCTCCATTCATAAGAGCACCGGAGGTATCGATTATACGTATATATTTATTTTCATCCTTAGTACCCCGTTTCAATTCAATTCACTTCAGTTCATTCCATTCCATTTCATTCCCCATCCATCCATCTTTATCATATCCACATACTACATTTCCATTCCCATTGCCAAATCCCAATACACACGTAACCGAAAGCCAAACCCACAAGCACAAACACAAACAACCCCTAACCCAAGGTTTAACCTTCTTTCTCTTCTCCCCTCCACCCCAGCTCCACCTTCTTCAACTCCCTCCTCCCCTCCCCCTTTCTCCTCTGCTTTTCTCCCAGAGCAAATGTACCTTTTCTCCCTCCACGCTTTTCGAAACTCTTCACTGGGTTCTTTAACTTCAGGACTATCTCTATTCAAACCCTTTTCCCGCATGACCAACATTCTAGCATCGGCAATCGATTCGTCGAGTCTTTCGCGGTGTTTTTCATCCATGAGTTCTATTTGGGCTTTTTTTAATCGGTCGAATGCGTCTGGCGCGAGTGGATTGCGGGTTTTATCTGGATGGATTAGGAGGGATTTTACGCGGTAACATTTTTTGATATCGGATTCGCCGACTCCGGGTTGAAGGTCTAGGACTGCGTAGCTGTTTGTGTGGTTGTTAGCATTTGATCGTAGCGCGTTTTTACCACTTCTTCAAGCTCAACCTCAGACTCAAATTCTTCCTCTGTTTTTGTGCCATCTTTAATTCTAGCAATGAAAGAATAAACTTACGCATCCAAACGAAAAGCTTTTAATATCCTATCGATTTCTGTATCCTATAGATAACACATAAGATTAGCATGTATCCCGTCACATATAGTCTCCCAATCTATCCCCTGCGACACACCAAAAACATCCCTTCTGCCTGTCACTCCCTTCATCAAACCCCCCCTCTCTAAAACACACACCCGCAAAATTAAAAAACAAAACACGAAAAACAAACCTTCATAAACTCCTTCGCCTCACTCTCCAACCCCTCCAGCGCATCCAAATCATCCTGTTGATCCTGTTGATCCAATCCATCCTCCTTCTTAACATCCCTCTTCCCCCCATCCTCACTCTTAACTCCATCACTCTTACTCTTATCCACACCCACATTCCCATTGCCACCCTCATCCCCCTTCCCCTCCATCTTCACGTTCATCTTCACCTTCGCATCCGACATCATCGCCATTACACTGCAGTCGCAGTAATCCCTCAATCTCCCAATCAATCCCTCCCCTCCTGCACAAAAATCCTTCAACTCTCCTCAACTCTCCTCTTCAAATCACCTCACCTCTTCAAATCAATTCAATCCACCAGCCAGTTCAATCAAATCAAATCAATCCCTCCAAACAAAAATGACAAAAGAAGCCGAGGAATTCGTAAGAATTCTAAAAGAAAAACGAAATGAAAAAAAAAAACCAATAGGTAGGTAAGATAAGATCGAACCCGTCTGTCTGTCTGTCTGTACCTTTCTAGATTCTGAAATGTATGAAATGAAGCACCGCACCATAACGCTTGGACCATGAATCTAAAATGCTAGCAAGGGCGGGCGGGGCTGATGTTTCCCGTTGTGGATCATCAAAATTTAGATGGCCTTGCTTATATAATCTATTATGAGGTAGGTAGATATAATCATATTACAAATCCCGAAGAAATCAAGTCAAATCATATTAATTAATTTCATCATGATAATTTTTGACTACAGACAGGGCTAATAGACTCTGTTCCATTCCATCTCCACTCCGCTGATATCAAGTCAAGGGTATCAATCTACTCTCAAAGATCAAAGATGGGAAGAGAACGAACGTCTCGTCTCTTTCTCATCATGTCCATTCATCCATAACAACCACCGCATTAAGCTAAAAAAACATTAAAGAAGTTTGGCACAACCTAGCCCTCACTATTCTACTCTTCCATCAATTCACCAATTCGATATTTTCCCGGGGTATAAAATCTTCTCATCTCAATCTCATAAAAATTAGTCCTAGGAGACCCATTATAGATCTTCACAACACTTGTCCTTTGCTCTGTTTAATAGAAAATCTTAGGTTGCCAAAGTGGTGGTCTGGCTCCTTCAACATCCCAAACCAACTTATTCTTCTCATCAAGAGTACACCCATCATCCGTAATTGGAATAACCTTACTGGTATGCGCAACCTCTTGTGCACTAATTCCCGCCTGATCTCTTGGGATCCATAGAAGAGGAGGTTCAGAGACAACGGCGGGAGGATAATATGCATTTCGAGCTGATACTTCATCGTACAATTCTTCTGGGTTAATGTTATCGTGTGGGACGAGTTGACGCATGGTAGCGTAGTCGCAATAAAGATGGGGTTTGAAGAATTTGGCAAATAGGCCACCTTGGGGTTTGGATTGCGGTACCAAGTCGCTAGTTCCGTTCTTTTCGTTATTTTTCTCATGGGAGACGGTTGGGCTACCGCTCATACCGGCTTCCAGCTCACCCCGCATAGATTCTTCTTCGGCTTCGAGAGTTTTTGGGAGAGTAGAGAGAAGAGGATCCATGGCTGCGTTGAGAGATATGTGGTATAAGATGGTGAAAACGAGGAATAGAATCATGAGGACCAATGGGCCCCATGCTTTACCAATGGCGAAGAGACCGATCAAGCAAAGTTCTGAAAGGTATACTCCAGTAAGTAGTTGTTGGAGGGCACGTGGGTAGATGAGACCTTTGGTATCGATTTGAGCGTCGGTGACAAAGAGAATATTGTATCGGTATGCTAGATAGAATAGACCCATGCCGATGGTTCCAAAACCCAGGATGAGTGGAGCAATACAGGAATAGGTGATGCCAATCACGGCAATGTTTGTGAATACTGGAAGAGTGCTACCCCAGGAGATTGCACTCAAGCTGGTCCATTTCGTGTACATCTTTCTTGGAGTACCGGCCAAGAATTTATAGAGAAGTTTGAAGATGAAGAATCCTGCAACTTGGGAAATAACTCCAGAAGCAACAGTCAATCCTTGAACTATAAAGTAGGAAATATAGAAGTTGGAAGCACTAGGCAATTTGGTTGCAAGAAGGCTGAGGATTCCCGTTGGGTTATTGATGAGCTGGTATAAGACGGCTGATGCGGATGAGGCAATAGTTACAACCAAGAAAACTTGAACGACTTGGAAGGTAAAATATGCATTTTGGGTGAAGAGTTCCACGCGTGCAGTGGTTGGTTCACCGGAAAGTTTTGCGCAAACTTTTCAATGTTAGCATAGTCCATGCGGATTTCGACGAGGGTAACTTACGTCTCATGATAATGGGAACAAGGGACATGAGAATCGACAGAGCCACGGAGGGCAATAGACCAGAGATTACACCCATAATCCAATTTGGCACAGCCTTTAACCATGACAGCCAAGTAAAGGATTCCAAGTATGTAACGTTCGAAATAAGACCAACGGCTGCAACTGGAATAGCCCAGAAAACAATCATTGCCGTGATAAATCCAACAACAGCAAACCTTCGAACAACTCTTTGCCACCATGAGATAGTCAAAGATTTCCAGATAACTTCCCTAGGATGAACACCAATATATCTGGGAGACATTTGAAGAGCCTGATGATGAGCGAGGGTTTGGAAAGCGATTTGGGCATCCGATTGATGGGCGAATTCAATAAATACCGATCCAACCTTACGAGTCTCTCCGGCCAAATAAGTACTTTGTGCGGTTTCAGTTTCTGGGATGAGAGTTTCTAGTTGATTTCGAGCCCAATCAATTGTGTCAACCTTCTTTCCGTACAGACCAAATTTGCCAAGCTTGTGTGTAGGACGTTTCTTTTGAGGAACCCATCTAGCGGCTAATGATCCGGATTCGCCATTTTCATCTATGACAGGTTGTTCTTCTTGACTGGCGCCGTTCTTGATTGCCTTGAGTCTTTCGCCGTTTGCTGTCTTGATAAGATTTACCTCTGCACTTTCAAGCTTCAATGCAATATCATCGCGCTTCTCGACGAGTTCCTCCACCTTTTCGGTATCTGCAGCTATCCAAATGTGTCGTACTGAGCTCCCAAAGACTTTTCGAAGTTTGCCTTCATCGAGATATGCTGCTGGAACTGATATAAAGAGAACTGTTCTTGATGAGATACGATTTGCGAAAACTGGGTTGAGTAAGAAAGCCTGTCGAAGGTTGACATAATAGATAGTTTCTCGGGTAACAAGGAAAAGAACACTAAGTAATTGGTTATTAGCAAATGCCTCGACAATGAAGACCTTCCAATGTCTCAATTGAAATGGGAAGATTTCAGGAGAAGCGCATAGGTTCATAGAAGGGACTCAAGAGGTTGACCTACAATCCAAAGAAGATCCATCCAACGAAACAGGTCGCATAGTATCGATTCCTTCCAGATGATGTAGAACTATCAATATTACCCATAGAGAGTATATCAAGTTGTTTCGCTCCACCTCCTCCAGTAGCATTGACTGGGAAAAGAACAGGCCATGTGATACAGCAACCAACAAACATAATGACCACCGTCATTCGTAAAAATCGAAGGAATAAGTAGGCATCAAGACCTTGGTGTTGCAGTGCGTATGTATCTGGAATTTTACGAAAAGGACCAATCCAATTGAACAATCCTGATGGCAGTGGTGTTGTCCGTTCTCTATTTTGACGTCAATACTTCGGTCCAACTCTGACCCTTTCTGAGTTTACTTACTCCTCACGCAATGCGCCTAGGTAAGTTCTAGGAGCATACCATCGTGCATTACTTCTTCGTAAAACCAAGAAGATTACGAAATAAACAGCGGCAAGAATCAAGGTAGGTACCAAAGTTGCGACTAATCCAGATAAACTTTGGCCACTGCTGCTGGTGGATGCGTCTTTGGTGCTCATGATTGTGAAGTGCTATCTTCACGATCCTGGCGATATCGTGAAGTTCGGATCAATTGATTTTGAGGTTATAGTTGATTGATGTTGGTGTTATTGTTGTTGACTTTGCTCGAATGAGCAAAAATCAACGGACGGGGGATTATCGACGATCGAAGAGGAAACGAAAGTGAAAATCAAAACAAATCGTTGAAACGGGGAAGTCAAAAGAGATAAATGAATTCCCCTTGAGACAGACGCGCGCTGGGACCAGGATTATTAAATAAAAGCTTGGGCCAAAGATCCCTTGTTAATCTCTTGGAGCCGAAAAGCAGGGAAAGAAAACAAGAATTTTAGGGATTTTCTTCTGCACCTGAAGTTGAAGGTTGACGATCAAAAGGATGAAATGTCCATGTAGGCGGAAAAATGATAATCGAGAGGTAAGGATCTTCGATATGACGATATGTTGCGGTTTGGTTGCATGAATTAAAAATTCAGTGGCTGTTCTTCTTCCTTTCGATTATTGTCTCAATTCTCTCTCAATGATGAAATGACGAGGAGACAAGAATGCAAGAACACAAGAATGTATGTATGGAAAGAGTTGATGAAAGAACCTCGGAATGATCCGTGTCAAAAATCAAGATAGGATAGGAAAGGAATCTTGATGCTACCTTGGAAGCCAAGAATCGTGAGAATGCTCAGGTACGGGTCTCGAATAGAATCGAATAGAGAAGCATGAAAGAATAATTACTAAATAGGGGAGGTCGATAGATAGGTAGGTAGGGAAGAGTCGGCGGAGTAGGTAGAGAATATGCAATTGTCATTCGGTATATCGGTATATGGTATCAATATCTAGAAACACAGAAACCAGACATGAAAAAGCCCATCACACCAACGGCAGCTCGGTGTCCTGTACGGTACGGGAGGTAGTAAGTACTGTGTGTGGTACCTCGATCCTTCCCTATCCTATCCCCTAGTGTGTCTGCAGCGGAGTATCTGCTTGCTGTACAATGAACCGTGTTGCATTGCATGCAAGCTCGCCTTACATGATTAACTATCCAAAAATGTCTTGAAACCGATCTAGATCATTTCCGAACTCGTTCAATCCCCTGTCTCCGCGTCTAGAGATGGGATGAAATTCTACTTGATTTGTTATCACAGCTGAACCCATATCTCTCTCGTATCTTCTCTCCACCCCTCCCTCACTCACTTCACTCTTCAATTCTCCAATAACATGATCGAACCAAAAGATGGGAATTTTAAAAGAGAGAAAAAGATAATACAAAAAGGCTTGAAAACACAAATGCAATTTCGAAGTGGACATGGATTTGATGAGATAACCGAAGCATTGAGATGATCAAGGGTGCTTCAGTGGACACGACCTCTGTAGATACATGAGAAATACCCCTGTATAGCTGAATGAAATGATTGCTGCTTCGGGATATTTTTGCATATTTCCACTTTCTCTCCAACCACTTTTGAAGGCTTTTGGCTTTTGGCTTTTGGCGATAGATAACTAGGTCGTGGGCGGCAGGACAACGTGTCTAGTTGTACAAGCACGTCGACGATCTATTGATATTGATTGATGCTTTAGCTTTGTGTTGTGGTCTACACAAACTAGGTAGCTTGGGGAGGATGAATGTCGGTATGTCGATAGGTATGTATGTATCTTAGCTACAATACAGCACTGGTGCGCAGCTCGCTCAGTTGATACTTACATCCCTTCGGAAAGGTGTCAAACTGTACAGATGGGAGTGAGTTTAACTTGTTATCTTGTACTCTAGCAATTGAGTGTGTGCAACTCGACCCCATCCAACTGTCAAATTGGTTAATCAGGTGCTAATCGGTACCTCCTTTCCCTACTTTACCTAAATGCTGTATGTAGTGCAATGCTACATGTCAATACAATCTCACTAACAACTCAATAGTCAAAAAACTACAGAAAACTTTTGCTCCGATTAAAATGAATTGGATCACCAGTGGACCTCAATTAATTGTTTGATCCATACATCCCTGAAAAGCTTAGAAGACGCATCGCTGAGGTCCCTTAAAATCTCAGCTGTTTAGCCGCCGGTACTCATGTTTCGGTACCGTCCACAGCTTTCTTACATTATCTCTATTATTTTGTTACCTCATTCCAGCCCAGTCAGCGGAAATCGTCCTTCTTTGCTCTTAGCTTCTACATAACACAAATTACACCTGCAGGACTGCACAGCTTGACATGGTTCTCATGACCTGCCAGCTGATTCATGTTTTCCTTTGCACATTAGTCTACCCCGCTCAGATCCAAATAATTACTGGTGAAAACTCATTGAATACACTGTACATTTTTTAATGTGGGATTTTCCCGTTCGCGATTGATGTTTGAAGCAGAAACAGAAATGAAATTGCTCAAGTGAGCTAGCTATTGTTACACCTGTCATACATAAGCTCTTACAGAGCATCTCCTCGGCTATCACCATGCTAAGCATGTTGTACCCCTTCATCAGACCCTCTTGATAAGACAGGGAGGAGAAATATTTCTAAGAAAACTACAAGATTATCTACAAGTGTAAATCGATATTCTTTCAAAGAACAAATCTTCTACTACCTGGAAATCAGGCATCGAGATACATGGCTTCACATTTACCAAGTTCTACCTCTAATTGCACCAAGAACCAATTTTTAACCCAAGGAAATTCTGATTCTTGACTCGAACACTCTAGACAAAAGTCTTTGGAAAATTGAAAGCAAAACATCCATTGTTCATTTTATCAAAGAAATACTTCTATGATTCCAGTATTCAATGAAATGCATTCCTTATATTTCATTGTCTCAACTCAAGCTTCACATACGCGGTATCCAAATTTCCTAAAGCGTCATTGCCGTCTCTTAGGTTTTTCTTTCACCATAATGTTTTCTATTTTGCAGTTTTTCATCTGCTATGATAAAGTTCAAGCTACATTTAGAGACCAATCAGTCTATGATAAACAACCTTCAAGGCCATTAAACACAGGATACGACCAACACGGGCAGTCATGACGGATGTAATAATGAGGGATGCACCAGCAGCAGCTGCAGCTATGCAACGACGAGCTGGTGGAGATACACTTGCAAATGGTACAGCTCCTCCAGCTATAGGCCCTGCCCCTAAAGGAACAAGTGGATTAGCTCGTGGAGCAGTACCACGCACCAAATTCTCAGAAGCATATCGTTCAATCTTCACTCTCAGTCAACCGGACATCATTCCACTTCTCAAACATGTAAACTGCAATTATTTATCTACCAAAGGTCATTCACCTACAGTATTGGAATTAAAACAACATGCTCAAGCATTGGTCATTCTTCTCAAACAAATTACCCTCTCAACTCAGCCAGGAGTTGTTGATAATACGAATCTAAATGCCCTCACGGAAATTGGTCCCAAAGCTCCTAGTTTTAATGAGAATGAAACTTTCGACTTTCTCAACGATCTTAGTAATGTATATGATAACAATACAGTTCATCACAATCTTCCGCTTCCCACTCTACTCAATACTCTAGAACCTCAATATCTCGAACCTGGAACCATGGTAAATCCAGGACAACAAGATCATTACGTCGATATTGATATCTGTCCGTTACATCCAGTGGATCCTGCACCTCTCGATGGTCCATCTCTTCCATATGCTACTCACGAAGCACTTCTTAAGCATGCAAATGAAGTTCTCGAACTGATTGATCATGAATATAGTGCCAAAGGAGGTCTTCTAGGTGTACTTCCTCATGAAACTGGTGATGAAGATCGACCTCTAGCAGAAACTACTCTCCTAGGTCAAATGATCCTCTACATCCAACGACTAGTCGCACGTCTCCATAATCTTGAACGCCTCCACGCAAACGCCATGGATGTAATGAAAGGAGAAGCTGTTGTTCCACATCAAGCTCTCTCACGTGTTGGTCCAGATGGCCGCAGTGGACGCGAGCTCGTCTATCCTCAAGATCGATTCGTTCTCGTCAATGCCGGAGACGACATCTGGCAATTCCTCAATGACGAATTCGAGAAAAAAGAACGCGTTGATGAACAAATCCGCGCAAATCATCTTCGTCTCGGCATCGAAGGTGAACGTCTCTGGGAAACTAAAGGCGGAAAAGAATGTTCCCGTGGCATCACAGCCATCGATGTAATAACCCGCTACTATCGTCTTCGCAACGACAGTCTCAAAACCATCTTCGTAATCCCCGCCCACGCCGAACATCCCGGCGTAAAAGTAACCCGAGACATGGAACGCAACCCTACCGTCGTATCAGTCGTAAAACCCATCTGGCCGGAACGAGTCTCCGTCTGGGAAAAGCAAACGCGGGACGATCTCGAAGAACTCCGTCAACTCCGCCGAGACAACACCTCTCTCCGCGAAGCTGCCGAAATCTCAGAAACCGAACGAGCCTTCCTCCTCAACGAAGTAAAAACCCAACGCGGCAACGTCTACCGCATCAAAGAAAAACTCAAAACCTTCACCGAAGGTCCCAACCGCGACCAACTCTCCATCGACCTCGACCTACAACGCGAATCCCTCGAACAAGAACAAATCGATTTCGCAACCCAACGCGCCCAACTCGAAACCCGAGCCCAAGACCTCGAACTCCGCGCCCAAGCCCTCGCCACAGCCGAACAATCCTCCACCCAACGTCGCGCAAACGAAACTGCACAATTCGCCGCGCGACGCGACGCGCTCGAAAATATCTACAAGCAGCGTCTCATCGATCTCGAAAATGATCGCTTAGCAGCAGTAGAATCGGGAACGCGACTCGCGGATGAATTTCAGAAGGCTTGGACGGAACAATTGCAGAATACGCAGACGTTGGTTAGTTTCTTGAATAGTGATCGTGCGAAGAGCTTATTAGCCGATAATTTGATTCCGGATGATATTGGGAGGAGGGGGATTAGAGGGGCTCAAGATGTGGTGGAGAGGGTTTTGAAGAGGTTGGGGAATCCGCAGGGAGAGGGAGGGGAGGGGAGGGAGTGAGTTTGTGTGTGTTGGCGTTGGGGTTGGTGGATGGATGTTGGATGGGAATGGGGGTGGAATTGGAGTTGGCTTGCCGTTTTTTTACTTGCTTTTGTTTGTATTTGTATTTGACTTTGACTTTTTGGGTTTTGTAGTTTATTATATGCATGTATGTATGTATGTATGTATGTATGTATGTATGTATGTATGTATGTACCTGTGTACCTATGTACGTATATATACTCTATTATATACTCACTCTATCTACACCACCACCCACCTTAAATATGATTTTACAAAACTTATTCTCCTTATTCCACCCATCCCACTAATAGATATATACTCGTGCATCCTCACTCCCACACTCTCTCATTCCCTCGATAACAAACAAATTAACCTATCTATCTACCTACCTACCTACCTAATAATTAATTAACAAAACCTTAGCAATCGCTAATATACACTCTAATATCTTTACTATAATCTTAGTTTAAAAAATGTAAATTTAAATTATGATTAAATATCAAGCTTCACTTTTAGTTTATTTTAATTTTAAGATTACAATAATCGATATTTACAATCTCCTTTATAAACCACACAAATTTAAATTCTGTATATATAAAAAATAATTAATCATACGATTATATATAATTAAAAAACTATAAAATTATGTAAAAATCTATATATATATACATAAACTACAACGTAGGATCTTATATGACATGATACTATCAAACCAGCTTGAGGATTGGAGGAAGTAAGTATACGTCGTTTCTGCGGCGACTTCAACCTCAAGTTTTAACTCTCTAATTACTCAAGATTGATATCAAAGTTCTTTTAGTAGGGTGCTTGCTGCTTCGGACTTGGGATATTGTTTTATAGTCATAGATGAAATATCTTAGTTTTTATGGTTTATATTGTGGAAATGTAAAGTATAGATGAGGTTTTCAAATAGTCCATCTATACATTAATACACAAATAATTTTTTGAGGGAAAGAAGCTCCTCTCAATTTGGAAACTAATGGTGCTTGATTTTAAGTAGTTGCAATTTATAACTATGTGTCCCTAATATTAAAAACTCCCAAGAAAGAATATGATATCATCACTCCCATTAAGAAAATATAACCAAAAATCAGCTATCTCTTCTCTTATATATTGAAAATCTGGAGATATCATAAAGCCAGATTATATTTCCATCTTTCCCATCTGATAGAACAGAATATAACAATACATCCAAAGGAAGACCTAGCTCCCGTTCCCATTATAATTAGAAGCCCCAGAAACTTCTGGTGCATTCCGGAGGCGTAAGGTAAAGCTTAAAAATGTATTCTAGAAAGAATAAATACAATCAGCCACAAAACATCCAGCGAATAATAAGACGTAGCTCGTAAAAGTCGACTCAGGGCCCAGGGGTAAAAATAGAGACGAAAATGATGATAATAAAAGAAACATGGGGGCTATTTTAAGGCACATTGGTGGAAAGGGGGAAGTAAATCGAAGATTGAGATGTGATTAAATGTGATGATCTGGTAGGGAATGCATGATCTTATATTTTGCATCAATGATACGAGGAATTTGCCCCGCAATACCGTAAAAGTGATAGGTCGAGATATGTGCGTCCCGATAGCACGTTGTGAAGGGGAATTGAAGGAGAAAGCTGAATTAGATCACATCGTAATACATCACTTATGAACAAAACAGATTTCATAATGGTTTTGGGATTGATACTATATGGATTTAAATGTATATATATAGAAGGTTGATTCTTGTAAAAAGAAGAGATAAAAGTTCTTTTTTTATATCTAACTACAAAAGATCATATGATTTATTGGTTAAAAACCTTTATGTATTTGGTCTATAATTCCAACTTTCTCACAATACGTATAGAGAATTGTAGGAGATAAATCGTGACGTTTGGTATGCTAACTGATTCTTAGACAATTTGGCCAAGGATATCGAAGGGACAAGTGTGGAATGAGCAATTATAGGACGGTAAACGATTATGAGAATGAGTTTTATCGGCTTTGCCGAATGTACTCGGCGAGAGAGGTTCATAGTGGGGAGGCGGGGTAAATCAAATAGCACAACTACATTAAATTTGATTGGAGAATTCCTCTAAAGAACAAAAAACGGTAAATACAAACGTTGCACAAATTTGGTGAATGTGGTGGATAGTTATATCAAACTCATGCTCAGAGCTGTTCATTGATATGGGAAATATAGCAATAGAGCAATCTAGCTAATGTATGTACAAGAATGATGCATGTGTGAAGAATTGAGGAGAAACTCAATTCCTCATCAGCTGGAGATGGTGCAATTGGAAATCGACCAGAGACATACTGCCGTAAAACCTTATACGTAAATGATGTGGGCGTCGTCACCCCATTGAGAGTCCAAATCCAGCCTTTTCTGGCACAACGAAACGAAAGAAGAAAAAAGAGAAACAAAAAAATGCAATGACAAGGTTACATTTCATGAAATCGTCAAACTGAAAATAGAAAGTAAAGCAATCGAAAGTAACGTGAACTTCCAACTAGGCTCTGGCGTTCGAAAACTTGAAAAGATTTTGGAGCTGACGTGCTTGGCATAAGCCTTAATTTGAAGGGTACCTCAATCAGTGGCACAAAAATTAATTGGGATTATCTGCCTCGGGCGCATTTTTCTGATCGCACTCAAAGAAGGCTGAAGGGGCTTGTTGGCGCCCTGGTAGGCCAAGACGTATCCTTTCATCTCGAGATTCCTGCAGAGTCCACATTTCTGTAGCTGGAGAATAAGCTTGCAGTGAATGATATTCGACGTTAGGTGCTTGTATGCTATTCTCTGTGGCTAACCCCCTGGTTACATGTTGAGCAACTGATTGGTAGGAATAGTACTCTTCGTTGGGGTCTTCTTCGATCGTGAGCTGGCTGTCGTAGTGTGATATCATCATGCAGTCATGGGAGAAGTAACCCAAATGAGAATAAGAGCATTGAGAAGAGGTTTCGTGGCTCTGAGTCTCTAATTCATCAGACTCATTTTCTGATATAAATCTAGAATCATGACTGGAGCCACCGAAGCTAGCTCTATTGCTTGCAAAAGATCCTTCTTGCTGTGATTGATGATCTGAGACAGGGGATTGTGGGTGAGGGCTTGAGCCACGTTCTGTTTGGGGATACCGAGGTCCTTCTCTTCTTACGACAGAGCTTCGAGCTCGGGTGCGGCTGGCGTTACGGCCATGAGATCGATGACTGGATTTGCTGTCAGTGCTTCTAAAAGTCAGCAAGATAGACAAATAATGCTGCCACTATGACACCACATACCTAGATGCAGATCCTGTCCTAGCACGCCTATGAGATGATATAGATGACATGATGTAAGAACCGATATATGAATGAGAGATACTTTGTGATGAAGTTCTTCAAAAACTTGGGGAGAATGTGAAGCAGGCGATTGGTAGTTTCAATCGTATTCATAAGATAGATCTCAAGGGATTGCGACCACAGATCGTACTGTGTACGAATGCGAAGAGGGAAGAGAAAAAAGGGAAGCGTAGGGACTTTATACATGTTTTTCTGGTAGTTGTTTCAAAGACCTATGAAAAGACACAAAAAGATGCATCATTTCGAGGCAACTAGAATATCTAGCATGTAATATTCAGGGGGAAAGGCCCGACAACATGGCTATGTAAGAATCTTATTCTTCAATTGTGTATAAAAATGAGAGAAAAGCGCCCTTGCACTATAGCTCCAGTGCTCCACTGAAATTGAAGACGAGATGTGAGGCTATGGAGTTAGTCAACCAGATACTACAGGAACAAGAAATAAGAGTGGCCATAGAAAGAGCGATCCGTTTCACCTTTCCCACAGGGGTAGTAGAATCGTTTTTAGAAGCACCGTTGACATGCATAGAAGTGGTACTTAGCTAGAAGCATGAGGAGTGGTCGTATGTAAGTCCTGATTCCTTGAAGATTTTCAGGTGAAGTCGGCTATGCACCTGAAGAACCAATTCGAGGGGCAACGAAAATTGGCATCGTCATGATGCCAAACTATATGAGGCTAACTTTGCTGTACAGCTTCGATGCCGCATCTCCGGGTGTTCCCCGTGTAGGTCTATTTAGAGGCAATGGAGATATATGATGGATGTAGTGCGTTTCAGACCTGCTGTGCTCATAAATAGCCACCATGTCAAATTGACAAGTGTCTTTTAGATTAAGCTTTCCCCTCTGTGACTTCTAATCTCAACATATGTTTTTAGAGTTTCGAGAGTACAAGAAATGAGATAGAAATCGAGGGACGATCTCGATGAGTTGGAAGTAAGATATGTCGTTCGGTCCTAATCAGACTGTCAGTGAAACAGCAGCATAATCTAAGATGTTGGACAAAGTAGCCCTCATTCTCCGGAGAATAAACGAATTAATTTGGGCGACCAACATTCTTTTTCCTCATACAATTGATGCAGAGTCTCTGATTTTTGACGTTTCAGATATTTGGGGGACGTTGGGGGAAATAGGTATACGGGTTTCTTAGCGTTGGTGGTGATTTGTCAGTGACGATAAATGCTTTGCTTATGTAATATCTGTGTAATGACTTATGTAATACATAGTCTTGTTAACTTGTTCAAATTTTCCACGCCAGGAATTAATCTTATCATTGTACTGTCTACAATTGAGTTCATCCTATATCTTGCATAAGATTTTCACCTGGGTGATACGAAGTATATACTATATACTTTCATTCAAAATCTACTGCATCGTCTAACGGATGATTGCAGAAGTACACATAATGAACGACTCCCTTTGTCTTGTCGTCAAATTCGGCATCATGCAGTCCGTCATGCAAGTTCGTCATTCCGATCTACAGAATCACTTTGAACTCCTTACCTAGTTATCAGTCATGACTAAACTCTATATGCTACCATGAAAGGCATTCGGATATATTTGAATGCATATAGTTATGCAATAGATTTTAATGTTGAGCTAGGAGCATACTCTTCTTGAGCCTCGTACGGTTTGTCCAACAACTCTGTACAGCTCACAATTGATGCCAAGAAATGACCGGTGACAAACACACTGCCACCACATGCAAAATCTGGCTCAAGAGGCATCCAGATAAGTTTCCTTACAGGGCAGAAGAGCCCGGAAAAATTTAGATCCCTAACTGGTTCACATCAAGAAGTTTGATATTCCCTTTTTTTCCAATCAGTGGGCATCTTCCCTGGTAGATATCACATTTCACCTTATTGTTTTATGATTGTATAAGCTCACAGTTGGGCTTAAATTCTTTTAATTATCCTTTAAAAGAACTGTGCTATAGATTTGTTCTTACCACGGCATAAGCTAACACATATTCTACTCAATTGTGTTCGGCACTGACATCATACAACCCGGGATATTTTTGAACTCGGCTTCATAGCCTGTTGTGCTACATCGGATTAGACCGAGATCTTACAAACAACCTTCCTCTTTCCGCTCAAGCGTTCTTCCCATGGAGTACTTGGGTTCTGTCACGGCTGCGGCTGATTGCATTTGATAGATTTCCTCGTAAGATTTTTCAAACTCCAATTGCAACAGATTATGGATACGTGCATTCTGAAGGCGTGAGCATTGGATCCGTACATACCACATATTTCCTGCAGTGCATACCTAGGAAAAGTGCAATATTCACATGATAATATGCTGCTTTTTGGCATACAAGATAATGCACAAGGGAGTATATCGTCTTTATACTACCTAGCACCACATACAATCGCGATATCAAGAGAACCTCCGAAAAAGCCAAGAACGACATCTGAGACGTAGGCAAATAGCGAACCACATAGAATATCCCTAGTTTCCTTGGCGTTGCGTACGGAGTACAGGTCTTTTTATCACGATAACAACCCAGACAGGTGCTTCCCATCCATCCGTCTACTTGATCGCGCATTTTCATTTACATCTTTTCTCACCGACCATCTCAGTATCATTTGGAATAATGAACTCTCCGTACCTAACTTACAGTTTTCATAAACGAGCCCACAGCCTTGGCCCTTAAGTCCCCCGCTATTAAAACTTCTTGACCCATCTCGTTCTTTATCACTTCTAGTCAAAGAATTTAAAGGAACAGAAACACTCTTCTTTGAAAACGAAACAAACAACAAACTGTTGCCTCTGATTCCAACTAACTTCTTTGTGTTTATCTCCCGTAACTGCACAATTGTTTCACAAAAAGGCCGTATGCAAAATACAGAACCCGCAGCCAATTTTCAAAAAATTACCACACCAAAGAGAATCCAACTAGGTAACATTCTAAGAGTCAATCAAAAGCAGAGAACGTGATGGCGAGACGGCTGCGGGTTCGGGTTCGGGCTACTATATAGATCCAAATCGGCGATAGATTAAGTAGATAGATAGCCATCTTCCACTCCAAACCTAACGCTTAAATATCTTCAAATATCTTCTCCTTTCCATCCATCCATCCATCATTAAAACATATATCGCCAAACCCCATCACTTTGCTCTCCCCAAATCAATCATATAATTATGTGCTAAATCACAACCATAAAATCAAGACGTTGCTAGAAAAGAGCACCAGCCAGTGTTGAAATTTTTCTGTTCTTGCGAGATATCTCCGGTATGATATATGATATATAATATACTGGAGTATGCATTATATACCTAGATAGATTACATAACGGTATTACATAACTGTACATGACATGATGGAATAAAGGAAATACTACAGTCCCCCGAGAGAACTAGGAAGTTTGGACGATGGATGTAATTTGGATGATGGATGATGGATGATGGATCCAGATACTGTGACATTCGTTGCTATGCTATGATCTACTAGATCTTAATTACTAGATCTATATATATATATTCCTTTCATACTGCACTGCATCCACAGTAGGCGCGGGGCTCAGATAAAATCAAATGAAAGTCAGTAAGGTATCAGTCATCTTACTGAGTGTAGAATCTTCAATCATAATGGAAGACTATATAAAGGTATATAATTCTTGTTAAATTTTACAACTAAACCTTAAACTATCAGTACCTGTTGCATTTAGATTTTAACTACGGTACGAACCTACCCTACTTATTACCCCCTTCTCCTTAATCAAGTCCTGATCGTTCATCGTTCCTTCTTAAATTCACGTCATATAATTCATCAAGTTTATCGAATTAAGATTAAATTTATCTTCTCTCACATATCCTTCACTTATTCTTCACTCATCAAATTATAAATTAATCAATCAATCAATCAGTAATAATAAATTTATCCAATTATATATATAGAATTTTGTATTACAACAAATAAGTTTTTTTTTCTAATGATGATTATCTAACCTGCGGATCGATCTCATTTTTAATATCTGACTAGCAGATCTGTGTTAGAAAGAGGTAGGTGAGATTCTTTGTCTGTTCATTGAGAGCATGAGTTAATGATAGCGTTTACATCATGAAAAGTCATAAAGCATGTTTTGTTACCTTTTTTTCTACCTTTCCAGCGCCTCATTTATCCTCTCTTCATCTCACTTCAAGAATTTACGAGGAAGTCCCAGTTGAAAGCCTCAAGGTCATCAACTCGCTACTGTGGAAAACTCTCCCCGAACATCTTTTCTTCTTCTTTTCATCGGCCACAAAATCCGTCAACTTTACTTCCGGCACACTGCACCATTCCCACATGTCCAAAGTCGGACACCAGCTAACGCTCGCCGAAAAGGCAGGTGTGTCTGGAGTTGAAGAAATGGGGATGCGGAAGACGGCTGGATGAGGAGGTCCAACGCGACAAGTGATGTTGTGGTTGAGGCTGACGTGGTTGAGAGTGGTAGGAGGAGTTGTGCCCGGGGTGAAGGCCGGGGGAGAAAGGGTAGTTGTAGGAACGTGTAAGAGTGTTTTTTCGGTTGGGAAGTTGGGAAGTGTGGGAAGCTCGGTTGTAGAATTGAGGATGGTTGGGATTTCGGTATGTTCAACAGGATGAAGATCAGATTCATCATACGATGCAGTGTCACCCAAAATCTGCGATGCCGTCATCCAACCTTTACGGTCATCATCATCATCACCATCATCCTCATCATCAGACTCAGATGTGGAAGTTGATGAGTCAAGTGAAGGGATCATTGACACAGTTGGAGACGGTGGACGAGATGGGGTGGGACGTTTCACTGAGAAAAACTTTTCTTCGTCCGAATGGCCCCAGCTTTCCGTAGATTCAGTGGATTTTTGGGACGAGTATCGCTTCGGATTTTTGAGCTTCAAGGATTCAGCATAGGCTGTAGATGCATCTGCAAGCTCCAATGCGAGATCGACCTGTTTCTGAAGCTTCTTCACCTTCTCCGACTTTTCAGTTGCGTCCGCAAGTGCGGTTTCGAGTTCTTTCTCAAGCAAGTCCACTTTTTTCAACTCTCTCTCATACAACATCCTAAAGTGATCTGAAAAGACCTTGTACTGGCTTGGGGCCGCACGGGCTGTGCGCATCTCTTGCAAATATTCCTCAAGTTGTCGATTTTTATCTTTGAGTTGTCTATTCTTGTCTTCGAGTTGTTCATTATCGTCTTCAAGTTTACGATTCTTGACTTCGACTTGATCTATCGCATGACCAAGCTTGATGCAGGCCTTGCGTGCATTTTCAGAATGAATTTTCCAAGCGCGAGCTTCTGTTAAAGTGGGTGATGTTCTGACTGGACGGTGCCGTTGCATGGAAGGGTCAACTGTCTTGCCGTCCACAGTGGTGGTAGACAATTCAGGAATCTTGATAGTGAGACACGGAGGCGAGCTCTTTTGAAAACATAAATCGGATCGTGGTCCTGGCATTGGAGACATCATCGGGGAGCGTTCATTCATGGCATCAAGCTCACTGATGCGGAATGGGTGTGAGCTGAGTGGAATGCACGGCTCTCTGGGAGCCATCTCATTAAACTTATCATACCGATCCATGTGTTGCGGATGCCCGTCGATGATTTTCGAAACGTTGAAAGGCTCAGAGACTATATGTTTGATCTTGGTTGATGATTTTCCTCGAAGAGCCATCAAGGCAGTTCTAATTGGAGCGGGAATCTTTCGAATGATATTTCTCTTCATCAAGACCATCCGTCGTGTACGCGGAGCATTTTGAAACACGAGGGAATTTCGGAAGCAGTTCTTTGGTGCTGGCCACGTCATTCTGACTCCTCGAAAATCGAATTCGATTGAAGTACATGGGGATTCTGGCATGCTGCCGGTCGTCTGCGACGAATCTTGGGCCATAGATGCATCGACTCTAAGGCTTGGTGTTCCATCCACACTGCTAGTAGATCTTGGGTATTGTGGTGATGCATTCATGATGTTAGTCTGACCCACCTGATGTGTAAATGAGGTAGGTACTTGTCACGATTTTTCTTTCAAGAAGAGGTTGATTAAAATTGCCTGGAAAGTCAAGTTGCTACTTACTACTATACTAGCATGAGTTGTTTGCTATCGTTGGCGTAGTTGTGATTGTAATAGACCCTGAAGAATGATTTAACAAGAAATCATTGGGAAGGGGGCGAAATTTTATATCATGGAATGTTTCGCCTGTCCTACCGCTGTTCTGAGAAATTAGCTTACCAATGTTTTTTACTGTCAAAAAATAAGGTTTAATGAACAGATTAAACAAAGACAAGCCAAATCAAGTCTTCACAAAGGACAAAACAATTGTTGTAACACCGGGAGCAAAGAAAAGGAGTTCACCAATTTGAATATATAACGTCATTGAATTTTCATTCCAGCTAAATGTAAATTTGGCAGTGTAGTAATATAAAACACCATTTGGAACTGGTCTGATTAGTGAGTCAAAATTAGTCCGAATAGCAAAGATTTATATCAAAATTAGGCAACCACATCAGTAGTAGTTATTCTCACCCCGAGAAATTGATGGCGTGCCGAGTCCTGAGTCACGACTAAAGGCAAGGTTGGAGCCAGGTCTCTGCGCTACTATGGGAAGTTTAGCAGATATATGAAGAGCAAGATAGATAACTTGGTCATACCTGATCGAACACTCGGTCTAGAAAATTCAGATGCTACAGATGCTCCCTGGTTCCCGACCTTCAGGCCGGCCCGCATGCCGTAACCCGCGAAGCCAGAAACTTGTCCAACATTGACATTAAGACCAGAAAGTGGAGTCCGACGGGGAGTAACGGTAACTCGTCCTTGAGATAAAGATAAAGGGGTTCCAGCCATATGGTGTTGTAGATTGTTCATGCCAATACTGACAGGAGGAAAATTGCCAGATATCAAAGGCTGTCGATGGGAGGAAGGAGTCGCTTGAACTTGGTTTACTGTTAATTTTATGAGCAATTTGTATTATAGTCTTATAGCATGATTTTTCTCCTACGTCGCTGAGATCCTTGGCCGAGTCCTTGACCAGCAATAGCATCCCAACCGCTACTGTGTCTTCTTCTTTGGAGAGGGGGTGGTGGCATAGTTGGATTGTGAAAACCGCCGCTTTGATGCATTCCACCAGCCTGTTGGTTAGTGTAAAATGGTTGTTGGTGCGGTCTCTGGTTGTCGGTGCCTGTATTGTCAGCGAAGCGATTACCAGTTACGGTCGCTTCTATGGTGTCATCAACTGCGTTTGAAGCAGCTGTCTGAACTTGATCCAACAATCCTTTACGCTTCATCTTATCGTAAAGTTCCTGTGTTTGGAGTAACTTCTTATTCTTCTCTCTAAGATGGTGGTTGAGCTCTTCATTCTTTCGTCTCAAAGCATCCTGATCCGTACTCATACCTAAGCACATTGATTAGCGTTTTGTCAAGCATCCAGAGAATCATAACATAACTTACTAATAATTTTGTTGCGAAGACTAGATATTTCGCTGTTCGCGTCATGTATAATTTTGTCCATCTGGGTATTCAATGTCGAGTACTTGTCTGTCAAACTTTTGGCCAGGTATTCTTGGTAAACACTTCAAAATAGTCAGCAAAGCTTTCCGTGGCAGAATGCGTACACGAACATCTCCTGGGTTGTTTGATATGCCCAGAAACTCAAAGCTCGACCTGCACACTCCACTATGACACCCGGAGTGAGCCCACTCAACACACTCGTCTTGTAGTCCTCGCTAGGGTTTAAATTCGCGACAACGACATCATCAGGATTTGGTAGAAGCATGTCGCATGCAGGACATGTTGATCGTCGATTATCTTGTGTGTTAGTAGAGAGCTGGGATTGATTTGAACACTCAATACAAAAGACATGACTATTGAAAATAAGTAATGGAAAGATCGAATGAAAGCGAAGATGAAACAGGAATTCGAAGAAACACGAACCTGCAGGTTGTAACTACTGCATGATCGCTCAATTCTTTCCGACATTTCAGTGCATTACATCGAAGTATGAACTCCATTTTCTTTCGTTCGTAAAGCCAAAGGACAGAGAGGCTTAGTTCTATCGAGGTTTCTTCTCCGTCTTCATCAAATGTCAATGGTCATTGTTGTCATTGTGGTTATTGTAGTCTTGAGAATTCCACAGAAGTAGCAATATAATGAATTGGATTTTTTAATACAAACTGGAAACTAGACTTGATAGACAGAATTGGTCAAAATAATTGAAGAATTGAAGCTTGATGAAATACTATTTGACTTCAGATAAGGCGGTTCGAGAGGGTAGATGTTGACCAGATCCAGGTCACATGATCCGACACTAGGCCGTAGTGAGAATTTAAGAGTAGCTTCTTAGAAGCTATCCCTTCTCGCGCAAACTCTTACCTTTCCAGTCAAATCAACACTACGTTTCCTAGTTCCACCTTTCTAGACAGTGACAGAATACCTTCTAGTCCTATCACTAAAGGTTATATTCTTAGCAGTAAGGGTTTTTCTCATGGGCAACCAAAAGTAGCAAGCTGCAGACTTTACAGACTTAAGCCACAATTTCGCCTCTCTCATTGATTTGTGCACCCAAATATCGACGTCATGCCAGGTGTCTCACCGACGCCTTCATGCAGCATAATATTATCTCGGTATATCTCCATCTGGAGTACCTGGTAACTCCGATGTTCGTGGGAATAGTTTCCCCATGGATCCGTTGTTATGGGTGATTGTACTGTTGAGAAAGGAACGGCGGGATGGTCGCCTATGCGACTGGATCCTACAGTGAGATCAAAATTTTTGCAGAAAGGGAATTCAGGACGATTTCTAACTCCCGCAACGTACGATTTAGAAACTGTAACTTCCAATGCCAAATAAAATCGCATTTGCAGCTTTGATGTGTTAAAGTTTGTTGTAAGATTAATAAGTCTTGCGTGCTTGTAATGAAATTCATAAATTAACTTTGAACAATACCATTGGGATAAGCATCGCGTGTGTGGTAACAATTCTGAACACTGGTTCTCCCCACAACCTTTCTTGACACTCTTTTTCGGGGCTCTGGCCTCAATCCAAAACTTGACTGGGATCAAACCAAGATGCAAGAATGCAAAGCTCCACAATCAAGCGGGAGGCTACCGTGAACTCGCTCACCCGAATGAAGACGGTCTATCTTTCAATATGTCGAAGGAAATTGTTGTGTCTGCCGGTGCATCCCGCATTCCGCATTCCGCACTCCTCAGATTTTACTTCATTCTGCAATTGGCTACAGAAGAATTTGCTAGCACAATACGCAGCAGGTGGCTGACGGGTCTTATGTTGGACAGAGTCTACATGATCACATGTCAGTAGTCAATGGCAGAAATTGAAAACCCAGAAGCGGGATATGCTCTCGGATCTCCCCTATTCAAAAATCCCAACTTCGCGAAAAGCACACCTATGGACTGGGTCATCACATAGTCAGTCCCTCATGAAGGACTCAAAGCCGCTTTTCCCAAAGACGAGTGACCAGTAGATGGTACGCATCCGCTTTAAAGCCCATTACGCTCTCATATAGAATGTTTCAGGCCTACCTTGGAGCCAACAAATCTGATCCTGACATACCTATGGATAGAAGCTATGTAACGACAGTTGTACGGGGAAAGTGTCACATTGGCATCATACTGATCCTACCAAAACACCATTTAATTATTGACTCCAATTACCTTTCACCGAACTCGATTGGTATGTGTTGCGCAGAGGACCGAGAAAAATAACGGAGGCCATGTTGAGCACCACAAAGGGGCAGGCTTTGATAGACACAGAAACTGTAGCAGCTGGGGAAAAACCATTGGATTGAAAGGCTGACAATGCGGCAATTGATGAACGTATCAGAGCATGTGGAAAGTACGTACTAGCCCTTGCTTTCCAGAAGAAATATTCACCAACTCTCTCCGCAGGACTGTGTATCACCCTGCTGAGACTGCTGCTATGGGAAAGGTTCGTTGTAGATAGAAATTTGTGCGTATATGGTGTTCAAGGACTACATGTCGTTGATGCTAGTGTAATACCTCTGCCTATTGCGGCCAAATACCAGGCTTGTACTTATGCTCTTGCTGAGCAGACAACTGATATAATTGGAGCCAGCTTATTACTTCGTGAGAACTAGATTCGCTTTTCAGGTTCTGAAAAGTTAAACGGGCATGTAATGCATTACGGTGAAGAAGAATTTAGACTTTTTAATTGTTCGGAAAATACAGAACCGTCCTGATTTGAGTTTAACGCAAACCACTACGAAGATCACTTCGGTGATAATGCCACGTTTTATGCAAATATTCGGACTTCAACTCCTCAAGTTCAATGAGACATACCTATCCAAGGTAGTTTGAAGGCGCCATGCCTCCAAGAACTACTCCAAAGAAGAATGGGGATCGAAGTATCAACTTTGCCGGTGGTCTAGTCGGCCTTCTTTAACTATAACAATTCGATGTTATCCCTCATAAGCTCATCTCGTTTAGCAGGTCATAGCCCAAGAACTTGGTCGACTGTGCAGACTGACGGTTCGATGCGAAATTTATGTCTTGTAATATTTTCAATTATCATTTATAAACTTTCTAACTTTATAGGTGACTGATTGTAGATAAAAATACGACTATGTATTTTGAAATCAATCAATCGAAGATTGAATTAATCATACGTCATTCTATGCGCCCCCTGGTGACTTGCCTAAATTCCGTCAGAAGGAATTTTTGGTGAGTTGCAAACCAGTGTATGTTGAAACTCGGACGAAGTGGAGGGAAAATCCACCACACGATGAGCTCTAATATTCAATTCTAGGCTTGAGCTTACTAGCGTCATCTTCCAACCCTTCGAAGGAAGTACATTTTGATAAGCAATAAAAAGCAGCATTCGGGATGACTAGATAGAGCACAAAGGTGGCGTTTGGGTCTAACCGAATAAACCGAGTCAAGAGCTCTTGTCAGTGTGATTCCAGATATGGATGTGAAAAATGGTTGGTTCCATTAATTATGGCATAAGCGTATTGATCACCAATTAACATCATATATCATCCTAAAGCTCCTCCTTCCACTCGTCAAGCCTTGACGATCGGCCTAAGGCCTCGACTTTACTCCATGCTCCGTCGCAGTGCGAACCTCGACATTACCATCCTCCATCCCGAAATATGCAGCCACTGGTTTTTGTCCGCCGCCTTCTTCCCCAGCATTGGCCACCTGTGCACCATTTCTACCATGGAAGAGGCCCGTTTCTAGTACTCCGACTATTCTCTTTAATCTTCTTCCTAGGTTGTGTACCTCCCAAGTACCATGTTCTCCATCGCCCTTATCATCACCTTTCAGATCCGAAGGAATCAGAAGTTTAGGGAAAGGCGCATCAATGATCCACATGCCGTTATCTGTCACGACTGGTCCGGCTTTCGCACTCCCACCTTGTCTAATTTTCGGATCCGGAGATCCGAGTGTAATAAGAATCCTCTTTATAGTTGGGGCGGCTAATGGTGCAATCTCGATCGGAATAGCTTTCCAAGATGTAAGAAGACGAGGTTGAAGTTTCCGGTAATCTATATATCATGAGTTAGAGTCACCAACACATTGCCCATATCTTTACTGACCCGCTACACATACGAACTTCTTGGAGGAAGTTGCGACTAGCTTCTCTTGGAAAAGACAGGCTCCGCCTCCTTTTATGCAGTTGAGATCTTCATCAATTTCATCTGCCCCGTCAAACGCAACATCAAGACTTTCACGTTTTCCTTTTAATCCTAGATCCTGCAACCCTGTAGAAACATCAAACGCAGCGTCCCCGCTGAGAAGAAGAGGCTCGACAGCTACCGGAGGTAGAGAATCTATGCTTCCTAGGGGTAGACCCGCCTCGATAATCAATTGCTTACTCTGATCACCAGTGGGAACGAATATCATATGTGAGGTGATGTCTCGACCTTTAGCAGCAATGGCTTCCACTACATAAACGACAGTACTGCCTGATCCGATCCCAATATATTTGTAAGAGGAATCAAAGTGATCCTCAACTGCTTTATATGCTGCTCGACGTTTGGATGCTTCTACCGGCGAAAGGTTTGAGTAGTCATAGGTATGGTGGGGAGTAGCATTTTCAGCAGCTGGAGCTGTCGGAATCGCGGAGGATGCGGATCGGCCAAAAGCGGCTGGATTTGTAGAAGCCATTGATCTCGTGTAGCGTTGCTCAGATATGTTTGAAAGGTTCGATGTCAAATTATTTAGAAAGTTTAGGTGTGTGGTGCGGGAATGACACCGCGTGGGACCAAAACGTGTAAATGAACGATGGGTTGAGTGTATGAATCTTATGTGATGTGTATTGTTAGTGAAATGCGACAATGTATTTGAATGAAGGAAACGAAAAGCAAAATGGCGAGGGTGTATTTCCATCAAAACTCGGGTTACGAAATTTGCTTGGGTATTTAAAAGGCAATTATGATGAATTAATAGCTGTTACATGGTGGGGTCAACTAAGTGGGATGGCCCCGACTAGAGACGTTTTCTGCGACGTTGCTGAATAAGATGACATGACACATGAGCTAAAGGTCCGATTCGGGAGGAGAGTTTATCCGGATTAAAGCTCGGTGAATACAGCCTTAAGGAGTTTCTCCGGATTAGATCCAACGCTAAGATAAGAGCTAAAGATCAGCACGTGTCGATAAGAGCAATTATTCTTAGATAAGCAAGGCTTCTCAGATGGTCAAGTTGTTGGTCTCTTGGGTGTATGGGACGTTATTTTGAGTATTCCTATCTCATCATAAACATACATTTGTACATTTTCTGAGTACTAGAAGGATCTACGTATTATCTACGCGCCCTAACATCAGTCCTCGTCTTCTTTCACAATGACAGAAGTTGTCACAGAGTCCCCCCCTCCCATCCTTCAAGGCCCTTCCGACAAGGAGAAGAAATATGATCGACAACTACGATTATGGGCAGCTTCGGGACAAGCAGCATTGGAAAATGCTAATTTGTTACTATTGAATTCGGGTTCTGGTACAGTTGGTGTTGAGGCTTTAAAGAATTTGGTTCTTCCAGGTATGTAACACGCCCAATTATGCCGAGTCAACTAACAACAATAGGCATTGGAAAATTCACAATTGCGGATGAGGCACTTGTGAACGAGGCTGATCTAGGTGTTAATTTTTTTCTTGACGAGGACAGCTTGGGAAAATCAAGGGCAGAACAATGTGTGAAACTTTTACGAGAACTCAATCCAGACGTGAATGGGGACTGGTATCCGAAGCTCAAGGTACATCTGCACACCTGCTTGCTCTTCAACATATATGCTAAACAGAATATATATGTAGGATACTAAAATAGATCAAGTCTTCGAATCAGACCAACAACAAAAATATACATTAATAATATACTCGTTTCCTATTGATCCTAAAATCCTCGCCCTTGCAGAGAAATACAGCGCAACCCACAAAGTGCCTCTCGTCAGCATACACTCGGCAGGGTTTTACTCATATTTTAGGACGCATCTACCAGGAAACTTTCCTATTGTTGACACTCATCCCGACTCGACTGCCACGACAGACTTACGGCTCTTGCAACCATGGCTAGAACTTTCGAATTTTGAAGCAGATCTGACAAAAAACATCGACACACTCAATGATCATGAGCATGGGCACATACCTTACCTAGTCTTGCTCCTACACTTTTTAAGGAAGTGGAAAGAAGACCATGGATCCTACCCATTGTCATACAAAGAGAAAACAGAATTTAGGACCATAGTTTCAAGTGGCACAAGAAGAAATAATCCCGAGGGTGGAGAGGAGAACTACGATGAAGCTGTTGCAGCTGTGCTGAAGAATATCTCCATCCGAGATTTAGACAGTTCTGTGAAGGAAGTCTTCGAGTATAAACCAACCGAGGTATGATAAGAGTGTTTCAATTGAGTGATCTAGTGCTAATCGTCATGATTTAGGAAGAATCAGAATCAGATTTCTGGATTATAGCTGGTGCTGTCAAGCGATTCTATGAGAAGCATAATGAGCTCCCGCTTCCAGGATCCGTCCCAGACATGAAGGCCCAATCAAATATATATGTACAACTCCAGAATATTTACAAGGCAAAAGCTCGCCAAGATGTTCAGGAAGTACTAGAAACTATTCACGCACATTCGCGTGTTAAGGAGATTAAAGTGGAGGACGTGGAGGTGTTCTGTAAGAATGCTGCTTTCATCAAGCTTATCCGAGGCTCGGATCCGATATCAAATTTGCAAAAGATAGCAAGTATGTTTAACACGTATATCCAATGTTTGAAGAACCGAGACTAATACGCCAGAGTAGAATCGGAATCTGAGAATGACGAAAATGCCCCTTTTACTATGATGCCATTATCAAACCTTCCTATCTACTTAGCTCTTCGCTCAACTTCCCACGTACCGTTAGCTAGTTCGTCTGAAATCCTAGCCCATATTGACAAAGAAATCCCAAATGCCTCTTCCAGTCCGCGTTTCCAAAAAGTCGCTGAAGAAGTAGCACGAGCCAAAGGAGGGGAATTACACAACATCTCTTCACTGACGGGGGGAATGGTAGCACAAGAAATCATCAAAATTATCACGAAACAATATGTACCGATCGACAACACATGCATATTTGATGGTATCACAAGTAGGGCACAAGTATTGAGGATATCTGAGGAAACAAAAACAACTGTGCCTTGAAAAATGGAATAGGGGATTTGGTGAAATTGGGGGCCATATGATCCGACAAGGAGGTAACATTATGCATATCGAGATGCAAATAGTGCGGAGAAACATAAAGATTAACGAAGATTTGCGAATGTCATCAGGTCAAGGCTAATCACTAATGATATCATGAACAATAGAAAGACCGAATCAATATATTCCATAGCAAATGCGAGAATTTTCAAAAGCGAAAAAAGAGGGGTTCAAAAGCATGATGACCATACATACAAATCACGCGGTGCGAAAGAAAACCAAAAATCACAACATGGTACAAAGTTACACCACATCATGCACGCGGAAGATCATGACAGGATGATTTTCTAGTGATACATCTGTCGTGCAGGTCTAAGAGAGTTAGTAGAGTATATAGCATGCATTTCCGCATTCGCTTCTGAGTCTGAGTAGGGGATGGATGGGTATATGTTGCACGGCGGAGACATTTACAACACCACTTCGTTGGTTTGGGGGGTTTGAGGCGGCTAGATGGGGGTTTAGATATACTGGATTTGCTGGATGTAGATGTAGATGTAGATGTAAGCGTACTAGATGTACTTTATTCTCCGGAGGTGGATGGGGGAGGTAGATTGGGTGGGTAGATTTGGTGGAAAGGAATGCGGAGGGGAAATGTGGTAGCGAGGTGTGGGGTAGGAAGGTAAGGTTGCGAGTATGGGTGAGTGAATCAGGGATGAGGAGTTGAAGATAGTTATGGCATTGAACTGGATGATACGATATGATCCCGTCAGAATACGGCATAAAAAAGATCCAAGAAAGAAGTAAGAGAAGCCAGTTAAGTAAAGAAACGAATACGCGAAGATAAAAGTTACTGTAAGAATACGGGGTAGAAGAGGGGGAACCAGATGCAAAAAAGGGGTTTCGGCCCGATATCCCATGTGAGATGAGGTGAAGATTATGCTTGGTGTCGAGAATACGAAGTAGATTTGGACTTGGATTTGAATTTGAATTTGGATTAGTCAGTAATTGTATAGCAGGAACAGAGTTTAAATGTAAGATTATGTACTGGCTAGCTACTAGCTATAACCTTATATTGTTCTTAAAAAACGATAGCCTTTATGTATGTAACTCCGCGATCTCAATCTTACATTTCCCCGGATTTGCTGTGCATATATTTATAGGTACTAGGTATTAGCTATCAGGTATCAGGCATCCTGCGAATATCGCGTTTTGCGAGCGAATATATGTACATGATGTGAAACTTGGGGGAATACTTCCATTAGAATGGCTGGGTACTTTGCATCAACATCTGTGAAATCTAGATACGCATCGATTCTATGCCAATGGCCATTACGAAGTCCTTGGTATGCACACTAGTGGATAGACTTGCATTCAGCTCAAGTACACAGCCCGAGCATAAGGCCTATTTTAGTAATCTCGTAAGGTTATCATAAACTCAAATAGATGTGCCCAGCGGGAGATGTGCGCTCATTTCTCGATATAGACGAAGGTTATGTCCCCGGATCTGATGGTTAGCATTGTCATTCTATCGCCTATAGAGTCATAAGTTTCAAGTATATATGCAAGTATATGTACATTTGATGATGTATGCTATGTAGCGCAAGAATGCGCGTATAAGGTCATTTAACTTCACTCCAGTTGAATCTCACATTTTATATGGATTGAAATAGTGTTGTGAAATTAGCATATGTTGCAGTGGTATCATATCATATACAGAGGCGTGACTTCGTAGCTCATATACGCAAACAAGAAAGTGGCCTGCCGAATCCATCCGTAGCCTACCATATTTCCTCGCTGCCCTCGATAAAATGCCCAGACACCATCCCTAGCTGAGAAAAACCAGCTCCTTATTAGACGGAAATATCGTAGTATATTCATCACTCATTGATGAATAATATATGGCGTTCCGAATTGACCCATCGCAGAATCATCGTATTGCATGGGTAAGCCATCATATGGCATATCCAAGCCATCTGGCAAGTTTCCCCATAACATGCCATCCAAATCCCATATTCCCCCATTATCAAGCATCATTAATTGTTCTTCACCCATAATCTCAACCTGCTGCAACATCTCACTATCCATGTAATGCCTCCCATCTATACCACCCATCCGATTCATATCATCTGAAATCTGGGTGAGCCCCGGACTTGGATGTCTCGTTAAGGGTCGTTTGCTAGCTTCATACATCTTGCTCACGACTTCCCTACTTCGTCTTGCAGCCAACGACCAATCAGCCATGCCATCAAAAGCTTCAAGCACAAGCTCGATCTGTGATTGCCAATCTAGAACGAGATTCGTATTCCATGATTCCCAGAATATACTGACAAGTGGTATCATGGATGCTTGATACATGAACCACACACCATTCCATCCTAGCATTTGATTTGGACTCCATTCACGTGATATCTGTTCGATGGTTTCTCGGGCAATGGTACGACATGTTCGGATGGCGGCAGTTTCTTCCTTACTCGATGCAATTCCTTGGTTACCTCGATTGGCGAGGTTCAGAAGAACGGGCCTGTAAAGCACGATGCGAAGATTCTGATACCTCCATTTCATGACACATCGAGCGGTGTACATTGATTCGGCACAAGGTTCTGTAGAGCGTAAGATCCAAGGAAGATTTTCATACCATTCTACGAGCTGTCCGTCGAGATTCGCGAGGTCATCACTTCGGAGAAGCGGTGTTTGAGCGAGGGCATCCTGGATTTGCGTGGCGACTTTACAAAATTTGATGTTCTCCGTTAGGGTGATAACACTCATGTTTTGATTCTTGGGGCTCATTAGCTATGAACAGATGAAAGAGGAAGCGGGGAACAAACAGTATTGTGTAATGATTCAGGTGGCTGGATGGTAATAGTAGGGCCCCAACGACCCATAGAAGGCCTGCCTAATGTTGTAGATGCCCAAGTATCAAGACAGAATAGACTCCACCATGTTCTCCGCCTTTGTTCTGCCATTAAATTGCTCTCTTCACTGTTCTCATGTATACTTTCTCTATGTAAACCCATTGCGCAAGCCATTCTCAAGGCAGCTCCACAAATAGCATTTGCCATATTTGGACGATTGATATAGTGAAGATAATATCCTCCCATCAATGATAGGGCTTGTAAAGTTTCCAAATGGCCACTGCCAAAGGAATCAATTCCTAAATGGTCTTTCGCCTGGTTATAGTAGTTGATATGATTATGGTCATCTGATTTATTTGCGACAATACTTCCCATTGCAAATACCATATTCAACAAGGCGAGCCACGGTGCATCTTGACGTCGCCCTTTCAGAAAGTCGGCTCTGAAGGCGGGTTCATCAAGCATTGGTACAAATATTTGTACTCTATTAAAATATGCATCAATGAGTGTCTGGCCATCGGATGACCATGAGACTGCGCGTAATTCTTTGACAGAATTTCCTGGTCCTGGTGTAGGATAGTTGCTGCTTGCTGGAATATGCTTGTTGTTTGAAGGCGCTAAGAGAGATCGAAGTCTTGGTGCTACCTTAAGCATAACCAAAAGCGCAGCTTTGATTGAAGTCGCACCTAAGTACGACGACTGTCTATCAACTGAGAGAGACAAAGCATTTACATCATCCGCTTCTGCGGGTATTGGATCTCGGTTTCTTCTTTCCTCGTCCCATTCTATATCTTGGCTTGGTATTTGTTCGAGATTTGCTAGGCTTCTATCTTCATCAGAACCAGAATTCAGAGGCGATCTATATTCCTGCGATGTTGGTGATGTATTAGAGCCCGACGGAGAAGTGTTTGAGAACACACTTCGTGGGGACCGATCGATGAGGGCAACGAGTTCATTTCGCGATAATGGCAATAATTGTTGCACTTCTCGGTCCGGATAAAGTCTTCGCAACACGGTACGACATTCGTCTAGGGATTGAGTGAGAGCATCGAGGGTTCTGCTTCAATCAGTATGTTAAGGCAGCATTTGGAATGCAGAAGCATCATACTTTCGAGAGGGAATTACCCTCTGCCTATGTTTATCATAATAACATGGTTTGGGCGATCGACATCCAACACATTGCCCACAAGGCTGTCGTCCATCGCATCGAATTTTACGACGTTTACATTCTGCACATGCATGTGGTGTTGTAATTCTCTTCGTCACTCCATTCGTTGTCGGTTTGGGTGTGTCTTGAGTTGTTTGTTCGGAGCTTAAAGTTTGGCGGGGTGGCGCCAGTCCTTGAACTAATACAACGTTGGAACAATGATCAGCATGGAATCTCTGTTACTCCACTCGGTAATTCGGATGTCCTCCTTCTGAAAGTATACTTACATGTATGGAACATCTTTGCTGAACCAATTGATGAAGGCATGAAGATGAGTACCGAGTGCCCGAAGACAATATTCAACCCACCTCGATAGAATTGGATTGGGTTGGGAGTGGGATTGGGATCTGGAATAATTTGCGAATCGATTGCAGCAAGTTGCAGCGATTTCAGCTCAATATGAAATATGACAAAAATACGTCGATGATAGTATCTTCTTGGCCTCTGAGCTGATAATTGTTCATGGATGAGTCGACGGTAAGATGTTCAACGACTCGGGGAGAACGGGGAATGACTGCAGCGATTCCGGTAGACTTCAATTCGTAAAGTTCTGGCAAACCAACGGTCACGGTTGAGGCGCCGACGTCGTCTTCGGAAGAATACTGACATTAGCTGACGGCAGCAAGACCCTTCTTTTGGCCAAAATCCTTGATATATTGGATATATCGCAATATTATATCTACGACGCTGTGGTGGTAGAAAGCTCCCTGGCGTCGTTAATGCGTCGTTATGCGTCGTTGATGCAGCTGTGGGGCTTGTATGTATTTTGGCCACAGCATATATGTATATGCAAATCCCTCACGAGGAACATGAGCTGACTTCCTTTTTACTGGATCTTGTGCTTGGAAATTTCTCCAAGTTGACAAACCTCTTTCTGCATGGGCAGGGAAATGAAAATAGGGAAAGTCTTGTCAGATACTCAATTAGGTCTTTTGCAAAATCATATGCTTGCGTTAGATGTCAGATTGAGAATTCGGATTCTTAATAGATTATTTGGAGTGAAGTTCTTGCAGGTCTGTTGGGCACGAGTATTGATGATCCCCTACTTTTGTTTGAGGATTGAAGATTATTTCAGACCTGTCGTACCATGGGGAAAGTATCATACTTGTCAATTTTCATCTGATCTTTTCCCGCCTCCACGATCCCAGTTTCCCCGACTTTCCCCACAAGATGCTTGTGCTAAGCTTGGCCAACTATGACACGTTGAGGGCTCGAGAGGAAATACAGCTCTGCTCAGATAGGGAAGTTGATTGGCGACAAGAATGGGGGGTATGTAGGGGTGGCTAAGACTTCCGGAAAATTGATTTGGCGATGGTAATTACCTTGAAATTTGGAACCATATATTACAATGCATCTTCTCATATAAAAGGATACTTCTCCTTCATCACAAAGATATTACCTTGTGCGTTTTTTTAAGAAGATCACTGCAGCAAAGAGGCGACACAACGATGAATCAACACATCACGAACCACCATGAACCACTAAACTCAAACTCAAGCCCAAAAGCTGGAAAAATTCTCTTAACACGTGTCAGAAATCCTCGTTGTGGAGTTCTCGTCTCCAAACTTTGACTGCGCCAAAAGTTTCGGACTCCAAGAAAGCTTGCCCGCTTACTTACCACAGCTCAAGTACTTCCAAGAAACGGCCCAGATCCAATGATGGTACGTTCAAAGTGCATCTCATATCTAGTCATCTACGAAAATTCTGCATTTTATGCAATACATGATGTCCATCCAACATCTTTTTTGGATAATCCGGGACCCTGGTATAGGTAAGCCAAGCCCAATCACCTCAAGGACGTTGCAGCCTTCCTGCAGTAATTCGGCGAATTTACAACCTGCAGTCGCAGCAGCGGGAGCAACCAAAAACACATAAAATAATCGAATTTCAGCTGATTATCGCGGCCCACGGCTGCTCCCTGGCTGCACATCATACCGAGGCGTGTGAAGCATGACATACTCGTTCTTGAAGCTTACATCTCGTCCTCGCCGATGATCCAGCTTCCAAGCATTTTTTTCTTCAGCGCCCAACGGCCGGAAAAACCAATAGAACATCCCAAGGTTTTTCGAATATCACGTTCTCCTTCTTGATACACGGGGAATTTTCCTAATCAGGACTTACGAGCAGCACATACCCGGTTAGTCTATGTTTCCTCCCGTGACAGGGGTGGAAGTAAACTTTGACGAAACGCGGGGTGATCAACAGTGAGTATTGAAATTTTGGCTTCTCACAATATGGCAAAACTTCCCCGCTCATAGATTGTGGGCAAGTGTGATGAATTCGGATAAATTCGCAATGTATGTAACTTGAATTGGGGGTTGGGGGGGGGCATATCCGGTACATAGTTGTGAGCCGCGTTCATTATGCCGAACCGATACTTAGCGTGTAACGGCAGCTGAGTATAGGCATTTCAGCCGAGTGCCCCTTTAAATAGTTATTGGCTTTGAATATATATGGTGGCGTTAGTATGAAGAAGATCTCCTTCGTATTATGGTATCGCCAGCTCATGTTTGAATTTGTGAGAGCTCTATGGCTTCGTTGTTGGCGCCTGACCATGTCCTAGGGGGCTTATTTCCTGAGTTGGCCATGCATTGCCATGGCTATGTCTAAAATGGACGTGAAGTAATATTTTTAGATACATCTGGAGTAGTTAATCCAAGAACCTTCAAGATATTGAATGTATAGTATACGAAGGAATGGAATATGATCGTCGTGAAATTTCAGACCAGACGCAATAACATAAGTGTTCTGGCCTCATTGTTTTTGAACCTTCACATGCCACTCATCCACTGAAAATAAAGTTTTCACAGGAGAGTCCTTTGCTGTGCAACCCACCACACTGAGCCAAGTCTGCCTCTTTCAATAGTCTGATGACGCTTAGTCTAAGTCGATTTCTATTGCCAACCCCAGCCTGGTGGTAAAGGATAGGTTGATCTTCAAAGTTCTAGAAGTAGTCAGACATTTGTGGAAGAGATATTCGCAGAGAATGCGTAGAGAAAAATCCCTTTCCTTTACCACAGGATCTAGTGGCTGCGATGCTGTAAAAGGCGTTCCGTGAGTAGGGCCATTAGCGTGCCTCATTCAGCACCACCTGTTTCAAATCCTGAATGATGCATATAGAATCACCTCAAATGTGTTGAAGATTGAAGCCCAGGAATAGATTTCTCTCAAGGCCCATGGCAACTATAGCAGTTTGACTTGGTTCGAATGCTAACAGGTCTTGTTCAAAGCCTCAATTTTCCTTACCGCTAAATTAGAGGATTGGTTGTGCCCCTTAAAAGTGATACGTAGTCCTGTATTAGGTCGCTATTATTGATTTGGTTGATAATATCAACCTAGTAGATCGTGTTTAAGATCATTAACGCACAATGGGTGGACGCTGTGTATCGGGTATTGCCATGGCATTCACAGAAATTTCTCCTCTCTTCGGAGAAGTGGTTGCGATTTTTGGTTGGCTGTGAGGATACATGAAAGTCTTTGAACGCCCTATGGGAGCATCATAGATGTACCTGAGCAGGCTTGACTATTTTTAAAAGTCTAACAATATTAAAAACTCCCTCGCCAAATACCGCATTTAAAGGCATAACCAAGTCAGGACCGTGTTTCAATTTTAGGCTCTCAATTTTCAACTCGCCTAAATCTCATAGACCAGATACCATATATTTGAAGTGTCCAACAAAGAAGTGGTGTAGAGTACAAGGCACCGGTATCTTTGGTGGCGCCAAATAATGTTTTAGTCCTTCAGTTTGAACATAATGTGTATTCTAGACACGCAGTGCATATCAAGCATGTTAAAAACGTGAATCCAAGTCACCGAATAGAACTTTTAGGGTTACAATTCTCACATCATCAAAAGCAGGGCACTAATAGAAAATGAAGCATGACGAGATGAATCCTTCTTTCCTGTGTGAGGTAGTCAAGTAGCATATTTATTCTTCGTCAGCGTAATATTATCTATCCCACTGGCGCTGTTATTTACCAAACACTCCACCCGCAAATCGCTCGCAAGTTGGCAACACTCCTAGCCCATGGTAGAGCCCCCAAGAAGAACCATCACTGCATAAAAATCTGAGTGCAAAGGCATGAGAAGACGAGAAGGCTGCGGGGTTTGAAGTGAATTTGTGAATCAAAGTGTGGGTTATGAGTAGCCACTGATAAATACAAGAGTTTGCTTGGCTATGTCTGATTTGTATGGCTTGACAGTTTGCTCGCTAACACAGGCGTGATAATTATTGAAAGACGAAATCGGTGTCGACAAACCATCACAGGAGAGACGAGTACTAGTACGATCCAAATTATGTGGTAAATATGAGCAGCCTTTCTTTCAGGTCTTTTTAACGAGCTCCTTACAGACTGCTAAAGTTAAGGGTGGTTTGACGATAGAATGTATCGATTTTTTGAGCTGGTCAATGACATTAATGGTATGTGGGGGCACATATATGTTTGCCACCTTTCCACACAATGTACTAGCTTCAAGGAGTTGTGCCTTTGCAGTGAAAGATTGCAGCGACCATGAGGTGTATGGTGGCTCTGTGAGAGGATACAAATTATTTGCAATCGCACTCTTTATAAGAGTCCCAAGCACCATCGAGTCGCAACCATTTCTGTAAGTATTGACATTAGTGTACTCCATCGGCGAGTGCTGACTTCCATAACGATCGCAACTCCCCGGAAGCATCCGACTGGTACATTGAAGCACGGGCTGTTGATATTTATATATAGTGTCCTTGAGAACCTGGACGGCCTTTCCAATTCCTTCTATCCGATATGACTCCAGTTTATCTTTATGTGTCAGTGATGCGCCCAGATGCACTATCGAATGCTGAGGAAACATACCAACTACAAGTTCCGGAATAGGTAGATTAGATTCCCTTGCGGATATTGTCTCCTCAAGGCTACAAGTACCTTCCCCTTGTATCAACTGCGTAGCTCGAAGGAACTCACTATCCAACTCGAAATGCCAGGCTATGCATAACCAACAGGCAATGCTGGTAGACGAGGTCGTCCATCCAGTTGTCAATCCGTTTGTCCAAATGGAAGGGAATGGCCGTACGACTTCTGTACACTGGTATTTATCAGCCAAAATTGCCATTTGCGTGAATAACTCCAGGTCAATATTCAACGGAACTGAGTTCATACGACCATGAATAATATTGATCAATATTCTCATGGCAGCGGGATCGTCATCTGGAAGAGGAACTTCGACTTTTCCCGTTGTTTTTAATTCAATACCCTCTCGAAAGCCACCTTGGAGCATTGCTTTAAATACCGGAGATGCGAGAGACATATGCTTTGAAGATACCAGTATTCGATCATTGTAGACCAGGGTCGAATCGTCCTCCGATGTTTCAAACTCAAGTGATCTTGTCATTTCTGAGTCGGTGGAGCCAGAATCATCATTAGTTGCAGCAGCGATGGCACCAGCACCTGGTATTGACAAACAGCTGGTGGACTTTGGTTTGGTTTGATTTATAAGAAGAATCAAATCTCCATCAGGATCGACAATAATGTTTGAGCCTGAAGAATTTACCATCGTAGCCTAGATAATTCAAATCCGGGGTGGAGATTTCTTAGGATAACGGAGCCAAGGTGAAGGTATTCTGGTGATCGCGTTTTTAAGGAGCGTTGTTAAAATGGGAGCGTCTGAAATGGCTGTGGAATGCCAGGCCCCAAATAAAATACGTATTCAATTTAAATTTGTTGGAAGTGTACAATATTATTTATTGCACACCTAGCTCCCGAGGTCTGGGGAGAGTTGTATTATGGAATATATATGAAGTGATGGTAACACTAGCGTAGATTCTGTACAGCTTCCTAGTACGGCTGTCACGACTCATGTGTTTCTAATAAAATTATTTATGATAGCAATTGATTTATATAAACAACGTTACCAAGCACTATAAATAGATATCACAATAACTTATATAATTTAATTCTACTATATAATATGAGAAAGTTGGAATTATAGACCAAATACATAAAGGTTTTTAATCAATCAATCATATAACCTTTTATAATTAAATATAAAAGAAAAGCTTTTATCTCTTCTTTTTACAATAACCAACCTTCTATATATATATATTTGAATCTATATAATATCAACCCCAAAACTATTATGAACCCTGTTTTCTCTATAAGTGATATATTACAATGTAATCTAATTCAGTTTTCTCTTCCAATTCCCTCTTCACAATATACTATCAAGATGTATATATCTTGACCTACCACTTTTACAATAAAGGTCATAATCTCCTATTAACAATTAATAAAATATTATAATTTTCAATTGAAATTAAGAATTTGAACTTGCTTCGGCTTTTTATTAGCTGGGGGATTAGTTAACAGAGTCTCATGCTTTGTTTTGGAATTTGAAGTGAATACTTTGTGATGGAAACTGGGCAAAAATCCTGCGAATGGTCCTCTTGCGCGAGACATACACCTCAATCCTGAGTTTGTATGTGTGTTATTCACAGAACAGTTTATTTGCGGGAAGTGATGCCGCATGATGAAATGCTGGCTTTAACAAGCTGTGTACACACCCGATTTGATAATGTGTATCTGAAAAAAATGCGATTTTTTGTGCTTAATTAACGAAAATGTATTCGAATTTGTTTTTTTCAAAATTGAATTTTCATAATAATAATTTAAAATTCATTGAAATATAATTAAAATATAGATCAATTCATCTGTTCTCATTTGATATAAATTTTATTCAAATTAAATACGGTTTGATAAAGTTATTATAAATTTAAATTTTTAATTGAAATGATTTTATTATAATATTTAAAGGTTAGTTTTGGATACATGTTCTGAAATTGAGTGTACCTGTGTAAATTACCTACAGCTAGTGTATAAATTTGCGAGTAAAACTTCGGATTCATTGAAATGGGTACGTACAGAACTAGCTTGAATGCTGAAAGTTGCTAAACGGACAATTACGATGAAGAATAGGCCAGAAGACAAGGCGCTAGACAAAATGGCCTTCAAGCTGATTAATGAAGGAGAAAATACTTCTGGTAAAATCGCCATTAGTTTCTTCACATATCGAAAGGAATTAGTCGTGTTATCATCCATGATGTTATAACGATATATTTCAATTTGGCTAATACCTATTTCAATTTAGAATTCCATATATTACAAGTTCTTGTACGTTGGATAAATAGTTATAAATTTTGTAATGATTTTATTACTGGGATACTTGTCATCTGTGTCCCCTATCTCGCCTGGTTTCCTATTCACATATTAGTTCATCTTGTATACCCGCTCAAATGTGCAAGTCGAAGTTGTGGTTAAGGGATTGATTTGAATACCACTAAGTACAGATCTACAGCATTTAGGACTTTGAGTCAGCAGTGGAACTTTCCAGGTGCTTGGATTCGATTGAAAATTAAATCCATTCAAACAGTCGAACCATTGCCAGAATTTAATAGCTCTTCGGACTTTGAAAAAGGAACTCAGCCTACGGTATGCACCATCGAATTGTTTGTTTAGGTATAAAAAAAGGGTAAAAAGGGAGATAGAGGAGGCAGCTAATTACTTCCGGAAGCCTTCTTGAAATTTACAAGGTTCAAACCGGATGTGCCCGCACCCATAATTACTCCCCCGGGTCTGAGTTGTTTCCAGATATCATGGTGATAAGAAGTTGTCTTGCAACACCACGATTTAACCAGTCTTAACCCTCATGTCTCCAGTTTAGTCTTGAAAGCTATAGTATAAAACTCGACAAATTATGCAAAGGAGCTTGTAAGAATTCTGGAATCTACTCACCGCACACCATTCAAATTCGTGACAAAATCCCTGCAAAAATCAAATTTTCCTATATAAAATAAAATATCGAATAACTTTTTCAATGTTGAATTAAATCAAATCAAATTTTCAAATATTATAGTTAACTACAAAAGGATATTGAAAAGATTTATAGTTTATTTTTAATTATTTTTGTTCTAAAATTATATCTATTTAAATTTAAAAAATATTAAAATTTCATTCCTGTAACACTTTTTTGAACTTTTCCTCATATAAAATAAGCGATTTTTTTAAACTTTTTGGTTTTTTCAATCTTAAATATATATAACTTTGAAACAAAAATAATAATAAATATTTCGTTAAATTTTTATTATATTTGAATCAATTATCTATATAAATATCAATTTTCATATATTTGTTTTATTATTTTATAAAGATAACAGGGGTTTAAAAAGTTGAAAAATCATTGATTTTGGTGTGATTTCGCTTAGTGTGCGGTGAGTAGATTCCAGAACTCTTAGAAGTGGAAACAGCCCCTTTGACAGGCAGCTCTTATGAGGTTCCCGAGAAAAAAGAGGTTTATGGAATAACGCCACTTTTTGATTAGGTAAATATCATAGACTCTGAAAATGCAGGATATGTGTAAAAACTACTCAGGTAATATTTCAGCGGATGCACATCTGAGTGTGCCCTAAAAACCTAGTGATAGTTCCTTCCCAGAGCTACTCATTCTCTTCCGTTTTATGTACCCTCCCATTAATAACAATAACATCCAACTTATCGTGATCCTGCAATATCGAAATATCCTCCAACGGATTTCCATCCACCAGAATACAATCTGCATAAAATCCCTCTTGAATCTTCCCCAGCTCATCTTCTCTCATGAAAAGTTTCGCGACTCCTGCAGTGGCAGCTAAGATAGCTTCCATAGGAGTAAAGCCAAGTAAGTTAACGAAATGAGTGAGATCTCGTGCGTAAGTTCCATGGGGCGTCCATGCAAATCCATAATCTCCTCCGGGGAGAATTACAATACCTCGTTTGTGCATTTCTCGAAGGCCGTGGATAGCGGCATCAAGCTCTTTCTGATACCCTACTTGTGCGGCTTTTTCGTGTGTGTATCCGAACTTGGATGCTTCGTTTACTGTGGAAATCATGAGCATCAACCTATACAGTGGGATTCAACGATAGACTTACATGTCGCAATCAGCCAGTTAATTCCAGGGGCGACAATATGCTTATCTTTTTTCGCTTCAAGCATATTCATTCCTTCTTTGTCGACGTATGATGCGTGATAAATGACATCCACTCCATGTTTCACGGACATTTTTATGGAATCGCGAGCTCTTGCGTGGGCACAGAGTCGTCGGCCTAGATTATGTGCTTCATCGACACATGCTGCTATTTCCTCGTCAGAGAAGTAGCAATCTTGTGCTGATCTTGTTTCTGTGATCTTAATGAAGTGTTAATATAAGCATTCGAATGAGGGTCATTCGTAGCTAACCTCTTCCCCACTCATACTTAACTTAATCTGATCAACCCCAAGACTAACATGACGTCTAATGACACCTCTCATTTCTTCCAGGTCATCTGCATAGGCTGTGATTCCCGGCACTAAATCCCCATCTCTCTTCGCTATCTCCATGCCATTAGCCAGGTATCGAGGGCCAGGAATATCACCCGCATTGATCATATCGCGGATGACGACATCTAGACGATCTTTTGCGGAGGCGGCCCCAAAGCACCTTTGTATTGTGTCAATGAACGTCGGGAAACTTTGATCTATAGTAAAATCCAAATCAAGACGTACATCGTATATCCCGAATCAAGGTAGCTCTTCGCACTCTGCGCCGTGTGTAGAGTATGTTCCGCCATACCCATTTTCCCAAGCGCATTCAAATCCCCTCCGTTCCACGTGAGATGAGTGTGAGCATCTCCTAATCCACTCATCAAAGTCCGACCTCTCCCTTGGAATACTCGTATGCCCGAGTCCTCGCGTAACGATTCCTTGAGGAATTCTTCTCGGTTCGGAAGGAAACCTATGAAGCGGATTCGTTCGCCTTCTATTAGTACATCACCGGGATATGGGTCTCGGCCGGTGGAATCAAGAATGTTGACATTGAGAAAGAGAATTTTAGAGTCGGACGGAGTTCCAAAGATTGAGTAGCGCGCGGGCAGAAGAGATGGGTGGAAATTTAGGGAGGCGATGGGGGTTAGGTTTCGAGGGGCCGTTGAGGGGGTTTTCATGACGAGTGGATGATCAAGTAGGGGATAAGCAATTTTAACTCAGAATTCTGATTTTTTAGATAAGATATTGAACAACTGTTGAAATTCCTAGTTAAATGCGATATAGCACATTTCAAAAATGCCACCATAAACACCATTTAACAGAGTACACTGCCGTGATATATATAACCACATAACCACTTTGATTTTCATATTCTTCTCTAAATCACCAACCCAGTTCATCAACCTTTGAGTTAGAATTACCAAACATATTTCTTGCCTTATCCATCGAACTGCACATTATACGTGGCTGTAACACTGAATGGACAGGGTTCTCCGCACCTCCACCTGAGGTTATGCAGTCGGTGCGGGGAGAGGTCACTTGAAAACATCCAAAAAGACTTCAACCACAGAATGGAATCTTTGAAAGCTCATTAAGAACGTTCGGAAAAGCGGATTAAATTAGAAATTTGTGTGGTCGAAAAAAGGGAGTGTAACGATCTGGTCGAGGCAGCGGTTGCCTGAGGTTCATATGGTTGGTAGTTGTGGGTTAAGGCTATTAATCACTGGTTATTCACTTGAAAGTGAATTCGTTACTAGATCAAGTAGAATGTAGGTAAACTGATTAATAACTAAGTTGAGCACGAAGCTCCCAAACTATGAAACTATGAAACTATTCTGACTATATACTAATGAATGGAAAGGAGCTTCGTGGAGCCCAAAAGCTCCTAGAGCTCCTCATCACATGATCAATCCTGAGGCTTTTCCTTTCCTGGAACACTTGTCCCAAAAACTTTCCTCTAGAAACCTCTGCCCTAGGATACGATATTCTCTAGAGTAATTGTCCCATTACAACCGATTAGCTAGAACACTTGTCCTATTCTAATATGGTTGTCTAGAATATTTATCCTAGGAATCCTGGGTTCCTATTCGTAGACGATTAGGACCCCTAAAAGCAATGGCTACATCATACCCCCCTAATAATCGACAACTAAATCACCGATATCAATATTACTACTATAATCTAAACCGTGAATCGTGATAGGGAGCTCGGTTGAGTTCTGTGAGAAGTTTGATAATCTAAAGGTTGAAAATGGTGATGTGAAATAACGTGACGTGAATTGGGATTTGACGGGAGTAATAAACTAGTACTTTTCATCTTAAAAACTTCTGTTTATGATGGAATTGAAATAGAATGAATATTCAACACGAAATGGAAGCCTGATGATATGACGAAACAATTTAATCAGGTCTTACGAGCCAACTCGTACTTCAATAGATGCCTATTTAACCATACCCCGCACTAGAAACTTCATCCATTAAAGGTACATATAGCCGTAGCCATCGCGATATCGACGGGTCTCCTCCAACGTAGAACAAGTATCAAAAGAATAAAATGGCTTCATCAGAATCCTCAAAGTTCTTCACAGAAGACTGGACAATAACCATACCCACCCATCCCAAGCTACGCTTCATCCGTCTAATCCCTACTCGCTACAACCATCTAGTCCGCATCTTCAGCAACCCCCTAAACGATCCACATAACCCCGCTTCCATCGCCGCCAACTGGAAAGAATCCGACACCCACGATCTAATAAAAACATACACGCGACGATACACGTCAGCCAAAACCGCACATAATGCCCTTGCACTCTTAGTGGAAGAAAAAGGCACAATCGTAGGTATAGGTCTGATGCATGAATTGAAGTACGAACCCGGCGTAGCGAATATTGGTACAATACTAGAGGAGGAGGCGAGGGGTCATGGTGTTGGGAAGGTTTTGATGGAGTTGTTGCTGAGGTTGAGTAATGATTTGGATGTGGATGCTGTGGAGGTGGCTACGATGAAGGGGAATAGTGCGATGAGGGGGTTGATGAGGAGTTTGGGAGTTGAAGAGACGGATAAGGAGAGGATTGTGCCTGGGGATAGAAAGGTAGCGGAAGTTATTTTTAAGGATGTTGATAGGAAAAGATGGAAGGATTTTGAGTTTGAAGTGGAGTTTTTGGGGAGGGTGGATGATTAAGAAATTGGTTATTAGGAGGGCAAATTGTTGATATATCATATGTCATTTTGCATGTAGGATCTCGAGGGAGATATCGTATATATTACGCATTGATCGTACACATTTCATCTGTCTAATCACAACTTATGGATCAAATTTGATTTCGATTATTTGCACCACGGGTAATCCTGACAGACACAACACAATTCCTTGCAAATGGCTGATCTATCCCGATAGATCAAATATGGCAGTAAAAGAGGATTCGATTGCCACGGCTCACGGAGTGGCTAAGTCAATCTGTATCTCACAGCTGTATGCCCAAGTGGGATTCCTTTCCACCAGACAGGTGTGGGAAATCGGTGACTTGGGTGCTGTGCTTAGTTGTGGTTAACCATGATGATGGGTGGGATGTTTTATTTTTCCAAAAAGAAAGGTAAGCTAGCGCTACACCAGTAACTAAACAAACAATAAAACCGTTTAATAGTATCTAAATTCTGTCCACTGTTTAGTTTCTCAAGCAGGAGTGAAACGTCATGGCAAACTCTAGCAATACCTCCGTATCAACTAACGGAGCTACCACTGTGCTCGCACATAAATCTTTTCACTCTCCCGTGCCATATGAAGCCCTTGAAAAGCACCTCAGGTCACTTAGCATCACACGATTCATCCAACTTTATAAGCTGTACTAATATAGCTTTCGCCAAATCGCTCTTATTAATGATGCCCTTGCTGTACTGTATGTCTTGAAATCACTCCCCGAGTCGAATATGAAGACAATCTAGTCTTGGTAGCCATGCATTCCAATGGATAATTGCTTGGTAGGGAGGCAATCCCAAGGAGCTTACATATATACCGAAAGACTCAAGGGCTGTCTGGAGGTATAATTCACATGCACTATTTCAGCGCATTCATCCTTCCGATCGGGCAATCTGTTCTTGGTGATTTTGGGGAATCCCCAAACAAAGGTATTAAAGTAAGCACTCTACTCTATAATATCCACTATCATCAATCGATCAAAAGAGAACTAAATATAGTTCTATCCTCATGGAAATTTTGGTATCCTCAACAGGGCTTCTATCCTCTATAACGATCCATTAGATTTCGATGCGAAAAATCAGGAATACAACTTATTCTCCAATCCTATAATGTTCGCAAAACGAAAATTAGATGCATACGCGTACCTTCCCTTAAATTATATTGTTTGCGAGAATGACGAGGCTGTCCCTCCAAATACCGGAAGATGTTTGCAAATACTTCAGATGCCTAAATTGATAAGTGCAGTGCAGGAAATTCGGTAATGTTGGATCTGACTGAATTGCTTGAAGAGAAGATTTCCGCAGCAGGTGAATTAGCTGTTCAGGAGGCAAACAAGGGCACATCCTCGTTAGGATAACTAGGCAATATGTTGCTACTGGCGGATGTGAATTAATAGATGGATAAAGAATCAAGATATCTAACGACAAACCCAAATCAATTGGTAAGATCATTATTTCTATCCGTGACTTTTGATTGTAAATTCGTTTCTTTTAGTTATTAGGATGAGAAGATTAGTTTAGACCGGCTGTATTATAGAAATTGTTATTCTCTTCGTTATTGAAAGTTCCAAATCTTCAACATCAAGAGTGTCCCCTTCACCTTGAAGGAGACACATATCTTCATTGCCTGAAACCCCAAGTTCCAATTATCCTTGACATCGATATAGGTTGTAGAACAGGTAAGTGTATGAGCTTTATCTGTGGCGGCATCCCATGCAAGTGTAAAGATACTTGCGACGTCGATAGACTTGACAATCCCGTAGAGTGTCAGTCGCCCAGAAAACCTGACACATTTTGAAGAGGATGCAGGGGGTACATGGTAATAGGATAGTTCTGCTTCATTCACAGTCGCATGCTTACTTTCAGCATCTATAACTGACAGGAATTCCTCGAGAAATGCTGGGTCATCTTGATCCAGATGAGGTAACTTGGGTTTCTCGACATTTGCTACCCTTTCAGCTCTGTAGACGATGGAGTAAATAAGGACTTCTCGAGTTCGTTGGATTGAATTTGGTTTTGCAGCAACTGAGAAGCATTAGGTGGGCAAAGGACCTGAAGTATACTGCAAGCACAAGACATTTTGAGAAGTTGAAAGGCTGTGGTTTCGTCAATGTGACAGAACATGAGGTCAAATGACCACTTTGTGCTTGAGCAAAAATAGAGAGGGGAAAAGAAACCAGTACCATGAAGCTTGGAAGTTTCCAAAGATTTAGGAAACCGCGGTTGTGTACATCCCAACTTGGAATATCAATATGATCTAAAAGTAGTGGCGAACATGGGATGCAAGAGCCAGGCAGTGTTTAGGTAAGAGTCATGAGTTAGGAGCCATGTGTCTAAAAGGTTCTATTTGGCTGGGGTTATATTATCTTGCTCCTTGCGGGAAGAAACAAGAAGACTTGGGGTTTTCTAGTTTGATACACACTGCTTGAACTCGTCCCGTGAATTAGCTTTGGGAATAATTACCATCCTTTTCATGCTTGACTAGTAAAAGCCAACATGACTCAGTTCACATCAGACAGATCTTAATATCATGCATATAATCATACATTTTTATTCTCGGCAAACCTTTATATCTTCGTATTTTTAACTACCAGAGTCAGTCCCCGAGAATCCTGCACTAGTCTAAATGCTTGAACTTTCAAGCAAACCATATATTCTACTATTAAGCCTATCATCAACTTGATGCTGCACACTTTACACTTCACCCTTCATTAAACCTATAAGTCAATTAACCAAGATTTTGATTTAACTTCGGTAAAGCACTGCTCTCCTGCGTGCATTTTCTTGATGTACCTTGATCAATTCGACTCGTCATTTAGTGTCCTAGGTAATTCCTTGAACCATCAGAGTTTCTAGTATTTATACTTTCGTTTGATTGGGGAAATAACAGAAAGTCTCAATTATGAGCTTCTATTAATACTGATTATATTTATTAAGTAAAGAGATGTAGATTATAAAAACTTTTTATTGGGTTCGATATATATACGGATAACAGCTTTGGAGATAGATTTTACTATATGTGAAACAATGTATAATAAAATCTTATATACGCTAATATATTAAAAAGAGATATATTCACTCCATACTCGAGTAGGTCTGAAATATCTACCTGCATACTATTACAGCTATTATTTTCTAGAACAGCGTGTACAAAACTTTTCGCACATACACTCCAAAATAACCAGACAATTTCTATTACTATCGCAGAGAAAATAAGCAACAATCCAACCACATACAAAATAAACCCATTCCCAGAAACCTTCTGCATAGATGCATAGATTCATTCTAACGTTCCATCCAGCTTGCGTGGCACCCAGGGCCAGGAACAACACCAGGAACAAAATTACCTAATCCCCGATCCTGGATATTCCTAGAGACCGAGTAGGTCTTACAAAACCCATATGTGCAATAACCTTTCTCTCATTGGAGAAGCACAACCTTACCATTACAACCGGTGTGAGTGCATTGAAACAAAAACGCAAGAGTCACCTACCCACCCAATCTGCACCTTGTTAATCTACATCGTACATCCTATTTGCAGCAACGAAATAAACTTGCGCACATACGGAGTATAAATTCAAGACGGCAAGTCTACCGAGTAACCGTAGTCTCTACAATACAAAGCGGTGTAACAAGAGCACATAGAGATCCAAGCTGAGCCATTACGGAGTAGTCCCAGCTCCAAAAGCCTTATCCTTATCCTTCCAAGGCCCTCTTCCTTATCCCGCTATGACAAACCCCACAACCCGCTGTTGCGAATGCACGTTTGTCACAATATTGAAAAACTCGGTCTTATTAGACCTTCCTGTTGAGATGTTGATTGTAAGTTAGATGCCTAGGATGGATGGGGATTTTACCTTGATGGGTAACTTTGTGGCGAAGGATTTGGATTTGGATCTGCATCTGAGTCTAAATCTGAGTCTGAGGTTAGTGAGATAGATGCCAGGGATAAGTAATTGGAAAGATTGGTGCCAGGTGACATCCATCAATGCTTTAGCAGACAAACCAAATAAGAACACCAAAGACGTCATGATAAAACATATACATTTAAATTTTTTCATTGTATCCCAAGCTTCCCAAGCTCCCCAAGCTATTTTGTGCCATTTAAAATCATATCCGATATTCACCGACATCGTAACTACCTATCCTAGCCCTAGTCCCAAAACACTCCACATAACATAATTCATATCATTAGCATAATCGTAAGTAACAAACAACAAACATCCTCACAGAGGAACGCTGTAACCCTTAAATTTTCGCGCTGGTATCCTCTGCTCAAACAACCAATCCAATTCATCAAATGTCCTGTTATTCGTTTCTGGTACTCTCAACCAGACCCATAGGGTCCCGAAAGTTGATGTTCCAGCAAAGATAAATCCAATCTTTCCTCGCAGATTTGCTGAATCGGGATTTATCAATAGTGGGATGACAATATTCATCAGGATTCCGAAGAGACTTTGTACCACTATACCAAGTCCTACGGTCCTCGAACGCAGCGATGAAGAAGGGACTTCAGCAAAAAGTGCCCAGCCCATCGGTCCAATGGTCGAGAGATATATAAACGCGAAAATGATTACACATGCTACTTGGCCGAAAGCGGGTCCTTTGCTGGAGTAATTTGGTAGAACATCCAATATACCAATTACCAAGAGCAAAAGTGTCAGGATTGCCGTTCCCACGAGAGATGTAGACCGACGTCCACATCTGTTGATGAGAAACCATGAACAAATAACTCCCAAGAGTCCTAAAATTGTGACCCCGACCGATAAAGTGAATGCATTTGAATTGGACATGCCAGCAAGCTCGAAGAAATAACTCGAGTATCCGATTGAGAAGACGACACCCGTGAGTTGGGCAACAGCGAAGATACCCATGGAAATTTCTGTACGACGAAGGTTGGAGCCACGGAAACAATCGAGGTAACTGGTTTCAGAGGAATTTTTTCTTTCCGTAGAGATGCTTGTTGTCATTTCTTCTATGGTTGTAAGTGGAGATAGGTAACCCAGACGAGCTAGGGTTGAGATTGTGGAGTCCATATGGGAATGACGAAGGAGATACCAAGGCGATTCGGGTGCAAAAGAGAGGCCGAGAATGATGATTGCGGGAAATATGAATTGAAGAGCGAAAGGAATTTTGTAAGCCGCTGACGAGGATAATGTTCCTGTGCCCTTAAGCACGAGGTTACCCGTAAGTTGACCGACGGAAATAAGTAATTGAACCCCAGAGGTAGTTAAGCCTCGTATCTTGGCAGGGCATATTTCAGCAGCGTAGCTCGATGGGATAGTGAGGAATGCACCCAAGGCAAGACCATTGATGAGCTATAACGTGTTAATTTCAAATCCAGGCTCATGAAAGAGGAGTCTTACCTTGCCTACAAGTAACATCGCGGGTGATGAAGCAAATACCTGCAAGAATGCTCCACAAATGCTAAATAAACATCCAACCGCCATTGTCAACCTTTTCCCAAACTTATCCGCAAGGTATCCTGTCGCAATAGCACCAAATAACTGTCCAATATATGAAGCCGAGTTGAACCCTGTTTGCCATTTGAAGCTTATTATGTATTCGCCTTTGTATTGGTATCCAAAATCACGCTGGAAGGAATTTATAGATATCGAACCGTTGGATATCTACAGATGCTGGTTAGCCACATTGATTTCCTTTGGAATTCAACCTCCTACTAACCTGTATGTCCACACCCCAATTAATGGCAGCTAGTGCAAAGAATCCAGACCACAACACCGCCACTCTATGCCTCTTCACCATCTGCCATGTAGAAATAGCTTCCTGTTCCTCCCGAGTTTGCGAAGTCGTAACTGGCGTGACCGTTTCCTCCGAAACATCCACTACTTCTTTATGCTTCATCGCCATGGCTTCCTTATTATTGTTGATCTAGAAAAAAGAAAGGCTGTTACCAATACATTATCTGGGGATCTCGTAGTTTAGTTATATCAATGTTGATCTTTAAGCGGGAGCCGTGCTTAACGATGTAAAATCTGGGGAAATCCCGGAACAACGATATGCTCGCTACCTTCCATGCCCGCTACCTTTTCATAGTCAAGAGCTCAAGGGTCAAAACTCAGAGAGAGATTGATTAACGAATGAAATGTTAAGAGGCTGGGATTCTACAAGAACCGGTGAAGACTGCCCCTGCTTCCATATTACCAAAAAAAGGCGGCGAACATCTTTTGTTGAATTTGATTTGTTCTAGACGTTGCGCTTGCTATATGAGGGTAGACGAGAAAACTAAATTACCCACTAAGTTGTCATGGTCTGTAGCTACTAGCGGGCAAATTCTTAGACCGCATAGCTCAAGGTCAAGCTTGTTCCAGAAAAACCGTGAAAAGTGGAACGATCGGTAAAATGGCAACCGACTATATCAAAATACCTCACAAAACATTTCGACTTCCTTGTAACGATTGTTCACGACGAGTCAGTACTAAAAGTTGCAAGAAACGTGGCTATGAAGTCTAGATTGTGATAGGAAGGTTAGTGGACATGCAGAACGCCTTAAATCTTTCCAGCAAATATCAGAATAACGAGCCTCCCCAATTCCTTATTCTCTACGTCCCAGTAATTTTGAGCATGCATCAGTAGACTTTGCTGATCACGGTACGGAATTGTCTGAATTAGTTCTTTGATGATTTCGATATCATGCCCACACATTAGTACGACTGCCCGTAGCAAGATCAATACTCCGGCGCCTCCCAAAACGTATGAGATTATGGGCGCCAGGCGAATTGCTGTGTGAATAAATTCATAAAATAGAAATCCATCATAGACACCAAGTCTCCGATCTTCTAGCAAGATATCACTTATTGCCTGAAGCAGATGCAAGATCTGTTGCGCGGCATGATTTTCCAATTGCCGGTTCCCAATCGACCCATAAAATAGCACATCATCTATGCGCGAACACAGAGGGTTTTTCATATCAGTAATTCGATTACCGAACGGATCTGAACAATATTGCATTTGTTCCGAACTGTTTATGACCGCACAAATCCATCGCCCCGCCTCTGAAAGCTTATCAGGATCATCGTAATGTTCGAATGTGTCCCCAAATATTTCCATAAAATCGACTCTTGGGTTGCCTCTTTCACGAGCTTGATGGTGGATTCCAGGTAGGTTGCGTGCAAGTTCGGTTGACCGCATTGGGACATCATGTCCCTTTGGGAAGCTAAGAACCACAGGCGGTGAAACTCTTTCGAGATGCTTGACAGGACTCTTATAATGTAAGGGCGGAATTGGTAGCTGATTCGGGGCGTAGCGCCGATTGTTTCGTAACCCCGCCGTGATTATTCCATGATACGGAGCCATTTTTTAAACTCGGCGTTGGCTTGATTCTGTAAATTATATTCTCTAAAGATGAGCGTAAAAAAACGAAATGAAATGGCGTGCAATAATGGGCGTGATAAATGGTGTTTGGTTTTGGATTCAAAAGAAACAATTCATTTGGAAGTAATGAGCTGTGGGAATGACCTGGGAGCAGGTATTCAAAAGCTTAATATAACCAGACTTTGATCTCAGATGTCACACAAACTACCACAATCGCTTTCGGTACCAAGTCACACGCGTACAACCTCAAGACGTGCGAAACACAAAGATGTTAAAGCGGCTCGATATCATTGGCTCACTTTGATAACTCCCAGCTGTAGCATTGGAAGGATCTGCCTTATCGTGCTACGCAAACATTAGAAGACGCACAGGAAATACGTCGCTTGATTGCGCGGACGAGAAATGAGGCGGATTGATGGTGGTACCTATGTTAAGGTCCTCATGGATGAGTACTGGTGCACTCGATCAGCAATCAAAACACGATAGAATGTTTCGTATATGCAGAAGTAGGCTGATAATGATGCCATTTTTGGAAGATATGTAGATAGCTGCGCTTTGGGCAGTCAAAAATTACTAGAGTGCATCGTCCGACCGAATCAGTTGGAGCAAACAAACATAATGGTAGCAAGCCACCGTAAATAAGGCTCCGCCAAGATCATTTGAAGTTATTGGCAGATTGATGGGATGATATAGTTTGCTTGTAACTCAACTACCGCCATATGTATCATCAACTTTGATGTTTGCTCGACTTGAGGAATTGTAATGGTTATAGGAAGCAAAAGAAACTCCGAGCCAGAAATAGAATGGAATGATTGACTGACTAATAAGCTGACATACAGCTGACATATACATTTGACTTAGCTCGAGAGTGGAACGCTCGGACCTGATGAATTCCTGTAATACTGGTGGACTTCCTTACTATGACCTTACTGCAGTTACATATATACTCATGCCTTTCTTTAATACTTGGACAACATATGGATACTCACATGCATCAGCTCACATCCGCGTGGGATTTGAATCTAATCCCCTCTAAATTCTTACTCTAGTCTTTGTTGCCCGAGAAACTCATTGTTTTCTTCATGGGAACCAGGAGTGAAAGTCCACTCAAGTTCCATCAAAATGAAATGGAGTAAATTCTAAGAAGATATCGATCTTTATCAGTATGGCTTCTGATATTTTTCTTGATTTGATGGATGTCATTCCCATTAATTTCTCATGGATGTACCTGATTTCAGCCGTTCTTGTAGCAGCTCCTGGCATTGTTTTTGCTTAAATTGTTAATGATTTGTGAATATGTTAAGAAGATAGACGTAAAGAATTTATATCTAGTCTTATAAATTCATATCAGTATCCAAATTTCCCAGTAATAATAAATCAATAAGCATTGTCTTTTACGCTCATCTATCATTTAACTTCTCTCATTAGCCTGCTCTCAAAGACTATTTCCACTCCCATCTTCATCTAACCTAAAGGTATCTGGATGTTTGGATATCATATATTTTCCATTATTAGCTAGAAGTTCTCCGATTAATCGCAGAGGCCTTAGCTCACAATTGAAGGACTGGGAATCACAGCGATTGTTCTCTATGTTTCGAGTACTGTCAAAAACACCGATTGGTATCAAAAGCTGTATGTATGAATGCTGTTCCTAATCCCATGTTATGGCGTCCTTCTGGAATTATCTAAGGCAGAATCACTTAATTCCAGTGTATATTGTATGTGACTATATCGTATTTTGATTATTATTGTGAATCTTAAAGTTCCAGTACGGGATTGCAAATGTTTATAGTGTGACCCTAATTGTTACCTTCAGGTAGGATTAGTCTGATCCTCCCCCCTCAAAAAAAAAAAAAAATAAAAGGAAATAAAAGCAGCATTCAAAGTGCTCTGAAGGATCTTGGAAGATCCTAAAAGGTCCTTGGAGAAGTTAAAAGGTTTTGAAGGAGTGAACATTCTTCAATAATAATCCTCTTAATTAATGATGTTATCCTTTCGATAGAAAACCATGATACACGATAGCAAACTATGATCTACAATAGAAAACCAGGATTTGCATTGGACTTCCATAATTCTGTCCTAGACTGTCCCAGGACGACACCTCGCATATAACAGAACAAGTGGTCGGAAAGAAACTGGATTCAAGATATGTGTGCTGGGACAGGTCTTAATCACATGTGTGTTTCTTTATTTAGTATGATTACGATCCGATCGTAGACCTATGCATATCAAGATCGCCAGAATAAGCCAATTATCAGCATAAAAATCAATACTTGAAGAAACAATTGTAGGAGGTATCCCATCATTACATTGATGTTTTAGCCAATTTCTGCATCCTCAAAATCTTCTCCAGCTGGAAGCACACCTACCTGTGTAGCCCAACCTGCTCGCATCTGAACCCTTGCTTTCCTGACTAGCCGAAATCACTAGTAAAGCCCCGAGAATTGATAGCACATTAAGAAGTGAGACAGGCAACAAAAACAGGGACTCGAGATTCATGATCAGATTATTTGGTTCTAACACTTCTTTCTCCCCTCAAGAAATGATTCCATTAACTTCGAGCAGTACTTCTCAACAACACTTGATTATTCTTCCGGCATCGAGAGCCGGGAACTATCTGGGCACCTCCTTCCTTTATTGGGTTTCAAGTTTGAATTGTCATTTCTTCACTGTTGGGTTTCTGAATCTCTATTTAATCACAATATATCAAACTTTGCTGCACTCTGAAGTACACAACTTTTCAAACAAAAGTTCAGAACTCAGTCTTTACGCAACCTTCTCTCTAAGAACGTCAAAGCTCACTTCCTTCAACATGTCTTCCAGTTCGGGCACTAGCTCTCCAAGTATGCCCAATTCCAGTGCTGAGAGTAGTTCATGGCGTGCAACTTCACAAGAAGATTCGTCTGATCGATCAGATGTAAGTACCCCGTCTTTTACCGTCAATCCGGCAACAGGTTTTCTCTCTTGCCCGTCTTATGGTCAGCTTGTTCAGTTGTCAGGACTAATCAGACTATTTCATCGTTTTATTTCGATTCCGATGACGAATATGGCCTCCTGGATGAAGCTGCACGGCAACAGAATCCGTGCCTTTTCTTCTTACATTCTCCATTTATTCAAATCTCGACAGAATCGTAGATCACGGCTAATTCATCCGACCCTAGGTTTATTCATCCAGAAATTCATCGCCAGCCAAGTCTTTAGCGACCAAACCCGTGACAGCGAAGAAACAGAAGTTGTCAGAGAAGACGGCTAAGTTTACGGCTACTGATAAGGGTGGCAATGCTCTTGATGAAGATATTGGCCAAGAACGCAAGCTCAACTCTTCAAAGGCTACCATTATTCAGAAGAAACCTGTTTCCAAGACAGCAACAGTCGCCGAAGTCGATAGCGACAGCGACGGCGGGGAACCCGAAGAAAGGCCTATTAAGAAACCCGTTGCCGCCTCCAAGTCGAAATCCAAGTCAGCTATCACCAAAAATACAGCTGCCAAAGCCAAGAAGAATGCTGAGGTACGCGGTAACGCAACCTTAACTGTCTCTGATGCCAAGGATGCAGAGTCAACCGGGAAGCCTGCCCCAACTTCCAAGCTTAGAAAGAGACGCGCTGCTATCCCAACAAACGATGGAGCTCGCAAGAGGGCCAGGCTACCTCAAAACACCTACACTCCTGATTCCTACGAAGGTTTAAACAAGGAAGATAAACTCTTGTTCGACCTCAAAACCCGAAGCCCAGAAGCGACATGGAGAGACCTTGTTGAAGAATTCAATTTGAAATTACAAAGCAACCCCAGAGTCAACCTCGATGCCCTTAGAATGCGATGGCCGAGAGTCAAGGCTGCAGCGACTGAAATCGCACATGGTGATGTAAGTTTGGCATTCCACTCTTGAACAAACCATTTTACTTTCTGATGATTTATGATTACTAACCCTAAACATCAGATTCAAAAGATGTGTGTCTATAAGCAAGATATGGAAGTTCAACTTGAGACAACACGTGAGGAGCTTTTGGCAAAATTCGAGAGAGACAAAGAAGCCATATTGCGAAAATTCAAGGCAGACATGTGGACTGAAATCGCCAAATACGTGGCTCAAGACGGCGGTAACCAATATGAACCAGCTACTCTCCAAAGAAAGTATGGTTTTTATCAGCGTCAGGGCCGCATCGATGAAAATGATAAATATGTAGCCTGGATGGATCAGGATGAAAAGGGGAGAAAGGCCAAGAAGCGAAGCAAGACCTTGATGGAGGAGAATGATGCAGAGGCTTCGGAGGGCGATGATGAAGAATCGGATGTTGGGGAAAAGGCAGAAGACGATAACGATGACGATGATGAAGAAGACAAAGTTGATGCCAAGGGAGAAGATGAGTACATGTCTCACGGAGAGGACTAAGCAAAAGGGGATTTTTCGCCCAGAAGCTTGGAAAATGATGTGCACGAGTACGGGTAGCATCGGCAGTACTTCAGACATCATAAACCAGCCATAACTAAGCAAACTTACTTTTGTTCGTAGAATATGTGATATCCTGAGCATCGCCATACTTACAAAACCATGTGATCTTATCAAGTACCTACTAGGTAAGTAATAGTGATTGGGAAGTCATCTAAGAATATCTTCTCATCCTAGTAAAGTAGTGTAGCATAAACCACACACCCTTCGGAAATGACGATACTCCACGCCAACTTCTCCCATTCACCCACTCCAACCAATTACAAATACCCGCACCTAATCTGACCTCACCAACTCCCAACAATCCACCTCCCACCGCACCCCCGCAACCAACCCCATCAAATCCCCAAAACGCTCCACCTCAAACCTCTCACACAAAACCCCCACATACCCCTCTTTCCAAAAGCCCCCTTCCACACAAACAAGCACTTTAATCCCCTCGCTCACCCCCTTCTTCAACGCCACCCCAAGCTCCACCAACGTTGTGCCTCCCGCTCCTATATTCCCAGCTTGAACATCCGCCCCTATAAACCCCACCACCACAATATCCGCCAATTCCAAACCTTGAAGTTCGAAATTTACCTGTGTGACGAACTTTTCATCTGAGGGAGCTTCGCGCCATGTGGAGTCCCAGGCGGGGTTGTAGGGGTCGATTATTGTGAAAGGGTTTGGCTTGCTGGTATTGTTGCTGGTGGATGTAGATGTGGTGGGAGATGGGGTGAAAAGAGCATTTGCTAGAGTTTGTTGCCAGCGGGTTTCGTCTTTGTCGTAATTTGTGGTGCCGGAGAGGAAAATTATGGGGCGGGGTAGTTCGTCGGGGTTGAGGATTTGGCCATTTTCAATTAGGTTTGAAGACGGTGTTAATAAGATATTTTGGTCTAAGGAATTGGTGGATGAAGACATTATGTGTGAGATGAGTTTGCTCGCTGAATGCAAGAGGAAGTCGCTCCGTATTAGAGTAGGATGTCAGTGTAATGACTTTTGGTTCTAATATTCGATGCTGGGATTGAGTTTTCGCCTAAATATAGGGGAAAGTATTCATAGCACTACCCAGCGGCGACTTCTCTGTAATGAGGAATAGGGTCAATAAATAAGTCTTTTCCAGATGAGGGCTGTAAATTGATCAGCCGCAGTGCATCACGGTTGCATCTAGTCAGTGGCCAATCATCGATTCCCAAATTCCAAGGGTCTGAGAGGCCACATCACCAAATTCGTGGAACATCCATTTCCCCATGATAACTAGGTATATATATTCATTTACAAATCTTTCTTTTCCCCGTTTATCTATCGATCCTCTAGCTCAACTCCATCATTAAATATATCTTCCGTTCCATCCACTATATGTCCAATTCCATCATCTTGAGGAAACCTTGGGCTTCCTCTCCTTCCTATCGTCTCTCCACTAGCAAGTCTAATTCTTCCACCACTGGCACTATGTACTTTATTCCCAACCCAAGATCCCACACTTCTCATCAAATACCAAAGCCTTTCTTCGCTGTTCGACAAAGGTCGATCTCTTTCTTCTCTGAATCCTTCATTGGCTTCCACTTTGAATTGGTATTTTAAGACATCTTTAATTGTTACCAGGCCTTCTAGTTTCCCATGGTATTCGATTAAAATTACTCGAGGTCCAATCTTCTGGAATAATTCCATAACTGTTTCTAATGGTAATCGAGGATGAACACTAACGGGGGTGGAATCTATGAATCGACTAAAGTCCACAGATGATGATGCCATACCTTCAAATTTTGTAGGACCTGCCGGCGTAGTAGGCGTGATGGGATCATGAGTTGAAATATTATTCGAGGGCGAGAAATAGCATTTTGCTGAAGGAGAGATGGTTCTATCCCTTTTAACCCGATCAATTGCATAGCGTAATTCGGTGCGGCCGATATATCCGACCAGAACCTTAGACACCCGATCCTCTACAATCGGAAATCCTTGATATCGGTCCTCGAGAAGCAATTTTTCTAAATGCCTCATTGTATAACCTGTTGTTGGTAAAACAACCACATCGGCCGTCATGACCTTAGATACTGGTACGCCAAAAGTATGCTCCTCCTTATTGTCCAGGAAAGGAAATCCGTTGAACCAAATCATTCGATCCGCTATACCACCTTTTCCAAAGAATTCTGAAACAGCTTTCGTTACTCCGACAACAATCATAGTTGGGAGAATGTAGGTCGTGGCACCGGTAAGCTCGAACATAATAACGACGACGGATACAGTGATATGCATGATACCACTCAAGGCTGCTGCTGCACCAAGAAATGCATATGTTCCTGGTGTGATACAGGGTATATCCGGTTGACAGGAAGCAAAAAATACAGATGCGGGATAAGCTTCGTGAATAGCTTGGACGAGAATACCAATAGTACGACCAAAGGATGCACCAATAGCCATAGATGGGACGAATATTCCAGCTGGAACTTTACAGCCATATGAGACGATTACGAGAAACATTCGAATGATCGTTGCCAAAGTCAAAGAAAAAATCATCTTCCATCGATTCTCCTTATCACAAAGACCATTGTAATCTTCCGCACCTTCACATTCCAAGAACAAAATCTCCATACTTTCGGTCATATCGATTCGTAGAAACATATTTGGATAGCAAATTAGAGCGGTTCCAGCCGCCAGTAAGGTCGCCTCGAGTATTGCATATTCGGCGAGATATTTCTTTCGAAATGCTTGCGCTCTCAAATTCCACTTAATCATAAACGCACCATAGAGTCCACCAAATATCCCTAGTACGATATAGAAAACTACCTCGAAGAAATGCCATTCACGATCATAGTGAACTTGAAACATGACAAGTTGACCGGTTCTGAATGGGTTCATTGCTGCAAGAACAGCCGTGGCAACCAATGCGCAAAAATAACTTCGCCACATGGTCTTCAAGGGAAAGTATGAGGACATTTCCTCGAGGGAAAACAAAACACCTCCGATAGGACTACCAAATGCTACCGCAACACCGGCTGCCGCACAAGCGCTGAGGATTTCGCGAGTTTTAGAGGCATTCCGTTTATACTTTTCGAAGAGCCTAGAAATGACATTGCCGGTACATACTGCATAATGAACGCTTGGTCCTTCTTTCCCTACTGATAGACCAGATCCAATTGCCAAAGGAAGGGCAACTGATTTGATGATTAAAGTCCAGAATCCAAGAAATCCCTTCATAACAAATCCGGCAATGATGCATTTTATTTCAGAAATTCCGGATCCAGCTGCATAAGGAGCAAACGATCTTACTAGACTCGCTGAAGTCAATGCGAATATCGTCTAAAAATGTCAGTGTAAACATCGCCACACGCGGGGTAACACCTACAGCAAATAAAGTGTATATCACATAATTAACTGGTGCGAAAGAGCTCCATCTATGCCAGTCATCACATCCTACTCTCAATTAGCATCATACCTCTCATCAGTGCTCAGATACATGCCAGTATCTTCTCCCCAGCAACAAAAGCTCTCATTAAGGTAAAATCCAGTCTTGCAATATCCGAGCTTAATATCCGAAAGCCATTCCGTAATTATATTCAAAAACGCCGCATTAACACCAATTGCAGCTCCTAACCATTTCGCATCAGCATGTCTCCCATCATTGCAAATATGTCATCCCGTACCTATGAGAGTAACCACAATCCAAGCTTGCGCCGCATCATAAGATTCCCATAACTTATACCTCCATCCAGCACGTCCACCACTTTCGAAAAACCCAGCGGTTTGCTCCTTCTGAATCTTCCTCCGTATCTGTTCTTTCGCCGCATCCTGAACCCAATCTTTGAGAGGTGTCAACTTGGTTGTCGCAAATCGGATAAAGGAGGGTTACTACCTATAGTTGTGAAATCCTGCCAAATATGATTAGCGGAAATATTCCAGCTGCAAAATAAAAAAGCCAAGGGTAGTAATATACCTCATAACGCTTGATTTCCTCAATTTCCTCATCTATCTGGCGTTCTGCGACATTAGGCGCATTGGTAGCCTCGCCTTGTTCGGCACTTGAGACGGCAAAGGATAGACGATGAGAAAAAGAGGGACGTTGATAAAGGCGCGCTGATGGCACAGAAAAGGAAGATGATCGTGAGTTCATGGCCCCATTTGTACTGAAAGCATTATGCGATTGTAGTTGTAACATGATCACTCGGCGTTCGAGATAGCTTAGAACTTGGATGGGAGGCGGACTATGCGGCCGCTAGCGTCGGATGGCACAACTCTAGATTTCTTATTGCTTTGTAATGGCGCATGAATACAGCTCTGATTTCCCAACATATATGCTAGAGATTCTTATCGTCTAGAGGTCAAATGTTCACATTAACAATTTATCGAAACATGGAATTTAAAGTCTTGAGTCTAATTCTGGAACCATCGCGCAGTTTTTGATCGGTCTGATCTCGTTCAAGTGAACGCCTCTCCCAGCAGACACCTAAATGCTGCCCTATTTGACGATTTTGCGTACCGATGCTGGTTTCTTTTTCAACTTTTGACCGAATGCCAACTTGATTACAGGCCGTTCCTTCCAATATTGCCAATTGTGATCTCTACAGGCATCGAAAGTTGCTTCTTCTGAAAGTGTCAAGTATGTCATAAATGAGAAACATATAACCATTCCACATCCCGCAAGTTAACTCACTTCCAACAATACATCAGCAGCTTCCCAGATGCATCCATTTGTATGAAAAACAGCAAATCGAATCAGCTCATGATCAAATCCTAAGTGCGCAACGTCCTCAATGGTTAATATTTGAGCCTGTTGGGCCGGTCTTCCGCTACAGTGTTCTTTCCTGCAGACTCAATTGCATTTCCAATGGGCTCGGCCATAGTTGTTTGCAGTATTTGAAAAGGAAAAGATCGATTGAAAGTGTGAAAAGGCATCTTTTATGAGGAATTTGGATGGATTCCAGTGGAAGATTTATTGTGGCCTTATTCTATCTTTTTGATAAAGTCGGATGTGTGCCCAAGTTTCTTGGATTAAATGAGTCCAAAGATGGAGGGAGGAAGGTTGAGGGAAGAAGGTGACAAGAAGAAGTTGACGGGATAATGGATGATGCAAGGAAGGTATGGAAGAAAGTGAACTTAATATATAGGGATAGACGAAAAAGAAGTGAATATCTCAGGCCGATGTCGTGCTCATACTGTCCCATCACTTACCCTTGAGTTGATATACCAATATGAAGTAGAATAGTTTAAAAGTCATATATAGTATTGACTACTCTGCTGCTGAAGCTATAATGAATAGAGGAACTTTGTGTACCGCAATCGAGATATCGAGTATAAGGTTTATGTGTTGAAATGCTGGAAGGGTAATACCCTAGAATCACATCACCGAACGTGGCAGCCTCCATGTGGAGCTAAGTGTATAGTCTGGCTCACCACGGGAGTAGAATTTATTAACAATAAGTCACTTTCTTAGTAGGGGTAAAATAAAGGTCAGTTGGCATAGTAGACTATGAGGAAATCGCAAACTTCCACCTTAAGAACAACCAACATCTAGAACCCCGACAAGTGAATTTTAAAGCCGCAGCGCAATACTGGGGGCATTGTCCTCTATCTTGTTCAGAATCTAGCTACGAACCACCAACGAGTTGGATATGGCGTCAAATAGATGACTGGTTGAATGGAACACAACGATATCAACAATGTTAACTGCTTGATTGAGATGCAAGCTGTATAGAGCTTCAACGGTTAAGTCATTTGTTTGAGTGATGACAACGTTTCTGAGGATATACCAACAATCTCGCCTCTAAGCATGGCTAGAGGGACCATTGAGAGAGATGTGCTAGAGTCTCGACAGGCACCGTTGATTCCTGCAAGAATGAAATTGCATGATATATACGATATGATATCTATCCATGATTGATTTATTTCAGCTGGTTACTTAGAAACCCTCGAAGGAAGCCATTGAGTATGAAAAGAAGGAGATTTCCAGCGCGAAAGAAGTTTATTTCTACGAAATCTGGTACAGTATCGAGAAATCAAACGCAGGTAAAGTTTTCTATTGGATATTATAATGTTTCATCACACACATCTCGTCTTCCTCAGTGTAACATGAAATCCTTGTGAGTCCACTTCTCAGTGGCCTTTCTCTTTGCTTTCTTGGCGAAACTGATGGGACGTCTACTCTCGACTTTCCCACGGACCAACATATTTCTGTACCTATCCTTCAATAAGTTCCCCTCCGGTTTCAATAACCTTAGCGATTCTTGTAATTCGTCCGGTAGAACAAGCTCAAGATCTCTCTCTGGTAAGGAAATCTTTCCTAACTTCCTCCTTCGGAGTTCCATATCATCCCCTTCACTGCTATCGTCCTCCACAACCGTCAATGAGCGAGCCTTTTCTTTTTCCTCAAGAGCTTTGGCCAACTTCTTAATTTGCGCAGCTTGTTCTTCTTTCTTTTTGTTATGAGCAGCCATTTTTGCTCTCCTTTCTTCTTCTTTTCTCCTCTTTATCTTATTTCGTTGGACTTGAGTTTTCCTCTCCGGCCTCTTAGCATTTAAGCGAACATCCTCTACACCACTCTCAAAACCTTCCCATGCAGAATCTTCCTCCCATTCTGACATATCTGCTCGAGCTTCAGCAGCTTCCGCCTCCGCCGCAGACTTATTTGCTGCTTCTCGCTTAATCTGTTCTAACTCGATAGCAGCCAGCCGTTTCTTCTCCGCTGCAACAGCCTTCTCTCCCTCAGCCGTTAATCTTTCTTCGTAATCTGTGAATACTGGATTGTAGCTGTAACCTCCCTCTGGTTTCTTAACTGCAGGAATGTCTTTTCCAGTAGCTGCCAACGAAACTGGCTTTTGCCTCCATGAACTGGGGATTGTTGTCTTTTTAGCCTTCTCGAGAAACGAGAACCTTGGATCTTGTGTTGCTTCTTCTATGTCCTTTTGCTCATCCCAAGGATCAAATGAAGCTTCCGTGGCTTCAACCGTCTTCTCGTGATGCCCATCAGCAATCTTGCGTAGTCGTGTAAGCTCTTTGTGCGAAATATAACCGGTTCTTTGGCGCTTCGATTCAATAATTCCATCCGTGGTACCCTGCCCTGGGCGCTTTTTCATTGACACAGCTGGAACAGCAGAGCGTTGAGCAATGATTTCATCCGCTTTAAGTGGTTTGGAGGCTTTCAAGTATTTCTTTGGAATCGCGGCATCTCCAGCAGTATCCAATGTAAAGAGATCAGCGGAATCTTTTTCAGCGATAACTCCACTACAATTGAGTTAGTGATGTTCAAATAATAGAGGTACAAATACTCTCTTACCCTGCGATCAATTCATCCCTAACTTCTTCTAAACCTTCTTGAACTTCTGTGACATCGACATTCTTTCTCCAAGCCTTCTTCCCTTTCCTTGAGGCTTGTTTATGTTGTTGAGGAGCATCTTTAGAGCCTGCAAGTGGCTTAAGGACCGGCATTTTTTTTATGTGTATTGCTAAATTTTGGGAGTTCTGATGATTGCGAGAAAATTAATTTTGAGATTACGATAATTTTTCAGATAGCTACGGTAACCTATTCAAGTCAAAAGCTCGCCTCGGCCGCCTCCAACAATATACGGTCAAGGCTAATAAATTCAAGCAAGCTTCAAGAAATCCTCCTTTGTCTTTTCGAAATAATTTTACGACTTTCACAAATTCCTTATAGATATCTTGGTCAAATAATAAACTTTTTATTGTCTTCGCATTCACAAATATCGAAATGGCGCAAGCAGCTGGAACTTACAACAATCCCTTGAAGAAGTTCAAGTACGTTGTCTTTTTGTATTGTTCGTCACCGCATCACTAATTATGCTCGCAGGCTGGTCTTCCTTGGAGAGCAAAGTGGTATGGACCTCATGCGGCATGCTATCTGGCTGTGAAGTTAACAATGGATTCAGTTGGCAAGACTTCTCTGATTACACGCTTTATGTACGACTCTTTCGACAACATGTACCAAGCAACTATCGGTATAGATTTCCTTTCCAAAGTGAGCATTCTTCGAGCACCAAATGGATTCCAACGAGTCTAATTCCACTTTTAGACTATGTACCTTGAGGATCGGACTGTCCGGTTACAACTGTGGGACACAGCGGGACAAGAGAGATTTCGAAGTTTGATCCCTTCATACATTCGGGATTCGAGTGTAGCAGTGGTGGTTTATGACATTTCGAGTACGATATCACGCTTAGCTCTTATGCCTCACCGTCTAACAATTTTTCAGATCGAAAGTCATTCCAAAACACAAGAAAGTGGGTGGACGACGTCAGGGGAGAACGAGGAAACGATGTTATCATTGTCCTGGTCGGCAATAAGACAGATTTGAACGACAAAAGAGAAGTCACAACTAGTGAAGGAGAAGAGGAGGCAAAAAAGAACAACTTAATGTTCATTGAAACGAGTGCAAAACTCGGTCACAATGTGAAGACTCTGTTCAGGAGGATAGCTCAGGCTTTACCTGGGATGGAAGGCGCGGACAATGCTGCAGCGCCTAACCAAAGTGAGTTTGAATGTGTTCGACAGCACTGAAAGCAATTGCTAACCTTTGAACAGTGATTGATGTTAACGTCAACCCAACCCCTGTCAATCAAGAAGGGTGTGCATGTTGAACGAGGACAGGAAATGATGGAAGTAATCAGATTCTTTTCGATGCTTGTCTTAATTGGGGGTTTGAAGGGATTAGGAGCATAGCGTTTACTACGCACTTATATGATAATGATAGGGTACCATCTTCGGCGTACTTAATGAGCTCTTGAAGTAATTGTAGACTAGGGGTTAAAAGCTAGGTGATAAGATTTTGGAATAAATGACACGATTTACCTTATTGATTTTCTCATTTTGAGTGCTCGAGGATGTAGTAGATCTCTCCCTAGAAGATTTCAATAATGTCTGTCCCAAACAATCCCATATGATTTCGATGAGTGCAAAACCCCTTAAAGGCTGATCCAAATATAGATGTTGCTTACATAAACAATCCCAATCCGAAGATCCGAGAAAAACATCTCATCAACCAAGAACGAACCTGTCTCTCTTTCTTATTCTGGCGTACTCTTGAAATTTTTACTTCTCGTCGCAATACATCGACGATTCCATTCTCCATCCTTTTTCATAATGCTTTCCATATTGCGATGGGTGCGAATCCCTCGTCCCAGGGTATGTATTCTCGATTTATCGCGATCCCTTTGCCGCTCATAGGAAATCAAGCAATATTAATTAATGAACAGACTTTCCTGTATGTCATGACATTACGTACTGGCACAGAGATGATTTCGTTGTCTATGATATTTAATAAAGTTACTGGTTTCTACGGCCTACTCGCAGTTCTTGCCGGCTTGAAGTTATCGCCCTTACAACTTTCGATGTACATCTATTCCGTTGCCGCTCTCGCACTTACCGCATTCCTCATGCCTCATATCCGCAATCAAACACCCTTTCAATGCTTAGCCCTCGCATGGTTTTACTTATTCGATACGATTATCAACACAGCCTTTACTACCGCGTTCGCAGTGACATGGCTCTTAGCCATAAGCGCAGATCAATCTAATAAAGGAATACCAAGCGCCGCTCCAGGAAGTAGCACAATCGACGAGACTGCAGGCTTTACTAGCCCAAAATTCAACGTCAGTGCGGTGAATGTTATTGCCTCGCCAGCATCGGGTGCTGGACAGGATGCGGTTGCATACGGAACGGCCGCTGGGGCAACCCTCGAGCAAAGTGTTGGAATCGAGGAAAGCGTTCCTAGTATCATCGTCGTTGGAATTTTGACATTGATTCGAATCTACTTTATTTTGGTAATTATGGCATATGCACGACAAGTCTTAAGACAGAACATGTACTCTGCCTCTTCAACAAAATTACATCTTAACACCGATGGAAGCACAGACGCACGTGCCGAAAACCCTTTTGCGGTAGGCTCACCACAAGGACAAGGTTGGAAAGGCAAGCTTGGTAGACTTATGGTGAAAGTCGGAGAAGGATATTGGCTTGGTGGTCAAGTTGATGAAGCTTGGGTTAAAGGTTTGGATGGACGATTCAAGACCCAAAGAACATTCAATGGACCTCCAGGTACTATTGAAAGAGAACGAAGGGCGAGAAGTGGAACAGGACCACCTGTCCCCGCTAAAGCTCTCGGCATTGGAAAAATGTAAAATCACAGAATAATGATGGCGGCTTGGGAAGCGAGGAATAGACATTGTACATGGAATTTCTATAGTGCTAAGGGATGATGTGAGATGGACAGGAAATTAATGGTATGAAGTGGAGGAAGTCAACTGCGGAAAAGCTGGATGATTGATACTCAACAGGCCAAGGCTGGAACAGGTTTTCATAGCACGTATGGCGTTCTTTGGGTATTTTCTGATAGAGGGGGGGATCGTTGCAAGTAGTCAGACTTTTTTTGGTGGATTTTCGAATTGCTCATAGCCATGGAATAGGAAATCGTTGACGATGGCAAGTATTATATAATGATTTAGGAATTAATGCCAACTGGTAGATTACATACTTTCGGAAATGTATTTAATGTCTTGTGTTTGATATCTCGTGTTCGGGTTTGGAGTTCAAATTCTATGCCACCGAACTTGGCACCATGGTCCATGACTTGTGGTTTTAGATACATCTCCATGGTACTAATTTTTTATTATTAGGTTAAATGCTTTCAAAGCCCGATTAGCTTCTTCACTAGACCAGGCACAAGGCGGGCCTTACTCGGAAACTACTCCAGTACACCATACCAAATAAGCACATCGGGATACTTTCTTCCCTTGTTAATATTGATATTTTCACATCAAATATTTTGATCAGCATCGATGGCGTGCTCAGTTGTGGCTGGTGCTTTTCCTTCAAAGGCGTTTTAGATTACAAACGATACTTTTGTTGATATATCATTGGTTGATCACACGTCCCTTTCTCCATGAACTTTCAATCCCATGGCGTGTCACACTCTCGTTATCCCCTCTGTTTACTACTTACACTTACTAACTATACCATAATTGACAATAAATCCACTGATTGCCGTTGGTCAAATGTACTTGAGAGCCCTCGATAGCGTTTGATACCTAACAATATACCAATACACCCTTGTTCATTCGCCGATTCTCGCATTATCTGAATGACCCTAGGAGGAGTACTTGATTAGGAGAAAAAATATTTGATCATGGCGTTCCTCTTTCGTCGTCTTGAAAACGATTCCAATACTTCCTCTCATTCTCATTCTCATCGAAAGGATACCTTTCATACTCACAACATGGCTTCTGGAAAGATTCGTACACCCGAGGAAGCTGGTACGTCTATGCTCTTGTGTTATCAGTACTATCAGTTCTACAACCCTTGTTATGCGGCAACTCTCCCCTCTATGTTCGCCCCCCCACTTCACCAGACTCTGTGATACTGACTTTATTTTCTACTATGAATAGTGGCAAGAATCGCATATTTGTCCAGCGATGTAATTATCTCAGTACAGCCTGCACATTCAATTGAATCGGAGTTCTCTTCACATTTACAAAGATATGCTGGAAGAAAAGATCTGAGTCTCGTTGCTGCCAGTGAAAATGGGGTTCCTGAGGTCAGTGATTTAAGGTTACATTTATCCAATGTCGAATAAAAGTATTGACTTATGTGCGATCAGATACATACAATCCGACACAACAATGACCCTCTGTTATCAGCATTTACACCAATCCGCAGTGGAAAACTAGTCACAGTTACCACAAGTTCCTCAATACTTGTTTCTTCAGTGCCCCACCTATACCGTCTTGCAAACTTCCCAGTGGTCATCCACGTTTCATTACAACCTTCACAATACCCCGACTACTCCTCGATAACTTCGATACGAAATTCTGGCTTCACATTTTTACAATCCGAAACACTTCAGGAGGCACAGGATATCGCCGTGACTGCCCATGCTCTTGCTATCAAGTCAGGAAAGGGTGTCATTCATTTCTTTGATTCCAGATCGGCGGAGAGTGATAACGATGTTGATTTCGAGAACCCTGATGTTGTTTCAAAAATTTTGAACATCGATTCCGTCAGAGTCTTCCAAAGCAGCAAGATTGGAGGTTCTAGCATATATGCCGATGATGGAAGAATTGCAACTATTTCCGAGAACGCTGCGACGGGTGTTACATCTGGTGGGGAAAACAACGCCGAGTCTGCTGTACCAGGTCAGACAACTACCGAGGTACCATCCAAGGCTTCTTCTGTAGGATCTTCGAAATCTTCTTCAGTGAGAGCAAGTAGTGTGGATAGCAGTACTTCTTCCGCCACAACAGTCGATTCGCCAAATGTACGGGCCGTGAGCTCGGATGACATCTATAACTATGTCTCGGGTATCTGGGATCAATTAAAATTGATGGTTGGACGAGAATATAGCCCTTTCGAGTATACTGGTCCATCTAATGCTGAAAATGCTTTGTTCATTTTTGGATCAGATGTTGGGTCGTTTGCTCGAGCCATCGATGAAGGTCCTGATGAAATTTTCGCAAAAGCCGGTATCATTACTGCGCGTTTATATAGGCCATGGCTGGGTTCTAAACTGATCGCGGCCATTCCTAAATCTATCAAGAGAATTGCTGTGCTCGAACAAATCAGAAGGAAGACAACCAAATGGGGGCCATTACTTTTGGACTTGCTTACAACACTCAAAGCAGGGCCAGGAGGCGGGGTAGAAGTTATTGTCGGACACCAATTGGGATTCATTGAACCAGACACAGTACGACAAGCTCTCCGTGGCGTTGTACAGAACTTGGTTTCTGAGAAGCCAATTCAAAATCTTGAGGTTGGAAATCCTGATGGACCAAATGAATCTTCAAATAGATACGCTCTAAGTCAGCCAAAAGTCGAGTCTGCCTACATGAAGATATTAGATCAAATTTTTGGTAAGAGACTTCATTTGGCAAATCAGATTGATTCGAAGAATGCCGGCATCTCTTCGACCATCGCCTCAAACCCAGAATTCGGTTTTGGTTCTCTTCTGGCCAGAAAAGAGCATCGCCAAAGATTTACCGAGGAAATTAAGGAGGCGGCAAAATCCAATGAATTTATAACAGAAGCACCGAAACTATGGCTTTCAAAATGGTCTGCAGGTGCCGATGATGAATTAGCAGATGAAATTATTGCTCGCCTCGAGACAGATGGGTCTGTGTTATCACAAAAGTTACTCTCAAAGAAGGGATTATTCCGTAAAGAATCTCCTTGGTTGGTTGGTTCTGATGCATGGGCGTACGACCTTGGAAACTCAGGGGTACACCATGTCATTGCATCTGGTGAGAATGTCAACATGCTCATCATCGACTCCACCCCATACTCGGAGCGCTCAGCCGCCGATGCTGAGAGAAGGAAGAAGGACATTGGTCTTTATGCCATGAACTTTGGTAATGCTTACGTTGCGTCTGTCGCTGTATACAGTTCTTATACCCAAGTTCTCCAAGCAATGATTGAGGCAGATCAATTTAATGGTCCATCCGTTGTTGTTGCTTATCTCCCTTACTTCAAAGAGAATGATTCTCCTTTGACTGTTCTCCAAGAAACTAAGAAGGCGGTGGATCTTGGTTACTGGCCATTGTACAGGTGGAACCCTAACAATGAGGAGAGGGGAGAGGTTAACTTCTCCCTGGATTCTGAGCGAATTAAGAAGGAACTTAAGGACTTTTTGGCTCGTGATAATCATCTTACTCAATTGATGAAGAAGCATCCCGAGTTCTCATCCAATCTTTCCGAAGACTATGGTACAGAGGTCCGTGCCTTGCAAAAGAGAAAGGCCAAGGATGCATACAATGAGCTTCTTGAGGGTATGCTCGGTGCACCTTTAACTATTCTCTTTGCTTCAGACAATGGCAACGCTGAATCACTAGCAAAGAGACTGGGCAATAGGGGTAAAGCACGAGGTTTGAAGACAATTGTTTTGGCCATGGAAGAATACCCTATCGAGGATCTCCCCACCGAAGAAAACATCGTGTTCCTAACGAGTACCGCTGGTCAAGGAGAGTTCCCACAAAACGGTCATGCATTTTGGGAAGCCATCAAGGATAACACCGATCTGGATCTCACATCGGTCAATTATTCTGTATTTGCTCTTGGCGATAGTCATTACTGGCCCCGCAAAGAAGACAAACACTACTACAACAAGCCAGGAAAGGACCTCGATCGTGTTTTGGCAAATCTCGGCGGAAAGCGTCTTGCCGATGTTGGATTGGGAGATGATCAAGATCCAGACGGATATCAAACTGGTTACCAAAACTGGGAACCTATCATTTGGCAATCCCTCGGGGTTGACAAAGTTGAAGGTTTGGAACCTGAAGCCCCACCCATCACTAACGAGGACATCAAAATTGAATCGAACTACCTCCGTGGTACTATTGAAGAAGGGTTAAAGGATATGTCAACCATGGCCATTTCCGCTGCTGATCAACAATTAACCAAATTTCACGGGACGTACATGCAAGACGATCGTGATCTTCGGGATGAACGTAAGGCGCAAGGTCTTGAGCCTGCCTATTCTTTCATGATTCGTTGCAGATTGCCCGGTGGTGTTTCCACTCCAAAACAATGGATTCAAATGGACGATGTCAGCAACGAATTCGGAAATGAAACCATGAAACTCACCACCCGCCAAACATTCCAGTTCCATGGTGTCGTCAAAACTAAGCTCAAGGGTGCCATGCGTGGTATCAATAAAGCTTTGATGACCACAATCGCTGCCTGTGGTGATGTCAATCGTAACGTCATGTGCAGTAGTTTGCCAACTGCTTCAAAGTACCACAAGCAAGTTCATGCCATCTCCCAAAAGATTTCTGATCACCTTTTGCCATCCACAACTGCTTATCACGAGATTTGGCTCAAGGATGAAAACGACAAGAAGGTTCAAGTAGCTGGTGACGCTGTTCAGGATTATGAGCCTTTATATGGTCCTACTTATTTGCCAAGAAAGTTCAAGATCACTATCGCCATCCCTCCACACAACGACACTGATGTTTATGCTCACGATGTCGGTCTTATTGCTATCAAGGGTGATGATGGTAATTTGGCTGGTTTCAATCTTCTCGTCGGTGGTGGTATGGGTGTTACACATAATAACAAGAAGACATATCCTCGAACCGGAAGCAGCCTTGGATATGTTTCCAAGGAGGAAGCTCACATCGCTTGCGAGAAGGTTATGCTTGTTCAACGTGATCACGGTGATCGTAAGAACCGAAAGCATGCTCGTCTCAAGTACACTGTAGATGATATGGGTGTCGACGTTTTCAAGGGCAAGGTCGAAGAATTATGGGGTCAAAGATTCGAGAAGGCCAAGCCATTCAAATTCCAAAGCAATATCGACACATTCGGCTGGGTTAAAGATGAGACTGGATTGAATCACTTCACTCTATTCATTGAGAATGGCCGTATTGAGGACACTGCGGATTTCCCAATGAAGACTGGTTTACGGGAGGTTGCCAAGGTTCACAAAGGCGAATTCAGATTAACTGGTAATCAACATCTGATTCTCAGCAACGTTGCTGATGAGGATCTTCCAGCGATGAAAGAAATGTTAGCCAAGTATAAGCTTGACAACACTTCTTTCTCCGGAATGCGTCTTTCATCCTCCGCTTGTGTCGCTTTCCCAACTTGTGGCCTCGCCATGGCTGAATCCGAACGTTATCTCCCAGAACTCATCACCAAGCTCGAGGGCGTTATTGAGGAAAACGGCCTGCGTCAAGATTCCATTGTTATGCGTATGACAGGATGTCCTAACGGATGCGCTAGACCTTGGTTGGCAGAAGTTGCTTTCGTGGGTAAAGCTTATGGTGCCTATAACATGTATCTTGGAGGTGGATATCACGGGCAACGTCTTAACAAACTTTACAGAAGCAGTATCAAGGAAGACGAAATTCTGGAAATTATGAAACCATTATTGAAGAGATATTCATTGGAGAGAGAGGAGGGTGAACATTTCGGAGATTTCTGCATTAGAATTGAAATGATAAAGGAGACGACCGAGGGAAAGACTTTCCATGACGATGTGAGTATTCCTTTTCCCCCTAATTCTTGGTTGTGATTCGTTGGTCCTAACGCATGAATAATAGGTCGCCGAGGAAGAATCTGACGAAGAATGAAGAATGAATAATTGATTGATCACACAAAATCCCAACAGCATCGTCCTTTCTGCATTGCTCGTACGCATGGCGTTTCCATGGGTTTAAACCAAGTATTTCCATCTCTCTTCTTTTCTCGTCCATTAACTCAAGTACCTTGCTTGGAAAGAAGGTATTTTGACCACAGTTTGGCATTCATTCGACTGTGCGCACCTCGATGAGGTGGGCAATGGTGGTTTGTTTGTCTCCTCCTTTTTGTACATACTTGATTGCCTAGCACTGTAGAAGTATATATATGGCCTTGTAGGCACGAAAAATATGAAAACTACGAAAAATAATCATCCAAGTCATATGAAATTATCATGAAGACGATGGTGATGATGAATGTTATTATATTGATACTTGGGTAAGTTTTTGGGCAGAAAAAATTCGCAGAACTGATGAATCAAACCATCCAACATATGCAGCGAATCAATATCCATCGCTTCGGTGCATTCACGAAGTTCTCAAAGCGCATTTTGCTGGCATGCATTTACCACCATTCTTACATCTAATCCGCCATAAATATTAAACTGGCTCTCAACGCTTGTGCAAAAAAATACATTTATAGTTCAGCTATCTTTGTAAGTCTTATAACAGTCTTCAAAGAATCTCCTTCAAGGTATCACCACAATACGTTCCCGATACAAAGCAAGCAACGTGTGATGTAATTACAAAGTGTAAGCATTTCTCGCCTAAATTCTCTCCCCTGCCACCGTCATTAAAAGTACCTTTATCAAATCCTTTTCTAAGATCTAATCAGCAATCTGTCATATGACACATTCAAAGCGACCTAAAACCAGTCCTCGCCGAATCCATCATCAAATAACTTGATCACCTGCTTCTCGTCGAATTATGTATAAAGCAACTTAAGCTTCCTGCTAGTATATAGGAGCCAACTCGTGATAAATTTGGGCTTTGGGAATAGTCGAATGTCTCGTCTCATCAGTCAGAATAATCCAGTATTTGAATATGCCTATCAGTTGGAAACAACCAACTGTCCCTCCGCTCACATTACTCCTATCCAGCGTTCACGGGGCTCCTGCATGTAAAGGCCGTGATTTGGGGCTCCCGAAAGGCCGTGATCAATGCCTCAATAGCAGCGTATGCGCCCAAAGCGGCCGTAACCAATGCACCACCGAAGTAAATGATATTCCAGGTGTTCAAGATGAATCTCTTTCTGAAACCTCGCAAGATTCTTCTGAAGCCCGTATCTGTGAGTGTGACTTGACCAGTGGTGGGATCGAAACCTTCTGTTTCGAGTATAGCATCAGCTTTGATGCAGTAGCCTACGTAAAGGATAGGCGGGAATGTGTAGGTGAATTGCAAAATACAAAGAGCTGCAACGAGGGATGAGAGACCGAAGAAATTTGGGATAGCAGCGGAAACAACGTAAGCGATAGACCAATAAACGGGTACAATGCTCATCCAAAGCAGCTTTCCCCTATGTGAACTAAGAGGTGGAGCACCCAAAAAGTCGACAAATAAGTTATTGTATAGGACTTTGATGCCAATATTACCGTAAAGGCCAGCTGCGATAAGGGCCGAGATGAACGCAATTACGTTATTAACCGTCTGCCATGCGTACGGGGATAACCCTTGATAGGACGGATTCACAGCATATTGGCCCTGATAGCCATAGACAAAACATCCGTAGAACATGTAGAGAATGTAGATGAATGCTTGGGCGCAAATCATACCCTTCCAAAAGTCTCGCGGCTTGCGCATTTCGGACATGAATTCTGTGAATAACATAGCACCTCCATAAGCATAAACGGCTTGCATGAGGCCATTCACAGCGCCAGTAAAACCTTTTGTTGAAGGAGGAAGATGACCAAATGTTGTAACGGGAGGGTAATTGCCAGCAGCATCTGGAGTTATGAGTCCACCACCAAGCGCAAATCCAGCTGAAGCATCTACAGCGACGTAATTTGGTGCACTATGTGCAACGACTCCCATGCTACAGAATATGATGAATATATTCATCCAGATGGCGGCATTAGCTAGCCAACCGAACTTCTGTAACGTGCGAACTTGGCCAAGAAAAAAGCCAGCAAGGGCGAATACAAGACAGCATATTGCGTAGCAGAGTTTGAACTTTGCAACCTGGGAAAGCGCCTACGACTTCGTTAGTCTACCTTGCAATTTTGAGGCTCCTATGCGACCAGGATACTCAAGTCCGGCCAGGCTTCCAAAGTTCTAGAAAAAGGAGGAAATTCATAAGTGGAGAAAACCAACCTGCCCATTGCCAACAACAATCACCCCAACATTAAATAGAAGTTGAATAGATTGAAGGATATTGACTGCGTGTCGAACAGGGGCTCCATAAACCCGAAATGCTATATCTCCATATGTTCGCAATGGATATTGGTGGGAATCAAGCCCGAGGAACATGTAGTATAGAAGAAATCCACCACTAAATTTGTTAGTGTGTGGCTCAAGCACAGGTATCGAGACTTCCTCCGCTTACTATACAGCCAATCCTCCAAATACGGTATAAAGTGCAATACCCGGTCCCCAACCTAGCGCACCCAGGGCAAAACTAGCAAAGATGATATTAGTTGATTATACATCATGATGGGAGATTCTAAAAGACTCACGGAACAGCAAAAGGGCCTAAGATATCCGTAGTAATCAGATAAAACACTGCCGACCAAGTAGCCGTCCTCAAAGCCCGACTAGCATTTGTCCATTCATCGTTCGTGACCGTCGCACGATCGCCATGGGCCATTTCATGTACATCTCTTTCCGCAGCCGTCTTTTCCTCGCCAGTCTCTCCATTCCCTTTCGACTTTTCCTGCGCAGCTGCAGTATTTACCGGAGCTTGGCCATTGAGATTCTTTGGTGGAAGAATCAGGGAGAAGAAAGTGGTATCACCTATATCATTATTGGCACTAGCATCCTCTTCCGCGCGTGCAAGACCTGCATAGTAATGATATTCTTCAAAAGTAACTGAAGGATCGTGATATTTTTTATGCTGCGGTTGTACGTATGCAGTGTATGCAGACGTAATTGCATCAGCAGCCTCTCCGCTGAATCGAGGGTCAGCAGTATATCCTGCCAATGCAGCTGCCGTGGCCATTATTTATGTATGCGACTTGGTGATTCGTGATCGTAAAATGAAGATAGGAAAGATGCTCCAAAGGAGGAAATTTTCACTCGCTCCACAAAGGCTTTTGATGCTCAAATTTTGTATCGAGATTTGGAGGATGTCGACGGGGCGAGGTGGTAGGGAAGAGTGGGAAACAAAGTGGGAAAACTCGTATTAGGAAGAAAGCAGAATGTACAAAATGTATCAAGAACCTTTAATTACAACAGTAGCATTTGAAGAAAACAGGCTGTTGATGGGGAAATCGTCGACCTGGCAGACGAAAAAGTGTTAGATGTAGTTGTGAGTGTGCAAAAGATTAATCGCGCAAGAAAGATAATTATTTCAAAACCGTACACAGCTTAACCCTAGCTTTATCACATCGTACCTACCTATTACACAAATTTGCACCAAATAAAATGCAACATCGAAAAGAATGGTTTAATTCAATGGGCGAATCTGTATGAAAATGGCAGGTGTGATCAAGCTCTTACCTTACATGTATGTGACGTTGAAGTTTAGCGAACCCATTATGTGAAGCACCTTCGTATCTTCGTACTTTTCTTCCTTGTGTAATGCTAACAATCCTCATTTCTTTACTCGATTGATATGTATATAACCCGGATCTTGTAAGATCTTATGTACCTAATAGGTACACAACTTTCTATGAGACTCAGTTATATGGCAAATGAGAAAAATCATGTATCTGCGTGAGGAAAAGAAAGGTAGTATAGGCAAAGAGATTCCGATATGTCTTCACCACATCTACTGATCATATTCACAGTGACGATGACGGTATTTCGTAATCTTTATACATTGCAGCTACACTGCGGTGCAACGCTGATATGCATATCAGGCATGGGGAAGAACGTAGTATCCATGGCACAAGACCTTGGGCTTACATCACACTACATGTGAAGATTGAGTTATTCGGTTATTGCTTCCGTTTTTCCTACCAATCAGGAGAATCTTGCCTTGAGACTCGGGATTCAGGAAATATCTACGGATTTTTGTCATTTTCTACCATCACATTGTTTCAGTATAGTCGTACCTTTGTTATTCATTCCAGATGGACATCTATATCGGCTTCGGAATAGAGCTCCGTCGTGCAAGACAGACTGAGGGCTGAGATTTCCTACTCTGAATACTCAGGATAGAGCATGCTTGGTGTTACGTGGTTATTGGCTAAATACCGTATCCAATGTCATTAGTGGAAGCAACTAAGCAGGAGGGTAAAGATCACCAGTTAAATTCTAAGTTTTCGCATTCCGTGAAGCTCTAGAAAAAACAATTCTCTACTACCACAATTATGCAGCACCAGAAGCCTCAGCAGCATGCCCAGGTAGCACACCCTCTTTCTTCGCTTCAGAATCTACGATAAAAGGAATCTCATCCTTCAAACTCCTTCCCGTAGGTTTCCAAGCTAAGAATTTCCTAGCTCTCTTTGCAAACCCTTTAGAGTTCAATCCCCAAGACACAGCTTCGAAGCCAGCTAATTCTTTAGCTTCTTCCACATTCATCGCTGCCACTTCCTTTGTTTTAATAAGTCCTTTCTCATATGCTACTTCACCAACTAGTTTGGATAGTTCTCCCCATACATGATGGCCATTCTCGGCCAGGAAATATCCCTTCTCATTCCATAGTTCCGCATCGTTTGGTCCGGGTCCTGCAACGGCTGCTTCGGCGAGTAATAACCACAACTTACTGAGATCATGAACATGCACATTATCCCATTCCGTCAGACCCTTTCCAAGTTGAGGAGCCTGACCCTTCTGCAAGGTAATCTGAACCAAATTATATACCTGACGACTTCGTTGATTTCCGGGACCTCGACCAGGACCATAGATTGTGGGTGGACATACGATAGCGGTGTTCACGCTCTCGGATCCAGCACCCAAAACAATCTTGTCGATCTCTCGATGGAAAGCAGTATCAGGTAAATTGGTCAATTTCGAAACGCCTTTAAGATCATCATATGGTTCTTGCGATGGAGATTCACCATAGGTTTGGGTTTCCATGTCTTTCCAGCAGAGAATACCGGTTCCAGACAAGTGTAACCAGTAACCTGGATTTTCTTTCGTGTGGCCTTTGGCAAGCCCCTTGGCTGTAGATTTTGCAGCTACCTCATGGTCGGAAGAATCTGCGGTATCTGAACGAATTTTAGTTAGCGATGCTGAAATTCATGAAGATGCCAATCAAACTTACGTAGAACAATATCCGCCTTGGCAGCTTCTTGTTCAATAACCGAAGCATCATCCAATGTCCCATATGCAAAACGAACCTTGGGAAATGCTGCAGCCACTGGAGCTGCTTTATCGGAGTTTCGTACCAATGCTGTGTACTCCCAATCTGGATGTGCGTTGTAAAGTGTATAGAGCGCATCACCGCCAGTGTAACCTGTGGTCCCTGTACTTGAAGTTGTCAATTGGTGGTTTGCTGGTGGGTAGTGTAACCTTAAAAGCTTACATGAAAATCTTTGGCGCCATTGTGTTAAGCTCTGTGGGAATCTTATTTTCAGCTGCAATGTAGATTGACTTTTGGATAAGAAATAGATACAGAAAATAACTATGACGCTTCCATACATTTATTTACATTTCTATACATTGGTGTTATGTTCCTCATACTATCATGACGTAAGCTTAAGGTATCTTAATATGAATTTATAAGCAATGAGGTAAATGAACGTTCCTTGTCTTGTCTACTTGAGATTTTATCCATCTGCTTCATTTGGCGGGCGTTATCATTTTCCAGTATCATTACGTCGTTACTTACGTTTGTATAGTCTGACTATTGATATGGTTTTATTTATCTGGATCGTATTGCAGGCTGAGTACTGTGTATATATGGTAAGATTTGACTTGCCCGTACCAGAAAGACTACTTACTTCCTGTATGCAGGTACCTATCAGAAACTCAGCTAGGAAGATGCTATGTATATGCTGCATCACATCTCGACATCAAAGCTAAGACTTACAAGGAGGGAAAGCTTTCCTTGAAATGATAAATAAGCTGGGTCAGGATATTAACGTTAACCTTAAATTTATCTTCGCCCCACGGGTTTCAAAATTCAGACCGATTGGGGGGGGACCTATTGACACACACATACCCATAAAATCGAGAGAGATTCGGACTCTTGGCATTTGCCAAATCCCGCTGATTCTGCTTGATATTTTCGCTGTGGCTGTACGTGCTTGTGTGGCTGATTCACACAAAAACCCCAGCCACAAGGATGCCGCGATAAATGAAGCTAACAGGGCGGCCTAAGTACTCCGACGGCAAAGAACCGGTCTCTTGGTAGTTTCAAGGGTATCAGCAGCCGCCTTGTACCATAAAACAGCCGAGCGGGCATTCCAGTGACTACATCGTGACATAGATGCCTTTCGAAATTCTTGAATTCAATTTGAATATCACATCATAATCATGATTATGATGTGATCAAGCATTGGAACGTTTTACGAGTATTGACTGCTTTTCAGAGATCCAATCCTTTCGGATTCAAGACACCAACAACTCGTATTTAGTCTGTCAGCGCGATATATTCATTGGAAGTCTTGTGCCAGAGGATACTATGGAGCAAAATTGAATCGTAATTTTCCGTACATTCAAGACTATGAACTAAGGGAGAAGAAGGAGAGCTGGCGGGAGCTGAGGAAACCACATTTTCCTCTATCTTGGTCGTCAAGATATACATGATTGTAATCGCCAGCTGTAGAGAAAAATCAGGTCTGGCATGGCTAAAATGATTCTCCGCAGCTTTCAAACTGAGAGGAAAATACTGAGCCAACGTTTTATGGTTTCCACTTATGAGTGTTATGATGGTCGGTGGCATTTTATACTGAATCCATTCAATAGGAGATTTTGCGCAAAATGGAATTTGATTCCTAGTACAGTGGATTTACTTTAACCCAATATTTGAAATAGTAATAATTTTTGAGCACAGAATATACAAGTTGCACTTCTCGAGTTCTCAGCTGTCAACCAGCCCAGATCTCCGACTACTTTCCCTCCTCACCTCGCATCAGTGCCGGATCCGGAAGTGAGCACAGCAATGTACCTATTGCCGCAGTAAAGCTGATCATCATACCAGCTATCGCTAATGACTGGCCTTCATCAATACTAGGTGTTTGAAGACCGTAGTTGATCATTGAAAGTCCTAAAATCAATAGTGCCTGAAAGACCGGAAGACCGCCTGTCACAGGATTAATTCCAGATACAGACTCAGCATTCATCACAAATAATCGTACCTTTCTTGAAACCGTAAGGGAAAGTGGCTTTTGAAGCATAAAGGAGAAGTAGACGAAGAATAAGGCAAATTGTAACAATAATTGCGCCAAACAAGGCGTCTAAGATATTAAAACAAGCATTAGCAATTGTCATCTCTGCAGAGCTCTTCAATAACAGATAAAGACTTACAAGAACTGAGCAGTCCAACAATCGATTGTTTCCAATCTTGAAGCTTATCCTCATGAACAATACGAAAGAGAGACCAGCCAGTTTGTTCCCCAAAAACTGATTTGAAAGCTCGAGCTGAAAAATCATAAAGTTCGGCGCCTCGCCCATCTTTCCATAATTTGGCAGTTTCTTCCGCAATATCTGGTGATGTGCCGAGCTTTGTTATGAGGGTGCGAGAAATGTAGGCACGCACATCGTTAGAATTTGCTGAAAAGGCGGGCAATCTTGGTGTCATGATATCAAGCAGTGAGTTCAATATGAGGTCTGGTTAATTCTCTGATGGAATGTTACATGAGTTTTGATATTATTCCTATCTCACGAATTTGACCAAAGGCGTAAGTTGTAGAAACCTAGGTAAACATCATCCTCGCTTACTAATTGCCGGTATCCGGAGGCTCAATATGGCAAGACGATTGTGGGTCTATACAGTCAGGAGTTTTATCTCCAATAATTAGACAACCCTTTTCATAACTACAAGAACAAGCCTTTCACCGGGTTGTGAATGTGGGACATCCGCTTACAGACAGGATAAGCGGATCCTATGAATTGCCCCGCCTCATTCGTTGACACAGTCCCTCATCTCATCTACCTAGTGTTGTCTTTCTGCTACATATCTTTTTTTGATTTTGGTATACAGTCGATCTTCGAATCCTAGACTTAGGCTTCATATCGGCGTTATGTTGTAGGAAGACATACAATAAGGAAGGTAATATACAAGTTTGTAAGATAAATTGGAGTAAAGTAAGCACCAGTCTCCCGCCCCACGCAAAGCTCCAATTTTCGCAAATTGTACTGACTATCAGTTATATCTATTACCTGTTTTCCTTTTTGTTCGGAGATAGTGCTCCTGTTAGGGCTTATTTACCTCGGGCTTGCCTATTGCTCATCTAGATTGCTGTGTGTAAGACTCGGACTCGGTTTCCTCAATCTATCGTCTTTTAGAGGAGACTGGACCAGGTTGTGGCTCCCTCATGCGCAGTGCGCGTTAGTTGTTGTATATCAAGGAGGAATGAGATTTTAAATAAGGCTAAAGGATGGAGAACAAACTGCTGGTACAACAGTTGTGACAACAGAATAGATCCGTGAGTGGATACGGGGTTGGGTTTGTAGACGCTCTATACTAAATGTACTGCATTCGAGCTGACATTTTGAACCCGATTTTCAAAAGCTGACACTGTAGGCCCTTGGAAAGAGACGTCATAACGGGAAAGTTATATGATAAGAAATATTATGCACAGGGTAGAAAGATGGACTATAGTCTAGGAGATGGAGGACGAAGGTGTTGTATCTGAAAGTGGATGTGGGAGTGGATTTGCAAGTGCAATTTGGTTGGAGAATCAATACGATCAGAAAAACAGAGTTACATTGGTCGCCGTGTGATCCGGGAAGGAAGGAAAGAAAGTGATTCGAAAGACGGCGAAAGCGAGATACCATGTAAGCCAGGAAGTGTATAAAAGCTGCTCCTGATATCTCAGAAAATATCAATCAGACATCCGTTTTTACCTTCTTCGAGCCAAGTTTCAGTACTCTGAATAAGTCTAGCAGGATATCATCAAGTCAGAGAGCCAGTCTTTGTTTAAACGAGACGAACAGCAACAGTTTACATAATGATTCTTCCAAAAGCTATAGCCGCCCGGGCATGGACGCCTTTCTTTCTTGGGTCCGGAATTGCCTTCTTTACTGCCTTAGCAGGTGTCGGTACGAAACTTGCTAGTGCATCTTGCTCATCTGCCATGTGGCTAGCATTGTTTGGTGTACCAGCAGCCACGGGTCCCGTTAGTGCTTGTATCGCCGCTGGTGCGCTCGCAGGTATGTATATCACAGAATTAAATTTCTTCACCAGATGATACTGACCCACAAATTTATAGTGCTGTCATCGTCTGTTGCGGCCGGACTTGCAGCATATGGATACTCGGCTGGTTGGACATTTGAGGGTGACGGTGCCTCCATCGGCAAACGTGCCTCCTACGCCAGGATCATCAATCCCAAGTTCGGAACTGCCCATGTTTTTGATGCTGATAACACCTTGGCTCTGAACTTAACATATGGTGGAATGCTCGACAGTCACAACACGACTCTCGTCGCAGTAACCTGGATCGAAACTTTGGAAGGTGCCAACTACACCAATTCGCCTTTGCTTGGTTTGAATATGACGCAGGGTAGACTGGTCACGCTCAATGACAACGGTATCATCCGGACGGCGGTTGGAGGAGTAGAAATGCTGCCTAGAATACTCGATGGGTTTGCTGATTTCAAGAACAACGTTACTCGTGTCCAGAAGCGCCAATCGGAGGAAGTTGATTGGTTGTCGTTCAATACGTATGGAGAAAACATGCAGGAGGGTGGAATGTATACGGAGGCACTCGATGAGGATGCCAATGCTTCGAAAACCAGTGCAGACTATGGAGTCGACGGATGGTCAGAAAGTTACGATTTTTACGCTTCAAGTATGTGCTTGGCTGCTAGTCCACCGAATGACGGCCAGGGCGTCGATTCAATTATCGTCGGTGAAGTTTATATGAATGCCTATGGAGGTATTGACACGATTTGTCAGTCTGGCTAGATATGTGTTGTGGTAATTGTTGGAGTTTGAAGGGAAAAGAGAGACGGCTCCTTGGATAAAGTCTTCAAGCTCGAGCCCATATCTTCAATTCTTCTGTTTTACACTCGCAGCCAACAGCGTCAATTCAGGGGGGGCTCGCTTCCTTCCTTGGCGTGCCGAGAAGCATCGATATCAGTCGCTTTGCAGCTGGTTGTTGGACTAGCCATAGATATTTGATGTATATACGTAAATGAGCCTTCATAGCCAATGATCAAAGATTACTCATTATCTTGAATTATTACCCGCGAACTTTTTAGTATTGAATATACAAATATTTCTTCTAGTAAGAGTAATAACAACATCATTCTCATTTTACCTTGTACGAGGTTCGGACTCTCGGTTTAAATCCCTCTCATTGTCGGTCGATGCGGGATAAGATCACGTGTTCCTCAGCATGTCGGGAATGTCGGGAATGCCGGGTACAGATCGGGTGAACAGATACCGAGGATCTATATCTCATGCGGCCTCGGGAAGAGATAAAATGAAATCCTCTATTTTATTCAATTGAAGTAAAGATTTCATTGAAAAATACAAAAGGGTTTAGAGTAATACCAAAATAAATTATAGTTATAATACTTGATTATTCATCTTGATGAATCTTCATCTATCAATCAATTAATTAATTATTCCCGGTACCTAGTTAGCCGCATCGGCGAGTTATACATCCGGATAAATGTCACAACATGAGGGAGGGACAAACTAAAGCCCTAGATTTTCCGGGGCCGAGCCAAAATAGATTAAAAAAGGTATCCATTTTTAATAAATTCTTCATCAGGAACAAGAAAATAACCTTATTTGATATAGGGTTAGCGTGTTACCATATAGATGAGGTTCATTCGGTACCAGTCCAGTAACAAGGTTACCTCAGTTCCTGTCTTGAAAAAAAAGTTTGATAAATGAAGGAGGGATGGATAATGGATTGGATTCACGGTGAATGGATGGATGGATGGATGGATGGATGGATGGATGGATGTTGGGTTTCATGTCTCGACCTCCCGTTTTCCCTACTTTTTCCTAATAACCAACCAACCTTACAATTTTGCAGGTGACCAAACAACAAAACAAATATCCATTTCACCATTCACCCTGTATCCCAAATCCTCATTTGCCAAGTGACCGAAACCCCGCCTTCATATATTAAACATTCATACAGCCATAATTCAATTCCCTAAGATGGGGGATGGATGAATCATGGTGATTAAAAGGGCCCTGATTAAATACCTACCGACCTCCTACGCCTCAAGTCCCTTTCTCTTCTTCGACTTTTGTTTCTCGTACACCTTGTTTGTGAGTAGAACAAATATACACGTATTTCATCATGCATTTCAATCCGGGAAACGTCTTCGTTCACGGTACCATTACCGCCAATCTATTTGTTTCCTCGTATGTGGGAACCATTAGTACTTTACAACTTTCGAAATTTTCAAATGGGACGTATTCCCTCGATGCTTTGTCGGTCAATAATGTCACGACGGACAATCCATCTTGGTTACACAAGGATCCTCATAATGGAATCTTGTATTGTTTGAATGAGGGTTTAAGCGTCGTCAACGGGAGTATCTCGAGTTTCGCAGTCGCAGATGATGGCACTCTGAGTTTGTTGGGAAATGAATTAACCATCAATGGACCTGTCAATTCTGTTCTTTTCAACCGAGGAAAATCCTTGGCTGCTGCCCATTAGTAAGTTTTGCACCCAGATAGATACCTATCCAAAGTATATCTGAATGCATCATCCTAACCAAGCCACAGTTCCGGATCTTCACTTACAACACATAATATTCAAGCAGATGGAACACTAGCGCCACTCCAAACCATAACCTTCAGCATGCCTGGCCCCGGCCCCGATCCATTGAAACGACAATTAGCGCCTCACCCCCACGAAGCCCTCCTCGACCCAACAAAGAACTTCATCGTCGTCCCAGATCTAGGCGCCGATCTCGTGCGCGTCTTCTCCATCGACCCCAAGACAGCTCTCCTCACAGCAAAAACCCCCTACACAGCACCGCCAGCATCTGGTCCCCGTCACGGTGCCTTCCACGTGACTGACTGCAATCAAACATTCTTCTATCTCGTGTCCGAACTGGGAAATACGGTTACGAGTTTTGCTGTTTCTTATGAGAATATCACTGCGGGTATGACTTTTACCAAGATTGACACTCATGGTATTTTTGGAAATCAAACCACTCCCGAGGGTGCTGCGGCTGCTGAATGTCTTATCAGCGTAAGTCTCCTCAACTTCTAACTAACCATGAGAAATAAATCTCATATCCCATAAATTAAACACAAACTAACAAGCGCCCAGCCCGACGGCCGTCACATCCTCACCAGCGCCCGCAACGCCACTCTCCTCTCTATACCCCAACCACCCGTGCACCCACTAAACAACACCGCTCTCCCCTCTGACACCCTCCAAACCTGGACCATCAACTCCGCCCCCAACTCCGACAAATCAACCCTCGGCTCCCTCTCTTTCTCGCAACTCTTCCCCGCAGGTGGCTTCTTCCCGCGTCAAATGTCCATGAACAAAGCAGGAACTCTCGTCGCCGTAGCTCTTCAACGTAGTGCTCGAGTAGTTATCGTAACTCGAGATACGAAGACGGGATTATTTGGGGAGTTTGTGGCGGATATTCAGGTGGGTGCTTTTGAAGATGCGTCGAGTGTGGAGGGTCAGGTCACGAGCGTGATTTGGGATGAGTAGGATAGTTTGTTGTAGGTTTTGGTGGAGTGAGTGTGTGCAGTGTAGTGTAGGTATATAGTTGTTAGTGCGGAAGGCTTAGTTAGGGATGTGGGGTTGGTGGGCGGGGTATAAGTACCTAGCTAGGTAGGGGGAGTTGATGTTCATGCGGGTTTTGAATGATCAATACTCTGTACAGTGTTTTGGTGGGGCGGGCGGGTTGTAAAGTAGTGCAGGACTTTATTTCCTTTCTTTTCTTTTCTTTTCATGGTTTGATATCATATCCTCTCATATCCTCTCATGTCATCTCATCTGACACATACACATATTATACATACCGAAGAGAACGATAAACACATGAACTCACGAGCAAAGGAACGAACGAACGAACGAACGAACGAAATGTATAGATAGATCAGATAGATAGATAGATAGATAGATAGATAGAGAAAGAGTCATGAAATTTTATAATCTTGTCATTAAATACATGACATGGATCGAGCATCGAGCATCGAGCAACTCAAAAACTATATTCGATCTATTCTACTCTATATCATCTATAATATAGTGATTATTGATTGCCAACCTAAATCTGATATCTCCATACATATGGGGAATATATATATGAGGAATATTCCCAAACTCCTCAATCTCCACAATCATAACCACCCATCCAGCCCATCCTCTCCTACCCATTTACTCAAAAAACCCTACCACTCACAGATTCCATACATCCTCATTCTGCACATCCTCATCCTCATCCTCATAGTAATACTAATACTAATACTCACTCATCCTATCACAACAAACTAACAAACTAAACTAAATGTCCAAATATACAAATATACAAATATGCAAATAATCCTTCCTCTCTACGTACTATACACGAAGAGAAGGGAAGACGAAGCGATATCTTTCTTATTAAAGTTAGCCGACGAATATATAAAAATAACCAAAAAAACCCCCCATTGTGAGAATTAATCTATCCATTTCAAAGAATAAATAATTTTCAGCTTTCGTAATTCTTGATAAACTCATTTCTTTCATTCTCTCTTTCGATATAAATTTTTGGGATACCCCCAGCTACCTACTAGTAATAATACCAGTATCATGCAATATAAATGCTTTTCATCCACCCTCCAAACTATTCCACAAGACATAGCCACCACCGCAATCCTTTTCCGTTTACCCCAGCCTACGAAACCTAAGCTATTTACCAATTCATCAAATCTGTTTCAAAAGTTAGTTAGCTATTCCAATGACAATCATTAAACTCCAGTATTAAGAGAAGCATACCTCTTCCAAAAAGTGTCCTTTTAGCCCAGTCCATAGCCAATAAACATCTTGTTCTAAAACTCACACTCTGAGCAAAATACACACTTCTCCATGCATAAACTGCCCAAAGACCTCCCGCGAAACTCCATCCACCACCGAGATCAAAAACTGCGGAATTGCCGATGTATGCTAAACTTCCCAGGTGACGATATTCAAAAGCCTTATAGATAGCTTCATCCAAATCACCATCCCTCATATCATTGACCCTCATTCCCGGTTCTGCTTTTGCCATTTTGTTGAATTTGTGTCCAAGGTATTGACCTTGTTGGTGAGCTCTCTGGGCGGTAGCGGGGAGGGATGTAAGTTTACTATCTATTTGCATGAGAAGTTCTCTCAATTCGCCAAAATCGAGAGTTCCGGATTGATCCTTATCAAACTCCTGGAAGAGTTTATCGACACGTTTGAGATGGTCGGCTGCTTGGGGGAATCTCTTTCGTACTTTCTGTGCAACATCTCGCCAGTCACGGAACGTGAGTTGCACTTTTTCTGGATCCTGACCTTTTTCCCATGCAAGAGTGCGGAGGAAGGTGACCAAGTGATCTGCAACGTTGTTTTGAACGGTTGCGCAATCACCAATTGCATAGACATCACCTAGAGGTGTGCCATTTAGACGAAGATGGGTATCAGTCTCTAACGCATGACGATTGGTTTGTGAGGAACCAAGTGCTGCAGATATTGTTTGGCAGAATTTAGTTTGCGAAACACCCGTAGACCAAAGGCAAAATCCCATGGGTAATTCCTTGACGATAGACTCGCCATTCTCCCCCTTTTGAGTGAATAAAATCTTATCGGGTCTGACCTCCTTGACTCTGGAGTTGGTGAGGATTTCCACCTGATCACGGGCGAATCGATCCTCGGCATATTTGGAAACGGCTTCATCATATGTATTAAGAATATGGCCTCTACTTTGAATAACGTGCACGGATATCTCATTTCTAAGAATCCGAGGAAAGTGTGCTGTGAGATCTTCATTAAGAAGATCGAATAATTCAGCAGCAAATTCTACTCCTGTAGGACCGCCCCCGCTAACAACGAATGAAAGTAATCTCTTCCGCTCATCATCGGATGTTGTTGGTAGGCATGCATATTCCAAATTGGTCAAAATGGAATTTCGAATCCTCTGAGCATCATCAATATCTTTCAAGAAGTGACAATTTTCCAGTCCTTTCACGCCGTGGGTATTTGTTGTTGATCCAACTCCTATGACCAGTTTATCGTATGGTAGATAAAATCGTACTTCTTTACCCGTTGGGCTCTTCCCTACTAATTCTACCAACTTTTCCGAATACTCAATTTCTTCTGCTGTAGCCCTTATGAAATGACCTTTAACTCTTGTAATAATCCTTCGAATTGGTTCTACTAAAGACCGAAACTCCAATGTTCCCACCGTTGCAGAAGGTAACATAGGTGTGAAGAGGAAGTAATTCGTGGGTGAAACCAGAGTGATATGATAATCATCGGGATTCAAAGTCTTTAACAATGCGACACTTCCCCATCCACTCCCAAGAATAACCAATTTTGGCTTATCTTTCTGCTTTTGCATCTCCTCAGTATCATCATCGTCGATTTGAACTTCAGCAATAGGTAAATTCTTAGGACCTCCTGTGCGTGGGGACAATGCGAGCTCCGAAATGGAAATATCCGAGTATGTGAGATCTTCGCGATATGTCGTGGCATCATAGACGAAGAATCCAACAACACCGACTCCCAAAAGTATTAATGAACCTCCAAGTAAAGCCGCAGATCGGTATAGAAAGTTTAGAGCTTTCGATCGTCGCTGGGGGAAAGATTTACCAGATACAAATCGAACGTTTCGTGTTATGGGAAGCTTGCTCCATTTCGGTTGATTTGTGATGGCTGTCAGAGATCTTTTTGGATTCGTAGAAAGGTTTCGACACGACAGAGAGTTGAAAGATAATGGAATTTGATTGAAGGGGGAATATGACGATCTGCGAAGTAATAAAGACTTATTTATGCCAACTCTCCCAAGAGATGGGGTGGATTGCCGCAAGAGCATTCTTGTGTATGTCATAACACTTTCTGGTGACAACTATTCTCTACTCGAGTATTAATACCCAACTAAAGTTCATAATTCGAATTGAAACTGGGAAATATTAAAGGAGTAGTAGGTAGTGAATAGACAATTAACAGGGAAAATTATTCCTAGGTAATGAGAGTATAAATTGGATGGCAATGAAGCAAAACGGAGGACATTCAATCCTATTAATATTTTCTAGGTTTTGGTTGGTACTAGAGCAATTGAAGCATTTTCCAAGCTGTGAATTTTTGGGCTTCTTCTCTGACGTAAGTCATTATTAGAACTCAGAGGTGCAGTAGCACTCCGCTCCACCACCAACCCTCCTCCCGCTCACGGATCGGTCGGAACGGCTGCAATTAAATGCAAAGAAACATGGGGGTTAAGTTGGACAAGAATGAAAATAAAGAGATCATGGTAGAGCAGTGAGGGAACCAGAAATTACTTGAGGTCGAGGATAACCTCTTTTATCGTTAATTCTTACATGCACACACACACATATATATATTTGTTTCAATGCCTTCATAATCAAGGACTTACGATGGGTATCAGTTCGGTCAACAAGATAAACTAAATGTTTAAGGTTCAGCCTGCAATGAGCACAATATCTAATGATGCACTAATAAGCCTTGTGTATTAAATCAGGTTTATATTGATTGAAGAGTCCGATATCCGGATCTCCTATGAAAGCATAATTAACTGTTCCTGTAGCTAAAACAACAATTCCGTCCCCTGCCATGGTGAAGATGTTCTATGTGAATCAACTTCGAAAAGGGTATAATAAAACTGGCGGGAACCCAAACGCCAAATACAACCAATCCTTTAGTTCATTCACGTCATCATCATTGCTTCGTGTGCATGGGATCCATTCCCATGTATGTTATCATCATCATCACCACGGTCATCATCATTATCCCCATCTAGACCCAGTCCGATGGAATCTGGTATTGCTTTTTTTGCATCTCGTGCACTGTTCTCAGCCCAGGCACGTAGATGAACAAGATCTCTAATTGCTGCGTCTCGACGTTTATTTTGAGACTGCAGTATAGCTTTGTTCACTTTATCTGCTACAGACCTTCTAAGATCAGGATGTAATAGAGCAGCTAATTGAGGCTCCAAATTATCCGAAGGAAAAATCAGTAAAGCCATTGTCCTTTCAAGATCTTCCAAGAATTCCTGATTAGCTGGCGCTCGAGGCGCAAGTTGAGTAGTCGCAAAGTTCAGGGCGGGAGTGATATCACTGCCTGGAGTTGCATTACAACTCCGTATGAGCTCAACTAGTTGTAATCGTAACAGCGAGAAATGGAGGGCTGGGTTGTTTTCGAGAACCTATTCATAAACTTAGCGATGATTCTACGGACGTATAATGAACAAGAATGATGGTTGCTTGTAAATTTGCTCATACTGAGGACTGAAGTATGGTATTGTATCTCATCAACGACCCGAAGGCTATATGAGTGGTGCATGAAACTTGTATAATCATCGCAAGGAAGTAGATAGAATCAAAGAGACATGAGACTAACCTGAGGTTCTAGTTCATTCAGTGCCTCTATGGCATCTTGTATACTTCCCAAGTGGATGGAGTGTTGAATAGCTTGGCGAGCTTTGACAGACTCTTCTTCTTGTTGTGGCTTAAGATTGGCTTCTTTGGAGAACCTTGCGGCGGCAGATGGGTAACCTTCAGTTGTGAGATAATCTAAAATCAGAGCATTGATGTCACTATTGATGAATAGAAGATTAGCTTGGATCTTTATCGAGTCGTGTCGGATTGGGCGACAGCCAAATTGATAAGAGTGGCATTATATCAGTTAACAACTAATTTTGTTCTCCGCATGCGTAATTTTTAGGAGAGATTCCCAGTTGATGATAGTCATCATATAAAGATTGCCAAGGATGGAGCTTGATGAAGCACCAGGGTGTGAAATGAGAATTGGATTCATACCTCTTCATTGGTTTAACATCATCAACACGCTTTTCAAAGTCAGTTCGTACGGGTGGTCGGTCAAAGGTATTAAGTCGTGAAGGTGTTGCGGTAGCTGTTGAAGAAGCCTATAGCTGCAGTCAGCAACTGGAATCTACGAGGTATCGATAGACTTTGGATATCCATTCTTCTGTACGTACCATTATTGGAAGTGTCGTCTCTTCTCTATTAATAAATGAAAATCAACTGTGGTTGATCTTGAAAGTGACCAGCACTGTACAATTATTATAAAGTTCTGCGGGTGTGAATGAAGAAAAGATAAATGGGTGAAAAAAAGTTGTTATTATGAAAAGGAAGAAAAGAGATAATCTTGGATTGAGATTTCAAGTTAAAAAGTAACCTAGAAGTTTACTGCAGAGTCTAAACTTTGATAGGCTTAGCTTTGAAGAGCCTCATTGATTTTCTCGTCACGTGATATGTGAAAAAGACGACCAGACGACCGGCACCCCTCCAAGCGAGGATACGTACCGCAGTGGAGAACAAATTGCTAACTGTATATATTGCTGCCGTACTCTAATTTTCTTTTTATATATTCTTTGCCTTCTCAATATTAATAGCTGAAACTTGCAAAATCATAGCTTAAAAGAACAAAACCTTAATCATCCAGCATTTATTTTCCGTCTTTCACCATGGCTGTTTCTATGAAAGAACAGGCTCACTACTCCCCGCCGTGGGCTGGAGTTAGTATCATAGGCATAGCTGGAAGTTCTGGATCAGGAAAATCTACTTTGTCACATGCCATTATTTCTCAGATGAATCTGCCATGGGTTTGCATTCTCAGCATGGTAATTCATCTTTTCTACTTGCGTCTATACTATCTAGTTGGCCTATTAATGAATATGAAATAGGATTCGTTTTACAAATCTTTAGACGAGGAAGGGTCAAGAAAAGCATTTTTGAATGAATACGACTTTGATTCTCCGGATGCGATAGACTTCGATGTGCTGGTCGACATCTTGAGAGACCTCAAAGCAGGGTAAGTCTTTTCGGACACTTACTTATAAATGAAAAGAAGGTTCAAAGTTCGATGTATTTTATCCAGCGGCTCCCTTTTCATGTTATTGACATTTGTTTTTTTTAGCAAAAGAGCAGAAATTCCTATTTATTCCTTCGCAAAGCACGCCCGAGAGAAGGAGACCACGTCAATTTATTCACCGCACGTACTTATATTGGAGGGCATATTCGCATTATATGACCCTCGAGTCCTCGAGTTATTAGATATGAAGGCAGGTACTCTTTTACTCGCGTTTACGAAGAAATCTAATTTCGGGTACTAACTTTTTCCAGGTATTCTGTCAAGCAGATGGAGATACTTGTTTGTCTAGGAGAAGTATGGTTCTTTCTCCATGTTCCTCTATACCGGCGGCCATTTTCAAATGGCACATGACACAAACGCTGTTTGATTAACGATGAGTTCACTAATTCAAAATTTTAATAGTTCTTAGAGATGTCGCAGAACGAGGTAGAGATATTGAAGGAGTTATCAAGCAATGGTTTGGTTTCGTGAAGCCAAATTTTCAACGATACGTAGAGCCTCAAGGAGAAATCGCGGGTAAGACTTCTCACCTAATTTACCACAAGATGAGCTTTACCTCTGTGTGGTTCCATGATGTTTTACCACAGGCCTAATCCTTTGAACAGATATCATTGTACCACGAGGTGTAGAAAATCGAGTTGCAATTAGTAAGCTCCAACTTCTATGCACGCAACCTTATACTTTATTAATCTTCTGATAGATATGGTGGTACAATACATCCAGCGGACATTAAAAGAAAAATCAATAGCACACATTATGGCTTTAAAGAAACTGGGTTTGGGTGTCGAGGATGAGCCTCTATCCGAGTCAGTTCTTCTCTTGGAGCAGACACCCCAGTTCAAGGGAATGAATACCATCATTCAAGATATAGGCACTCCAGCTGAAGAATTCGTTTTCTATTTCGACCGAATTGCTACTTTACTCGTTGAACAGTAGGTCGTCATGTGCTTGAATCTCTTGGGATTGATTCTAGTGTGTTATTTCTAACAAACTATAGTGCTATGAACAATATATTCTTCACAGAGAAAACCGTTGAGACTCCAATGGGTAACAAGTACCAAGGCTTAATCGCTACTGGCGAAGTTAGTGCTGTTGTTGTCCTTCGTGCGGGAGGAGCTTTGGAAACCGGCTTGAAGCGGGTCATTCCGGACTGCAAAACTGGAAGACTGTTGATTCAATCCAATATTCGAACCGGTGAACCAGAATTACATTTTTTGAGTTTGCCGGACAATATTGACAAACACGACAGTGTTCTCTTACTTGATCCACAACTGTCAAGTGGGGGAGCCTCACTTATGTCAGTCCAAATTCTTGTGGACCATGGAGTACCTCAGGAGAAGATTGTGTTTGTGACTTACACTTCAGGAAAAATGGGATTGAATCGACTTACGAAGGTTTTCCCAAAGGTTAGGGTTGTGGTATGCACAATCATTCAGGACTTTGAGGAAAGGTGGATCGAAAAGAGGTACTTTGGATGTTGATCGTGACGATATGGTTGTTAGTAGCAAGTAATGGTTGAAAGATCAACCACCCATCCGCTCCAAGTAGGTAGCAGACAATCCATCCGTAGTACTTTCTCAAGGGTGGGAAGTGAATTTTCAATATTGAATACTAAACGGTACACTAGATTAAGTAATTGTACTACTATAATTTCAAATAATCTTTTCGATATCAACAAACTTCGGTGCTTGAACAAGTTTATTTTCATATGGACTCCTCATTTTAGGGACTAATATACGATCACTCACCATTCGAAATCCGAAAGTCCCACAATAAACTCAAGGATGTAAAATAAGAATCTACACAACCTAATTACTAATGAATGAAGAATTTCGTCAATGGTCCCACCCTAGATTCTGTCCATTGATTCTTTCTTATACTACTCTGTAATTAGTAAGTACTGCAAGACATCATCACTCAGCAGTGGTGTAACTCGATCCTCTCCGTGCGGTCATGTTGCTCTACGGAGATAAATAGGTGAAGTTCTCACTACTGGTGATGACATCGAACTTCAAGTGTGTTTTCCATAATTATGCACTATCTATTTTCTCGGGTCTTTCCTTGATTCTTTCCTCGTTTCAAAAGACCAAAAAGAAATGGAATTTCCATCTACTTTCAATGATCATTCTAGTCGCGAAGGAATGATGATGGAGAGGGAAATTCGGGTTATTACTGGAGGCCGAGCTTTGTATTAATTGCTCAACTCTGTTGATGGAGGTCTGAGGAATGCTTGTGAGTGTCGAGGGCTTCAGAAAGATAACAATAACCCTGCTGTCCAGATTTACTGATGATTGATTGACTAGACAGAGATATCTTGTTTCTCATCTGTATCTTCTCATCTTTTGGTTGGGATATGATGTGAAAACGAGGCTTCAATTGTATTAACTAGTCTATCTTCTACTCTATATTCAGTTTAGTGTTAGTAACCATTCCCGGTTATATTCATACATCCGGTAGATCTTCCATTCTGCCGTCTAGTATAGCTTCAATTCTCTTAACCAACATTCTTTAACTCTCTCATCCAGTGTATCTTCCATTTACCCTCCCAGTATACATTATATTTTATTCTTCCATCCAGTATAGCTTCTATTCACTAATTAGTGTGGTGTCACCGACCCCGGCTTCCACTCTGCTGTATACCGATATATGACCTATCATCTACCTTCGTTTCACACATTCAATATACAATATACCTTCAATCTACTCATCCATTATACATTCCATTCCCCTATCCAGTATAGCTTCCGTTCTGTCAATCACTACAGCACCATTATCACTACCCCAGCTTCCATTTTACCATCTAACGTATTTTCTATGCAACCTACAATCTATTATCTAATATAACTTGTGTTTATCTATTCAATCCAATATCATCATTAATTGTCCCAATTCTATTTTACTAATCAATATCATTTCTACTTCAATTTACATCCTTTGTTTATTACACTACCAATCACTACCTCAACATTCATTCTGCCAACCAATATAGTTTCTGTACCATCTTACATCCCACCATCCACATCTATCCACCCAACCAGCATCGCCTCCTTATGTTACAATTCGTCGCGCATGTCACAGGTCTTCGTCGATATATATTGTGTGTTACGTGCGTGGAAAATTTCAGATATGTGAGATAATTCAGGTACACTTCTTATTCAATACCTCAATACATAATTACTTAATCATCGCTACAGAGTCCCAAAGAAAAAGTAAGTGAGGAAAGGAATAAAGATATCGATCCTCCAACAAGAGCTAGCTCGCTAGAAAGTGTGGCAGCCGCTAAAACTACAGGGGTAGGTACATGCCAAAGCAACGTCATTTAGGCCCGGCCCGAGCACCATTCATTACTATTGATGAATTCTAACCTCAAGCCTCAAGCCTCAAGCCTCAAGCTCTCAAAACTCAAAACACAATCATAAGTGACAACACCACCACTTCACTCTACACAACCCCAAAAACACACAGCGCAACCCAATCCCCTCCAAGTAACCATGACACTCCTACGCATTCACCCACAAAAATACCGACCCATCATCCAGAAAATAAACAAGATTTCCACGTCTGGAAAATGTAGTTTTAGCACCCGCAGCGCAAATACTATATCAGCTAGGAATATTGATTCAGGTGCTGGAAGAGGAGTTTGCGTAGGGATACCACTCATCCAGAGGACATCGACGCGAAGCACAGCATGGAGTATACGTACTGGCAGATCGGAGAGGAGAACATACGCGACAGCAACGCCTGCTGATGCAATAATTGAAGATTTAACAGAGCAGTATTCAGTCGCTCGAGATGAATTTGAGGTTCGTTCTATTATCCTATCATTCTATATTTCTCTTTCGATTTAATTCCCATCTTCTGCTTTCAATTACAAAACAAACAAACTAACACCCACACCTCCAGATAGCCAGCGAAGAAACAAGCAAAAACTCCGTCTACGCAGCCGATGATCGCGCAGCCGCAGCAGAAGAACTCCAAAAATTGAAAGAAATGTATGGGACTGCTATTGCGGGGGAGTATGGAGAGGAGATTCAACGGAGGGTGGGTCAACGGGTGAGGGAATTGGAACAGGGGATTTTGGCTTTGGAGGAGAGGGCCAGGGAGGATCATTAGAGGTAAGAATTACTTTGTAGGGGGTGGGATATTTGGAGGGGAAGAGTGGGAGTCAGCGGATCGCCGGTTTGGAATTATAGATATTGATGGCGATGTATAGTGGGTGAATGAGATATTGTGCATGGTGGATGGGGAGGTGAAAATGAATTTCACGATGAATACTCTCGAAAGGTTTTCGAGTTTCCGGAGTGGAAAAATGGCTTGGATGCTCTCTTGAGTTGGACTCTGAATAGCACAGCATGAAGAAATGAAGAATCGACAGAATAGTTTATGAAGCTTGCTTTGAGAGACTCATGAGTGATATAATGTATTCAATTAGCTAACCATCAGAAATTCCACTAGACATTATTTACAAAACTCATTTGTATAATTAACATTAGATGTTCTAATTTCATTATCGCACTGAAGTAAAAAAGGGGTATTTCTCGAAAAGGAAACAGCTAGAAAAAGGGCATTAAAAATACAAATTCATAACGGTGTCTCCATTTACCAAACTGCCTGCCTGGTAAAAATTCCTCGCATATTCCCAATGTGCCATTATCGGAAAGCATTGTCTGAAAGATGCCTCACGGTGATCTCTTCAAAGCCAGCTTACTCAAGTGTATTTCCAATACGCTTTGATTGAATCGATCGTATACTGTCATGGGTCGCCTGTGTGATACTTGTAAATGATCCAAGGAAAAGTGAAATGCAATATAATAGTACACGAAATTCTCATACAGAGTGGTATGTATGTATGTACTTTTCAAATGAGGCTTAGAGATGCGATAATTCGTCTGAGCTTGTTGACTTGGGGGTTTGTGCGGTTCCAAAATGATCGCCGAATTGAACATCTTCGTTCTCACTTCCGCCCTCGTTATCATTATTGTGGTTGCTTTCGTTCTCTTCCTCATCTTCGTCTTCACCGTCTTCTTCTGCATCCTCGATTTCCTCATCATTCTCTAATTCTCCATCAGCACTTCGGTCATCTTCGTCCTCTTCAACCTCAACCCCTTCTTCTTCTTCTTCTTCTTCTTCTTCTTCTTCTTCTTCTTCCTCATCATACTCCGACATTGATGGTCGATCATCTTCGAATTCTTCTTCCTCTTCCTCTTCCCCCTCAATTACGTGCACCTTTTCATACTCCTCAATAGACTCCATAACATGATCATCGTCTTCTTCCATCTTAACATCCTCCATTTGCTGCTCAAGCCTTAATAAGTCTTCTTGACGCTGTCGCTCTTTCTCTTTTTCCAATTTCCTTGCCTCTCTCCGCAATCGCTTTTCCCGTTCGCGTTTGGATTCTAGTTCATTCTCGCTGCACGAATCAGGTTCAGGAGGGTCGTCGTCTTCCAGAGTGTCAATTATCGACATCATATACCTCTGGGCAATCTTAGCTACAATAGCAACAGATATAGCATGCCAAAAATGTTTGCTCGAATCTAAGAAATCACAAATGTGAATATCTCTAATTTCCGCTTGTGGATCCGAAGAGTCCAGTGTAACGAATAGTGCTTTCGCCTGTATGTAAAGGATTCCGTAAATGAGAGGAGGACGTCGAAAGTATATTTCCGCCTCGCCTGATTCATTAACAATTGGTGACGGGCGTAATAGTGATCGACGCCATGATTCAGCATGGAAGTTCATTTGATCTTGCAGGCGCTTAGTTGTTTCCGCCGCCGGTGCGTGCCATCGACCTTCAACAAGACAGAGAACCGGAATAAACTTTTTATTATGGTAACCCCCGTCTCTTTCAGTCCACTCAACGTATTTGCCAATCCATTGCCGCATTTGCGCTTCAGGTGGGCCACTTCTACCGTAGTATCTATCATGTACACGACGACCAAGATAATGGTTCAGAAATTCTAACATTTGAATAGCTGCGGAATGATTAGTTTGAAGAAATCAAAGAATCTGGAGACACTTACATTTACTACTCTCACCCAAGAGCGCATTATCATCAGGACAAAACATGGCTTCAGGAACCGTTCGAAAATTCCGCTCCTTCGCCCAGTGCGGCAAAAGTCCTTCGTGTCCCATGTATTGAATTCTTTCCAATAAGAAAATTTCTTCAGGAGACCATTCGCCATTTGCTCGAGCTCTTTCCACTGTCTCTTTTGCCTTAGCTAACTCCGCGGCCTGTCTTGCAAGATATTCATTGACTTTTTGTTCGGCAGAAATCTCGTCCTCATCCTCTTCTTCATCTTCATCTTCGTCCATATAATCTGGATTTACCGATTCTTCGTCGCTCTCAGTTATATTCCGCGAAGAGGATTGTTTTGGTGAGACCTCATCTCCAGAAAATATAGGTCCATCAGCCTCATCGTCTTCGCGGGAACGTTTGAGGGGATTCCTGGAGGGGGTTCCTCTATCTTCTTGAGGCATATACTGCTGGTTCATGCGATCATATGCGAAGCTCAAAGCTCTTTTATTGTTTCGTGGTTCGGAGAGAAACTGGTGGTCGTCATCAACTGCGCTGTGACCTGGAGTTTGAGGTCCCATTGTCCTACGACGTTTCGCAACGGGGGAAAGATAATTGACCACGGCATCTTTGATTTTGAAAATTTGATCCATTTCAAGCCGTGGTAAGTTCTTATTCGATTCCTTAGTGGCGTAATATCCTGAAGACAGATTTCGTTGTCAGATCGAGTCGCGTTTCGTATTGAATTCGAGTCTCCTATTCAACCTCAAGGCTGAAGTTGTTAGATTGTAGTAAAGTACAGCTAATCAATCTTGAAATTATGGAAGAGTGAATTTATTGGAATGCATGCGAAAATTCTACGAAGGAGCTCTTTCGCATAAAGGACTTTTGTCATTGCGCTGTTTGTTAATTTGGAACATTTCAATGTTGTCGATGCATTAATACATAAATTAATTATTCTCTCAGCCTTGGGAAATTATTATTGAAAGTCTGGGGTAGACACCGAGTGACCGACCGAATTCCGACCTCCACTTACCGCATATGGCCAAATGTTCATTTCACTCACGTGACTCATGACAAGCGATGACTCACTTACGTACACCGATGATCCATCAGATCTAATTGCTAGACTATTAGATGAAGTTTATCAGTAGCTATGAATATAGCAGGTTCAATGACTAGTGTCATTCCATTCATCAGCATCACATCAGACAAAGCATGTAATGTAACGTATTGTGTATTGTAATGTAATGAATGTATCGCTCGGTTTTCAATTTGAACTGTTCCTCCTCATTGGTCCTCCCTCTTTCCCCTTCCTCCTTCCTCCTTTCTCTTTCCCCCTCCCTCTATCTTCAGACTCTGTCCCCCTTCATCTCTAATTTTACTCCTTGTTTGATGAAACAGGCTTATATGGTTGAACATGATCTGTTATTCCAGCCAATCCCGACAAGTATACATCACCTGGGCCCTGCACCTTGTTTGGTCCTCCTGTTAAGAAACTTTGAGGGAATCCGACATCAAATGCGTTTGCCTCTTCAATTTGTTTAACGTCATCATCACTCAACTCCAGCGACAAAGCTTCAATATTTCCCTTCAAATGCTCAACCTTTCTTCCACCAACGATTGGACAAACAAAGTTGGCCTTTTTCATCACATATGCCATTGCAACACTGGTAATTATTGTCTCCTTCTCGTCGGCAATCTTTTCCAGGACTGTCGAGATCTTGAAGGCCGCTTCTGAAGGTGGATACATCTTTCGACCTTCATCAGACTTGCGTTGTTCTTCGCTTTTGAAGTGACCACCCCCCAATGTGCCCCAAGGAGCCAATCCCATTCCTTCTTCAGCCGCCATATCGATAATGTCACGCTCGAAATCGCGATACTCGGCGGACCAGCGTCCTTGATAGACGGAAAATTGACGGAAACCATGATCACGGGCATATTGATTGCACTTTGAAACAATCCATGCTGGCGTATCTGAAATGCCAAGGTATAGAACCTTTCCGGATAATACCAGTGCGTTCAATGACTGCATGAGCTCTGGGATTGAGCAAGTAAAGTCCCACCAGTGAATATAGAGTAAATCAATGTACGATGTTCTCAACTTCTTCAAACTTGCTTCGACAGAGACACGGAGAGACTTCGATCCGTTTCCACCATTGTTGATCCAAATCTCCTTGTCACTATCTGTAGTTCGGAAACTAGTTGTGTACTTTGTGGCGATGACAAGCTGGTCTCGAATTCCACGCTTTTCAGCCCATTCGCCGACCCATTGTTCGGACTCTCCATTCTGATAATGGTTGGCTGTATCAATGAAGTTTCCTCCAGCCGAATAGTAGTAATCCAATATCTCCTCGCTTTGTTTTTGATCACATTCTCCCATGAAATTCTTCCCTGGAAAGTCTTAGCAACGTAACTATCGGAAGGAGCATATCACCAAGTCTACTTACATGCGTCTCCGAAGTTCCCTGCTCCCAAGCACAAAGGACTTACTCTAAGCGCTGCTGTGGGTGACAGCATTCTGTAGCGAGCAAGAGCAGTCTTTGGGGGAGGGGGTGGAACGAATGCCATTTTGGTTGTTTGGAAGTGATATGTACGAGGATGTAAGTTCGATTAAGAAGGGACGAGAAGCGTTTGATATTCTGTATATCTTGACTTCAAGTTGGGAGGATTAATGTGAGCTTTTATAGTGTAAATTTTTGGGTATGATTTCATCCCCGAAAGAAACATTTCTAAGCATTCCCCGCTTTCAAACTCACTTCAAAACCTTCAATTCTCTAACACCGGTAATAGCATACGCACTGGAACTATAACCTTGCAAGGAGACAAGTTAACTGCGTTATTCATGCCTGTTATTTTGATATTCTTGCACCGAGGAAGTACACGACAACCGATTCCGAAACTCTATGCACATACCACAAGATAATTAAAGTACAGGAGAATAACGTGATTTCTCTAGCCCTGCATTTCATACTTTCTGACAGCACGAGCACACCGCACCGGTATGCACTGAAGATATGTGGGTGCTGCTCGGCGTCAGTAATATATTTTGACGGAAATGCCAATCATTCATTGCGGTTGGGGTCGGATGGGTGATGTATTTTGAAGCATGATCATATGTTTCTATATTATTATACTTTCTGAACCTGACCGAATAATAGTAAGTTTATAGAGATTTAAAGGTACATACTATAATCAAAATTTTATATCTTTAAAAGAATTTATCTTTTTTTTATTATATTAAAAAAATATATATAATTTTTTTAATAACCAATCAAATTTATAAAGTATATAGAATATATCAAATTCTAAATATCTTTTAAAATAAAAATAAAAACACTTCTTTTTAAAGAGGAAAATATTATACAATTTTATAAAGTTTAATTAATTTTATTACTCTTGATCTTTTAAAGATGTCTAGTTTATATTTTCGTCTATAGTTGAAATGAAATCGGTGAACTCTGAAATTCATCATTATTGCCCTTTATTCTGTAATCCATACGGAGTATATTTGCCAGCTATTAATAACTGCAAATGCGGATCTCATATAACTCAACGTCCTGAAGATCCTATGGTCGGACATCTATGCGATAGGTCCATCCAAATCAGCTTACAAACATTTCTTAGACAGTATCACGGAATACCGTGTAGCCTCCACAGATTCAATGCACATGTTCCCCGTTCAAAAAATAAAGTTGTGGATATATGATTGGATGGATTACGAAAGTGGATTGATAGATTGGAAATCTCCAATCCACTTTGTTGATTCTTCCACCGAGAAATAGGATATGATAAATGACCTCATTTCACGTGTGTGTTACGGAGATACATTTTGCAGTCTGTCCTCGCACGCCATGGTTTTTCCCAAAAATGACCGTGCAGGGCTCTATCACCAGCTTGATCAGGAAGGCGGTAGCATGAGGCAGAATCATCAACAGAACCACTCGATTCAATCTACTCGTACATACTAGATATTACTTACTCTTTCAACTACCATAATACAATCGATATAGATGATATCTAAATGCATCCTGTGTACAGTGTATGACTGCTGTGGACCGGGATAGCGCTTTATATATCGACACATCATTGTTGCCACGAACAGTCATATCAAACCTTTGGTGTCAAAGATACCTAGGTTTTAGAGCGCCTAGAAGATGGAAAACTTGTAGTGCCATTACGCACCATATTCTTCCATTCAATACAAGTGTGTATGACTAGTTCCTCTGCAATTCTTCCAAGTTTTCTTAGTCTATGTCTGGGCGATTGTCACGTGGAAGTTTCCTGAATTCGTCGGAGCTGAAGTCACGTTCTGTCGTCCATCCATTGTCCATTCCAGTACTTGATCCTCTAGGTATTACACGGTGTCAATTCCTCGAGATTCACTGGAAATGATGCAATTTAGCTAAGTATGTTTATTGAGAGTTTCAAACAGTATCGGCGTCAGGGGAACCTAAATTCCGTTTCCCCTCCCAGCATAACGAAAACAACCACCACTGTTCACATGTATTCTATCACACTTCCCTTCCATGTCTCCAGTCCGTCTTCAAGTTTATATATAAAATATATCCCTTAAAGTGTTTCAAAACATTCCTGTGGTATCACGTGCACTCGCGAATATACCTAGCAACAGGCTAAATTGCTTTCCACCCCACCCCGGCTTCGGAAGTGGCCCATTCTCGAAGTAGGAAAGCTTACAAGAAAGCTTACAAGAAAGCTTGCAGAGTCTAAAGTGCTTCCCCCACTTCTTGAACTTTTCCCACTGTTCTTCATATTCTTTAACGACACATATTGGGTGAGGTTCTTTTCCATATCATTCATATTTGCTTATTAAATCCTTACTTTGATCAAATTTCACCAGAGGGTGTGGCACATGCAAGCGGTTGGGAACAACTATGCAGAGGAAAGCTGCTTAAAAAACCGCGACGTCACTGCATCGACTGCAAACGATCGATCTCAAATCGAAAATTTGGAAAAATCTGGGGTAAACTTGAATTTACATAATTCAGAAAATTTCGACAACGACAAGCGAAGCACAATCGACTTTAATAACGACCTTGAGACGGGGATTGCACAAAATGATTCCGATCAGCCATCTGATGGAGCTTCAATTGACGACGACGAAAAAGATGATTTTCCAGAAGGGGGTTTGAAGGGTTGGTCTGTGGTTGTGGGATCATTCTGTGGCTCATTTTCAGTCTTCGGAATTCTCAATTGCAGTGGTATTTTACTAGAGTATTTTAGTACTCATCAATTAAAAGACTATGAGCCTGGTCAGATCGGATGGCTTTTTGGATTGTCACTCTTTCTGACCTTCTTTTGTGGTGCACCAATTGGTCCTATCTTTGATGCATATGGTCCAAGAGCTTTGATCTTTAGTGGAAGCATCTTATTGGTTTTATCCATGATGTTACTTGGATTATGTACTCGTAAGTTACCTACACTGACACCATAAACCTATGTTTACTTACTAATTGTCCTAGAATATTGGCACTTCTTTGTGGTGTATAGTCTCCTCAATGGTATTGGTGGATGCTTGGTAAATACTCCATGTATTGCTGCTATAGGTCATTACTTCCTCGCCAAGAGAGGTAACGCCACCGGTATTGCAATGACGGCTGGAAGTATTGGTGGAATTATATTCCCTCTTATGTTACAACGCCTTTTTCCAACGATAGGTTTTGCGTGGGCAACTCGAATCCTAGGATTCATCCTCGTCTTCCTTCTCATATTCGCAAATCTTCTCGTGCAAAGTCGTCTTCCTAGAAAGGCACTTCCTAGCATAGGTAGCATTCTTCCGGATTTCAATGCTTTTAGGGATCCACCCTTCTTATTCCTCACCATAGCGATCTTCCTCCTCGAATGGGGAATTTTTGTCCCTCTGACATATATCACACCTTATGTTATTTCAAAAGGTCAATCAACGTCCTTTGGCTTTTACATTGTCTCCATCCTCAATGCTGGTTCATTCTTTGGTCGATTCGGAGCAGGTTGGGCAGCCGATCTTATTGGTCGTGTAAACACGCTCATTCTCTCAGTGGCTCTCTGTGTAATAACATGTTTAGCCCTTTGGTTACCAGCCAGCGATTCCACAGCCATGGCCGTTGTGTTCGCCATCATCTTCGGATTTGTCAGTGGTAGTAATCTTAGTCTGAGTCCAGTATGCGTTGGACAAATGTGTAAGACTGAACACTATGGTCGTTATTATTCGACATGCTGGATGGTAGTCGCATTTGGCACTTTGACTGGATTACCTATTGCTGGACAGATTCTCACAGCTAGTGGAAACGATTATACCTGGGTGATCGTTTTTGCTGGACTCTCTTATGCATTGGCAGGATTTCTCCTCATTGTTGCGAGAGTTTTGGCGGTGGGATGGTCGATTCGTACAAAGTATTAGTTGGGTTTGGTGGTTTGTGAAACAAGTGATTTCTCATCTGTTCACTCATCTTGAAAATTCACATATGTGGATGTTTCTCTGGAATTGTTGGAGATGGTCAGAAATATGTATGACCTATGTTTGGATTTTTGGACACTGATTATCGAAAATCTTGAATATCTGATTCTTGTCGCTCATTTTCTATATATTCACATACGATTTTGCAAAAGTCAAAATGGAGATTTAAGATCTCGGAGGCCCTAGGTGCTATGGTAAACCCCTTGAGGAGGACTTAACTTATTATTTATCTTATTACAGATCTGATATTTGATTTCCCTCTTTAAATAATTAACCATAGATACAAAACAATGTTACACGTTCATTTATGTTTATGCTTTAATATATCTTATTAAGACTCTCCTTTTCTTATAATCAATAGGATATAAACTGTTTAATTCACAGCTTCAGTAGCGTGAATTGGCCAATATAAAAGTACCTACTGGCTAAGGTCGCCTAGTAAATATTTATTTCTTGATATTAAGAGAGAAAATGGATAAATAGATAAATAAATCAAATACTCCATATTCGAGAACTTCAATCTCTTCCCTCCTCTTCCAAACACCAAAATTCAATTCAGGACTTCTCAATGCAATCCTATCCTATCACTCTCCTTACTCACCAATACACTTAATTATGATTCAACTCAACCCAATTCACTCCATTCCATTCCATTCTATCAATCCTATACAAAAGATCCCATCAAACCTCTACCATCGCAATCCCAACCCATTTCTGCAATTTCTTTATCTAATCCCATCCTCCCAATCCTTCCGATCCTTCCCTCCCCAGCCGCCCCTTCTCGCTAATCTTCCCTCCCTTCCCTCCCTCCTCAAGTCCATCAAATCCACCAAATCCATCCATCAATAAAAACCCCTAACCTCAAACCCCCACCACCCCTCCTCCAGCATACAAAACAAAACAAAAAACAAAGACAAAATTCCCTCCTCAGAAGCTCCCCTATATCCATCTACAAACTTCCAAATATATTCCCAAAACAAGAATACAAAAGTTCTGACCCGGGGTTAACGCACACTCATAACCATTATCATTACCATAACCATAACCATAACCATTCACCCTCACCCTCACCCTTACCCTCACCCCGAAACCAAGAATCGTAATCAAGAACTACACCAAAATCAAAATCGAGCACACTCTACATTCCCATGAGAAAATCAATAAATTTTCTTTGAGATAGAGAGAGAGTTATACACATATTGTATTACAAATCAAAAGCAAGGAATAGATTGGCTACTAGCCTCTGGGTAGGTTTAACATTTTAGAAGTTGAACTAAGATCTTATTATGAATTGAAGAGTCATAGATATACACACATATATATACCTCCTACCTAGTTTTGAGAACATGACTATGGTCATCATATGAATCACTTTTATTCATTGCAGATTATTTTGAGAATATCGGACCCTCGAAAATCATCTTTAGGAACAATTTAATATTGTCAGTTTTTCATTTATTTTAAGCTCCATGCACATAAGATGTAGAATTTGCGAGATTGTTTGACGAGGTAGTTACATCCCGTCCTGATATGCAAATGTGCGCCATTTGTTCATCGCCAACTCCAGGTATCTTAATCTTCGCGTTCTCCTCAAGTTAACTCCTCCCTGGTCTGGTATTCGTCCACGCCCTACCAATATTTTGAGCTTCTGAAATATAACAGCCTTTTCAGTTGCAAGAGAAATGGATCAGATCCATCCACTGTCAGAATTCTATGGCCGATCAAACTCATCAACATCATCCTTCGCAATGGCATCCATGACCTTTTCCTCGGCATCAGGATCATCTTCGGTTGGTGGCGGTCTCTCATTAGGAACTGTTAATGGTTAGCATAATCTTGGAAACTTCAAAAAGTCCGAAAATTTACCAGGTTCTTTCCAACCCATCATTTTCTCATTAGGAAGGTAAAGGTGAAAAGAAGGAAAGACATCCATAACTTGGTCGAAATATTTGACGCCAATGTTGAGCTCATGAACAACCACTTCAAGTTTAAGGCCTGGATAGCAGTGTTGTAAAATTTCATCCTCGAGCCAGAACTTTTCAATAGAATCATCGACTACTTCATTTCCATCATCTGTCTTGTCCTCATAATCGTAACCAGGACCCTCCCAAGATTTGCACAGCAGTTTTCCAACCGGCTTTAGAGCACCCAATCCTCGAGGGTCTTTAACACGAGAGAATTCTGCAATATTGTTTGCTGTAGCAGGATGGACATCTACCACCTCAATAAATTTATTTTCGATGTTCACCACATGAGTATCACCCTTCTTGGCTTTCTCAAAGTGGCTCTTGTCACCAAGGAAGGCTACAATTCCTCCAAAGACAAATCGACAAACAGGCAAACTTAGTACGGGTATGTTGGTGCACCATTGCTCCGAGACATCTTCAACATCAACCCATGCTGCGGTGATCTCCATATGCTGCTTGTAGTATTCCCCAAACAGGGTTGAAGCGGCTACGTTAAAGTCGCCAGGAAACATTTGCCGGAGATATCGGATTGAATGGTTCTCCCTCTCAGCTACGTCACATATCTTTCGTGCGGCCATGACGTCTTTAGTGTATTCTTTACATACCTCATGAGCCAAGACATAGTTTAGGAAGTTCCTAAGCACCGCGCAATACATCTTAACCTCGTCTTCTCCATCACCCATTATTTTAGGTGCTCTGTAAGAACTATGGCACCGTCAGTACATTTGGCTATGTGATTAGGTTTTGCGAATGTACAGAAAACCCTTGACAACGCCTTCCCAATCCACAACCCAATTTTCAGTATCTGAAGGATCATAGTATTTGGCATTGCTAGATCGAACAAAGTCAGTAGCTTGAATGGCAGCAATCTCTGCTGCGGTGGAGTTCTCTAAAGTTTCTTTATCAAGACCACCATTGAAAGTTTTAGTGCCGACTTCGATTCCGCCCAAGGCAAAATACTTTGTAAGGATATTCGAACGAACGCTATCGAGCTTGCGTCTGCAAAGGTCAAATTATTAGCCAGCTACCATACAACTTGATAAGATGTATGAAGACTACCGTGCCCTGTATCGCTGAATACATGTCTGAATACGCCTTTGTCCGTCGTCAGCCTATGCAACTTGCCTCAAGGATGATGACATACTCAGCAAATGATCGGCCTCTGAAAACATGTTAGCCAAGTTGATTGAGAGGTAAGGGAGTACTTACTCGTGGTAGATATCACGTTCCTCTTCATATTCATTCGGGGTGAGAGGTGGGTCGGCATAAAATTCTACGATGTCACGTTAGTGATGTATTTAGTGCCAAGTATGACCGATCTTGCATACCTTCAAATCCTGTTGGACCTGGCTTTTTCTTTGCGCCACTCTTTTTCTTCTTCTTCTTCTTGGGCTCGCCGTCTCCACTTTCAGTAACTTTTGGACCAGCTTCTGCGCCTTCTTGAACTGCGCCTTCTTCCTTGTTCTCGGGCTCTTCGGGAGTAACAGGGAGTCGAGCGACAGGAGTGCCTGTGCCAGAAGCCGGCGTAGCTGATAAGTGGTCTGGAGTGGGAGGTGGAACCCTTGGAGGAGCTGGTGGTGTCTTCAGACCGTTCGTGATATCTGGAACGTTGATACAAATGCCCAAATCCTCGCTTGAGTTTGATTTAGATCGGATAGTCAACAACTGATCTCTTGTATAACGCTTTTCACTTTTAATCTCAGCTGCGTCCGTAGCCCCGTCAATACCGCGTAAAGCGGTCAAATCGAGTTCGCTGATGGCACGAGATAACTCTCCAGGTTCGGGACCTACAGAGTGGGGCGCCATGATGTTGAGCTACCTACCCAGATTGATGGATTAGTATCGTAACCAATAGTTTATAAGAACCACTTGGTGGAGAGAAAGTATAGGTACGATGGCGACTTTGGTTGGTCGGGCTGTAACACAAGAGGAAAGAAGTATAGGAGGCTGTGCAGGAGGGTTGAGTTTGGGTGAACTACCTTGATATTTTTGGTTGTAGTGGGGGAGAAAGTTGCAGGTTGATTTGAAAAGACAATTAAGAACTTTATCAAAGCCCAATGTGATGAGTCAAAGCCAAAGTGAATGCGATATTGTATTGCGGGTTGATAGTCTCAAGGTGAATTAAAGAGGCAAGAAGGCTTTCAGGACGGGAGCAAAGAGGTGAAGAGTGGTCAATATTGCGGGGACTGTGGAGTGAACACCGAGTGTAACATTGATGGATGTGACTGTGCTGGGGGATTGTTTGGAACTTTGGTTTGCAATGGGAGAGATTAGATAATACTGAACTCTTAATGAAAAAGTGAAAAGCGTGGAAAGAGTGAATCACTTTGATTAAACGATGAGCGTATGTGTGTGGTTTTGTGTGTGTGTGTGTGCGTCTGAGTGTGAATGTAGCAGCTGATGATGTGGGTGTGGTGTGAAGTAGGTGTAGAAGAATGAAAGCCATAGGTGTGGTGTGTACTTGGCATGGAAGGTGCAAACAAGTCTTTTCTGATTTGGTTAACCATTTTATTTTATTTTTATTTGCTACCTTCTGGCGCAAACAAGCAAGTATTAATCACCTCAAGACACCACCACCGAGTACGCCCTTTTGGTACTGTTGAAGGTCCTGATTGCGGGGAAATGCCGATGGTGAGTTGGGATCATTTCATTCATTTTTCCTTTTTCCCTCTTCCTTATTGGCTTCTGCTATCCTCTGGATATCTCGAAATCGGCTGCTATCCGTCCGCCATGAAGAATGCCTCGTTTCACCCCTACGGCATATCCTCTGACCAAAGATTGGTTCTGGTTCTGGTTCTGGTTCTGGTTCTGCTTCTGCTTCTGGCCCTGCCCATTGCTATTCGCCCACTACTGCAAGATGGCACATCTTCGCATGTGAGTAGTCGAACCTTATTCGTTCTCCACTCGCTGTTTGGAAAAGGATACAAATGAGGCACTCCATGATATGATGAAGGTACATTGCGGTGGCAGTGTCGATGAATTTGCGGAATCAGCAGGAATCGTGCGTGCATCTGTGTAATTTACGGGTCTGAAAAGAACTCCTCTGCTGATGAGGGGGCCGCTATCCTTCCCTTATAAGGAAAGGTTCCAGTGTTTTCTACCGCTCGGCAAGGTTAGTTCCCGCGCGAGAGTGACCCTGGGATCATCTTGCGCGCCCAATGTTAAATCTGATTAATATCCATTTCACTCCTTACAGTCATTGAAACTTAATAATTTATTGAAAAAGCCACGACAAAACGTCTCACCCTAACGCCCCCTTACCAACATCCTTACAATACTCAGCCTACCCTTGACAGCGACTTCCTTTTTTCCCTAGCACAAGGAGTAGTCAAATAGAAGGGAGACCACCCCCGGGTGTACCTTCCGTTTGGTACTTATATTCTAATACATTTCTTTACGATAATGATAGTTACTTGAACCCCGTGCGACAATCAAAAAACACGATGGCCAAACCACTTCCCATTTGTGCTGATTTGATCGACTGCAATTATGCTGTTGCAGGGCAGTAGGTGCCAGATCTACCCCGATTTATTAGATTTACCTTTTAACTTTCAAGCAGTGACGGCACTCTTTCTGATATTGACGGCGAATTGTTTATTAAACCGTGTACCGATACCGAGATCGCATTCTACAACGACACCATAGCAAACCACCAAGACTTTTACGATTTTATGCCAGAATTTCTTGGAACCTTGCAGCTGGATGAGAATCAGAACAAATCGATTGAAGAGACGGCCGCTGAGTTGATCGCACAGCATTCAATACCTGAAGTTTCTTACCCAGGCAGGACAAATGGCAAGAGAATTGTTACCAATCAAGCCGTGGTTCTCATGAATGCATCGCACGGATTTTTAAAACCTAATATTCTCGATGTCAAACTAGGTGTACGATTATGGGCAGACGACGCGCATCAAGAGAAGAAAACAAGATTCGACAAAGTTACTGAACAAACCACACACAAAGACTTCGGGTTTCGCATCGCAGGTATGAGAGTATGGCAGGGACCGGATGCCAAGGGCGATGATATAGATGAGGATGGCTATAGGATATATAATAAAGACTACGGCAGGTTCGAGTTAAACAATGGCAATGTTCACGAGGCATTTAAGAATTTCATCTTCACAGAAGCGGCTGGTATCGACAAAGAGTTAGGGCAATTAATATCGCAGGCTTTTCTTACGGATCTGAGAAGAATCCAAGATGTTCTGGAAAGTCAGGAGAGCAGAATGTACTCCGCTAGTCTTCTTTTTGTTTTTGAGGGTGATGGAAAAGCATTGCGCTCTGCAATGGAAGAAGCCAGCCGAACACCTCCTCCAACAACAATGGAACATGCTTCCTCATCGTCCGGAGAAACCCAATCATCCTTTGAAGAGGAGGAAGATGAAGATGAAGATGATATTGAAGAGGGATCTTTTCCAAAGATATATGCTCTAAAGGTCATAGACTTTGCTCATGCGCAGTGGACTCCTGGATTGGGACCGGATGAGAACGCTCTTGTAGGAGTACGTAGGGTAGGGGAAATCCTGGAAATGCTGGTGGAATCTTGATAGTCACGATGATCGTAGTGTCCAATGGTACATCGAGTACACCATGCTACAGGAATACCCTTCTCGCACTGGAGTTATAGGAGTCAAGGGCTTATTAGATGCACGGCATAATTACGGAGTTGCTTGGACAGGGCATACATCTATACATGAGCATGGCTGTTTACTAAGATACCCCCCTGCAAATGGACATTTAGAAGTTTGCATATGCGAAGAAGTATGTGCATTGATTTTGCTTTCCTTTCTCATTTTTACGTTTTAGATATGGTTCAAAATATATCCTCAATTTTTAGTTCCGCTGCCATCTCGTGTTTGTGTCTGGATGTGAAGGTACAGTACGGTTAGTTGTGTTTGCCGAGATTGTACATCTCAGCCCCATGACACGAGGTGACGGTGCCATGGTGGCTTTGAATGTGTTGTCTTCTTCAGCCAAGCCCGCAGCCCCGATCTCTAAGCACTTGACGTGCTGTCATGGAGTGCTGATCAGCGGTGATATGTGACGGAAGGGACGGTCCGGATATATTTCCTGATGTAAACCCTTTTAGGAATTTTACCGAATTTTGAAGCGAAGCGGTGGTATATATATGTACTGTACTTAGTCATTTAAGGTCGGCGGTGACATGGTTCTTTGATGGCTGTATATGCGCATTCTAAGCTGTATACTTGAGTCGTAAGCTGAGTATTTGACTTTAGTAAGGGTTATCTGGTTATAAGTTTTGATGTAAATAATATGTAGAATGATGTACTCAAGTGTAATAATCCTAATCTGTTATCATGATGAATTTCACATGAGAAACGCGTCGCGTTAATACCGGTTAGTTCCACTGTAAGGCTGAGAAACCCCTGCAACGGGAACCTTAAATCCCCATATCTTTTATCTTTGAACCAAAGCTCTGCGATCAAGCTTCCCTAGCCAAAATCTTTACCCCATGCTCCACAACTTTCCGACGTAACTATAGATATTAGGTAGATCATGTCGATACCGGGGCTAGGTCATGCGGCTCCTACTGTAAGTTATTATTATATTCAAGTCTATAACTATGATCATCTATTAATTGTGCATAGAGAGCTGCAGCGCCAGCAGCTGTCTCACATACGAATATTCATGAGCTCCAAGCAAACTCTGAATGGCGCTTCGAAGTCGCCATAGGATCGAGTATTGACGTGAAGGTATGGCTAACTTCTTTGATGATGAGATAAATTCGATGGTTCTAATCAATATATCCACAGGTTCTTTCAGGCACCGCAGAAATCTTCGGCACAGAACTCGCTCTCAATCATACATATACATTTCGGGGCACCAAATCATCCATCTACACCTGGCATGGCTGTCGCCTCGAAGTAACCGGACCATGCGAAGAATACACTGCGGAGGAAACCCCCATGGTATCTTACGTCAACACGCATTTCGCGCTGGAGAATCTGCGAAACGAAGCCCAGAAAGCAGGGAACGATGGACCGCGCGTGCTCGTCGTGGGACCTAGCAATGCGGGTAAAACTAGCTTGGTGAAACTCCTCACCGCATATGCGATTCGCATGGGTCGTCAACCCATTGTGGTGAATACGGATTCGAGAGAGGGCATGTTGAGTATACCGGGGAGTTTGACGGCGACGGCTTTTAGGAGTATTGTGGATGTGGAGGAGGGCTGGGGGAGTAGTCCTACGAGTGGACCGAGCCCTGTGCCGGTGAAGCTGCCACTGTGTTATTATTATGGACTTCCTAGCCCTGAGGATAATGCGAAGTTGTTTAAGCCGGTTGTGACGAGGTTGGCGTTGGCTGCCACGAGTAGGTTGCAGGATGATGCGAAGTGTAGGGAGACGGGCATGATTATTGATACGCCGGGGGTTATTAGTCAGGGGAAAGGAGGCTATGAATTGATTTCCCATATTGTTTCGGAGTTTTCAGGTGAGTTTCCTTGGGGGTGATTTGGCTTCTCGAGATAGGGGCTAACGGTGCTGGCAGTCAATATTATCCTAGTGTTAGGCTCAGAGCGATTACACAGTGATATGATACGGCGATTCTCAACACACAAGACTGATAGCGGAGAAGCCATTACTCTTGTGAGATTGGACAAGTCAGGAGGCTGTGTCGATAGAGATGATGCATTCATGCAACAAATGCGGGACGCAGCCATTAAGGAATACTTTTTCGGAGATGCAAAAAGAACCTTGAGTCCGCATACACAAGTTGTTAATTTCGACGAGCTTTCGATTTTCAAAGTTAGAGAAGGTTTGCCAATATTCTTTTCTTTTTTTTTTCCCTTTAATTCTTGGGACATTATCAGAATGCTAATACTTCACAAGCACATTCAATGCACAGCGCATTTTTACCAGGAGGAGAAGAAGATGCTGAACCTACACAATATGAAAAAGTAGAGCCAGTGCCCATGATGTTGCATTGCATCTTTGCAGTTATGCACGCATCGACAAGGGATTTGCAAGATACTATTCGAGATGCAAGTGTTATGGGCTTTGTATATGTAGCAGAAGTGGATGAGAAGAAAAAGAGACTGAAGATTTTGGCACCGCTGAATACACGAGTCACGGATAGACCATTGATTTGGGGTAGTTGGCCTGAAGCCCCAGTGAACTTGATGGGATAATCAATAATGCACGATATTGCTGAGAAGAAATTTCTAATACATGTTTTTCTGCTGGGGTGTCATGCCATGTGAAAGTAAATCGAAGTATCAAAAACTCCTGCGTACAACCTGAAAGCGTCATGCCTACCCAAATTGCGCCAGTCCGCATCGATCTGCCCATAGTCAAAGCTTCCTTGGTATTCGTAATCCATCCTTCATCTCCGATTCATATCATAGTATCCCCATCGATCATTGCGCGACCCTCATCACCACCCCTCTAATCCCTGGACTGAACCTTATGATCCCCCTTAACAGCCTCCGCATATGAAGGAGGCACCGCAGCACTACTCCCCTCTCCACCCTGCGCCTGACCCTCACCAGCCGTCGTCCACGTACCATTCTGCTGCTGCTGAACCGTAGGTGCTTCCATGGGAGCCGTGGTTCCATAGCCCTGTTGTTGATAATGATGCTCCAATATCGCATTCTTCGGCGCGCGTTGCGATCTCCCACTCGGTCCTTGCACAACTACATATGCCACACGAGCGCCTTCTGCATCGGGGATACGGTCGTAGTTGTAGTCTTCGTCGGGGAATTTGGCGATTATGTACCAGGCGTGGAGGAGACCGGGGAGGAAGCCGAGCATGCAGAGGAGAATGTTTATTAGGGAGTCCGCGGAGCATAGGCCGCGTTTTACCCAGACTAGAGGGGGGTTGGGCGTTAGTGGATGGATGGGTAGATGTTGGGGAGGGTGAGAGGGTTATAGTATCTATCTACCCATCTGAAAGGTTTGCAGGAAGGGGAAAGTGGGAGATGAGATGAGATGAGATGCTTGCTTACCTGCTAGAGGGGGAAAGAGGATAGCGATTAAGCCGAGGAAGATATCGGATGAGCACATCTTTTGATTTCTGTTGATGAATAAATAAATGTACGTGATACCTAAGTATGTAATGTGTAATGTTTCGTAGGGTTAGAGAATTGTTTTTGGTAGGAAGAAAGGGAAGGATGATTGAAGGGCTGGTTTTATGCGAAATCAGATGTCTTTCTCTGTTCCCGGGCGAAGCTGATGCAGGTGGTTCGTCATCGGGACTCGGGCCTTGTGTGTGGCTTTTTATTTGTTTAATGCAGTGGTCTGTCTGCGCCTCTGGAACCCTGGGTTTTTGTAAAGATTTATATTGATTTTTATTTTCTTGAGAGATTTGAAAGGTTCAAATATTTAAATTGTGATTTATTGACATGAATTTTTTCCTCATCTATATTAGATAAGTTATGGTTTGTTTGTAGCTATACATAATACCGTTTTTGGTATCCAGAAAGCCGACAATTAGCGTAAATACAGTTGATGGAGCCTGGCAGCTTATCGATAAATTGGTCGGATGTCGGGATTCAAGCTAAATAATCCTTGTAATTATCCAGGTCCAGGCATTTCGATGATTGAAAAAGTTCAAGACTTTGATTGATCTAATATTATCATTGTACATATTTTTCACAAACAACAAACATGACAGATCTTAATATGGATGCCGAAATATATGGAGAGGATGATCCAATAGTCAGCTCCTATGATATTTTCATTAAACCTCACATTTCTGAAGGTCGAGAAATCTATATACTACAATTCCCAAATCGCGATATTGAGCAACGATATGCCGGATCAAATGATGCTCAACCTCTCAAATTTCGAACGAAACCAAAAGCCGGAATGGTGGAGATGGATGTCCCGATCGACGCTCGCAGGAATTATGACAAAGATAAGGGGGTGAAATGGGGGGATGCTATTAAGAAGAGTAATATGGTTAAGGGCGGGGGAAGTCATGGCTTACCAGGTGGATTTGGAATTGGAGGCGCGCAACCAAGTCAAAGGGGAAGAGGAAGGGCACAAGAGGTTGATCCTGAGAAAGTACTGGCGGATTTTGAAGGTGCTATTCGAAGTGAACAGGTTTTGGTGAAGCAAACTCTTGGTGGTCAAATAATTCCGGTCGACAAAAATAGTCCTAATTACTTTTTGGGGGCTTTTCAAAAAGGTAAATGGGAATGTTGTATTCCCAGGAAAATTGCTAATTCAACCTAGACAAACTTCATCTTACCCCGATCGACCATATGGTCCAAATGAGACCTCAATTTCATCACATCGACGCACACGTAGAACAGGAAAAGCAAAACCGCCCGCGGGAAGGACCTGCACCCAAGGCTACCGAAGCTCGAGCTATTCATATGACAGTAAAGTCAAGTATTGATGGAGAGGAAGATGGGAGTGATAATATTGCCGTACGAATTTCTGCTGCGCAACAGGAACAATGGGTGAAGCATCGATACGTCGACGAGGATCATCAAGCTGCTTGGGAGTGCTATCATGAAAACATGTTTATTTATGCTGAACAAGATGAGAATGGAGATGAGCAAGCACTCTCGATTGATACGGTGTCCAGGTTAACCACCGGGATGGATGACATGGCATATATTGATACAATCAGTGCGCCAAATAATGCAGCGAAGATGTCAAGAGCCAAGGTGGATGCGCAAACAATTGATCTGGATGATGATGAAGAAGAATGATAGAATTGTATGATATGGGTGGATTCTCTGGCGTACAAAATCAACAAGATAGATACCCCGCATATGTCTTTGGAGACGAGATTCTAAGTAGACTGTTGACATATTTCAGCAGCACTACTATATGTTGTATCTCCTTGATTTGGTTTGAGAATGAACACTTTTTGAGCGATCAAAGTTTTGCAAATTGTACCATCTGTAAATCTAAATGTCATCTAAAGTATAAATGCTTAAAGAGGAGTTAGAGGGGGAGTATTTCTTAAATCCGAATGTAGGCGATAACGATAAAAAAGTGCCGGCATCGTTATCAGACAAACAACAAGCTCGGCCGACAAGGAGCTTTACTTTATCCTAAGCTTCCCCTCCACACAAATAAACAACTACGCTATTGAGATATTTTAACATGGCGTATTTAGCACCGGTACATCGACCAAGTAGTGTACGTCTTACATTAAGATTGAATCTTCTAGATCACAGAGAGGAATGTCTAGTACTTGCGTAGGTAGCAAGCTTCCATGAAATAAACTCACAACACAACACAATACAACACAATATAACTATATACTAATATCTAAACAGCAAAGCAAATCGATTGGAAATATGGAGGGCCACGGAAGAAGGCCTTACAATGGCATACTCAAAATCTATATACGGCCGCATATCCATGCTCCAAAAGATCCAACCCGCCGGATCAAAAACCGACCATCTGTTCGTAGGAACTGTTCGAGCACAATACTTTACCGTGATGTGGAATCCTAATACGCATAAGCTGGATACCATGCAATCCTTTGTTGATATTTCCCAAGAACATATGCGGGATTCCGAAAGTAGGGATAGATGTCTTGTGGATCCGACGGGACGATTACTGGTTATGGAACTGTATGAGGGAGTGTTGAATTTGGTGAAGATTGTGAAGCCGAGAGGAGGCAAGACGGATTATCTAGAGAAACCGGAACAAGTTAGGATCTCGGAGATGAAGGTGAGGGCGAGTGCGTTTCTGTATACGGATACCAAACAGCCAAAGCTGGCGTTACTCTACCAGGATGCGAGGGAGAATGTGAGGTTGGCGACATATAGGATGCTGGATGATAAAGGACACCCCAATTTGCAGTTTGATCCGAAGAAAAATAGGGAGAATGATGTGGATGATTTGTGTGTTGGGGCTATGCACATCATACCGGTTCCGAAGGGGGAGGATGAGGGGAGCAAGAGATATATTGTTAGGAATGCGACGACGGCGAAGGCTAATTTGGGAGGAGTTGTTGTTCTTGGAGAGACGAAGTTTACGTATCTGGATGATGAGAGTAAAGCCGTCGTCGAATATGCGCTAGATGAGGCTGTACTATGGGCTGCATGGGAACCAATAGACGAGAGGAATTATCTGCTGGGAGATGATTATGGATTTCTATACCTTTTCACAATACTAGTCGATGGTGCTACGGTTACTGGAATGAAGGTTCTAAAACTAGGGCAGGTATCTAAGCCTACATCTTTAGAGAACCTAGGAAATGGGGTCTTTTACGTTGCTTCGCATGAAGCTGACAATCAAGTCATTCAAATAGATTTGAAGGGCCCGGATTATAGTGTTACCGTATTACAGGTATTACCGAATATTGCGCCCATACTAGATTTCACGATCATGGATATGGGTGGGAGAGAGGGTGAGACTCAATTGAATGAGTACTCTTCAGGCCAAGCTCGATTAGTCACGGGCAGTGGAGGGTTTGAGGGCGGAAGTTTAAGAAGTGTTCGAAGTGGCGTCGGGCTTGATGATATTGCAATACTTGCCGAAATGGAGGGTATTCATAAGGTTTTCGCATTACATTCTGGACCGAGTCTGCCGAATGACACTCTTGTAGTGTCATTTTCTACGGAAACTCGATTCTTCAAGTTCGATACACTAGGAGATATCGAAGAGGTAAAAACTATCTGCAATTTGTCGACTGCCTCGGAAACGTTACTAACTTATAATCTCGATAATGGTTGTATACTACAAGTCACCCAACATGAGGTAGCAATACATGGCAAATCTGCGGGGCATCGATGGCAACCTCCTGACGGACAAATTATCACAGCAGCTTCGGGGAACCGGAACTATATTTTACTTTCATCCAATGGACGTACACTTGTCACTTTGTCAATCAAACAAAATCTAGCCGAGGTTGCGTTTCAGGAGCTTGGGAATGACCAAGTAGCTTGCATACATGTACCTCAGTTATTGGGAGATATAGGTGTTATTGGTTTATGGAAATCAGGATCAATATCTCTACTTGATCTAAAAACTCTCAACACTATCGTATCCGAAGATTTACGACGAAACGATGGTGCTTCTATACCGAGAGACATTGCTCTTACCCAAATTTTGCCTCCGAAGCTTTCGGGTCCAACATTATTTGTGAGCATGGAAGATGGTATTGTGTTGAGTTTCGATGTTGATAGTGAGAATTGTTCACTCTCCGGAAGAAAGAGTATTGTGCTCGGTACACAACAGGCACGACTTCAAATTTTGCCGCGAGATAACACCACTTTCAATGTTTTCGCAACTTGCGAGCATCCTAGTTTGATATACGGTTCTGAGGGTAGGACTGTGTATTCAGCTGTTACAGCTGAAGATGCGGTCACAGTATGCTCGTTCAACAGTCAAGCATATCCTGATTCAGTAGTCGTGGCTACAACGAATGAGCTCAAACTCTCAGCCATCGACAATGAACGGAGAACACATGTCAGAACTTTACCGATTGGTGAAACTGTCAGGAGAATAGCATACTCAGCCAAAGAAAGAGCATTTGCTATCGGAGCCATCAAACGTGAATTGACAAAAGGACAAGAAACCGTCACTACTTCTTTTAGGTTGGTGGATGAGGTCGTTTTCGGCGAACTAGGCGAGCCATTTTACTTACCACCCAATGACGAAATCATCGAAAGTGTTATACGAGCCGAACTTCCAACAAAATATGGGGATGGTGAACTAGTCGAGCGCTTCCTAGTTGGTACCAGTTTTCTCCATGACAACGACGTAAATATTCGTGGTCGTCTTCTTATCATCGGTGTCAATAGTGACAGAACTCCATACATAATCGCTTCTCATACTCTTAAAGGCTCTTGCAGGTGTATTGGTGTCCTCAATGGTAAAATTGTGGCGGCACTTAATAAAACCGTTGTCATGTATGATTACGAAGAAACGTCCCGTACTACTGCCAACCTTCGAAAAGTTGCCACCTATCGCTGTGCGACTTGTCCAATCGATATCGATATCAGAGGTAATATAATAGCCGTAGCCGATATCATGAAATCCGTTGCTCTCGTCGAATATATACCAGGCGTCGACGGCCTACCAGACAAACTCGAAGAAGTGGGAAGACATGCACAACAAGTTTTCGCAACGAGTGTAGCCGAGGTAGATACAGATACTTATTTGGAATCGGATCACGATGGGAATCTCATTGTGTTAAAGAGGAATCGCGAGGGAATTACCAGAGAAGATAAACTCAGGCTTGAGGTTCTTTGTGAGATGAATTTGGGAGAGATGGTAAATAAGATTAAAAGGATTAATGTGGAAACGTCAAAAGATGCACTATTAATCCCTCGAGCCTTCGTCGCAACGGTACGTTCCTCTTCCGCTTCCCTTCCTTTTTGCCAACTAATCTCAGCTACTAACAAACCATAATTCAGACCGAAGGTTCCATCTATCTCTTCTCCCTCATTCCCCCTCAACACCAAGACCTCTTAATGCGTCTCCAAACCCGCCTCGCCTCTCTCCCAGCACGCTCTCTCACAGACCCTTCCTTCACAGCCCCCATCGAATTCAGTCCCGGCAATCTCGATTTCAATAAATATAGATCGTACGTCTCGGCCGTGAGGGAAACAAATGAACCCTTCCGATTTGTGGATGGGGAGTTGATTGAACGATTTTTGGACTTGGACGGCGCGGTCCAAGAGAAGATTTGTGAAGGCTTGGGCGTTAGAGCGGAGGATTTGAGAGGTGTGGTGGAGGGCTTGAGGAGGTTGTGTTAGGTGTGATGCCTTGTGGGTTGTGGGCATCAAAGGGAACCGGAAATGAGTAAGGGGGAAGAGAAAAAAAGAGAATACGAAATGAGAGAATGGAGGAAGGGCAAAATAGGAAATCCCCCTTTTTCGAGAATCGATCGCCGACGAGGTTATGTAAAGATGCATGCTAAGTAGCACGAAACAAAACGTAGAGATGAATGTAAAGAAAGTACAAGCAAGTATGAAGGGATAGGTATAGGTATAGGTAGAGGTATAGGGATACTAAACCCGCATATTATAGTAAATTAAGAAGATACAAGAGGCGCAAGAGCCATAGAAATAAATCAATTTCATATGCTTGAAATCTCAAAATAGGGATGCGTGTCTATTATTATTTTCTCTTCTGTAATAGAAAGCTTTTGAGTTTCTTGGTTGTTCGCGAGGAAGATCAAGTCGGGGTGGGTAGGTGTATTGATATGTATTATGTATGTATGTATGCATGTAATTCGAAATTTCCCAATGACTGACATGTACAGGAAGTCACGGTTAACTTTACAAATTTAATATCTAAAAATTCTTCGTGGTAGTGTATATTTATTCATCCTCATTAAAGTCTATTGAACTCATCGTAGCATGACTACGCCGAACCACTAATATATTTATACACAACAGAGAAGTCTTTGCCTTTACAATTCTCCTGTTGTTCTACAGTTTCATAAACCTCTTGAGCTCTATTACCAAGCTCAAGTTTGGCCTGAACTTCTTCTGCTGCTTTCAATGCAAGTCCTAAATCTTTCCTCATAAGACTGATACCAAATCCTCCACTGTAATCTCTCTCGACTGGTGCGCCAGCTACTACACCTTTAACTGGATTATTGAGTTCACTTGGCCAACATTTGCCAGTGCTGCTGTTGATCAGATTACCTAGAACTTGTGGATCGAGACCCAGCGTGATTCCTAGGTTCATTGCTTCAGCTGTGGCAATGTTGTTGATAGCCAGAAGGTAATTGTTGGTGAGCTTTCCAGAAAGACCTGCTCCTTGGGGTCCGCAATGTAAAACTCTCTTGCCCATCATCGTGAGTATTGGACTTACACGATCTACCAGATCATCTGGAGCACCAAGCATGAAGGTTAAAGTTCCCGCGGTTGCGCCAACAACACCCCCTGACATTGGTGCATCAACGAATCGACCTTGTTGCGTAGTGTGAACTGCCCTAGCAACTTCTTTGGAAGACGTTGGGTCAATTGTAGAACAATCAATGAAGAGACGGTCTGAATTGGCAACTACAGATGTAGAGAGTGGAGGCTTAAGTATCTGACCAAAGACACTTTGCACATGTGATGGTTCAGGTAAAACGGTAATGGTAACTTCCTGTAAACATTAACTATTAGCAATTTGAAAGACATGTATATCAAGATAAAATAGGCAATTAATTGTAATAAATCAGAGGATTGGCTTTGTTGTATAATATAAAAATCATTAGAAGATCAACCAAGACGGTTGACCCCAACTTAGATCATTCATGGAACAAACTCATCACATAAATATGGAAGAAATTCAAGGCGTAAAGAAAATAAGTGGAATAACTTACAGAATTTTCGGCAGCTTCTCTAACATTGGTTGCAGCTTCTACGGTAGCACCACTTCCAAGAGCTTTTGTGTCTTTCGTGAATCTCTCCACTACATCAGTATTGATATCATATACTCGAATCGTATCGGCAGAAGGTAATTTTGCTTGGAGATTTCTCGCCATATTGTATCCTACGTGATGTTAGCAATTGATTCATCATTTTGGTATATAGAAGTAAACATACCCATTTGACCAAGACCAATAAATCCCCATTGTGCCTGCCTTCCCATTGAAGATGAGAAACCTCTTTGCTGAACAGATCGGAATACTGACCGCACAGCAGGTGCAGTTGTCCTCAAATTTACCCTCATCTTCATAATCCAATTTTCAATCCAAGATTTTGCAAGGAAAATTGGAAAAGAAGAAGTTGGAATCTGGGAGTTGTGGTAATAACCACCAGATGAAGCGGATAGATGCGGCAAGCGTAAAGGCTGACGAATGAACGAATGCGAGCAGCCTCTCGGGTGATAGTTGGTTGAATGGGGAAGGAGTGTATGGAGAAAATGATGGAGAATGTGGGGAAGTTAGTAACGCTGCTTTTGTTTGCTTGTCTGTCTGGGAGCTTTTATCCCGATATCCGATATCCTATACCGAGGAACCAGAAAAGTAAACAAGATCAGCAAGCAGGTTTTGCTGTGATGCTGCAATTGGAAATACCTCACATGAGGCTACCCTTGAAAGATACATGCTTGCTAGTAAATGCTAGATGTACATTAGCTAGATGGATGAACGTATAGCAAAAGAGTTGAATGTTGACCGTTTCATGAGAAGAAATTTAATGTGTAGAGAAAGTAAAAGGAAAGAGGGGAATTGTAAAAAAATTAAAAAGAGAATTGGGGGAACACGAATGAAAATTGAAGGAGAAAAGTTCTCTGCAAATTCAAATTTTGTGCTTAGTCATTCACTAAGCGAAAGAGCTTGCACCCTGTCAATTGACTCATTGGACTCATTGTTATCATTCATTTTGAGCACTGTTAAATAAAACTCATGCAGTATTGTTAAACTTAAAAACACAAAGTCAATAATACATATCAGTACGTCATCAAACAATCACAAATATATCACTAAAGTCTACCCAGTACTCCTCCTTCCTCCTGGATCAATTAAACATACATTTCCACCGACGAAAATCACAAACACAAAGCAACTGTGTACTCTGCCGTTCTGTTCTATATATATCTTCTCTACATATCTTACTTATCCTGCCCATATACGCGTGTATTATTACCCCGTGTGTTTTATGTAAATGAAACCTCATATATTCTTCCGGGAAGCTACGTAGATGAATGACGAATGTCGAATGTCGATCCCATCATTAGTAGTCTTACCAGTACCACAATAAAATCTGCCGGGAATCAGCTCAGCTGATGCGGGGTTGGAAGAAGGAAGGGAGTTTTGTAAAAGTCCCTGTTATCGAGGGTCGTTATGGAAAGAAAGCAAAAACATGGCAAACATATTTGGTATATGATTTGATAGTATGATTATTATGCGCGTATCATGGCCCGACTCGCTATGCTATAAACGATCGTCACGAGCCCAAATGGTAGCTCGTTCTTCCTGAGATGCTATTCTATGCCCAATTCCTGTATGGTATCCAAAATCTTGACCCAAATCCGTACCCCTATTCAAAAGGAACCGCCCGGAGAACATTATCTATATCCTCACATCTATCTCCGCCAATCCATCACATTCCTTCTCACTTATCTCTTCTTCCCCCTTGCACTCTCAAGCACCGCTTCCAATGCACCAGCAGCTCTCCTCTCCCTCTTTCTAAACTCCCCATTGAACATTTCCGGTAATATCATCTTCGCATTTGCATGTTCCTTAGCAAATCCCACTTCAGCTGAATTTCCCAACTTTCCCCTCGTCTCCCTAACCGCCTCCTCTAACATCTCCGTTCCCACACCCGTGCCTCTGTACCTTACTTTTGTAGTCCACGCCCTCACTACACCTTTCCCTCCTTTCTTTCCACTTTTTCCTCTCTTTGGCGATCCATTGATGTGAGGTGCTCGCTCAATACGTAGTATAAGTGCTCCAATAATTTCATCCCCATATCGAGAACCAATGATAACATCTTCCTCCCCATCATCATTTCTAGCAAAATCCCAATTGAACTCCTCGGCCGTGTGTAAATATCCCGCAGTTGCGGCTCGTACTGCTACCAAACATGCCATTGTTACTCCCGCAAGTGTCGTTCCTAATAATCCAAGATCACTGGTGTCCGTGTATTGCCATTTTGTAACGATTCCTATGATTAATGTGTATAGTGTGAGGGTGAGCGGATGGAAAATAATTGCCTGAGCGGCGATTTGTCGTTGTTGCGCGATAGAATCTGCAATCAGCTTTAAGGCTTTCGTTTTATCTTCTTCGGTGGTTAAGGCGGTAGTTGCGAGAGAGGGAATGCCCTCAAGAGGATTGGGCACAGTGATATCATCATCGATATTGGAAGACATGGTTGCGAGGGAGGATGGGCGAAGTGGTGGGAGGGTCTGAGAAGAAGACGCGTAGAGGATAGGTGTTGAGTATGTAGAGTTGAGAGATGACGGTGGCAGGACTAAATTTGCTCGAAGGAAAGTAAAGAAGGCTGGTGGGGGTTTGGTTGTTAGCAGAGGTAGGCTACCCTTTGACTTTTTGCTTGATGATAAACGATTGACATTTGCAAAATAAAAAGTACCTTGGAGATGTGAATATCCTCTCCTCTCACACAATTGAGGAGTAGAGTAGAGAAAGTAAAGAAAATGAATGCCCTCAAGTGAATGAATGAATGTATTTGGTTGGATAGCGTCCCACCTGCTCAGCAAGAAAAATGTATAGAAAACCTTTCCAAAAATTTCTGTCTCTCCAAAACCACAAATCTTTTCTGGTACAATTCGAATGCAATAAATATTCTTACAAAAATATCAAAAGAAATAGGAGAAAATGTAATTGAAGAAACTCACCAGCACTAGCCAGAAATCCCGGGACAGCAGTCATTTTATGCACCACAATATTGGCAGTGGTAATACTATTTAACGTCGTACCGCCATATTCATACTGCGACCTTCTCAATCTCAATTCTCTAGGAAGAGGTAAATGCACGTGTCTAGGCATTTCCCCCAATAAGGAAGGTAAGGTTAACTGTTACCAAATAATCAAGCCTTCTCGGTTCTTTTCGCTATTGCCAATATCATTTATGGCAAAAAAGGAGTTTCTGATTTCTTTTGGGGGAATTTGTGATGAAAATTCAAGGATCTTAACCTTTTATATGGGATTTTGGGATTCCTTACTCACGTATGAATCCTGCACGTGGGGGACCCAATTCAATCGTTCTTTATCTTCTTATCGATATGCCAAGAGTTTAAAGTTTGATGAACATCAAGGAATGCTTTGCTCCAAGACAAGGGGATGTTGCGACACAGATCATGATTCATGATTGATCATTTTCAGTGGATGAAGATAGGGCTTAGTAGCCGAGGGGACGAAGGGGGGTTGAGGGACGGGAGTGGGTTGGTATGCAGACTGCTAACTTGCATATGTTTGATTGGTGATGGGATGGTTGTGATTGACGGTTGGTAGCTGTTGGTTCTGGGCTGTTACTCTTTGGCTGTGGGCTTATCGCGACTGAGAGAATATTTCATTGATGCCCAGTTTGCCGGCACATGTTGTGTTCTGTGTTGGTATCCAATCAGTTTCGCTACTAACACTCAGGATATCTTATGTGGATAGCAAAGATAACTCGTCGTGTGACCAAAACTATCAGGTAATCATTGCCCATATTGGCGTGCTCAATCAGCTGTGTTCACGGTATCTTTTCCGATATATCTAAGGCGGGATATTAAGAACCTGTGGTGTGAAAAGCAATCACTCGTTGCAGTAGCTTCAATCTATTAACATTGACAAATAAGGTCGACGAATAGTTCAGATATCAGTCGTCATCCTTGACGTCTCCATTTCATAATTGAAATTTATATGTCATGTCGAGACGTTGGATCTCCACACTTACACATCATTTGGACAATTTAGCGCCAGTGCCGGTTAACCCTATGGTGTTGGGGGATACTTCGGCTATCTTGGAGCCCATCCTTCTTTCACTAGACAGAAGATAGATGGTTGCTAGCGAGGAGATGAGTTTGTCTCTGAAAATAGTATGAAAACGTATGACTATTCCCATGAGATATCCTCAAAGCACAGCAAGGGGAAGGAATCCTTATGACAGCCAACAACCGGAATACACAAGCTCAAATCTTCTTGCAACTGGAATTGGAGCTACGGAGTTACGGAGCTACGCGAGGAGTATTATTTTACTGCCCTCTCATAAGGCTAGCCAAGCCCAGTACAATATCAAAATAAGATCAGAACTGAGATTATCCCTACCATGATAGACATCTCAACAGCTGTAGGTTAACTGTAATGATTTGCAATTTGTAGATCTACATTATTTCCAAGCTGGATCGATTCCGGATATTTGGATTTGAATAGTGCACGGACTTCCGTCTACATGCTTTCTTCTACATGCTTTCTTCTTTGTATCTTTTCACAACTGCCTTAGTCAAGTTGGCTCTAATATTATCCTCCTCGTAGACACCAATAAAATAATACATAGTAGTGTTTTTATTGGTACACCGAAAGCTTGATTCAGTGTTAACAACTGATTGGCAGGTACCAAGTTAGTTCAGTCGGGACATTCTTAATCTAATCGTCCACATATAAAAACGCTGAGCATACCAATGAGGAAATTTCTAAATGCAATGGGAATGGAGGGTGGTGGCTTAAGGTTATACTCTAATATTAGACACTCTGGAATTCTGGAATTGATATACAAGTGCATGTCTTCGATTCCAAGATCTTTCGGGCTTCCAACATTCCTAACATTCTTCTGCACCCCGCATCAAGAACGTGAGATAATAACTATCTCCTGGTCAACTCTAATGTTTTGATTCTTCCTATTAATACAATATCAAAACAAAAGCTATATACCAAGTAATCAAGCTCCTAAAGGGGAATAACTTCATATATTCTTCCATGGTAACCCGGGATCACGAGGAACTTAAGAATTCGAGGTAAACATCCTGGGTATGTGTATCATAATAAATAATCAATTTTACAAATACCAGAGGCCGTCATGATGGATATAAAATGGGCAAGAAGTCCATCAAATCGACATCAACAGCATCAGCATCGACTTCGACAACAACTTTCCACATCTCGGCAAACATCACACCACTACACCAAACCTCCTCCAAAACCAAAGATCACTCACAACAAACCAACACACAAATCATACATAAGAAACCCCATCCAAAATGCAATTCCGCAACACACTCTCCCTCCTCACGCTCCTCATCACCTCCACCCAAGCCATCCAAGTAACCTACGATCCCGGCTACGACAACGCCTCCCGCTCCCTCGACCTAGTCGCCTGCTCCAACGGACCCAACGGACTCGAAACCCGCTTCCCGCAATACAAATTCCAAGGGGATCTACCCACCTTCGCGCGCATCGGCGGTGCATCCACGATCGCCGGCTGGAATTCCCCCAATTGTGGAACTTGCTATAGTTTAACATATCAAGGTGTCACGATTAATATTTTGGCTATCGATGCTGCGGCTAACGGATTCAATATTGCCGAGAGTGCGATGAATACTTTGACTAATGGGAGGGCGGTTCAATTGGGTAATATTGATGCTGATTGGATGCTTTTGACGCCGGATCAGTGTGGGTTGCCTGCTGAGGGTGGGGGGTCGCCGTGTCGTGCTTAGGTTGAGGTAGGGGATGAAATGAAGAGGAATTTGGGTGAAGCGTGGAAGGGTGGAGGTGGAGTGATAGAGTGATGGAGGATGGTTTAATGTAGTGGTGTGATGATTGGACCGATGATGGATAGATGGATATTCGGTCGATTGTTGCACTGTTCGATCTTTCAAATTAACCTTTTTAATTCTTTAAAATAATACTATCAATAATCTTCTTCATACTTGTTACTTGTTACTTGGTACTTTTTACGTGGCTCATCTGTGTTCCATGCATGCTCATCCATACGATCTGTTTCTTTTCCCATCTATAGCACGCCAGAATTCACAAAATCAAAATCAAACTTAATCGAGAAGTAGTATCGCTCACTAATTTGTTGATGGGTGTGAGGAGATGTCCATTTTGACGGGGCTTAAGTAATTCGCTTCGTTTCCTATCAAGACAGACTCCCAAATAATGTTTCGCGGCAGGCGGCTGGAAACGGTCTCGAAATAGTGCACTATATTGTGAGAAAGTTGGAATTGTAAAGCCATATACATGATGATTTCCAATCATTCAATCATACAACCCTATGTAATTAAATATAAGAAAAGGCTTTCGTTTCCCCCTTTTTACAATGATTAATCTTTCTATATATATATATATATTAACCAGCGTGACTTAGTCCAGAGAATGGATTATCGAGTTAAATTAAATGGTAGCAGGAAAATAAAACAGCATTATTAGAATTCCTAAGACATTACATTGGGAATATAGATAACTAAATGCTAATTAAACCAACCTCAAACATCCGAGAATCCTAGTATCTATTATCTCACATCTCTCTATAACCTTAACCTTACCCTTAATCTCGAACACTTCATCCCATCACCAACTGCAGACTAATTTATCTCCTCGCCAAAACAACATAATATCACAATCCAGCAATTCGCTATAAGGTTACCGGAAAGAAATCAAGTATAAAATATGCTATAAAAAGCTTTAAATATCGTTCGTTTCTGATATTTCTGTAGAAGGTTATCACTCTGGAAGATTAGATAACCTAGATGGGAGGGGAAATGTTGGGAAGTGAAGATGGTTTAATTCGGTAATCGCTTTTGTGCTTGATTCGATGTGTACTTCATGGCAAGTGATTTTAATGGATGGATCGATAGTATACGACAAGCTCATCTCAGCGACGTCTTTCAAAACTTCTCGGGATTACCCTGATACATTACCATGAGTACACAATTCCCCAATAACTATCAAAACCACACGAGCGCGAATTCATTCATTCATTGACAGATTAATCAATTAATCCACAAATCCATCAATAAACGTCCCACAAACTAACCTTTCCATCCTTCCCCCCCACAGCAACCCAATGAGTTTCCCTCGCCTTCCTCAATCTCTCCCCCTTAACATCCAATTGTCCAATTCTACCTACCAACTCCCTCCCTTTACCATCTGCAGCACTTTCCCCATCCGTATCCCTTTCTAAAACATCTGCAACAGCCACCGCAAAACATCCCTCCTTATGCCACTTCAGCACCGCTAATTCTCTCATCTTTGTAACTCCGTATACCCTTGCTCTTCCATCCCATCCAGCTGTCACGGCTATTTTCCCATCGTTTCGGATTTCGATACTTTGTTGTCCTGCGTGTGCGGATTTAAGGATTTTGGGCTCGTCTTTGGTAGAAATTAATGTTGATTTGGAGGTCGATGTTGAAAGAGAGAAAGGAGTTGTGGTTGTAGGGATCAGATATTTGATAATTCGGTCATCAGCACCGCTAGAGATGAAGAATTTACGATCCGGACTCGGATCAACGGAAAGTGAGAGAATGGGTTGAATGTGAGATTTTGAGTGGTATATGGTGTTCCATTGTTCTGGGAAAGATCGGGGTTGAGTGGAAAAGGATGACGATGGAGCGGAAGGAGGGGATAGAGCAAAAATAGAGACAGAGCCATCTTCATAACCAGATATCACGGTTAAGCATTTGGTGACCGGGTGGAAAAAGAGCGAGAGACACATTATCATGCCAGGTTTATCTGGGCCAGATGAAGGAATATTGTAAATGCGGTGGAGAGTTGGGATATGAAAGATATCGATCTAGAATTAACTGTTAGTTTACGGTTCTAATCTCGTGTAGAGGGATACTTACGGATTCAGAAGTCAATGTATTTGGAACAGCGATTAATAATTGTTCTTCATTCTCCTCTTCCTTTTCCATCCCTATTTGAGCTTCATCTTCTTCTTCGTTCTCCTCACGCTCCTTCGGGTTTATTACCGTAACCAAATGACACATGGCGAACGCACAAAAATTCATTGTGTTAACATCTAAAATATGTAATATCCAAGGTTTTCTTCTCTCTTCCGACACAGTATCGACTGGAAGAACTTTACTCATCGAGTCTTCTTCTGATTGAGGAACTTTCCATATAATAAGTTTATTATCTTTTCCATGCCTATATGAAATGTCAGGTTGATATTCTTCTTCCTTTCTCCGCTCTCCCCGTTCCAATTTCACAATAACCAAATTCATCTCCAAACCCCTCCTCCACCTTACATATTCCTCTCCCCTCTCCCTCCACCCCCTAAACCATAAAAACCCCCAAACCCCCACATCCCCCCCTAAAAAAAAACCAAAAAAGAAAACTCACGTAACAATCCACCCACCGCACTCTCCCACCCCAAGAAAAACCCCCTCATGGGCCCTCCAAACCGCCACACCCCTCCTCGTCTCCAAACTCCACAGCACAACCCACCCCTCCGCATCTCCCGTGATCAATCTCGTATTTCCACGTATAAACTTCGCTACATGTATTGGAGAAGCGTGTCCGCGGAGAATATACGATGGTTGGGGCGCGCCTGAAGGTATGGACATTTTATTGTGTTTAAGGTGCGCGAGTTCTCAAAGATGTGAATTTGGGGGTTTTGTGATATCGATTTCTAACCTTTTGGATTGTTAATGTATGGTGGTACCGGTAGGAATGTGTTCACTGTTGTAAAGTCTGGAGATTGTTTTGTTACCTAAGCATCACTCAAGCCTAGGTATAGATAGCATAAGTAAGATTTCTCCTTCCTTTCCCTGAAAATTCTAGTAGAACTAAAGAGATTCATTTATTTATTTATTGTTGTTGTTTGTTGTAAGATTATATAACAAAACTATCTATCCAGATCACGAGACACATCACATGTAACCTTGTCCTATAACCTATGATTGGTAGATACTATGTCAATAACCTTACTTCAGATGACTAATATTGGGTATGGATGGATGTATCTATGAAAAGTAATTTTTTAGCATCCACCAATCCAGATTCTTTTTCCAATGAATTTTTTGATTACCTACCTAGTACTTATTTATTTGTGTGGAATATACTTCCTCTTCGATTGATGATTGTTTAGCAATACTTTGAATTTCAGTTATCCCGATACCAAAGGGCAAAAGTTGTGATAGCCTCATTAACATTATGAAATTGTATGTTGATTTCAAAACTTTTCCAAGAAGGGGTCTATAATATCGGATATACTCCCATTGATATCATTGCTATAGCATTGGGAAATATGATTCAACATAACACCCTATTGTGCAAGCCTCTCCCGGTTTATGATGCTGCGCTATCCAAGAACAACGCTGGACAAAAACCTCCTTCCTTCCAACTCCAAGGTTATGTTCAAGAACAAGACTCTATCGAGTCGCCCACCTAATGTTGATTATTTATTCCTTAAACGCCTATTTGACAGGAATGTCACCCAATTCGTAACGCTAAGTTTCATTTCGTGCCGTTTAATCCATACGCAAAGTTGCTTTCTTCCGGTTTGTCCTCCCGAGTATCATTTCAATAAGCTTTCAAGAGGAATTAATCAATGAAGAGTGAACGTGGAAGTAAAATGGTCGTCTGAAGTCTAAGGTACAGCATTCAAAGATATGTATGAGTAAATTGATTGGTAGTATTCGGTGGTTGATAATATTGTTGGTATGGATGATTTGGTAGGGAGAAATCTGCAGTTTTCAGAAGAGGATTCAAGATACCACTGGGAATCGACGGTCTTGGTGGTGCAGGTGGTAAATTCGTGGTCGCTGCTTGTGTGTTAGAAGGGAAGAATTGTGACAAGGAACTCGATTGTGCCATCATTTGTTGTTGCTGTGCCGCTTCATCTGGCCAACCCCACTTCGATTTGAGTTCTTTATTTAAGAATCCCACTCTCCAACCAGTCTCTTTTCGAATTTTCTCAAATATATCGAGTACTTCCTCTTGTTCACGTCGAACAACTAAACATTCAGCAGCGATAGCCAAAGAACGAAGTGCTACACTAGCCACTCCTCTATCCTTGACATGTGCCACAATGCCACATATAGAATGAGAATGATTTTGTTGCATTTCATGCATCTCTTCATTTTCTGGGCTCAATAACGGATTAATTTGAGGGAGAAGGCACATTGCTGTGTGGTAGAACAATCTACCAACGATCGTGGCACGTTTGAGAAGCCTGCAATTCTTAGATTAGTATGGTTACTTTGTACACCCAACCTAATAAAAAGATACTCACCAGACTTCCGGGAAGGCGGATTTCGAAGTGGTCTGTGACGGATACAAATAAGCCATGGGGTGCATAGTCCGAGGTATACTACTATTCCAGCTATCACAAAGATTCTTTAACCTTTGCCACTCCGCATACCTAGATTGCAATCGAATTTGCTCATCGTGTGGTGAAGCCTCCTGAAATCGTGGAATCGAGGCCCTGAAATTCGCGATTTTACCAACGATGTATAACATTCGATAAACCCAGACTTCCTCTCGTCCAACTTCCAACTCCCTTGAAAAGTCCATGTCAACTCCCCACTGATCCGGCTCCCAAGCTACTTGCCAATTGAAATGAAGACAACTGAGCAATTCCATGCCAACATTAAGCCAAAAGCACGCAGCTCCTACACCAGTACTTCGTGCATTCCATCCACATTCCTTGATCAAAGCTCGTGCTCCGGCAATATGGTTCATACGTTGCATCGCTCTTTCGGACATGATCTCGTAAACGTTCAGGATGACAGCTGTAGTTGCACAAATGACAGTATCTCGATCGGGATTCTGTAACGATCTTAACAATTGAGTAGTGGCTGTATCGTAATAATATAATGCTTTGTCCTCCTGGTAAATAGGATTAACAAGAGTCAAATGTCGAGCTCCACATGCTAGGAAAGCATTGAGAAGCATAGGCTCCCCTAAAGAATGGAACGGTAATATCCTAGAAAAGTGCTTCATCGGATCCATACTGTCCATCCATAATCCAACCTCTTCAACGAAAACTTGCATGAATAAAACTTCTTCCGGTGAGGTGAGATAATCTCGAGTTTCATTAGGTGGTGTGATGATTTGTTCGGAAGTGCTATATGCAGTGGGCGCAGTTAAATAACTGGAACCCTCACTCCCGGCATGCGATAAATGTCGACTTGTTTGTCTAGAATGTGCCAAAGGTGCCATATCTTGCTTCACCCCAAGATTACTTTCCATGAAAGAACCTGTAGTTTGTATTGGTGGTAGTGCATTCTCTTGCATCATAGGATCAATGGCCACGGGCCTTAGAGGATACTCAGTGGGTGGTTCTCGAGGAGGAGTAATCGTCTGATCGATGTGAGCATATCGACTCAAGCCGCCCTTGTATTCTGAAGCTATTTCGCGGGACTCATCTTGGAATTGGACTGAATATTCGTGAGTAAATACATGGTGAAAAAGAGCCTTTGAGCTACTAACCTGACCAATCTGCCGTAGGAGGGATGATTGGTGGTGATTTGATCTGAGTATCGATAAAATTTAACCGTACCCCTCTCTTACATTCCCTACTTGATTTCCGGCAATTTAGACAATTTGGTAATCCTTCATCACATTTCAAATGTCTTTCTCTGCATGTCAAACATCCCGTTCGCACTCTTTTTGGTTTATTTGCAGCAACCGTAGAAGCCTCCGCAGCAGTTGCGGAAGACGCATCATTTCCTGGCATCTGATTATTTATATTCGCTCGAATTTTAATCTGCCTAGGCTTCCCATCAACCTTCTGACGTTTCGTAGGTCTGGGACTGTTGTCGCCAATGGGATAATTTGGTGAAGCGTATTGCTGATCGCCGATGATAGTCAAATCCGATACGGTACTGGCAGAGCCCGAATATAGTGGCGACGGGTCTGGTTGAAGATAATGATATTCCAGATCAAATCCTGGCGCAAGATAAGGCTGATTGTATACCGCCACGATTGAGTATGTTGCGAACCTTCGCAGAAGATTCTCTTGTTATATTTCCGTATTCCCAATAACATTGGCCGACGACAAGGGATTTTTGAAGGTTAGAGATAATGAATGATAGATATTATACAGATGGAATTCGGAAGAATGCCACAGCAGAAGTCGATGCCGAGTTTTAGGCAATATTGTAAGTAGTATTGTAATGTTGTAGTGCGTTATGAATTAAAAGTAACTAAGTAGAACTTGGAATAGAGTGAAGTGAAGGTTTGAATAGAAAGCGGAAAGCTGTGGACCCGATGTCAAAAAAAAAGATGATTCTTGAAAGTATCCTTGTGAGGTCGAGAACATAGATGATGTAGATTTATTCGTTACTTTGGTACATGCTAGGCTATCTCGTATCAAAATGAGTATGAGTTGCAGTCAAATGCGGTGATGAATTATTTTATTATTTAATACATTCGAGGATCAGATATAAGGTTAATGTAAAAATGCAATCATTTTGTTCTTCATTTCAAACAACTACGCACTTTGTGAGCATTGTTGTACAATTGTCACAATTGGCAGTATTTGCTTTTTTAATGGTGGCGTCTGTAAATAGATAATGCATGAGTGCAAGATTATTATCATTATTATTTCACTGATAGCAAAGGAAAGAAAGAGGCCTGCCCCGTCCTGTCCTGTCCTGTCGTATGGAATGAACATACCATGTAGGGGTAAAATGTCCAAATTTGACATGTCGATGATCAAAGCCTTGATGCTTTGATACATTTCGGAACGAGTTTCAATAATTAGAAAATAAGAATTAAATTGTTCGGCTTGAGATTCCCTTCTTCGACAATTTGATAGGATGATTCACAGATTCACAGATTGATCAGATGAAAAGTAGATGAAGCCATACCCGTATAAGTTTACCGTCTCCGGTTTTTCTCTTCAGGGGTTCACATCCGGCATCAGTCTACATTGCAGCCGAACCTTTGAGAGTTTGTTTGTTTGGGTGGAAGGTGGAAAGTGGAAAGTGGAAAGTGGAAAGTGGAAAGAACTTGGGTACCTGATAAGAAGCTTTTATTGTACGCGCGAGCAACAAGTACGGGCGCACGAACAACTGGACCTGAGAGGCTGCTGGTAACAACTAGAGAACTAAAGAGTGAAGCACGCAGCACGCAGCACGAAGCATAAAGTGCATAGTTTGATCGATGTCGTGTAACACATTCTTACATGTTGGAGTCCTGGTCTCGGTATCATATCTCTGCACCCGACCTAGCAGTTTGGGAAGTCGAAGCTTCAATCTATGGAAGAAGGGCTGAAATAAATCAATCCTCTTTACTTTGTGTTGCACTATTGATCTTGACACAGCATAAAATAATATACTTTTACCAATACTCGTACCACATACCTTGATAATCGAGGATATATATCTCAATTTAGAAAAAGATCTCCTTTACCATATCGTTATCTTTGAAGCCTCCATGTTGGTGCTCCTTTTACCCATGGTTACTTTGTGTAGCCCCTGGACAATATGACCTGGTAATTGTTTTTTGGATGCGTTCAGAGGCGTTTCTTATATGGTTAGGAAGATGTATTGATGCATTGATATCAAGCCGACCTTCTTCATACAGTAAGGTCAAGGGCTGGAGGTAGGGTATATCTTTAAGTGCTCCTAGAAGATCATGGATTCAATCAATTGTTCGCCATCCAGCGTGTACAACCTTCCCATCATGTGTGTTGTACGGTCCTCTACCACCGACCGCCGATCCATGTTCATATCACAACCTCGGGATGCACATGTTGATTCTTCTTTTTCCCTCGGGACATGACAGCATGTAGGATTGACTTGCAGAACTCTACTTTTCTTGGCAGATCGGCCCGGGAATGGATATTTGGGTGACCCGTTTTCTTTAAAAAGAATATCTTGCATTACACGTGATGAACTTAAATATGTCTCCACTTCCTGTCAGAACAGATCTCAATGAACGTTGAAAGTTCCGATACACCATCAATATATATATAGCTGCATTAACCGCCAGCTTATTCCCGCGCACTCGTTCGTTTCAAGACAGTCCTACGATGTCGAAAGTAAACGGCTTAATGGTAAACGAACGGACATGAACGAAGTTCTAATTTAGCTTTTATCTCCGTCCTACATTACCTGGATGGTGCTGGGATATTAGGCCGGAAGGGAAATGATCTTACGCCCAAGAATTCGGCTATCATATCTCACAAATCTGCCGGGTTGGGAGATGCTGAAATAGCCGGAACAATTGCAAAAGTTCATCTTACCAATTAAATCCTTGCAATTCGTTTCTTACCCCTTTTACCTCTTACCGCTAACTCCCGATAATCTATGTACAGAACGCCCCCGAAGATATCTATGGATGCAAAATCATACGTGCCTTTCCGTCATCTCTTCTAATTTTGTATCCCGTTGAGGCTTGCTGAAGCCGTATCCATATCCGTACTATTCATAGCTCCCTTCCCTCAGAGTATCCGGTGGTTGAAGTTATCCATAGTTGATGAAGTATCATCAAGGTGATAAAACCTTTGAAGGGAACAATCTCATCGCTAATTTTTATATCTTCATCCAAACCTCTTCATAGCGCATACACACGTTTCTACTAGCGACATCAAATACAGAGTTCTTTCTACAGTACGATCGGATCATGTAGAAATGATTAAGTACAGTTACTTTTCTTTAAGAGGCTGACTGAAACTTGGCTGCCTAACTTTCCCTAATTTGAAGTTTTGAGGTCAAGGACGTTAACTCCTTTATGGGATTTATGGGATTGACCTTCTGTGAGGACTTCAATGAAGGTTAAGATAGGACGGAAATATGGGATCCTATTGAGTCTTGCCTGCCCACTGCTTCGTTAAACGACGAAATTCTTCACTCGGCATTAATGGAATAAGAATTAAGATGTGAGATCTTACATGTCCCAAATGATCATGCGAACTTTATACTTTTTGACCGTTAAACAGTTGGATTTGCACACTTCTTCACCTATTTTTCTTCGCACGCGTCCACAAGAAAGTCCTTGACCACTGTGTTATCCAGAGTAGCTCCTTTATTTCATTCCACTCTGCCCCATTTCCTTAATCTTGTACCCGCTATAAGATTCGTCGTCTACCATGGTGCTTCTTACTTCATCCCTCTTTGGCATGCTTAATCTGTGCCTCGCGGCATAATGATTCATAGCGAGGTAATCTGTACAAATAATATCAGACAAGTCAGACATACCTACCTCAAGGATGACAGTGATCCATTGCATGCCATGCATACTAGGTAACTAGGTAGTAAATACGCTCTTCAAAATCGCCCATGCAAATCTGAAAATTGGAAAAGACACTGTCTCTTAACTATCCATTCCTCTCCTAGATAATTAGAGACACAACATCCACCCTCAAATTAATCACCCAAATGAACCCTCCTCCATCGCATCACCTAGAGCTAGCAATAATCATCCCAAATATAAAACTCCCCCCAAACCAAAATCCCGCACGAATCCACACTTATCAAAATCCCAAATTCTACCCCATATACCACAAAACACCAATTTAAACCCCTACTCCCCTTTCCACAAAACACAAAACCTCTATTTGTGGACAGCATCAACTATCCACATTCTAAAGAAATAGTTGGGGGAGTGTATCACGTGATCAAAATAAAATGTTGCACATCGTAAAAATTGCGCGCGGCTCCTCATTGGTCGATATGTAAATGCAAAATTTAATGACTTGCAACGGGAATTTTGATGGGGAAATTGGTGCGCTGTTGTGCGCTTGGGATGCGCAGCTTGATGGTGTAGAGAAGAGAATGGATTTTGGGGGTTGGGGGTTGGGTTTGTTTTTGGGGGTTTTGGAGGGTGTTTTGGATGTAAGGATTTGAGGGTTTGAGAGAATGAGGAGTGTTGGGGGAGGTTGTATATGCATTTTTCTTTTTTTGTGTAGTAAGGTGTGGGTAGTGAGGAGTATGGGTTGGTTATTGGGTAATGCGCTGATGATGGAGGTGGTTGGTGGTTCTTGCTGCGGAAACTCTGTTTTGGAATTAGTTTGAGGATAGTGATATATTGGCCGGTGTTGGTTACCGGTAGTGATGACGATATCAGCAATGCAAAGCATCTTGCAGATCTTACATTCTTTTACTTTCAGATGCGTTCGGCTTTCGGTATGCTTTGTTCTTGTATAATGTACTCTCTTTTGCTGATAGCATGAATCTAAATAGCTTCGTCTAGAGACGATATACTTAAAGTGTATTATGAGGACTTGCTTCCTATCGAGAGAAGATTTGCGTTTTTATATCGTGGCCAAGAAGTCTAGGTCCTTAATAATGGCAAAGTAATAATCAGGGTTGAGAAAGTTAAGGGAGCGCATTTTGTTCTATATAGTAGCGGAGACAACGACAATAGTGAATGGATGAATACCTAGTAGGTAGCTTAAGACTAAAGAGAATAATCCATAATCTAGAACCCAAAAGGAGAAATCGTTGCACATCTAAAAATATAATCCATTCTCGAATTTGACGTAAGCAAGCTGGAAGAACCAGTAAAAACACAAGCGTAAAGGAGCAGTTCCCCAAGAACCAATAGATTTGCGAGCGCACACTGCTTTGAAGACTTCTTTACCTTGGGAAAACTACTAATTCTTAGCCATTATTGTAGTGGGAATACTCCACATCTAGGTGAAGTTTATGGGGATGGCTGAATGCAAATGGCTAGCTCACCCGTAGTAGTGAGAGGCTAAAGTGAATAGTTTGAGATCCGGGTTCTGAAAAAAAAAAAGAACTGTTGCGCTTCTGGGTATTTTGAAATATTCTTGAATTTAATATAAGCAGTCTAGGGAACTAATAGATTCATGAGCGCAAAGATTATATCTTCTGGGGAACCGGTAGATCTTCCCGAGTAATTTCTAAGTGGGAAAGTTCATTGGTGCTTAGATTGTGTAGCGTGGTGGATGAATATTAGATAGGTATATAGACTAAAAGAATAGTTTACAATCAGGCTTTTGAGAACGGATTCATTGCATATCAACTTTATGTTATGGTTTCATTGGCTCCTCTAGGTTGTCTGCGCCAGACCCAAGGATTCACTTACCTTCTAGAAATCTTTAGATCCTCGAGTGTGAACTTAAGCAGGGAAAGTTCGTTAGAGCTCAGATTAGTAGTAGCTAAATAAGGATGAGAACTAGAGAGACTAGCGTCGGCATGATCTTATGCTAGGTAGCAAAGGGAACTGGTGACGCAGACCGAAAGTTTTGATGTTAGTTCACATTCACGAAGTTCTCTATTTTCAAGGTATATAGAAAGATCTAGATCATGATGTTACATGTACGTCTTCTACATTACTTTGTTGCACATCTGATTCATCTCGACATTGACATCATCAAACCGAGTTAGCCAATAAATTGATGAGCGCAAATAGTTCTACAACCAGCCAATACCTACCTAGGTAGGTAGTTATGTAGGTGTGAAAATGTGTTCAAAAGAAATT